AACCTAAGGTCCCTAGACCGTTTTTCCCCTATAGTATACTTATCCCGTACCTTATCCGGGATAATATTGTTCCGTTACGATATATTCTTACTTAGTATAGTATCGATAGGTATAGGATATATAGTTAAGTCTAGTCAGATCTGGCTAGATCTAGTCGGATTCTAGTCTATCTATACTCACGGCCGTGACAAGTAGTCGCTATATAAAAGTATAGCGCCGTACCCTTTCCTTTCTTCCTTTCTTCTTTCTCGTAGTTTAGTCTCTCGTTTTATAGGAATATATATCCTTAGAGCTTTCTCCATCTCATATATACCCTACCGTTATAAGATGACTTATGTCTTATGGCCGTGACACTTACGCTAGTTCACTATAAGCCAATAAAGAGGGCTAGAAGTACTTTTCGATCTTAAAGCGCTCTATAGCTAAGTACGCCTAACCTAGGCTAGTGAAGGAAGCGTCTCTTATAACTTTTCTCTGAGGTGACGATACTTCATAGGCCATATACCTTGCTTTCCTGGGGAGAGAATTCCATTTGGATCTACTGTGTCCTATAGAATAGTCAGTGAGTCATTATCAAACTGTTTCTTGTAATATATACCTTTAATCGCTCCACAAACCTTCGGTACGCATGATCATTGAAGTCATAGGCATCCGCAACCAAATCTATAGGATTAGTGAGAATCAATATTGGAAAGGCGATATTATCATACCCATATAGTTGATATGAGACCGGTATTTGCTGAAGCCTCTTTGTCGACCTTCTTTGTATAGGTTCCGGAAGATAGTATCGACAGCTTTGCGATGACTTGGATGCGCCTTGTCGAAGACCATCATGTTGACGAAAATAAGATGTCGTTCATGCATAAAGAAATCGCAGAAGAGGTCAAATCCTTCAGCTTCACAGATCCTTCGAGCAGTTTTCACCCACTCGAGGACTTTTCCGCCGTCAGAAGGAATAATAGGAGAATAATCCGCATGTGCGCCGATGCCGAACTTGTCTTTAGGCAGTCTGAATCTCACCATTGGCAAGCTCCATAGACTGGGCACCCCAACGAAGAAACCACCGTGAGGATCCGGGATAGATGTTGCTTCCAGAACCTTGTCATCCTGTGCAGAGAAGAGGTGTCCTTGAAGACGATGCACTAAGTCAGGCGCCTTCTTTCCGATTATCCTCTTGAGCTCGTCAAAGTGCGATTGAATCACTCCCTTTGCGCCATACAAGCCAAATTTGACGTTCCAGTAGCCAAAGCCCAGTTGCTTCTGCAGCTCACGAAGCCGCCACTCGGGAATGGGGCCCTCTTTTGGCCACAGCTTCGCACGTTGACCAGTCACGCCCAGCCATTCAACAATGTTCGAGACGTATACAGTGTTCGGTAAAAGACCGTCTCTCCGTAATGGCCCGAAGATGTCAACAATGACTCCCACGTCCTCGAAATTGGGCATATCAAACGTGCAAGACATGTAGGCTTGTGGTTGTGGATGAAGCCAGATTCCCATCTTGGTGACGATACCTAGATTGCTCTGCAGGAACAAGCCTTCAATGGATGGGCCAAAGCTGAATTTCGATAGATGTGCAGACGGTGAGTTAGAGATCGCAAACTGCCCTGTCCGCACAAGATCCCCATCCGCAAGCATGATCTCCATCCCACTGATGTGTTGATGGTGTGTTGCTGTTGGTGTGAAGCCGGTTCCCCGGTCCACAGTCTGTTGAACAGTTAGTATCTTTATCACTCTACACAGTTGGGCAACGTACATTCCCCACAACACTTCCCCATCCCAGCGAAGGCACACTTGGCCAGACTCGGAGCTTGTGCTCGACACAGTAGAGGTATAGGTCCGTAAAGGTGACCCCGGGTTCCACAACCGCATAAGAGAATTTGTCGTTGACCTCGATGATCTTGTTCATGCGATGTAAGTCAAGTGCAACTGATCCATTCAGTCTTGGCGCTGGTCCGCCATATCTGCGATCTTAGTGCTTAGACTCAGCAAGTGGGGAATCACTCACCCTAGGTTCTTTCCCCTCGAGAAAGTCCACACAGGGATTCCGAACTCATTAGCGACCTCTATTACTGCTCGTAGCTCGTCCATAGAAGAAGGGCTGGAGTTTCAGTCTCGCCTGCCCACATCGCGCATAATGAAACTTACCATACTGCCGCACTGGGCATTTTCCTTTTCCCTTCCTCCTCCCATAGTTCGTAGGGATCCACGTACTCTTCCAAAGCTTGTCCTCGAAATACATTGTCTTTTCCCACCGCATTTTCAAATTTGGCAAACGCATCATCAAACTGTTGCTGACTTACGCCTGGTGGAAGGGTAACCGAAAGAGGGCACAAGAGCGATTTTGAAAAGAGATTGCGATGGTTTAGTTGATATTCGGGGTCGGCATACTGAATGGGGAACTTCATATCGCTGGAGCTTATGTTTGTATAATGGCAAAAAAGTTCCTGCGTGGTAGTTGACTAGGACTACGTTGTATAGTAAATCCTTTTGAATGCTTACTATTCCTACTCCACATTTGTTACTCCAAATGGGGCCAGCTTTCGCGAGTTTTAACCCCACATTCGCTAGTTAGGGATGACTCCACTTCCCCGAAGGATTCGGTAATGTTAGTATGGGACATGTGCTTTCTTCTTGTCCGTCAAGAATTCTGATCTCATTGACTAGATGTTCACATGCTCTTGCATTATGTTGGGGTTGAGGCTATACAAAATCTGTGCGATAACGATTCCGTCAGTGTGGATATAATAATGACATTTGCAAGTTAGCATTTCAACTAGTTGTGAATAAACTGAAGCGAACATTAACTTACAGCGTGTCTGATTGAGACGGATATTGCGGCCTTTGGGGGTCTCATAACGCGGGAATGAGGCCAGGGGACCATATATCACAGAACTGAACTGTTAAAGTTGGAGCTTTTGAGCTTCCGAGTTACCATCTAACTAGATGACGTTAATCATGTAGAAGCCACCTAGTAAGATTTATTGAGCTTCCAATCTTTGTACCCGCGTCTTAACACTCAACCACGAGACAACAAGAGCCGACACCTGCTTCGGGCATTAGAGGATCCAAGATCACTGTATCTCAATCGCCAGTGGCAGCAAACCTCAGCCGCGTTCTCTCAGCTCGAACGCCACATTTTATGGAGCTCGCAAATGGAGATTTATACATCAGGCATGTATCCAAACTATACATCACTCTAAGGTATGAATATGGGCATCGAAAATCGAGGGATAAGGTATTTACATATGACTGCTTCATTCATTAACAAGGCTAGGGGTTAATTTTGGATTGTGTTTCTTTGAGATAGTTATCCAACCATCATAGTACTCGAGTCGATCAGAATGTCCATTTCATTTATTTGAATAGTTTACCTTTCTCCAGACATCAATCCATCAGTACTTTTAATTATATCTTACCAGCATTCTCAACTAGTATCTCAGCTCCGTGAATGCTTTTTATGTCTCCATCGTTGGCATTGATGGGCTCATCGCCCACTTTCTGATGTACGAGATCGGTGACTCCGAACAAGTCGTCCATCTGTTCCAGGGACATTCCTATGCGAGAGAGTAAGATAAGTAAACTCTTTATTCTTTCGTTTCATACTCACCCTTTGTGTCTGGAACAAAGAACCATACGAATACAAACGAACATAGGCAGCAAACGCTGAAGAATATGTAGGTTCTGCGTCCATCCGTCAGGCACTGGGATGCTTCCGGCATTTGATCTAGTGTTTGACTCACCCATATCCATTACTTCCCATATTTACCAACATGTTTGGCACAGCTCTTGCAACAACGAAGTTCCAGAGCCACTGGGAGGAAGCTGCAATAGAAACGTTCATTGATCGCAGTCTTGCGCTGGGGATCTCTGACACGTATATCCATGGCGTAGCCCCCCATCCCATCTGGAAAAACACCGCAAACAGGTAGATGCACACCAGGGCAAAATACCCGGCACCGGAAATTGGCACCCCAGATTTGGGAGGTGAGATGCGAACATAAAGCCCAATATACATCATATCGCAAGCAATTGCAATAGCTGTCCACAGAAGAGATCGTCGGCGCCCGAGTGAGTCGGCAAAGAAGATTAGATAGGTCGCACACGAGCACATCTTGACGATGCCGTAAATTCCTGTTGCCAGGAGACTAACTGAGGTTCCAGTAATGCCTATGTTTTTAAAGATGGTTGGTGCTTGGATGGTATTCAGTCAGCTAAACTCCTCTAGGTCAACTAGAACCAACGGCGTGTGTCTCACCATAATAATTAATGGCGTTCGAACCGGTCAGATTCTGGAACATCATGAGAATAAAGCTGATCAATGCTCGTTTCCGGTTGCCAGGAATAGTCCACATTTCGCGCTGCAGAGCACGCCACCCCGCACCGTTGATCAGGAGTCGTTCACGCTCAAGCTGGATTGCGATGTCTCGAAACTCGTTCTGTAGGTAAGGATGGTCTTCAGGGAGATTGCGCACTAAAGACAGCACCTTTCTGGCCTTTTCCCAGTCGTCTCGCTTAGCAAGAAAGCGAGGGGATTCATTCATGAAAAACATCCCAACAATCAGAAGGATTGCTGGTATTCCCTGAGTTGCAAGAGGCACCATGTAAGAGCTAGACCCGGTAAGATGAAGCTCGGCACCGTAGTCAATCCAGAATGCAAGCATGACGCCAAAGGTGTTAAAGAACTGAAACGTTCCAGTGAGTGCACCGCGAAGAGCCCGAGGAGCATTCTCTGAGACGTATAAAGGAGCAATCATGGAACAGGCGCCTGCCCCGATTCCAGCAATAAGCCTGCAAGAATAGTCAGAGCACAATATCACTTCGAATGCCGTAAGCGAAACGTACCGAGCTGTATACATGCACCCAAGGTAGCCCGATGCTGCAAATTGCATTACAATCCCCACGAGGCCGATAAAGGCGGAGACGATCAAGGAAGCACGTCGCCCGTATCTGTCGGCGAAAGGATACGCCACCAAGGCGCCAAAGGTGCATCCAAGCTGTAGGAAGGAGACGATGTTAGCCGACAGTGTTGCAGCTTCGTTTTTGCTGAGTCCATCAAAGTGATATTTCCTATTCTCTTATCAATATGGTTCTCCACGTGCAGAACGAAGCGGACGACCAACTTGGTGAAAGCAGGGAGGACGATGACACCGCCGATGATGCCAGTGTCCATCCCAAAAAGCATACCCGACATACATGCCTGACGAAAATAGATTTAGACTCTGCGTCCTTCAGAGTAGAGAGCATAATAGGTTTAACCGAGCGTGTGGCTGGCCAAAAAGATACATACTGTCAAGGTTAACACGAAAGCTCTCCATCCATAGATCTCGACGGGATCTTCTTTCATAGCATCATTGCGTATGATTTTCTTTAGGATAGAAGCCATGCTGCCAGTGGAAACGTTGGTGACCAACTTACTGTTAAGCACAGGAAGTAGCAACTTGGGAGCGGCGTGGGGAGCGGGAATTGATATCAATATATCTTCGGTGTAGAACAGTTTGACCTGGGGTAGACCGATGGAATGCTATAAGCTATGGAGGATTATTCCGTCGGCATACCGGCACACGGTAAATGATGATAGACAACACTACCAGACGGCCATTACCCCGTGCCTTCCCGGAGCTTAGAGCAAATCCCAGTGGATATCCTTCGGCTTTTATCATGACAATCATTCCAAACCTGGCTTGTCGCCGAATCAGAACAGGAGGATTATTGCTTAGTGTTAAGGCGGAAAAGCAGTGCATATCCGACACACGGGAAAAGCTCCGGTTTTTTGCTTGATTGGCTCGTTAGTATTGACCAACCCCATTTACCGAAACGGGGCCTTGTGGCTCTGGGGTGATATCTTCCAGGGCTCTCCAGGTTTTTTTCAACCGGCAGCTGAGGTATCATATGCTGCAAAGTTACTCTCTGCAGCTGCAGAGAGTAACAAACGTATATGAAGCGCATGCAACACGAAAAGCATACCTCTGTATCCGGGCATTTTGTGGTATTCGCGTATTGCCGTGGCCCGATAAAATTGACGTGGGGAAATGATACACACTTTGTAAGGTACTTTGGAACAGGATCAACAACCACATAGTGCTGGTAAGAGAGTCTCCCCAAACTGACACCTTCGCTTTGTATTAGAACGGCAAAAAGTATTGGTAGACATCGCAGATCAATTCTCGTTAGTAGGTATTTCGAAGCGGACTTATCTTGCTAAATCTGCTGACTTCTGACTCCTTATTTCAGGCTCAAGTAAACGTCTTTAAGCCCAGCTACTTCACACTTCCACTGTCGCTCCCCTCATTTACAAGACTCCTCGTTTCGTCAGAACCAATCATTCTTCATTGAGCGGTGGTAAACTCTCCCAATGCCTTCCGGAGTATCTTCTCATCCCGTGGAACAAAGAGTGCCTGAAACCTACGAGGCTGTGCAACCAGCTTTGTTGGATCGGCTGTGCCATGAATTGGATCAATATCGACATCTCCTTCGAGTCCGATCTTGAAGCAGCTAATAAGTCGCATCATAATGAGATAGAGCTCACGGTTAGCGAGCAAAAACCCAGCACACATACGGTACCCAATACCGTATGTGAAGAGAGGTGCGTCCGGCTGCTCCAGCCAACGACTTGGTCGGAAGACTTCAGGATCGTGCCACAACTTTGAATCTGTGATCTTTGTATCAGCAGACTCCACATGAAGAGAAAAGTATGGAAACATACCCATATTACAGGCATGGGCGTTCAGAAAGAATGTGGTTCCCTTCGGGAAAGTCATGCCATCATAGGTCACTTCTTTGATAGAAGTTCGCGGCAGATTGAGTCTGAGGACTGTATACATTCTCAATCCCTCTTTTACCAAAGCCACGATGTATGGGATTTTTTGATCGTCGTTCGCGTCACAGAGAGGACTCTCGGCCCGATGAACTTCTCGAATTGCTCGGTAGGCAGCCTCTTGAATATCAGGGCGTTTGGCCAAAACGGCTATAAGCCAGGCCACTGCTGTGGTGACCGTGTCCAGGCCTCCAGATATCATGGTCAGATTGATGCTGGTAATTTCTTCCTCATTTAGTTGAATTTCTGCGTCATTTTTGATTGTTGCTTGAATGCAGGGACTCTGGATGCCCTTATCCATGCGCTCGACAAGACCTCTGTTGAGTTGGTCAAGGTAAGCATCTTGTCGAAGGCGTGTAGCTCTAGCTTTTATGGTCGTTCGATTAAACGGGCTCCACCTTAGAAGTGGAATATAATCTTGCAGGTTTCCAGTAACGCTTCTGAAACGGCTTACTTGGTCCTCTACTTCAATTACCTCGTTGAAAAGAGCTTCGTCACGGGAGTTCATCCGAATACCCCAGTTAGTGGTTAATGCAAGACTTAAGCTGAGACGTTGCGCGCATGGATAGGAATCAAAAGCCTTTGCCCCCCACCCTCCCTCAGCTACTAGATCTTTGCAGAACTCAGCCGTTTCGAGGTCGAGGTGGGAGACATATCTTTGAGTTGAAGGGCGATTAAGTGATGTCGCTGTGACTTTGCGACGTCTTTTCAAGCTGTCGCTATATGGAGTGGTTCCAACGGTTGTTGCAGCGCCAGTGAGGACCTTCTTGCAAGTCAGCACCCATTTTGCGGAGGCTTTCATGATTCCTATACATACTTTATGAAACGTATAAAACTCTGGTCTCGAACTCAATGCAGAGGTGTGCTGGCCAAAAAGACATTTCGCGGCCTCCGCAGAATTGACAATGATTATAGGCACATTGCCCAGTGACACTTGGTAAACATCTCCGTACTTCTTGGACCAGATCCGGTATTGCTCGGCAGCGTTCTTTCGGATTGACCACAAGTTTCCTAGCAAAGGTACTCCAACCGGTCCAGATATACCTGGCAGTCTCGCACGAAAGCGGATAAATTCGTTCACGATCACATATAACAACAGTGCGAGGAGCATTAAAGTTGCGATGGGATAGGTGGCCTGACCATGAGTATGCTCGTTCATGTCGATGAACTGGAGACCGAAGGATGCCATGCTGGGGGAATCTATATCGAAATGAATATCATGCCCAGAGTTGATTAACGCACGACCAGATGAGCCCATTAATACCCTGTTGAAAGATAGTTGGGCTGGTATCCGCAAATTGGTCCATTCTGAACTCGAGTAAAGTGAACCGAGGATATCCATTCACTGCACAGAAAACCTATGCCGCTCCATTCGCAGCCGATACCCTTGCTCAATGTTCAAGGATGGTCAGAGCCTCGAGCAATGAAACAACCCCGTGAGAGCTCGGAAAACTGCCATTCGGCGTATCGCCGCAGGTGGAAGTGGGAAGAAATCCGGATTCTTTTCCGCGATCTCTCCGGAGCCAGATTAGTGGAGACTGCCAACTGAAAGGCCTTCAGATAATTTCCGGAACTCTGGTGAGGTTTCCCTTACCATATCCGTGTTCAGCCACTTGACTCTCCAGACAGTCGAATTTGACAATATGGATACCGGTAGATCGCCGCGTCGCTTCATGTTGCAGCCTGTTCCTTCGGAACAAACCCTGAGCCTGAGTTCCAGAACCAATTGCGCCATTTTGCCCAACTCCTACAGCATTGACGACGAGATTCATGATCTTAGCCCTCGCTTGCAAGAATCACATAGTAACAAAGGCAGCTCTGAACAACAAGACTCCGGGTTGAGGAGAGCTCGGACTGGGGCTCCTGCTAGTAGAAGAGGCAGCAGAATTAAAGGTCCAAGGACGAAAGTAAGCAGAGCGTGCGACGCTTGCAAACAGTGAGTAGGCCAAGTACACACTTCGCCCAGGAGTGCTGTTAAGAACGAGTATAGGAAGCGAACACGTTGCTCAGGAGAGCAGCCATGCGCTCGCTGCAGCCGCCTACGCATTCCCTGTGATTGGTTTGCTCTCTATACCAGAGGCCGCATACCAGCCATACGAGAAGCTTCGGTGAACGCTCAGACAGAGTCCCGAATTAGTCCACACGGCGAATTGAATAGCAACACTCCCATATTGAATCGAGGCTTGCTTTATTCAACACAAGCGCCGGAATCTGTGGATCAATCGGATGGGAACTCTGGTTCTAGACATCTACCACATCTCTCGTCGCGGAACTCGCCAGTTCCCAGTGCAAACATCGGCGGCCAATATCATGGACCTTCTTCTCCAATTACCTTTTTGGAGAGAGCGTGGAAGCGAATTAGGGAGAATCATGCCTCAAGCATGTCAAGGACGCCGGACAAAGAATTCTCTGCCGAACCGTCTATCCTGGTGACTGTTGATGGGCAGGAGCTGCGTCTCTCAGACGAGGTATTCTACATGCCATCAAGACCTCAAGCCCACCAGCTAGTCAGGAGCTATTTTGACATCTCAACACCCTTTTTCCAATTCCTTCACTTGGGTACAGTGACGAGCCTGGTTGAAAGCCTTTACCAACAGGTGGCCGAGCAGCAGGCTGCTCGTGAAGCTATATCTCAGAGCCAAATCACGCTCTTGCTGATGATCTTTGCCGCGGCTACTTTTGATGATACGGGAGAGACTTCATCCACGAATTCTGGAGGGTACAGGAAAAGGTGCTTCGGGCTAGCAAATGTGGTTGTTAAGTTTGCTGACTATTTGATTTCTAGTGAGTCATTCCTCGAGGCTGCGCAAAGGCGCTTGCAAAAAGAAAGTGGTGCACCAAGCCTTGACTCGGTTCAGGCGAGGCTTGTTGAATGTCTGCACCTGCTTTCAACTCGGCACGCAAATGAAGTCTATTCGAAGTTCGGTACCACGGTCGCATTGATTATCACCCTTGGCCTGCATCGTCGCAGGCGCCCCGGGGGTTACAAGTCGGAAATTGGAGCTGTCGAGCACGAGTGCCGTAAACGAGCCTTCTGGGCTGCTTATGTGCTAGATAGATATCTCAGTGTCATGGGTGGCCGTCCGCGAACTCTCCAAGATTTTGATACCGATCAGGATTTTCCAGCAAGGGTACATGACGATGAACTGACTTTCGAGGGCACAAAGCCCAGAGATGGCCAATTTGATTGTGATATGGATGCACCAATCATGCATATAAAGTTATCTCTCTCCAAAGCCTGACGATGACGCGAAAGCATGTGCTAATATCGCCCTCAGACTGGCCCGTATCAGCGCCCATAGCTCTGCTCAAGTATATCCTCTACGACGAATAAGTCAAGACGAAAGACTCCTGCAAGCACGACGGATCACTGCGGACCTTGCGGTATGGAAAGACGAGCTGCCGCCGTTCCTTGGTATGATTCCTGCCTCGAGCCTGATACCGAAATTTCAACGACAATCTCTCACTCTACGACTGGCGCACGCACATGCGATTATTCATGCCAACAGGCCGTTTCTTCTGAGTAACTTTGCCAACACTCCCAACCCAACCGATCTGCCATTACAAAGCGTCAATTACATTTACGACTGTGTTACCGCGGCACGCAATATTGTGGATATTCTGGAGTCTTTTAATGGCAATGGCATATCTTTCCATTCCTGGTGGTTTACTCAGTATGTCTCTTTCTGTGCTGTTGCAGTCATCTACATCTACACAATACAACAACACCAGAAGTTGATTTCTACACCCACAGCCATTCTTTCAGATGAAGCATCTTTTCAACCATCACTTCTAGTCTCGAGCAAAGAGAGAGACTGGTTTGCTGTTGCAGAAAACTGTCAGAAAAGGCTCGCATTGGCTGCCAGGGAGAACTCACCAGGTAAAAGATTTGCCATCGTCCTGGAGGAATTGCGGCAAGAGACGTGCCGCCACCTGTCAGCCTCAAGGGTGTCCTGTGGTGAGGATCGAGACAACGTTCCGCGAGGATATGAACAATGTGCTCAGCAGCCTGGAACACATGATGGCTGGATGGGAGGCACAGACACAGATTTTACACACATCTTTGATGATTTGAGTGCAGTAGATTGGGTTGCGCATCTATACCACCAGGTAATCCCACCTCGCCTAATATATTTCGGTGTCTGGGGCACGAACTGACTATGAGTGGCCGCAACAGGACGTACATCCTCTTGATACTCAGGGCGATATACATGACACAAATCGTTGAGTTAAAGGGAAACGCCGAGTGTTTAAAGGGGGATAAAACTCGCCACGTGAGGGTGCTTTTGCGGTGTCGAAGGCGCAGTCTCTTCACATCCTTGCTGACACTATCGACATCCATGCCCAATACGTCGCCTCTGACGCTTACATGGTCCATGCAATACCATGTACGATAAACACGGCAACTCCCACAAGGAGAACGGCCAAAGAAGCCCTACTCAGCCTCGTCTCCTCCACGACCCTTCGGATCCTGGTCACCTTTTTGTTGGTGGCAAACATCTCAACCTCGAACCCTCCTACTCCGAACGTGACATAATCGGCCCACTCCACTGTTGCCAAACTGTTCTGGTAATCGATGGCCGTACCCACCCAGTTGTTCGTAATGATGCCATCAGCACGCTTCCACCAACTGTTGCAATTGGGGTCAGCGAACGATGTCCTTTGCAATGCCATCTGCAGATGAAGCCAATAGCTTAACGTTTTCTCTTCTGATGGATACAATGCTAGTCCATCGCCTTTGCGCCTGGCCTGCAGAACTCTGTTGACAAGGACTGAGATATATCTTGTCTGGGCCTCGATAACGAGGATCAAAGAGTTGTGAGAGAGATTCGTATTTGGGCCATACAGCATTCCAAAGTTCGGAAGGCTTGGCACCGTTATGCCTTTGTAGGCATATGCGGCTTTGGCCCAGATCTCTTCCAGTGGCTTGCCGTTGCGCCCAGTGACCTTGATGGGTGACAAGAACGAGAACGTGTCGAACCCCGTTGCCAGCACGATCAAGTCGAACTTTTCCGCCGAGTCATGCCCTTCAAACTTTATTCCATAACTCGTAAACTGTTCGATCTTGTCTGTCTCCAGCTTGACATTTTTCCGCAGCAGTGTGGGATAATAGTCATCACTAATCACTGTCCTTTTGCATCCTGGGTGGTAGTTGGGGGACAGTTTGTCCCAGAGATCAGGGCGGTCCGGCAGCTGTTGTCTCAGGAGATTGTAGTTCATAGACCTCATGAGGTCGGCATAAGCAGAATCAGCTTGCGTTACTGCAGAGTGAAATGACTCTCGGAAGTCCATCGCCTCTGCACGTGCTCGCCAGCGTACTGGTGGGAGATACGTAAACATCACTTGCTTCCAGTTGGGGATTTTGGAATCATGACGTGGGATAACCCAGGCTGGCGTTCTTTGACAAATGGTGAGTTGAGATGCCAGTTTGGCAACTTCTGGGGCGATCTGGGCAGTGGTTGCACCTTTGATGTGTCAGAGAGACGAACAGCAGGTCAACCTTACGTACCTGTGCCAATGATAGCAATTCGCTTCCCTTTCAAATCATAGCTCCAATCCCACCTCGCAGAATGCATGATTTTCCCTTTGTAATCTGCATACCCGGGGACATCAATACCTTTTGGGTTGTTGAGTTGGCCTGTCGCAGCAACCAAAAAGTCACTGATGATTTTGTAGGTCGGAGTGAATTCTGACTCTTTGCCTCCGCCAACAGTCACTGTGGTTTCCCACTTGAGGCTTTTATCGTTCCAGTTGGCGGCCTCGACAGTGGTATAGAATCGAGTATACTTGTAGAGGCCATATCCTTGAGCGACGTCGGTCAGGTAATCCTACCTTCGCATCAGTATATGAGTTCGTAAGTGGAAGATGGTGCCAACAAGGATCTCTTCTTGACCCGGATACCGTCTAGTCCACTGGGGATTCTGGGCAAAGGAATAGGAGTAGAGAACACTGAATACATCGCAACAACAACCTGGAAATTTGTTGTCTCTCCTAAATCCTATTAGTACAATTTGTAATAGGTAACAAGTACTCACCATGTTCCGCCAAAGCCGCCTCCCTTTTCCAGGATTACAATGTTCCTAAGCCTCCTGTTGACCAAAAGATCGATGGCCATACACATCCCAGATATGCCTCCGCCAACGATGACGACCTCAGCTTTGGTGAGATTGCCATTAGTATTGGGCAGGCCATGCCAGCCTTCGTCATGTGTTTCGTCTTCCCGAAGCTTAAACCAAGGCAGATACCCGGTGTTGGGCGACATCTTGAGTCATCAAAGGGGTTTCTTGACAAGAAATTGAGAATGGTCAAATAAGAGCCAGCATTTATATAACTCGGCCGTGGTACGACCATCCATTGCGATATATATGCAACCCTCGGTTGAGGTGGCGTTTTCCAGTCCGGTGGCGCTGGAAACTCTTTCGGTGATACGCAAAACGGTAGCTCTTCCATATAGCGCGTTTCAAGTCTCTGCATCGTGTAGACGCCAGTTCGAATCTGATGCCGGAAAAGGAAGTACTCTCAACCGGTATTCGGTTCCTTGGGCATGCTGCTGTGAACGATTGATACTGCAAAAAGAAACCTTCCAAGAACAACCCACAGATATAATTGGCCAATCGCTGCTTGGATAAGACCAATCGGCGCATTTAGATGGCTATTGCAACTATTCCGAAGGAAGTAGCTGGCTGAAAGACCGGCCCCCGCGACTCTCGCCCGTTGTGCGTGTGTGCCCTTGCTTCTGGAGTGTAGAGTCGAGAGATCACTGGCGTTTGCGCAACGCGTATTCGGCCGACCACTGATATTTCTGGGTGTGGCGGGTGTCTTCTAAGGCTCAGCAGGATGCCCTACTCAACCGCGACCTTGCATTCCAGGCTTTCAAAACGATTGTTTGTTTGCAGTCAAGTCAACAGTCATACTTGGGGTAATCCCGGTGCCGACAACTAGCAGACGAGCACATCCGAACCTTCTCCTTTTCTGTTGCCCTTTCACAGCAGGTACTCGAGCCTCAGAGCCTTGGCATTGGCATAAAGAAGGAAGACAGTGTAATCTGGTGGTAGGTTTGTGTGCCTTCTTCCAAAAAAGCGCCGACTCCCCGGCCATACTTGACGTTTGGCAATCCTGTAGGACTGCCAGGAGTTGCCTTTTCCTTAGCCGTTCTCAGAGACTTCAAAGGCAGGTAGACAGAAGCCGTCTTCACTTCGGCACCCAAGGACGGGTCGTAGGGCCATTTGACGAAGAAAATATGAATCATGCCGGTATCCCAATATTGATGGTCCTCCCAGATTCGTAATCTTTGTGATTCCGGAACATGGCTTGCGTCTGTCGCATTGACACCGTCTTCTTCAAGCTCCATCAGTGCCTGCAGGATGGTGCTACCAGTGCAGCCCTGAAGATCGCCTTCAGTCCTGTTCGTCTGGGCTAGTAAATCGATAGCAGATCTTCGAACAACTGGATCCCGGCATCTGCCAGCAACAAAGGCCAATGTATCGATCACGCCAGAGTCGATTCCGAAAGAGGTTCTCCTAGGAGCTCTCACAGGGTTTCCGATTGCTTCTCTATACAGGTCGACAATCTCTGCGAATTTTTCGACATGGCGATCATAGCTGCATTCCTCGCTCGTCCCAAGGGTATCGAAGAGGATCGACGCGACCAGTGCAGCGGCTCTCAGCAGCCTCTTTGAGGTGGTCAATGCCTCATACCGCTCCAGGGCGGTGATCCTCGTGTCATCAAGAGCTGCGTTCCAGCTTGCCAGCAATGCCTGTACTTGGGACCGCGGCTCACTGGGGGCGAAAGATGGGTGTATATTTTCTTGTGCCCATTCAACAATCTCTTCAAGCTTGTTCCGGGCCTCTAGGAGGTTTCCAAAGCAGTAGGGAATTTCTGGTAGCGTCAGACGATGCTCTGTTTTATTCCGTTTGATGGCTGCACTGAGGGCTAAGGCAGAAGGAATATCAACGATACTGCAAAACCTCATGCGCAGACGTTCAATGATTGGGCGAAGGAAATTGTTGAGGACAGTCTTCTCGCTGTCAGAGAGACTGAGATCGCCGGATCCTAGTCGTTCGTCAATGTCGGTAATCAAGCTGTATCCAGACTTGAGCAGCTGATATGCGGTGTGACTATCCTGCAGGTTTTGTAGACATATGAAGATGACGCAGGATATCAAGGTTGCAATATCAGACATTGCGGTTTCATATGCCATTCGAGAAGCTTTGCTGCTCTGATGTAGAGCCAATTTCTGCAAGTTCGAGCGTTCGTCCGACTCCCCGTCTACCTCTGACGATTCATGTAGTGCCCCTAGAGCAACTACTCCGTGCAGGATAGATCGGTTCATGTGACAAGCTTGAAGAATAAGTTTGTTCCAGAATGTTGCGTCTCTCCAGCCGGACCACTCCGGTCCCGTTCTCTGGCAGAAGAACACCAGGCTGCGCAGCTCCTGGGGCTCGAGTCCGGGGAATGTATTCACGGCCTGCAAAATCTGATTCGAATGACTGGTCGGAGATCTGATAGTTGGGGATAAGGACGCCGAGAACAGTGACCGATGATGGTCAGGACTTTGAACTTGTATATTTGTGTCCAGGCGAAGATCTGGCTGTCTTGGGGAGAGTGGTGTGAGTTCAGGGCTGTGTTGATCCTTTTCCTTGGTTTGGTGGGGGCCTTTCGCCGTTGCTGGTGTAGACCTAGTGGCCGCTTCATGAGCGGCTTTGGCTCTGAGCTGTCTTTCATGCTGGACATGTTTGCGAATCTGTCTGGTTTCGGCCTTTGAGCTCCGCGAGAGAACCGCCGACCCACGGTCTTTGTTAATCCAGAGTAGTGATTCTGGCATCCCGAAGGTAGAGTAGTCGTCAGCACAGACTTGGAAGGGCAGATGTTGAGGTTCGGGTCTTGTGCAAAAGCAAGCGAATGAAAAAGTCCGTGCAGAATCAAGAAGTGGGGAAGCTTGGATCGTGGAAGATGGTCGAGTGCTGAAACAGGGTGTCGGACATTGGCAGCATTATTGTCATTGTCCTGATGCCACGAGGCAGTCTTTGAAGTTCTCTGATCCAACCGATTAGGCCGCCCTTGGAATTGTCAACGGCAAGCAAACAGGTGGGACAGCCGAAGTGTGTATCTCTTCCGGAACTTCGGGGACACGAGACCGTTTCGAATTGGTTGCAACAGACCATGGATACCAGGACGCTTGGGGTTCGGTTACGATGATGGGGTACATTGTTTGTACAGAAAACTTTTATGTGCGCGGCGAGTGGTTGGCGAGTGTGTGAGCGACTGGCCAGCTAACAAGACCATGCTTGAACACAGACGTTGGGGCCACCACGGAGACTACGGCCCACTGCAGCTTAGCTGGTCGGCTAGAACACAACCCATAACAATTGCCTGCTGGCTATCACAGAATTATGCCTCCAGACTGTGGGGTTTGTGCGGCTTGCTTTGACTCGGGGATGCTCAGCAGGCCCTGATCCTGACAAATTCAACTGATTGACGCAAGTGAGTGGAAGGAGAGCGATGCCCATTGCAAAATGGTTCAGCTGAACACTCCATGATATCCTGCGACTTGTGGGACGACTGGCTACACCTCCGACTTGATCTCTTGTGCCTCTGTCTCCTTCAGCTTTCCCTCGCTGCTGTGTGCAGATCGGCCATCGAGAATCTCGGCTCCCTCACCCGTATAATGCACATTGATACGAGGCCCCTTGAACCACTTTCGGCCATCGATCGCATACCACGACATGGCCAAGAACATGGAGCCCCCGTAGATGAGACAGGTCCAGTTCATCGTCAAAGCATTTAAATCTTTGCCCTTTACCGCCGGGAAGCAGAGGGCCGGAACAATCAGCAACCACCAACCAAAGGCCACAGCTCCTAGGGGCTTCGAGTATCTACCAAGGTTCCAAGGCCCTGCCGAAACCTGAGTCAGCAATTGGTAAGGGAAATTCGCGATTCATCTTACCTGGTTTGAACCTGCCATGGTCGAAAAACAACTTCAATGCCACAGGCGTTGTGAATGCCGTGTACTGAGCGATAGCACCAATGCTGAAGACGGCGCCAATAGCGACAGGGCTGGCAAACATCAAGAGGCCGAGCAAGGCTGCGACGAACAGAACGCCCCAGGTTGCGTAAACTGGTGTTCTGGTCTTTGGATGGATCTGGCTCCACCACCGGGATCCCACGATAGCACCGTCGCGAGAATAAGCAAAGATCACGCGGGTCGCTGTCACAGTGCAGCCGACTCCGACGAAAAACTGAGCAATGATGTTCAGAGAGAACATGGCGAGTCCGGCCTTTTGGCCCAAAACCTGCAGACACAGGCTTCCAAACGGCTGTCCATACTGACCCGCAACGACATCGGTAATATCAGTGACTGTATACACAATAACCAACATTATGGCAAAGCCGAGGACGAGCCCCGACTGAGCGGTCATGGCAATGGCTCGGGGGGAAGCTATGTTGGCATTGCTGCATTCTTCTGACAGGTGGAATGGGGCGTCATAGCCGGAAAGGGTCCAGATTGTAGTGAGAAAGCCCATGATGGTGGACCAGCCGATCGGCCACTCGGTGCCGTTGGGAAAACTGGTCCAGACGTAGCGGCTGTGGTTTGTCTTGGGGTGGTTGATCGAGCCCACCGGGAACCAGATGACAAAGATGAGGATGACAATGAGATTCCATATTGTACCGATTTTGTTGACCCACCCAATGAACCAGGTTGACTGCATTGTAATGAGACCATTAATGACGAGGATGGCAAGCAAAGTGAGGTATATGTGCCAGGTTTCCGGCTCGTAACCAGGATAAGCAATCATGCCACAGGTGACCAACATGGAAGCCAGAGCATAGTTGACAGAGCATGGGCCAGTGACGAAGCCACAGAAATTAGACCAGCCAACAAACCAGGACGCGAGAGGACCCCATCCTTCCGGCGCAAGAACGGCGGAAGCGTAGTAAAGACCGCCAGCAGTAGGCATGCTTGAACATAGTTCAGCCATTGTGTAGGCGGTGGCCTGGATGAACAGCGATGCAATGAGCCATCCCCAAATGGCACCACCGGTTCCCGAATAGCCCAAGCTGTAACCAATTGTAGATGCAATAGAAGGCAAAAGGCCTAAAACAGAGAATGACACTGAGAACGATTCCCAGATTGTGAAATCTCTGGCAGCCGATCAGCAGAGTGTCTTCCGGGGGAAGACTGAAGCACATACCTCTTGAATTCTTGTTTATAACCCAAAGCACCCAAGGTGATTTCGTCATGGTTGGCGCCTTCTTCCAAGACGGCATGAGCACCGCGTTTGGCGAAGACGGATGTCACGCCCACTGCATTCTCGTCGATGACGGTCACTGAGTGCTTGCGAGGGGGGTCCATTCTCATAGAAGCTCAAAATTTGATGATTTGGAGCAGCTCCGGAGTTGGAGGGTTGAGTTCAAATTGAGGAACGAGCAGCAGGTCTTTATTGCCCTTCCCATCCAAGTGTCGTTCGCTGTTGTTGGTCCTTAGCGAGGCATGATAAGCTTGTCTCCACTGGCGTACCAATATCCTGGGAGAATCACAACCGCGATAACTCGTGGTGATTTAAGCTAGTCTGCCGGAAGATGCAGGGCCGCCATCTCTCGAAATAGCAGGAGCATAAGGCCAGGGTGTTGTGGCAGCATCTTTGGTAATGAGCGACATCCGGGAGAAGACCGCTCTGAATTCAAATCTGTGCTGTCGAACGATAAGTGGGATGCCCGACAGGAGCTCGAATGCCCGGGTTGGCCTTATCAGTGGCTTGCTCTCGAGTTTAACGTCTGGTGGCGTTGGTGTTGCCAATGGTTGGCAACCTGGGTGGTGCACGTCCGCACTAAGGAAACGACTCGGCCTGCCTTGTAGACCCTGACGAGAGTCATCGACACGAGATCTTGATTTGCTGGGACCTGAGGAGAAAGATAGGGCTTGTACAGTAGTGTTGGATGGAATTGAGCTTGCCCAATCCATTTACTTGGCAAAGAGCTGTACGAGGATAGTTTCTCGCAAATGCTGCGAGTTTCTGGGCACACCTTATCAACGGCTTGACAAAGATCTGGCTAGCACACGTGGCATGGAGAGGAACATGTCCGCGATTATATGAAACTCATTCCACATGGGCAGCTGCAGAACGTGCGCAAGGGAAGGTTATCGTTTGTTGGTCCCTACCAGGGACTCAGAAGAGGTGTCGTTGTGGGATTTCTCCGGCGGGAGCATATCGAGAACGCGGGGAAGGGTAAACCTCACGTAATGGCATCTGAAGAAGAGATTCTTGAATCTTGAGATAGGCAATAGAAATCACAATTTCAGCAGTTGGAGGCATCTTCGGCCGTAATGTTCTATGACCGAGAAACTGGCCATGCCCAAACATTCTGTTATAGCCGTGGCAACGAAGGGGCAATTCCTCACAAATAGAGGATCTGATAGAGGATCTGAGGCACCTTGGAAATGAGATAGCAGATTGTCGACAGCTACATGAAAACATCGGCCAGCAGAATGGAAGAGGTAATGAGTTGTCGCGAAATGTGAACCGTCGCACTCCCGCCTACCCGTCGCTTAGACGGAACATCCCAGAGTGCCCAGTCCTTGTACTGTACGACTCAAACACGGCATTACGAGAGGAAGCTTGGAAATGGCGACAGGCAGATAATAAATACTGTGTACCCTCCATCACGGTCCTGTCGGTTCCAGGGGAATGAGGGGCTGCGGCAGAACTAGGCGATCTGAGACAAAGGGGACGCACACCTGAAACAGATGGATGGTTAGACCACGGTCTGTTATGGAGAAAGGAGTTTTGCATCTGCGACCGATTCGGCATCACAGAAGAGCGCGACGACGGGTCACGACCAGTGCCAATACCTGTTCGAATGCAATACCCTGACTGGGGAAGTTTTGGATGTGATCCACACCGCAGGAGACGCGCAAGTGACCGGCAAGCCACACTGCACAGTTGCTGGATTGCTGGCCACAGCCTCTAAAAGAGCAGACCAAAGCGAGTAGGAAGGCAAATAGTGACCAAAGTGAGCAGTGCAGACGACGGCACCGTACGTCCGTAGTGATGAAGGAATCGTGAGGGGAAAATTACGAAGAACATAGATACAATGGGCACGGAGCACAGATACTGCAGTACTGAAGAGCGCCAACAAAATATGATTACTGAGTGCGAGTAACTTGGATGGCTTTGGGATGGCAGGCCGGCCGTCTTCGTAGATGACTGTGCTGACAAGGAGTGGTTGGGTGCTGAGCTGACCCGGGTGAGTATCGATAAGAGCCACCGAAGCCCCAGCAACGGCCCACGCGCAGGCCTGGCCCAGACCCCAAACGTCGACGATGTCGTGTTCTGGCGGGTTTTCCCCCTGCTTTTTGCCAGTGCCTCCTGTGGGCCCCTTCCAAGGCCAGGATGGTTAGCGGGTCCGTGCCAGCCAACCTTTTTCCTCGTTACCAAAACCCCCAAGCGCTAACACAAGCCACAACTGCGTCAGTGGTAGGTAGATCTCACTTTCCCATGTCGCATCTTCAGCTCCTCCAGGTTGTCTTCTCTATCTTCTGTCTACACTTCTTCAGTTCTATGACGCCTTCACCATCTCACATCACTACAGCCTCTGTCTCCTGAGATACACCGCCAACGATTGAAGTCGAAGCCTCACGTTGGTCCAGACCAACACACCATTTCCTTCCAGCCAGCATAGCAACATATTGCCACTACAACGGCTTGTGCGATCGCAGTTACGAAACAGGACGTCTCTCACGGCGATAATACGCAATTGGGGAATTTAGAACGCCTTACTCGTTAAGGAACCATATTACATCAAAGAGGCACTTCGAAGTGTCTTGAAACGACTCCCGTGTTCCCACAAGCATCACGACGATTCACCAGTTTCCATGGCCCCGAACTCGTAGCGTTATCCTGCGTTGGTTGCCCGCTCTCGTGGTGATTCGAATCACTTTCCTCATACCATGGATAATGTACCTCCGCAAGTATGGGCAGTGGCTCACACCCTTATAGCCCGCAATGAGACCACCAATTCAACTGCCGCGAATTCCAATGCCGACACAGCAAATCGTCCCCCAGTCTACAAGGCAATCGGCCTCAGTCTGGCGGTGGCTTCCGGACTATTTATTGGTACTTCATTTGTGCTGAAAAAGACTGGACTGCTCAAGGCGAATGCTAAATACAACGAGGAAGCTGGTGAAGGCTATGGCTACCTCAAGAATTTCTGGTGGTGGGGAGGGATGACGCTGATGATAGTGGGCGAGATCTGCAATTTTGTCGCATATGCCTTCGTCGATGCGATCCTTGTCACACCATTGGGGGCACTGAGCGTTGTGGTCACGACCATCCTGTCTGCCATCTTTCTCAAGGAGCGCCTGAGTTTCGTCGGTAAGGTGGGATGTTTCAATTGCATCGTCGGCAGTATTGTCATTGTTCTTAATGCTCCCGAGCAAAGCGCTGTCGCCGACATTCAAGAAATGCAACACTTCGTTATCGCCCCAGGCTTTCTCAGCTATGCCGGCATCGTGATTGTGACTTGTATATTTATCGCCTTGTGGGCTGGGCCGCGCTACGGCAAGAAAAGCATGCTGGTCTACCTGAGTATTTGCAGCCTGATCGGCGGCCTCAGCGTCGTCGCGACCCAGGGGTTGGGGAGTGCGGTTGTTGCCCAAGCTGGCGGTAAACCTCAGTTCAACCAGTGGTTCCTCTACGTTTTACTGGTCTTTGTGGTTGCAACACTTTTGACAGAAATCATCTATCTCAATGCAAGTATGCTTTTTTCTTCACACTGTCCAGCACTAACAGTTTCCAGAAAGCTCTGAATATTTTCAATGCGGCCCTCGTCACTCCGACATACTATGTGATCTTCACCAGCGCTACAATCATCACTTCCGCCATCCTCTTCCGGGGTTTTAAGGGCACAGCCGTGTCCATCACGACCGTGATCATGGGTTTCTTCCAAATATGCGCTGGTGTTGTCCTCTTGCAAATGTCCAAATCTGCAAAGGACGTCCCGGATGCCGCCGTTTTCAAGGGTGATCTCAACCAAGTCAGGGAGATCGCAGAGGTGGAGCAGCCAGAAACGGAGCCTAAGGCTGATGCTATACGCGGCACCGCAGCTTTGATCAGAAGAATCTCTGTTTCACGGCAGAAGATGGAACAAGAGGAAGCCCGACGGCTGCGGGAAGACAAACTCAAAGATCAACTTGAGCCGCTTCGCGAGAACGAGATTGTGGAATGGGACGGACTCCGCCGTCGAAAAACCGTGATTGGCGAACCTGGGGCAGTTGTTCGAAGGAAGACGATTCATCCGCCGCTGGGAATGTCGCATTTCCCGGAGTCGGATCAAGACGGGGCCGAGAACGAACTGGGATTTTTTGAAAACCTTCGCAATCGTGCCCAAAGTGTTATTCGTAACCCCAGTCCCCGTCACCATGCCACCACGCCGGAAGATACTCTACGGAGCCCAATACATCCCGTTGCTCTGACGGATATCAAGGTTATTCCATCTAAAGCCGAGTCACCCATCGTCCCGTACGGCCCAGGGAGCCTCGAAGATGCCCAGGAACGGATTTACGGACTTCCTCAGGGGCAACTGAAAGAACGAGCAATCACCATCGCAGCTCAATCCTCGCCCCGTTCCAAACCCCTGCCCGCCAAACCGTCCTCATCCCCTGCACTCCGACTACCTCGCGAGGCAAGACGGCAGTTCTCTTTCACCAACTTCCTTCGACCAGGTTCACGCACCCCCGAGATAGATCCAGTTCCTTCACGACCGAATCTCTCACATCGGACTAGCAGCCATGAACAAAGACGGGCCATGAAGAATGCATCCGAGGAGGAAAGATTAGGACTTGTCAAGGGTGATTCTCACGTTGCTTTGCTTAAGCATGACTCGTCTCGCTCCCCTGAGCGTCCATCTCAGCCCCTCTCTTATGCCCATCCAACTTCTCATTCTCAGTCCAGCTCCACTTCAAGCGTTGATGATTACCATTCCTATCAATACCCTTCTCCTCCTCAACGTTCTCTGTCATATTCTGACGAGGTTGATGGTTGGCAGATGATGAGCACCACGAGTCCCCCGAACGAGATGAACCGAGCTTCGACACCACCGCCGCCGTCCGTTACGGCAAGCAGCCGGAGAAGGCCAAGTCCGCCGAGGATATATCAACCCCCACCTTTACTCACGAGGAGTTCGCCTCCGACCGACTACACCGAGGAACGACCCATTCCAGGGACGATGGTGGGCGGAGGGCCGACACAGACCAGAGCCACACCAGCAGTGTCAAACCATTCCCAGAATTCATCGATGAGCCCACCGCGGATCACGACTCAACATCAAGGCACTGGTTTGCTCAGGACAGGTGGAGAAGATCACCTAGCTCAAGTTTCCGAGGACGCAAGAGTGAATAATGCCTACAACTATGAGGCGGGCCGGACAGAAAACGTCGAGCCAGAGGCCACCCGGAGACGGTTTGAGGAGCAGAGTAAAAGGGAAAGAGAGGAGAGGCGGTTGAGAGCCACCGGACGACGACAGAGTTGGAAACCCTCCACTTCTGAAGAAGGCGGCAGTTTCCTTTAGAAGTCAGAGTGTTGTTTGAATTACCCAGTTGAGCCGCTTTTGGTAACCACGACGAAATACCCCACGAAGTTTTGGCACACATGGAAAACGGACTTTCACGACCGATAGAAACGAGAGCTTGACGGGTCTGGCGCAAAGCTAGACCGCAATTTCCAGATATGTACATGTACGATACTTGACAGTAGGCTGAATATAGTTCTTGTCCTACCATTCCGGATTGATTACCACGATCAGTAAACTCTTTGTTGTTCTATATCGATTGCCTTGTACACGACCACATTCTTATACGGCCTCGGGCTCCATCAATTTGCCGTGGCCGACGTCACAAGCTGTGGCAGTGCGCGTCCTCGCAAGAGATTCCTCGCCAGCCTGACGACGATCCTGCAACCTACGGCCGGCTGCTGTTAATTCCGAGAATCCGTAAACTCGGCCTGTTCGGACAAAGAACTGGACAGCCAAAGTTCACGCCACTAATATTTGCATTGACGGCCTGCTCTGCCTCCTTCTTGTCGTTCTTTCTCGGATTAGGAGAAGGTGTTCCTGGCCTGCATTTACATGTCTCATCGAAGTTGGACTAGCCGAAATGGCTGACTCTCCTGCATCCGAAGCGTCCCAAGAGCCAGAATCGGCCGATGAGTCGAACGCGGCGCATCCGCCAGCCAAAGCGGCCGCGGTCAAGGACAAGGAATGTCAATACTGTCACCAGCAGTTCACCTCCTCGTCTCTCGGTCGCCATCTCGACCAGTTCATTTCCAAAAAGAAACCTGATGGGATCCACAATGTCGAGGAGATCCGCAGGCTACGAGGAGGCATCACGCGCCGGACTGCGAGAAGCAGCAAACGGGACAAGGATAAGAATGAGCCTGAGGACTCGCGCTCGTCGCAAGCATCGCCAGGCCCCAGCATCGGGCCTCAGCCGGGCACTCTCATCTCGTCCGCCATCGAACTCAACCGAGTGCCTCCCGGTGGCATGCACGTGCGTCTGAACAGGCTCAATTGGCAGGCGACGGGAGTCATTACAGATCCTACCACCCTCGACTCGCCGGCCACTGCTGCCGCCGTCCCTCCTACTCCTGCTCTCGTGTCCAGCCCCTCTGGGACCAAGCGCAGTTACTCTACCTACGCCCAAGACCTTAATCCCACCGTCAACGCCGAAACTACTCGCGCTCTTGAACTCGCCCTCCGCGAGGTCCTCGACTCTCTGCGCGCAGCCACAAAGCATGCCTCCCCCAAGCCCTCTCCCTTCAAATTCGACGTCCAGACCCAGACCTTTCCCTCGCTCTGTTTGAAAGTCTTGCCTGCACCAGCAACCTTATTCCAGGCGTCACCATTCTCCACGCCGCAATCCATCCCGATTAACCCGCCTGGACCTGATCAACTCGCTCCACTGCGTCAAATGTTGACGTCAACAATCGATCACTGGAAATGGCATACACTGCGCCTCGCGCAACCTACAACTTCCAACATTGCGGAGGAGGCGGACTTCCTGACACGAAGCGCGGCACAATGGACCGAATCGACCCTTTCACATCTAGACACTAGCTTTCAAAATTGGATGGCACATCCGATCGAGATTCGCAACCTATTGTGGCAGGTGGAACTGCTAAGGGCCTACAATACGGAGCAGCAGAGAGTGCAGGAGATGGAAGAAAAACTTGAGAGATTACAGCAGGAGGCGAATCAGTTACAGCAACAGGTAGAATACCTCTCTCGATGTCAGTGGCCGCGCGAAATGGCCCTGTGGCCGCCCGAGCGTAGGACGTTCGGGGCGTCTATGCGCGAAGAGTTGCGACAGATGAGTCTAAACAAAGTGCCTGTTGGCTCAGCTGGACCAGACGCACCGGAAGAGATGGTCTCTCTGCCCACAGAGAACGTTAATACAAGGCAGGGGGATAAGTGGGACTTTGACAAGTTGGTCAACAAGTGGAAAGCACATGTGAAGGAAGATAAGAATCGTCGCATGCCCCAGGCTCTTGTATCCATGGACGGTACCGGCGGCTTAGGAGGTCCACCAGCAGTAAAAGTTGCAGAACTCAAGAAGACGAAGAGCGAATCGGGGACGAATGGTTTGTCTAACGGACAGTCGCCGATCAGTGTGGACGAACGGCGAAAGAGTGGGAGAAACCCAAAGGGTAATATCAGCATTATTTCAGACCTATAAAATGAGGGAGCGCAACCCGGCCATATTGACGTTGTATTTAACTCCACCTCTAGAAAATATTTACATTCGTTTCTCCAACCTCATAAGAATATTGCATGAAGTATGTCCGTCAGTGTTGCGACCAAAACTCTTCATCCTGTCATCTCGGATCCTTTTTGTACGTTTTAAAACCAAGTATCTCGCTCGTCTTCCGAGGAGAGCAATCCAGAAACCGACCTTTTGTTCGCCGAAACTTTGTTCTCGAGATCATTATCGTCGTCAAGTTGGAAACGTACACGCTTGCGCACACGTAGAGTTGCTGAGAGTGTCATTCCTCTTCTTCTCCCTCTTCTATCTCCTTCTCCCGTTTCGCGAACAGGCTGACTCGATTCTGGATCGCATAGATGGCGTAACCCACAATGGCCAGCACAACGAACAGGCAGATCACAATGATCGCGATCACGTAGTTTCTTTGCACCATGATTGTCAACAAGTAGAGGCTGTGGTCGGGAGTGGCAGATGCTTTGGGTTGTGTTGCCGGGTAGAAATGGTTCGCTTTGGGTGCGTGAGTGATACACCGACGTGAGGGTGCGAAACCGGACAGGAGGCGGTGGGCTGAGTCGAGGTCCGCAAAGAAGCGAGGCGCTGTCGGGGAGTTGCCTTATGGGAACTAGTTCTGATCGGTGGCTTCGAGGGGAGGGTAGTCGCGGCGAGTTCGGGGGTGACTCGACAACCGGCGAGAAACCCCAACTGGAAGGGGACACAAGAGTTTGCGGCGCCGTGGGATCAATCTTGATAGGCGTGTAAGAGATGCTGGAAATTGAGAAAGTCTATATCAGGAATAATGTCAACTGCGCAGTGGTGACGTTGGGGCTTCGTGTTAGTTGCAATGGGAGGTGGTTGAGGACGATGGAATGCTACCATGAATTTGAGTATTCAGAGGACTACATGTAGTTGTCCGCAAGCGTGAGGCCCAACCTCGCAGGCTCTCTACCCCCATTATACGATGGCTGGTTGCGACGAGGGGTGGTTGGCTGCAATGTTGACGTGGCAGGACTGCACCTTGAAACTGCGAGGTTGGAGACGAGCTAACGCGTGGCAGCGCGAGGCTGGGGATTTGCCTTGTACTCATGTGGTGCCAATCACGTGATGGTGTTTTGGCTGTAGCCAATCAATCTCAAGGATACCGTACTAGCTTCCTGTACAGTCTAGCCCCTCTTTGAGGAGGCTGCATCCTGCTAGACCCACTGACATTTGGGCACCATCGACTAGGTGCCATTAACGAATTTCAACGGCTCCTATACCAGCACCCCACCTTCTGAGAGCGAAAAGAATTTCAGCCCAGCTCAACAACATGCCCAGTGGTCTTTGCCAACCCTCATCTCTTCTCCGCATCTCAGACCCCGAAATACAGACATGAAACCCCACTAACGAACACAGGCATTTCCAGAATACGATACCCAAAGCGCGGCGCCATCGCGTGACTGATCAATCAATAGCACCGTACCAACTGCTAGCTACAAGGGTGAGCTCTGGTGCAAAGGGTCCTTTGCGCCGAACAAGCTGTTCCTTATGAAGAACCTCCCGGGCCAGAGGACTTTGACTCTAATCTTCCCACTGGCTCTGGGCTCATCTTCAAGAGTATCTGAGTCTATTGTCACCGTGTGGACGCTTGCCTGTGGTCTCCCGTCCAAGACAATAAAGAGCAGCAGAAAGGTGCACCATTTTCTTGGGAGTCCTTGAATCAATACATTCCGCTCGCTGTGTGCAGCCTCGCGAGGCGCTGTCCTTGCATCGAACTCAGAAAAACTGCAGCCATCGTGGATACCTCATATCCGATCTATCAGAGTAGGCTCCTACCGGACTCATCGTTTTGTTTGAATCCAGCTCTGTTCGTGATACATAACACGCCTTGCTTGATGGACAATGCCCAATATCTCTTTCCGGTGGTCCCAGACAGCCTTTCAGGGCGAACAATAAATATGCTTCGGCTGTTTTTCCGTTGCGGTTATTCTTGGACCTTGCGCACGCATCTCCTTTATCCCCAAAGCGGTGTGACCTTCATTTTCTTTGTCACCTTCTAGGATCCAGGCATCACCTATCGACCTGTTCAATTCCGAATTCGATCTCATTGTTTTATAATATGACAAAGAACAAGCCGATGTTGCTGTAAAACAGATTTCCTCCCAGTTACCACCATTTTCTGCACCAGAATCCGACACAATAATATTCCAATGCTCGTGCCCGCTGGTCTTAAGATCGCCGAATCCTGCTAAGCAAGAAGGCAGAATGTCAAGCCCACGGCTGGACACGTCCTGCATCGTTGCTGAGCCCGACAAGAAAGTACGGTCCCCGAGGACGCCCACATATAGACCAGTTTCGCCGTCAACTAGCTCAGCGTCACCCTTCGATCCCGCGAAATATTTTACCGAGCCTGCCCTCAGAGGTGACGACAGACTGACTCCTACCTCTCCACCCCCTCCTCAGCAACAGCCGGTACCATGGATATGGATCTGCCACTTATGCCATTCGCGGTATCCTCTTGGCGTGACCCGCCGATGTCTGGTTGATGGACACTATTACTGTTCAGGTCAGACAGACCGACCGAGTCTGAGGAAAAAGAAAAAGCCCAGAGCGTGTTCGAGTGAATTCGACTATGCGGCCTGGAGAAACTGGGGAGCATGGCGCCGAGGGATTCTAAAAATCCTCCAGAACGAGAGTGATTTAAGGAGTTGCGAATACTGTGACTTTCCGAGTCAGTGTCGGTATCCTGCTAATTCACACCCTCTCGTGAACGTACAGGCGCCACTGGTTTTCCCGGAAGCTCAGATCAGGGCCACAATGACAGGCTTAGAAGTTCAGACCGCTAAGGTCAAAGGTAAAGATGGGAGCCGATCGAAAGCTAACGAGAACGTCGACTTCGATCACATCTTGGAGAACATTTATACCGATACAATGTCAAACGCATTGCAGCCACAAAAGCCCCACAATGCGATACAGCAAAACAGAGATGCTTCTGGAGACAGCAAGCAACGTTTAGACAAAACATCGACGCCTGTACGGAATGAAGAATTGAGCGAGGAAGAAAAAAGATTGCGCGAACTGCTCGGACCGGACTTGTGGTCATGCTTGGAGGAGATTGGTTTGCGTGCGGCATCAATCGAGTAAAGTCCTCCTAAGAAAAGGAGACGGGAGTATGCCCATCTATTTCCCGACCAAGCTGCCAGCATACTCTGCAATTGCCAACATCTTCTCTTCTGTGAATCTGCGCCCGACGATCTGCACACTAACATGAGCGCCGTCATATAAGTCGGCATCATAAGCCTCGAAAGCCTCCTTGTCTTGCTCGTTGAGCGGCGTATATTCTTCCGCATACTTATCCGTCTTTTTATCCGCAAAGGTGACCGGTACGACAACACTTGTATAGTCGAGCCCGTTCACAAACACACTGTATCCGTAATATTTGTACAGTTCGGGTCTCGCAGCTGGGTACGGTGCAAGTGGACAAATGAAACCATCCACAGGTTGACCGGTCGGAGTCAGCTGGGCAGTACTGTTCCAGTAATCCAAGTATTGTTTCTGGTATTTCCGCTTCGCGATATTGTTGGCGGCGATCTGGGAGGCGGTCATTTCCTGCTTCGGTCCATCTCCGAAGCTCATCTTAATTTGAGGAGACATAGGTTCGCCGGAAAGTGCAAAGGCCTCGTGTACATCCTTTCCACCGTCATATGCCCATGTCGCGAAGGTTATGTCCAGTATTGTCTTGTGTGAAGGTGGCTTCCACTCAATAACATGGTGTCCCGCTTTGCTGAGAGCCTCGGCGAGCATGTCCACCGCTCGAGCAACTGGTGGCAGAGGGTTCACAATGCCGTCCGTTTTCATTACCCCAAAGCTTAGCCGACCTCTTTGCGATGATGATGATTTGACAATATCGTGGATTGCTTGCTCCTGGGCGTCACGCCACGGCATTTCGATGACCAAGGGATCGTCAAGCCAGGGCTTCCCTGAGAGGATAGCTTTTGTGAGCAATCTGACAGATCGAGCGGTAGTAGCGAGTGGGCCAACCACGGACAAGACAGTGTTCTGTCCATCCATGCTGTTGGCCATTCCTTCATACGGTAGCCTCCCGAATGAGGGCCGAATACCATAAAGACCATTGAATGCGGCAGGGATGCGAATTGAGCCTCCAATGTCAGTACCAAATCCACCTGGCGATCCCCGCAGCGAAATCAGCGCGCCCTCGCCACCAGAGCTGCCACCAGAACAGAGGTATCGATTCTTGGGATTCCAGGTATAGCCAATGATGTTGTTGACGGTCTCGCCACTCATCAAAGTATGTGGAACGCTGGTCTTACAGTAAAGAACTGCACCAAGGGCTCTGAGTTCTGTGACCATTTCACTTTCATATTGGCCTTTGCGTGGGTCATCTGGGTTGCCTTCAAAGGTGCCTATCCAACCAACATACCCCATTGTAGTTTCGACATTCTTCACATGAAACTGATCTTTCAGGGAGACAGGGACTCCGTGGAGAGGTCCAACTGTTTTCTTGTTCTTCGCAAAGTACTCGTCAAGTGATTTGGCAGACTCAAGAGCAGCATCAAAGAATGTCTCGTGCAGGCAATTCACCAACTGATGAGCCAAAGAGGCTCTGTGGCAGAATGCTTGTGTCACTTCGACCGCAGACCATTCACCAGCTGCGACCTTTTCAGCGATACCGACCGCGTCGGTCTCGGTGATCGTGATTTCTTTATCATCGAGGAACTGCTGGATGTAGGCGCCAGTGACGTCCTTTTGCTCTTCAGGGGTGGGGATCTTTTGAAGTCGCCATTTCTCAGGGATTGAATTCAGAATAGCATCTCTCTTTGCTTCCGCACGGGTTTTCCAGTCGGCGACCATGATGGCGAATGCAGACGAAGACAGTGACAACTTTTCAACGTCCTTGACGAGATCAAGACACGATTTGTTCGATAAGGCCTATCATGGTTTGCCCCTCGTGGAGGTGGTTCGGTTACATATATGAGGGGGTACGACGAAGTAGTTGCCGCTCGGAGACGCACATCTCCACCACCGCCACTACAAATTCGTCCGAGATTAGAACAAATTGATAATGCGGACAAATTTCTCCTGCCTTTTTCAGTTATATTTCCTTCACTTTGAGCCGCAAGTGTTCACCCATGTTCAAACCTCATGAACGTCCAACAGCCTAGCTTCAGTCGGTCATTTGTCGTACGTTGAGGTTGATTCGCTTTTTACTCATCCAGCCTCGCCAATGCTGGTATAGTTCAACATGCCCCCTATCTGGCCAATTTTGGAGCCAGGGAGGACATGTGTCAGGGAGAATCTTTGGCACTCCATGCCAGGCATGTCTGGATTTTCCAGACATGAGAATGGCGTCCCCCGACCTCAAAAGAATGGCGACAACGTCGGCCTCGTCTTCACCTCCAACAAGAAAGATCCCATCGCAGCCAAGACTAATGCTGATGAGGCTGTTGTCCGATGCCTCACTAACGTCTCGGTGCACGCTCAACGTATCTCCGGGACTGTAGAAATTGACAATGGCGGCTTGTGGGTCAACCGTTGGGAAGAGCTTTTTTAAGAGACCGGCTATGTCGTTGGGAAACGGCGGTGGTTCGCCATCGGGATAGATTTTATTCGTCCAGTCATACTGACCTCCCAAAGTCATCCACCTCAATTTCGATTCAAGCATCTGTGCTAAGGTGATGGGTTTGTGAATTGCAGAATCCTTAGGGTGGACCACCGTATCGAGCTCAGCAGCGAAGAAAGAAGAAACTGCTGGATTGGCAATGCTTCGCGGGTAGGAGATATGATGGTGGTGGTTAATATTAGTCTTGTGCGCGGGATTGGAGAGGTCGCGATGAAGTAGCCTGTCAAGTAAAGCAAGTTGAACTCGAGGAGGTAAGAGGGAAGGAAATACCCAAAGACCTGCCCTATGTCAGCTGCGACGTGAGATGGCAAACAGCAATGCGAGCGAACCAGAGACTCCCTTCACTTCAAAGGCCACGCGTGGCGGTAATGTTTCTCTTCGAACTCCCGGTATGGGGTCGTTCGCAGCGTTGTCGAGAAAATCCGTTGTCAAAATCTCGACGTCGCTCTGCCCAAGGACTCCAAACTCCGACATTGCTGAGACTCTGTTGACATCTGGATCCCGTGGGTCAATGATCTGCTGATCTGCTCCAATATCTGCCACGGGCCGTTTCCGCCAATGTTTGAAAAGTTCTCGCATATGTTCGGGAGGCCTTGCGTGGGCATCATCAATCATCATGGTTAGGGAAGCTCGAATGATTGCCAACAGACGGTTGGCGGTCCGCCCACTTGTTCAAACAAGCAGAAAAGAGAAAGTAGGAAAACAGGAGTTGCTGTGAGACAAATTTGGTGAAATATTAACATCTGATACATAGTCGAAATAGGAAGATGCCAAGCGTCCAGACTTGCAGCGTAACTGGTTAAGGCACATCCAACACATCGTCTCGCTCTCGCTCCTTCGTCTATCTTCGGTCGTATGTTGTGTCCCTGTGAAGACTCTGGCAATGATGTGAGGAGAGGTTTCACTCGCAATCGATATTATGTTGCATTTAGTTTCCTGGCCCGTGCAATGTGGGATCTACGAGGTGCCGGTTATCACTGACTTTATCAGAGTTCATATGCATCCAGATTGGGGCCTTGGGTAGCTCCTAAAATTGATATGCTGTCGATTCCTCCTCGGCCTTTATAATTATCGTGATAATTAGCCTTAGGCTGCGAGAACGGCCCTGCCCGAGTTCATGGTTTCAATATCATTTCGCTGTGGAAGATACTCCGGTTTTTTTAATTCAACTTCTCCTTCTGGTGTAGGCACCCGGGTTTGCCTTTGTAGAACCATAAGACAGGACCACCCGTGCGAGTTCGATTTCATGCTCTCCCCGGACCACCGCTACAACGCGCACGCGCAACCCATTCTCACTTTTTTGTCTTAGGACTTGAAGGTGCAACTGACAATGAAGCCTAAATTAGTTCTCTTGACACATCTAGGGAAATAGAGGTATCTTCTCGACGCTCCAGGTCGTCACAAGTCGAGAGTGCCGGGTGAATGTCGGGCCGTGGTTTCAGTTGAATTTCCTCAGGCGACTTTCCGTAAATAAAACATCTCTTCCTCAAGGCCGTAACGTGCAACCTTCGAGGCTCCTCTCTTTCTGGGAAGAGCTCCTCAACTTCTCTTGTCAAACTATGTGGTCCTATTACTATGGTCTGTATCTTACCCTTCGGATGGTTATTTGGTAGTTTTGGCCAATAGCCGGGCGTCATCTAAAGCATGGCCGCAAATGGCGAAGATTCTGAGAGCGACACCATCGATCTGAATCCTAGAGCGAGCGTACGTTTACGCAAGCTCCTGTGGGAGTGCACTGCTGACTTTTTACATGTTAGCTTCGCCAATCATCCTACATTGATCCCGCTACTGGCAAACGACAAAGCAAAACTTTTACCCTTCACAACTTCGACCACCCCGATTTCTCCCGCGTGGACGACACCACTCCTTTACTGGGACAAATCGAAGAACTAAGCCCAAGTGGCTCTTTGCACAATCATGGCTTGTTGGCTTCAAAAAGCTTGGAATATGCGAGTCGAGTCAAGCAGTTCATGCTCTCGGATACCGGAAAGGGAATCTTCAAGTGTGCACTGGCATACTTCTTGGGCAGTCTGGCTACATTTGTTCCCAGGTTGAGCGAATTGTTCGGCAGGCAGAACTCGAAGCATATGGTCGCCACGATCACAGTGTATTTTCATCCTGCGAGATCTCTTGGGAGTATGCTGGATGCGCTACTGTTGGCCACGTCCGCTTTCCTCTATGTGGCCGTCGTGTCCTTCCTCAGCATGACTATCGCCGCTTTTTTTGCGGACACCGTCCATCTTATTGAGCTTGGACACGCCATTGTTCTGGTTGTCTTTGTTGGCGGTGGTCTCGGATTTGTTGGTTGGATCAAGCTGAGAAAGAATGATCCCTTAGTGAACATAGCATGCTCTCTGGCATCTTTGAGCTTGGTCACCATCCTCACGAAAGAAGGGGCTGTTCAGGTTGGCGACTACTCCACGAAGTCTATCTCACAGATTCTCAAGATGATCATCGCGGGTGTAATAGCCACCATGCTTGTCTCTGTCTTGATCTTCCCCATTTCGGCCAGGCACAAGTTGAGGAAAAATCTCCTTCAGGTGACTGATGCACTTGCCGACATGCTTGCCCTGATTACGAGCAGCTTCTTGTCCGGTGACGAGGGGGAACTGGAAGATAGCGTCTTTCAGGGCATTGGTGAGCAGCACAAAAAACTTTCCTCCACCATTCCGCAGAATTTGAAAGAAGCAAGATATGAACATTACTTGCTGGGCACGGAGAGACAAGCCCTGATCGAAGCTAGGCTAGCGCACTGCATCCAGCGGATATCACAGAGTATTGGCGGCCTGCGGAGTGCTGCAGCTATGCAGTTTGTCGTTATCAAAGAACCAGCTTTTGGTTCCGTGCAATTCGCTGCAGAGCAAACTGCCACTCCGCGCTGGCTGGACTCTATGGAGAATTCTCAAGTCAGTACTGGCAATCGAGATTTGCTGAGCTACTTTGAACCACCCACGCCTGTACAAGGATCAGTCAGACCACTGAGTGGCTCGTTACCCCGGCCAACAAACCCGCCGTTTCGATCGCCGGCGCAAATATTTGAGCTTTTCATTCAAAACCTCGGCCCTTCCATGAGGTCTCTGGCTTTCACCCTGAAGGAAATACTGGATGACTTCCCATTTGACGCCTCAAAGCGTTACGCGGTCGCAACAAACCCCAAATTTAAACCGAGCCTTGATCGGGCATTAGAGTTGTACAAACAGTCTCGACGAGACTCAATCCTTGTTGTGTATGGCCAGAAAGATATGGATCGATCTCGACCAATCCCTGTTCAAGCGGATTGGGAGGATGCCGCTGCTTGTTGTGGTCACTTTTCATTCTCCCTGGTAGAAGTGGCCGAATCCGTGAAAGAATATCTGATCATCCTCGACGAGCTGCAACTCGAGGTTGACGAGCACCCTGCGGGGAAGACGTGGAACTGGCTGAAGTTTTGGCGATCACCATACAGCCAAACAGAGCTGGCCGGGCTCGATCCCGATTTTGTCAAATTGGCTAAAAGGTCTGATGAACTCGACGTCAAGTTTAGTGACAAGCAACTCAAGCTATCTCCGCAGCATGATGTGCCTCAGTGGCCCGATCAGCCTCGCTTCAAACAAATCTTCTTTCGCTATCTCCACGCTGCAGCATCTTTTCTCCGACGTGATGATATCAGATTTGCCATAAAGGTCGGGCTGGGTGCCATGTTGTACGCACTCCCGAGTTTCATCCCATCCACCCGCCCATTATACCAGCACTGGCGAGGGGAATGGGGCTTAGTGTCTTACATGCTTGTGTGCAGCATGACAATCGGGGCGTCAAACACGACGGGCTACTCGCGAGTGCTCGGAACCTGTCTTGGAGCTGCTCTTGCAGTGGCTGCGTGGGAAATTTCACACGACAACCCCTTCGTCCTGTGCCTATTTGGGGTTTTCATGGCGTACTGGACTGCATACATGATCATTGGGAAAGGCAAAGGCCCAATGGGACGGTTCATCATGTTGACATACAACCTCAGTGCCTTGTACGCATACAGTCTTGCTGGCCGCGACGACGAAGATGATGGAGATGAAGAGGACGCCGCGAAGAATCCTTTGATCCTTGCAATAGCCGGACATCGGGTGGTTGCTGTGATCTCCGGTTGCATTTGGGGACTGATCATTACACGCGCAGTCTGGCCCATATCGGCCAGGCAGAAACTGAAAGATGGCCTTGCACTGTTGTGGCTTCGCATGGGCTTGATCTGGAAGAGGGACCCACTAGCCACCTTGACCGAGGGTGTTCCCCCACATCGATATATGAACCTGCGCGAGGAATTCTATCTGCAAAGATTCCTGGCTAAGCTCCAAGGTCTGGCAGAGGCTTGTAAGAGCGAATTCGAGCTCCGGCGGCCGTTTCCACATGCGATCTACGGTCGGATCCTCAAGAACACCGAGCAAATGCTTGAATCGTTCCACGCAATGAACGAGGTGATCCTCAAAGATTTGAACACATCACCTGGAGAAGAAGCACTCTTGAAAGCCACAGCCAATGAGCGAGCACAGCTGTGCCGACGAATCAGTCACTTGTTCAGCGTTCTTGCAAGTTCCATGAAGTTGGAATATGCCATCACGAGTGACGCTTTGCCCAGCATTGAACAGACGCGGGACAGGCTCCTGGCAAGGATTTTCGAGTATCGGCAGAGTGATGCGCAGGAACAAAAGACTAAAGACGAGGACTACAGTCTCTTGTACACATATGCCCTAGTCACAGGCCAGCTAAGCCTCGGAATACAGGATGTGCTGAAAGAGGTAGAAAATCTCTTTGGTGTCCTTGATGAAGAGGCATTGCGACTTCAGTAGCCGCGAGGAATTGAATCGAATTGCAGTCCACGAATCGAATTCATCATCACCTATACTCGTTGTCAGCACTGTAGACTTTGTTTCAAACAGGTAGCCCGGGTCAATGCCTGATTCTGTAACGGCGTACACGCGTCTCGCTTGCGGAATGTCCGTATAAGCCATAAGAGTCGATGCTTGATCAAAAGATGCAGTACTAGGTTAATGGCTGGTTGGTAGCTGACGTAGTCCATATTACTGCGGAACACCGCCTTCCACGGCCCGCCGCAGTTCGGCTGGTTCAGGCGCGAGCCTTGGGAGTAGCACAGCCTGGTGAACCTCCGGGCCGCCTAACAAGTAGCGTCAAATCGGGACGTGACCTCGTGTGCTTGCCCATGACGAAGCGTGGCTGTGTTTTTGATGTCCCGAATAAGAAGACGCGGCCGGGCACACTCTTAGCTGCGTCTGTCGACGGATTCATTGCCTTCACGTTCGTAGAATCAGACTGAAGTTTCCAGTACTTTAAATCGTCTGGGTTAAAGAGAGTGTCAGTCTTCCCACACCAAGGACATCACGACAATTCTGAAGCGCGATGCTAGATGAGAATCTGCCGAGTATGTGTGACTGTCTCTCCTCCTCCCACCACCCTCGTTATTAACAGTTACAGCATTTGTCCTCAAACCCTCCAAAGACAAACCGAAGCAGTTATCCACCTTTCTCTTTTCTCAGCATGGAGCTGAGTACGAGCCTTCTTACACGGTACGACATCTAGACCCAGACCAACACGCTTCGAGAAACCGATATGCGGCAGCACTTTACGACGCCTTTAGCCCCGAAGTTCTGTATGCCGAAGTCCTACTCATCCCAGAATGGACACAACCCCCTCCACTTTCTGAGCAAGCCAGGTTGAACGGTGCAATCCCACCCCCTCCCGAACCTATCCTCCCGTCCGAGTTCATCATCCAGCTTTACAATCCGGACCAACAGATTGTGGTAAGGCACAAGGCTGCAAGTTTCAACAGATCTGCGTCATGGACATTTGAGATGCCACAACAGACCTTCCGAGCTCCATCCGGGTCCGCGCTTGATCGTACACAATACGACCCAGCCGCTTCAGAAATCACGCCCAAAATTGTCTTCAAGTGGAAGAAGGACAGCAAATTTTCCAAAGATTTGGCATGTTTCATGTCTGGTAAGAGTACGGATATAGAAGGAAAAGGGAAACACAGAGATCCAGATATCACCGTGTCGATATTCAAGTCTCTAAAAGAGTTGACCTTGTACGAGCCAAATTTACAGAGAGTGGACATCGAGGACATGAAAGGGTTTGAGGTGGTCCTCCTGCTTGGGGCCGTGGTGATTCGTGACGTTTATTTTGGTACGTTAAAGGAGACCTTTAATCTCTCTGCCGGCAAGAAATCCAACCCGGCTAGTCCAAGTACTGGAACTGCAATCCTACAATCCGAAGCCACACCTCAGCCAGTCTCCCTCTCCCAGGACCCGCGGGTGCCACCCACAGATCCGCGGGCGCAGTGGGAGATCGACGCAGAGTCTGCTCGGTTGCGGAGGCAAGCGCTAGAGGAAGAGAGAGAGAGGCGATGCCGAGAAGAGGAGGAGGAGCGATTGACCAGGCAGCTGCTGGAACGGGAGGAGAAAGAACAGCGAAGGAAAAAGCAGGCAGAAGTTCAACAGGAGACTGAGTGGCTCAAGCAGATGTATGGACGGGAAGATGCATCTGCTCGTCCAGATCTTCCTCCCCGAGATCCGCGACAGCAAAGGCACCAGTCCGAAGCGGGACAATCAGCCTATATTCACACGCAACAAGGACAATATCCCGCGGCACCATACGGTTGGGGGGGTTATCCGCCAGGCCCGTACATGGCAGGAGCTGCTTCCCAGTCAAGCTTTCTCACGCCCGTGCCTGCCCACCAGCCGCAAATCAAATCAAAATCAAGTATTTTCAATTTCCGGCGTCGGAGTGATCAGGACGCAAACAAGTTGCAGAGAAAGCGAAGTGCCGTGTTTTGAATAGACGGAGCTTCCTCTTTGGGCTACCCCAGACCCTGCACACGGACTGATCGGTGATTTCTCCGCTTGAACCTCATGTCATCATTTCACAAAAGGCCGACGGGTGTCGTTGTCGCGATCTGTCTTGGGAAGCAGATTTCCATCTCCACGCAAAATCGTTTTTACTTTCAACTTCAAACATGGCTACGTCCTTGGGTAAAAGAATTGTCTTCACCGGGGGTTCAGGGAAAGCTGGACGACACTGCATTCCGTATTTGTTGAACAAAGGACACCAAGTCCTGAATTTGGATCTGGTGGACTTCCCGAAAGACCATATCCCTCCTGGAAAGAGTGTCTACACATTGAAGACCGATTTGACAGACGGCGCTCAAGTGTTCAATGCATTATCATCTCTATTTTCGATGAGCGAGTATGGTCTTCCGAAGCGTCCTGGTCCTCCCGACGCTGTCATTCACTTTGCGGCATATGCCCGAAACCTGATTGTGCCAGACAGCGAGACTTTTCGGGGCAACGTCATGAGCACATACAATGTGATCGAGGCTGCTTGCAAGTTGGGTGTGAAAAAGATTGTTATTGCAAGCAGCGAGACGACCTACGGCGTTTGCTTCACGCAGGGAGACGACGACTACCATTCCTTCCCGCTCGATGAGGAAACTTACGATCGAAACCCAGAGGATACGTACGCCTGCAGCAAATTGACTGGAGAGCGGATTGCACGGACTTTTGCCCGACGTTTCAATATCGATATCTACGCTTTGGTGATTGGCAATGTGATTGAACCACACGAATACGAGAGGGATTTTCCCCGACATGTAGGCAATCCAGAAACGAGGAAAAGAAATGCTTGGAGCTACATTGATGCTCGGGACCTTGGTCAAATTTGTGATTTGTGCGTCGCAAAGAGTGGGCTAGGCTTCCAGGTATTCAATGCAACCAACGACACTATTACAACGGCAGTGCCGACCGAGGAGTTCTTGAGAAAGCACTGTCCCAACACGCCAATTACGCGGAAGATGGGTGAGTGGGAGGCGCCGCTGTCCAACAAGAAGATCCGAGAAGTTTTGGGATTTAAGGACGTCCACGACTGGAGGAAGTATTACGCTCACAAAGAGTAAGGTGATCGGGACAGATTGCGAGTACGCTGTATTTGACAGAACGACTTAAAGTGCGCTAAACCCTTCTATCCCGACTGCTCCAATCAGTATGCGTGCTTCCGTCGTCCTTCGTCCCTTGCCCAGCTGAATCAAATGGAGGGAGCCTATGAGCGGTTCCTGCCCCTAGCGGCGCTGGCGGTGACATGATCTGGAACATTTAATCCATGTGGGCACAAAATTCACATTGAAATGTGCTCGATATTCAACTTAAGGAGTAGCCTGGCCTGGTCTGAGGCTGTTTTGGGCTTCCCAAGTAAGTTGCGCGGGCTCCCTACCGCTCGCTAGGCACGCGCCTAGGTGAGCCCTAATTAATCATTGTGGTGATTTCCCAGGTTCTCGGAGTTCGGGTTTGTAGGCTCTCCAGGCTGCATAACGTAGGTAGCCAGCTCGTTAGGCCCAGCCACTCAAATCTCGTGGTCGTCGCACTTAGAAGACGCGAAAGACAATTCGATCGTCGCTGCTGCCAGCGCAGCAAGCTGTACTGTTTTTTAGTCCCTTTGCGCTGCACAATCATCTTCCCCATTATCATCATTTCGTGACCTGCGAGCATCGACGTCAAACGCGTCGTAGGTATGATACGACTATTACCAACAGCGCTCAATCTCTATCGTTTCATCGAACCAAGTCCGCATGTCGAGAACGCCTTGACGCCTCTGTAATTCCGTCTGATGTGCCATGAGAAAATCCAGCTCAGGCCGGCATCGAACCGGCTCAGAAGCATCTGCCAGGTCCGAGCGGCCGAGAAATGAAGACCAAGACTATCCGAAGGGGCGTTCCACTGCAGATGCGATGACCACTTCTTCGCGCCGCAAGCCCAGCCGACACAGCAAGTACGACGAGACTGATGCTACTTATGCGACATCGATCACCGACGAACCCTCACAAATATCAGATCGATACCGAAATGATTTACGAGAAGACCCGGAACCCAGTGACACGCGGAAACGGTCAAGCAAGAACGATAAAAGGACAAAATACGAGAAGAGTCGGGGTGGCAAGGAGGACAACGATTCATGGAAACCGAGGAAGGACGATAGCGCTCGTGACTCTCGCAGGTCTAGCAAGTCAAATAGTAAGGAGAGCGCTCGCCCCTACCGGAGCAACAGTGCGTCCCTCCCTCAAAATCAGTTCCCAGGAGAGTTTCCATCTACGTATTCTCAGCCATATCGGCCTCCTGGACTAGCGGCAGAGTACTATGGCGACAGTGGAGAATCAGTCGCTTTCCAACCTGGTGTTCGTCCCAACGCTCCAAATATTGTCACCAGTGCAGAGCAGGCGCATCTTCTGGAACCGACCGTTGAAGCCAAACCTCCCCCTGAGCCGAGCAGCATGGGTCAAGTCGGCGCTGCTGCTAGCTATTTCGGTAACAATGACTATGATGACGATGTTGGGTCGCAGATGACCCCTTCCAAACCTCCCCAGAAGCTGAATCTGGGCTCCGACAAGCCTCCCAGGCATAGCTACTACGGGGTGAGCCCCAGAACGAGCCCCCGCCCCCAAGGCAATCCTCCACCGGCTTTTGGGCTCGCTCCTGGCAGGACTGGCTCTTTTCCCGCCTCAGGCACTGCTGCGATCGGCGAAGCCGCCGAGTATTACGCTGGTGGAGGAGGTGGTGGTTCATCGACCAATGCGTATCAAACGCCCAATAGACCTCCACCGGGAGCGCAAACGGCATCATCCCCGTATTCCGCCCCAGCCGGTATTGGTGGCTCGCATCAGTATTCAAGTGCAGCTTTGTATGGCGGCGCTGCGGCACTTGCTGGGGCAGCAGCCGGTGCATATGTCTCCGGCCACTCTCACAATCCAGCCTCACTCACCCAGCATCAAAACTCAACAAGCATGGCCGGACTGGCTCACGGCTATCCTCTCTCACATGGTACTCAGACGCATCATGCCCACCGACATAAACATCAGGGACTCTTTGGCAGATTCATTGACTGGTGGCGAGATCCTGAAGCAGTGGCTCGATTCGAAGAATATACCGAGTCAATCGGTGTTTGTAAATATTGCTTCGATCCCATGAGCTCACCCGCCGATGCCCCTCGCAGACATGACTATCGCCGGCGAAGGCCGTCTCCTGGGAGTCGGCATGGGAGTACGACACGGGTAGACAAGATGTATAGACAGAGCTCGGATGAAAATCTTCGGAAACACCCCTCTGCGAAAAAGAAGATGGTAGTCGGGGGCTTGGCTGGCTACGGGGTGGCGAAACTCGGGGAGGCAATAGTCAAACAGAAACACGACTCCGACGACACATACTCTGTGAAATCCGGACACCCTGCGAACCCGAACCGAGTCAGTTTTCAAGAAGAGCAACAATTTCGGCGGTACGATGATGCGGGCTTCGGACGATCGCATAGCCACCACAGTGCAGCCAGAAGCAAAACTTCTTCAACACAAAGAGGGCATCCGGCCCGTCGGTCGAGTTCATCGTCCTCGAGCCGATCTTCTCAAGTGATCTCTCGTGGCACCGCGTTGAGCACCGGGCTAGGTGCCGCCGGGCTTGCAATTGGTGCTGCAGCTCTCGACGCGGGAACTCGGCGCCGGAGTAAAAGCAGGAGTCGGTCACCAAGTTCGAGGAAGAAATATTTTTCCAAACGAGTATCTCCAATGCACTCATATGTCGACCTATCAACAACCAATGAAGGGTCAGGTGGCCTGATGAGCTTCTTTACCAGCCCATCGGCCAATTCGAGGAAGGGCAAGAAGCCAAAAGGCCTCTTCAGTTTCTCAAACGCGTCGAGTTCCTCATCCGATGCAGATCTACGATTTGGAGAGGGAACCGTCCGCCGAAAGATCTCCAAGAAGCGACTACGAGAGAGACAGGGCAAGAAGCATCGAAACAACTCCGTGGCCGCAATGGAAGACCTGGTTATTACTGGGACTGCGCTTGCTGGCGAGGCCAATCGAAGAGAACAGAAAGGTAGGCAGAAATATGACGCTGATAGGCATACAGGTCCAGATGGTAAGCATGCAAACGGACGTCGAATCTCCATGGCAGATCACGAAACTTCCGGCGGGCGCGACGACGAATGGTATGATACAGATGGCGGAGGCGACTCGGAAAGCAGTGTGGATATGGCAATGGCATATGGTGGGGGGTTCTCTACTTCCCAAAGGCGGGAGCATCTCCCTCAAAACGGCCGACCTTTGGGATCGGGCTACAACTCCAGGGAACAGGATCAGAGACAATATCAGAACAGTCTGGAACAAGCCAATATCGGGCACGCGCCATACTTTCCCATCTCATCAGTCAAAACGGCCGCTCTTGCGGGTGCGGGAGGGGCCCTAGGTGGTTGGATGGCCTCTAATGCACTCTCGAAGGAATCAAATCCGCCACCGACTTACAGTTCACCAGATTCGATGCGTAAATTAGAACCTCGGCCGATGTCCGATTCGCCGTCAAAGGCTTCTCCTCAGACAACCAGAGTATCGTCAATGCCAATGGCCCTATACCAACCTCAGCCAATCGTCCCTGTCACACCTTTCATCGACAACAACCTCTCAGGAGGCACTCAGTTCGAGGGACGGATGCCATGGACTGGGCAGAGAGCCTCAAGTTATGTCGAACGAGATTCATTTCCGGCCGATCTGCCCTCTCAGGCCTCGAGAAACAGCGTCAATTTCAACTTAACCAACGAACAGCTTGAGAACGAAGAACGCGCTAAGTGCAGGGACAAGAGGCGAAGGGATAGTTTTGGCGACAATGATCAAAGAAAACCTGTCGATGCTACTCTTTCCATGGACCCTATTCAAAATTCAGCTGAACCATTGCGCGACCAGACAGCACTAAAGCCCAAGCGATCGTCTGACGCTGGTGAGAGCTCTTTCGATGCTGACAGACGAGTGGCTGAAATTGATCGTGAATTGGAGAGACTCTATCAAGAGCACGAAAAAGCTGAAGCACGAAAGAAGGGGTCAGACCTAAAGAAAGCCGTCGAAAGTGCCGTTATCGGCGAAGCAGCAGCTGTGGCTGTAGGCTCTATGGTTAATAGGGACAATAAGAGGAGGTCGCACGAAGAAGGAACCCCCACCCGGAAGTCCAACTTGAAGAAGATGAGAGAAAAAGATGCCTCTTCGTCATCCGAGACACAACAAGAAAGAAATGCCGGGATGGTAGCTCACGGAGTTCGTTCAACGCCATCACCTGTCCAACATGACGACTACGGTGCCTTCTTCGTTCCTACTGAAATCAAAGAACATCTCAAGGAACACAACGACAAGGCTGAGCATCGAGACGACTTTGGAGCAACCGTGGTTGAGATCATTCCCGGAGCGCCCAAACCTAGCAGCTCACACCCCTTCGACCCGTTCACGTATCGACAATTCGGTCTCGGAATGGATGATGACCCTTTGTTACACCCTTGGCCTGTTCCAATTCTTGGGTTGATCGAACCCACACCGCCTGGAAGCCAGGTCCACAGTGTTGCAGGCGATGCAACGCCCGACATTGAGCCTAGATCAAAAGGAACACTCGAGGATATCGGAGAACCACTCGAGCGGAAGGAGTCCAAAGTTACGTGGGGCGAGCATGACACGTTCGTCTATGAAGTCGTGACACCAGAATACGAACGCTCCGATTATGGGCCCGAGTCACAGTTTCAAGGCCAGAACACTGCAGACATTCCATCTCTGGATGCCGTTACCGAAGCGCCGGCTTCAATCACCGAAGAGACGCAACAGCGACCAAGTGTAGGTCGGGCCTGGACGCTAGATGAGAACACAGCAGAACAACTTGAGAAGGAAATGTCCGTCATTGATGACAGACCTCAGATAGGCCGCGCTTGGACGATCAATGACCTAGAAGCCGAGGAAATCGCTCAAAAACTACCAGAAGATAAACCCAAGGAGGACTCTGTGGGGTTGGTATACCATGATCTTGACCATGGATCTGATTCTCAAGATACCATGTCGACTTCCATCAATGGCCTGCTTGAAGATCGGCCCGGAGATGCATTTCCAATAGAAACAACTGAAAGCAACCGACAGAAAGCAGTTTATCAAAGCCCTTTTGCTGAAACAGTGAGCGATCTAGGTGCCGCAAGGGGCAATTCCAGCACAGTCGAACCCGAGACTAAGCCGAGAATCGTTCTCGCCTTGGAAGATGGGGGTGAACAAGACAAACGCGAACTGTGTGAGAACGAAAACATATCTGAGGATGCTAGACCCAGCACCAAGGGCCGGCGTCGGCGAGAACGTTCCAGCTCTTCTGTGGACGCATCTCTCCCGTCTCCAGCGCAGCAAATTCCTTCTGAGGTTTTGGAAGATGCATCTCCTAGGGACCCGTCTCATAAGCCCCACATTGATCGCAGTCTCGCCAATAAGAGCGGTGCGCTTGACTCGTCGGCCTTAGGCCTGGGCGTAGGCACGTCTATCCTTCTAGCTGCAGACCCGCTGACGAAGAACAATGGTCAATATGTCGACGCTGGGTCAACGAGCGGAAGCCACTGCCAGTCTTCGAGACCTGAGGGACTGACTGTGTCCAGTGATCCTAGGTCTCAGGGTCAGCATTCAGGTTCAAAAGGAGAACATCACTCGGATCCTGAGGAATGGGAACGTCTACGAGAAAAGCCGAAGAAGTCGAAGACCGGCGCCAAGAGCGATGCTGGCGAGAAGACATCAAGGAAATCTAAGAATAGACGAACGGCCGAGAATGCGGATTTCGAACCACTCCGGAGATCCCGTACCGATGATGATCTGTATGACAATGAAAGGCCCAGGCGAAGCTCAAGATACAGCAATGGGGATTTTGGCGAAGAGCCAACCGTGGCTCGTAGTGGCAAGGATGAGAAGCGAACGTCGCGGACTAGCCACCATAAAGACTCTGATGGATATCATGAGGGTGACGACCGTCCTGTTACGAGCAGCACGCCAGATTCAAGAACGCAGGAATCTGGTGGCTTTTTCAGCAACCTCTTCGCCAGCAACAAGAGCGACATCAGTACATCTAGCAAAAAAAGCTCAAAATCGTCTAAGTCAGACAGTCGGGCAGATCGGGAGCGGAGAGATGCAAAGGAGACTCGAAAGAAGCGCAAGTCTAAAGACAAATCCGAGTGGGATGATGTCGCGACGGCAGTATCTGAACCATCCACACGGAGCCAACGCAGCCCAGATCGCCAAACTGTGCGCCATGACCCAAAAGAGACCTCCAATGATCAAACTGTCGATGACGGTTTCGTTTCTGCTGAGGAGACCGCCGGAACACCGACTAAGGACAGCGCAGACCAGGAGTCTTTTTTAGGAAGTCGCCCCGAAATGCCACAGCCAATGGTCACAGACATGCCAATGGGTACTGATGGTGTCTCGGGGCCAAGGTCCGAGAGAGAGACATCTTCACCGCCCGATAATACCAGTAGTGTCTACCTTGGGGCATCGGTCAGACCGACAAATGACAATCATGTTGCGGTACCACTTACGGCTTTGACGGAAGTAGACCATTCTGGAACTCTGCCCAATGAACCAGCACCTGACGTTGTCGAGGAAGGTTCTTCAGCCCCCTTTGCCCAGCCCGCAGCCTCTCGGCGCCTGTCTGCTATTCGAACAGCCGACATTCCTTCTAGCCCAATGATGGCCAGCTCTCCGACCGCTGTACCTCTCCATTTCCGACGGCCCCCTATATCGCCCACTAACCCACGCTTCTCCATGAGCTCGCCAGTAATAGCACCGAGTTCACCGCTGACGACGCCTCGGACCCGTCAAGGAAGGCCGAAGTCGACAGAATTCCGTTCCAGCAAGGAATTTCGGCCATTGTATCTCGTGGAGAGACAAAACTATGCGAGAACAGCGGCAACCGACCCTTCTGAAGAATATCCATCGTTGCCATCCAGCAAAACTAGCTCAGCACATCCGTCTTTGGAAGATCTTCGAGCTGAAGCCCATTTGCAAGACCAAGCCGAGTCTTTTACTCCATCACGGATCAGCACCGAAGTTTTCCGTGAGCGTGGCAGACGACACAGTTACTCATATTGGAATGACGGCGAGGGAAGGCGAGAATCTCCAGACTATCTGGATTCTCGATCAGCCACGCCTGTGCCCGGCGAAGCACAAAGGGCTCGTGACCAAGAAAAGAAGCCCAAACCGAAATACGAATTCCATTCACCGAGCGAGTTGCTGCAAGATCCAACCCTTTTGCATGACGCTGGCTCGGTAGACGAGCAATTTGTGCCTCATAGTCCCCTTCCCAGCGTCGCAGGTACGGATGCTGACCAGGATTACATGAGTGCACGAAGCAGGAGTCTGTCTCCAACTGGGACGCTAAGTCGTAGTCGGAGTAGGAGGAGTCCTTCGCTCCCGAGATCAGCATCAGCAGCATGGCAAGACGAAATCGGTACCACAGCCGCCGGTGCTCTCGTTGGCTCTGCTCTGGCACTCGCCGCCCGTCAAGCGCTCAAACACTCACAGGAAGATTTGCCAGCAGAGGAAGTAGAGACACCCAGGAAGCCTCAGTCCTTTGCGGAGGGTTTTAAGGGGGCTATGCTGGCGTCTGGCCCTGACGGAGAGAACGTGGCAGGAGCTGGGAGTGAGACGACCACCCAACAACCGAACCAAAATGAACCAGTCCATGCAACTATTGATCTGGATCGAGACACGGAGTCGCAAGTACCTAGCGAAGCAACCTTTGGTGGGGACGCTTGGCGAGACGTATTCGCGGAAATTCACAAGCGCAGGCTTGACCCTGATATGATAGCGGATGCTAGTACTGCAGTTAACACTGAGGTGCCAGAGATCGACAGCTTCCAGAAACCAGCCGCCAACGAACTCGTATCTCCATCGCACCTCGACGAGGTGGCACAGGTCCGGTCAGTTGATGGTCGCCCATCTGATCCCGATGAAGTCACTGGGGCAGGCATAGCCAGTCCCGAGGAGGCAGAAAGGCTCAACGAGACATCTGGAGAAAGCCCCGAGGACGGCTTCCTTGCATCATCTTCAGTATCTGAACCTTTTCATCCGATGCCAGGTCTCGAGAAGCAAGCCGAGACCGTTAAAGACTCACGGGAGGGCTTTGACGTGCACATGGAAAGTGTCGAGAAAGCAACAGGACCCAGTCACGAGCCAAAGAAGTCACGGGAGGCTGGAGACAAGAATGACGAGGATGCCCGATTGACCTCTGATGATGCTTCCTCGCTGGTGTCGCAAGTAAACGGAGAACAGAGTGATGCTGAAATTCAGAGCACCGAGCCAAAAGCGGTTTTCGCGTCGGACGTGCTGGGTATCGAAGCTCGTACTTCTGGTATCGAGGATTGCTTTGAAGCCGCAACAGACGTACCGCCGACAGCGGTAGAGTCTGAGACACCTATACAACTAGAAGCAGCACCATCTATTGACATCGACAAGCAGAATATAGGGGTTGGCGATGCGGCTCTAGACCGATCTCTCACAGAAGATGAATCATCAAATGTCGCACAATCAAGCCGAGATCCATTAGAAGAGGCATTCAAACAAGCCATGGAAGCTCGGGGCTTGACTACAGGTGCTACCATCGAAGCAGCCTATCAAGCATTTCAGCCGGAGATTCCTGATATCGGAGGGACCCAGTTATCTACCATCCGGGAGGAAGGCGAGCTTCCTAGTCCTTCTACCGAGCGAGTCTCAGTGCCAACTGACGGAGAAAGACTGGCCGGGCGTTCCAAGAAAGAAAAGCGAAAACAAAAGAAGGCGAAGAAGACATCAATAATGGATAATCTAGTGGAACCAGAGTCTCTCCCTACAGAAGGTGATAACACACAACAAATTGCAATGGCCGAGCGGCAAGAGGTCGAGACCGCGCGTCCGATTTTGCCTGGGGAGGTCACTAAAGAACCAACACCCACAGGAGATGGTCCAAATCCGTTTGGTGATGATTTCGAAACCAATCCCAGCGAGCCAGAGGTGCCACCCGGTGATGTCAACGCGCATTCAACTATTGCCGTGGATCCTAGCGTTAGAAGTGGCATAATGGGCTTGTCGTCGTCACCTGAAGTTGATAGCAGTGTCTCAACCCTGAAGAAAACCAGGAAGGGCAAGAACGGAAAAAAGAAACAGTTCCAGCCGTACAGTGGGGATGATGCTGATATGAGCAGTTATCAGAACCAACCTGGTGAGCCTGCCCCGGCTGTCGAGTCGGCCGTTGAGAAACAACGCAGCGCCACAGGGGCTTCGAACGAACCCGAGCCGCCGACTTTAGAGGGACCTGACGGATCAGAGATGGCTGTTGATTCTACAGTCAACGTCCAACAGGAGGCAGAGCATGTCCCAGAGACGAGCTTGAAATCGGGCAAAAAGAAAAAGTCTAAGAAGAAAAAGAGTGTCCCAGTGCCAATCCAGGAAACAAGTGAACAGATGTCCGAAGAATCATCTACCGCAACACAGCTACCCCATGAACCACAGCCGAGCATAGACCCTGCTGCTCATGTGTCAGGTTCCGCCAGAGAACCCACGTTCACGAATGAGATGGTGCAAGAGCCAGTCGCTGTCGACGTGCCTCAAGCGGCTCCTGAGTCATTTGCAGAGCAAGCCAACGACGTACTCTCGGCGGATGCGTCAAAAGATCCTTTGGTCCCTGTACCTGCTCCAGAAGTTATCGGACACTCTCTCAGGCCGGAGACAATACAACTCGATGCTCCTCTGCAGAACGACAGGTCGGACGAAGACCAGACGTTGGATACCCACGCTGCTGTGGACTCATTTAGAACCGAGACTCCACCTGCATATCAACAACTTCCTGCAGACAACACCCACACTTCCGTGGAGGGACTAGAAGCTGCAACGCCCCTTCTAGCAATAAGAGGTGCGACCGTGCCGGTTATTGCCGTCGCTCCTACGGATGAGACGAAACCAGAAATGGGAATAGTGGACACATCCCCAGAGTCAACGCTCGAAGTGGCCGGAGCACCATACGAAGAAGCTTCAAAAGACCCTGAGCTTGGGTTCAAAGGCACTCCTACTGCTGGTGAGAACGAGCCAATCAATGATGAACAGGCGGAGGCTGCGCCGACACCATCAACAATCGCTGAAAGAGATCACATAGAAGAACCTCCCACAGCTTCAGCCCATGACGAAAGCTCAATAAATGTGCAGACCCCTACCGACCAAATTCCCGCTGGAGAGCCAACTCACGAGGACGAAGGCTTCTGGGCTTCTGGTACTGAAAGGTCGAGAAAAGATAAGAAAAAGAAGCGAATCTCCGTTTCAGGCGACGCCCCAAACACAAAATCTGTGCGAGAAGCTCCTTTATCAGATGAAACCGTGACCAAGCCAGTATTCTCCGTCGCTGAGGAGGACAAGGACACAGAGATGCCAACAGCTCCGGGATCCTCTGAAGCTCTACCTGTAGGAGACCCTAGGCTTGTCCAAGATGAGCCTCGCCAAGATGAGGACATGTACCTCATAACGACCAAAAAGCCGAGGAAGGATAAGAAAAAGAAACGTGCCAGTGCCGTCGAAGGCACTGAAGTATTTTCATCTGTGCAGGAGGGAGAGGTCGCAGACAGTATCATGAACTCCGGTGTTCCGGACGAGGGTTCGATGGCAGAAGCACCGACGGAACTAAAGTATGTCGAAGTCGAATCCGAGTACAAACCAGGTCTTGTTGAAGGGTATCAAGACGCTGATGGTGGCTCCAGCTCCAAGAAGAAATCAAAGAAATCTAAGGCCCAGAAAGAGCGCCAATACGTGTCGGATAATGTATCTGGGTCGGTCGACGATGTTGAAATTGAGAACGATGAACAGGTCCAGACAATATTACCCACCACGCCTACGGATCGAGTCGGAAGTGCAGATACAGATCCACACTTGGGCGGAAGGACTGAACATGCCCGAGATCTGCGACCTGGAGAGGCCGAAGACAGTGTTGGCACTACTGCTGAGAATCTGAACACAGGCGTTGTTCAACAACAGCAACAACAACAACAACAGTCGATTACAGCCCTGCCTCCGGCAGATGTGGAGAACGACGACGCTGCTCCCGAGCTGGCAGACTTTGGCGTTGAGAACCATACCGATCCACGAGCTTCTCTTGATGTTACGAAGGAGGGGTCTCCTGTCACAGGGTCGAGCCTGGACAATCTGCCCGATATGACAATACAATCCGTGAAGGCCATGGAGGCTGAAGCTAGAGTCAACGATGCCTCGGGAGACGATACTGCTGCTATTGAGACATCAATCAACGATACCACTCAAAAAGCCATGCCTACTGAGTCCCGGGGGTCTGAGAATCCTCCCTCAGAGACAGCAGCGCCCATATCTCCTGTTGTAACAAACGCTGAAATTCCTGCTCGGTCTGCAGCCAACCCGGCTGAGGGATCTGGTGCTGAACGTGATGTCGAAGTTGCCCCTGAGCCTTTCTTCAAGGCTGTAACGGAATCTACTTCCGAGGCTACTGTTGCACATCATTTCGAGCATTCCTCTAAGCCTGCCAACGAGCCTGCTGCTGTATTTACTCCCCAGACAGCTGCCGAACCTACTCCTGAAGCTGCTAGTGAAGAGGGTATTGAAACCTCCTTCGAGACCCCGGCCGAATCTACAAGAGTAACCGTCAATGAAGGCAATATTGGAAGTCCGGCCGAAAAAATCATTGATACTCTCGCAGAGCCAGCAGATAAAGTTGGGGTTATGACTGGCAGCGAGGCAACTGTCGAGCCTGCTTCCCCTCGCAAAATCTCAGCGGTCCCCAGTGAATCTGAAGCCGTGCTCGAGGAAGATTCAAGCTTTCCACCAAAGCAATCCAAGAAGAAAAGGAAAAAAGAGAAAGACAAACGACAATCAAACCTCATCACCGAAACAACCCAATTCAGGTCTCTGCCTAGTGAAACCCAAACAGTGACAGATGGACCAGACGCAGATGAAGACGAGAAAAAGAAGAAGCGCCAAGCGACCCAAGTTCCTGATGCTCTTCATTCAGAGACTATAACACATTCCGCTGACAAATCAAATATTGAAACGGAAATCAGGCCATCAATTGAGACGATCGCAGACGAATCAGGACCTACATCAGAACCAACGATAGAATCTGCTTTTGAAGTTCATGAACCCGAGCGCGATGCATTAACTATAGAAGAAAACTCTTCAAATATCCGACAAGAGCTAGCATCCATACCGACAAAGTCAAAAAAGGACAAGAAAAAGAAGAAACGGCAATCCGACATCGAATCTGCAGCCACTGGCCCGGCCTTTGAGACCACGAAGGAAGAAGCTTCTCAATCAACAACAGACAACGTGACTGGGCCTTTTACCAATGACGATACACAAAGGCCGGACAGAGTTGAAGATCTCAGTCGGGAGAACGACGTCCTCACTCCTGGACATCAAGCGGAAGACTGGCGGGCTCCCTCCGGCAAGAAAAAAAATCGAAAAAAGGGCCAGAAATTTAAATTGGATGACGCTAGTTGGTACCAGGACAATGAACAGATCGGTCCGCATGAAGACCCATATCTCGATAGCAAGATCGAGAATGGGGTCAGGGAGCCCGATGTGAACGTTTCAGAAAAGGAGCCGATGTTTGAACCTATAACCCAGCAAGAATCAGCTTCAGCGGAGGCGAACGACGTGATTGCCAGGACTTTGACGCCAGAAGAATCTACTTCAGCTCAACTGAAAGGGCGTGGTCACCAACCCCGAGCAGCTGATATCGCGGAAGAGTCGAGCAAGGTACAAACAGTCTCCGAACAGGATAATGCTGATGGCGAAAAGCCTCCGAAAGAGGAGCTCGTTCCAATGGAGCCCGTTCATGAAGAGGCTGAACTTTTGAATGTACGTGACATGTGGGCACAATCACTTTCCGGAACCCCAGGAGAAGATTTGGCTACGGCTGGAATCGTCGACGTAGCCTCATTGGGTCAAGTTTCCGAACAACCAGATCTTTCCCGTAAGAAGCTGAAGAAAGGAAAGAAGAAAGCCCGCCAATCAGGCGCTGGGGAGCTCGAAGAACAAGAAGCTTTCCAGACACTCATGGCAGAAGATGATTCTTCACTCACCCCCATGGAAGCCGTACTGCCTATTGCTGAAAACGACTGGCCAACTTCGACCAAGTCGAAATCGAAGAATGGTAAAAGGAAACACCAGCGACTTGATTTGGATGACAGCTTTGCTGAACCTGCCCCAAGTACGCCAGAAGTTGAGTCTGCAAAGGTGGAAGGCTTGGACGAAGCGACGACACAACCAGTTCCCGCAGTATCTGAAGCAATACCCGACCAGGAGCCAAGAATAGAGGGATCGGGCGTCGCAAAGAAGGGCGGTAAAAAGAAGAAGAAGCGACAGTCGACCTTTGCGGACGTTGAGGAGTTCCCGCTCTCAATGGAGGCACTGGCTAGTCCAATCCCCGTCTCCAAAAGTAAACAGTCAGAGGAGAAATCCTCGTTCTCGACAGTCGAAGGAGATGTTGCAGGCACACCGAGTACGGGGCATATGAGTGAAGAGCATCGCTTTGATCCTGCCGCTGCCAACACTGACCCTCAACCAATCGGTGATGCTTTACGTCAGTATGAGATGTCGATGGATGCCACGCCCGTTCAGAAGCGCACAATCATGAAAAGCCAAGATCCTAAGGAAACTACAGCTGAGGAAGTTCCCCTAGTTACATTTGCAAACATTGAAGCAGGTGACAGCCCAAAATTGCGGCCGAGTATTCATACGGTTTCTGATGTGCCCACCACAACTCTCCCAGATGAGAGCACAGCTGATCTTGCCCCTGCTGTTCCACACTCACTTGCAGCTTCTCATGATGGTGAAGTTCCCATTGTCACTGAAGCGGCCAATGAAACGCCAACGACAATGGATACCGACTCGGTACATGTCGAAGAATCATCGATTTCTGAAGCGACATTGCCGTTAGAAAGCAAGCAAGGACATATCACAGAGGAACGTCTGTCTGAGACACTGATAGCAGTGCCTGCCGCACAGTCACAAATCGAACAATTAGCCGCCCCAGATGCAGCGAAGCTTGAGAATCTTCAGTTCCACGCAGAACTTCCACCCGAGTTTCCAGTCGCATCCCCCGTCGGAGGTGTGGATGAGATGTCTACACCAGAGGTGCCGAGTCCAGTAGTAGAGGTGAACAAGAGCGTCGAGTACATAACAGAACAAGGTGCCATGTCTTCGCGGCCAAAGGAGAAGAGTAAGAAACAGCGTCAATCCACATATGAAGACCCAGTTTCCGAGCCTCAACAAAGCGGAAACACAGGGCCTGAGGTCGAAGCGGAGGCAGCGGAAACCCAACCTGCAGTGACGAATACTCCGGAACGTCTTTCAACTGCGGCACCGACGAATGACACTGCCGCAGAGGAAGAAATTAGCAGTCGGTCAAAAAGGGCAAAAAAGGACAAGAAAAAGAAGCTGAAGACACTCTTGGTCGAAGACGTTGAAAATGGCTCACAGCTCACAATTCCAAAAGATCTCGGAGCAGTCGAAGAGCCAATTGCAAGTGAAAGCCAGCTGGAAACCAAAACTGTCGCCAATTCGGTTGACGCAGCAGCTCCGGAGATCAACCCCGAACGCAATGTCGCCGAGGAAGCAGCAGGGGGATGGGACGCACGGCATCTTGCTTCGATTGAACCAGTAGAGGAAGTATCCCGAGGGCTAGTGAGTGAGATCCCAGAAGTCATGCACGTTTCCCCATCAGCTACAGATCAGATGGCCGTACCCGGCGAAACTTCAGTAAACCCCGGGTTTAAATCCGATGCACTGGAACGAACAACCGAGACCATGGGTGAGTACACTCCCCCGGCGGAGGAGGATGACACTGTCTGGTCTGGCTTTCCTAAAACGAAGAAATCCCAAAAGGAGAAGAGGAAGAGCAAAAGGAAATCAGCGTTCGAAGAAGGGATGGAGACTGGTGATGTTAACGGACTGAAAGAAGAGATTGAAATGGATACACAGCGAGATGACGTGCCTCCCACCCCTATCGAAACGTCAACGCCAGTTGATGTCCAACCCGACTCCAAATGGGGATTTTCCAGCAAAAGAGCGAAGAAGAAGGGTAAAAAGAGTAAAGCCTTAACAGCTACTGATGACTTCGGAACATCAGGCACGGCAACGCCAAATTCTAATGACGAATTCGCGTCCGCTATGCAAACGCCAATTCAGCGGACTGCGTCGCCGGAACTCATGGACTATGTCAAGGCAGAGCAAACCTCGGTCACTGCCCCCGAAACGGACAATTCTGATGACTTTGCTTCCGCACCCAGCAAGAAAAAGTCAGAAAAGGACAAGAAGAGGAAGTCATTGCTTGCTTGGACAGGAAACGAAGATCAGACCGCTGAAGATGCCTCCGGGACGTCGACACTGGCACCACTTGCCGTGCCAGAAAAACCAAGGAATGGAGAAATTTCTGAGAAGGAATCAATCGCCATAGGACTGGAGAAGGAAAACGCTGAGAGCAAGCTCGAAACTCCGTTCTTGCTTTCTGATTCACAGGTGATGAAGACTGGGGCAGATTTGGACTTGGCGGCCAGTGCCGCGCAGCGAGAATCCCTACAATCTGAGGACTACACCGACATTCCAGCGGACCCTCGTAAATCGGCGATTCCGTCCGTCAAACAGGAGGCTCTGCTGGGTCAGCACACTTTGGACAACTTGCATGATCCAGCATCTAATCCAGATCAACGTGCAGCGTCGTCTACCAAATCCCAATTCCGAGGTGATAGACATGAGGCGGGCGGTGATCCTGCGCAACGCGTCATCAACATTGGAGACGAATTGCTACAAGAAGCAACCAATATTTCCGCACTGATATCAGATCCGTCGGAAGCCAAGTCAGCAAACGATCAGGTAGTTCCACCCTTGTACGTGCCTGGCGATTATCACCAACAAGACGAACACGTTGGGTCTGTCGCAGCTGAGTACAGGGTCCCGGAAGTGACCGATCATCAGCACGGTGTATTTGAGACTGATGACATCACGCCAGAGGAACGATCCACTGCTGTTAAATCTATTGACGAGAATGATATGAACCCCGGTACAACCCGAGCTTTTGAAGATGCAGAGAACAGAAGAGGGCTCGACGAAATGGATTTTAGTACCAGCAGAGATACTTTGAAACGTAAGAAGAGCAAGAAGGATAAGAAGGATAAGAAGGCGAAGAAGAAAAGCGGAATCTCCGATGAAGCTGGGTTCATCCAGCTGCCAATGGAGCTTGATCAAACGGAGATTCGAGAGCCTGCGACTGTTGAAATCCTTCACAACGAGGGTATGGAGATTCCAGAACCACGAGAACAGCTTCCCGAAAATGCTGAAGAGTTGTCCGATGTGAGTACCACCACACGTGAAAGACGAAAAAGAAGGAGATCACCTCCAGCTTGGGCAAGAGAAGAACCTGAAGACCTCCCAAGAGATCGTGCACTTACTCCACCACCTGAACACGATGATATTATGGATACTGCCCTGGGTGTTGCAGCAGGACTTGGCTTTGGATCTAGCGAAACCGAGTCAACCAGAGAACCTGCGCGAAAGGTGCCGTCGCCAGCTCGGCAGGCGTCCGCCGGGTGGTCTTTTGCCAAGCTTGACCCTGTTACAAAGCTTGCCGATGCAGAGACGAATCGAGACAGCGGTGTCCAATTCGAGTCGCCGACCTTATCCTCTGAGCTGTTTGTATATCACAGGGATAGCGGCTATGTCCAAAGTCCTACGGTTCAACATGGAGAATTCAGCACTACCAAGGACAGTAACACGGATATAAATCTCCGTCCACCTCGACCTCAATCACCTACCAGCTCGACAGAAGATGTATCCAAGGCTATGACCAGTAAACAGCACGTCCATCATCCAGCCAGTCTGGAGACGCCGAGAAGAAAGCCGTCGCCAGTAGAATCCACCTCCAAGGACAGATCCTCGGTTTTGTTCCATTCTTCTCCCGCCATGCCATCTCCGCTAAAGACGGACATCCGAAGCAGAAGTCCTCAAGCCATGTCCAGTCCTCTCCGAAGAAGTCCCAGTATTCATGGTCACCATCACAGTCGAGAAGAGCTCAGACAACAAAAGGCTAAGATTTCTCCACACCACGAAGACAGTGACCAACTCGCTTCGAACCTTATTGATCGGGCAGCTGCAGCACCGGTGAACCGTTCGGCGTTCGACTCGCATTCGCACACCAACACCAATCGCCCGTATTCTCCGGGCAAGACGACACTGAATGCCATCAATGAAGACACGCACGCGCCGACTTCGCAACCGCATCCATTCTCTGATCCACCCGCTTCTCTTACACCTCGACATTCTGCAGAGAACGACAACCTCGCAGCAGCTGGCTTGGTAGCAGGCGCTGGAGCAGCTGCGTTAGTGGCGACCACCCTCGCATCACGTGATTCGCCAACTCCCGGCGCTAAATCACTTGGCAGGAGCAAGTCCAGAACTTCATCGTTGCGCAACCTGCGCAGCGCTTCGATCTCCCCGTACGACCCAGCCAATTTCGCGTCCGGGTCTTCGCAAGGACCGATCAATGCTCAGATCACTGGCAAGACTGCAGCTCGCGAGAGGGAAATGGCAGAGGTATATGTAAGTTCGGCCCAATCTCGCACATAACTCCGGTTGCTAACAGCCGCGCAGGATGGGTATGGTTCATACCCCGGCAGTCCCCGCTCTCCGACACGACCCCCAAGCATCCGACAACGACAGAGCATGCAGCAAATCAGAGATCTTGAAGCAAAATTAGACCAGCTCGCCAGTGAGAACCGCTCCTTGGCCGAAGCAAAGATCGTGACAGAACAGCAACTCGAACAAGCTCATTTCGAACGCAACAGAACTGAAAATGACACGGTCACTTTCAATGCGCAGATCCAAGAACGCGATGCGGAAATCGCGCGTCTCAAGCAAGAGGTGGCGTCGCTGATCGCTACACATGAGTCACTGAAGAAAGAACACGAACAGAGCCTGGCGAGTCTCCAAGAAAACTACGATGAGGCTCAATCACAATGGCAAGACTCTTTGCAGGAACTGGAAACGCTTCGATCAAGGCATAACGAGCTATCCACCGGCATGGAGTCCCTTGTCAGGCATGAGATTGATACAGCTCTCAGTGAGAAAAATGCCGAGATTCAACGACTTCGGGGAGACCTTGAAGCGGCAAGAGAGAAGATCAGAGACTTGCAGTCTCAGATATTGTCAAGGGGAGCCGACGATGTGGTTGTCTTCCACGATGAGGACTACTTCGATCAGGCGTGCCAGAAGTTGTGTCAACAGGTCCAGGGGTGGGTGCTGCGATTTTCCAAATTCAGTGACCTTAAGCTTTGTCGGACCACAAGCGAGGTCCGAGACGAGAAGATTGTCGACCGATTCGACAATGCGATACTAGATGGTTCCGATGTGGATGTTTACCTCGCCGACCGTGTCAAACGGCGAGACGTCTTCATGTCGGTGGTGATGACTATGATCTGGGAATATGTCTTCATCAGATACCTCTTTGGTATGGATCGTGATCAACGACAGAAACTGAAGCAGCTGGAGAAGAACCTTGGAGAGGTGGGACCGCAGAGCGCGGTGCATCAGTGGAGGGCACTCACGCTCACGTTACTGTCCAAACGAGAGAGTTTCAAGGCACAACGAGAAAGCGACACCGAAGCAGTGGCTATCGAGATTTTCTCAACACTGTCACGCTTCCTCCCTCCACCACAGAACTTAGAGGAGCAAATTGTGGGATCCCTCCGCAACGTGATGCGCACCGCGGTGGAATTATCGATCGAGATGCGCACCCAACGAGCTGAATACATCATGCTGCCGCCATTGCAGCCCGAGTACGATACCAATGGCGACCTGGTGCGGAAGGTATATTTCAATGCAAGCTTGATGAATGAAAGAAGTGGCGAAACGACAAGCAATGAGGAGTTGGAGCGTGAACGTGCAGTGGTTCGTATGGTGCTGTTCCCGCTTGTTGTTAAGAAGGGAGACGACAATGGAGTGGGAGACGAGGAGATCGTGGTATGCCCCGCGCAGGTATTGATCGCAAGACCAGACAGGGGGAAAAGAGTAAAGAGCTCCACAAGGCACGCTAGCGGTGGCAGCGATGCTAAGAGCTTGCGGGCTGTGAGCACGCATAGCCTTGCCATGAGCGGGATTGAAGGGAACGAGAACATGTTCTGATGCCCAAGAGCAAGTTAATGGGTCTTATCGGGGAATCTGCTTTCATTTGCATGGCGATGGTGTTGGTGGTCATTGGAGGGATATGTCTGCTGAAAATGCGGTCTCGGTTTCTGCTGGTATGGAATAGGCGGGGAAGCTTGCAGCGCTCATGGACGACGATACGAATCTCCTTATCTACTTGCCTAGATAGTGTACCTAATGTGTGTAGCCGTTCTTGATGATAAAAGACGTCATTAGAAACCACCTCCATAGTCGCCGATTCTGCCATTTCCATTTCGAGGAGGGTGTCGCGTGCGGAGTCTTCGTGGGACTGCGCCTCCGGGAGAAAAAACGCCCGTCGCCTCACGTCATGGCCAAAGTGTATATGGGTCAAGCGTTGGCTCTTCGACTGACCCCAGCAACAAAGTATGTGAGATCCACGGTTCGCTCTTTTGTTGTTTGTATATCTTGCCTGCTTATCCAGCTTGGTTCTAGTCTAATGAGGAGCCTTACCTGCTATCTCCCTTGCTGGACAGCCTATAGTACATCCTGCTCGTTGAATGCATCCTCTCCCACCTCCAAATCGAGGCCAGTCCTCTCAAACTACGCCTTCACGCGACGAGACCCAATCGAGGATGACCACGTCTAGCACCAGACAACCATCTACTTCTCATGCCCCAAGCGAAGCCCGACTCTCCACCGTCTCCACAGCGCATGCGGATGGCAAAAAGAAAAGAAAACACCGTGGAGGCAAAAAGAGGAGGAATAGACGTCAATCTTTTGTTGCTCCTTCAGAGACCTCCCCAATGCAAAGTGGCAGAGATGTACCAACGGGCGATCCATTGATCGAAGAGGCCCAGGAGGCTCCCGGTGCACGGCCCCCTTTCTACCAGACCACTCGAGGCAACATCAGCGATGACAGTCTCGACAGTGAAGCGCTTCTAGACCACCGAGATCAGCCCACGTTACGTCCTCGGCGAGACAGCCGTTTGGCTCCCTTCTTTGCTGCATCATATCGGAGTGCCGCTTTTCCCAAATTTGACCCCGGCACGCAAAAGAGACAGCGGACTCAGCCTGATGCTTCGAGTTCCAATGCATCGGACAATGAGGATGTTAACGACCGCACACCCTTAGTTGGTGGTGGAGCAAAACCCAAGACTCCCGCCGAGGCTGGCTATGGGCTTTTTAGGGTCAAGTCGCATACCTCTACGCTGTCGTCGGCTTCAAGACAACCCCAAAGAAAGAGGACACTCGGCACTCCTGGACATTCGTTTCCTAAATCTGACCAAAGTTACGACGTTAACAATCCGCCGTCCATTCCCCCGAGCCCTAACCTTCAACCTCACTATGGCGATGTTATGGTCGACGACGGCAATTTTCTCACACGTTCTCCCGACAGTCGAAGGAATCTCAATGCCGCCAACAAAGATGCGTTGATCATGATCGATCCTGGTGGAAACAACGAACCCAACTCTGCACCACCGAGTCCAAGACTTCGACCAGGTGGAGTTCAACGGCATCGTTCAATGACTATGCCAGCTGAGGTAGACGTGTGCTTCCCTGCAGATGAAGTATCAGAGGCTGGTGACGAGTACTACCACAGAACGCAGCCACAGGAACACCATAGCAGTGGCCAGCGACGGAAACGCCGAGAACGAGAGTGGCCAAATCTGTGGGTTCTGGACGAGTGGAGTCGAGAAGAGAAAGAGGCCAGGGAGGCGGGGGAACGACGGGCAAAACGAGTCAATGAGCCTGTTTTCGTCGAGGGAAGGCTCCGGCCTCAGAAGAACGTCTGGCACCACGTCGAGGAAGACAAGCAATACAGATACACTTATTTCAACGAAGAATTCGAGAGTACAATTCACGCTGAGACGATATCGGAATTGGTGCAGCCAGGAGGGACTTTCCGCGAGCTCTTCATCCCAGATCCACCCGAATTGATCGATTCAAGTTCCGAGGAGGAAGAGGATCTGTTGGAGATCAGTCACGCCCCGGAAATTCCTAGTGCATTGCAAAGCCCTAAAAGCGCAACGGACGTTGAGATACATTCTGGAATGCCTAGCCTTGTCGAGACAAACCAGTTGAAGCCTGTGGCCAGTGGAAAAAGTTCCGATAAGAGCAAGAACTCGGGTGCAGCGACACCACAGAAGAAACCTGCTTCCACTCGCCCTTCGAAGCCGAAGAAATTTGGTCCACGGCCGACTTTCTGGCTCGATGTCTTGTGTCCAACGGATCAGGAAATGCGTGTTCTCTCGAAAACATTCGGAATCCATGCTCTCACATCAGAAGATATCATGATGCAAGAGGCTCGTGAGAAGGTGGAGCTGTTTCGCAATTACTATTTTATCAATTATCGGACGTTTGAGCAGGACACCAATAGTGAGGACTACATGGAACCTATCAATATGTTTGTCTGCGTGTTTCGATATGGTATCGTCACTTTCCACTTCTCCCAGATACCTCACCCGGCAAACGTTCGAAGACGTATTCGCCAACTTTCGGACTATCTCATTCTCAGTGCGGATTGGATCTCTTATGCCATCATCGACGACATCACCGACGTCTACGGACCGCTGATTACTCACATTGAAGAAGAAGTCGACACGATTGACGAATTAATCCTGCGAGCGTTCCAGCACACAGATGTCCTCGCGCGGGAGCACAGCGAGAAGAAAATTGACGAAAAGAGATCAGACGCCGGTGAGGCGGGAATCAGTGGCATCGACATGCTCATCCGCATAGGCGAGTGTCGCAAAAAGGTCATGTCACTGTACCGACTGCTGGGCAACAAGGCCGATGTTATCAAAGGTTTCGCAAAACGATGCAACGAGCAGTGGGAAGTAGCTCCCAAATCGGAAATTGGTTTGTACCTGGGCGATATTCAGGACCACATCCTGACTATGACTGGAAACTTGTCGCATTACGAGATGGTGCTATCCAGGGCGCATGGGAATTACCTGGCCCAGGTCAGCATCCATATGAATGAGAGGCAGGAGAAGGTATGTTACAATCAAGCGTCAACTCCACTGTCATCATACTGACATACTCTGCTAGACTGCCGATGTATTGGGCAAGTTGACCGTGCTCGGAACCATTGTCCTCCCTATGAACATTGTGACCGGTATGTTTGGCGGCAATTTCAAAGTCCCTGGTCAAGATGTGGATAATCTGAATTGGTTCTGGGGGACCACAGCCGGCCTGCTCATATTTGGGGTCATATGCTTTTGGTGGTGCAAGAAGGTGTATAAGATTGTGTGATGCCGAGAGTGGTGAGGGAGAATGTTAAGAATCGGAGCCTACCACTCGGAAGGTCTCCCTGAGACTGGGTTACAGAAACAACCCAGTCAAGTCAGGTTGTGTACGGAGCAAAGAATCCCTGCAGAAAAAGCTTTTTGGGCGCAAAGTCCCCTTTACGGTATGGAGCAGAGAAAACGAAAAGTTTTGTCGGATGGAGATTATATATATATATATATATTATATATGCCCCGAACTGTGCTTTATCCGTTACCATTTTCGTTCAGGAAAGGGAGCGAGGCCGCTTTACTCGGGCACGTGACGGAGCATCGAGGGAGGCCCGGCCGAGCACGGGAGAGTATAGGGGAGCGCTCCTGAGCAGTGGGCGAGCCACAGGGAGCGCTGCCCGATGCCTATTCGTAGAAGCCAGTTCAGGCTCAGGTGCACTTTTGGGTCCGCGGCTACAGCTGCCCAGCTGTGCTCTCAGTAGCCTGCTGCCTGGCGTGGTGACGCGTCCAACCCAATCCTGGAGTTTGTCGCAAGTTTTCAGTTCAAGAATTCGAAGGCGTCGAATCGACGACATTCCGGACGAGGACAGCTACGTCGAAACTTTTTTGACCTATTTAGCAGCGTACTGCCCGATCATCTACGAGGTGCAGACATGCCAATGAACGAGTCGTCTATGGCTAGTATTTCCAAATTTATGATGCTGACTGATATAGCAGGTAGCGCCTTCGTACCGAGCCTACTTATCTCTAAGTCGATGACCATCTACTGGCTCGTTTTCGTCTACTTGTAGAAGCCACTGTCCCACTCAGACTACATCGTGGGATGCGTCGGCCCATGGAGGTAGAATTAGCCTCCGTTATAGCAAATGCTCGGCAAGATCCGTCCCAACCTGCCCACCTAACCTGGTCAGAATCCGTACCTTGGGCACAATAGGACATAATATTGTGATTACAGTTCTGCCTGGGTTGAGAACAATACGGCGGCATCCATGACTCAAACGCACGTTAGGAGGAGCGTCGGGAGGTGATTTTCATTGCCTTGATTGTTGGGCGTTTCTGCTTAGTTGGACATGGTCATGCGGAAGAAATTGGGCTGGTAAGGCAGACTCATGAGGGCAGGACACTGAACAGCATTGTCCTTTCGCTACCACGTAAGCACGACTGTGTGGAGAACATTGGAATGAGGTGAACGGTACCGACCTTGTGGATATTGATTGATAACAACGTCCACCTACGGCCAATCGACATGGAACCGGCAGGAGATGTACAGACGTTTATCCTTGATAGAGAGCCAATGAAATTGGATAGGATGGCCGCTCAGGAGTTCCAGAGGGACGAGCTGCAGGGGGTCTGCCAGGATATGGGATGTACAAAGAGAATGGGTACATATCCAATCGAAAACATTGAGGATACAATAGGTGCTACGAAAACCAGAGTGCAAGCCGCAAGGACGGGCTCTTATCGAGTCCTTTTCGGCCTACCCGGGACCGGTTCCTTTGAAGGAGGGTTGGACGGTCATGTTTACCGCACTACGGGAAAGTCCTCCGCCTGCCCCGAACTCCCGCGTCTTGCCTTCGGCAGTGCTCCCATACTCCGAAGCCCTCGTAATTGCAAGCCCTGACGAGATCTACACTCAGTGCGGCAAGAGGAGTCACGTGTATCGGCCGACAAAGCTTTGGCCTATCAAAGCGACGAAAGCCGTGATGCTCTTCGTACAACGGGCTGAACATCTCCAGTAGGAGGTGGGCCGACATGAGGAACGACACCAAGAAGCCATTCTGGTAAATGCGAGGTATACCTCCTCCCAGCAAGTCGGACATGTCGATTCAAAATCATTCTACGCGCAGTTGCTGGTTCTTTCCTCCTTAGGTACATCTCAAAGACAATACTTGGCAGTGACAAATGAGCGGGCGAATACCCATGGCCTGCGACAACTGTCGCGGGAAGAAGGTCAAATGTGCGTTTGAACGGTGCCGACTCGACACAAAGCTGTAGCACCGCAGGGGAATGAACAACTTTGGTAACGTGCCTCGCAGGCGACAATTCAAGACCAACCTGTTCATATTGCAGGGTGAAGAGCCGCTGAATCCAGGCCTTTTGGCAACGTAGGGAGAAGCTGACGTCCACTAGGGCCATGACATCGGCTGCTTCTATCCAACGACAGTGAAACGAAAATTAAAAGCTCGGGAACGTAAAGGTGAGCATCTTGGGCGCGAAAATCTTCCTCCTCGATCAGACCTTTAGGCTCCCAAGATCTCACCAGAAAGCAACCTTCTCTAACCCACGGTTGACGGGTGTCTAGTCAGCGCTCGAAGCTCGCATCCAACACCTCGAAAGTCTGCATATGGATCTCCAAAAGAATAATAGTCAGACACCAGAAACCGAGGCGCACTTAAACAAACCGAGCAAGGGGAGTGACCAAAGGCGGCGCATCTGCTGCAGCATAGGTTGGATCTGACGATTTTCGAATCCAGGGATGTGCGAGGAATTCCCCAATCGTGAATCGTTCGTCTGGGCTGACGGTAAGCAGGTGTGAGATCAAGTCCTGAGCTGACTTGGAGATGTCGTCCCGACAAGGCGAGAGGAAAGTGTATTGACTTCGGGCCACCTTTTCCGTCAGGACTTGAATCGATTCGTCGTACAAAGGAGGGAAGCCGCAGAGTAAGGTATACAGCACGCATCCGAGAGCCTACATGTCGACAGACTTGCTATATCGCTCGTCCTTGACGATCTCGGGGGCGGTATAGCCGACGGTACCACAGGGGGTCATGGTTTGGGAATCCCAGATGACCTTGGAGAGGCCAACGTAGAATTATCCAGACGATGAGAGGAGAGGAGGTGAAGGAGGACGAGACGTCAGGGATGACAAATTGAGGTGGATGAGGAGGGGGGAGCTGGCGGGATGTTGTGAGTAGAAAAGCTATTCTGCTGTCAATGCGAAGGGAAGTGACGGAAGCAGAGACTGGTCCAGATCTCGGTCGTTTGTAGCAAGTGAGGGTGAATAAGCGGCTGGATAAGTGCTGTGGCGGGATTGCCCAGGGGAGGAAAAGGTCAGAGCGCAGGCTATCTGCAGTAGGTAACTGTAAAGCAGCTGGACCGAATGACTTTGCAGGAGGATGGTTTAGATGCGGGCAAACACGAAAGAGAAGCGATGGAGAGTTGACGGTAGAGATGATGGCAGTTCATGCGAATATCAAGTCTGGAGTTTGCGGTACGTCGGCACCTTGAAGCGATATTGACAGTCATTTTTCAGTTTGACTAGATTAAGTTGGTGGCGTATGCTAGTGATCAGATGACTAAGTATTCCAGATCCCTCTAAACAGGCCCATCACTGTCGTCTCACCGAACTACCGGCAACATTTTCGAATTCGGCGATCTATCGAACGGATCCTGTAATCTCGCGCTCCACGTCATCCGAGGATTCGGTGGCGATCCCAACAACGTCACACTTGCGGGAGAAAGTGCGGGTGCAGCCTACGTCCATACTCTTTACAATCTGGGACCATCTATAGCGCGCCGCCGCAACCTTTCCAAGTTAGAAAAAAGCTTATCGAGCAGGTTGAAACGCGTACTCGAAACGATACGAGCAAGAGTCTGCAAGACGCGATAGTAAGCTCACTTCTAGTCCTAGGACGGGCGCTTCAAGTAAGATAGAATCATGCGGAAGTGATCCTGGAAAACTGGGAAGCTAAGGATAAGTATATCGAGGCTCTTCTTATTGGCGATTGCCAGAACGAGGGCGTTATCTAGCGTAAAGGTATCGAGTCTTGTGATGCCTCCGAGATCATGTCCGCTTTTGAGGGTTATCCACGAGCTTAAGAACTGATGGAAGCGTATAATATTCAGCCTTATCGACTCGCGATCAGGAGAATTAGTGTCGTGGACTTTCTAATGGATGTCAGATTTAGCCTAGGTATAGATCTACTCTATGCACAGAGGAGGAAAAGGGTCGCCCGCCGTACCGATATTTCATGGACGAACCCAATCTATGGCAAAATCTGTCCATTCGAGAGGACCGCTTTTAGAGCCTCTCGATTTCACCCGCTCGACTGTAGCGCTCTAGCAGACTGCCGACTAGTTTGTGAACTTTGACTATGCAATACTCAAGTATCATTGAATATAGCCTTCTTGGTGCCAAGAACTGTCCTTTGTACACCGCCTCATTGTCTTCCCCCATTTTAGCATGATTGCCAACCCAATAAGGCCCCACCCGACCGTCATCGCCATGAATGTCATAAAGACTGGAATAAACCCGTGCGCAGTGACCCAGCCATTGAGATAATAGCTCATTCCGAGACCAAACACGTTTTTGACAACTGTCTGAAGATTCATGATAGCGCCGGCACTTGGCCTGTAACAATCTATGGCGTACTGTGTCTCTCAATTAACAAATTTCTCGTAGAAAACTCTGGTGTAGTCAAACTAACGTTGAGAGGAATGGATTGTAGAGTCACCACCATGATACCTATCAAAGTATATCCCACAACCACTGGAGGTCGCCAAGTCCATTGATGATCGAACCCAACAGCGATAACCTAAATATTCTTGATGAGTAGTGGAGCAAATGTTGGCGAGATACCACTTACAACGCAGCCTACAAGACAACAAAGTAGGAACGGGATAATTGTTATCAGCCTTGCTTCAGGCTCCCGTACGCCATGGTTTCTCTTCGTTGATCTCATAGCGACCCAGTCAGATAGTGGACCACCAAGTGCAAATCCAATCCAAGCTCCGACGAGGAGGGCAAAGCTGGAGAATCCCACACTCTGAGGAGACCAATCATAGGGTGGGGCCGCAAGCGCCTGAGACTGTGTAAGAACGACCGCGAGGTAGGTGTTTCCAGAAATGTTACTCATCATCGCGGCCCAAAATGTGATAGGGTGGAAAAACATCAGGACAGGAGTCAATATCATACGAATCATAGCCGGCCAGCCACCCTTATATACCTTCTGGTACGGAAGGAGCTGGCTCCGCTGCGGTCGTCCTTTACCAATGTATTCGTCTGTGAGGTTGATTGACTGTTCAGTGGCTGCCAGCTGTGCGTCTTGTAATCCCTCTTGGTCAGCCTTACCTGAAGGGATAGCGTCAGAGTGCACTGCCTGTGTGGACTTGTCGTTGACTTCTGGCTGGTCAAGGCTGGTATCCCGAGGTGACCTCTCAAATTGTGTTCTTCGAGTCTCCGGGTTCATAACGAGAAGCATGATGAATACGACAAAGCTCATGATTGTGCAGAACCAGTAGAACCAGCGCCAACTGATGTGTTGCGCAAAAGCACCAGAGATAATGGGCCCAGTTAGCTGTCCAGTCATCCATATGCCACTATATTTCTGTTAGCCGATAGTTTTCATACCATGTTCACGGGCATTTACGTATAGAGCGCCAAAGCACGTCCCCTCTGGTGCAGGAAAAAGGTATCTGTCACCACGATAGTCATGACACTTTCATTGGCTGCAGACCCAAACCCCGCTAGGATTCTTGCCCCTAAGAATGAATTGTATGATTTTGACAACGCAATCCAGATATTCGAGGCGCCAATGATAGCGCAGCATACTAGAAGTGTTGGTCGTCGTCCAAAGATGTTGCAACATGGTACGATTATAAAATTGGCTGTGCCGTAGGTGGCGGCATTCACACCAGTCTATCTTGAGGATTAGCCTCTCTTATGTAGACGCAGATAGGCAGGGGGTAGAACTACTAAAATTGAAATAGATTTGATATCAGTATTCCACTCTTGAATAAGAATAGGATAGAGGGGCCCAAGGGAAAGAACAGGCATAACGGTGAACGCCGCAAATGAGCACTGCGCAATCAGGATAGTGATTTTCCACGTCAAGTTCCAGTTCTAGTGGTATTTGTGAGCGCGGACTTATATAGACGACGTAGAAAAACACGCCACTTACCAGGGGATCGGACGGGTGTCTGTTGGCTGAGGGACCAGAACAACTGCATCGGGGTTGTTGCTGGCATGTATAAGATGAGCCCGAGAGACATCGATCATCATTTCAGTGCCCGGAACCATCTCTATGGATGTTTCTCGTTCCGCCATGTGACGCACGAGCTCGACTGCTCGGCTGGTATCCATGTTCCGGGGGGGGGAGGGGGGGGGTTACATACGGCTGTGCCGTTTATGCTTGGGCGAAATGAGAATGAGGAAATCTGGTTTCAATTAACAAAGAAAGGATGTAGAAGGAGGTCCTCCTGTTTGAAAGACGATATGAAATGGCCGCTTTTTGTGGCTCGAGATGATCTGCGAGTTTTTGATATATCTATAGCCCTGTGCGGAAAGATCCCCCGTTCTTGCAAGATTAGCCCCCAAAGACCCTCCCAGTCTGACACTATGTGGATACGCGGAGTTGCGGAGTGATGGAGATTCCGGTTTTCCGTCAGGTACGTGCGTCACGGATGACGCTCCACCTTGTCATGAATCGGACCGACGCCCTAGGGCGTCCGCGCATTCACGTAGGTTCCGTAGCTGGGTCACAGTGGTGTCTGTCTGTATAGGATGGTATGGTCTCGTAATCTAATAGTCATAGCCCTACGGGCGTCTTGTTGATGCGTCGTGTTGATGGAATGTCTCTTCATCATGTTGGTCTGTCGTGTTGTGGTGATCTCGAGGAAGTGGTGAAATGCCGTGAGGGTCTTTCTGCACTGGATCTGTCTCTTCCTTCGAGACTACCTAGTAAAAGGCTCTGTCGGGCCTGAGTCTTCACACCACTTGCCATGATAGGTGGTGGTCAAAATGTCACGAATCGGACCGAACCCCTAGGACGTCCGCTCATTCACGTAGGTTCCCTGGCTGGGGCACAGTGGTGTCTATAGCAGTCGTAGCATTGAGAACCGTAGGGTCCGACTATAGACTCAGGTTGACCACGAAGGTCCTATCTACTATGGGGGGAAGCGCGACTATATAGACATCCGTCGTACAATGGACGTCGTACTCAGTGTGATCAGTGTGGCTCAGTACTGAGCACACTGATCCCCACTCATCCCTACTGATCATGGTCACGTGACTCAACCCTGCTTGTTTCGGCTTACCTGCCTCCCTCCCAACTACCCAGTGCTGGCGGTCTCAAGCCATCACGATTCGTAACATACCCCCATATATTTGGACCTACGTGCACAGCGTGAACTCATTGAGCCTCGGATCAAGTACCTGTGCTGAGTCATGGGCCCTGCACCAACCTTGGTAGCATCAGTGAGTTTTGTGCCAAACATCTAAAGACCCTCTTTTAGTAAGTGCGAGCTTGGATATATGTCGAAGCCCCAGAGTGGCCTATGGATGTTGTCCCATGATATATTGGCGACTAGAAGTTTATACGACCGTAGAGCGAACATCATCACAGACAAGTAACTAGATCACACCACTGAAATTATCGTCGTGAGGACGACGCGTGGAGTCGAGTTGTTGTTTGAATCAGCCACATCAATTATCCTCAGCTGGCGAGTTCACCGACTAACACAAAATTTTCTGGAGTAACTGAATCTCAGTGCCAGACCTGATAGCGAACTGATTCGTTCTAAATCTTGATCATATCTACCTTTTACATAGTTGGATACAGATCATTCTTCCAACAAGATATATAACACTACTAAGTCGACTTATAAGCGCCAGGGGTATCTCTAGGTAAGTAATAGGAGACTATTACGAAACAAGGTATTCTTGTGTTACTAATGAAGGTGTTACGAACAAAGGCTACACCCATAAAGAGGAGGGGGGACCAGCGTGCGAGGTACATAACCTTCGCCTACGCTCCGCAGCCGAAGCTCTCCTCCTTATTGTCATGGCCACATCAAGTGTTATAGCCATGCCAAGCTAAGCATATCCCTTCACACTAGACTATCTTGGGAATTACCTTACTAGCTAGCTCGGCGCAAACTTACCGCACGCTAGGGTCGGCTCCTTCTTAGAACCTCCCCTAACGAAGCGAGCAATCTCTGTATGGACCCCGAGGCTGCTATCTATCATTTGGATCGTATCCTATACTACTATTCCTATCGTTAGCACAAAGGACATTTACAAAAGATGTAGTCAACCTATATTTAGGCGCTTCCTCTCCTTTGAGCTCGCAATATTACAATTAATGAAACGTCGTCTTCTATTCATCTCTAGATCCCTCTGGTCTAAGGCTACTTGATGTTTCAGACTCCGAAACCCTCAAGTAAATAAAGCCGGAGAATATAATCCAGAGTATATATTTTAGCAAGGTTATCCGACTCCCCCAACGTCGGCGATATCTTGCTCAATAGTTTAGGACGAATTCGCTCAAATATTCTGCTCAAGGGCTTTCGTCACAAGATCACTGCGAAAATACGGTCAGCTTATTCAAGTAACAATATTAGGAAATTCTGGGTAGGATTTACGTGTCCATATATGCTCGAACTTTGACAATTTTGTTGTCATCATTGAAAGTTACGAGCCAAGCGTACTCATTGGGGAAAGGGAGACCGTTTTTGCAGTGGACATTAACTGCTTTGAGCTCCACACACGCTTGATTACCGTCCACTATAAGATCTTGGATTACGAGCGTCAGCGGGACCGCAAACGTCGCTGCGAGCGGACTGGTTCCCTCCCGAAAGGCTTGCACAGATTTATATTGACCAGAAATTTTGCAGAAGCGGCCTATCGAGGGATAGTCTTGATCAGCAGGAATGAATTAGAAGAGGAGTGTTTAGATTCGTTCGGATCGCTAGACTACTCAGACCTTTCAAAATCCAATCAACATTCGGCTCGACGTGGGAAAAGAATCCCGGCATATCACCTCTGACGATATGGTCAAAAACGTGGCGGATTTCTTCTCTAGTAGGCATACTGTCGGCAGTCTCCTACCAGCTTCACATGCTCTTGTGCAACAAGCTGTATCTGGTTCTTATGGCAGTAGTCAATTTAGGAATGTGAGTGTCAGGAGAAGGAAGCCCTGTAGGGACAAAAGTAGACTCTTCGGTCTCGGCGTAGGAGCTATAATCTTCCCGGGAAGAACAATGTTATAGTGTTCCGTCTCCTTAGTCATGTGCATCACTATACCGGAGTATTGATGGTATGCCGAAATATTTGAGTACTGTTACATAAACCACGGTATTGGTATTAGCGGAATGGAGACGGAGGTAAGCTAAAGCCCCGGGGTATTTCGGATCAACGAGATGGAGATTGCGACTACCTATTTCCCGACCCCGTGCCTTACTCCGATCTGTAAGTAAAGTTGCGCGCATTGGAAATGAATGAATGAGCTTACTTGCTCCCCATTCCTGTAGACTCGACATCGAACGATAGTTTCCGGCATCTAAGACATCCGGTGGCGGATGGCGGTCGGCGTCCGTGTTGAGAAATCTGAGGGCGTAGAGCAGTCTCATATAACGAGGTTAAATTCGAACAAGTTACTCTGTTCATAGTTCCTTCCTCTTTTTCTACAAGAACTTTGTAAACCTTGCAGACGTAGCTGCTCTACACAGTTCCGGCGACATGGCTCGCCACTCCCTCGAGGAGGGACTTCTCCAACGACAAAAGTTGAACGTTCACACTTGTGCCGTTCTGGCGGTCCTGGGTTTCGGTTCAATGACCTTCGGATACACAGCTGCTGTCATCGGTCCGACATTAGGTCAGTAGAGACCAGATTGGAGGAATGGCCACAGTGCTCATGGTTGACAATCAGGTCAACCCTCTTTTTCTGAGTACTTTCAGCTCGCGACTCGGCCCAAGGGAACAGACTTAATCTCAACAATGAATGGCCTGTTTCAGGCTGGTGGAGTAGTTGGCACCCTTTCCTTGCCTGCAATTGCAGATAGGTATGGTCGTAAGGCAGCCTGCGCAACCGTAAGTTCTTGCACCATTTCCGACTCTACCTTGGTTCTTCGGACTAACCCCGACGAGGCTGCAACTCTTGCCATCATATCTGGAGCAGTTATGGCTGGCTCCACTCATGTTGCTGAATTTATTGCCTTCCGATTCGTTGCTGGAGCGTCCTCATGGAGCAGTCTGGCTGCAGTGCCGATCTTGATCAGCGAAATTGTACCTGCTAATATACGAGGCGCTATGGTCGACTTTCACGCAACTATGTGTGTAGTTGGCTACATGGCCTCGGGCTGGGTAGGGTTTGGCTTCTACTTTTGGACGACGACCGGAGGGTCTAACACGTGGCGACCAGTTATCGCTATTCAATGTTTTTGGCCCCTTTGCCTCTTGGTGGGCCTTCTGTTCGTCCCAGAAAGCCCGAGGTGGCTAATGATGAAAGGACGAGATGTTGAGGCTGAAACAATATTGTTCAAACTGCATGCAAATCCAAAGGACCCCCGTAGCGGTGACGCTGCGAAGGCGGAATTCTACCAGATCCAGAAACAGGTTGCTCTCGACAGAACCTTAGGAAACTCCTGGCTCCATATCCTCACCAAGCCCTCCTATCGAAAGAGGTTACTTTTGGCCGTGACGATGACCGGAATTTCTCAATGCTCTGGTGTTCTAGTCATCAACAACTACGGACCTTTGCTTTACAGATCATTGGGCTTCTCTCCGGCCAAGCAACTCATCTACCCTGCCGGCTGGAATACTTTATCTGTTGGTCTCAATATTATCGGCATGATCTTGGTAGATCGCTTTCCGAGACCGAAATATCTTGCTTTTGGTCTTCTAGGGTGCACAGCCTGCCTGATCGTTGAAGCAGCTCTAGTCGCCAACTTTGTCCCGTCAGACAAGAAGGTAGCGTTGCAGGCAGCCGTGGCAATGTTCTTCGTCTTCCTGGTCTTCTACGATGTCTGTATCAACGGGACCTTTTTGTCGTATATGGGCGAAATCTTTCCAACCCACCTTCGTGCAAAGGGAATGTGTGCGGGTGTCGCGATGGTCGCGCTCATGAACATTGTATGGCTCCAGAGCGCCCCAACCGCGTTTGCTACAATCGGGTGGAAGTTTTACTTGTGCTTCATCATTTCTAGCACAATAGGGGCGGTGGTTATATGGATCCTCTTCCCGGATACGAATGGCCTGCCATTGGAGGAGGTAGCCGCGATTTTCGGAGATGCCGATGAGGTCGCTGTTTACCAACGAGACATTCAAGACAACTTCACACTATCAACAGACGTGAATCGACAGAACACTCTCAAGGGTCCGCATACCACCGGCAATCAAGGTGAGGTTATTCATCTCGAAACCTGTGAAGACGTGACAGCATCAGCTGTAAACTAGTTACGCGTGGGCTCGCAAGGCTGAATGGCATGCGGCTGAATAGTGTAAGGCGAATTGACCTGCGGCCAGGTCGTGACAGCGACCTGGGCGGAAGAATGGGAAGTAGGTAGCGACACCAGGTGTCATAGCCATACTAAGTGTTATGGCTATGCCAAGCTAGCATATCCCTTCACACTAGACTATCTTGGGAATCGCCTTGCCAGCTGGCTCGGCGCATACTTACCGTACGCTGGGGGTCGGCTCCCTCTTGGAACCTCCCCTAACGAAGCGAGCAATCTCTGTAAAGACCCCGAGGCTGCCATCTATCATTTGGATCGCATCCTATACTACTATTCCTACCGGTAGCACAAAGGACATTCACAACGTCCATTTCGTTGTCGAGAAAACCAAACCTCCTTTGAAAAGTAATGCTCCCCATTACATCAAAGGCATACCACTATAGCCAAACGGCGAGATCTATTGTTGCACCCTGGTGCTCTCACATTTTGTTAATGAAGATCTTGGAGCACTCATCTGTGTGGCCCTCTAATTTACGGATGTTTGATATTGAGTAAATTCCGGCGGCCTGACTTCGTAGAGTTTTATGGTAGCTAGGATCACGCGCTGAAAACGATGTATCCATTTCTTCTCCCTTATAAAATGCGACGCTGAGAGCGTAGAATTCGGTCTAAATCTATAGTCAATTCTGACAGCATCACGACAGCGTTCTTTCAAGATACCTTTAAGAAGCCACTTCCAATGCCGTCAACTATTGATATCATTGCGGGATCCGATATAGAGATGTGATTAGGACCCACTCGGACGATCCGGCTGTATCGTTCATGAATCTGGCGATATCGACGAGGGGAGTCTCCTTTCCAGACTAGGGATAAGCGGTATAGGCCGGTGAACCGAGTTATGAATGGCCCAGGCACACCTCGTAGTGGACTTCTCAACCCCGTCCGTAGATATAGAAGAAAGTACGGTAAAAGCACGATGAAGCCTATCGCCCAAGGCCCCATTCTCCCCCTTTCGCTCGCGGCTAGAAGGCTCTCTTTGAGGGCAAGGAGGATACGCAGAGGTGAGCTTGACATTCTGAAGACTGCAGCACACAGCTTCAATGTTGCTCCGGGTCAGATATGGATGGCTTCGGGATTGCGCCACCACGAACACCACACCCCAAATGTATTGACTTCGGCAAAGAACGAAATGAAGCACCAACTTTCAAAATGTGGAAAAAGGCGTGACGTAACAAGACTACACCCCGTCTTGTCTTTTTCACCGGAATCGGGAAACAGGTAGGGCTCCGCCCTCCGCGTAGCAATGTCCTGAAACTCCGCGAAAGAACCTACGCTCCGATCAAGTGTTGCGCGGCTGGTCCATGCATATTCCGCACAACATCACCTCATTCCTCCGAGGGGAGCAGGAAGGAGAAGGACCAATGTATGAACTGTGGTGAAGACTGCGACTCTGGTCTCTTGAGATTTCAAATGTCTACCCTGAAGCACCTCCAAAGTATCTACCCCGTCCATCCGTATTGCTCGCCTGCTGCGTCGAGAAGAGTTGGACAAAACGTACTGCACAAGATACCGAGATATTGGTAGCTCCCAATTAGCAAGATGCCTACTAAAGAAGAGGTCCTCGAGATTTTTGAGAATATTGTTCGAGGTGATACACCGGCATTCTTCTCCCACGTGGAGCCAAACGTCGAATGGATCTTAAAAGGTCCGTATAGCCTCTGAAAAGCAGACTGGTCTAGGTACGGTTGCCTAGACAACCCCTCTGATCAAAGATCATTTCTGAAGGCCAGTTAAATCCGTGAAGGATTTTCGAGAAGGAACCGCCCCACTCGCCAAAACTTTCGCGGTCCCGCTGAGGCTGATAGTTCAAGATCTTACCGTCGATGGCAATCAGGCATGTGTGGAGATGGAAGCCGTGAATATCTATTGCAAGAACGGCCTGCATTTTAGAAATGCGTATGCTTGGCTCGTAATTTTCAATGACGACAATAGAATTGTCAAAGTCCGGGCCTGTATGGACACGTAAAGACTTATCCTCGGCTTCTGATGCTCTCGACGGCTGGGCTGACCTTGCTGTCGCAGTGATCTGGTGACGAAAGCTCTGGAGCAAAACGCCTAAGCAGAATCCTGCTGGAATGTCCCGGATCTAGATGGTTGCTGCGCTGGTGACCGCGATGTTTTGAGGAGGCGTTGGGGCATTCGGTCGCGCTTAACCTCTTCTCTCTTCTTGATATACTCCGGATGTATGGCAGGTTATTCACCTGTCAAACACCTTCATGGCCAAGCAGGGACATAGGAACGAACACGAGACGATGTTTCGTCAATTGCGCACGTCGCACCATCGAAACTGTGTCAGGGTCTGAGTCTGTATAAAGCTTGACTATATCTTCACGGATCGTCAACCATGTGTCATCAGAGCCGGACTGGCAAGTATGATAAAGGAACTCACCAAGCAAGATCGTGCCCAGAGTCCAGTAGTAGGCATGGCGGTTAAGACAAAGCTTGAGGATCTCGATCTCTTGTATGCTACCGTTGATTTCATCATCGTATCTTGAGGCAGCTTCTTGACCTAGGCAATTTTCGAGATGGCCCGCGTAAGGACCCAGAAGGCTGCAAGCTACAATTGGCGAGAAAGGCATATATTCTGGAGCCCAAGCTTGGAGTGCCGCAAACATATCAGCAGTAGTGCTTCGACACCGCTTGAAGTTTGGAGGGGCGCTTGGAGACTGCATAATTAATTCTGGTTTCCAAAGGTCAAGGAACATGATAGCGCTAGATTATATATGTGTATTAGTGAGTTATCCGGAGCTGGTCGGTCAGGAGTCTTCATCCATAACCAAAATGAAGAGCGGGAAGGCTGGAAATACTCACGCTTGTAACATTAAATGCGTGGAAATAATCCAACAGGAATTTACCCAGTTTTTCTGGCTAAATACCGGGCGGCCGGAGGACAAATTGAAGTTTGGTGGAAGGGCGAGGGCCAGGCAACGAATCGCTGTCGCAAGCTCTTTGTGTGCTTTAGCAGTAGGTCTGCCTGGCGAGTGCCACATGTCATGGACCGCCGTCACGAGGTAGTTGCATATGAGATACCAAGCTCGTCCGTCTTGGTTCGGGGAGTTCTCCAAACTCTTCCATGTCGATTTCAGGTCTGTGCGTAATAGAGCGGAAGAAAGTGGTGTGTTGCTGAACCACGCTTCATCCGAGACCGGTAACATAACTTGACATCGATCCCGGTTGAGGCCATACGGGGAAATTGTGATCGTCGATGCAAAGCTATCAATCTCGAAGACTGACCACCAAGCTCGCCGTTTCTCTTCACTTTCAACCCACTCTTCTACACTTTCATTCTTATGGCCAGCGATAATCTTTTCGTCTAGAGTGTGCAAGCGCAGAGCATACGCTAGTCGACAGCAGATCCCGGCTGTCATCCATCCGTATGACCACTCACCGGCTGAAAAGGTGTAGAATGCCAAAAGTAAGCAGCCTTGCAAGTATCGCAGACTGGGGTCCTCGAAGGCTTTCGCCTTGGAACGTTCGTGGATCTCCCGTGCTGCCCTGAAAAAAGCCTGTCCCTTTTCTTTTGGATCCAAATGGGACAGAAACTCGGGTTCCGAATATCGAGCAGAGAGGGCGAGCATACCATTCAAAACAAAGGCATTTTCCTCCGAGAAACCAGTGCTTCTATCGACTCCGCCACAAAGGATCTTTTCACAGGTGGCTTGAAATGTAGGGCGATGAAAAAGTGATAGAAAGCCCTGAATTCGATCGAAAAACACATTGACTCTGTTGGTACGTCTGGTTAGCGATGCTGATAATACTCCGAAATCGAACAAACCTACAGATGTAGTGCAATCGCATCTGGAACAGCTAGAGTTTCCTGCTCTTTCAGCATATCAATGACGACCGGTTCCTGAGGCGAGTTTTCTGACGTTGGCTTCAGCAGGCATCCATCTGCCGATTTTATATTGGATGTTGAGGAAACGTCGTCGAAGCCCTGCCCCGCCGCAGGGAAGTGGTCTAGGCTAAAGGCGCTATCTTCAGGTTGTGCGTAGAACCGAGAGGGATGTTCAGTGAAGAAAGAGTCTGTGAATGTCTCGTCCACGATCTGCCCGACGTCGCAGGATGTAGCATCTAGCCAGGGCAAGGCATCCGAGAGATCCTCGTTAGCGGCAAGCTCGAGTGGATATTCTGGCATATTTGTCGGCAGATTGACTGCAGTGGATAAGCGTCGATTCGTTCGAATCAAAGATTCCGTGGGTGAAGCTGTTGACAGCCGCTCCCGATCGCTCTGGGCCGGTATAGAAGAGGTTGGATGTGCTGGGCCTTCTTGCGTTGCTGAAACATGCGACTCAAGGAGTTGCAACAGCCGATCTGAGACAGAACACAGCAATTAGGCAAGCTCCATGAAGCAACGAGGTACCAAGTATAGTATACCAATCTTGTCCTTGCTCATCGAACTTGAATCGTGTTGTCGTCCAGCCTTCCGTGCCGGGACAGATTTTCGAGAGAGGAAAACGCAAGTTCTGCCGGTCCGGGCGCACAGGGAGCATGTTGGTCGAGTCGAGTCGCCTGATTGCAGGTCCGTCAGGATCATAGTTCGTGAGAAATAGAATATGGTAACACACATTTTGTTTTCCGCCTGGGTGGGTAATTAGTCTCCAGAATTTTCAGGCCGGGAGAGGATATTCTTGACCAACCTTCTGCACTCCTCACATGCTGTTCGAAGAAGGGCGATCCGATTGTGCAGAGGCGAAACGTCAGAAAAATGAAGCGGTGTTATACCGGGCCTTCTGCCAACTTGATGAACTTCGCGAGAGTCATTGCTGGGTTCCATCCTTGTGATCAATGCCACATGAGCGTAAAGTACTATGGTCGGCGTCGTCAGAGTTCCATCTGAGACGGCAAGGAAGTGAAAACTCGGAAAGGAAAAGCCCAAGATTGGAGGAGAGGACTATCCGGACCATGTAAACCATCACAGCAGAGGTTAGAATGCTTGAGCGTGCGGCAGCGGCTGGGCATCGCCTCCAGGTTGAGGGGAAGGAGCACCTGGGGGGCGGGGGAGACGCGCGACTTCTGCTGTACATATTGGTACTGCGGTGACAGGTCTTTTGCTTTGGGTTTGATTTGTCAGCGTAAATGTGCCGAGGCATCTGCCCTCCTTAGATAACTGTGAACCCAATTGCTGCTCCCTTCGCGGGTGTACGTAGTACACCCCGACGATCCGCCAACTACTGCACACTAAATCTCTGCGCTGACACCTTCTATGCTTGCTCAAGTCCTGTCACGTAAATAAGAACGCACAGTATGTACATTCCAAGTCATCAAAATTCCCACAACCTCTCCCTCAGTTGCCTAGCTCACGTGGCCGCCGTCCTCTCCATTACAGCGAAAGTATCCTGCCACGTTCCCACCACCGCCTTCAAGGGGCCGCGGTACCTGCGCACTCGCCACATCCCATGCCTGAATCCGTCTGTACACAGGATCTGACCAGACCCAAGGCGCCACCGCAATACTAGGCTTGCCGAAGAAAGACGCTGAATCTGGGCGGTTGGAGGTATTGGAATGTTGAGGCCTGAGTGCAACTTTGGTTCGGAGCCTTCTCAGCACGCTGCTACTTGTCTTCTTGCCTTCCTATCATTTTCGGCGATGCAGCAAGCCGGGTGTTCCGGTGTCTCCGTGCATCGTGCGGTGGAGCGGCCAGTTTGGAGAGACCAGGAGGCTAGTCCTCCTTCCGCTCCGCGCCGGCTCTTTAGTTTACCCCACAGGGGTCTGCGCCGCCGTTAATCAACAAGTATTACTCCATATATCGTTGTCCTGCCGCATGATAGAGGGTCATCTGTATCTATTTTGACCAAGCTGTCCTTTCGTTTCCGTACCCGATACCATCTGAAGTTGCGCATCTGGTGTGGCGTAGTCAAGAATCTCTTCCCCCCAGACATATCACCCCGACCCTCAAGAGACTCTTTCTTCTATTCATGCTTTTCGGCGGCAGCTTCAACCCTGCACATAACGATGGCAATGAAAGAACAGTTTGAGTACCACAGCAACCCAGGCCATGTCATCTTCGGTCGCGGTACAATTGCAAAAGTCCCTGATGAGATATCGCGCCTCGGTGTCTCTCGTCCTCTCGTTTTGGCCGCCAAGCGGCACCATCGGCAAGTTGAAGCACTAACGTTGGCACTGGGCGGAAAGGGTGCAGGCGTCTTCCACGAGGCCACAATGCACACACCAGTTCATATCACCGAGAAAGCGTTAGCGTATGCCAAAGGCAATAACGCCGACTCGATCATAACCATCGGAGGAGGCAGCGCCATTGGGCTCGGCAAAGCACTTAGTAATCGAACAAGCTGGCCTCATATCGCAATTCCAACGACTTATTCAGGAAGCGAGATGACCCCTCTTCTCGGGGAATTAGCAAACGGAAAGAAGACAGGGACGACGGCACCGAGAATATTACCAGGGACGGTGGTTTATGACGTTGATTTGACACTCACGCTTCCACCGTCGGTGAGTGTCATAAGCGGGTTTAACGCAATGGCTCACGCTGGTATGGGTTATGCATGTTCCGTCGTTGTGTTGTGTTTCGTAACCGCCCAGTTACTGACACAGGCATTTCTACCTAGTGGAGGCTCTCTATGCGCGTCAAGCAAATCCTATAACATCTCACCTAGCTCAGGAGGGCATCAGGGCCCTCGTCACAGCCCTACCTTCCATCGCTGTCGACCCGAATGCACTATCCGCCCGCAGTCTCGCACTATATGGAGCTTTTCTCTCGGGAACTTGCCTCGGCTCCGTAGACATGTCTCTCCACCACAAGATCTGTCACGTCTTGGGCGGCAACTTTAACCTGCCTCACGGAGAGCTCCACACCCTCGTCCTCCCGCACGCGCTCGCATATAACGCACCGAAGATCTCGAACGTTCTTCGTATTCTAGCGGATATCCTTCCAGAAAATAAAGAAACTGGCGGAGACGCCATTCAGAGCCTGAACGTGTTCATGGCGCAACTACCGATACCACGAGGTGGAATGCAGGAATTCGGAATGAGAGAGGAGCACATCGACGTTGCAGCCGAGCTGGTAGTCAGTCAGCCGTACTGGAATCCGAGGCAGGTCGAGCAGGAAGGCGTGCAAGAACTAATCCGGAGAGTTTGGGCTGGCGAAGAGGCCAGAGCTGACCTGTAGTCGCTCGTGGTGAAAACGAGCTCAAAGTGCCGTTTGATTTGAGGTTGATGGACTTCTGATATGCTGATAAGAGTCGTGTACTCAAGCCTGCTCAGTCAATATCATACTCACTGGCATGGTCCTATAGCCCGTACAGTACCTTATCTCTAACAGAATAGTAAGTCTAAACTAAGATTCGCAGTATAAGTGTAAATGTCCTTTGTGCTAACGATAGAAATAGTAGTACAGGATACGATCCAAATGATAGATGGTAGCCTCGGGGTCCATACAGAGATTACTCGCTTCGTTAGGAGAGGTTCCAAGAAGGAGCCGACCCCTAGCGTGCGGTAAGTTTACGCCGAGCTAGCTGGTAAGGTAATTCCTAAGATAGTCTAGTGTGAAGGGAAATGCTTGCTTAGCATAGCCATAACACTTGGTATAGCCATGACACCTAACGTTTAAAGAACTCAGATCAGGAAGAGGAGAAGTTGCCCGAGGAAGCCTCCGACGACACTAGGAAGGTAATCCAGTCAGAATGCTACCGCCAATGGAAAGAGAAGTGGAGGAAAGACCAGAAGAGAGGACACAGCAGAACGCTACAACCGTCCATCGACCTGAAGATCAGGAAGATCTATAAAGCCCTCAAACGGCCTCAGTCCTCGCTTACGATTCAATTGAGGGCTGGAAAGATTGGATTCAGGGCGTTTCTCTTTAACAAGAAGGTCCCTAATATCGACAGCCCGTGGTGCCTAACCTGCGGAGATGGGTATCTGGAAACGGTACAATATGTGCTCCTAAGATGTCCGGCATGGAAGGAGCTGAGGGACGAGTGCCTCGAGGACGGTCTGGAAGAGGGCCAAACGCCCACGCTCAAGTCGCTCCTGGGGACACAGAAAGGCTGCCGAGCAGCGACAAGAATGGTCTAGCGCACGGGTCTGCTAGGGCAGTACGGCGCCTACGACACCGAGGAGCGCTGGCAGGAGCCAGAAGAACTACCTATGGATGACGGCGATGAGCTACGAATAAGAGGTTGAAAGTGAGGGTGGAAAGGGTCAACGGGGACTATAGATAAATGGGGGTGGTTAAGAATCCAGTAGGTTGGCTGGCGTCCACAGAGGACCTTAAATGAGTCCCGGGCGACGTAAAACGAGATTGAATAAATAAATACTATAGTTACTATAGTGAATTTTAAGGCCTTACGAACTTTTTAATTATCTAATCCGCTTCTGCCGCTTCCTAATCTTGTTGCCACGGCATTTATCGCATCAAAGCCTATCTCTCTTAGCAGCTTCCACTGTATCCGTCGCCGACGGAGCTCTACCTCAGACCCCTGAAGTAGTTCGCACCGTCCAAATGGACCAAACGCGAACACGGGCCCACTATCCGCTCCTCCTTCATCTCTCAACTCGTTCGTATGTATAGCTTGAACCTCGGTTCCACCAACACTAGCCCAAGGTGATTTACCGTTGATGAATGTGATCCACCTAGATCGCATCTCTTCACCGACCTTTTCAGCCGATGGCCGAAACTTGAGATTTTGTCCTCCAAATAGGAATACGAGGTCAACGGCATGAGTCGCTCCAACAGATGCCTGCCACGGGTTCGGCTCGTCCATGAAATACCGATACACGGAGCGACCCCTTTTCACCCATCTTACACAGATTTCGTCTATCCCCCATGCAAATCTAACATCCGTCAAAAAGTCCAGCGCACCTAACCTGGCCGTGGAAAGTCGATCAGGATGAATATTATATGCTTCCATCAGATCTTGTCCTCGTGGACAAGCATCGAAAGCCGAGACTATCTCGGTGGCACCACAAGCCTCGATACCTTTTCGCCAGATAATACCATCATTTTGGCAATCGCCAATAAGGAGAGCTTCGATACGCTCTTCTTTGTTAATCCAGTCTCTTAAAATAGGTCCAGCATGGTTCCATCTTGGTTGGATCGTTTGCACCTCTGTTAGTAACGAGCTAATAGGTGCTCGGCGCAAGCTTAGGCCCGTTTTGTCTCGAACGCGCTTTTCAAGCTGCTCGATAACACTCTTTCCAAGTGAGAAAGGTTGCGGCGGAGACGTATAAAGGGTGCCTGACTGTAATATGGCTCGTCTGATAGGCACGCCTAGGATAGACAAAGCGTGCACACAGAAAGCGCCCGCACTCTCGCCTGCAAGTGTTACCTGGTTGGGATCCCCGCCGAAGCCACCAATGTGCTTTGAGATCCAGTTAATTGCCAGAGCTTGATCTTCCAGTCCGAGATTGTAGGAATTATCTGACAGGTCGCCGAAGCCGAAGATGTTGAGCCGGTAGTTGATTGAGACAACGATGATAGGCTTTCCTAGTCGAGCGGAGTCGGCAACGAGCAACGAGGGATCTAGAATATCATACCATTTGTTGGCTCAGTAAACCGTCCAAATATTTATGTTTAGTCGAAAGAGAAGGCAATGTCCATCCAAAGATGGCATAGCTTTGGCCACGGGTTTACCTACCGCAAATACCGGACTGGACACTCGCATAGGTGACCATGAGGCCCCCTCCGTGAATCCAAACCATAACAGGCACACAATCTCCCGGCTTCACGCCATCTGGCACCGTCACCACTAGATTCAAACAGCGTAATTCGTCCTCATCTTCGTCTGCACCGAGGTCAAGTCGCCCATTGACTTTTGGAACTCGAAGCAATTCGCCGACGTCGACCTTATTCTGGGGGCAACGAGGTCCGAACTTGGTACAGTCCAACTCCTTGACGTCGTAGGAGTCCAGGAAGTTGCTGGGTTCGAATCGCGCGGAGATCTTGCCAAAAGGGATACCACGATATTGGCTTATTGTAACCTTCTTTCCGGACGAAGAAGGCGTTTCGTACGTGGCTGGTCGAAGGTAAGTGCAGAGGGTGCGATGGTACAGGCGATGATGCTGCGAAGACATCATCAAAGCATCGAAATCCAAATGCAAGCTTGGATATTATGGAATGGAAAATTTCTGCGTTTGATACTGCTGTTTGTGGCATCCAACAGATTTCAGCTTTGAACATAGGACCGACCGGCGCCGAGATATCTTCCTAGTGACCGGCATTTCTGAACTCCGACTGGCATCGATGTCACTAGCTCCACGGTCCTTCCGTTCTTCCGTTCCTCCCGACATCTGCATATGAATCAAGAGGACCCTCTCTTTGCACCTCGATACACCGTAAAAAATTATTCCTTCGACGTATATACTGCTAGCTCGGTCGAGAACTTGACTCCGTTTTGCTCCAGTGGTACAGCCAAAAGAAATTTCTCAAAGATGCGTCTGTCATACGTCTCCGACTCGGACCTACTCACTTCGACGTCCGATAGGGCCGTCATAGATCGCATCCGCCACCGACGCGGAGATCTCGGCCTGGCGGCACTCGACCGTGCCCTCCTCCACGCAACGCCGTTAGCCGATGGGTGGAACTCCTTTTTTGACGCCGTCCGAAATCGCTGCTCTCTTCGTGGTGACTTGCGCGAGCTGGCCATCTGCCGTGTCGCAGCTCTCAACCAGGCCTGGTACGAGTGGAACGCACATGAACCTTTGGCCCTGCAAGAGGGCGTGAGTGAGAAGGGTGTGAAGGGTTTAGTGGTCTTGGATGGGCCGGACGAAGAGATCGGGGAGACTCGGGGCTATGAAGCTGGGCTTACCAGAACACAGATTGCCGTGAAGAAGTACACGGACGCCATGACGAGATTTGTGACTGTCCCGCAGGACATTTTCGGTCAACTATCACGTGTCGGACTTAATGAGAGGGAGATAATCGAGTTAACGATGACGATCGCAGGGTACAACTGTGTCAGTCGATTCCTCGTTGCCTTGGATATTGGAGAGCAGAATGGGAAGGGACCTATATTATAAGCTGTTTCCTGTGTAGCTACAGAGAGAGTCGAGAAGGAATTTTAATTAGTTAACGACGCCAGCTGTGAATGTCCTTTGTGCTACCGATAGGAATAGTAGTACAGGATGCGATCCAAATGATAGATAGCAGCCTCGGGGTCTATACAGAGATTACTCGCTTCGTTAGGGGAGGTTCCAAGAAGGAGCCGACCCCCAGCGTGCGGTAAGTATGCGCCGAGCCAGCTGGTAAGGCGATTCCCAAGATAGTCTAGTGTGAAAGGGTATGCTAGCTTGGCATAGCTATAACACTTGGTATGGCTATGACACCAGCTACGGCTAACAGGTTTATAATCGAGCTTCTACTGATCTTAAATTCTCGGGAATATTAAAGCGAAAGTAGTCTCACCGTGATCTCGTAACTATCCTTAATCTCCTGTGTCATATAGCCTCGGTGTAATGGAATTTTAATCTTTACTTTTGCAGCATTGGAGATCTCCATTAAGTCGTGTTGTCCAAGGTACCTGTTTATGTTTAGAAGTCGCTTTCATACGGCTTACCTTAACATCGTCCCAAGGCCGAACTAAGGTAAACCCGTTCGCTGGCGGAAGCGGACGGAGACGGAGACGGAGATTGAGACAGAAGCGGGACGGAGACAGAAGCGGGACGGAGACAGAAGCGGGACGGAGACGGAGACGGGAACTGAGACTGAGATAGAAGCGGGTGTGGGGGCGGGCGCGGGGATGGGCGACATCCATGACCATCATAGGGTAAGCCCAACCCTAATTTTGGACATTGTTAAGTAGCCTTATGTCAGTCGGGACATTATCACTCTCCCGAGCCGTATGAGATCCAACTCTACCAGCCATAACGGGGCCTATGACGATCTAGTGTGGCCACCTTGTTTGTCGTGTCTATTGTGTCTTAAGATATAGTGAATTTCGATCTCTCAACCTAACATGCCGCCTCAGTCCGACATAGTCAATGGAGGTTCGAGTGGGGAGACAATCGACTACAAGAGCATATTCCACTGGGCAGAGACGCAGAAAGAGGGCGAGATACCTGCCTTTTACCTTCGGGAAAATGACCCTTACGAGGTAAGAACGCGCTTCCCCGCAATCATCACTCTTCCTGCAGTCGTAACATACCTGGGGGGACGGTTACCTTGTTGACTCTCAATTCCACTTATCTGTGTCTGGATTAGCTTACTCTACCATAGTATCAAGCTGGCTTCGGAAATGACTTTGAATCTGAAGCAATCCCCGGGACACTACCACGAGGTCAAAGCGCTCCACGTAAGGTTCGGTTTGGATTATACGCGGAACAAATCACTGGCAGCGCTTTTGTCGCCCCCCGCAGAGTGCAAAAGAAGGCTTGGTTATATCGTGCACGACCGGCAGTTACATACCAGAATTTCACTGAAATGCGAGAAAGACTGGACATTGAATCAAATTTCCTGCCAAGCAACAAGGGAATCCACCTGAGTCCGGCTCAGCTAGCCTGGTTACCACTCGACATCCCTTCAGAGCGGACAACTTTCGTCGAGGGCCTAAAAACAATGACAGGCGCTGGAGATCCTACTTTACGTGCCGGAGTCTGTACGCACATTTATGTCTGCAACACAGACATGGAGCGGACAGCATTTGTCAATTCAGATGGCGAATTCCTCATCATTCCACAGCAGGGAGCCTTGAACATTCAAACAGAGTTTGGAATGCTGTTCGTCCAACCGGGAGAAATCTGTGTCATACAGCGCGGTCAGCGTTACAGTGTGAGCTTGCCTGATGGTCCAGCAAGAGGTTATATTCTTGAGATTTGGGGGAGCTCCTTTGAACTACCAGAGCTAGGTCCGCTGGGCGGAGGTGGCTTAGCCAATGTCAGGGACTTCCTCGTCCCCACGGCGAAGTATGAAGTGAAGACCGACGGAGAGTGGAGGATCGTGTATAAACTCGGAGGGAGATATTTCTCCCTTACACAGCAACATTCTCCGTTTGACGTTGTGGCATGGCATGGCAATTATGTAAGTCGAATCTCGATCCTGCTAAATCATTACCCAGCCATTGACTGACACGTCCACCAGGTCCCTTACAAGTATGACCTCACCAAATTCATCACTGTTGGCTCTGTTTCAGTCGATCACATTGATCCTTCGATTTTCTGCGTTCTCGTCGCGAGAGGACAGGACTCTGCGACTCCTCTCGCCGAATTTGGGGTGATTGGACCACGGTGGGATGTCGGCTCGTGGACTTTTCGCAGAGGTTATTTCCACCGAAACGCGGCTTCAGAATTCATGGGCGTTATCTATGGCGGCCTCAACGGTCGGTCTGATTCTTTTGTACCAGGTGCTGCATCCTACGAATGTGGCCATGTGCCGCATGGAACCGCCTACGAAGAATACAAAGCCGTTACCGAGCAGGAACTCCCTCCACGACAGATATCCAAAGGAACCATGGTTTTCGTCTTTGAGAGCAGCATGCCGATGAGTATTACTGACTATGCGTGGAACTCCAAGAAGAAGCATGGGCATGATCCTAAGATGTGGGATCAACTTGTGGATAATTTCTCTAGCTATCACCAGGAGATTAAGGTTCTTGACAAAAAAGAATGAGATTCACGAACTTGCCAGAAGTTTGGTATAGAAAGGTGTTATGGAAAATTCAACTAGCTTACAACGTTACTTGCTAGGTGCATATGACTCGCACGTCTTGGTTTCGGACGAAGTGGACGGCCCCGAAGTCGCGGCAAAAGCGAAGTCGGGGTCGTCTATCGACGAAGGCATGGAGAGAGAGCGGTCTGCGAGCCCGAGCCGTCGTCTTCTCGGTGGAAGTCTACATCCGTCAAGAGGTGCTGTAGTCAGCTGCTGCCTGTTATTGAAGCTAGCATTGTTCCGGGGACGGGTTTGTTGGTGCGATTCTTGTGGGAAACTTGGTTCCTCAATTGTCGGCGCCAAGTCAAGTGCTTTGAGGATTGCATCCGTCGTAGCTGTTGTGATATGAGGCTCAAACCAACTATAATGGCATTCATGAAAGTCTCATGGAACCATTCCGCATGCTTGGAAATCGTAGGGAAGCTTCTAGTATGTCACTTCGATGTACTTCTACTTCCTAAGGAAGTAGAAGTAGAACAAGGATCAAATCTATGCTTCCACTGCCATAACCCACAACAGTAACCACTCCTTCATCGGGGATCTTTCCTAGGAAGTCGGGCTTTGCCCTACACGCCTAGTATAATCGTTAGAAAGCTTTGCTCATTAAATCTCGTACCAGAACATAGCTAATAAGAGATTATCCTATAGATCTACATCACCCCGCCCTCCCCGATCTCCTCTTTTTCATTTTCTCACTCTCTCTCGAGGCGCAGCGCGCTGTGAGTCTCCCTCAGATTCCAGTGGGCTCTGGTATTGTCACTCCTCTGGCCCTCAAGAGGAGGACTCAGTCGGCCTGTCACTTAACCTGGACGTGATTTCAGATCTGCGCCCGGGAAATTTCAAGCTCCGCAACTGAAGAGTATGTGTGTGACTTTCGAAGAGGAAGACCCTTCGCCGTGGCCGTATTTCGAGTCCCACGAGGACTTCTCATGGCTTGGGAGGTATTCTCGACTCACCAATGGATCTCTCGGATCGTCAGTTGGCTGGGTACCAAGGTCAACCCTTGTTAGTTGGTTTTGGTCGCCCCTTTCAGTGTGGTCTGATTGTCCTTGGACTGCTCTCTGAATTTCACTTCAAGACGTTTGATCGGTGTAGGAATTGGCCTGGCGCCGAGAATATTGACAAATCCGGTCAAGAGGTCATTAGCTCGCAATACTCACGCTTGCCTATCTTTCAACAGCCCAAGAAACCTTTCATTATGAGCTCGCCAAGCGAAACTATCACCGGTGGTGGCACACTCTGATTGCCTGGTGATATCCCCTCCTCGTCCCTCCTCAACGCTGCCCGCTGGTAATGGCTGCGAGAGCTTGGTCTGAGCCTCCAGTCTCTGGAATTCTTGTGTGGTACAGTCGCAGATGTTGTCATGCTCGATCCTTTGTCGACGGAAATGGTTGTTGAATATGCTCCAAAGGGATTGATAGTCCGGCCGCTCTTCATCGCGCAAGTTGCGCATATTATATAGAGTCGGTAGTGCGACATATCGACCTAAAAACAACCCCTCATCATGCGGCGGGTTATGAGCAGTAATGGACAACCAATATTGTTCTCACAAAATAGGAGGCTACACAGAATACTGAACGAAGATCTATTCACTTCTAATGTCGGCTCAAATAGAGAACAGGTCTATGTTCACTTGAGAACTTGCGATTTCACTTCGAGAACCTGCGATCGCGAGAAAGCGGACCTGTGCGAAAGTTCCTAGTCCCTTTTGGTGCACGCTGGAGGGCTATATGTGGCGTCTCTCCAGAATTATGGCTTGCGTGGGTCCCAAGATCCACGCTTATGATTGTCTTTGCTTGGGCAATCATCTCATCTTTCCTATTCCAAGTCCGTTCATATGTCCCTCATCTGTTGGCCCGCTCTAAGGCTTGAATTGGTCAAATGGAGGAGCATCAATCACAGCCTTGTCGACTTCTCGTGCAAGCTCTCACATGAATGACCTACGACCAACCTGCTGATTGAGCGCCTGCTACCTTTACGACTCATATTATTTCTTTTCTTGCCATACATAACTCACTATGACCAGGAAATTCATGAGTCTTCTCACCGTATAGCCACCGAAATGTGTTCCTTGCGGCAACACGGTCGAATACTGACATTTCTAGAACGGTGAAGTCGGACTAACTCTTTTCCATAATCATTCCCATTCGGTGTCCTGCACAAGGTGTGAATGTGATACTTCATTGGTTCATGATTCAAAAGGAAGACGCCAGAGTGGTGGTCGAACTCTAAGAGTATCACCGGACTTTATATCCGATAGTAAAAACTATCATCGTTTCCGTACCCACCGATCCAACAAAAGTAATTCTCGTCAAGTTGCTTGCGAATTTGCTGGAGACGAGCTTGCAGCGGCCGGGGAGGAAGAAGCTCCAGGAGGCTGGCCGCGATACGTAGTATTTGTTCCCGCTGGGCGGTTGACATTTCTGACGCAGCCACGCCCTCGTATGGTGTTGGAAAGTCAGCAATCAAGGAGTACAATTCAGGTATAGTCGCGATAACGACAGACCTTGTTGTTGTTATATCGCCACCGCCGTCGTCGGCGCCACTTACGTCGACTGTTTCAGTCCGTTGCCACCCAGAAAATCCCTCAATGTTAACAGGACTATTGAAGGGATATAGGCTAGTTGCGTCACCAAATTTAGGCCTGACGAAGGGTATATAGACCAAGCTGTAGTCCTCCTCTGTTGGACAGAGGACAGAGCTCTCAATGCAACCGAATTGCACCCATCTGACAACATATGGGATTATCCTATTGTCCTGAAACGCGCCGGCTAGGTGACGCTGAGAGTCACATCAGCCCTCGGCATTCAAATAGATAGGGTTTGAGTCCGGCATTGCTTACCTGGTCTGCGGGGTTCCAGCGCCATTCTGGCATATCAGGGCCATGCATTTGTTTGTAGATCTGGGTCTTGTCCTGCAGATGGGATTGTAGCGATTGCATTAGCAACAACCCGAGCTCTTCTTCTGCCGTGCAAATAGCGATGCCTTGATGCTGGCCTCGGTCGATCAGCTAGAGGGTGTCAGTCCCAGCATTATCAGGAGTACATCTGGTAGGTAGCTCACGTTGGGTTCAGCACCCACGAAGAACGGGCTGAGCACCATCTGTTCGCCGCGAAAAAGGAAATTGAGACACGTGTGGTGACCGAAGAAGGTGTACCCCCAAGGATCCGACATCGATAGAACCCCAAATAGCAGGAAACTGCTCCTCTGTTAGTACAACGAACCATCGGTTTTTGCCAGTCCTACAAGTAGCTTCCAGAGTTCAGTATTGGTGCTGCGTCGCACAATTCTGCCAAGGAAGCGTTCGTCTGAATGGCACCCTGAATCTTCGCCCATCCTTCCTTGCTGACAGACTCTTTCAAAAGCTCCATGATGAGATCGGGCTTCCTCGGAGTCAAAAGTTCTAAACGGAGTCCAACATCGTGAATGATGAATTCTGGATTGCACCATTATCGGCTAGAACAGTATTCTGTTGTTAGACAAGGTCTGGTATCAAACAGTATCCGCAACAACGTGTTAAGCTCACCAGCTGTCATCGTCTAGACTGAACAATGCTTTGGCCTTTTCTTCGTCGGTGAGACTGGCAATAACGGCCTCGGCTGCATGCACCTAATGAACATAAGTAGCCCCAAGGGCACTCTCATTCAGAGCACTCTTGCAGTCTGACCTATCGGCGTGCCTTCGTTCTGTAACTGGAACAAACCCTTCCTCTATTTCCCATCGGTCGTGACTCCGTAAAAGGGGATATCAACGAGAGCCTTCCAGCCGCCGATAAGTGCTCTAGCCCAATTCGCAGACGTGATGTTGTTCGAATAAGTATAAAGATTCGCCGTGTTCAGTCCCTAGACTCTTAAATGACCTATTGAAACCTGTCGACATTCATGCTCTTCCCTTCAAGACGACAACTCCGGCTGAACACTAACCTTTGGGAGGGACATATGGAAGAAAATCTTTCGTTTTACTCAACGTAATTGCGGCCATAGCGATATATTCCAAAATACCAAAACCATGGCAAGGTCTTCTGAGCTCACAGCGAACTTGTCAGCCTTTTAAGCGCATTCGATTATAGCATTTCGACTCATCCATCATTGTTCTCCAGGAGGCCGTGTTGGTCCCTGAGACTAGGTCTCGAGTCCCCGGAGCACGAGGCATCCCGCGGAATGATTCCCAAAGATACCATTTATTCCGCCCCGGGAACCGAAGATTTGCCCAACGCTTAGCACCGTGCACAACCTGCTCATGATCTGTCCCGGACCTTGGCCCATCAAACGCTGTGATACGACGGCGATTGCATGTTACACCGATTCTACGTTTCTAGCTCCCTCACTATGCAGGTCTTTGGAGTAGAAGTGTGTTACTGTTGTCAGATAAGTGCAATTCGGTTGTATTGAGAGCTCTATCCTCTATCTAACACAGGAGGACTACAACTTAGTCTATATACTCTTCGTCAAGCCTAAATTTAGTGACGCAACTAGCCTATTATCCCTTCAATAGTCCTGTTAACATTGAGGGATTTTCTGGGTGGCAATAGACTGAAATAGTCGACGAAGTGGCGCCGACGATGGCGGTGGCGATATAACAATAACAAGGTCTGTCGTTATCGCGACTATACCTGAATTATACTCCTTGATTGCTGACTCTCCAACATGACCACCGGCCTAACCGATATAATAGTCGTCATTAGAGTGGTTAAGTGTAAATGTCCTTTGTGCTACCGATAGGAATAGTAGTACAGGATGCGATCCAAATGATAGATGATAGCCTCGGGGTCCATACAGAAATTGCTCGCTTCGTTAGGGGAGGTTCTAAGAAGGAGCCGACCCTAGCGTACGGTAAGTATGCGCCGAGCTAGCTGGTAAGGCGATTCCCAAGATAGTCTAGTGTGAAGGGAAATGCTTAGCTTAGTATAGCTATAACACTTGGTGTGGCCATGACAGTACGGCCCTAAGGCGGGCTGTCACCCGGGAAGCAGGGCTGTTACAACGACTGTTACAATACGCTTCCCGGCCGACAACACCCGATGGGGCGAATGGCCCCCATCAGGTGTTTGGCCCCCATGGGGCGAATGGCCCCCATGGGGCCAACGGCCCCCAATGCCAAGTCGGCCCCCACAAGGTATATACAGAAAGAGATAAATAGGACCTCTATTCTCGCACTGCTGGAGAGGCCCTCAACAGTGCGAGAAGTCGATGTCTCAAGGACAGCTTTATACAATACAGATACGTGTTCAACCCTCTGACACATGGTATGAGACACGATAACACTCATTTGAGTGGTTAAACGGAGAAGATGCGGGACGTTCTTCGACTTCAGCAACCGCCAACGCCATGGGCAATAGAGAAGAAGGGTCTATAGTGATAGCAGACCGTCCGGTACGAATATGCATGCACGTGTCCCACTAATAAAAGTCTGGTAAAGAGGAGGCTTTGAGACAGTAAGAAGAAGCAAAAAGGTGTCAAAATCCGGGGTAATTTTTCTCGCAAATGGTTTGTGTCAGTCGTGCAGACGATTAATGATAGAAGTGTCTGTCTGGACGAGACAATTAAGATATTTGCTATGAGTCCGAGTCAAAGAACAGCCTGCGCCCCCATTCCTCAAAAGAGTCATCCACTAAAAAAGCAAACACGACGGATCGAGATCGTGGTATCCTGTTATCTTGCCCAGGGCATCCCTGTCCGCAGCCGCTCGCTATGCGATGAAATCAGAAAAGCAAATTGACACCATATTTCACCTAAGATAGGCCATGCCCCAATCTGTTGGTTTAAAAGACGAGGATCTTTGGTCCATCACCCTGTCCGGCAGTCCAAGAGATGGTATCCTCATCCCCGACGGCGGAAATTTCTCCGCCGTAGATCTGTCCCGCAATCAACGAGCATGGGAACCGGCCCTCGACAGTGGCGCCAGGTCCGGAACCGGCTTCCCAGGAGGCGCGCCCGTAAGCATTCACGTCGATTGTGCCGAGAGCTTGGTTTCGCAAATTGCCGGAGGGCCAACTCTCGCTATCCGCTGTGGCGGGAGCGAGGGATGTGAAAAGCTGCGCTTTGCCAGCACCGCTAACATAGCTCGTCGGATCGCTGCCCAGATCGAAAACCAGCTGACATTGGTTGCCATTGTAGATCGCGTCAAGTTCAAACGTGACCAGCGTGGTGATGTCGTTTCCGTTGTTACTATGAGTGCGGGAGACAAGGCCGCGGCTCGTGTGGAAATCGATGGCACCAGTGGAGACGGTGTACTGAGAAGTGAAGTCGGGAAAGACGGTGGCAATGGGCTGATCTTGGTTATTGTTGCTTGGGGCAGTATATGGCGAACCGGAACCAGAACCAGTAGACATGGGATGGGGTGGGGAGCTATATGAGGTACCATTGGGGTAGTCATATGGACCGCTGTAGGAGGAGCCGGTACTCATTGGGCGGGCTGTGGTAGTTGAGGTGCCATTGTTGTAATTGTAGCTGCCAGACTGACTGCGACCAGAGAGAGGTGCGGCGCTGCTGAGGGCAGCAATGCTGAGGATCCCGGCGACGATTGATTGAGCGTACATGTTGATCTGTTTGCTTCTTGTTTTCGAGTAGATACCAAGTATAGATTTGGGGTTGAGGTGACTATGAGGACTGCGTGTTTCAGAGCTGTCTTCGAATGTTTGCCTTGACTGGAACTATGAATTAGAATGAGAGTGCTCGAGAACCTCTAATGAGTGTGATAAGGAAATGAAAGTTAGAGAAAGACTGAAAAGAAAATGAAAAGTAATGAAAGTATTGGATGAACAGTTGCTTTGTATACAGTTGGATGAGAAGAAGAAACAGGTCTCGAGCAAAAGGTGCGAGGCGGTCTTATACCGCTTGACAAGTGGACGACGTTCATGGCAGCGCTGGATGGGGAAAGTCTTTGGAGCAGATGCTTTTCCGAGCTCGTATAGCTGAAAGAACAAGAAGATGAGCTGTGGTGTTTTGGTCGAGTCGATTGCCTTGGCCTGCAGAACGCGCAGCAACAAGGCTCAGCCCTGAGTGGCCGAGCAGTGCGGCTAGTGAGGCTGGGAAGTACACGGACGAGTTGGAGTTTGAATCAAGGTGCTGACGCCCCCGGAAGTGGGCCAGCTCATTGTCCCTTTCGCCCGCAGTTGTCCTCGTGGCTTCCTGAGAATGTGAGCTGCGACCTCTGGCGCGGAATCTGGATGGTCACCCGTGCCGATGAGCAGTCACTGGAATATGTGCCAACCCCGTCAATAACCCAAATCCTCTCAAGAGCGTCGTATACAACGGAAACATCCAGATGTGTGCAAGAGAGCTTGAGTGATTCACTTGTGGAGACAAGGAAGTTGAAAGCAGGGCGGTGATGGTGTCGCTCTTTTTGGCTGACCTTCTCTCACCTTCTGCAGAATGTTGGCTCATAGCTCCATGCCATAGGGCTGCTGGCTGAGCGAAACTCGCAACACCTAATTGGCTGGCTAGGGATATCGTGCGTCTGTATCCACTGCTCTTTCCTCTCTGCATTGGATTCCGACACTTGCGATCCATAGAACTTTTCCCCTGCAAGACTGGCAGGAAGCGATGTAGCATTTCGAAATCGAGTGACATCAGGCACTATCACAGGTGCCACTTGGCCGGATTGTAGCCACAGTAGAATATTTACCAGCCATGGCGATAATGATGGTCAATCTGAACAGATCGTGTCTGAGCACAGCTGCCAAGACCTGGATCTTCACTCTTCCTGTCACAGTGTGACATCTTCCATTTCGGCCTCTTTGCCTTCAGCTTTGGACAGTTGCTGGGAACCACCTGATTCACCCTCTTCCTCTTCCTCCTCTTCCTCTCGTTCTGCCTCGACCTCTAGGGCTTTTCCTTTGCCCTTTGGTTCAGCTATTGTAGGTTCTTCGTCCTCCTCTTCGGCTTCTTCATCTTCACTTTCCTCTTCGCCACCATCGGCAGGTGTAGGTGGGAGATCTTTCTGCGGTGGCGGCGTAGGCAGAACTTCAGGGCCTGGTTCGCCGCTCACAGTGCTCTCTCGATCGGGACTCTTTGAAGGTTGTTCTTTGGGCCGTTGAGACACATTTGTCTGTTGAGGGACCTGTACAGCTGGTGCCGTGGTAGAAGGTCGACCTGCTGGTGTTGAGAGACTCGGGTTTGAACCAATTTGTCTTTGTTTGGGATCCGCATCCAGATAATATCCACGAACTCCGATAATTTTGCCTTCTCTTTCGCATCCTTCCACCCATTCAGGCCTGACGACGGGGATATTCATCTCGTTGGCCCTTTCCCAGTCACGACCTCGGCCTTCTGTGCAAACGAAATGGGTGGTGTCGATTTTGACTGTGTCGTTGATCCTTGCGCCAATACGCGAGATCGCTGCTTCGAGGCTTTCTCTCAATTGTGGAGGCAGTATCCCAGGAGTAACGGTTATACCAGTCAGGTTGTTCATTGCGTGAGTCTTGACAGTAAGGGTATTGCTCGTGTATATACCACCGCTGGTTTTGAGCACCAAATAGAATGAGTATTCTGTGTCAATCGCCAGCCCGCTCATTTTGGTGCTCATAGTCTCTAGAGGGCGGGGTATATTTCCAGCTTTGCTTCCATTGCGGTAAAGGGCAAGTGAGCGTAGGGTCGTTGTTGCTAACTGGATGGGATCCCATTCGAGGACGAGGGAAGTTTGCGTGGCATTTCGTAGGCGCAGGACTGGTGTCGCGGGAACATTCAGGCCATAGGTGTTCAATATTTGTCTCTGTAGCGCAGCGAAAGCTGCCTGTGACTTCTGCTCTGCTTCATGGTTTTGCCTGACCTCGATATCCACGATCGAGCCTGATGTGATGGTGGAGGGCAGAAGTATGGAGGGAAACTCAATCTGAGGAAGGCGTAAGTCTGTGCACAGCGTGAAATAGAGGGCACACAACTCACCAGCCGCTTGTCCTGAGTGAGCAGGACCGCGACACCAGCATCAACCTTCCCAACGGTCAGGGAAACCAACATCTTTCCGACCTCGAGGGATAACAATGAACAAGCGAGTGACTCAAACGGCACAAAGAACTAATTGAAGCCGAGGGACAGTTGCACGACGGACCGGTGTCGATAATGCTGATCTGTTACATTCAATGAGATAAATTATTATTAGGTGCCTTTGACGCGGTTGCTGGCCGGTCCGATTCCGCGTAAAGGTTCCAGCACCTGAAGCTCAGGGGCAGCGTTGTCCGCTGCACAGCAGGTTCATGTCTAGTTAAATCAACGGCCAGCTCTTTATCCAAATATCGTCTTGCGCTGCATTCTCCTCGTTCTCTTCATACTTATTACAGAGAGGCTTAGACTCTTTTGGAACCTATTCCATTTTGTGCAGACATGAGCGAATACGACGCCCAAATTCCGGAAGGCTATCGAACAGAAGAGATACACTTGTATTTCCATGCCACATGCGATGGCTTCGGTCTCAACCGTCAGCGAATCCGACCTTTCGTATTTTCCAGAAGCACAGGCGAACAGACGACCACGATGGGTTAGTTGCTGAGCAACGGTGTCGAGCAACACCCTCGCTCTTCATCCTTAGACAGTCTCGACGAGTCTGCATCAAGCAAGACCAACGTTGGACGAGGCTTCCTTAGGCTGGCATCGGAAGCAGCCTAGATCTCGATGCTTTCCATGTGTTCAATAGATCTTGAGCTCCTCTTGGGGAGTGACAGAGTATGGGAAAGGGGCCATTCCTCCAAGCTGATTACTTGGTTTGAAATGAAAAGCCCATGTGCGGAAATGTGGTTATACAGGGTATCATAGTATTAAACATCGCTCTGTCAAAAGAGTGTTCGCCCCCAGAGGGACCACATGGAGGACGGCACAGCCTCACCGCCTTCGTGGTCTGTCGAGTCCTCGTGGGAGGTCTTTTCAGCCGCGGCATTGGTACTCGTATTGTCCAAGTGCTGTTTCTTTCGTTGCAAGGACTTCAGTAAAGCACCACATGCACCAACAAGCTCGCCATGGGGACAGTTGATGCCACGTTCGGAAAAGACCAGGATTTCGAGAGTACCCTTCAGGCCTGGAATGTAGTTTTTGCCATCCTTGGGACCCGAACGCCTCCTGCCGTTATGGTGATACCCAGCTCTCTTCAGAGCTTCCGCGAAAGCACTGGCCCATCGTCGCTTGAGTCGATTGCGCAGCACGGCTTTGGGCAGCCGTTTGATGCTGGCGTTGGAAATAACACACCATCGAAGGACGTCCGGCGGTAGTCTCGAGTAATAGTCTGTCACGGCTGCTCGTTTGGGACTATAGCGGTCAACTAGGAATTTATGATCGAACAGAGTCGGCACATTTTCAACGGGGGTATAGCGCGCCCTCAATCCGAATCCGAGGGCCTGTGGGAAGGTCAGGGGCCTGAAAGGTCGAGTGGTGACAACAGAGGCCATAAGGCAAGCATTTTCAATAGCGAGTAACTGACATACGCAGCCTGCAGAGAAGCAGGATGAAGATTCTAATGACTGTTGGCGGTTACCAGCCGTGGACTAGTGGCCCTCGAAATTTGCCCCACGAATGACTGCCGCTTAATTCCCAAACAACGTCAACCTGCGCCTCTGAAGGTCTCCCCAAAAACACCGTCTCTCTCGCACAAACATATTTCTACAACTACGCGGGACCAGTCTCTCGCAACCGATCAATCCATTCCAAATAAAATCAACGCACTTTCCTCTCTGTCACTGACAGCCACCGAGTAATATGCCTAAGAATAAGGGAAAGGTCAGTCAAGAGCCCCCTCGCACACAAGCGCCACACCGCACCCAATTTACCCCGCCACGACTTCTGGCGTCGGTCACTGGCAGCAACACAAAACCGCACAAGAAGCGTCGGACTTCACTCTCCAGAATTTATGCTAACCCGAATCCTGACAGGGAGGCAAAAACCGGCGTCGCGGCAAGAACGAAAATGACAACGAAAAGCGCGAACTGACCTTCAAAGAAGAAGGACAAGAATACGCCCAGGTCCTCAAAATGCTGGGCAACGGTCGCCTCGAGGCCCTTTGTTTCGACGGCGAAAAACGTCTGGCCCATATCCGCGGCAAGTTACGCAAGAAGGTCTGGATCAACCAGGGAGACATCATCCTCTTGAGCTTGCGGGACTATCAAGACGAGAAGGGGGATGTCATTTTGAAGTACAGTGCGGACGAGGCACGGTCTCTGAAGGCATACGGTGAACTCCCCGAGAGCGCAAAGATCAACGAGACGGATACCTACGGTCACGAGGGCGTGGACGATAACGTGGAGTTCGACGAGGACCGGGACAGTGACTCCGAGAAGGAGGTTGATATTGACGACATTTAATGGAAGAACCCATTTCTTGGATGCATCGCAGAGGATTCAACAGGTCTTAAGGACATGACTTGATGAGACACGGGTTGTATCGACACTTGCTACCGGCATCCACATAAACATCGGTACGAGAGCAGGAATGATTTGATGGGAGTCCGGAGAACAGGTTCATAGCTCGAGTTAGAAGCAATCAGCCACATTTGTGTTTTACGCGGGCTTGTGCTTGTGCTCCAGCGTCGGTCTTGATGGGTTTATCCCTCCTGTGATCCCTGTGTCTCTTATCACTCCTCAATCCTCCAGTGAGACAATCGACCACTTTCCCCAGCAAAGAACCAGCCGCGAGTTTCCGCCGTGCAACGTCACGAGCGAAAGAACACTGTCACAGCCACAGCCGCTATCCAACTCGACTTCATGATAGATTTCAGTGTCAGGAGCAGAGTGATAGTTTACGGTGACGGGTCTTCTTCGTCATCAACCCTGCGAGTGAAGAACCTGGCTATTTGCCGCCCGGATTCTTTACCAACAAGCGGATCTAGTTCCTCAAGGCTCATGTTGGCAACTTCCAGCACGTTTTTAGCCTCGAGATACAGGCGACTGGCGTTCTTTGCCGTCACTCCAGGGATCGTCCGTAGGAGGTCTTGCGGTCCAGTGTTGAATGTTCTCTCTTCCGGATCCTCATTCTCGTCTAAGCCGATCTGCACTGCCCGCAATGGGTCCGGCTCTTCTTGCTGCTTCTTCAGTTCTTCGAAAATCTCCGCCGTCTGGTAGGGTGAGGACGCCCAGATGACCTTCAGCCTCGGAAAAGCAAGCGTGAGAAGAACTAACTTGGTTTGCAAATCCCGCGTCTCCGCGTCTGGCGTCTTGAGCACCGAGGTCAAATCTGCAAACGGATCCAGGGTGAAAGATCTGCCTTGGTCAAATTCGATGAGCAGGAAAGGGTACTTGTAATACTGGAGCATTGTCTCTGCTTGGTTGAACAGTCGTCCATTCTTGAAAGAAGCAATCAGGTCGCGTATCGACTTTCGCTCCACGCAGATATCCGGTGACAGGACATAATCGCCGACTGTCAGTTGACAGGGGACAATTTGCATGCTTCGGCCGTGCAGAAGACTTGGGAGGGATGAGCGGAATTCTCGAACGTCCACCACCACTCTCGGAGGAGCAGTGGTGGCTGCAAGTCTTCCTCCTCCAGCGATTCGAGTGTTGACCGTCCGCAAAAAGGCTTCTTCGGGGTCAATATGTCCAGCGTCCGTGAGTGTGACTGCCATGCTACCTCGCTCCTTGATTAGTCTCGTAAAAGCATCTTTCTCCCGGCGAACTGCAGAAAGATACCGCTGCTCTTCAACGCTGCTACCATAGTAAAGAAAGTAGACTCGTACACCGCGGTCCGAGTGGCTTGATCGATAAACTTCAACTCTCCGGATGAAGTCCGCCGATGGAGAATACATGACGATGTATTTCGGCCGAACCTCTTCAAGGAGCTGGTCATCCTGGTCGCCGTCGTACGGATGAACCACCACCTGGTCCTCGGAGCTGTACAGTTCGAAGAAGTCTTCTCCGGCATCGTTGAGATCATCAATCACGACGTCGTCCTTTTGGAGGGCTTCAGCCTCCGTCGGGCGTAGTTCTGCCAGTAGACCAGCCACTTGCGCTGCTTTGTCCTCGATTATAGCCACTGCGCCATTGGCAGTGCGTGATGGATTCAGGCCCGAAGCTCCTCCACCACGCACACGCCTGCGTTTGTTGGCAGGTGCTTTGCTACCGAGTCGAGCAGCCGTGGCGTTATTTCCCTTGATTTCGTTCAGAGACTTCTGGTTCTCCTCAAACAGAGACGCGCTAACTTGGGCAAATGTCTTTCTCCACCCGAGATATTCTCGAAGTTTGCGCCTCAGCATGAATTCTGCGGAGCCCTTGGCTTCTTCCTCCTCGACCTCATGAGGAGCTTGGCCGCTATCATGCTCTCGAGACAGAGGTTTCACGTGCATGCTCTGGAGATAGTCTCGGATCTGACGACAAGTTCCTTGATCGTTACACATCACCAACACCGTGTCATTCGAGTCACTCCGCGTTGGATTCAAGTAAGCATCAGTCTCAATCTCCTGCAAGATTTCTGCGAGCACAGCCCACTTCGGTTGCTCTTCAAGGACCGGAGTCAGGGAATCTGGTAACTTTGAAGTGGGTAGAATGCCACTATCTTCGACTTTGCCCGTATAGACTCGGTCTCTTGCGGAGTTAAAAATGATGGCAGCAGCATCCATAAATAGCCACGGTGATTGGTCTTGCTGTTTAGAGTTGGGGGGAGGTGAATGCGTTGCAAGGACGGTATCCAGGTACTTTAGCAGCGAAACACAGTCGTAGCTGAGAAGAGAGTGTAGAATCGTCCGAAGAACCGTAAGGTCGTTCGCAATCTGTTTCGTTCGCCAGCTGACTCGATGCCACACCGGGTCGAGCTGTCTGCGGACTATGGCATCAAAGTTTTGGTGAAGAGCAGAATCCAGCGTCCAATCATCCATCTCAAGCCCCGAGTTGGCCTTCTTCAATTCCGAAATACTCGTTTCAACGCATTCCATGACAGCTTGTTGGATCGCTTTCATCGAAGCTGTCATCTCGATCTCGAGCTCAATAACTTCAGCCTTCTTCTTGCCTTCGAGGCTCTGCGCGATTGAGACATGGAACCTTGGCCATAGTGAAGGCTTCCTCAGAAACAGATTTCGCATCATGCTTGCTAGAGGTGCATATGATGAAGTCAGAGGTTCGGGAGAGTCACTGAACGCTTTGAGAAATCCAATCTTGTTATGTTGCCTAAAGCATCGTACGATGAATGCTTCGGTACTGGTTGCGACAACGCGCTCGGCATGGAGGATTACCAAGCCTGTCACAGTTTCTGGATCCAGCAATTTGGACAGAAGATCCACGACGAGAATCCGACTGGTGAGAGAGACAATTCCTCCATCAGCGTAGATTTTCTCCCTCGCTGCGACGGTGGCTTTGTCCGTGTTTATAACACGAAGACCTTTCGCCAGGGGACTCCGAGACACGGCGTAGTGTTCGGCGAGGGCTTCGCCGATCCATTCGTTTTCACGATCCTCTGCCCCGACAACTATAACGAGGGAGTTGCCGGCCGCATCATAAGAATGAAGCAGGTTCGTGACGATCTTCAAAAGACCCAGCCCCCGAGCTAGGATGACAAGAACATCCTCGGTGCGAAGGAGCTGATAGATCTCCTGCTGAAATTGCTAGAGAAGACGTCAGCGACTTGTCGGACGGATGATAGGATCGATGGTGTCCTGGGGCCAACCAACGGAGGGAAGAATAAACAACGCCGTCAACGTACCAGAGGAAGCGAAAGCTTGACCGGCGGCTCTGAGGTTGCCGCCGGCATGGTCACATTGTTGTACCTTGTCTCAGGAGGAAAGTAAGGAACATTTTGTTTGTCAATGACAAACAAATCAGGCATAGAGCCAAGAAGGCTCGAAGGGGCAAAATGCTTATGCGGTCAAAGTGCTCTTGCTCCACCAAAATTGATACGGCAGGACTTATGACAGTAATATGCACTATCAAGTTCATGTGATTCGTTATATCGATCTAGAATACCCGATATCTTCATAGACTTCTGGCTCGTGACCAATAGCTTTGTCCTGTTTTACCAATCCGTCATATGCTCATTTGGGTATCTGGGGGGGAAAAAGAGCAAAAGTATCCAGAATCGTACAATCATAGTGGCCATCCAAGCCCCTTCCTCTGCTGCAAGACGCGCATTTCGCATGGCATGTATGGTAGAATCAGCAACTTTCCTTCTTCTCCGATTACCTAGGAATATATTCCGGCTTCTTATACCGGTTGAATTGTGGCGGAGGCTCTTCGTCGTCGGGATATGGGGGCCGCGGAGCTCCATTAGGCCTCGCGGGCGAGATGCGCTGTGGAGGATAACTAGGATATACGTGATCGTTGATCGGTGTCTTTGGAGGCCTTGGGGGTGGTACTTGTGATTCATTGTATGTTGAGGGGGGTGGTGGCGGCTGAGGGACGACCATCTTATCATCTCTACCTCGATATGGTAAATCACTGGACAAGCGTGGCGAAGGTGATTCTCCCGAAATCAAGACGAACTTGTCTTGCGAGGAGGCCAACTGATCAGGGTATGGGGGGTTTCCAGGAACGCGATAATGCTGAGGAGGGGTCGTCGGGTACGTCTCTTCGTCTGCCGGCAACTCGACCGCCGAGGGGTGAGATGGAACGGGAGGAATGTTGCTGTGCCTCAATGACCAGCTTGACTCCCGGGCGTATGCCTCTGACTGATGCTCATATCTCCTCTTCATCAGTTCGATTTTGGCCAATTTTGTTGCCATATCCATCAGTGCTTTCTGAGTTGCAGGCTCACTCAGATACTTCCTAGTGTTGACTGTCATCTGCGACAAATGTTGCCATTCGTTCATGGCAAATTCTCCAAGCCCAACCGAGACGTTGAGTCGACAATAGTTATCAATTGGGACGCCTCGCTTGGGCAATTCTGTCTTGAGCATTTGCTGGTGAGTTTCCTCACAACCTTCGATCTTGGATATGAGTCGGCGTCTGGCTTCCGCAAACGCGCCCATGCTGCCGCCGACGAAATCTTCCCACCATTCGTGTTGCCGGGCGTTGGTACCGTCGGGCCGCTTTCCTGTGCCAATGCTAACGAACGCGCCTATTTCTCTGCCTGGCCACTCGTTGACAGCGGCCTCTTCGAGCAGCTGCGGTGCTGGGTTGAATTTGCCCGCGCCTTCATCGATAAACACCGTTTGGCCAATCTGAATGGGTTTGAACGCCAGACCGACGGCGGAGGTGGCTCTTCCGGCTTCCCAGATCTTACAGTTATATTCCGGAGGTGGCTCTTTCCGACTATCGTAGCTTCGTAAAAGGATCGAGGAACCTGTTCGGGGATTTGTCCCTTGATACACTGCTGTGACAGCACTGTTCCCGGTCAGTCATGCCTGAAATGGAATCGAGAAGAAGCGGAGGCCACTCACGTCTTGGTTCGGTTAGGACGGCTGTCGTAGAGGCTGGCATTGGCGTTGCCCCAGGCTGGGAATGAGGGAGAGACGATGGAGGTGCGGAGCGGAGTCGCAGGACTGTTAATGGAGTTGGAACTTCTGACGCTCATCGACCTTCGAACAGCAGCGCTGGTGGTGCTGACGGGACTCGTCAAATCTTGGAACTCGCGTCCCCCAGAAGCTGTGCCGTCATTCCCCTCATCCTCGAAGAGCGTGTGTTCTTGAACACATAGCTTGATGGCCTCTTCGAGTTTGGAAGCCTTGAATAGAGTATGCTTGTATGGAATGCCGGCAAAAGTCTTGTCTGTCTCAAAGACTTTTCTTGTCATCCTCACGTAGACGGCCTTGCAGGTTTCCAGGTCCATGCGCAGGCGTCCCAGCATGATCGCAATCAATCCACCCGTCCCCGTTCCGCCAATGAGGTCGAAATAGTCACAAGGCTTTGGGGTTCCAGTCTGCCGGTCTGGCGGCTCCCCTTCGGTCACGACATAGACTCTGTGCATGAGTTCTTGGAGGATGATAAGCATCGAAAACCCGCGAACACCGCCGCCATCTAGTTTCATCAGCAAGTTGAGCGCAAACAACACAGAGATGTGAAGTCGAGACATGATCATTCATACCTAGTGAGAGAATGCGTAGAGGCGGACCTTTTGTGGTGTCCTTGCGCCTGAGATTGTTCTGATCCATCGTCGGTGTTGCAGAGATACGGGGGGAGGGAAGAAATCCAAGCAGGCGATGAGGACGAGAAAGGACTGAGGAATGAAGAATCAATGAGTCGGCGGTTCGACTTTGGTCGAATGCGGTTCTAGTTAGCAAGGCAATCTTCTTTGCGAGGGGCAACTTCCACCACGCCGCAGCCAGTGAATGGATGGTTTTAAGCCTGACAAGTGAGACCTGTGACGTGTTGCCCTGCGTCGTTTGCCTAGCCGAGCCCCCGTCGAGTCCCCCCCTCTTAGGTAGGCAGGCGCAGGGATACCGTTATTTGGAGGTGCCTAGAAAGTGGTGATGCGGCCACCCGGAACCTCCCAGCCACAGTGACGCCCGGCTCTGCATCTCCGAAACCTGGCCATCCCGCTTTTCCTGCTGAGTAATCCTCCTTGTAAGGCATTGTTCTGTGGCGCGAATTGGGCTCTACCTGGGCTCGCCATATGGGAACCTGCTATCTGAAGTGATTGAGAACGAAGGCCGAGAAACTAATAGAATCGTTTTTATAAAGGCTTGGCAAGCTACTCATCCTCGCACACAGAGAGTACCATTGAGCAAGACCTTGCAGCGTCGTGGGTGCGAGGTCCCATCACCAGCCATGTCTACCAACTTAGGCCCTGCTGCGTGACTCCGTAATGACTGATACCTACCTAATGTTTAGCTCGCTAGGCGTCGAGTCCCTAGAAACATGGCGCCTGGGCATTATTATTTGAGGAGGTGCTCCCTCTTCCTAGAAAACGCGCAGGGCAAAGTGTCTCCACCGATCATCTTCATCTCACACCATCTGAGGATCTCCCTTGCATAACTAGTAATAGGCTTCTGTTCCCCTTCCGCCCTCTACCACCAAAAGACCACCGCCTAATCATCCTTAGAAGCCAGCTTGCTGCGTCTGTTGCAGTGTACGAGTATATCTTCCATCTCCTTCAGCCGACCTTGCGCCCTCTAAATTCAGCTTGCTGAGTTTCAAGTTCTTTGCACGTCCTGTACCATCTGTTTCAATCGTCAATAACGACTTTTCCACTGACAGAAAGTCTCAATGACGTGCAGTTCCGATGCTCAGGGCCTTTTCCGACCGACCATTACTTCTGCTCAACTCAAGCCGCCGAAGATGTTGCCGTGGCTGTGTATACGAGGGTTTGTGTTAAAATCTGGACACCAGTACCTCTTCCTCTTTAAATCCACGCCATGGCCCATCCCAACAAGCGTCTCAAATATTCAACCGCGTGGTCTCTCAGATCGCGCATTCGCTTGGCTTACCAAGCTGAGGGCCAAGACCACGGACAGTTCATCGACCTATCAATCATTCCAAGACAGCAGGCAGGCTGTGAGTGTGACATATATAATGATGGCAGCCTCTCACTCTGGCAGACGATCGACAAGCGCAAACTCACACTCAAATATGTTGCGAAGCACCTCGTGTTCGAGTCGTTTCTTAAACCCGTCTCCTCGGGGCGGTGGGTAGACTGGAACACACCTTCTGAGCACCCATGGGTCTCAGTTAATGCAAACAATTCTGCCGCGAGATTGTCATACGAATAGTTGGCAACTCACCTGTCGTGAACATATCAGGATCAGATGAAGGACATCTGAACTTTTCAAGGCCATCAGGCATCTTGGTTCTGAATGAGACAGAGTGAAATTTCAGTCGCATCAGATTACACTTCCCCGACATCACTTCTGTCCACAACTGGAGCGCTACAAATATCCTCTCGTTGATCGTAGAACAGGATCATTTGTTAGGTCTGGAACAGGAGAGCGATATCAATGTCACAGACATTGCCGACACGAAGAAGAGCTGAATATTAGAATCGAGGATGTTCTTAGGCGTGAAGTGGCCAAAATCACGGCGGGTTCCTCCCGCCTCGCCCACAGTAGCTCGGACGAGGGCCACAGGGGCCGCTTCCCACGCTACATCATCATTGAACAGATTAAAACTGCCATTGTTGCCCATGTTTTTCGGTCAGGGCGAGGCAGTGAAAGAGGTATTGCCACTTGCAGAACCTGAGTACTTGGTTGACTTTTCTTCTCTCGACACCCTAAATCAACGTCGACGGCGCGTGATACAAAATATCTTAAACTACCAGGTGTCCCTTGTTCATGCCCGTTAGTACCGCTCCAGCAGAGACCATAGTCGCAGCTACAGAAGCGATTTTGGTAAAGGCTCCTATGGGTGCCTAGGACGAAGCTCCTAATTTGCGCACACGCGAGGATAGCCTATGGATTCCTCAATTCCCAATTGGGCATATCCGTCTTACACCTGAGCGGAAGGACTCGCTCGCGGGGTCAGGGTCATCATCTGTACATACTCACGCTCTTGTATCGACAAGCTGAAGGGAAACTGGACCCCTTAAATGCTCATTGCCTGGCACATTGGCGAGTTACGAGTTACCGATGCCTATAACTGCACACCTTGATAGTGTGACAATGCCAGTCCTACTGGGCGACCATCAGCAGCTCGGTCCAGACGCAGAACCACTGGAAGATGAAACAGGGAGGAACAAGACAACTTTTGAGAAGCTCATAGAGCAATGGCCTAGCTGCATGCTTGAGGTCGACTACGTGACGCACTCGGATCTATGTTTCCCAGGGAGCTCTGTCTTTTACCGCGAACAGTGGACTGTCATTCGACAGACATCAAACCTGGCACATTTTTGACAACTGTTCTAGGGGAACTTGGCATGGGGCAGCGGATCATGAAGGCTGTGGCAAGGTCACAGGGATCATATCCCTTTGCTCACTTCTTCAATATTCGTGATTCGACCAACGTCAGCGAAGAACCGTTGGTCAACTTTGTGGGTTTGCTTGTCAGAAGGCTGCTTTCTACGGGTGGGCGCTTGCCAAATGTCCCAGATCATGGTCATGTCTGGTGGTTGTAACTGTGGGAGACTTCTGCCAGGGAAAGCGAGCTGTGAGTGGAATGAGATGGCAGTCTATACTATTTCATCGGCGCAAGGGTAATCAACCCATGTCGCAATTTTCTGTCTGCCTCAAAAGGTCAAGGAACTGAGCTGTCACCCATGAGCAGGAGCAGATCAGCCTGCGTCACCATGTCTCTTGCCCCAGACATGCCCTACTTCGTCGGAAAGTGGAAGGTTGTCTGCGGTCTGACCCATACCCACGATCTACAACGGTCTATTTTTGCATATGGGAGACCAACCGCGATCTCATGGTAAGGGTTGGAGCCTCGCCATATACGTGCTGGGCACGCCTGCCGTCAATGAAGACGGCGACGGCTCGTGTCATCGGTACCTACTACGCGGTGCAGGATTTGACTGAAAGAAACGAAGCTCGATCACGAGTGATGCACCACGTCCATCCCAACTGCACCGAGGGTGGCTTTTCTCGAACAGTCCAAAACCCCCGAGCCAGAAAGAGAGGTATGCCGAAGATGGCTCCGGCATTGTTGGTTTCGTCCTGTACCGCCCACACTTCTCACAATTGAATCATCTGTTTTACTAACGTGACAAGGGGTGACAACAAATCTGTCGCTCGTTATTACCTCTATTTATTCGGAACGAGCTGTACTTGATCCGTCTCGCAGTTCATCTATCGGATTTTCTGTCCCTGGCCAAGCGATAAGCATCAGGATCTACGTCAAAGGAACTTCTCGATGGCGATCGCCTCGCCACTTGCTCGGGTTCCTGCGTTTCCGAGCAGCCATGATGAATAGATCCATTTAGGATCATCGCTAGCCAATTCGACCTTCATTCAACGAATACCTGCGCGTACAATATTAGAATAATGTGGCTCTGGTCGGTGGTTGGTCGATCCATGCACCGCCACAGAAGGATACGTACGAGGCTACAGACGTCGAACAGACCAGACTACACAACCACATGGGGCGCACGCATGATAAGAGCGACTCGGGTAAGGGCCTGGAAGCAAGACGGGCGAGTCGGACAGAAGACTACTGCCCACGGCTAGTGCATGGATTTAGACTTGTATGGCAAGGCTCACTGGCAGCCTTGAGGTTTGTCTCTTGTCGGCAAGGCAACAGTCTAAGAGGTCGGGTATTTTGTTCACTGGTATTGTAACAGCAGACTCCCCCTGCAGGCCTCTGTCCTTTGTACCAGATATTGGATGATATTGTACAGATTAACCCTGAGCGTAGCCTTGTCCTTCCTTCTCCCAACCCACAAGATGAAAAACTATCTCCCTGCCATCTGCGTTTCAATGTTCTCCTCTTGCAGTGGAGATCCTCTCCTGCTGCTGCTGCCACTGCCGCTGTCCATCTTGATCTCGCTACCTCTCCTTCTCACTCATCGAAAGAAAAAAAGACTTGATGTTATACTTCAACAAAGACTGTTAGGCTGCTCCACTAGCACAGGAAGATATGGCGTGGGGCCGCGAATGTTTCGACATGGGATCATTCACCTGGATGGGCTATTGCTGTGGGCCTGTCGTTTCCTCTTCTCCATATTGATGAATATATGAACCATCCCTCCTCGTCCTTTTCTCATGTAGCGCAGAGTGGTACTTGCGCGACTGACAATCAAACAACTTGCAAAGCCCCTCCCTTCGGCCGTTAAAGCAATAATATGCTATTTCAGATGATCGTAAACTCCGTGTTTAAATGACGAGGATGACTCTTTGATGGATAACTTGACACAATTACTCGACGATGCTGGCGATGGTTTTCGCTGGAACGCTTCGACAAATGCCGCCGGTGGATTTCAGGGAAATGGAGGACCTGCCCACATAACACATATATAGCGCAACACATGCAATAAATTCCGATATGGCGTCCATCCGCGCTCCCGAGGTCTTGGTGTACAAAAGAAAATTAAAATCTGGTCGAGTTGGCATGAATATGGTCCGACTGTATTTGGCATTATCGACTGGAGAAGCTGGAGCCAGTGCTCGTCGAAGCATGCGTCGACGATGGAAATACCTTCATGCGCACGTGTTCCAAGATCTTCAGATCTTTGGCTAGCACCGGTGAGATGGCCTCGTTCTCTCGCAGAATCTGCACCGTGCGTTCGTGTAATCGCCGCAACACATCCTCCTGCACTAACGAGCTCAAGCCAGGGTGGGGTGAGGTGAAGGTCGCGTAAAGCACAAGCATGTTCCCGAATTGGCTGCAATCATTTCACGTCAGTCACGATAAACTAGCAAATCACAGAACGGCGAATGATACTTACGCGTGAGCCGTGCCGAAGATGTTGGTTACAACGAGACGGCGTTGGACTTTGTCAAAGGAGGTAGTACTGCGGATCGCAGCCTCAATACACTTTCTGGAGCCTTCCAACAATTCAGGCTGGATGTAAGGAACGTCTCTCCCAAACGGATGGGGAGTATGAAGACTCGATACCGCGGGCGAAGTCGCCTCGGAATGGTGCCCATAGCCCGCTGGCGATTCTGATGGTCGACCTCTGGAGGGCTTGGGAGTGGGTGCAAGATTGGGATTGGTGGCAGCCTGTAACAGAGCAAATCGTAGAGTCGGTCGCCAGATGATGTATTTGGCACCATAGTATTTGCCTCGCATGCGGGCTACGTTGATATTAGGACTTTCGTGGTCATTGTCGTCCCAATCCCAGTCGTTCAGCATCCTCCTCCAATTTTCCAGGTTGTCGTCCAAAGCCGACATGATGCTGTCGCTTGGCCTAACCTGTAGGTTCTTCGATTCCCGATATAGGGTGGCGTGGACGCTGTTCATCGTGGTCCGCAATTGGATCTGGTACGAGTAAAACCTCAGGATGTCGTCGTCCACACTGGATTCGGGGATCCTCTCCAATGTGATACTAGTCGGAAACTCCTTGTGTTGGGGGCTCTCGTACCGACCAATCCCACTAAGAGGCAATTCCAATTCGGCCGCAATGTCGCTCTCTAATTGCAAGCATGACCAAAACGCAAAATTGACCAGATTCCGACGAGAGGGTTTCATGGTGTTTGTTACGTAAGGGGTCGACTCGATTAGGATTTGAGCTGCGACGCAAGCTTTGTTGATATAGAAGTAGCTGGGCAAAATCCGTGCTAGTTGTCCCATGTAAAGACCCGCGAGTAGATAGGCTTGAATGTGCGACACGTCAGCGCCCCCTGGCAGCTCTCCCAAGATGTCTGCAGCTATGGCAAAGTAAGCAAGGCCCGGTATGACGTCCATGTTCTTGCCCTGCGGATTCGCCGGACTTGAGACCGTCCCATTTAAGTTGGGTTGATGGTGATATGGAGAGGTGGGCGCTGACATGGGCATCGGGAGATCCGAGTACAGGGCGCTGTGTGGCGTCGACGTTCGCATGGAAGCGGTCGACGCGGGTCCCGGCAAAGGCTCGCGATGAGAGGTGATCTTACCCAGCGCGAGTACAAGCAAGACAATGGCATTTGCAACGGAATGCTCAATTGGAGCCACGGTGTGATTATAACCCTTGGGCTGAGGCGGGCGATTGTGGTAATCGTCGAATGAGGTCGGCGAGTCGGTCGTCTCCCGCTTACGCTTGTTTCCAATCGCCGTAACTTGCTGTGTTGCCCGGTAGTCCCAGCTGTATTTTCTTTTGAAGGTCTGAATCATGATCCGGAGGACCTTTGGCTCGAGGAATGGATGGTGGATATGCATATTGTCCATAAAACTGCGGAAGTATCGATCGACTGCATCCGAATCCAACATCAACCCACCACTGGGACTCAAGCCACCGGGATGTTCACGTGCGGAATGGCTTTGATTCGCCATGGGCACATGCAGCTGTCCACTGCCCCAGACACCGTGCGGTGAGGAAGAGGTGTCATCATCTGTACGTCGTCCTTCTGATGAGTTGCTGTTGGCTGGACTCGGAGCGCCTTCATGCCCATCATTTTTGTCCTCTCCTTCCCCACACCCATAAAGTCGCAACAAGCCTCGGCTGGTTTCCTCATCCAACACATATGAGGGTGTAATGCCTCTCGGAATCAGGGCCTTGATCGAAGGCCAGAGAACGAGATTTTGCGCTGCCGTTGTATGTTTGGCAGGCATAGGTGTATCTATACTCTCCGTTTCCGAGTTTCGCATGTGCATGATGGATGCTGCGGAAGGATTCTGGGATTGCGAACCAGACTTGACTTCAGACGTACTATCCTGTCGGCGGAACAGCGGTGGCGGAGGCTGAGCAGGACTGGGGCCTGCAGAGCTCGGGTTTGCAGGGCTTGGAACAGCAGAAATCGGATTCGCATCGCTCTTAATTGCAGGGCTCGGAACTGCAGGCGTTGTAACCTTGACATGGGTTTGCTGGTCGAGCATTGATACATCGGCTTTCGCTGGATATGGTTCTGCTCGGGACCTCGTGATATGGTCAAGCAACAGGTTAATTTTGTCGTCCTGCTGCTTCAGCAACTGATCCATCTTCTCGTCCCGCTCCTGGGCCTTCTGGGATAACGTCTTGACATCCTCGGCCAGCGAATCCAACTGAGCCGTGATGGCCAGGACTTGCTTCTCCGACTTTTGTGGAGGGATCTCTCGATATGAGCATTTCAACCCGTTGTCCTTACAGTGTTGACACTCGGGTCTACCTTCGTCGCACTTCGCCTTTCGTTGGCGGCACGAATCACACGCCTGGGCGGCTCGTACTGGTTTTCGTCTATGCTCACCATGATAGGGATAAGGATACGGGTATGGCCCGGGAGTTGGCATAGGACCTCCTGAAGGCGGTCCATAAGCCGGCGGCCCGGGAGGTTGTCCTGGCATCATCTCATGCCCAGTCACGACGTGAAGAGGAGGCGGCTGGTGAGTTCCGTTGAGCTGGGGCTCGGGCCCTGGGTAGGCATGACGCGGCCTGTAGTCGGCTGGGGGAGGATAGTAGGGAGCTTCGTGGGGATTGGTACTCACAGGGTGATATGGTGGAGGTTGTTGCGGTGGTTGTTGGACATCGGCTGGGGACCTCGAAGGGCCCGATACACTGCCAGGGCGGCCGTAACCTGGGTCCGGAGGGTAACCTGGGGGTTCTCTGCCAGGCGGGGGATGACTGGGAGGATAGGCCTGAGGAGGTGGAGGATATGGCGACTGATGAGGGATGTCTGGAGGCGGAGGGCGGTGCTCCGCGGAGTCATTGTATGGCGAAGGCGTCGGGTTCCACGCCGGCGCCGGTGGTGGCATACCTGCGCCTCCCGGAGGAGGATAGCTGTACGACGTAGGGGTCTCGGCTGGCGGCATACGGTGGATAGGATTTGGAGGTGGTTGGCCGTAGGGATGTGGTCTCTCGTGCTTGATATCCACGTCACCGACTTCATCCATTTTCAACCCGGGATCCTATGCCTGACAGCAACCAACAAGCCCGTACCTCCCACGTCTCTATACCCAAGGGAACGTGGTACGGCAAATGCGGCATGACCTTATGCAAAGGCGAGAGCGAAACACGCAATCAACAAGACAGGCTCATGGCAAATCGTTATACGACGCATTCGCTAGGCTGCATAACCTTCCTGTCGTCGCACGTCCGGATTCGCCTGGTGCAGGTGCGGTAACCTAAGGTCCAGTGGGCACAGGAGACTTCGGTTGGTTGGAAAAAATGGGAGACCAAACAGTGTACGTCTGCGGGGGCGGGTTTGCTGCTTTCGCAGCGAGCCTTTCCTTTGACTATGACGAGCCCGCAGGGGCGCAGCGCAACCAGAGAATTAATGCCTAGGCGGGCTGAATCGCAATCGGGTGGTGGATTGGTCGGAGAAAGATGGTCGTTGGTGGTGGTGGTGGTGGTGGTGGTGGTGGTGGGCTCGTAATCAACAACAAACACAATAGTCCTCCCAGAACCCAAACAAATCCCACAGTTGTGGACCGATGTCTGAGCAAAGACAACTCGAGATCAAATACAGACGCAGAATTGCGAAAGGCAGGCTGTTTTCGAGTTTTGACGGTCCGTTATTGGGTTGCGACGTCGCGAAAAGAGTTGGAGGGCACTATCCTTGATTTCGAGATGGGAAGTGGGTGTCGCCGTCGCGAAACCGTCACCAGGACACTGAGCGTTTCCTGCCTTTCCCTTTGGGCAGCAAAGGACAATAAGCTCGAACTGGCTTCGACCCGTTGATGTTTGACGGATTGTCGTCTGACCCGGAAAAAAACCAAACAAAAGTCGCTTCCAAGACGTCTCTTTGACCCGTGCTTTGGGGGTATTGTGGTGGGGAAGCAACCGAGGCGAGAGCTCTTCTCGAGCGCGAGATGAGCGCCCAACAGCTACACGGAGCTTGCCGTTCCAAAAGTGATCAGCATTCGAGCGAGCCTGATCCGACGAATGCTAGGGATTTTCAACGACGGGCAGGGCGACGATGTTGGAGAATGAAGCAAACAGTCGAGGGAATGATTTTTTTGGGAAAAAGCGTCGATCACAATGGAAAGAAGGGTTTGAAGCCTGAGCGAGGGACTAAAAGTAGTGTGGTGATGGGTGATGAGTGATGGGGGGGGTGGGTAGGAAGCGGCGGCAGCAGGCGGTCGAGATAACTTGGCTGCTCAAAGGTGGCAGCGAGGACATACCGGTAGGAAAGAAGCTACTCTTGTCCGGCCGTGGATAGCGTGTCTCTGTGTGGTCGAAGCCCTGCCCGTCGATCGGTGCTGCGGGCTTGGAGCTAAGGTTGAGGGAGGTTGTGGACAAGAAGTGACCAAGACTGACATGGGTGGAGTCGAGTAGTTGTATGGGTGAAGGAAGGATTGGGCCATTTGAACCAGTCGATGGCTCGACGAGAAGGGGTGCAGTTGGCGGGTCGGTGTTCAGTGAGGCACAGGCGATTGGGGGGGGGGGAGGGCGTTTGACAATCGAGAAAAGCAAAGCTTGGTCAAGGTTCAGGAGGAGCCGCTCGCGTGGGGGGGGGTCCCCAAGGCCCAAAAGCACCTAAAAAAATTTGAGCCTAATACCCTACGAGCACCTTCCAGAGGGACTAGGGAGAGACTCGGAGGTATTAGCAGCTGAGCAGCTGGAGAGGGCCTAGCAGCCTAGCAGCTCTAGCCAGGTTCGAAAGTTAGAAGGCGAGGAGCACAAATCCCCCCTGGTCCCCCCTTCCCACCCGTCTCGCCGTCCAGCCCGGCTACTGTTGGGGCCCAAAAGATCACAAGGGGGGGTTGAGAAGCGGGGGGGAGGGGGCCCAACCCAGAGCAATGGCACCGAATGGAAATCGAGATTGTTAGCTTGCTAGGCCTGGTCAGAGGTCTCAGCAACCCAGGGAGGCGTCGGGAGGATACAGCCCGCGTCGCCCACAGTTGCCCGCTGCCCGCTTGTTCACACCTCCTCCTACTTTCGCGCCATGGGCGATGCGGCAATCGGATTGTACGAGTAGCTGTTTGCGAAACTCGGAAGAACAAGGTTTGGGCAAACAAGCCGTCGACTCGAAATGTCAGCCCAGCCCAGACCGGCTCAGCCCATCCCAAAGGGATAGCAATTCGGAGGCGAAAAGCAATGGAACGTTGCAAGCTCCGGGAGCCTGGCAGAGTTCACGCACAGGCCGGTATCACAGATCCCGGCCACCATGATGATGATGGATGATGATGAAATACGAGTGCTCTAACGGGCACCATGGTTGAGGATTTCTAGCAGATGCCGTGCCACTAGGTGCGCACAGGGCACCTGGTTGGTGGGTGGGTGGAAGTGCCCGGTCCGCTCACGAAGGAAGCGAGGACGATTGGCCACGACCACACGACCCTTCATAGCAATTGACGGGAGGCTGTTGGTTACCATAATGACACGAATTGTGTCCATGTACATATCGAGTACTCGAGACTGTGCTGAGGTGGGTACAGTACTCTTCTGTACCTGATGATTGTTCGGGCAAGAAGACTTTCTCCCTACAGGAGACAGGGAGGCCACGCTCACTAATTACTACCTGTAAGTGGCTGCTGAATAGGATTCTATTCCTGGCAAGAGACTGGTCGCTGGAGCCCCCATCGATGTCAAGTGACTTGTCCTTCATGTGTCAGACCCATGATTTTTGGCCTCTCGTGGCCCACTCCCAAGGTCTGGGCCTGGGTCGTCGAGCTGGTCACGAGAAATATCTACTCTAACCTATGTATTATTATACGAGGTACACTCGGGCTGGGGCCTCCTTGGACAGTCCTCCCTACTCTCTACTGCCGACCAAGACGTTTGTTGCGACCATGGTTTAATCGCAACGACACCAAATGTCGGGGAAAGAACGGTTACGGGCGTCTGTCGTCAAGAATGAGTGATGCATGGGCCACGCAAAATGGGGCGATTGCGAAGTTGATCAAATGAAATTATACCGCCTGACCCGCGTACCGAAGTACCAGGTACTTGCTTGGTAAGAAAAGAGGAAAAAAATTCTCAAAATCACAGCAATGGGGATCTGCGGGACTCTTCCGGGCCTCTTGGGTCGTCGGTTTCTAAGTCGGTTCAAGCTGTCTTTACCCGTTATGGAACAAAAGAAGTCGAGTCAGGGGCGGTCGACGTTGAGTCCATATATTCCACGGCAATGATCTGCCTCGTTCTTCAATACCCTAGGTATACTCTGACTCCTTGTGTAACAATTTGTACGGTCCCTAAACGTTTTCTGTACCGGGTTTCTTTCCTGCCCCTCCTTCAGGGTACCTGGTCCTTGCTGCGCGTCATTCATCTCTTCTGATGCCGGTGATGCTTCTTTCGAGTCGGTACATATCCGCCTGACATGGACCATGTGCGAGGAACCAAGTACTGCATCCCGGGTCTCGGCCCTTCAGAAAGTCCACTGTGTCGAAACCTGCCTCTCCTTGTAGTCAGTCTTCCGTACCGCGTTTCGCGCTCCACTGCTCTCATCGCTGCCGTGTCATTCTTGTTTCCGAGGTGGAACCTGGTGATATCATTCTCCATCATACTCCCGGGCTCAAGCGTAGGAACTCCGTACGTATGTACAGTATAATGTGAATCCTTTTCGACCATCGCCGTCAAGTGCTGCCCGTTGTGGGCCTCTTGATCCTCTTGTTCAGGGGTGAAAACTCCCTGACCTGGAATCTGGGTATGATGTTATCCCCCACCCAGCCTCCATCCTCTCTTCATCAGTCAAGGTCAACCAAAATTGTCCGTCGGGTCTCGTCCCAGGCGGCCGTTCCTGGCTCTTCACTACCTTACCCGGGATGTCGCCCAAATCTCTTTCCCCATCCACTCCCCAACTTGGGGAGGACCACCACTTCAATGCTCTGGCCCTTGACCCGGTTGGGAATGGAGTCCGAGAAGGTTCACAGATTACGGATGGAAATCAAGCAGGCCCGGAATCTGCCCGCCAGACGCGTGCGGTTTCCGAATTCTCCGAGATGGTCGTTTCATCTTGATCCTCGCTTGTGCTTGGTGGTCACTACACAAGGAATGAATGATACAAGGTCTTCGGAAGGTGCTCTGTACCTCGTACAGACGGGGAACACAACGGCCTTTTCCGCCTTTTCCCATATGTGTGGATGTGAATGCCTGCAACGGTAAGGGTCACAGGGCTAGGGCCTCAAATCGTAGTCCGCCAATCATTATCAGAGCTTCCCACGGAAATCCTCTAATCGCATCAGCTCCGAGAAACCAATTTGTACAACGGCGTCGCACGTGAGCCACTCCCTCGTATACTGTACGAATGTTCCTAGACAACAGCAACGACAACAACAAGCTTGTGTCCAGGAGTTCCATTTTCGAGATGGTCAACCGAACCGGATTGTTCATGCAGTAGAGCCTGAAGCGAAATTCTAATCTGAAACGCTAAAGCTCTCACCCACTACCCTTCTCTGCGTAGTTCAAGTGGCCGAATTCGCGTCTCTGGTAGGTTTGTTGATTCAAGTGCTCGACTTGCCCTACTCCATACCGGGGAGCCCCTCGTACCCGAGCCGGGATGCTCCGGATAGTGATACCACGCAATCCGAATGACTCGGCTTTCAGCGGTGCTCCGAGAACCTTTGATTTGGATATTGGAGGATGCGTCAGACGTATTGGGTGATCCTCGCGTGCTTAGAGGCGATGGTCGCAGGCTTTTTGGAGGAGAAACAGGGGGGCTCCGTAACGACGCCTCACTTACAAGTCCCTACCGGTATGCAAGTAACATGGCCTTTAGCGATGGCCGGGGGAGAAAAATGGGCTGTGCACATCTCTGCGGCGACTTGGTTCGTAACGCGCAGGGTTCCCCAAAAGGTACTGGGGTACCTTGAGCGGAAGCGCTCTCTGATTGCGTAAACCCAAAGTGGGCATGGTCACCAACAGGGAGGATGGATGCCCAGTGACTCTAGCCAGCACCAACGACGCTTGAAATTGTTTGGTTTGTTGCGAAATCGGAGCGATGAGATCCAGGGAATTATTATCCGAGGCTGCCTCCCGAAGCCCAAGAGAAGGGAGTGACCAGGTACAAGGAAGCCCTCCATCTGTCCTCGATTACTATGACCCCCGAGAGATTGGGCAGCAATTATTATCTCGCCTAGTTCACCTTCCACAGACGGGTTACTCGCGGCAGAGGGCCGATTCCTGAACTCCGGTCCCCGAGGTTGTGGGAGCCCTTCCCTGGCATTGGTGACGCTACCATCCTGCCCTCCCTAACCGATCTTCACCTTGACCTGAAATGTGTGTGCGGGCATGGCGCCGAAACGAGATGGAAACAATCTGCATCAGGTCGCCTTCTAGCGGTGGGCCATGTCCAAGCGTCGTAATTAAGAAATCCCGGACGCACGAGACGCCATCGCAAGCACAGTAATCGCAACAGGTCGGTGTCTCTATCCATCAACAGCCCCCTTCTGAGATCGATTCCATCGACGTCGCTCGAGTCAGGCTTCGCAAGTCAGAAGACCCTGTCCAAGGACCAAGGTTGATTTCGTTTCGAGTGTTGATTACGAAAGAGCGCGATGGAGACGAGGTTTCGACCATCTCGAGAATAATGGAGAGGTGGTTCCCTTAGGTATGGTCGATATACTCAGTAGTGCCACGAGCTAGTCCTTCGCATCAGCCACCCAGGAAAGACAGTCGGCGGTTTGAAGGTACGACTGGTTGCTTGCGAGAGGCTCGCTCCCCTGAGTGGCTTTTCTGACCACCACCAGGGCCTGGTTCCCCGCCAATCTCACCCACGTGGCGGAGGCCCAGCAGAGCGGCACGGGCGCCCGAGACTGAATCGTTGCAGGCTGGGCTGATCTCTTCTTTGGGCCTATTGTCAGCCTAAGAGAGGCCGCCCAAACGGCGCGTCGCTCCCTTTCGGGCCTCTCCCGCAAGCCACTTTGATGGCAATGGGTGTCTTCCGCTCCAACTCGTCGACTCGTAACCACTTGATGTTCAGACTCCTGTCTCGCTTCGACGCACAGGGGAAGCTCGATTAGCGACCTGGTCGTGCATGCCCTTGCTCAACCAAACCGCCTGATGGCTTGCGAGCACCTCCGGATTCGGAGTTGCACAGAGTTGAGTCGTGGGGTATTGACGGAATGGCATCGTATTTCCGCAAGCCACAGGGCTAGCTACTCATACGAGTACATGGCAGCCCGAGATCATCATCTGCCGAACGAGGATCCAGTGGACTGTAGGAATTTGATAAGTCTTCTGGCGGCTTTCTCTACTGAGAAATCTACACACTATGGCTGGAGGATGACACTGCACTCCACTTCCCATCGCACTGGAACGCTCAATTTCGGCCTTCTGGATTGTTCGAGACGCCTTCCCTCGAAAGATAGAGGCCCCACCACCCATGGCGACTCGAAGCAATTTGGCGGCGGTGGGGAGGGTTACAGTGGCCGTGTACTCGGTCCATCGCACAGGTCTGAATGAGGACATGGATAACCCCCGTTCATTACCTGTGCACCAGAAGCCGAAGCGACCCATAACACAATATGCTCTGATCATTCTACTCGGTACTTGTCTGCGATCCTGTACCCGGAGGGCTCCATGACACCTCGACAACCCTGCATGTGTCCAGATGATCACTCAGCTGAGGCACATCACCTTGTACTTGGGAGGTATCATCGTTGTGGCAAACATCATGATAAACTTCACGCGCTTCCGAGGATGAGGAATAAACTTTACAAACAAAGGCAGTCGTGGGGGTTATTCAAGCATCTTGTTGCAGCCCAAAAGGAAGCAACACCCACAAAGGCCGGTAGTCGACGTAGGTTTGGACTTTCCGAACTGTGGAGATGGAGCGGGATATCATCGCCGAGTCTTAGATGTACTGCATGGATGAAGATTGAAGAGGCGGTGTAACCTTTGCGGCTCACCGACTGCATATTCAGTGAAGGTTTTTGATCGAGTTCAGTCAGGGTCGAGTATCGATACTTTGCGACGTCGATTTTCTGACTCCGGTGGCGACAGAACAACGATGCGTTCTGCGTTGTATGCATACGCCACGGATCTTCAAGCAATCCTGACCCTGCTGAAAAGCTACGCGAGGATGGCTATCTCATTGAGAGGGCAATTGGAGCCGGGCTTTTCACAGGTGAACAAGGGGGGGTGTTCTAGGTTTCCGGGGCGCGCGGCATTGACCCAGTGCCTTGGTTCTGGGATGACACTACGTTCAAGTTTAGCTGACCGACAACTTCCATTCAGATTCACCCTCTGTCACGATTCGAGTACTCGGATGGCACTCGGATGGCATGAGAGGGAGGACTTGGAGGTCACAGGGGCCGTTCACTAGTGTCTTCCGCCAGGCACAAAGGACGAGTACTCCATACATATCTCGTACACCCACAAGTGCTCTAGTCCACCAGCATCCATCACTTGGTTTCACTCAGTCACCCCAAAGGGCATTGGTAGCTACGGGCTATCATCGCAAGCGATAGACTATCTGCCATGTCGGCAGCTGACGGTCAGGCCAAGAATCCGCGCCTCACTGTCCATTCCTCCCCCCCATCCTCCATCATCATGGCCCATCATATCAGCAGCCACCAAACTTGGCGATGAATCCCTGCATATTATAATGCCCATCATGAAACAAAGGGTGCATGAAAAGCAGAGTCCACATATTCCGAGAATATGTGACTGCACGAAGGCAGATTTCACACCCGTCATTGAGCAATCTTCAACTCTCGTAGTAGTTAACAGTGTCATCACTCAGAAGATCCAGCACAATGTCCACCATCCACCATTCGTGAGCAGTGTTGGCCGCAGGCGTGACCGGGGCGCGTTCCGACCACCAAAATCACGCAAGCTGGCCTTGGGAGGGATATTTCGAAGTCTGGAATTTCGCGTTTGCCTCTGGACTTTTTCTTTCCGGGCGTTTCCAGGTGTCCTTCGAGGGCCCGAACCAGTGGTTCTCGGTCAGCAGAAGACGCGCATCCAACCGCGACAAGTCCGTAGAAGCACTGCGGCGGTCATAGGAGTACTCGTACATAACGTGCTCGAAGGAGGGGAAATTTGAGTCCCCCCACTACTCGAGTCCTTCAATCAATACAAGCTTCGGCCAGGGCTAGCCTCCCCGTTACCACGTGGGCCGTGGCGTCGGATCAGCCTCCAAAACAGCTGGTCCGTCCCAAGATCAAGAGACGGTGTGATCAAGACATTGGCAAATCGGCTTGGAGAAACGGCGAAGTGGCAAGAAATGCCTTTGGTAGCGCCAAGACAATCGAGTAAAGGATATGGAGCCTGTTGCGCCTGCGTATCTGCAACTGCGCCAAAACAAGAAGGAGATCAGTGAAAGATACCGTCAAAGAAGGAGCAGGCCATATTTCGGATTCAGCAGGTGGACGGAGAAGAGGAGTAAAAGGGTATGGTGGATCAAGGCGAATCATCGACTCATTCGCGGCTCTGATGGCAAAGAAGATCAAACAACGGATCTGAAAATCAGCAAGCTAAGGGGGAAGCCTAAGCATGCCAATCGGGTGGCCATGGGCACGCCTAACAGGAATACTCGTGCCTCCCAGTACGTAAGTCTGTTCCCACATCCAACGTGGCAGGGCCGGTCAAAGACGGAGATCGAGGAAAGTCCGGGTGCCGAAGGGGCAGGAAATCTTTTACCACACAGATCCAAGTACAATTCGTACCCACAGCGACACATTTTCACTTATGGGATCTTCACACCCCTTGGAGTCCTGATTGCCTGCAGCGTTGAAATACTTGACCCAGCCAGAACACTCGCAGGGGCACCAAAATCCCGTCTCGTCGTCACTCTGCAAACCACCTTCCCCTTCCGCAACAGGGCCTGAAGCCTTCGCTCGCCTCATTTTCTCTACGGAAGAGAATGATTGGCTCGATCGCAGGGCCAGTCCTTTCCTCACCACGTCCTTCAATGTCCCACGTATCCTTGGCTCTGCTTATCTTTCCTGTTGTTGAATATCCGCGGGCGTGAGCAATAAGTTTCGGGTTTTGCTGTTTGCACATGGTGATGGCCGATCTTTCGCATCACGCAACAGACGAAACCATACTGGACAGCGGACGCCGGGTGTCTTGTCCGGCGAAACCCTGGCCTAGACTCGCCCACGCACACATCCCTGCCATGCGGCATCAAGCAGTTTACTACCTCTTGGCTTCAAAGTCTGAGTATGTGACCCTTCCCTTCTGCCCAGTTTGATGCAAGGTGCCATGGTTGCGTGTGATTGATTCACGCTTGGTTGATTTGAGAACCGACAGCTGTCAAATGGACCACGCAAACCATATCACGAGACAGCAACTTGAAAAGGTTACGAGTTGCCACGGTCGCTTGGCATCTTGTGACACCCCAATCGGTTTGTTTTCCTGGGGCTGGGGGCACTTTTCGCAATGTCGCTCACGGATCGTCCACGCGTAAAGTCCCTTGCTTCTGCTACAGCATTTGGCGAGCGGATCCTGGCTGGGGTGAGGGAAAGGAAGAGGTGAGGCGAATGACACTGTTCTAGACATCACTTTTCCTCCACTCGCACATTTCGCTACAATAATGACAGGGCTTCTCTGGAAGGCTTGTGGTTGAACTTCGATCCGAAGTTTTTGATCCGATCACCAGACTGGATGACGGTGGATCTGGGCATAAAAGTCTGCTTCGCAATGAAACTGGGCACGTTGCAATGGCCGCTCCAGAGAAGCAGAAACTCGGGTCTTCCCTGTATCACAGTCTCAATGGGATTTCCGGCCCTCATCGACGCGAGATTGACAGGTCAACCACAATCGCTGCATGGCGCAGTGGTTACATGGGTGGGGAGCCGATGGGTACACAAAGCCACCCGGTACCCCAGTCAAACGGTGGGCGTTGAGATGTGATGTGTCACCTCGTTTGCTGCCCTGTTCACTTCGCCAATGCATGCGCTTATCGCTCCATCCCAGGGAGTCTCAAAAAAGAAATACCGAAGTTGGGGAGATGATGTAGCATTCAGAGCTGCATCAAGCAGGGGAGGAAGCAAACACGGTCGCTCGACGACCAGTTCGAACAAAGTGAGGAACACGCAAAATTGAGCAACCATCACTCATCTCGAGTCTGGTGCCTGGAGTGACAACACCCCCGTTTGGAGCCAGCTGGTGAATAGTCCAGCCACAACTGCACGGGGCCACTACTGGTTCACATTTGGTCCATCGCCCAGTGTCACACTGTTCACATTTTCCCACCCCGGTCACCGCCATTGCTTTCGATGAAGTCCTTGACCAGTTGAAGCGCGGCAATTGCAAATGCCACCATATTGGCCTGCCTATCACTTCCCAGCCCCGTATCCAAATCCTTGCTCGAACCGCCCTTTTCGTCCACCACTGCCAATGCGACGTAGCCCCTGTGATTTTCCGCCTGGTGTCAGCTTCACTTGCTCCGTTATGAGGCGTCATCATGTGTGAGGCGGATGAGGCGGGATCTATGTCCAGGAGAATGACTTACGGCTGCCTGTTTGGGGTCTTGCCACTAGCAGTTGGCCCTGCTGTTCCCGACTGTTGGATTGAAAGCAGTCGAGTGAGCTACAAGGTTTCATTTGAGAGAGCCTTTGTCTGACCTTGGGGCCGTCGCCCTCTCCCACAAGATCGACCGGCGTAGAGAGGAAAAAGGGAGTACGTACCTCACCCACGCAATAAGTCCCTTGCAGCTTTTCCCTTACGCTCTTGGCAAGTCCTTCCACCAGTTTCGGAGTAGGTCCATCATAATTGTCTATGTTCTGTTGCGTCCAACCGGCGAACGCAATCCTGGATTCCAACGTATACAGCGTCAATCCGCCCTTGTAGATCCTGCTAGCCCCAGGGGTCGCAAGCAGTGAGGCGGAGATGAGCCCTCCCGCGGCAGTTTCTGCCACGCAGATGGATTCACCTCGAGACTTGAGAAGGGATGCAACCTCCTCGGCGGCGGACCTGAGTTGAGGTGGAGGGAACTCTGCGGATGACATCCTGCTGCGTTGACCGAGATTGGTGCCGTGGAATCCGAACGCCACAGAGAGATTGCAAAAGAGACGATGCGGGATGTGGCACTGTACAAGTCTACGAGGGTAGGCTGAATGCATCAAAGATGGAAATGATGGATTGACGAAGTCCAAGGAGGATATCTCAATGCCTTTGTTGGAGTTTTGTTATCAATACATAAAATGCGGGGAGTCAAGGTTCCAGCCTCGGGAGAAGTGAAGACGTGATATTGGAGCATACATCCTGTTCAGCATTTGTCCAGCCTCGAAGACGATGTTTCTCGACTCAGGAATCGAGGTCTTTACGAGCCAGGGATTCAATTATCCTGCTTCACAGGGTGTTCGCCGACCCTGGAACTCTGGTATACTCCCGACTAGTGTAACCATCTATCACTTTCTCACCAGCCTACTGTCAGATTTGAAGCCGCTCAGACGACGGTGTTCGAGGCCCAGCCTCACTCTTCTTCTCCTGCTGGATGATCTTCTGACCTCTTCTCCATCTCTGCAGAGTACAAGCTCTGCATTCCACCTTTCGTCTTCTTCTGGCAGGCTGCGTTAAAACCCACTGTGCCCCTGGGGTATCTTTTCGTCCTCGATCCGAACTCGGTCCCCAAACCGACTGCCTCTCTCTCACCTTCTCTCCTTCGACAAGGCCCGATGGGGACACCAGCTTGTTGCTTGTTGCTCGTACACGCCCTGTCTTGTGTTCGAACAGCAGATATCGGGTTTCTACATCTTTCTAATTCAGATGAGATTTATCTTGGTATAGACCTTTTCCCCAGGGATGTTCTCTACTGTTCCCGAGCGCAGTTTCTCTACGCATCAAATTGATCCCAGAACCGTTTCGTCGGCACCTTGTATTCTCCCTCAATACCTTCCCGAGTCCTGGCTCTTAAGCTCCTTTCGAGAGTTTGAGGCAATCGTTCGACTTATGCTTCGAGATTAAGACGGTCCTTCGAGAGAGCCTTGCCATGAAGTGTAACGAAAGATCCTTTTGGCCTTTGGTAACAGGCAGAGCACTTGAAGTGCACGCGAGCAGCAGCCAAGTGCTCCTGGAGGTCAAGGAGATTGTGTGGAGATGTTTGGAAGACAAGGTTGGGTGAAAATTGGTCGCGAAGTCTACGAACTGATCGAGCTTAGTTGTTCCATCGTTGCATTATCAACCTAAGTGAGAGCACCTTCTCTACCTTGTTCGCATACGAATACCCGTTTCCAAGTCTTTGGGAATATGTGCCTGCAAAGAGGAGATGATCGAGACACAGCAAAGTTGGAAAGATCAGGGCGTGAGGGCGTGAGGAAGTGAAGGCACCAACTGGTCTGCTGCTTCATTTAATTCTTCCGCTGTTCGATCAAACTCGGATTTTGTCTGCTTCAGTATACGACTAAAACTGGCTATTTCCAAAGAGTCAGCGTACGGGAATGCTTTTGAGGCATCATGCTGGCTTGCAAATGAAAGAGCTGTCATTTCCTGTGCTGAAGCAAAGCACAAGGTGAACAATTTGGTCTTGAATCCCCCTTCAGATGCTATCTTGTCCAACCTCCGTTGATGATGAGATCCTCTTCCCTCACCACGAGTCCAAACTCTTTTCCCCTCAGCAACAAAGCGCTCGATCCCATCTTCTTGAATCTGTTGGCTAACACGGTCTCAGACTTCAAATCCCTATTAGTTCTATCGAGACATGCCACAGGATCTTCACTCAGGATCCCTCCCCGAGTGCTACCTTTCTATCCTGCCCTTGATTTTGTTACATCCAAAACAAGCTTTCTGGTGCGCAGAATACAGATATGCGTGGAAAAGGAGGAAATACACTGATGGATACTACAGTGGCTAGCACGTTCTGCTGCACTGTGAGTATCTGTTTCCAGAAAGACGACCTTGCAACCGAACATGACGCGTGGGCAGGCTGCGTGAAGCACTGTACCGGGATCATCCAGGACCGAGATGCGCCATCGATACGGATTAGCACAGCATGGAATGCTACTATCTCAAAAAGACAAGCCTGTACGTTCGGCTGGCGGTTGCTTCATGGGATCTCGCCGGTGAGCCAACCTGGGACAGGGGCCAATCTCAAATGATCTCATGCATGGAGCATTACATATCAAGCGCGTCGAGCTTGGATATCGTCGCCTCGGAGTCGACCATGAAGATACCGAGTATAGAATCTCTTACAAACCGGGCTACTTTTTCAAGTCAAGAAAACCCTGGCACAGACGCAGGATTCTGAAAGAGCTTGACAAGTACCTTTTCGTTACCGCACTTGAGAGAACGTGGCACAACAGACATCCTCGTTTCAAACTGCTGCTTTCAAATCTTGAGATGACCTTTCAGCTGTTGCACGTCGAAATGTTGAGAGGGAGAATCGAGAAAATAGGGCAACGGAGGGCTTGGTGATACCATCCACGACAGTTTCGAGATTGATACTGTTCCCTTGTCGGTCAAGACAAGCTTCGGGTTCTTCCCTAAAATGACCGATTGAAATGGACTGCAATTTGCCGCAGGTTATACACTTGCAAGAGACACGGAGACGCAGAGAGACAGACATATAGATAGAGAATGCAATCTCGAAAGACCGACCGCAGCCTTAAACTCATCGGCAGCTCACATAACAAGTCTTAGAGCGACCTAATACCTGGTCATGGCCATAGATCTGCCACATGCGTACGTCGAGGAATTGAGGATTAGCTGTAGGGTGACATCCGCGAAGCGTATCCAGTCTATCACCTTGAACATGGAGCTTTGCCGGTTTGTACAAGACGACAAGCGAGGGAAAGACTAGTTGAAAGCATACTTCCGTGCTTAGATTGGCTTACTTTGAGCTGAGAGGAGGCCATCAGTATTACTACTGGCATGCCTTGAGCCATGGGCTGGTCGTGGTTGGGCCGTCTCAGGTCCAATGTAAATTGCTTAAAGCTAGGAGTTCTACGGCCGTGAGACCGCTGACGAACCCAGACTTGCTCTTGAATCAGAGAGAGTTGCGATTCTTGCTCAAAGACCACTTGACTTTGAAAGACTGCTAGTGCCCCATATTCTGAGAAAGTAAGAGAGCGCGAGGCTGTGATTAGTTCAGCCTTGGTCGTGTTCTAGCCCTTGATCTCGACGTGCTGCTCTGCAGTCTTTCCCTGGAGCTCAATCCAGCGCTCATTGCCGTTCTCTCCTTCATCCTCTTCCAGATCACGCTCGGCTTTCTTCATGCCGGTGACAAAGGCGCTCTTGGAGAACAAAAAGTCGACCTGCTCCAGGGTCTTGCCGCCCGTCTCTGGACACAGGAAGAAGACGAATACGACGGCCACGAGGTTGCCGCTGAGGACCCACAGCCAGAACTTCCAGCCGACGTTGGTCAGGCCGATGGGGCCCGCGAAGACGGTGATGAAGGTCATCAGCCACTCGCCGAACCCGGTGAATGCGCCGCCGACGTGTCGATACTCGAGCGGCGCGATCTCGGAGCAGTACAGCCACACGCAACCCTGCCAGGCATATCCAAACACGAACAGGAAGGCGAAGATGATCCCGATCCCCGCCCATTGGATGGACTGTGTCGCGGGCACAGCTTGGAGGACCGTAATGATGAGCATCGGGACGGACATGACGCAGGCTCCGTACAGAAGAACGGATCGCCGTCCGACCTTCTCAATCGTGAAGTAGAGCGGCACACAGCCCAGCGCAAAGCAAATGTTGAGAATACCCGCGAGCAGGCTGACTAGGGATGGGGCGGCGCCCACTCGGCTGAGAATAACAGAGCCTGTATATCGACCGGAGTTAGCTTGATGACCAGCGGCTTGAGAGGAACGGTACAGTACTCCAATAGGCAAGCAGCGAAGAACCCATCCATTCTCGGATCATCGGAAGCCAAAAACAGATGCATAGCCGTCTGATGATCTTCATAGGCGTGTGGTCGATGATGCCGCTCGTCGTGAAGGCCTTCCAGTGTAGACTTGACTTTGCCTCCTCTTCTGCTTCGATGGCGATGAGAATCTCACGCTTGATCCTCTGGACTTGTTCCGAGTCGATAGGGGCGTCGTTCAACCGCTCCAGCGCGTCGTCGCCTTCCGTGTGGCGGTTCTTCGCATAGTAGTATCTCGGTGTATCCGGTAGGAAAAGCATGCACAGTCCCGCAACGAGCGCAAAAATACATTGAAAAGCAATGGGAACTCTCCAGCTCCATTGGCCATTGGACTTGATACAGCCGTAGTCAATCCAATATGCTATTGGCACCCCGCTAATAAGCACTGTAGGACGCTGTTAGCATGTATGGATGTTTTGTGGATGACCACAACTCACTTATGGCATTGAATGCATTTGCTGGACCACGATCCCCTATTTCGACGCCCGTCTCGGCCAGGTAGGTGGGGACAGCACTGGAGATGCAGCCGATAGCAAAGCCAGTGATGATCCGCCCAACGGTGAGCTGTGCCACAGAGTTGGCAGTGGCTTGGATGATGGAACCGACGACGGCGGCGGCATTACCCAAGAGAATCGTGCCTCTCCGACCAATTTTGAACGCGAAGGTGGCCACGATCAGACAGGTGATACACGCTGACAGCGAGTAGGAGCTGGAAATCCATGGTATGACCCATTCTCCGGTAGGATTGCCGATTGCATTCAGGAATGGCTTGTGCAAGACCACGCCACCAAGCACGCCAGCATCATGCCCCATACATCATGAAGGAAGTTCCGCGAATGAACTTCATCAACCAGGAGAGGCTCCGACCTCGGAGGTTGATTAGTACTCCCATCTTTGTGGTCCAAGAAGTATGCAAAAAGAAGGTGGTTCCACGACAGCCAGTTGAAGAATGGCGGGTGTCGAAGAGGACTGGAATCCAAAGTGGCTGATCTCGCCAGCATTATTATACTCCAAGCAAGAGCCGTGTCAACCCAGCAGAGTCAAACATATCCACAAGGTTAAAGGCTCATCTCCGCAGCATTGATGGAATTCCGCCGATCTGGTGAGGGACCACGGGTATACACCTTCAATAGCCTACACGAGATTCGAGTAGCCAGAAAACAGACGTGACTGGGCATCATTGCCCCACGTTGGAGAAAAGTCCCTACCTCCTGCCTGTTACTGGAGATAATGTCAGGGTTTCTGGCAGTGGATATGGATAGCATTTTGATAACAAATGTGCATCATGGCATGCGGAGCCTCACGCATTTTGTGCACATGATAAACGAGGCCACCAGGCTAAGGGCGTTGCGGGCCGAGCGATTCTCAAGGACCCTCTTCCCTCGTCAAGTGTCCCCTCAGCCATTCACCATTGCGCCTAGGGGTATAGTGTGATGCCGCAGCTCGGGGCAAGTGTCGAACTGGATGGTGGATTGGCGTCGAGAAAATATGGAGGAGACAATAGCATTCTTCACTGCCGTCGAGGTAAATCGCGCCATGGTGGACCCCGCACAAGCGGACAAGCGGACATGTGGACAAGGGCCTGCCGAGGAGCTTTACGCGGTCGTTGATTTCTGAGCTCCCCGAGTCGGAAGACCTTGACAACGTTTTGTTCCAAACCTAGCTTTCTGTAAGGGATCAGCGGAGAGATATCCGACGGGAACATTGAGTAGCAAGCATGGCATCCGAAGAGAAGGACCAGATCCGACAACTGGTTTGGCCACGCCTGCGAGAGGTTGCCATTCCCGACTCACGCTTTCACTATGACTTCTCCAGCTTCATAGCAGACTTTCAAGGCTCTGGGGCTGCAACAGAAAGACTGGTTTCCCTGCGCTGTTATGCTGATGCTCGAGTCATCTTCATCACCCCGGACAATTGCTTGGAGCAACTTCGCCTCCGAGCTCTGGAAGATGGGAAAAAGGTATTGGTGACAACCTACGCCATCAGACGCGGGTTTTGGCTGCTTGATCCCGCAGTGATCGTGACGCCCGAAGCAAGGAAACTCGCCTGCCTCTTGGATGCCATGGAACGCCCTGGCCTCGGAAGGGCCTTGAGCCTCGCAGAAATCCAGCAGCTAGGCCTCCAGGTGGATGTGATGGTGACGGGTACAGGAGCCATCAATCATTCAGGCATCCGATTTGGGAAAGGGCATGGGTTTTTTGACCTTGAATGGGGTATGTTGACCACCATCAAGGCTGTCAGCTTCTCTATTCCCAGCATCGCCGTCGTACACGATTGCCAGGTGTTGGGGGAGGAGCTGAGACCCGAAGTCTTCGACACAGTGTGCGATTATATTGTCACACCAACCACGATCATTGATATTGCTAAAGCGGGCGTCGTGCCGAAGAAACCAACGTGTGGGATTTTATGGGATAGGTTGCAACCTGGAATGCTGGAAGACATCCCGCCCCTGGAGGAATTGCGACAGATTCAAGGGCGAGAATGACCTTCTGCTGCGACATTTGCCCAACTCCGTTGACCACCCCTACGGATTGTCCTTGACGGTTCGGTTCGATATCAACCGGTACGGTCTCGCCCGTACCGCTCGTCAGGAATCGAATCGAAACGACAGGAATCGACACATGTAGCAAGAGTTGGTCGGTACTAAAAGAGCACAACTCACATTTCGGCCGGCAGTCTTGTGTCCGGCATTGGAACGAGATTTGAGGAAATCTTTCTCGCACTTCTTGGTAGACCAGGGTTTTTGGTAGATTAATTTTCATGCTTCCATATTACTGTACGCAGAGCGCCAATCCCATTGACAATGCACCTCAAGCCGTGACCAGTGTGGATCGGAGATTCCACTGGACCATCTTTACTTGTGTGGATTTGCCGTAATGAGTGCATTGTCTGGGCAAAGAAACAAGTGGCTTGGTTAGCTGAGACTTCCTTTGCCACTCAAGCGACACAAGTGACGCACCTCTCGAGACCTTAGTCAGATATCTTGTTTCGCCGCAAGCCACATTCTCTTGAGTTGCGTTCACCAATGGGTGCGTGTCAATGACCTCTCTCCAAATCGGGTAATTCGCAAAGACTGCCGCCCAAAATTGACTGGATGTGGAAATAGTTCGTTCACAAGAGCTTTACTGCCTAGGAGACGTAGCCGCGAGATAGATAATGGTTGGATACTTCCCTTCAGACTCTCTGCAGTCTATAGGTATGTTTTCGTTCGGTCCAATAGAAGCTGGGATATTGCCCGTCTCCCGTTCCGCATCTGGGGCCTCGTGGATTTCCTTGACAAAGAGACTGGATGCAGCTTGATTAGCAAGAATGTGATTATTCAAGTTTTGCGTCTTGCATCCGTTCAAACAGAAAACGCGAGGTCGACAGGCTGACCGCGTGTTCATCATGACGGTATAAAAGAGGGCGCACGGCCTTGTCTCTCACCCACTCCACGCAGTGCAATAATCCTGATTGTCCAGTCAAATCACAACTCGAAAGCAAATCAACATGGGTATCGACTTTACAGTCTTCAAAGGTTCCGAATCTGGTGAGATAGTGGAGGCCAGGGGTCACCGTGAGGTCGGCCCGACGCAAGCCCTGGTTGCGCTGTCGCACTGTGGGGTCTGTGGCACTGATTCTCATTATCGGCATGCCAGCCAAGGATTGGGCCATGAAGGAGTCGGTGTCATCAAAGAGGTTGGTAGTCTGGTTGAGAAGCTCTCTGACCTGAGGGTCGGTGACCGTGTTGGGATGGGATGGCTGCAAAGGACGTGCGGGTATTGCAAATTCTGCCTCACTGGTGAGTGACTCGTTATCCCACGCCTGATTCTTCGCTTGCGATCTGTTCAACGAAAGAGAGGCCTGAGACTAAGATTAAGTCCAGGTAGGCAGTTCAAGTGTCAAAACAGCGAACAGTTTGGGACCGCCAACTTGGACCAAGGTTGCTTTGGTACAGGTGTCGCCTGGGATGTCAGCACACTGTTCAAGATTCCAGACGAGATCTCTTCCGAGTCTGCAGGGCCTTTGATGTGTGGTGGTGCTAGTAAGTTTACCGATCTTACAGCTTCGCCTGTCCCCTTTTGGCGAAATCGCCGCTAACCAATATGTTGAATAGCTGTCTGGGGCCCGCTTTACGAGCACGGCTTCAAAGCAGGTGATCGCATCGGCATCATAGGAATTGGTGGACTCGGACACCTGGCTATTCAGTTTGCATCGAAAATGGGAATGGAGGCTGTTGTCTTCTCCGGAACCGAGTCGAAGAAGGAAGAAGCGTTACAATTCGGGGCAAGAGAGTTTTACGGCACCAGGGGAGTCACAAAGTTTGAGGGAATCGAGCCCGTCGACTGCCTCTTGATCACAACTTCGGTTCTACCTGATCTCTCACTGTAAGTTGCAACGCCGGGCAGTTGGAATTCGAGAAGGCTTACCCGCATAGATACCTGCCTGTATTGGCGCCGTTTGCGAAGATCTTCCCACTTACCATCAGTGGGGACAGCATTCCGGTCCCGGCCTTGCCATTCGTAATTTACGGCTACTCGATAATTGGATCTGGGGGAGCTCATGCACAGTCTGTGAAAGCGATGTTGAGATTCGCAGCGGAACATTCAATCAAACCAGTCATCGAGAAGTTCCCGATGACCCAAAAAGGCGTGATAGATGCCATGAAGAAGCTGGATGAAGGCAGCGTGAGATATCGTGGGGTCCTTGTTGTGTAAGAAAGGACAGGATTCTCGGAACAGAAATGCATGAGCCATTCGAAACGCGGTGGGATGATGTCTGAGGAGGCAAGAGTGAATTGTCAAATGACAGAATGACCACCTGACGCGTCGTCTACGAGGCAGACGCGTCGCGCTTACATAGGTCATATCGACACTAAAAGTACTCGACGTACCGGGGTTCGAGTGTCATTCCTATGTGATTTCACACCTATACTCTCAAAACCTGAACGAAGGCGGTTCCCGCAATCCTCTGGTGCGGAGATTCAGATAAATTTCCCGAAGCTGCTGCATCCACATCCATCATGCAATGACGGCTCCGAAACCGTGGCTGGCAGAACTAACGCTAAACAAGTTGCATCGATTGGCAACAGCACTGGGCACACCATGCTCCGGAACAAAGCTTGCACGTATAGAAGCTATCCGTGATGCCACGTCGAGGACCAGCAGCGCTCCCGGTACGAGTCTTCTAAGTATAGATATGGGCATCAGGAATCTGGCTTTTGCACATCTCACAGTCCCGGTCGAAGAGATCACGCAACCGCTTCAGCATATATGGTACAGCAGGCCGACACTGCAAGCATGGCGTCGCATAGCAGTCACAGAGTCTTTGCATGCCACCACAAATAGCTACCCGGGATCGGCGTTTGACAAATCGACGTCTGCAGAAAGCGGACTAGCTGGAGCAGCCAAAGAATCATTCGAGCCCATTCACTACGCCAGGCACGCGTACGATCTTGTCAAATACATGTTACACACTTACAAACCCAATCATATCTTGATTGAGAGACAGAGATTTCGTTCCGGCAGCCAATCTGCGGTTCAAGAATGGACCCTTAGGGTCGGTGTTTTTGAGGGCATGCTGTATTCTGTTCTGCGGACTTTGATCGAGGAGCACAAGCTGCAGCTAAGCATAGAGCCAATGCAGCCTCCACGTGTCAATCGGTACTGGCTCGAGGGACGCCAGGGGCTGCTGGGCTCGAAAGAGAACAAGCTGGTTGGTCGCGAGGTAAAAAAGGCAAAAATTGATCTTGTTGGACAACTGCTCGGAGGTGGTAGCTCTGATATTTGTGTCGGAAGCGCTGCTCAGCAGACAGCATCTGATTTCGTATCGCGCGTCAACCAGGCTTCCACGCGCAGGCGAGCTGATATACCGAATATATCGAAGCTAGATGATTTGGCCGACTCACTCTTGCAGGGATTGGCATGGATCCAATGGCAAAACAACCGAAGACGCATCGAAACTCTGGGGCGAGATGCCATCGATATGGCGTCTGGAGCCTTGTTGTGAGCCTCTTTACCGTCGTGACCTGGGAAATGACAGCAGTGTTGCTTTCGTTCTTGCCCTATCGCTCCAATCTCTGTTCTTTGGACATTTTCTGGGCACAGCGATAATCACTGGTGGCTGCTTCTAAAGCCATCACGGCAACTGCTCCCTGAGATGTCTCGCTACAGCTCGTTGCTGTACGACCAGTCTCAAATCAGGTCACTGATATCTCGTATTTCTGTGTCCTTGCCTCCCAGAGTCAATACCACTATCCGAGATGGCAATTGAGACAGCCTCGCCGCGTGAGAAAGGTGCAATCGACCGAGGGGGGCTCGAATTTGGATCGGTCTGCACCACCTCCTACGTCCATCTCCAATTCTACCCGGCTGTATGTTCTGATTGAGGAGAAAGCTCGAAGCAAGTCAGAGGTAGCGCAGCACTGATGAGCAATCAACGGAAGTGAGGGTGCTGGACGATACGCTCGAACAGTCAAGGAGGCGTGGAATATTGAAATCGGCGTGTCTGTACGACTCGGATAGGAATGGAACAGGGCGGGTTGCTGTGGACGCCCATGGAGTGGAGTGGACGAAGCTGATGGTCCAAAACAACAATGTAACTGTTACACACAAGGATCCAAATCGTCGGTTCAAGACCAAAGATCGAACGGATGTCGACGTCGGACGTGGTTTCAAGAGATGGAGAGTCGTACCAGATCTGGTGAAGCAAACTGTGAGGTCCCGTCGACACAGCGGAGCGGAATGAGAAGGTGCAACTGTCTGTCTACCATTTTCTCATATATCCCTAGAGCTCCGCTGCATTCTCACCAGCGCCATCCTCTTGTGCTAGGACACTGATTGCATCTCGTTCAGTTTTTCCTGTCCCAACTGACCGAATCTTCAATCATGCACCACGTTTTCTCTCTCGTAGCTATCCCTTTCTTTTCCGCTGTCACCTTGGCCTCGCCCCATCCACAAGCGATCACCACACCCTGCGTTGAGACAAACAATGATACCGGAGCAAGCGACACCGTCGTCACTGTGGCCAGCACTCTGACCGCAACCGTCATCGCATCCGGGACAGCCACTTCGAGCTCAAGCACTACTACCGCTGGTCCGTTGACCACTCCAACCTCGTGGCTCACCGTCACTGCTTCTCGAATTGCCTCTCCAATTCACCTACTGCCCATGAATGCTGCCGGCTATCGTTTCTACCTTGGAGGAACCACCGTGTCATACTGTCCAACCGATGTAGAAGAAGTTGGAGGGTGTCCACCGGGAAACGAGACGGTGCTCTCTCCGTGCGCGATGGTGAGGTGACTCTGTCGACAGTGGGAGGCTTCACTGACAACAGGCAGGGCGCACTCGTGCCTGGAGGTCAATATTTATATGTTACGGCTAATGGCGAGGTCGGTTACACCCAAGCACATTCAATTTCGATGCCTCCAGGAGCAATCCAGTGTCCTTTCACATACTCCAAGGCCCCAGGGGCGACGATTGGACGTCTGGATTTGAGGACATTCGGGGCCTCGGGCCTGATGGCATGTCCTACATATGGCGGAACGTGGCAAGTGTTTGCAAACCTGGTCCGTCCTCCTCCTCCACGGCTCAATCCACAGTTTGAGTCATTGTAATAAGCTGATCAATTATTACAGAAGAACATCACAGCACCTCAAGGTAATGTATCCCAGTGCCTTGGGTTCGATCCTTTGGCTCTTGATATCCCTAACATTGGAGCGTGGCAATACACATAAAGTCATGGAAGTGGTGGCTATACACCGGCTAGGGGAACTCGCGAATCTGCCCAACGCCTTCACGATTCGGAACAGATCGGGGGTTTCGCTGAGGGCACCGGATGATTTCGCGCCACTGTGTTGATAATAGCAGAGAACAAGGAAAACCAGGACGAACCTCGGCACTTCGAGAGCTCGGGTGGAATGATGGCGCCGCATCACATGTGCGTCTTGCTTGCTCTTGGGTTTGGCAATATGGGAGCAGATCTTGGCTGTATGCGCAGTAACGGGCATCTTATCGCTTTCAGGAAGAAAGACTGCAAAAATCTGAACAAGATCCTCATACCATAAGGGCAACAGAGGGACAGATAGACGGCCGGAGCAAAGGGAAAAAACAAAGGCACATCGCAGAGGGTGACGCCTTTACCCCACACACGGCGAATTGATTTTGTCGTCGACTGATTCTTGTAGCTGATCTTACCCACATCCCCCGGCTCCGTGGGCTCGTCTGGCCTCATTCCTGGGCTTCGGTGGATGGGCGGAACCCACTGGAACCTCAGTGATTGGGCTACCTGGCGAGGGAGCTGTCAACGGGCACATCTCCTCCCGGACAAGTCGTCGACAGTGTGCCTCTAACGGTTTCGGGCATTGCGTTGCTCTGACGTATAGTATTATATCAACCTCCCCCCAGCTCCCTTGCCTCGGTGCCCGCCTCTGACCAACTCAATTTCTCTTCTTGCTTTCATTCTCCCCGAAGAGACCCTATACATCAGTCAAGATGGCCAGCATCGAAACCATCAACGAAGGAGTTGCCATCAATGGCACCGTCAAGGACTCGTACCGCAAGATCCTGACTCCCGAAGCCACCGCTTTCCTCGCCCTCCTCCACCGGACCTTCAACGGCACCCGCAAAGCTCTGCTCCAGCGACGAGTGATCCGTCAACAGGAGCTTGACAAGGGCAATTTGCCAGATTTCCTCCCAGAGACCAAGCACATTCGCGACAATGACGCCTGGAAAGGCGCTCCTCCGGCTCCCGGCCTTATCGATCGCCGGGTCGAGATCACCGGACCAACGGATCGGAAAATGGTCGTCAATGCTTTGAACAGCAACGTGTGGACTTACATGGCAGACTTTGAAGGTGACATATTCAACGAATCCCTGCTGAGATACGCAGCTGCTGACTGGGGTGTGCCTGCACAGACGCCCAAGCGCCCACCTGGGACAACCAGGTCTCCGGACAAGTGAACCTCTACGATGCCATTCGGAGGCAGATTGACTTCAAGCAAGGCGAGAAAGAGTACAAACTGCGTACCGACCGGTCCGTGACGCTGATTGCGAGGCCTCGTGGCTGGCATTTGGAAGAGAAGCATTTCACCGTCGATGGCGAGCCCATCTCTGGTTCCTTGTTCGACTTCGGCCTGTACTTTTTCCACAATGCCTTCGAGCTGGTCAAGCGTGGCACCGGGCCGTACTACTATCTTCCGAAGATGGAGTCTCATCTTGAAGCGAGACTCTGGAATGATGTCTTCAACCTGTCTCAAGACTACATCGGTATGCGGCGGGGCACGATCCGAGGAACGGTGTTGATTGAGACAATCACCGCCGCCTTCGAAATGGACGAGATCATCTACGAGCTCCGTGATCATTCGGCTGGTCTGAACTGCGGCCGCTGGGACTATATCTTCTCGGTGATCAAGAAATTCCGCCAGAACCCCAACTTTGTCCTCCCAGATCGCTCCGCTGTCACCATGACGGTGCCCTTCATGGACGCCTACGTCCGTCTGCTTATCAAGACCTGCCATCGCCGTGGCGTCCACGCCATGGGTGGAATGGCCGCTCAGATTCCCATCAAGGACAACCCGGAGGCCAACGACAAGGCCATGGAGAACGTCCGCCAGGACAAGCTTCGCGAAGTCCGGGCCGGCCACGACGGGACCTGGGTTGCTCACCCTGCCTTGGCATCGATTGCTTCTGATGTGTTCAACAAAGAAATGCCTACCCCCAACCAACTCTTCAAGCGCCGTGAAGACGTCTATGTCACCAAGAACGACCTTCTGAACATGAACATGCCTGGAACCATAACAGAAGATGGCATTCGCAAGAACCTCAATATTGGTCTCGGGTATATGGAGGGCTGGCTTCGCGGCGTTGGCTGTGTGCCGATCAACTACCTTATGGAAGATGCTGCCACGGCCGAAGTCTCACGGTCGCAATTGTGGCAGTGGGTCAAGCACGGTGTCAAGACCGCCGAGGGCCAGACTGTCGACAAGGCTTACGCCCTTCGACTGCTCAGGGAGCAGGCGGAGGAACTGGCGTCCAAGGCGCCCAAGGGTAACAAGTATCAGCTTGCGGCCCGATATTTCGAGACTCAAGTGACTGGCGAAGATTATGCTGACTTCTTGACGAGGTATGTTCCCTTTCTCTTTCTAGCTTCCGTGTTGTATAGCCATGACTAACACCCTTGTTCCTAGTCTCCTGTACAACGAGATCACCACTGTGGGATCATCACAGCCTGTCGCCAAACTGTAAGCTGTGTGATGATTAGACAGCAAAAAGACAGGAGTTGGATAGGACACTCAGCGTGGCACAGAGAAAGCAAGGAAGGAGTGAAATGTGCATCGACTCGACCTAGCTTTGGCATGGGGCGATTGAGAGAAGCGGACAGTGTACACAAATCAACGCAGAACGAAAAGGGTCGGATTTCCTTGCTGCGCCACCGAGCCAGTCAAATGTAATGCCTTTAGGCAGTATGCAAATAGTTTATGTGAAAAGGACGAGCAATGAATTTTTTTTAATGTGAATATACAGCATTGGGGACTCGGTCTGCTCCAAGAGGTAGTTCTCTCCCTGATGGCCACGATGATGGACATGTCACTCCACCAAGACATGTTTCTCGCCGCAAGATGACCCGAAGTTTCGTTTGCCTGGCTCTGGCCCCTCACCATGGGTTCAGCCATCGGCACCATACACCGGCGCCCCGAACCACTTTTCTCCAAAAGCTGGAGGAAGTTGGGTCACTCGAGGGCAGTACACAATAGCCTCTGGCGGCAGGAACACCGTTCCTATATTCTCGAGGAATTGAGTTGCTTGAAATAAAAGATATCTGTGAGTCAAAAAGTTTGACCCTAAATCTCCACAGGATCCGTCAAGAACGAGTCGGAAGGAAGCATCTTTTCGCCCTGCTACAGACCAGTCCGACAGGAGTACACCAGAAACAAGAGTAGGATACACCGTTGGAAAGGGACTCGAGCGTTCGACGACAACACATTGTTCGTGGTTCAAGATGAAGATTCTCATCACAGGCGCAGGCGGCTTCTTGGGCCAATTCCTCGCCCGCGAACTGCTCTCCAACCCAGACCACAAGGTCGTTCTCACAGATATCATCGATGTGCCTGTGCCCAAAGGGGCCAAGAACCCACACAACGCAACCTGCGTCAAAGCAGACTTGCTGAAAGACCGCAGCGTGGTCACTCCGGACCTGGACGCGGCATACATCTTCCATGGCATCATGTCGGCCGGTTCGGAAGCCAACTACGATCTGGGCATGAGTGTCAACCTAGAATGTACGAGACTGCTCCTCGAGACCATCCGAAAAGTTCGCCCCGGGCTGAGGGTCATTTACTCGTCCAGCGGCGCCGTCTATGGCCGGCCTCTCCCAGAGGTGATCACGGAAGACGTGCTCCCGACGCCAGAAGGCTCCTACGGTGCCGCCAAGTTCATGTGCGAAGTCCTCATCAACGATATGACCCGACGAGGCTACATTGATGCATTCGTCATCCGATTTCCCACCATTACCGTCCGACCGGGAAAGCCAGCCCCGGCGGCGTCTGCGTTCATCTCCGGGATCATTCGCGAGCCCTTGGCGGGCAAGGAATGTATTTTGCCTGTCAAAGACAGAGCGTTCCCGAGCCACGTGTGCTCGCCCAAGACATTGATCCACAATCTTGTCTACACACTCACCCTCCCCTCGGACGCTCTGCCGAGTCACAAGCGTGTTGTCAACGCGCCAGGGCACGTGGTCACGATCCAAGACATGCTAGACGCGCTGGCCAAGGTCGGCGGCGAGGACAAACTACAGTACGTGAAGGAGGAACATGACGAGCCGATCGCGAAGATCCTGTACACGTGGGCGGTCAAGTACGACAACTCATTAGCGTATAAGCTGGGGATGAAGAAGCCGGATAGTTTCGAACAGTCAGTGCGGGAGTATATTGAGTACATGAAGGAGCAAGAACAGTTGTCCTAGGGCACGAAGGGCAGAGGAGGGTTCCGGGGTTGAAATGGACAGGACGACTGCGGGAGGAGAACCAGCAGGGCTTGGAAAGTGGTAGTTGAACATATGCACATTGTGTGTGTAGAAAAGTACCCGTCACCTCTCAACCCTCTCTCTATCCACAATACACAGTATGCCGATTCTTCTGTTCTCAGGATAATCCAAGTCCCAACGCCGTCGAATTTTCTTCTGCATGACCCTCACTGGCCCTCTGTCCATGTTTGTCTCGTCTCTGAGCAGCTAAAAACAAGGTGGACAGTCAACCGGCTCGGTTGCCACCATATGGATCCTATCGTGAACAACCATGGTAAATAATAATATTCGCCCTTCTTCCGTGTCGGTGTCTAAGCCGGTCTTGGCCGATCAAACCGCCTCTCTGTGAGCTACTGTAAGTGCGTGCGACATGGGAATCTCCGTGTCCTTCTGGGAAGGCAAGGAGAAGGGACGTCGTTCGACCATGTGGCTTTCCGGTCTCCCTGGCTGTGTGAGCTGTGGGATATCATGGAAAAAGAAACCAATATAGAAATGCATGCCTGGTAATAATTACTCCGCTACCTTGGTACAAACATACTGTAACTAATCCACCATCAAATGCCCCTCGCCCGCCAATATCATTAGCCCTGTTGATTGCTCGCCCCGCATGCGGAGAAAACGCCGAAACGACAAGACATCATTGTTCCATCATTGGGAAAATTGATGGGTGGGAATTGAGCCTGAACTGTTTCGTTTTGTTCTGTTCTCGCTGCCGTACGGCATGTTGCCGAACTGACTATCAGTGAACCTGGTGGAAAAGAAACCGAAATCTAATTCCCAAACCCGCGTGGGTTGATTGAGCCTCCGGAATCATATACATAATTAGGGCGTGGTGGGAAAGCGCTTTTCGGCAATTGAAGAGGGAGAGCGAATCAACACAAGAGCCTTTGCCATCTCAAGAGAACAGACTTGCTTCATTTCCTTTCTTTCTCCTGGCCTCATTCCACTTCTGCCATTGCTGCTCCTATTCAAGAGTCGTCTCCTTGCTACGAATCAAGATCCTCTCGGGGAAGCATAGGGAAGCACACACACCACTGCCCTGAAAGCAAACCGTGTGAACGACGTTTACTTCTATCAGACCTCCCCTGCGCTGAGACAGACGAGATACAAGTCACAAGCGAGTCACACCCTCCTCTCTGCCCCTTCCTCCGTCGCACATCACATCTTCACACGAGAGAATGCCAGACCTCTCACAAAACATCTCGGTGCGCATCCTCAAGGCGGCCGAGGTCGGACGGTATGGCGTCCCCGGCGTGGTCTGCTATAACCTCGAGGCCATCATCGCATGCCGCAAGGCAGCCGAGGCCAAGAACTCGCCCTGCCAGATCCTGCTGTTCCCCTGGGCGCAAGAGTACGCGTACGACAACATGGTGAATCTGGCCGCGGATGTGTGCCGGAGCGCCAAGGTGCCCATGTCACTGCACCTGGACCACGCCCAGAGCGAGGAGGCCATCAAGCGGGCGGCCCAGACGGGCAAGTTCGACAGCATCATGGTCGACATGTCGCACTACGAAAAGGAGGAGAACCTCGCCCGCACGACCGAGCTGGTCAAATACTGCCACGACCTGGGCATCGCCACCGAGGCCGAGCCCGGCCGGATCAACGGCGGCGAGGCCGGCGTGCAGGACACGGGCGACCTCGAGGGCATCCTGACCACCCCGGAAGAGGCGCTGCAGTTCATCAACACGGGCATCGACTTCCTGGCCCCGGCCATCGGCAATGTGCACGGGCCGTACCACGGCGTCGAGAACATCAAGCTGGACTTTCCGCGCCTGGCCTCCATCCAAGAAGCCTCGCGTGGCAAGGTCACGCTCGTCATGCACGGCACCAACGAGTTCACCGCCGACATCTTCAAGCAGTGCGTCGACGCCGGCATGACCCGCTTGAACGTGAACCAGATCGTCCTGTGGAAGTACGAGGAATACGCCCGCCAGAAGGCCGGCCGGACCCCGCTAACCGAGTTCATGGAGGACGGCACCAAGTTGATCCAGGAGAGGATCGAATGGATGATGGATGCCGTGGGGAGCACTGGTAAAGCAGGAGACGTGAAAATATGAGAGCCGACAGGTAGAGGGGAGTGGCTGTGGATCGATGTCGGCGAAGGTGGCCAGATGAACACGCGATTCCGATAACTCAGTATAACAAGGTCGAAATGCTCGATGTTCTGGTAATATGGTCAGGATGAGAACACGCATCTCCGCTTTCATCAAGTCCATCGTGTGATCATTCAAATGCATTTGGATCGGATCAATTCTATGATATCATCATGGCAGGGGGTATTTAGCCCTTTGATCTGATATGGAATCGGTGAAAAATGCTTCTCGCTTCGAAGTCTTTCCAAACGGACAGCTGTGCCGGACCTTGTCTTCCTCATTTCGGTGTCAGCCTACATATATTTCACTTCGATTCTGCTCCAAGAGTCTCCTTCGTCGCGGCTTGTGTCGCATTCTTGCTCTGCGCCTCTTCGTCACTGGTTTTCTTCTCATCCTTTTTGACATCTGTGTCATCATCCTGTAACGTGATCACCTTCGCATCCTTTTCCTCGTCGCTGTCACCCAAACTGAATGGGTCGTTTTCCGCAACAGGACTCGGGTCGATACTCTGTAGGGGCTGCCATTTGCTCGATTTTGTGGTCGACGCCGCGGTGGGCTTTGGCGAGGCGTTGTACATGTCCCTGATCTCCTCCGGTGGACCGTCCTGGAAGGACACCTTACGATTCGTGCCCGGCGACGGTCGACGATCTGGACCTTGGATACCGGCGGACCGGAAAAGATTTGGGTTAGCCAGTGGCCGGCTTGATGTACGGGGCGGAGCGTCGCCATCGCGGAGCTCCAGTTTTGAAAAGTCATCACCGATTGGTTGCATATCAGCATCGTATCGTTGGAGGTCTGCACTGCGGCGCATCTCGGCACTTCGGCGGCCTGCGAATGGCGATTGTGCTGTTGGCCGGGCAGGGAGAGGCGGTTGACCTTGTGTGAACTCTGCGTCATCGTCATCGCCATCTATCTTCTTCTTGAATGCGCTGATCCAGCTGTTCACTGTCTTCTGCGTTTCCACGAAGCCCTTCCGGATATTGTCACGGATCTCGGGCAGATCGTCTGTTACACATCATGTAAGAACGCGACGAAATTGCGGATGATAAGAGACTAACCATCAATAAAACTGCGCCACGGTACGTCGTCAGGGTTCGGGCTTGCGCCTGGTCGACCAACCCTTGATCCTTGCAAGTTTTCGTTGTATCTTCCTCCAGAATCACGACGCCTTGGTTGCTGCCTGTCAAATCCGGGACCGCCATTGTATTCTTGAGCCAGCTGTCTAGCATAGAGCTCGTCTGCTTCCAGTTGGCTAAGCTTCCTAGTGGTGGGAGATTGTTGCCGGGCGGGACGAGGTGGTTTGGCCGGAGGTAACGGTTCTGGCTCTCGCTGAGATTCAGGGTCTGTCATTCCAAGGAGAGCATTAAATGCAGGTTCGATCTCGCCTCTGCTCGCAGTGAGAACTGCTCGGATGACGCTGATCTCAATCGTAGGAAAGGCTTCTTTCAACGTGAGCTCTGCCTGTTCTCGTGGAGACATCGGTCGCGGGGGTTTTGGCGGAGCAACGTCGTCTTTGGGAGGAGGTTTAGGCTGCGAATGCAACTCTGTCTTGGGTGCTGGAGTCGTCTCAATCGTTCCAGTCTCTTGGTCACTGTCGAAATCCAGGGGCCGAGCAGTGGTTGGGGATTCTGGGGGTCCGTCGGACGGTTTCAGTGGTGAGACGGGCGACGGCTGCGCAGTGTTAGGGATAGATTGCACAAAGAAGCAATAGAGGGCATGTTTCTTACAGGGTTGTTGCTGGACATGCTGACGGTCGAATTGAGTCTTCTGCGGGTGTGATTTTAGACGGGACTTCTCATGAAGCAAAGAGTGAATGTATTATCTCAAGACCTGAGACGACACATGTCTCCGGTAGCTGGCGTGGGGTCGGAATTGTGCCTGCCTTGTGATGCTTGTGCTGGTCACTTGGCGGTGGCTGCGATGACGTTGTGTGGCGTCATTCCCATTTGGTGTCAAAGTTCATTTGTGGCGGTGCAGACATCAGTTCTCAACCACGGCCCTTCTTTGTCGCCTATCCACCCTCCATCGCCAGCTGGTGAGGAGGCAGAGATGATCTGTCGGGGAGTTGCCACAGGTTACGACCGCTCCAGCTCGTCAACATCATGTCAGATCTTGACTTGTCCTTCATCCCGGCCCTGTACACCCCGCCAGCGCTTCTACCCATCTCCAGACACCGAGCCAGTCTGCTCTACACCATTGAAACACACCAGGTCACGGTGCTAGTGGGTCAGACAGGCAGTGGGAAAACGACTCAACTGCCTCAGTACCTGGAACAGGCAGGATGGTGCTCCAATGGGAAATGCATAGCGGTAACGCAGGTCGGTACGTCGAGCCTTAAAGTCCCAAAGCATGCTGACCATGGTCTGTAGCCCAGGAGAGTGGCCGTCACCACCGTGGCCTCGCGCGTCGCCGAAGAGATGAGATGCCAAGTTGGTGAACAGGTTGGCTACTCAATTCGCTTCGAAGATGCCACGTCCGCCAAAACCAGAATCAAATTTCTCACCGACGGTATGCTGTTACGAGAAGCCTTGATTGATCCATTATTCACCAGATATTCCGTCATCGTGATCGATGAAGCTCACGAACGGTCACTCAGCTCTGACATCCTGCTTGGCCTACTGAAAAAGGTGAAGAAGCGACGGCCAGAATTGAGAATCATTGTCAGCAGCGCAACGCTCGAAGCGGAACGGTTTGCAGATTTCTTTAGGGATCATGACGCTCCTGACAGTGAGCAAAAATGTCGAATCGTCAGCATCGAAGGCCGAACATATCCCGTGGATGTTCTCTATCTCGATCAACCGACGGACGATTATCTGGAGAAGGCCGTACAGACAGCCTTTTCAATACACCAACAGGAGCCGCCTGGCGATATTCTTGTGTTCTTAACAGGCAGAGAAGAAATCGAAAGAGCTATGCAAAAGCTGTCGGAGTTAGCATCAACGCTATCCTCACAGGCACAAAGTCTCCAGCCTCTCCCTTTGTATGCAGGCCTCAGCACAGAAGACCAAATGTACGTCTTCTCCGAAGCGGCGGAGAATACCCGTAAAGTCATCCTTGCTACGAATATCGCAGAAGCCTCCGTCACTATCTCAGGCATTGTGTATGTTGTTGATTGCGGATTTGTAAAACTCCGCGCGTTCAACCCAACCACAAACATCGAGACCTTGACCCCTTTTCCAACGTCGAAAGCCTCCGCTACCCAACGAGCTGGCCGCGCAGGACGGACCCGACCAGGAAAATGTTTTCGCCTCTATACACAGCAATCTTATATGACGCTTCCAGCAACAACCACCCCAGAGATCCAACGGTCCAATCTTGCCCCCGTGGTCCTCCAATTGAAAGCACTTGGAATTGACAACATTGTGCGTTTTGACTTCCTCTCACCGCCGCCCTCGCAGCTCCTTATTCGCGCATTTGATCTACTCTATTCGCTAGGCGCGGTGGACGACTATGCAAAGCTTACTTCACCATTGGGAACACGCATGGCCGAGCTTAGTGCTATCCCACCCATGATGGCCAAATGCCTCCTTGCTTCCTCCTCGCCACAATTCGACTGTCAGAACGAGATGCTCACTCTCGCAGCGATGACGTCGTTACAAGGAAACGTGTGGTTTCATCACAGCGGAGAGAAAAAGGCAATGGACTTGTCAAGACGGAAATTTGCTGCTGAGGAGGGCGACCAACTCACGCTATTGAATGTTTATCGGGCGTTTGTGACGAAAGGGAAAAAGGAGGCGAGATGGTGCCATGAGCACCATCTGAATTTCAAGTCGATGCAAAGAGCCGTGAGCATCAGGAATCAACTGAGGAGGTATCTTGAGAGGTTGAACGTCAAAGTGGACAACTCACAGGCTGCCACGTCTATCAGCACCCAAGAAAAGGACAAGGCCGGCAACATCTTGAAGTGTCTAGTGACAGGCTACTTCTCGCAGGCCGCAAAAATGCAGCCTGACGGGACGTTCAAATCCGTGTCGGGAAACGTCACCATGTACCCACATCCCACATCTCTCCTGTTCAACCGGAAAGCGGAGTATGTGGTGTTTCACGAGGTGCTGGAAACCGGCGAGAAAGTATATATCAAGGACATTTCGAAGGTAGAGAAGGCCTGGCTCGTGGAGTTTGGAGGAGGGTATTACAATCTCAAGAGTTAGCTGTCTTTCAAAAGCGGGCTGGCGGTGGACAAAGACATGTCTTCAACGGCAAATTGGTCAAATAAATAACTTGCTTACTGATGTCAGGGTCACTGAATTATGGAACTCATATTTCTATTACGCCCAACACCTGACCACTAATTGATATGTTCCAACCGGCTGTTTTTGGTTGTTATATTGCGGTCTTGCAGTACCTCCGACATCATCTCTCATGGGTATCAAAGTTCGTCAACAGCTATGGTCTCGTTATTCGGACTCATAATCCAGAATCAGCTCCCTCTGCGTGAATTCCATCGCTTCAGCCTCCGTGGCCAGACCCCTTTCCTTGCGTTTCTTCAGCCGGGCTGGCCCCTCCTTGCAGACGTCGCACGCAAAATGACACTCCGCGGAGCCACTCTTGTCTCCGAAATATTGAGAGACCAGTGTATGGCGACAGCAGTCGGTGTTTTCGCAGAATTCGACAATGCTGCGGAGCGACTCGAACCTCGACTCGGACTTGGCCTGGCTTTTGTCCTTGGCTGCCTCACATTTGGCGCGATATTCGCAACGCTCTTTGTCTTCGCGAGTGTACATAATGATGCTTGATGCTGCTTTGTTGTCGCGTCCGGCACGTCCTGATTCTTGTGTGAACGATTCCATGCCCCTCGGCAGGCCGTAGTGGATCACGAAGCGGATAGTGGGAACGTCGATACCCATGCCAAAAGCTGTTGTGGCACAGATGATGTTGAACGAGCTGGTCATACTTTGGTTGTCGTCGACTCCTAAGAGATGAGGGTCCGAAGTGGCATATCTGATGAATGTCCTCTGCACTCTCTCCCGCGTTTGCGTGTCTAAACCGGCATGGTAAGCGCTGGCTCGGATCTCCGCGGCGGTCAGCTTCGCAGCAAGAAAGTCTGCTGTGGCACGCAGCGGAACATATATAATGCCAGTGATTGGAGGTACAACGGCGGTTGGAAGCTGCTCTTTTCGATGTCTGAGCTGCATTAGCCGTCTCTGATACATGAAATTCAGCTTTGACAAAAGGTATGGAAACATGTCACCGTCTTCGTCCACTGGGTTCGACTCTGAGAAGTATTGGATCTCATAGTGAATGTTTGGTCGCGCGGTAGAAGTGGAGAAACATTTGGTCTTGTCAATATCAAAACCAAGATATCTGAAAATGTCATTTCGCACTTGTTTTGTCGCAGTCGCCGTTACTGCTATCATGGGCACGGTGGGACAGGTGAGGTTGGTCTTCAGCCATACTAGCTCTTTATAGCACGGTCGGAAATCGTGGCCCCATTCGCTGATACAATGAGCCTCGTCCACGGCAATGCGCACCAGCTGACCCTGGCGGTGGATTTTGATGATGAGTTTCCGAAACCGGTCCTGTGCGCAAAGTTCGGGGGTGACATAGAGAAGCTTGGTTGTTGGATGTCCGCAAAGGAGGTCTGCCTCGATGCGGACCTTTTCAGCATATTCAGTCTTGCCATTGATACGCTCGACGGCAATGCCCAAAGACTTGGCGGCTTGAACCTGGTTGTCCATCAACGCCAGGAGGGGTGAAATGACAACAGTAACTCCAAGTGACACGACAGCTGGAAGCTGGTAGCACAGTGATTTGCCGAAGGATGTAGCTGCGCAGAGAAATACATCATGTCCGGCAATAACAGCGGTGATGATCTCTTCCTGCAGGGGTCGGAACGAGGCCTTGCCAAAGACGCGTCGCAGGGTAAAGCGCAAATCTGTAATACTGGCCGCTCGTCTCAATGGTGCTCGTGGCATATCTCCCTCAAGGAGTACTCGGCGATGATATTAAGAGATTCTTAGCGCGTAAGACACGCCCGGTGACGCTGGTGCCGTGAACAATGCAGGAGAAATCGACACGTCAAAAGCAGGTGGCAGCATAGATATGGCGCTTCATAATCGAACGGTCCACAGTAGTTTTGCGCGTCATCACGTGGATGCAATAATACGGCGGAGTACTCTGTACAAATTTCAGTCCTTCACTTTCTCTGTCTTTGATATCAACGCCACATCTTTGGATACAGCTATTTCTCCTACTATGACGGCTGACTTGGCTCCAGGAGCTGCTGGTGGCCCTCTGCTGCCATCAAGTCTCCTTAACGCAGGGACCATCTGGAATGCTCTTCTACTGGTTAAGTATATATATAGGGCATCAAGCTGAGCCGGCAAACGCGCGATGTCATTGCTTCCTGCTCAGAATGCCTTTCCTTGGACAGCCTGGTGGCCCGAAAGGCGGTGATCATACCCCCTAAGGAGATGTGAAGGTATTGTTCTCGCCTGAGGGGGATAGACAGAAAGAAAACAGACCTGGTGACTTACTGCACTGAAAGTGTGGACACTGCAGCTCCACCTGGATTGCAATTCTTACAGACGTTCTGGATGTGATCAGTATCATGCGCATTTGGGTGTAGCTTCAGACTGTCTCGTCCTGATGCCTGTGATATGTATGCACCCTGCGAGCCTCCTCTACGTCTCTTATTGTGCCCCGATAGCTCAAGTTCGGATTGGCTCGCACAATCATCTCTTTTCGGTTTAGTCAACAGCCACGAACCCGCAAGGCGAACCAGGCGTTTTCGCCATCAGACGACCTGCCCTCAATGCCAAAGCCTATTATTTTCTGGATGCATTCTCAATGCCAATGAGGGCCGCCAGGACAGATTTCATTTGTGAGACAGGTATAGGGCCGACCAGTGTTTCCTACTGACGAATGCTGCCTGACCCTACTTCTTCGTTCTCGCAAAATGCTCCAGTTCCTCACAAGTGCATCAACTGTACACTGACGACCTCAGTATCTGTCTTCCAAGCTCTCACTATTACCAACACATCGAGACACTGACCCATCCTTTACCCTAAGCCGAACCCAACCCTCAGCGCATACTCTATGGTTGGGATTGCAAGAGCTCGTGGTTGTGGAACCTGCAGGAAGCGGAAGATAGCGGTAAACCTAGCGATTTCCCAGTATCGATGAGAAGGGCACCGCTAATATTAACCACTAACAGTGCGGGCTGGAACGGCCTTCTTGTGCTCAGTGCATTAAATCGAAAAGAACATGCACGGGGTACCGAAAATACCCCATTTTCATCCCTCATCAGCCACCGAAGGGCGACGATTCGAAGCAACCGCCGCAGGAAGAGTCCACTCCCGATTCGACAGTACGCCCCCATGGCAGTCATCAAAACCATTTAGATTTAAATGGAATGGCAAGCTCCTCATCATCGAGTGGCATTCGTCTCGACCCAGTCAAATCTCTTATTCGGATAGGAGCACAAGTCAACGCCAACCCAGCTCTTCGACAACGTCTCTTGGGTCTGTACCTAGATAACCATCTGTCAAAGAACATACTTGGCCCTATGCAGCAACGAGTATGGCTGATACAAATCCCCAAACTTCCTGATCTCACTCCCGCGTTGGAGGTTTCAATGATGGCATTGGCCGTTGCTAAGCTAGGCGAAGTCTATCATGATGACGGGCTTATTCACGAGAGCCTGAAGCTTTACCGTGAGGCTCTGCACGAAGTCCAATTAGCCCTGTGGGATCCAGACATGATGCTCCATGAACAGACTCTTACTGCCTGTGTGGCGCTGGGCATGTATGAGATGAGTCAGTGTCCGAATCAGTCAAAACATGGATATATCAGCCATACACTTGGTTGCCAAAGGCTGGTGCAACTTCGTGGTGCAGAGGCACATATGGATGGGCTGGGACATTCGGTCTTTGTACATTTCAGGATTCAAGGCGTGAGTCACCTGTGACATGGCCTAAGTGACAAGCAGCTGACCACAGTCAGATTCTATATTCTCTAGACCTGGGCGAGCCTTCCTTCTTGGGGCAGCCGCTGTGGCAAGAGGTACCCTGGCAGATCAGACCGAAAACACCCTACGATCGGATCTACGACTTCCTCGCCAGTGCACCAGAGCTCCGTAAACAGGGCGAGATGCTGGAGCACTTGAACCCTTGTGGCAAGTTGCAGCTCGCAACGGAGATGATTTCGAAATGCTGGAAGCTGGATGCCGAATTGCAATCTGTCTATGATTGCCTGGAGAAGAACCATCATGGACCATTATATTGGCCAGAGCTAGCCAGAGACAAAAGTCTCGACCTTGAATCGAAGGATGGCATGTTGTTTCCGGTGGCATTCCATTTTCCCAATCTCTCTATCGCCAACACCGTCATCATTTATTGGGGAGTGCAGGCAATACTGTGGCAGGGTCTGTGGCAGCTCTATCAAGTTCTGGCCGAAGTTCACGCGAAGTCTGAGGAGGCTGGGGGCTTCGCACAAAGTGACGTGGGCGGTGACACCAGATCTCCTACCTCTACGCTCGGCAACTGCCTACACTTTCCACCATTGGAACATCGGGCTGACTTCGCTGCACCCTGCCGCAACGTATTCCAGTCTGCTGAATACTGCTTGCAAGACAATATGCTCGATCAAGGGCCAAAATGCATTGCTGCCCCGTTGAGGATGGCGATAGAAACGCTGCAGCCGTTCCCCCAGTACAGGCGAGAGGTCGCTTGGGGAGAGCGGGCTGTGAAGAAAGTGCAACAGCGATCCCTGCGTCTACTTATCTACTACCATCCCAGAAGATAGGTATACGGCTAAATGATATCTTCAAGCCACTCCTTTCCTTTTGGGCCACCTGTGACTAGTGATTCCTCGCAGCCTCGCGGCTAATCTCAAGCCCGCCAAGGCCAGGCTGGCCTCAGCCTCGATCTCGGATCTGTTCATAACTTTACTTCACACTGGACATTTATTTACTTCTACCCTCATAGGATCATTTGTATTACTCCAGTACACTGCCTCACTCTGTTGAACTTGTCATTATATGTCAATCTGAACCTGTCCATCCCTCCCAGTCGCGCGCAGATTGGAGAAATGTCTTTAGAGCCGAGCCCTGTCATGGAGTTCCTAGGCCAGGTCGCCTACCATTATAAAAGTATGCGACCTCTTCTGCCGACCTATATGCATCTTCTCGTATCGGCTATATTCCCCATCTACACAGCCGCTCACGCCTCGTTATCCAGACCACCATCGGCAGCACCCAAGAAATCTAAGAAAAATGTCAGTGACGAAGATGAAGAACGTGACGACGACGAAGATCCCCACACAAGAATCGAGAGCCTGACACCTTCAGACGCGATATTGTTTCCCATCCTGGCCGGTGCCACATTGGCATCGCTCTACTTTACTCTAAAGTGGCTCCAAGATCCTGCTTGGCTCAATTGGGTCTTGGGCATTTATTTCTCGCAGATCGGCCTGTTCTTCGCGATGAAGTTCCTGAAAGACGGCTTCTCTGTGTTGCGATCCTTCTTACTTCCAAACGAGTATTCCCGTTCAGGAGTGCTGTGGAGGGTGGACCAGCAGCATCGGTGTTTTAGGACAGAGAACGGGTTGCATAATGGCTCGCCGTTTCCCGGGTTGGCAGGGCAGATCTCTCTTCCCTCCTCGCTTGCACCGCTTGTCTGGGACCTACGCGCGATACTGTACACGAAGGCCCGGCTCGAGTTCCACGTTCACGAATTGATTACCATCAAGACATTTGTCGAAATTCTTGATGCTATTAGCCTCATTCTCTCCGCCGGTATTGTCTACATCCACACGTTCGTCGCAAAGCCATGGTTCCTGACCAACTTCCTCGGCTTCTCCTTCTGCTACGGCTCTTTACAGTACATGACACCCACAACCGCCTGGACTGGTACCCTTGTGCTGAGCGCACTTTTCTTTTATGATATCTATTTTGTTTTCTTCACCCCGATGATGGTCACTGTGGCGACAAAACTAGACGTCCCGATCAAGTTGCTCTTCCCTCGACCCGACGGCTGCGTGGTCCCTACGGGTGCACCTGAGGGCTCGCCAGCGATGGAGGAGTACTTGCAATGCCTAGCAAAGAAAAGAACAATGGCGATGCTGGGTTTAGGGGACATTGTTGTGCCGGGAATGATGCTCGCCTTTGCGTTGAGGTTTGACTTGTACTTATATTACCTTCGACAGGCCAAGAAAGGACAGCAAACGGAAGAGAATAATTTGAAGCCGACATACACCAGTGCCACAGGATGCTGGGGAGAACGATTCTGGACCAGTTCGAAATTATGGTCCATGGAGACGAAAGCCAAGCGGTTTCCCAAAACCTATCTTCGCGCCACTATCTTGGGATATCTCGCTGGAATGGTCGTAACAGTGATTGTAATGCAGGTTGCACAACACGCGCAGCCGGCACTACTCTACCTTGTCCCCGGAGTCCTGCTGTCACTCTGGGGCACTGCCCTGGTGAAGGGGGATTTAAAGGAGCTTTGGCATTACAGTGAGCAACCGGACGTCGATGACAAGAAAGCCAAGGAGGTAAAAGAGGAGAAAGACTTATCGGCGTCCACAGGGAGGGATAGTACGGAGGACAAGGCTATAACCGACAGCGCATCAATGAACAAGGCTAAAGGCGTTGACCGTGTCGCAGTGGAGGAGACCCAATCTGCAAACCGAACCCAGGACACCTCTAAGAAAGCTCCTGAGAAGAGCTGCCGGCGCCTCGTCCACTTCTCAATCATATTACCCGATCCAATCCCCGAGGAAACGCCAGCCGACGAGGAGGCCTCCCTCAAGTTGGTGACCGGCGACGAGAGGTTGGAGACGGATCTGGCGGCCAAAGGCACAGAGGAAGATCGAGAGTCAGGTAGAAGCCGGGAGCGCAAGGACGACGGCGAACCGACCGGCAAGCGTGCCAGTAAAACTTAATGAGACCAAGAGAGGCCACGGACTTTCCAAAACAAATCATTCAATGCATAGCGATGGACTAACATTTTGCTTTGCTTTGAAGGGAGGCATGAGGTAGAAATGCATGGTTTGGCGCCAGTACAGGAGCAATGGCAAAGACGTGCTCGTATCTCAGAATGATTCATTCCATTCCTATGAATAACCTGGGGTGTGCCCTTTTCCTTTCACCTGTCCTTTGTTTTCGTCTTTACCATAGCTGTTCGTGTTCGTGCCTCTCCCGTCGCTCATGTCGAGTCTATTTGTTCATCTCTTGCGCCTGAGCCTTCAGTTCCTCCTTGCTCTTCGTCTCGGCAGGAATGCCTACAAGGCCGGGGTTAGCATTCTGAATCATCTCACAGCAACAGAAACCAGGATGTACTCACTGTCAGAGATCTGAGGACCCTTGCTCTGATGATGATGGGCTTGTGCCTTTTGCTCTCCCTGGTGAATAGGGTGGTCAGATGCGTTGGAGTCGCTGGACTCTTTGGCGACTTTGTCAAAGACGTGAGAGTCAGTGTTTTCTTCGCTTGGCATAACAGGCATTTTGAGGAGTTTGTTGACGATGAGTGGGGATCTTTAGAAAATGTCTAGGAGTGAGGAGAGGATAGAGGTTAAGGGAGACTTATATAGCTGTGCTATCGAGTTGTTGTGTGACTATGACACTCTCAGGCTTCTGCATTTGCAGTCTGCGACCTGCACCATATGACGATGACGTCTGAGATGTGGGGTCTTGTAGAACATGAGTGACGGAAGGCCTCCAAATTCAACCAATTGCAAGTTCCAGGCTAAGCAACAGGCCCTGAAGGCAAACAGGGGCAGCCTAGAAGACCGCTCACTAGGCCCTCCTACAAAGCCTACTAGGTAGTGAGCCTTTGGGGGCTTGGAGTCTGACCCCGCAACACCTCCCCTAGTGAGATTGATCCGAGCCGGAATGCCACGCGGCTCAGCCTTTGTCTCTTGTCTCCGCCTTAGCACAGAGAGCACTTGAGGAATTACCTGCACAGTTCATCGATCACCCCTTCTATGCTTCCATGTCAGTCTGTTATCCTGTGCCCATCTTGGATTGTTTCTGTGTGACTTGATATTATTCCACCAAAAGCAGGTCACCGTTTTCAAGTTTCTGCTTCCCCCCTTTGCGGACCGCGAGCACTATCACTCGCTCCGATATGCCGTCCATCCTCACCGATGCTGACAAGGAGACGGTGAAACGGACTGTGCCCAAGGCTTCCAACAAGATCCAAGCCGTCGCCGTCGCTCGTCTCTATGTCGCTCACCCTGACAGCACCCGATGGACCTATACAGGCCTGCAAGGCGCCGCTGTCCTCTCGAACGACCTGGTCGGAAACACCTTCTGGATCAAGCTCGTTGATATATCTCCCGCAAACCGAGGCGTGATATGGGATCAAGAAATATACGACACCTTTCAATACAATCAAGACCGCACATTCTTCCACTCCTTTGAACTCGAACAATGTCTCGCCGGCTTATCCTTCGTCGACGAGAAAGAGGCCCGACAGTTCAAGAAAAAGATGGACGAGCGCGAGAAAAATGCCAGCAAACATACAAAAGCCCAGCCATTCGCATCTGCCGCTGGAGGGGGCCAAATACATGTGCCTGGAAGTTCGCACAAACACCACAGCCGAGTTAGCAACTTGTTCCGTGGACACCGGCACAGCTCAGCCTCGCTACAACCGCAACCAATTGCGCCCCAGCCGATTTACAGCACCGGGCTTCCTCCTGCAGGCTATCCACGAAACAATGCAGACACAATCGATCTTTCTGATCCTAGCTTGAGGCCGATCTTGGATGAACTGATACAAATGGGCATCACGGAAGATCAAATCAGCCAAAACGTCGACTTTATCAAGCGTTATATACAAGAGAAGCAGGCAGAAGGAGCGGCCAATGGATTCGGCTCGGGGATACCGACAGTCACCGCTACTGAATCAAGGTCAAGGGCTCCGCCACCTCCGCCTCCCTCTGTACCTCCATCGAGGATCAGCCCTGAAAATACTGGCACTTCTTCCTCGAGCCGGAGAGGCCCTCCTCCAGCCCCTCCGCCATCCAGAAGACCTGTCGGTGGGCGAGCACCATCACCTCCTCGATCAAGCTCTCCACCAGCAAGGGATCCGTCTCCTCCCACAGCGAGTCCACAGCCCAGGTTCCGCGCTCCTCCACCTATCGCAGATGCCGGCAAGTTTGCCGTCAAAGAAGGTCCAGCACTGCACTCATCCGGCCGAGCTCGAGCTTCTTCGGGTTCTCTTGCAAACCCGGGTCCTCCACCTCCGCCTCGTCCTCCCAAAACCCCGATCGAGGAAGAACAACCCCAGGGTGGTTTGTTTAGAGTCCCTCCACCGTTCACTGGGGAACGCAAGTCTTCCGCGCCTCCTCCACCACCGAGTCGTGGACCTGTTCCTCCTCCGCCACCCAGTCGTGAGACACCAGCTCCTTATGCTGGGCCACCACCCCCATTACCGCCCAAGGCACAGACGGCGTCGCATTCTGCATTGTTCATTCCTCAACCTCCACCGCCTCCACCAGCACGCAATAATGCGCCTCCTTTGCCGCCCCCGAATACTCGAGCAGTCCCTCCACCACCCTCAGGGGCCGTTCCGCCACCTCCTCCCCCACCACCGCCGCCGCCGCCCATGCCCTCATCTGCTGGTCCTCCTCCGCCGCCTCCCATGCCTTCCTTTGGTGGCCCACCCCCACCGCCTCCCATGCCCAGCTCTTCTGGACCAGCTCCTCCCCCTCTTCCCCCGGTGGGAGGAGGCGATGGCCGTGACTCGCTTCTGGCGGCCATTCGCGGGTCAGGTGGGAAAGCTGGCGGCGGGCTACGCAAGGTCAAGGACAGTGAGAAACGCGACCGTAGTGCGGCCTTGGTGCCGGGATCAGAGAGTAGTGCCTCTCCACCGCCTCCAGGGGCGCCAGGCTCGCCCTCGACACCAGCCGGGGATCAAGGGGGTCTGGCCGGGGCATTGGCAGCGGCGTTGAGTCAGAGAAAGAAGAAAGTTAGTGGCAGCGGTAAGTTTGCCCTTGTTTGTCTTGTTTGAGAGTACGAAAGTTTCTCAAGTTAACCTGTATTGTCCTTTGTCACGGGTCAATGAATGCTGACTTTACTGTTGCAGACGATGAGAAGGACGACGATGACGACTGGTGATCCATACTCAGCTCTTCAAGAGTGTGGATTCGCTTCTAGTTCTTTCGGCATACTCTTTTCCTGCAATTCAGAGTTGGAAATGGTGACCGTGGTGGTGGCGGTCTATGGACCTTGGAGATAGCTGGCGTGGGAGCAGGTGAAACTGGAACCTGTCATTGGCCACAAACACGGGATGCCTCGAGCTCTCGAAGAGGCCAATTGAAGAGAGCAATCACTCAAGGAGACGGTCAATGCTATAGTACATGGCCGGAGTAGAGACACGAGGGCGGTGTGGTTGGACAAATAGAACGAGGAAGAGCAAGCCGTGCGTCCTCAGGCAAAAGATCAAAGTCGACCAAAAGGAAGCATAATCTTGAAACAAACGACAAGCTCACTCAAGAATTGAACCAAATTGAAGTGAGATGAATTCGTCTATTTTTCCATACAAGACAAAGAGGCTATCTCTGGTCCCGTATCCCTGCCTCTCCGTAAATGCATATGGTAATCCTGCCAAATGCTCCATAGGTACCTAAGAGGGAGAGATTGGGACGGGAGGTGTCTGCAACCGTGTACCTTTCAACACCGAACCCAGTGCTATGATGTGCCCTCTATCCATGCCTTTCAAATGCAGTCGCCCCGATATGTATTTGGAAATGCAAGAACCGCCACCCCCGTCTCAGTCCTCGCTTGAACGCTCAAAAGGAGATGAGACCAGCCATCTAATAATCTATATACTAAACACAGAAGATGAAACCCCAATCGCTATCATCACAGAGTATATATTACAGAGTCAGGAGAAGAGGAGAGGGCGATTCTGTGCATCACTGCCTCTTGTGTTGTGCCTTCATTTGTTCCTTGGTCATCAGACCTTTCTCCCTCTTCGCGTCAGCCTTCATCTTGGCTTCGACGTTATCGACGTCCTCGTGAATCGTCATGCCAGGTGCATTTGCGTCCGTGGTGCTGCTGCGAAGACCTACATTCCGCTGCTGATCGTCGGTTTCGGCATTGTTGAGTTTATGCATTCCCAACCCATCCATGCCCGGCCAAAGCACACGGCCAGTCTGCGAGCCCCCTCTCACTTTGAGCCTGTCAATTGTATGTGCCTGACTCTCCACTGCTTCGTTGCGCCAATTGCCTCGACTCCCTATCTTGCTGCCACGGAAACCCATGCTGTGATCGAGACCCTCGCCCCACATGCGCACCTTTTGCACCTTGCGTAATTTGCGCATGCCGTAGATGCAGATCAACCAGGACAGACCGAAGCATATCACACTGACTCCGCCAAAGGCCAAGTCCGACTCTTCGACAAAGTTCTTGAGGTTCATGCCATAGAGCCCGGCGATAAGGGTACCACCAGCTAGACCGAGAGTGCCAATGCTAAATTTGATCTCGAGCAACATCAGCTGGTTGCGATTTGCATCTAAAATTGCACGGACCACTTCTTCCGTATTTCTGATGTTGCTAATCAGATTGCCCGATATCTCGACGATTTCGTCACAGATCTTGTGGTAGGATTCGAGGAGCATTTCAACTTCTTGATGGTCGTTTTCGGCGCGGGGTTTACCAGTGGCCTTTCTTTCAGTCAGATACATAGCCGATAGATCATCGTCCGCTTCGAGGAGATCCTCGATGGCGTCTCGCACCAGTCGTGCCTTCTGCTCGAATGTGCCAAGTTTCTTGGAATGGATGAGTAAGTGCCGTAGTTTGTCTCTGTCAATGTCTTCTTCGAGCTCCGTCAAGATATGTGTGACCGGGTCCCGGACCAAGGCAAATTCCGCTTCCAGACCTGAAGTGACAGATATGAGCACTGCTTCAAGAGCTCTCAGTTCATAGGGGAGGTTGAGGGAGCCATTTCTGGGGTCCGCTTTTTGTCGCAGTTTCCCTTCCAGGTCGTACATAAACAACGACTGGGTATAAGAGTCTGTGCTCCCAAAAGCGTCGAAGACCAGAACTCTATCCGACTGAATAAGGACTCGGAGGTGGAGGAGGTTAATCAGGATGGCCGAAGGCCGGACGAGGATATGGGGAAGGACGGAAGAGTCGATCTTTCGGAGATCTCGAGGCAGTAATCCATACTTGGCGATGAGTTCCGACTTCTTGAACTCGCCCGACACCATCGTAACGGAGCCATTGGCGTCGAACTCGGTACAGCGAAGCTTCAATTCTGCGCCGCTGGTGTTACGCGACAGGGCGCGGGAAAGATTGAAGAGCTGAGCCGAAGTCTCGTCGTACCCAGAGGGTGAGGACGCATTTGAAGAATCTCGTGGGAATTTTGAACGGGCCATAGCGGCCCTATGACGGAGCCATCGTCGCCAAAAACTTTGCTTATGACTTTCTGTGCTTGCGCCGCGAGACAGTGGAGGATTGGGTGGGTTGTATCTTGGAGGAGGAAGAGCTTTACACGGCTCTCGCACAGGATGCCATTTGTCCTCATTTGAGAAGAGCCGCTTGCGGATCGGAGTCGTGGATATAGCTCGTAATGGCGTTCGAGCACATGTTGCGAAGCGACTGGAGCTGGGGAAGATCAAGTCCGATTGAGATCGAAGGTAGCGCAGGAGACTTCGAGAAGGCGCAGCGAGCGTCTTCATCGCCTGCACAGAGGCACGCAGCTAATACTACTGAGAAGAGAGGAGGGAGGGGTGGTATGAGGCTGATGTTAGAACGCTGGCCTGCCTGCGCTACGATGCTTCATTTCTAGCGACGCGGAAAATTGTCACATCTCCGAATTCTTGGCATCGGAAGTCGAACGGGCGAGCGGCGATTCCCGGTGAGCAAGGTAGAGAAGGTGTAGCGAGATCGGCTTTGCTCTTAGGGGAAAGCTAAGGTCACGTGGGAAGGGCTTGGCAAGAGACTGGGCGGCTCGGCGGAACCCCTCAGGAAAGTACACTTTTCCGCTTTTAGCAAGTAGAACAACGTCCTCAATCAATTTATGCTTCCAACAGCTCGAAAGAGTTATACACCAGTGAAGACAGCCAGACCGTCATTAGTATGAAACATGAAATCCAGCTCGCTACCTTTCCTTCAAAGTTTGCCCTATCTCACTACGTGGAACCCATCTTTCAGGCAAACAACATCCATGGGATCACCAGGCCCAGTGCTAATGGAGCGTCAACTGTGTGCCTTGCTTTTTGAGCACCGCCCGAAAAGGTCTGCAACCCCGGCGGAGCTGTACCTGTGCTCGTGCAGCCTCCAACGGCACTACAAATGACGGTTTGAATGCCACCGCTCGGGGTCAATGTGATAATTGTCGTTCTCGTCCCAATAACAATCTCTGAGCTGTCCGTGCCGAGGCTGATGGGTGTGCCATTTATGGTGACTGGCGGGCCACCGGCGGTAACAGTGGTACCATCTACGACGACGGCGGTAGTTACATCTGTAGCCGTGGTTCGGAAGGTCGATACGGAGGGAGAAAGAGGGGTTGACGCCGAGAGGCTGGAGTTTTCCGTGGAAGCTTGGGGTGTCGCTGTCGTGGGAGGCGGCGCAGCAGTGGATGAAGGTGCCGGACTGGAAGCTTGTGTGGTAGAAGCAGCCGGTACGGTGCCTGGTGTTTGCGTTCCAGGTGAGCTCTGTTCACTGCTGGAGGTAACTGGAGTTGCAGATGCAACTGGTGTCGTGCTCGATGTTGGTGTTCTCGTCCCAGCTGCAGTGCCCGTCCCTGAAGAGCCTTGTCCACTGCTAAGGTTGGATGTGGGTACGGTAGCAGCAGGAGGCGTCTGGCTAGTTGACTGGGCGGGCGCAGGGGCTGTTGGACTCTGCGGCTGCGTTGGTGCCGCAACGGTGACTTGAGTTGTTGTGGTTAATAGCACAGGTGCGACGGCGACAGTTGATGTTGAGGTGACGGCCCGTGGGGACTCAGTTGCTGTTGCAGAACTGGGTGAGGGCGTTACAGTTGATGCTTCTGTGACGGGCTCAGCAGTGGCAGTGGCTAGAACAGTTGACCCTGAAATGGTGCTGATGACCGTAGTCTCTGTCGTGATGGATACAACGGTAGACCTTGTGATGTATACTGTCTCGCAAGTCTCGCTCTCTTGTCTCACTCGGAGAATAGGTGTTGCAGTAGAGATTGGGGACGACGTGCTTGTGCTCGGGACAAGACTCGAAGTGGAGGTGGTTTGTGGGGCAGAAGTTGGAGCAGGAGTGGTTGTAGTGCTGCTCGCACTGATCGTTACTGATGTAATGCTGCCGGTAGTTGATAAGGCGGATGACGAAGTGGAGGTGGTTGCGATGCCGGTAGCGAGTGGAACAATGCTTTCAATCGTAGAGGAAGTGAAGGTCTGCGTCTCGGTAATAATACTGGTCTCGGGAGGAAGAGTTATAGTGACCCAAGTCGTCTCAGCAGGGACGGTGGTGGTAGTCCAAATAGTCTCCGGAGGAAGAGTGGTACCAGTCACGATAGTCTCCGGAGGGAGGGTGCTGGTGATAGTGGTCGGAGGAAGGATTGTCGTAGTGAAAGAGGTCAGAGTTGCATATGAAGTACTGGTCTCGGGGACAATCTGTGTGATTGTACAGCCAGAATTTTCTGGGGCAGTAGTGGTTGTGCTGGCTGTGACCGTAGATGAGCTTGTAGAGAGTGTCGGGGTCGGCGATGTAGGGGGCGAAGGTGAGCTCGTGGTTTCGGGTTCTACAGAAGTAGTCGTAACTGGCGAAGGCGTGGTTGTGACGGGGGCTGGTTCATTTGATGTTGTAGTTGGCTGAACTGTAGTTGCTGCCGGCGGAGTTGTCGTTGTCGCTGCTGGGGCTGTTGCAGTATCAGTCGCTTCAACCGTATCTTGACTGCTGGTCGTAGCCTGTCCTGTATGCAGGTCAGCCTTGATATGCCTCAACAAAACTCGTAGCTCCCTCCATACGTGGGACATGACCAAAGACCTGGGCACTCAGGCCGCAAAAGAGCACAAATACACCGAGTAGCACCATCATATGTGATTGAAGGAGCATTGGAGTCCTGGACTAGAAGCTATGGAGAATATCGAGAGGAAATGGCGGTTCTATATCCTCAGCCTGATGGTCCTGAGCTCTGGTTTCTCTCGCCTCCTCCTCCATAGCGTCCATCATCCTTTGAGAAATGGACAGCCCCTCCCCAACACGACATGCAGGGTCCGGAAACCAACATGGATATGTTCACAGGTCTTCTCAGCTAAACATCGTGTCTGCGGGTGAATGCAGAGGAGGCCAGAAGTCTACCTTGGAACCGCAACGCCTCAATGTGGAGAAGGTGACGTCCACCGCAGGGTCTATAACTGGCCCAGCATTCCACTCCACGAATCTCTCTCGACACAACAAATGAGGGGGCCACGAATACTCGTAAAAAGGGTGCTCAAGAACGAGGAGTAAACTTGTCTTTGCTGCTTGGCATGCATTTCAGCTCTGGGCAGAAGCTTTGCTGAACCTGCTATTGGACATCGAAGAATTCGTATATGTAGTCAGCCAGTCTTGGACACAATGCAAGTCGTTTTTCTTCAATCCAGCCTTCTTTGTCGCCTCCGGTACGATAAAGAGGCTTGTTAGCTGCAGCCGGAGAGAGTCGTGCCTCAGGCAGGACATCTCTCGACAATAAGGGTCTCGGAGGGGATTAGACCGGGAACATAGATCAGAGTCGCTTTCCACCTCGCCAACATCTCCGAAACATCTTCGATCCAGAATACGGGCTCGAGTTATATTCGTACACGGCTGGAACTTTGAGCTGCAGCATCGTAGTCCAGGCCAATCGCTCAAACTGCCTCAATCGAAGGCACGGAAGAAATTCTCCCATTCAAACCTGTCGTGGCAGGTCTCATCGTCTATTGATATGTGAGTAGTGATCACCCAGGCCCTGTAGCTAAGCGGCATACTTGGTTTACCACAGTAGCAGGTGTCTACACAACGAGACCAAAATACACTTGTTGACTGGGCCTTTTTAGACAAGTCCAGGTCAGCCTCGAAAACTCTTACTCCTGACCTGCCACTTTTACTTGCACATTTCCGCCTTGATTATGGACATCTCTACCTTTATACTCTCAGCCTTGTGCCTTTTCTTAGAGTTCCCTCTCGTCAGCTGTACATCTCTCAGCAACGAGTCGTATCCTTCCCCCATATCTTTACAACCAAGCAACTCCTGGCAAGTACAGTGCTAGGCTGAAACCTGATGGCCTCTGACATGCTGCTAGGGACGGTAACGATGGAGAGTGGTCAAGCTTTGCAGTCCAGATCGGGACTCCACCACAGGTGGTCAAATTACTGCCATCCATCACAGGCAACACGATATGGACAGTGTGGAGCTACGCATGCGAAGGGTCGACGCTGCTCGACTGCCCTGCTGCCCGTGGTGGCGTCTTCAATATGAGTGGTTCAACCACATGGGAGGCTGAGGGCAACTACTCGCTTCCGCTAAGCCCTCAGCACTACCTGCCCTACTCCGGGGCGGCAGCATTGGGCTTCGATAACATTACGGTATGGTGAATGACCTACAGTCATGCTCTGCGTTGGAACTGACAGACGTCGGAAAGTTCGGCTGGCGCGAACAGGGTGGCGAGTCTCTAGCCGACCAGCTTATATTTGCCTACGCCACGGACGACTTCTACGTAGGCAATATCGGACTCAGTCCAGAACCTACCAATATTTCTTCATTCAACAACCCAATACCCAGCGTGGTTGGGACCCTTCGGCAAGACGGTCTTATTCCTAGCACATCCTGGGGCTACCTCGCGGGCGCTTCTTACTATTCTTTCCCGGTCATGGCATTTGGTAGCCTGACATTTGGTGGCTACGATGCTAGCCGTCTCAACATTGACACCAACCTTACGCTAGCGGGAGGCTCTGACCAATACAGGCCGTTTCTTCTTGGAATTGAGAGCATCACCGCCGGTGATAAGGAGATGCTTCCGGAGCCAATTGTCACTGCCCTAGACTCGATCACAACTCAGCTCTGGCTGCCACTGGCGGCATGTCAGGCGTTCGAGGCAGCCTTTGACCTAGTGTGGAATGAAACTTACGGGCTCTACCTTCTCAGCGAAGATCAACACGCCGCTCTCGTGGCTAAGAATGCCAGCGTCACATTTACCCTGAGCACAGGAGTCTCAAATTCTACCGAACGCCTCAACATCACCCTCCCCTATGCCGCGTTCGATCTGAAAACAAGCCCACCGTTGGCTGGGGACGGGACGTATTTTTACTTCCCACTCAAGCGAGCAGCAAACGAGACACAGTATACCCTGGGCAGAGTCATCCTGCAGGAGATGTACATCGTTGCAAATTACGAGTGGGGTTATATCACCTTGTACCAAGCAGTATACCCGGAGTCGTCAGTCTCACCCGACATTGTCACCATATGCGCCCAGAATGCGACGACCTGCATCAGCCCGCCCAGCACTGCCGGCAGGTCACGCAAACTGTCGGCTGGGTCCGCAGCCGGTATAGTTATCGGCGCCGTTCTCGTCTTTATCGCGGTATGCGCAGTAGTGTGGGTCAAATGCTTCAAGAAACCCAAGACAAAAGGCCCACTATCTGAAGTGGGCCGAGGCTCAACATATGAAACTACTTCTGAAGTGACAGGGCGCGTTGGGGCGTCAGACAAACCTGAGTTAGACGGCAGAGTGCTAGGAAGCCCACGTAGCGAACTCGAAGGATATTACAAGCACGACAGGGGGGCTTCCGTCGACGACAGCGGCTACACTTCTGGCTCACGTCGAGGGGGAACGAGTAGCAGTGGTGGCGGATTCTCCCCACCGATGGGACAAGACAGAAATGAGGCCTCGGAGTCTGGAGGCAGGGAGGTACGGAGGTCCGGTGCCATAGACGTCCATGAGCTCTCTGGGGAAACCCCAACTATGACGAGTCCGTCTGAACTCATGGCGAGTCTGCCTTATCACGAGCTACCTGGCTCGACAAGGTGGCCTGGGAGCTAGTCGGTTTAGCCTCAGGGATTATACTTCGCAAGTCAAATATACATCCATGCAATCTCGTAACGAAAAATCATCTTGCCATTTAAGAGCCTTTACTGGGAGGACAAGCTCAAGAGATGTGTCAAAATAAGGTCGGACTCACAATGGCTTGGCATGGTAAAGCCTCGCCTCTTGATGTTATGTACTGTGCCAGAATCCACTCTGAATTGCATATATGCGTTGTAGATTCAACACATCGGTGACTTGATCAGATCACCAGTCCCTTCCCAGCCAGTCCCTCGGGGCTGGTACTCTCAATTCCCCGTCACCGCCTCTCTTGGAAACAGTCGATCAAGCAAGAAAGAGAACAAGAAGGCACCTAATCCACAATTGTTGATACGATGGCGCTTCCCGAGCAAAGAAAACAGCCTAATCGATCCATCGAAATCCCCTTTTCCAGGGTCTTTGGATCCAAATGAGGAGCCTTATGATGACGGAGACATCCTGAATGCAGCCCAAGGAAGCCACACGCAAGCTGACCTGGCAGACATAATCCAGAAATGGCTTTTCTTTGGTCTAATCCATTGTCCTGGCGGCGGAGGTCGTTGGCCAAATCCATCTCAATTCAGAGGAGGCTCCTCTTCGTCATGATTCTGTGTGATGGCCTGCAACTATGCATCGACCCTGGGACCACCAGCATTCCTAGCCGCCAGTGGCCCATGTCTGACGTACTACTTGAGAAGCGAATGCTCTCGGCAGGATGGTGTCCTAACGATGTGCAGAGATTGACGAAGATGCTCGACCTCTATTCCCTCACCCTTGTGAGCACACTGCCCCCAAGGGATCTTGGAAGCCATTCTACCTGTGGCTTGTAATACGAATGACATTGTGCCGGGTCAGTACCGGCAGGGTCACTACGACTGCAAGGGCTGTGTAGACATCGTCGCAGAACCCACCGAGATCTTCGGCATCTTTGAGGGCGAAAATTTACCCCTAATGGACCCTGTACAGAACGAGAGCTCCAAATTGCAGCTGAAAAGCACTGCCGGAGTTCAGAAGTACATAGCCATTTCCCATGTCTGGTCCGACGGACTGGGTAAATCCGCAGCGCAACGTCGTCTACTGCTGTCATCTCAGGTGGCTCCAATCGTTGGCTGCCCAATTCTCCCAGCCAGGCATGCCCGTCTGGTTAGACACGATTTTCTGTCCGCGAGATTACGAAAATATGCACGAACGAGCCAAAAAAGCCTACGATCAAGCGATTGCCTTTATGAGGAGAACATATGCAAACGCGCACATTGTTTTGGTGCTGACCATTCGCTGCTTGACGTGGACACCAGACATTCGTCAGCTCTCAATAGTCCTCTACGCATCGCCTCATGTGGGTGGACGAGACGATTATGGACCTACCAAGAGGGTGTGTTGGCGAAGAGATTGTTCTTTTAGTTCACCGATCGGGTCGTGGATATTGGCGAGGTGTACACAAAATGGCATCCGTCAATCAATGCGACTTTCTACATCGGTGTGCGTGGGTCCTACAAAGAGCTTCGAATCCTACTCGACTCGAGTGAGAAGGACTATGCTGAGCAGGTCATGCACAGAGCTCTCGACCATTGCAATTCTGGAAGACGTCTGTCACGTCGGACGAGGCGCTGTGCCTTGCCACCCTGACGAACCTGCAGACGGATTTGGTCAAGAGGGTATCTAAGAGTAAGAAAGACAACCGTATGGAAACCTTTTACGCCAGCCTGTCCGTGGTCTGCAAGCAACTCATCTTTTGGCATGGAGCTCGGCTGTCACAGAAGGGCTTTCGGTGGGCTCCGGCGTCGTTCCTGAACGACAGCACTCTATATTTTCGAGACTGGGATGATGAGCCTTCAGCAGAAAGCAACACGGCGGTCCTGTCTACCTCAGGCCTCTTGTTTGCATGCCTTGGCATCTTACTGGGGAAGTTGAATGCTAGCTTGCAATCTTCTCGTGACGACAGGTCCCCATGCCTGGTACCTGTCACATGCCGCCCGTTCGTATGAGAGAAAGGCTAACACATATCACCCGTCTTTTGCGTCTCTGAGCCAACTTTGATGATTCCATCGCAAAACATGGCCGAATCTTGTCCATGGCCCTTTTGAAGAGCCCGTCCAATACGGCAAGGCTGTGCCGTTTCAAAGGACAGAGCACCAGGAATATACCCATCAGATGCTCGGACATATTATTGAAGCCGCTAACGCTTCCTTTGATGCCCACTTACTGCACACGGTGGAGATTGAAACGAAAGGACCATGCAAGCCCGGCAGCCGTGATACGTCCAAATCCATTTCCTCAAAGTGGTATAGCGATAAGTCCCCGCGCCTTAAGTCAACCTCCGTCATGGATCCTTCACCGCATGTCCAATCACGAGGCTCACTATACACAAAGATCTGGCAGGCGATATGCAATCCCTTTCTCTTCCCCGCCTCTCTCACCCCTGGTGGATCGATATTCAAGGGGTCAACTCCCACATCCAACGGAGAATTCCCTTACCAATAACGGGGGACGCCTTCGCCCGATCCACAGGTCAACGTGGCCACTATGGGTGAACATATCTGCCGATCCTGGGGTCAGCTAACTTACAAAAAGGTCTACGCTTAGATAACTTGCTAGAAGAGAGGACGCCACAGGCCCTTGGGTGGCAGGCGACCCACACTTTGGGGTACTCCAGCAAACTGGAGGCTGGGATGGGTTGGTCTGGGGAAATTCCTGGGTTCCACCACCAAACCCACGGAAGGAGGAAATCGCATCTCTGCGAGAGCAGCGTGCTCGTGGGAAGTTGTTTTGAGTCGTTCCAGACCCCAAGCTACGGTACCTATAGCCCTGTCCATTGCCGATGGCCCCGCAACAAAGCGAGATGCAGGAGTGTTCCATATACAACCGATACCGCCAGTCTCTTCTTCGGTGGCATCTCCCCCTTCTCCTTCTCTGAAGAACTCCTCGACTCTGCCTTTTACCTTTGGAAAGCAGCTGCTTGCGAGAACGTTGGATTCAAAAGAGTGATTTCCCTACCTTTGAACAAAAGACACCATGGGTCTCGGAATCCTCGAAGACCGACATCTGGACCACGTCCCGGGCACGGCGTTGCTCGCAGACATGATCGATGCGCAACATCATCAATTTCACGGTAGGAGCTGTGTCTGTAGTCTCTGTTCCGGATCGACGTGTTGACAATGACTTGTAGGACGAGATACTTCGGGTCTGAAACACGCCACGGGGCGCAACGCAGACATCGTGCTGGTCCCCCAGCCCAGCGAGTCTCCCCGAGACCCGTTGAACTGGCCCCGATGGAAAAAGGATCTTCTCCTGCTCATCATCAGCGTCGACACGGCTGTGGTGGGCGCGTGGGGGCCCATGATCTCTCCCGGTTTCGCGGAAATGGCCGAGGAGTGGCACATGTCGTACAACACGCTGAATGGCGGGCTGGGATGGGCCATCTTCGCCATCGGCATCTCGTGCTTCATCACCAACGGACTGTCAGTGAAGTACGGCCGTCGACCGGTCATTATTCTGGGCAATCTTCTGTTGTTCATCTCCTCGGTCTGGGGGTACTTTGCGCACAGTTACCACAGTCTGCTTGCAAGGTGAGTCGCCCTCGTTTAGGAGATCCAGGTCGTTATTTGAGAAACAGCAAGACACATAGGAGTCTGTCGTCGAATTTTCGTGTCCCTTGCTTGCTAACAATGATCTCCAGTCGAATTTTCGGTGCCGTGGGCATGTCGCCCTTCGAGGTGCTCACGACAGCCATCATTGGCGATATCTACTTTGTGCATGAACGTGGTCTGCGCCTGGCTTTCTGGGGTCTGTGCTTGAGCATCGGAGTCGGCGGAGGCAGCTGTATCTCCGGGTACATTATTCAGGTACGTGTGCAGAACGCAACATGGCGGTGGTTGGGGTTTGGGACGAAGCTCACGATTCGAGCAGGATCTCGGGTGGAACTGGACGTACGGCATCTGCGCATGCTTGTACGGGGTTTTCATCATTTTGATTCTCCTGTTCGTGCCCGAGACCGTGTACAAGCGAGATCCCGCGTACAACCTCGATCTGGGGACGACGGACCACACGTTCGAGACCCTGGACGTGCACGAGGTCAAGGGCGAACACATGGAACACCTCGAGACGACCAAATCCGGCAGCAAGGTCCACACCGAGGTGCTGTACACGGGCGCCGACGAACCGGCCTGGACGTTCTGGGAGGAGCTGCGGCCGTGGCGCGGGGCCGAGTCGGACGAGAACCTGCTGTACATCATCTTGCGGCCGTTCGGCATGCTCCTGTTCCCGCAGGTACTCTACGGCTTCATCACGTACGGTCTGTCGACGTCGTGGTTGGTGGTCATGATTTCGGTGCTGGCGCAGCTCTTCACGGGACCCCCGTACAACTTCAGCGTGTCGGACGTAGGTCTCATCAGTGTGGCGGCGTTGGTGGCCTCTTTGCTGGGCTTCGTGGCTGGGCCGCTGAATGACTGGACGGTCAAGAAGCTGGCTCGGTGGAATGGAGGCATCTATGAACCGGTGAGAACCATCCATCCAGACGAATGCTGAAAGAGGTGAAATAGAAGATCACCTGCTGACCTCCCACATCTCCCTGCTCCAGGAATTTCGACTCTCCCTCAACGTCCTCACCCTGGTCCTGGGTGTCGCGGGCTTCTTTGGCTTCGGGGCCACGCTGCAGAACGAAGCGCCGTGGCCTGGGCCGGTGGTTCTGTACGGGCTCATCTACTTCTCCATGTCGTTCCTCAACATTGGCATTTACGGGTATATCACCGAGTGCCACCGGAACAAGGCGCCGGAGGCGTTTGCATCACTCAACCTGCGCAACATCTACAGCTTCGGCATGAACTATTTCATCAGCGGTAAGTCGTGGCGTGGCGTGGCGGTGTGGCTGGCTGATAGATCATTGACTGACTGACCTGTGTCTTCCTCATCAGACTGGATCACCAAGCAAGGACCGCTCGAAGTCTTTTCCACCATCGGGGGCCTCCACATCTTCATCTGCCTGCTCACCATCCCCATGTGGATCTTTGGCAAGCGATGCCGCAGCTTTACGGCGCGGAATCCCATCTTCCGCAAGATCCAGGAGTCTTGATGACGAGAGGCGGAATCACCGGGCAGACGGACAGACGAACGAACAAGACAGATAACGAGCCAGTCGGTTAGCATCAAGCAAAAGGGAGCCTGGGTGGAGACAGCCCGTGCCCAGTTGCCAACCGCTGGCGATCTCGATGGTATCACCCTCCTCGGTCCGCATTGAGTATATATCTAGGTGAAAATGGAGTGGTGCCTTCTATGCACATATTCGAGAGAGGAGGTTCGAAGTTGTTCTCGTTCCGACGCCCTCTAGTGTAAAAGGGCAGCCATCAGTTGTATATACACAAAGTCAACTGCATGGGTTACGGTGGCTTACTTGCTTACCTTTCCCTCCGATCTGATATGTCCCCGGTGGCCCGTCAATGACCATTTCGGCGTCACTAGCCTCGGTCTCGGTGTATTCATTCGTTGATGATCATCGATGATGATGCTGCGGGGTAATTAGAGATTGTCGAGAGTTGAGGGCTTGTCCAGGATCGGGGAACCATCTCCGTTGCCCATCCATCCATCTGGCCGCATATTCTCTTTCGGTTGTGGGGGACGAAAGGGCGTAAAGACAAACCAGATATTCCCTGCCCACGCATCTCTTCCTCCGCTCCCTCCCTTCCCTCCTCTAGACTGACTCATCCAGACTACCTCGTCCACGTCTTTTGCAGAGCCACAGCCGCATATCTCTCGTTTCCCATCGTTGTCTATGCTGTCCCTCCTCTGACAAATCCCAGATCGCACTTCTCCGCACCTCGTCTGTGTTGGTAGGGCGTGAGCCGTATCAAGAGGGACAAGGTAAAACGGAGGGCGGATCAGATAAGAGTCATCAGGGCTGTATATTCTGACCATAAGGAACCTTGGAAACGCCACTCTTCAAGTAGGAAAACAATAGCAAAATCACACACATTAAGGAGGAAAGTAGGCAGCAGCCCATTGGTTTTGAGTACCTTGTTGTGGGCTGTGTTGGGATTGATTGAACGATCTCATCTGGTGTATTTTCTGGATACAAGGCAGAAACAACAAGAGGTATTGAAGATGACGGATTCGGGAACCACCGCGGCACCGCGCAAGCTGTGCGTGAAACAGGTACTGTAACATGCCTTCCCCATTCAACCCTCCTGTTTATATGTGTGTGTGGGTGTCGGTGTGTTTGTGAAAGAGAAGGAGAAACAGAAAACAAGACAACCAAGTGGTCACCAACGTCCTCTCACCCTTACCGTCTTACCGTCACTGATATACAGACTGATCTTCTCCCTCCCTGGCAGATCTATACCTACCCCATCAAGTCGCTGCGCGGCGTCTCGCTACCCTCCATGCCCGCAACGTACATGGGGTTCCCGCACGACCGGCGATTCATGCTCTTCAACGTCGCGCAGGGCAAGCACATGGCCGTGGCCTATTTCACCGAGATGTGTCTGTTCACTACTGCCTTCTCCCCCGAGAGCGGCCCCGATGCCAAGGTCGTTGTGACCTATACCAAAGACCACGTCTTCGATCACCCCGACCAGAAAGTCAGCCCGGAGCCGCTGGAGGTGCCCCTCAATCCCGACACAGCGGGCCGTGACGAGGTCGAGATCACCATGCACTCGTCCCCGTGCATCGGGTACGACATGGGCGAGAAGTACAACCGCTGGTTCAGCGAGCGGTTCGGCTATGAGGTCAAGTTGTTGTACATCGGCGCGAATCCGAGGAAAGTGTTGGGAAACATGCCCCCGAATGCCGCCGCCTCTCGCCCTGCTCAGGAGTCAAGTTCAAATTCGTGGTTGGGCAGTATAACATCCACCGCCACCTCTCTCGTGCGGGCCGTTACTGGAGCGGGAGAGTCTGAGTCTGAGGGAATCGACGAAGGCCTCTCGTTCGCCGACGTGGCACCCTACCTAGTCATATCGACGAAGTCGTGGGAAAACGCCACACGCCGCCTGCCCGAGAACGAGGAAATGGACATCTCCAAGTTCCGGCCGAACATCATTGTCGAGGGCGCGGAAGAGGAGTTTGAGGAGGACTTCTGGGCCGAAATTGTGATAGGTGACGGCGCCGAGGACGGGAGCGCGGGGGGCGCCAAAATCGTCCTGACCCAGAACTGCGCGCGCTGCAACTCGCTCAATGTCGACTACGCCACGGGCAAGGTCGGCGAGGGCGAGTCGGGCAAGATCCTCAAGAAGCTGCAGAGCGACCGGCGCGTGGACCTCGGAGCGAAATGGAGCCCCGTGTTCGGCAGGTATGGGTTCCTCGCGAGGGTTCCTGAGGGCAAGTCTGCGGCGGAGATCAAGGTCGGCGACGAGGTGAAGATCGTGCGGAGAAATAGCGAGAGGACAAGATTCGGTAAGTCTTTTGCCATCTCTTCAACCAATCCTTGTGATGTGTCGTCTATGAAGCTGGAGGAGTCTCATGCTGACCACCATCGTGTCTGGAACAGAGTGGCCCAATCTGAGCACCAATTGAACAAAGCAAGAAATCTTTTCTGCACCATAAGGGTGGCCGTCGTCGTCATTCTATTCTCTCATCTGGCGTTTCTGTTTTTCCGCCTGTCGAAGGTCGAGTTCTGGGTTCCGTGGCGCCCAGCAGTCCGGAGGTCCCTGGTGTTGAAGCACATATATATAAGTTGAAAAATATCGTAAGCACTTCTCGTTCCATGTCCGTTCTTGATCGTCCAGTCCAGTCGAGTCGTGACCTCTGTCTGTACCATGCCTGAGAGATGCATATGGCGCCGTCCAGGGTTCTGTGTAACCCCTTTTCGTCCATTGATCCATTCCCCTCCCTTCAATGCAAAGTCGTCATAATCTACCCTACCAACCCATATACATAACTAAGGTATGCAACCACTTCATCGTCTTATCTCATCCTTTACGCTGGAACATCTGCCTGACACTCACCTGCCCGCTCCCTCCAATCCTCCCGCCCACCCCGTCCGGCACGTACTTGCTCTCGGGCTGTCTGACGCCTCTGGCAACGCTGTCCACCACCCACTGCGCCGTGACATACTTCACGCCCTTTCCGTGCACCAGGTGCACCTCCTTCTGGATCTTGCCGCTCGCTAAGCCGCCCCCGCCTGCGGCGGTGTTGCCCAAGATGACGTGCGTGACGGTCCGACGGCCGAGAGAAATGGAGGTGTTGCCGCCGTGCTGGGCAAAGACGTGCTTGAGCTTATGGTCCGAGATAACAGGAAAGGAACTTCCGTTGAGGTAGATGGTCAAGTTGCGGAAGATCTGGGGCGGTTGAGGTTGAGATTGAGATTGCAGAGTATTAGTGTCTAGGCCGTCTTGCTGTCGTTGTCCCAAATGGGAAGAGTCTGTGTTATCCTTGTGGCGGAGTTGGGGGCCATCGTGGCTTGTCTTCGGTCGCTTGCAGGCAGATCCGGTGTCTTCTATTAATATTATCCCACTCGGTCGTTTCTTAGTGCCACCCATCAGATCTCTGATATCCTGCCATCCCTTGTCCTGCGCAGTCTCCTGGCAGTCGCCATTCGCCTTGCGTCCATCCTGGCCAAAATTCTCACTCCCCGCACCCACTAAATCAGCGAGATGTTGGTGGCCGCCACGGCCGGTCGTGTCCTTGAATTGGTGCGCGAGTTTGTAGGTGCGAGAGTCGCGCCAGGAGGTGGACCCCGACAGTCGATTTTCGGCACGTTGGTGGCCCGTGGACGACGAGTTGAACGGGTCAAAGAAGACGCGTGTGGGTTGAGGGGCAGGCGGCTGTTTGGGATGATAGGCCGACATGTTGGGTTGGTGAGAAAGGGACTGATGTCGCTCGCTTCGACTCCAGATAGACACAGTCAGTCAGATCATCAGTAGGAAGCTGAATGTTCACGACAATGTTGGCGGGGCGATGGAGTCGACGACGGGAATCACATTGCGGGCCAGTAGAAAAACACGCCTCGACGACACGTGCTCACGTGCCTCTTTCTCACTGCTACGATCGACTCTACAAGATACCTACATACTAGTAGTTTATGGCTGTTCACGGAGAGAGAGAGATTGTGCGATCAGTCCAAATGCAGACTCCTGTTTCGAATCCTAATCACTCGACATATTCTGTTGAAAAGGTGACATACATCACCGCCATATTCCATGGCCATCCCACCCCGTGTTGATTGGTCCCTTCATCTGTCTGGTTTCAGAGCCAGCCAAAAACGCCGATGTTAAGATCGGACTTTTGCCAGCCCCCATCGCTACAGTGGTATCATGTTGAAAAGCACTTTTGTCGTTCAGCCATTTCGTTCATCAAAATCCCTTTAGACGCCATTGGCTCAGATCAGGTTGATTGATCGAGCTCATAGTTGTTCACCCACCCCCACCATCCGTTACAGAATCCATTAATTGCCTTTGGCATATTGAGCACGGAAGCTCTTGGCCGCGTTGACCATGTTCGTCAACGCAGCCTTGGTCTCCTTCCACTGTCGGGTCTTGAGCCCACAGTCGGGATCAATCCACAATTGCTCTGGCTTCAAGTACTGCAACATCTCTGCAATACGGTCGCGAATTTCCTGTTCAGAAGGAACACGAGGAGAATGAATGTCGTAGACACCAGGTCCAATGTGACGTGGATAAGCCTCATCCACAAAGACTTTGAGAAGCTTCGCGTCAGACTTGCTGTTCTCAATCGAGAGAACATCGGCATCCAGTGCGGCAATAGCATAAAAGAAATCCTGGAACTCGGAGTAGCAGAAGTGGCTGTGAATCTGAGTGCCATCCTCAACACCCGCGGTTGCCAGGCGGAAAGAATCCACGGCCCACTTCAGGTAGTCGGTTCGTTCCTTGCCCGCGCGGAGTGGAAGGCCTTCACGCAGAGCAGGCTCATCGACCTGAATAACATAGACACCGGCCTTTTCGAGGTCGATAACCTCGTCGCGGAGAGACAAAGCCAGTTGTTCCGCTTGAACCGACTGATGGACATCGTCACGAGGGAATGACCATCTCAAACAGGTGATGGGACCTGTGAGCATGCCCTTCATAGGTTTGCTGGAGATTGAAGCCGCGTATTTGGATTCTTTGACCGTCATAGGAGCAGGTCGAGAAATGTCACCGACAACGATAGGAGGTCGGACACAGCGAGAGCCGTACGACTGAACCCATCCATGGGTCGTGAAAGCATAACCCTTGAGTCTCTCCCCAAAATATTGGACCATGTCATTGCGTTCGGGCTCGCCGTGGACATAGACATCGAGGCCCAACTCGTCCTGGATCTTGATCACGTCCTGGATCTCCTTTTCGATGAACTTCTCATACTCCTCAGCAGTAATTTCGCCTTTGGTAAACTTGTTGCGTTGGATACGGATTTCCTTGGTCTGAGGGAAAGATCCAATAGTCGTGGTAGGGAACAGAGGCAGATGCAGACGCTCCTGCTGTTGGCTGATTCGAACAGGGAATGGCGACTTGCGGTGGTACATGTTAGGAGTAATCTTACTCTGCCGCTCCTTGACCGCCTGGTCGTTGGTTCGGCTTGAAGAAGCACGAGCTTGCATCGACTTGGCATTGGCTTCGAGGGCTTCTCGGACGGAGGCCGGGCCATCCGTGACAGCCTTTGCGATGATGGCCAGCTCCTTGGCTTTCTCACAAGCAAAGCTGAACCAATCGGCAATCTCAGGGTCCAAGCTCTTCTCGCTGGCCAGAGTGTGAGGAGTATGCAAGAGAGAGCTGGAGCTCGAGACGATAACTCTGTCCTTGCCGAGTTTCTGAATGGCAGTCTCAACAAGCTCAACGGCTTTCTTGAGATTGGTCTTCCAGATATTGCGACCGTCAACAACGCCCGCCGACAGAACCTGCTGAGGGGCCAACGCAGAGGCGACAGTCTCGAACTGCTCGGGATTGCGGACGAGGTCAACGTGGATGGCATAGAGGTTCTTCAAGTAGCTGAGAACATCGATATTGTGGACAATGTCACCAAAGTAGGTCGCAAGAACGATTTTCGGGGCACTGCTCCCAAGTCCACCGAGCTTCTCATACGCCGGCTTGAAGGCCTCCTTGACGTGGGGAGGCAAATCGAAGACCAAGATGGGTTCATCAATTTGCACCGTCTCAGCACCAGCATCCTTCAACTGTTTGAGGAGATCCTCGTAGAGAGGCAGAAGCTTGTCGAGGGCAGAAATTGGTTCGATAGTTTGACCACGGTCTGCTTTGCCGAGATAGAGGAAGGACACGGGTCCGAGGATGACCGGACGGGTGACGATACCTGCTTCTTTGGCTTCGAGGAATTCGACAACGGGCTTGGGCTTTGAGGACAGCTTGAAGATCTGGTTGTCTTGAAGAGTTGGTTTCACATAGTGGTAGTTTGAGTCGAACCATTTGACCATTTCCTGCGGTACGGATTAGTCAGAGCCTGACGTCGACCAGTATGTGAGAGTTACTCACCAGAGAAGGCACATCGACAGCCGGGGAGCTATCGGTGGCAGGCTTCTGGAGACCTCGACCCATGGCAAAGTACTCGTCAAGCGGAGCCAGGTTGTACTTGGTATACCGTTCCGGAACAACACCGAAGAGCTCGATGTGGTCGAGGACCTGGTCGTAGAAAGCAAAGTCATTGCTGGGGATGATGTCGATGCCAGCGTCTTTCTGGATTTTCCAGTGTGCCAGTCTCAGTCTTTTCCCCTCGGCGAGGAGCTCATCCTGCGAGATCTTGCCGGCCCAGTATGCTTCCGTGGCTTTCTTGAGGTCACGGTTGACTCCCATGCGAGGGAAACCGAGGATCGAGCTGTGGTGTCATCAGCAACTGGGTTTCAGGGTGGTTTCATGCTTCAGCTTACGATTGAACCATGGTTGCAGGTGCCCTCGGGAACCTTGGACAAGTTGTGAAGGAGACGGTCCGGACAGCAATGCTCCAATACGTCCTCAGGATGGATTGAGAGGTTAGAAAAAAGGGATGAGAAGACCAGGACAATAAGAAGAAAACAAAGAAGAGGAGAAGATTGAGGGCGGTGAGAAAGTGAGAGAGGCCCGAGTCAAGAGGGTGAGAGATGAGTAGGGAAAAAAATTAAATGTGCTCTGGTGCTTGCAGTGACACAAGGCGGTCGGGGTTTTAGTGGGATGCTTGTGCTGGGCTGTTCGCCGCCGTAGCCTCCGAGATTCGCTCGCCCTGCATGACTACGAAAAAGTCGCCGTGTGCTACTGGGCCGTGAGTGAGACCTGGATATACTTTTACGGACGGAGTGCTAGCCATTTTCCCTTGTTGCTGAGTGTTCTTGGCCTTCCGAAGACGCCCATTAATCACGCCATCTAGTTACTACCATGAGGAAACCCCAGAGCCATCGTGGGTGGCAGGGTGAGAGGGTTTGGTTTGCGGTTGGTCGCCTCACCAATCCGAGAAAACCCCTGTTGGCTCGTCTGTTCGCACATGTTATACCAGTCGCCATCACAGCCTGATGGGCCCAGGGACGGCTCCCGCACGCCCTCCAACAGCCCTTTTGCCAAACTTGTCTTCATACCACTGTCGCCCAGTCACTGCTCGAGGTAGCATGGTCACGATCTCGCAAACCACAAACCACAGGGCAGCACTCTGTCCACCCCATCCCAATCCCCATACCCCTCCAAGCCACCAGTAGCCCGTCCATTCGAGCCACTCCAGGACGTAATGTGGGTGTAAGATATACTTGAATGCCCCTTCAGCGGGTGGGATCACATATACCTTGTCGTAGCTAACCGTCGCTTTGCCCTCGGACTTTGCTTTTCTCTTGGCTGCTCCACGCCGTAGCTCGTATAGCCTCGTCTCTGTCCAGATGTTGCCCGCCAGGCCTAGCAAAAAGCTCAAGACCCCAATGACCGAACCGAAAGAGAGGATGGGCCGACTCTCCGTGTTGGCATTCATTGTCGAGTACACGAGCCAGCAGGCAATATTGGTCGAGTTGGTGTACTGAAAGACGCTCATAAACATGGTAACGAATGGATGGATGGGTGACATGCTCGGGTTCAGGTAGAGCGGACTGACAAGGGCGCGGTTGACGTAGTGGAGGAGATACAAGCACGCCAATATCTCGTTCTGAGCAGGCAGGCCGGTGCCTAAGAAGCTCGTCGCTGCCTGTGGCTGTGGTCTGAGTCTCGCCGGCAGAGTGTAGAGAATGTAGAGCAGATTAAGCGGCCCGACCAATTCCGCCGCCGCCCAGGCATAGCGGCCAGGAAGACTCAGGCGAGATTGGGTCGAGGTCTTGCCCATTGCCTGTAGCTTTCTCAAGGGTGTCCATAGCACCACGGAGACCTAGAAGCATGCGGTCAAGTAAGACAAGAAATCCTCATTTCTGGAATTACCATGGAAAAACAGGCAAGGTAAACGGCAGAAGCAAGCGCGGCACTCTTACAGGGATATATAGTCTGAAGATGTCAAGCGACAATTTGGCTGCTCGAGGTGTGGGAGGAAAGAATTCGCCTAGCGAAGGCAATTCTGCCAGATAAGACGCCATCTCTTGCCCAACCACAGCTAGGAGACAAGAAAGAAACACGGTAAGGACTATATTGTGAGATTAGTTGCTGATCTGTGTGTCAAGGCTGCAAGAATAGATGTTGGTTCAAATCATGACGACGCTATGCAAGAACATGTCGCTGTGGCGTGGCCATATACTCCACCGAAGACATTGACGCTGCTTCTACGCATTTCGACTCAACTCCAGTCATCAACGATGCCCAAGTTTGTTCTCAAACTCCCTAAACAGACACCTACAAGTCTGACCGTACATCTTCTTAAAGCCTCCGGCAGGCCAAAGCTGAGGGCCTGACGGGCTGCTTGGGCTTCCTCCGCTCAATCCTCGAAGAAAACGCTCTTCTTGGGGGTCCTCCTCCGCAGCTTTGATGTAGCCCACCTCACTGCAGACAAACCTCGAGTGCTCGACTGCCAGGCAATGGCCAGAGTCAGGGGCACGACGCAGGCAACGTAAATCCAGATGGCAGGGCTCGCAGCTAAGTCGTCCGAAGTGACGTGGAAAAACGACATACTGAAGAAAGTCGCTAAAAAAGTCGCCGGGAGAAAAGCTATCGTCACGAAGGAGATACGCCGCATGATAACGGTGTCGACTCTGGAATCTGTGGCGATCTGATAGTTCAAGCTGTTATTATGCTGGGCCATGAGCGCGCTGACAATCTTCCATTGAGTATCGAGGCGCTCCATGAGTCCTTGAGCTTGGCTCTTTTGGTGCCACTGTTTGCAACTTTGTTGTAGGAAGGCGTCCTTGAGCTGGTCGGAACGGAGTTTGACCTTATAGCAGTCCAAGGGGATCGAGTGTATCTCTTTTGACAGGAAGGTGAAGAGTTCATCGAATGACTCTGATGCACGGAGCGCATGGGATAGCGCGTCTTTGGTAAAGATCACGTCTTTGCGGAGGGCGAGCTTCTCGCGCGGTAAAGGCTTTAGCTGAGTATGGCCAACGGTGGACCAGCCAGTGTCCGACTCAAGCCGCTGTGTGCTGAAGTCTTGCTCCCACACAAATTCTTCAAGGTCCTTCGTCCATGTTGTTGTGAGGGCAAGCAGGACGGAGAACAGATGCGGCTGCGTTACGGATCGGAACTGCGACAAGACACGCTGTCGTTGCGCGTCGAGAGAAGTACCAACCACGAGTAAGAGCTTCCTCGTCGAATGAAAGTCATGGCGAGCGTAGACAAAATGCTCTTCGTTCCACCATGGTCGCGGCTTAAGCCAAATGTGGTAGGCACACAGCGTCTCCCAAAGCTTGTTACTGGAAGCCTTGGTTCGACACGGAATGCTTCTAACATCGGAGCAGAATGATGTATGGGATCCCCGGCATCCGTTGTTCTCATGGATCAGCTGCACGGCGTCTGGGGGTATGTCACCCGAGGACAAGATCCGAAGCCAAGTTGAATGCTGGAGCCCGTATCTGCTGGTGGTGTAGTTCTTAAGGCATAGCCGTTTCTGCGAAACAAAGATGATTCGCGTACTGCCGTGGGAGAGATCAGTCATTCGGAGCCGTTCGTCGAATTGACTGTCTGTGGGAGACAGCACGAAAGAATGTGGCCCGGTCTCCGTCAAATCAACGACCGTGAAGCATTCCGAGGTGTTGCTCTCAGCAGGGAGGAACTCCGCGTCGCCTTTGAGTAAAGAAGTTGCGCCTTCAGCATTCATGAGCTCGGGGACGAAATATTTACAGCTGTAAGGCCAGTCCGAGGAATGACGCTCTGGCTTGAAAGGTTTGATAGAGTGGCTCTCAATGGACAGGGTGTCGCCGTCCTTGTCGCGCTCATCTCCATACTTGCGGAATCTGCGTCAACAGTCAATTGCTGTATGTTCAGAGTTGCTCCAGTACTGACGGCAAGCGAAGCTCAGTCCGCGCCTCGTCGACAGACGGTTCCGACGCATGATACGAATCTCCACCAGAAGATGCCCAGCTTGAGGCCCCTTGCGAGTCATTCGCTGGAGCATCCTGGGAATACGTAGCCCCGACCGTAGCCTCTCTGGCCTTCTGTCGTGCTACACGTCTCTTGATGATACGATGGAACTGTTTTGGATTCACATAGAGGGGTGAACCGTCAAGGATGTCGAACTGATGGACGTCCGCGTCAACTTTCTCCATATTTAAGCTCGAGCAAGGATGAGGGCTGATGCGAAGGGTGGCTCTCTATGATTTCAAGCTTAGCAACAACTCAAGATGTTGTTTGCCGAGTTCAAACGAGGATGAACGTGAGGCTGAGAGAATCTAGAAATCTAGACCCCGCCATACAGCACAACGCTGGGCATTAATACGAGTGTAAGAGATTTTGATTTGTCCAGACAAAAAGGGTCAGCTAGATGCTTGAACAACACCATTATTTTGTGGGATCATTGTTATCATCCATCTGGCTGTAATTTCGATCCCTCAAAAATACCATAGCTCGTACAATCCGAGCTTGTGGTAAAGAATAGCCTGCCTACTCCAAAATAAAAAAACAGCCTCGTGTAAGGGGCTCCTGACGCTATTCCGACATGATGGTAACATGGACCACTAACCAGGAGGCAGGGTGCTAGCATCGACAACATCATCAGCCTCTCGGACGTGCTCATCATTGGGATCATAGAGCGGGGATCGAGGAAGGGCCATCAGTCCCGTCCTTGTTGACTCGAGAATACCAAAGGGCGAGATCAGCTTCATAAAGGAGTCGATTCGGCTCGGTTTCGCAGAGCTGTCGTCACGTTAGCACCTTAAATGCGTAAATAACTTCGAAGGGAGATACTGACATTTCCACAATGCAGTTATTCGTGCTAATGTCCAAAACCTTGCCACCAAACTGGTGAGTCAGATGGGTGATGGCCTCGAGGTGTTCATGTTTGTGTCGCAAAGCTTGGCTGGCAGCAAGGCGGCTGGGGTGGTAGCTGGCACCTTGACCAAGCATGTCTTTGGCTCGTTGAATGAGAGATGAATCTTCATGCCGGCCAGCTTCCAATTCCTGAAGCCTCTTCTCTGCATTCTCCTCTGCGTTTTCTACATCCGCTGAGCCATGGTCCGACTCGGGACTGGTCATCTCGCGATGGTGTTCCATCAACTCCTCGTATACCTCCGGGCCAAGAATCGAGATCTTAGCCAGTAGCAACTCGCGCTGCACCAGAGCGGCAGACGTATAATCCAGCACAGCCCATACAGGAACCAAATCCTCTAGCTGTCTTCGCGCTTGTTCGACGACGCCATCTTGTCCTTTGAGCACGATGGTCATGCGACTCAGGTCCTCTACCTCGGTGTTGCACACCACCAGGGAGTCAATGTTGAAACCTCTGGCCGCGAGAATGCCAGACACACGAGACAAGACACCAGGCTCGTTCTGCACAAGACAGTTCAAAATATGTTTCTTGGGCGGTGCTTGGGACGCCACCGGGGTCTCGTAGAGGATGGATGACACAGCTGCTGCGGCGCCATATTGGGGAGATGTGTCTGATACCGGGAGCGGTAGGGGGGACCTCCTGTGGAGAGCCTTATATGCTAGGGCTGAGGTTGAATTGGTGCTTTTGGCTCGTCTCGAAGCGGGGAGGATGGAGTCGAGGAATGAGGTTCCAGTTTGCGCGCGGTGAGAGTGGTGGTTCGCGACCCTGCAAGCTAGAGATAGGAGATTGTGCCGGCCTGCCATGCTGGCGGCGAGAGAAGGGTGTAGTGGGCAGACACGCAAGCACTATCTCATCAAGGTCTATGGTGGTTGGGCTTGTTATATCACTGGAGGGATGAGTCACAAAAATACAGGGGACAAGCTCTGCAATAAAATTTTGGGATCAGCGCAAGAAGAGGAGGACTTGTACCTCGCAGACAAGCGATTTCGGAGGCTGCCAAGCAGAGGTCAATTGGGGCTGAGATTGACGCCGCTTTGTGGGAGAGACGGATAAACCTGCCCATTCCGGGTGAGATACTGCACCGGATATATGAGTGCATATCATGCTGCCCTGAAGGATGTGATCTCTCTGCCCTGCTCTCACCTTCACGACCTCGGCTCCTCTTCGTCCCCTCGAGCTCCTGTTCTACAAGTTCGCCTGGGGTATAAACAAATGCGGCAATGATGCATTTAAGTCGTGTATCGGCATTCTTGGTTCCCTCTCCTCCTTCCTAGCGCATCGTGCTACATAGGAACAAAGATCTACCTTTCACTACTGGAGCACGTGGGCTATCAATGCCTCATTGATTCGTCTGAACCAGGAGGATGGAAGCTTCATCTTTCCTCAAGTATCTGGCGAGCTACAAGTCTGACTTCGTCGCCTGATCCACGAAGAATGGGTATATATCCACCGCCAGTGCTCGCACAGGCCCAGGTAAGATATGTTTTCTAGGAACGGGCCAGCCAGTGCTTGTTTCACACATCAACTGAGGAGAAGTTGTAATCTCTCGACATCATGCTTTCAAGGGCGTTGACGTTCCTGTGTGCCATTGGACTTGTGTCGTTCGCCTCTGGCAGCGGCTCATCAACCATTTACTTTCCTCAGGCGGTCACGACTTCCGTAAATTCCCCTCAAACGACGCTTCCCTATCACAAGAATGCTTCCTACCCGTACCTAGGACAAGCTCCCGCAAAGGCTGCTTTCCCCCTCTCACCGTCTCCAAGCGGGCTCACATGTATTGTGGCACCTTTGGGCTGGGGCCAGGACGATTCGTCCCAGATTCTTGCTGCTGTTGAAAAATGCGGCATCAATGGGACCATTACACTACCAGCTCCGTACGTCTACACGGTTTCAAGGCGGATGTACATGAACCTCCAGAATTCCCGCCTGGAAATCTTTGGTACCCTCTCTTTCACGCCAGACCTAACTTACTGGATCGACAATTCCTTCCGTGTTGAGTTTCAGAACCAGTCCACGGGGTGGATTGTTGAAGGCAGCAATTTTGAAATCGATGGGGGAGGTTGGATGCAGGGCGGTGTCAATGGCAATGGACAGGCGTGGATGACCCACGCCGCTGGGCATAGCAACCAGTTTGGCCGACCTATTGTTCTCTCCATCTTCAATTCCTCCAATGTGATTGTGACGAACTTTTCCATACGCCAACCAATGTTCTGGAGTTTCTGGATTCAAGACTCCTATAACGTCGAGCTCAGCAAGGTGTATATCAACGGTACGAACACAGACCCGTACGGAAATTCTTCCAATTACGAAACGAATATTGATGGCCTCGATTCCCTGCGAGTAGACCACCTTCTGGTGAGAGACTGGCAATTTCACGGTGGAGATGATTGTCTAGCTCCGAAAGGGAATACGACCAACATGGTCATCAACAACATGACTTGCGTTGGAGGCGGGATTGCGTTCGGGTCAATAGGCCAATACGTTGACTCACCAGACTACATTTTCAACGTGACAGCCACAAATATCTCGGTCTCACAGGATATCAATCCCCGCACTGGCGGCGCTGCAGTGTCTGGCGGAGCCTACTTCAAATCTTGGGTGGGCAAAGAAGAAGGAGAACCTCCACAAGGTGGTGGCGGTGGGACGGGGAAAGTTTCCAATGTGACTTTCAGGGGACTGACGACTCACAATACAAGCCAAGCCGTCTACATCAACAAATGCTACTTCAAGGTGCCTGATCAAGCCCACTTCTGCGACACGAGTACTCTGGAGTTCGAGAACCTGATGTTCTCTGACGTGTCTGGAACCGTTAGCAGCAGAGTCGGCGTCGCCTTGAACTGCTCGGCGGCCGCACCTTGTTCGAACATTGATTTCAAGGATGTGCACTTGCTTGATACAGCCACCAATGCGACTGCTAATGCGACTTGCGTGAACGCGAGGAATGTTACTGGGATAAGTTGCAATGCTACGTTGGCAGCATGAGTGAGGGCTAGGAATGCTAAAGGAGACTCGCACACTGGCAGCAATGCATATATGCTACCCTAAGACTGCAGGGTAAGAGTGCTACTGTAGAGATACGACTGCTGCCCCGGTAGGCAATTTGATAAACTACTTTGCATAGAGACCGACTTCCAATCTGGCTGAATGAGTACATTACACACCATGGCGGGTGGTCGTGATGTTCGAACCATTTTGTACCAACTTTGCATAGATCAACAACGCATGAGGTTTGTGAATGGTCTTGGCAAAGTTTCTCGCAACATTGTCCTGGCTGGCTTGGAGCACGTCTTCCAAAAAATACATGAAGCCGAGCACCAACAATGAAACCCATCTATCCCTTCTGTCCAACGACATCCGAGCTTGTTCACAAGGAGGTAGAGCCCAGCCACGCTATTACTTTCTCGATTCCCCGCAAGCCAAGAAGGGGGACAGTGTAGGACGCATGGCGCCCAGAGAACGACCAAAGCAGCAAAGAGCACTTCTACGAGTTCCGAGTGGCCCCTATGGATCTGTCGCCGTTGCCGTTGTCGCGATTTATACGGACCAGGCAACGCGTCTTTCTGCGAGCCAGTCGGTTATGAGGAGTTATCCTCATAGGAGGACTATTGAACGATTGGCATGAATTATTTCGACATTGGTCGAGCGAGCAATCTTCCAGGACGATTAACTCGGAACTCGGTAAGCCGCGTTTCGCTCGATATTTCTTTTGAACTGTAATCGAACCCCGACTTACCATGGTCGAGCCAACCGGAAGTCAGTCACTGAAATTGAGAACGGATCCCTCGCGGAGCCTCCTGAAGGTTTACCCGCCACACAGCTCCTCTTCGGGGATGCCCCATCTTTCATTATTAGATGTGGGCTGAAATGAGACAGACGGATTTTGGGCCGTGAGAAGCGCCATACCGAGTACTCCGGAATGCCATGTCGAGAGTCTAGGCCCTTCAGCATCTCTGACGGCGGTCGATCTCAATTTAGCATTCATCACTTGGCCCTTTCTTGGGCTTTCTTGGATATGCTGTTTCCGCCAGCTGCGGACCATCAACTAACGGTCAACGGCCACGCGTTGCTCCCCCTGAAATGCAACGAGTGGCCCGGAAATCACATTTGAGAGTGGGGCTTTACTTCCTTGGGCCCAGCGGAGCGTCCCGGGTTGACTTGGCTGTCAGATGTAGCTTGGCGCCCAGGTCGCCGTTGCTGCGTGGATGAGCTTTCACGATCTTTGCTATGGTTTTGCTGTGCTTGTTACGCATTGCCATTGCTGATCTTATCTCATCAACCCGGGGCAACTTCTCTGCCGTATCCTCCGTCACAGGTGGCTTTGAAGATCCCCATAGGGCTCGGGCAGTGTGCGACGCAGCTCGGCTTGCTCACACCCAGCGGCTGAGTCGCCTTTGTGGTCGCCTTTCAGCAGAAGGGCTGGATATCTACCAAGCGCGGCATCGCATCCAGTATCTCGCCAGGCGTTCCAGCAAAAGATGAAGCAGTTCACGGCTGGAACGAGCAAATACTTGGCGCCTCCGTATGCGTTCACGGGGTCGGCCGTGGGAAGACGGGCTCCTGACTCCTCACACCTGTGCCCGCATCGACGCCGGTGTCTACATATGGCCACATAAAAGCGAATACTTTTCCCCACATTGAGAGACATCTAGAATTCCACACACTCTCTCACATCCAATATCGTCAATCCTTTTATCATTGCCTCTGTTGCGTTCTTACATTTTAGTTTGTTATATTCCTCCACACTGAATATCTTGAGTGGTTTATTTTGTTTTATTTTGTTTTAGCATGTTGTCGTCGGCTATGATTTCTTCTATTCTCTTCTTGTGCACTCTCATCTCGACAGCCTGGAGCTGTCCAGAGCATGATAATTACCAATCACATCCTCACATTGGCCGAAGACAAGTACGAGTTGACAAAGGCCGAGTACCAAAGGACTGGAACTACGCTCTTTCTGCAGACTGGGCCACCATCAAACCTGGTAAGCCTGACGTTTACTCCTCTCCCTCCTCAGCCTTGCTAACATTCCTGCAGAATATGCATTGTGTCAATCTGGCACACATCAATCGCCTATCAACATTATCCAGACGGAACTGTCTCAACATCACAAACCTACCTTTGAGGGGTACGCAGAGAACATCACGATTCCAGGCAACTTCTTCAACTGGGAGTTCGCACCGGCCTGGACACCTCATCATCCGGATGGAGTAGTCACGGGACTCCCCAGCATGAAATTTGACGACCAGGAGGTCTACATGATCGGATGGCACATCCACGCACCGTCAGAGCACCTTGTCGCCGGCAAGCGAAGCCGTGCCGAAATCCATCTCGTCCATGTTACCGAGGAGGAGCACGAAGCAGCCGTCATCGGCATTCGGGTCGCAGTGGGAGACAAGGAATCCGCATTCATCAAGCAACTGGGTCCCATGATCCATTACAATGACACGGCGCAGCTGGAGGGGTTGCCCATAAATATGCGACTGGCTATTGATGAGGTCGGCGGCGTCGAGGAATTCTGGACCTACAAGGGCAGCTTGACCACGCCACCTTGCAATGAGGGATTGCGATGGTTCCTGCCCAAGCAGGAGTTGGTGGTCAGTGAGCAGCAGATGGTTGAGATCCTGGCTGCGAGTCGGTTCTCCCATCGCGTCGAGCAACAGGTGTGGCTCCACGACGTCAACCTGTGAAATGCGAAAATGGTGTGGCGTGTGTGTACGGGTGCCTGGATATTGGGCAAGGGTGTCCGGTGTAGCTTGTTCAGAGACAAAATTCTTGGAGGCTTCTGCGTCGATAGCCCGGGGCGAGGCGTTTTTGTCGTTGTCGATGTTTGCTTTTGCTTTTTCGTGGAGGATAGGGTCTGGGGCACAACCAGCTTTGTTGAATAGTTCACAGTCGCTACCGCAACTTGCAGGCACTTTTAGAAAGGATCACCCACCAACCCATTCTGATCCTCATAGGTTGAATGCGAGGAACACTACACCTACCTGTCCGCCATTGCCCTGTGTCTGGGCTCCAGTGACTCGGCACCACATGGCCATTGACACCTCGTCACCCCAACGATCCCACAACAGAGCCTCCGTGTATATATCTATGATTTAACTACTGTGACACGGTCTTGCATTCCGCCGTACTGCGGATAGCGTGCCACCGTGCTCAGCCCTAATCCAGCTGGAACGACGAAGGCTCTCCTGAACCTGATTGGCGACGGACTCGGGCATCGGATGCGGGACGTGCCGTGTGTCTCTCGGTGTTTCGGAACTCAATTGATGTAATGTACAACAAACAACCTTCATCCATCAAGTCGGTTGGCGAACTCGAGTTTGGAGTGTCGTTGCTAGTTTGCTTATGAGTTGAACGGGTTTAAAATCAATAAAAATCCATCCATCCATCCATCCATCCATCCATCCATCCATCCATCCACCAGACCGACATACAGGACCAACAGCGGCTTGAGAGCAGTCTGATACTATTGTACCCCTTACTTGGCTTGGGCTCTTTCAGTACTCCGATAGAATCCAGAAAGGGGCAAAGGAACAAATGAAGGCCGCCCTGGATCAGGCCTTTGCAAGGGTACGCCGGCGCCGTCTTCTTCCAGCTCCTCTCCGTCTACAAGACTACCACCCACCACCTCAATCCCCCTACCTTCGCCCACTCGCTGCTTCACGGAGACATGGACAAGTACATGCACTAAGCCGTCCGATAAAGGTCCTCCAGCTACAATCCGCGCTCCAGGGGGTCATTTCGCCCTTGTTCTACTCCAGTAGCAACGCCACCTCTGTGGACCAGATCTCCATGGAGCACCACGGCGACATCGCCCGCGTGCTCGACTACTGGTTCCCACCGTCTTCAGCCGACGACAGCAGCAACGATCCGACCAAGAAGTGGTTCCTGCCGGCGAACCCGGAGGCCGTCGACGCCGAGATCCGCAGCCAATTCGGGCCGCTAGTCGAGCAGGCCCGCGAGGGGTCTCTAGACGACTGGGCATCGACGCCGCTCGGCGCGCTCGCCCTGACCGTCCTCCTCGACCAGTTCCCGCGCAACATCTACCGCGGCTCGGGCCTGTCGTACGCGTCGGACGCCCAGGCCGTCGACCTGGTCGTGGCATCGATGGCCCGCGAGTTCGACCGCTCTCCGGACCTAACGCCGCTCATGGCCATGTTCTTCTACATGCCGTTGATGCACGCCGAGAGCCTGATGCCCCAGGTCGCGGCCATCTCTCTGCTTGAAGGACTCGCCGCGCGGTGCCGGGCTGGGTCTTTTGCCACGTCGGCATCGCCTCGCGCGGCCGTCGCGGTCGAAGAGGCGGCCAAGTTCGCACAGATCTCGTGCGACTTCGCCAAGGCGCACCGCGATGTCATTCTGCGCTTCGGCAGGTTCCCCAGCCGGAACGCGGCGCTGGGGAGGGAAAGCACCCCCGATGAGGTCGAGTTCCTGAGGCAGAACCCCAGCGGGTTCGTGTCCTCGGGTGCACGGTCAGAACAAAAGTGAGAAGTAGTGACAGTGATGGCAAGTGTGGGAAGTGGGTTAATTGGTTTCCTTTTCTTCTGCTGAGCAATCGATTGAGAGTTTTGGTCGTTGAAAGGGTATAGAGGTGTTCGGTTCTTCTGACTCGCGTGACGGTTGGTCTGGGTGGTTGTGGGTGGCTAATTATGTCCTCAAGTTCCCTACTTCTGCTATGTTGAGGTGATAGCACAATTACTTGAAAGTATCGGCGGCTAACTACTCATGGATTTTGAAGGAATCCGAGATCTGCTTCACGAGCTCAAAAGAAAGCCAAGGATAAAATATGGTCTTGAATCGGGACCTAAGAGCAGAGGGTACGCTCCCGTCTTTAATATATAAACTGTAACATTATCAATTATGTGACTGACATCCGCCTTTTCATAGCTTGAACACCTGTCCAGGCTGCCTGTGGAGTTTTCTCTTCCATCCGTTCAATGTCATCTTTCGTCTCAGATCAGGACGTCAAACCGAAGCCCCAATCTTGTTCTTGGGCAAAATAGCAAATACAGTTCCCAACACCGCAAGGAAGATGCAAATCACCAACAAACCCCAATCAAGAATCTTCTCCATCAACCCAATCTCCTTGCCTTCGGAACTGAAAATCACCAGGTAAAAGCTAACAGGCAGGATGATACAAATGGTAAAACACAAAGCCGAGCCCATGAGGGCCATAATGCTGTCAAAATCCGGAAAGCCAATGGCGATGCCGAGTTGAATGATATTGGCCAATATACCGATGGAACCGCGTGCGGCACGGTGTTTGAGCGATCGTTCACTATATGCGCGCGCCTTAGGATCCATCTGGCGCAGGTCGATGTAAAACTTTTTGTTGAGTGTATCCATCACAGGCCGGTTGGAAAGCGGAATCTTGGTGATCGGGATGATGGCGATAAGGACGACAATGATGACGGAGAGGACGTGAGGGTAGGCCGTCGACCGGAGAATGTTGGAGGTCACTTCATCGCGTACCTTGTCGCCGAACATGAGATATCCTAGCACAGCCATGGACAGGTCAAGACCGTAGGTGAAGAAGTAGGTGTACTTCAAAGCGCGCCCATATTTATGTGGATGTCGCATGTCCTTGTAGATGGCCGGGAAGACGCTGTGGCCGCCCCATGGAGCCATGAACAGACCCAGGCTGAGCGGAACTGTTCTCCAATCTTCGGGAAATGCCCAAGTTTTAGCCACGTCCCTCAAAGATCCGGGGCCGTGAGGCTTGATGAGTCCGTCTGCAAACACAATAATAATGATGCCCAGGCAGCAGAAGATGCCGATGACACTGGTGACACTCAAGGTCTTGAAAGGAACAAAATTCAACGGAATCAGACCAAGAGCAATAATGACCTTCCACTCAACCACGGAAACACCGGGCACCAGAGAGTTCATGCTGTCGGCGAAGAGAATGACCAGGGCGACGTTGGCAGCCGTGAGCTCCAAGATGAACAGGGCTTCCACAAAATGTCTGCCCCAAGTATCAAATGCCAAGAAAGCGATGTCCCCGTACGTTGTCGAACCAGTGTTCGAATCCAGGCATTTGGCCAATAACCGAGCCGTGTATGAGGTGCCGATAGCGGCGAGAGTCAGGAAGGATAGACCGATCACCCAGCCAGAATATCTGATACCCAGTGGCAAGGCCAGGATGCCGACACCGATCAACACATTTGTAGAATTGAAGACAGTCATAGGAACGGTTGACTCGCCTACTATGCGCTCCAAGACCTCACCGTCAGGGAGAACCTCTCGTTCAATATGCCGTTGAGGTTCTTCCTTCAATACCTCTGGTTCCTGGCGTGCTCGCCTGCTAGCTTCTTCCTGTTCCATGATAAGGATTGATGCTCGGTGCCGAGCAGTCGCCGTCAGCTTGGAAGAAATACTTCCATAGCTTGTGCCCAACTCATGTGGTAGCACTGAGCCTGGGACGAGAGAACCGCTCGTGGATTTGAAAGTTTGTCGACTTTCGACAGGCAAGAGTGCTGAATCTTCTGTCGGCTCCTGATTCTCTGCAGCTCTGTCATCCTGCAAGGCCGAATCATTGTTCGCTCCGAAATCATAGTTTTGAAGCTGTTCTCTCAGGAGCGACCTGTTGGGCGCCGCCGTGCTCTGTTCAGGGCTGGCAGGAGCTGCTGCTTCTTGGTCGCCTTCTGAGAGGCTCACGGAGTTCCTGCGTACCGGTGTGATCTCACGAAATCCCGCAGCTCTTTGAAACGACTTTGCAAAGTTGTCGATGCTATTTGGTCCACCCATCTGCATGATATGGTCAATTTTCTTGCCAAAAGAAGATCTCCGCCGTAAACCTCCGTGCTCTTGACCTTCCGGATGTATATAATGTGCTGCTGGGGTGGACGAAGAGAGATTGTTCTGCTGCTCATCTTCTGGGACAGACTCGAGAGAACCAAAGGAGGATGCACGTCCACGCTCGTAGGCGTCCCAACTCGTGGGAGCCTGTCTAGCTTTCGAGCTCATGGCGATCAAAGAGCGGAGGGAGGATCAAGAGGTGCAGATATGACGTGAGGAGTCTCTGTTCACAACCTGTCAGGTCAAAGCATGTCTTGCGAAGAACTTGAGATACACAGTAAACAGAAAAACGGTGCACAAGACCTCCGGGCACAGATAGATAGATAGTAGTACAAGCAATTCTTCGAGGTAAAGGGAATGCTGGGTCAAAGGGAAAGGGAATTTCCCTGGAATACTGCAAGGATGGGAAATCTACTCCAAATCATGAGCTAGTGGTAGATCATGGAAACATTCATAGTTAACCGACGATAACCAGCGGCGGCGAAACCCAAGGAAGCTGGTTGTGATAGCCAGTGGGCAAAAGTGGAGTGAATCGCAGTTTGGCGGCGGCGGGGGGATTTTTCTGTTTGATAACGGGCGCCGAGTGAAGCACGTGACTGGCATGACTCCCAGCGCCTGAAGCCGGCCTGGGGCCCTTTACCTAAAGGAGTGGTGGGCTGCGGCGCCACAGTGCCTAATGACTGCCAGCGCAGCACCGCCTAGCCAGCCCACCACCCACTCCCACTCACCAAACGTCTCAAGAAGTTATTGACTGTTTCGACGCCACCTTGGTTTTCTCACTTGATATAGACGTTGATTTCAAACATTCCTGGGTCTCTTTCTTCTATTTTCTTACTTCTCACAGTTCTGCACCCTCTTCCATCACCAGCAGGCCGTCTCTGCTCGGCCTCCGCCCGCAAATATGAGCGCACCTCAGCAAAACGAGGCGGAAAAGAACATCGAGATCTGGAAGGTCAAGAAACTCATCAAACGCCTCGAGGCAGCCAGAGGCAATGGTACCTCAATGATCTCGCTCATTATCCGTATGTCACCAGTCTAATTAATGGCTTCTATATCGTCTTGCTCCTCACTAACTCGTCCACAGCACCAAAGGATCAAGTTTCTCGCGCTGCGAAAATGTTGGCTGAAGAATTCGGTACTGCCTCCAACATCAAGTCTCGAGTCAACCGTCTTTCCGTCCTTTCGGCCATCACTTCCACCCAGCAGCGTCTGAAGCTGTATAACAAGGTCCCCCCGAATGGTTTGGTGGTGTATTGCGGTGAAATCATAACCTCCGAGGGAAAAGAAAGAAAGATCAACATAGACTTTGAGCCCTTTAAGCCCATCAACACTTCTCTCTACCTCTGCGACAACAAATTTCACACCGAGGCCCTGAGTGAACTCCTCGAATCTGACCAGAAATTTGGCTTCATTGTCATGGACGGTAACGGTGCTCTCTTTGGGACCTTGAGCGGAAACACGAGAGAAGTCATTCATAAATTTTCTGTCGATCTTCCCAAGAAGCACGGCCGAGGTGGTCAATCTGCCCTACGTTTTGCTCGTCTCAGAGAAGAAAAGCGTCATAACTATGTGCGAAAAGTGGCAGAGTTGGCTGTTCAGAATTTCATCACCAATGACAAGGTCAACGTTGCCGGCCTGGTCCTTGCTGGTTCCGCAGATTTCAAAAATGACTTGAACCAGTCGGACATGTTCGACGCTCGCCTTCAAGCAAAAGTCATCAAGGTAGTTGACGTCTCTTATGGCGGTGAAAACGGGTTCAACCAAGCCATCGATCTTGCTTCCGAGACCCTCGGCAACGTCAAATTCATTCAGGAGAAGAAACTGATCGGTAAATACTTCGAGGAAATCAGCCAAGATAGCGGTCGCGTCTGCTACGGTGTTGAAGACACCTTGAAAGCTCTGGAACTTGGTGCGGCTGAAACACTGATTGTCTACGAAAACCTGGACGTCACTCGCTGGGTTCTGAAGGCCTCGGACGGCTCGGAGAAGGTTTTGCACACCACCAAGGCCCAAGAAGCCAATCGCGAACAGTTCATGGACAAAGAGACTGGTCAAGAAATGGAGGTTGTCGACCAAGGTTCGTTCCTGGAATGGCTTGCCGAAAAATACAAGGATTTTGGTGCCACTCTGGAATTTGTTTCGGATCGCTCCAGCGAGGGCAATCAATTTGTGAAGGGATTTGGTGGTATTGGTGCCATTTTGCGCTACAAGGTCAACTTCGAACAGTTGATTGACGCTGACGACGAAGACGAATTCTATGATGATTGACAATTCAACGACCTCGCAGTAGAGCGCGAGGAGCATCCATCTCCAGGCCTAACTCAACAACAAAAGTTTGTTGACGGCAGCTTGACGGCAGCTCCGCGCTCTGCTGAGCGTCCTCGTGACGCACCCGAGTCCCAGCAGCAGCAGCAGCAAGAAGGGACGCACCTGAGAAGTGCAAACTGGAATGGCAAGCAACAATTTACACACTTAAACCGGTTGCCCCCAAAAGATAATGCCTTTGCGCGCGCTGAGCGAGCAATGAAGCCGCCAGCAAAGCAAGCCCTCGACCTACGCCATGGTAAGTTATCTTTCGAAAGCCACTTGAAGACTTCGTGACACCTATTCTGACTTTGGACCGATGACAGGACGCTCCAGCCTTCGGAATATGGTCATGGTCTGAACCGACCACGGCAACAACCATCACAATCTCCATGAACACCTAGCATATCTGTCAAAAGCCTGACCGAGTTGCAGAATCGTGGGGATTGGATCTGATGTAAGCCCGACATAACGTCCAACGTTTCAGACAGCTGCGTACACCGATAAATGGGAGAGCCTTCATTTCATTCTCTCAGAAAGGAGAGAATGGAGATGAACGAGAATGTAAGAAGCTCTTGATCAACACCCGACAATGGAGCTCCGCTTCACGATATTAATTCTTTGTTTGATTGAGCTGGTCATTCGTTGTACATCAAGCTCAACTCTCGTTTAGTCCTTACCTGAAGTTTGCGCTCAGGCTTCTTTGTACTGTATCAGATGTCGATGAGTTGCCTGTACGCTTCGGATGGCAAGAGGTTCCGTATCCAGGGGGCTTGTGGCATCTCAACAGCAAATGGCAGTCCTGGGTCACACAGATTTTGTTTCGTGCAAGCAGATTTTAGATAGTCACTCTTTCCTCAAGACCTGCTCACTAGGTTTTGAATGCGATTCACTTCTGCCAGATGAAGTTGTGCTCCATCGTCATCAACCCTTTACTCCGCCTTCGCGCTGATCTCTAGGCAGCCGGTCCACAAATCTCCCCAGGTATCTCAAAGTCTCGGTGAATGTGCCCAACTCTCCGAGCATCTCCATGAGATTGGTTCTGCCTCCGCCGTCCTCATATACGTCCTGTGCGTCGTTCCGAGCTAGATGGACGCTCGCGGCCGCACGGTTACGTTGCTCTGAGGTGGCCTCCTCACATTCGACAAAAAACACATATTGCCAGTGCCGCATCCTGCTGGGCCGGGTGTCAATGCTCGTCAGGTTGAAACCGTAGTGTTTGAAGACGGCCAATGCATCGGCCAGACTGCCTGGCTGAGAGTGCGGAATGGTGAAAGATATGAGGGATTTGTATCTTAAATCAGGAATGGGGTTACTATGCAGAAATAACGTTGCCAGCAATTCTTCAGACAGTCTCTGGTGCTTCCGGTTTCGCACAACGAGGAATCTCGTCGTGTTCGCGCCTGGCTCGTCCTCAATATTCTCCGCCAAGCAGAGGAGCTTGTGTTTTTCGCCGGCGAGCATCGGACTGATCGAAGCACTGAGCCCCTCGACTCCTTTGGGCTTGCTGTTCTGGGTGTGGGTTTGGGATCCACGAGCGACCAGCTGAGCAGCGGCAGAGGTGCTTCCCACGTCAATTCGCTCCACAAGGTTAGGAGGGAAGTATTTGGACAGATAACGGTTACACTGGCCCCAGACTTGTGGATGGGTGTACAATGTCCGGATCGCTTGGATCAGCCCTTCCTTATGCCCGTCTAACTGTTCCGGGGGCCGGGAGGAAGTCGGAGGCGGTTCTGAAGGAGGCGAGACGAACAAGCAGTGATGTACAGGAAGATAATATTCCGCACAGACTTCCAGGTCCGGGTAGAGAATTGGGTAGTGGCCGCAGCGGGCCAGCAAGTCAAAGACCTGGACAACCGACCCGTTGGTGCTGTTTTCTATGGGAACAACGGCAAAGTCGTAACACGTAATCTGTTCAGATGCTTCCGTGGATTGGATTGCCGAGAAAATGGTCGAGAAGGAAGGGAGTGGGTGTAAAGAGGCGACATGCCTAGACGATGGTGAGGTACGAAAAACCTCAATGGCTGCTTGGTGGGAAAATGAGGCTTCAGGGCCCAGGTAGGCCACATTCAGGGTGGTAGTAGCGTCGCTTGCTGCCATGTTGAGCCTCTAGATTTGTCTTTTGGTCGCCTTGCCGGTTGGAGTGACAGTGGAGAGGTTATTGAGATCAAGGTAGTACATAAATTGAGCTGGATGTAAGTTGTCGAGTAGTTTTACATATGTTCGATCGTCACGTGAATCGGGAGAGTTGCACCTCACAGTAGAAATGTCCCGCCGTACAAACACCTCGACCTATATGAGTACGGAGAAACAATTGCACATGATATATCGCAACGCTGGCTCAATATCAACTCATCCTCATAGGTACTGTTGAACAGACTTCTGACCTTCTCAATTCTATCATAATCAAGGCGTCATGCATGTGTCCCTTCGCGAGAAAGTCTGGAGGGACTATTTGGTACCAACATGGATCTTACTTACTCTGAGTTCCAGCAAGCCGTGGCAAGCACACGCAGTACCCTCAAAACAACATGCTTTCTGTTTGAAAGGTAGGTCCTAGAATGCGCATCTGCGTCCTTGGACAAGAAACCGCAGGCTTCAAAGAGTGCAAGAGCAATGGTTTCGACAAGAGCGAGCTGCAAGACCAGTCATGATTGTCACGGCAGCTCTTTCTTCACCTTGTGGACGGCTGCCGCCTCGTCTCACTGCTCACTCTCTTTGAGTTTGTCTCTCTTTTCCTTGCCGCTCTGCCTCGACAGCGAGCGACATCTATATATGCCACATAAATCAATTCGAAGATTTCTAGGTATCAGTCCGCCAGACCTATACAGGGAACCTTGGCACCCCGATCGGTGTAACATTCAGCGCCAGAAATGCAAAGTCATCCGCAGAGAGGAGAAACTTCTGGTCTGTGACCTTCTAGAAGGCCGCCCGTCGTCGTCCTCTCGAACCCCATCTATCTCGTCAACCACCTCGCCTTCCAAACGGCCCTCTCGCCCCGCTGTATGGCGCTTGTTCAAAAAGAGAACAAAAACCCCCAGTGGCCAGGCCATGTCCGACGGGGAGCGCCCACGGCCTACTACCAACGAACGATATAAGATTGTTGGCAAGGTTTACCCGGAAGACAAGTCTGCTGGAGTTTTCAAAAGCGTACCCGCAAGCCTGCTGCCCCTCGAGCCCCCGTCTGAATGCCCTTCCGAATTGATCCGTGACGTACGAAACTATCTGCGCCAACGTCCACGCAGGCGAGACTGGAAAATCCAAGGCGTCATGCCAAAGCCTGGCCAAGCGCCTTCAATCACTATCGGAACTGTTGGGGCTCGACCATCGCATTCTCGAGAGCCCGCAGTCGCCAAGGTCTCCGCGCACAATGCTACTCAATTCCCTGATGCTAGCGATCAACGCCGCTTCGTTCTCCTCTCGCGCCGCGTCCGCTGTAATTGCGAGGAATCGTTCATTCCACGCCACCGTCTTCCAATTACATATAAGCCGGGGTATATACCTGACCCACAAAAGACGGCGGAGGCGGAAAGGAGGGCGAAGAGAGATGCAGCCGCTGCATCAGCGGCTGCTATATGTGCGTCCGCTGCTGTATGCAGTGCAGCCGTCGTGTGTGCAGCAGGTTGTTGAGGATCACAAAATATCTGCACCAAATGTCTCTACGATGGATGAGCAAGTGCCGGGCGCAGGCTCTGTTGGAGGTCTCTGAATGGGCGCTAAAGGATGCTGGGGAACACAGATGTACGTCAGTTAATCTCACAGCCTCGACGGGCCAGTTAGACTTTGTCTTTCTCGCTCTCAGCCTCGTGATAGGTAGCCTGGTAGCCTTGGAGTCTATTTCCCTAATCCTACCACTTCATCTAGTCCTAGACCAATTGCTCTGCCCTTCCACCGACCACAATCGAGCAATCGAGTGGTGGTTGGATACAAATACAGCACAGCATTGGGCTGCTAAGTCCCCAAGGCGGCACAAGATGGCCTTAGTTCGCCAAAGTTAGTCGACGGAAACGCTCTTGTCTCAGATCGGAGCAGTCTCCCTCTTCAACCACTTTGTGGTTCTCTCGTCCTCCTCAAAGAACCCACTTGTCTTATCCCATACCTCCTGATGGTAGTCATTTAGCCACTGCTTCTCTTCAGGATCCAGAAGACTAGGGTCGATCAGTTTCCTGCACATGGGCACCAAGGTCACATGCTCAAACCCAAGCCAGGGTTTATCCCCAAACTTGTGATTCGTCTTGGCCTCGCGACCCATGATCATGTTCTCGATCCGCACTCCGAAGTTGCCGTCTTCATAGTAGCCCGGTTCGTCGGAGATGACGTTGCCGATACTCAGAGAAACTTCGGTGTACGCGGCGCGGGTGCCGATACCAATAGGGCCTTCGTGGACGTTCAGGAAGGAACCTACACCGTGACCAGTGCCGTGGCGGTAGTCCAGCCCCTCGCGCCAGAGATGTTGGCGGGCGAATGCATCGATGGCGAATCCTGTTGTACCTTTAGGAAAGACCGCGCGATCCAGAGCGATGACCCCTTTAAGCACCAAGGTATAGCCCTTGATCTCCATATCTTTGGGGGTCCCGAAATGTAATGTCCTGGTGGTGTCGGTCGTCCCATCGAGGTATTGAGCCCCGGAATCGCACAGATAGACGGCGTTGACGTCGATTGTTGAACAGTTTCCCCTCTCAGGAGAGTAATGTACCACGGCGGCGTTTGCGCCTGTAGCCGAAATTGTGTCAAAGGAAAGGCCGACAAAATGCTCACCCTTTGATCTAATTTCCTCGAGCTTATCTGCCGCCTGGACCTCATCGATCCATGATCCACTGAGTAGCTCTTCTTCTAGCCAGGCAAAGTATTCAATCAATGCAGCACCATCACGGATGTGACATTGTCGCATTCCTTCGAGTTCGGTGGGATTCTTGATAGCTTTTGCATCGGAAATTGGGCTTCGAGACTCTTCGACCTTGTCTTCGCCACCCAAGCCGAGATAGAGTGCCCAGGACGACTTGTTAGAGAGCAGGAGTTTATTGAAATGGGATTTAGTAACCCCGTTGGCTTGATATTCACTCGCCGCTTTTTCAGAGATGTCAGTGAGGTCGGCAAAAAGGTCATCGTAAGGTTTGATTTCGACCGTCCCTTCAAGGTGCTGTCTCACTTCCGTGTCTATCTTGGCCGAATCGATATATAGCGTAGCCGTGTTTGGTGTGATCGCTGCGTATGAGAAGAAGACAGGATTATACGGGATGTCACTGCCGCGAAGGTTGAAAAGCCACGCGACCTCGTCAAGCAACGACACAACCATCCCCACAGCCTTCTTCTTCTTCAGGTCTTTGCGGAGGTCATCAAGTTTCTGCTGAAAAGACTTGCCGGCATACCTCTCAGAGAGGACAATAACTTTCTCTGCCGGCCTTGGTGGGCGGTCCTTCCAGATGTTATCAACTAGATTCTCTGAGACTCCGACTAGGGTTGCATGTGACTTCTTTTTCAACGTCTCACTGAGCTTGCGAGCATCGCTGGCTGTAATCACGGTGGGGTCGACGCCGACAGTTTTGCCGCCCTCTGCCTGCTCTGTAGTCCTAATCTCAGCTCAGTCTTGCACATATCAACGGACTCCGTTGTTCGCACCATTCCTGCCACGACGGGACGTCTTCCATGCCCTGTTTCAACAACAACCAATTCTCATCCAGCTGCTTAGAAGCCTGATTAAAGTAGCGCCCATCGGTCGACAGAGCTGCCTTCTCGAGTGTAATGACGGCCGTGCCTGCGGAGCCAGTGAAGCCCGAGATGTACGCCCTCCTGGCATCGCAAGGAGCAATGTACTCTGACTGGTGGCTGTCCTCCGAGGGCACAATGTAGATGTCAACTTTGTGCTGTCGCATCAGGTCACGCAGCTGCGATAGACGCTTTGTAGTGTCCACCTTTTCCATATCGACGCTCCGTAGCGATCTTGAGAAGGAGAAAGACCGGATAGATTCAGAAGGGGAGAGCGTAGTCGCAGGTGTTTGCGAGCGGGGCGACGTGAGACGCAGCAAAGACGGGAGACGAAAGAACGACCAACGCATTGAAAATGAGACACCACGAAGAACGAGAGATACAGACGACACATGCAGCTATCCAAGCCAGCCTATGTGCTATGTGCCATGTGCCGTGCCTGCCTGACTCGCCGCCGTTTCGTGGCACGCCGTGACCACGTCCTAATCGGGCAAGCGTGCCGAAGGTGTCATTTGCCGGCGAGGCTGCAGCCTCGGGGTTGTTTGTACATGTAAGACTTTGCAGAAGTCGCTTTCAAATCGTTCACCACCTCGTCGGGTTCTAGGCTGATCTCCTGGACCCTGGGAGAGGTCAGAAAATCTCCCCCCACTGTCTCATGTCTACTTCTCCGAAAATTTTGAAGTCGGTTGTGCCTGCTTAGGTCATATGGGAATCCAACGACCCAGTGCAACCCACGTCGCAAAATCCTTTAGTGGCTCGGCTAACAATCTCTCGTGGAGATACTTGACTTCCACTGTTGATCCAGGCCTCAGATTGACCATCTCTCCTCTTGAGACGTTGTCGGGGCGACTGAACAATTGTCTGGCATAATCCACAGTCTGCATTCTTGGTGTCGGATACACAAAGACTGAAACCACCCGGCAAAAGTTCTCCATCCGCTTCGATCAAGATGCACTGTTCAATGTAGCCTCATGCATATCATGGAACAGTTGATAAGCGAACTTTATCAGCCTGCGAATCAGGCATCACCGGAGCGTATAAATGAGATCCAGAAGCAGATCCAACGATACCAGCGCGACAAGTCAGCATGGCAACTGGCTTTGGACCTTCTTCATCATGGAGAAGCCACCACAAGATTCTATGGTGCCTTGACCCTGACTATCAAGATCAATGCTGACTGGTAAGTGTCCGAGAGGCTTTCGACTTTTGTCACAAAAAACGCTGAAGCCATATCAGGGACCATGATGGGTTGGGGAAAGACGAGTCCATGAGGAGCGCTCTTCTAGGAGCGCTGGTAGGCAATTACATACGTTTAGCGAATCTACCCGATTCAAAGTTCGTTCTCCAAAAGCTCGGTTCGACTCTTGTCAGCTTCTTTGCGAGGCCAGATTCAGGCTGGGACCTTCCATTCAGACAGATATTGGCCTCTTCTCTGAGCAAGGGCTATATCTCCGATGATTTACCGGACATGGATCAATTGCTGGACGCCTGCACCGACTGCTCCTACAATGAGCTTAAGGGGACCCTCCTGATCGCCATAATCATGGCAGAAGATTTGAGCAGTCGCTCTTCCAGCTCTCTAGACGAAGGGAGACTCAATAACCGCGTGGCAGCCAACTCCTTAGACGTATGGCTCCTCTTGAGGTATTGTGTACAGCGCGGGATTCGTGGCAACCAGCAGGCAGAAGCCACAGCACCGGAGCAGGCACGGACCCAGTCTGAAGACATTCTCCAAATGGTTATGAAAGCGATACCGTATTGGGTCAACATGACCAAATATGCAGAAAGTACTCAAGCCCGGCGAAGTGAAGGCATTGCCAGAGACTGCATTGCCACAGCAGTCAATTATCTCCAGCAGGAAACCTACACTGGATCGGTGCTTCAAATGCTGATTTCGCTGGAGAACTCTTCGACAAAACTCCTCCGAGAAGCTCTGCCAGATTTTCCGACTAGCATTACCAATTCTCCCAAAGCAAGAGAAATGGTGGATCTCCTCCTTCAGGGCGACTTCATTTCAGACGGCGTTCTTTATGTGGATCTGCTCGAGTCTATCATGAGTCACATAGACATTACTAGACCCGACTTCCTGCACAATCAATACAACGAAGTGGTCAGAATTTTACGGCTGCTTCTCTCCTGCGACGGTGTGGCCGTCATCGAGGATCCGGTGTGCCAAATCGTCTTGGAGAGGATTGGTGAAATTGTCGAGGGCTATGCTGACTGGGACCTTCAATATGTTGACGAAGCAGCGCAGGAATTTATCAAGGATTTGACGGCTAATGCGTGCGAAGCTTGCCTCCTTAAGATCAGAATTCCTCCGGAAGAGATGTCCAGCGAAACCCAGTCCTGGGACGTTGACGACCGAGCAAAATTCCAGGACTTTCGTTACGATGTGCAGGACTTTTTCAACTCGGCTTTCATGGTGCTTGGGGACGCCTTGATCGGGGAAATTGTCAAGAGCACTCTTGGGCAGAGTGTAGACTGGAGCACCTTTGAAGCAGGCATTTTCGGTCTCATGGCATTCTCCGACGCTATATCAGCCACCCCAGAGAAGTACGATGTCCTCATCACTACGGTGCTGGGAAGCCCGGCCTGGGGCTATCTACTTCAAACCGCCGACAATGTTCCAGATAGGGCGCTGCGGACTGCTATTAGATTCATAGCAGAAAACGTGGCATACCTTCAGCGACATCCGGACAGGCTGGTCGCAATCCTCAACTTCCTCTTCTCTTCGCTTCACATGCAGGCGTCAACATCTGCTGCTTCGCGGGCGATATACAATCTATGCGACTCCCATAGAAGAATGCTTGGAGAAGGACTACCTCTATTCCTGGACTCTTTGGCTTCGATAGGGGATATCGGGGAGACAGAGCGACATCGGATATACGCCGCTGTCGCGGCCATCATTCAAGCATTGCCGACCGAAGAAGCCAAAGTCGAGCCACTGTCCCGTCTTCTTTCGCCTATTGGTCATGCGTTGACAATCCTGGACGGTGACAATATCGCCGATATCCTGAGAGGTTGCATCGACATTATGCAGACCCTTGCCGCAATTGGCAAAGGCCTGCGTTCCCCGGCCGATATCCCGCTGGACTTGGAAGCTTCGAGCACGAGTTATTCGGATTTTTGGACGACCGGGCAAGGCGCCATCGCCCAACAGAATGTACTCGCCATGTACCACGCTACCGTGCAAAAAGTCCAACCCCACATTGACTATGTTTTTGTTGACGCCTGCTGCGACTTTATCAAATCCGGGTTCACCGAAGAGCATCCGTCGCCATTTAAATTTCCAGACTCAATTGGGCTGGAACTGGTCAATCACTTCATCAATCTCGACAACCCAAGCATTGACAATGTCATGGCTTGTGCATCCAGTCTCCTGGCTTCCGTCAGCACGCAGAATCTTCAGGCTAGCATCAGCAGCCTTTTGTATGCAGTCATTTCCAACCAGCAGCTGCTTCTGTCAATGTACCAGGAAACAAAACAACTCCCAAATAGTAGTTTCCCATCTAGTTCACTGGATTTCCTCAGCCGCTTGCTCCACAAATGGGCTACGATGTGGTTTAGCATGGAAGACAGTCAAAATACAGCTGCCGTGTCGGTGGAGATGGCCTTACTGGTCATGGCAGACTCGGACACGCTTCCTCGTCGGTCGGCGGCAGGATTCTTTGCTGCCTTTGCAGAGAACAGTGGCCCGGAGAGCGGGTTTGACAGCGGAGCGAATGCACGGGTCAAAGGCGTGCTTCAAAGTTTTGGGCCGCGGATTCTCTCACTGGTGCTCCGTCTTCTGGGAGGAGAATGTGCACGTTCGGAAATCGACAGCCTGACCGAAACCCTGAAAAGATTCGTGCAGAAACAATTTATGTTGACTAAAGCGGTGCTCAGAGAGGCCATCAAGCAGGACTCCGGGGTCATGAGCGATAAAGCCCTCAGTGCAACGACGTTAGAACAACGCAACCGGTTTGTGGCACAGGTCGAAGTATTACGAGGCGCCAGAAAAACAAACGAGATTGTGAAAGACTTCTGGATTGCCTGTAGGGGGAGCGGATTTGGATACATCGCCTGACCTGATGCGTCTCGAATCCACGAGGAGCATGGAGCTGTACGGACCCAGAGAGTCTTGTACATGGTGACTGGATGGACGTTGACCAGGCGAGCCGACTTTAGAAATTAATCGCACAGTGTGACAAGAAGAGAGTACGAAAGCAGAAAAAACAAAATAATTCACCATTAGTTGTAGGATCACCTTTAGTGATAAGGAGATACTGTCTCAGGAACTTATAGATCCAGAGAGTCTCCATACTTATTGAGAAGTATGTATCGGCTGTCTAATATGGCTGTTTCCTCGTCGTTATGGAGCATTCAGTAATGGTAATTCAGTGTCAGACAGTGCTATTTATTTCTGAGGCCGGGCTCGCAATTCCCCCATACAAGTCGCCATCACTCTTGTTACAACTACACCCCCCTCGCCGACATTGTTTCAAACTAAGCCTGTACTATTAGCCAATGCCTCTTATCCTGTGTATCTGACCAAAGATGCGGTTCTCCTGCATCAAGCTCTATAATTTCCGCCAGCATGAGCGGTAACAACCCTTATGCCGTCAATGGTGGGTACGGGGGACTTCGCCAGTCCAACGACTCCAATCCATATGCCCCTACGAATGCGGCCAACTCAGTCTCCGGCAGTCGCTACGCGGACCCGTACCTACATCAGCAGAACAACGGTTCCTCTCCATCCGTCAACAGTTTCGGACCCCAAGAGCGCAGGCGCAGATCAAACCCGTATGACCAGCGTGACCGAGATTCACCCAGCCCACTACCCTCCACGCTGTCAGGTGCAGGAGGAGGGAGCATCGCCGGCAGCTATGGGGGTATGCCGCGTGCAAGATATGGGGAGGCTGCCGCTCCTTCGAGAAACGAATATGACTATGGAAGAGCAAGGGACCCCCATGAGTACGAACAGAGACAGCCAACGCCATCTTTCCGGGATAGGGAGAGGGCTTACAACGAGAGTCAGAGAGCATACAATGAGGGTAGAGGTCGAGATGGCAGGGAAATGCGAGGGCAGATGGCTCCGCCGTCCGCCATGTCTTCGAAACCGAGTCAACCCGGTCCGAGCCAACAACCGCCGATGAATGGTTACACGGCGCACCAAAACTACCCTCCTTCAGAGTCTGCCAGCCGACATTACTCGCCCCGACGTCCAGCAAAGAGCATGGACGAAATTCTGCGTCATATACAGTCAAATTGGAAAGACATGGAGGGTGACGATTGTGTCCCGGTGAAGATGGCCCTAAGGCTCATGGATCCCAGTTCGCTGGGCCTGGCTGATAAAGAGGGCGACTTTGCCAACACACATGTCGACCTGCAGAAGAGTCTGAAGACCGTGGTCAACGAGCATTATGCAGACTTTAACAGCGCAGTGGGCACCTATCACAAAATCCAGAACGCCATTCGGGACAGTCAGAGTCGTGTGAGACATTTGAAGCTCGGCTTGATGAACGTGAAGGACGGCATGCTGACGACGCGGCCGGAATTGCGGACGCTTGCCGAACAAAGTGGTGAGCTCGACGACATGCTAGTCACCTTGAGCAAGATAGAGTCTTTCAAGCTTATTCCGGGCAAGCTGGAAGAGAAAATCAGCGAGAAGAAATTCCTCGGCGCCGTCGACGTCTTGATGGACAATCTCACAAACATCACCAAGAGCGAATTCGACGGAATTGGCGCCATCTCCGATCTTCGCAGCTATTTCACCAACCAAGAGAGTACCTTACTGGATATCCTCATTGAGGAGTTGCACGACCATCTCTATCTCAGAAGTCCTTATTGCAAAGACAGGTGGAAGGGCAAGAAAGCCAACGGAGAAGATCGAGAGCCAAAAGAAAATATGATGGCTGTGGGTGTGAATGTTTGGGACCGACCGTTCAACCACTACTTGAACAATGTCGATCTGACGACTCCTATGGTGGAGGATCCGACCAAGAACCCCGAAACCGACACCTTCTACTATATACACATGATCATCGAATCCCTCAACAAACTGGGTCAACTTGGCGAGGCGGTTTCGAGGATCGAGCAGAGAATGCCAATCGAGTTGTATAAGGTCGCCGAGAAAACTAACCACGACATAGATGCCAAATACCCCAGTCATCTGAGAGCGCAATTTAACAAAGCAAATCGAAAGACCTACTTGTTGCAGACGAACGACGGGAGGGTACAAGTGCTGTCCGACTTTCTCTGGACTCTATATTCCAAGTTCGAGGCCATTGCTGAAAGTCATCGGGTGCTCCACGAAGTGATTGGAGGTATCGCAGCAAGAGAGAAGGCGGCCAAGCCCGACAAATATACCACTGGCTTCAAAGAGCTCTGGAAATTGTATCAGTTGGAGATGCGGTCGATATTGCACGACTATCTGGCTACAGACGGCGATCACACGACATTACGGTCGGGGTTGTCGGGCTCTGCCAGCACCGATATTTTCGCTCGGCCCCAGCGGGACAAGAATAAAAAGATGTTCCGGCTGGCCGAAATGGACCAGAAATCAGAATCCATGAAAGCCGAAGAGGATGAGTTGAACGAGATCCTCAAGAGCTCAGTCCCAGGCCTCGTCAGCAAATCCCGGGCACGAGACGGGACAGATCTGGTTACAGACCGCTCTGGACAGGACAGCACTGTGGCGGGCCATAAGTTGTTGGTTGAGGCCGGAGTCTTCAACATGACCATCTTGTTACCCCCGTCGCTGACGTTCCTGCAGCGTTTGAAAGATATTGTACCTTCAACCGCACATATCCCCATGAGCACGTTGACCACCTTCCTCGACGATTTCCTCATCAATGTGTTCCATCCTCAGCTTGAAGAAGCGGTCACAGAGCTCTGTGCGCAGGCCATGATCGATCTAGAAGCATTCTCCGAAGACCCACAATGGTCGAAGCACTCGCCTCATCCGATCTTCAAAGGGACAGGATCCTTCATGGCGCTGATCCGTGCCTTTTCAGGGATGCTGAGCTCAATACCACAAGATCAAATATTCACTCAGCTCATTATCGACCAGCTCGTCACGTATTATGACAAGTGTTACGGCTTCTACAAGGCCCTGGTGAGTCGTGTGGCGTCGTCAGATCCGAACCAAAATGGCACCAACACTTTGTCCACCAAAACAGCGGCCTCGCTTGCAGCATCGGGCGAGGTCCATGACGCCGTGCTGGAGTTGCTGAACTACAACAAATCGACCTCTCAGGGGGTGTCTCGATCCAGCCTGATTGCCAAAGAGGTGCAGACGCTCCTTTCGGCGACGAAGACAAACCCGCTCTCTGCCTACGATATTATTTCCGATCCCAAATCTGTCCACCAACTCTCTCTGCTCTATAACAGCATGCAATGGTTGGGCGCCGCTTTAACACAGATCCGACATGTCGACAACAGTCCCCATACGGGGCTCTCACATGCAAGAAGCGGCTCACAGAACCGGAGCGTCCGGCGGTGGACATTGATCACCAGTCTGCGAAGTGGCGGATCCAGCAAGTCGCCCTCGCATTCTGGCGCCACGGTCCCAGTTTTCTTACCTCTCACGTCCGAAACGGCCATTCCCTTCGATACAGTTGTGTCCTCGTTTCGCTCCCTGGCTCAAACATGCCTGTTGACGCTCCATATCGACGTCCGGTGTGGGATCCTTCACCAATTATCCCGCACCTTGCGCGGGCCTGACTACAATAACAACAGCCCGACCACCTCGCCCGATAACCGAGACTCTGCGGGGGCTCTGCCTCTCGATTCAGGACTTTACCCTTACGTCCTATCTTCTCCGCCGTCTTCGGCGTCTCCGCTCATCCTCGAACTCAACAACGACCTCATTGCCTTCGATTCCAACATTGCTTCGTTCCTCGGCACACGGGAGAGGAATTTCATCCTGAAGGGGCTATCGCAGCTCGTGGATCGGTATCTTGTTGCCGCCGCCGATGCGATTGGGGTAATGAATACCAATGGGGCAGAGAGGGTGAGGATTGATACCATGGTGGTGCAGCAGAATTTGAGAGCTATCCTTGCGAACACAACGAACAAGAGACGGAGCTGGACCAGTCAGAGCAAGGACCAAACTGGCCTGGGCATTTCAACGGCTGATGAGTTGGACGGCGATGAAGACGACGGGCTGCTGATCTCCTCCAGTCGCTATTTCGACCTCTTTCTCACGGGTCCGGAATCGATCCTGCAATACGTTCGGGACTGCAAATCACAGAAGAAGGATGTTGGATACACTTACGATGAGCTACGCACACTGGTCGAGTTGTGCTTCAGCGCGAAGCTGCGGGGCGAGGACCGCGAAGAGGCAATCCGGGCGAGGAAAGGGTTGCAAGACGCCCTGTTGGGGTTGGGTGAAGGCATGTGGGACAGCTAATCAACAGCCTGCTTGCCACGCCGTCGTTTGCTCGAATTCTGTCTGGGGTTTGGTGATGTTTGACTTAGGGAGAGGGTGGGCAATGGATATGATCTTTCCATTTAGGGGAAATCAGTCCCGGGGTTCAGACCTACCTATACTGTCGCCCTCGAACACGGAGTACAGTTGACGAGATGTAAAAGGCGTATGCGACGACGATCCCTGTGATCTTTTTTCCTCTTCTCTGCTGTTCTGGTCCACATCCTGTCTTTCTTGAGTCAATCGAGCAATCAGTCAAGGGTGGGCTGCTCCATGTCACGACACGTTAGTATATATAGGTTTTTTTTTTACCTTTGACTTTACCTTTGGCTTTGGCTCTGGCTCTTGGCTCTGGCCTTTGACTGTTGTCTTAGACTTCATGTCACTGGCAGCACCCTGCAGGACCTTTTCGTGTCCACCAGCTGCTTGGCAGGCGGCCTGAGCCGACTGGGAGGAGGATGTATGCTACAGGACGGTATATATTTCGCGGCGAATCTGTCGTTCGATGTGACGATGCATCAACCATGAGATGATCTAATCTACCACTGCGTTCGTCGGCCGGTCGGTCGGTCGGTTTTTTGGTTGACTGGTTTGGCTGAAAGGCCAGCCAGGGGACGGAGAAGCGCAGGCAGGAAGGGAGGGAGGCAGGGAGGCAGGCAGCGTCTTCTGACTACTACTCGATGCCGTATCAATTGTTATAATCGTCTGGACTTTCCCTTTATTTTCTGTATTCCATATCTTTCGATAATTTATATCCGTCTGTCTGTCTTCCTTCCTTTCTTTCTTTCTTTCTGTCTGGCCTTGTTAGCCCTTACCTATGTGTAGTGGTTGATAACTTTGTGATCTGCTCTTGGAATCATCCCCCTTCTACACCACGTCCGTGCCATTTCTTTTGTTCTGACGATTGTTCCGATACTCCTCTTCTTTCCACCTTCCCGTTTTTGGGAAGCCGTTCAGTTCGGCTCTGGGGACGCTTGGTCATGACTGACGAACGATACCAACTCGAGGGGCAGGGAGACCCAGGGGAATGGATATTGGTCGAACATGCGACCCGAGATCTTCCTGTTCTCTCTCGTACGATGCAACTTCTGTACCGTCGAGTAGCATGATACCTTGTACAATGCGACTTGATCATTAGAAGAGGTGTTGTAGCACGGCGGCAATTTCGCCGCCCCGTCAACCTTTCCCTTTTTGTTGTAATCTCTCTGGAGAATCGGCAACCATATGCTTCCACATGCATCCACGATCTCATGCATCTTTAGAATCCACATCTCTTGGAGTAGGGTTGTAGTCAAGGTCTGGTCCACAAAACAGGGTCACCTTGTCAAAAAACGCGGCGAAACATTGGGGGGGTTCTGCAAAAATGGGGCAAGAAACCAGAATGGGCGGCGGCGTCAAACAAAGAGGGGGAATTTGGCAAAAGGGTTCGATACATTCGGGTTTCGAATCTGGTCTTGACATCAGTACACTCGAACAAAAACGTCGCTAGCACGATGGCTGAAGCGATATGGTTCTCATTAGCTGCGAATAGTAGAGCGTGGAGGCATTCCCGCTTGGGTAGCCGAGCATCAAAATTGTCGGCGGATTCATGTTGATCATAACCTTTTGTCTTCTTTCGAACCTCTCTTTTACTTCCTTGTATTTTGGAAGACCGGTTGCCTTCATGAGCCAAAGCAGGGTTACCTGCATAAAGTCAAGTAGGACCGTGGCCGAATGGCCTGAACTACCCTGGTGGCATCGTGTTCTTCTTGCCTCAAGAGATGAGAGACACATTTTGGTGCTTTGTGCGCAAGGTGTCGCAGTCTGGAGACGTCGCTAAACAAGGGGGGGAGTCGGCTTAAAGTTTGCAAGAAAGTCTCGATGATTGTAGCAAATGAATGCAGCAGGGTTGGACGGGATTGAAACTGTAAACAGAGCTGGCTTTCAAAATCAACAGAGGGTAATGCGATGTTTGCTTCGAATCTTTGTCCTCCCAGCCCAATTAATCTCAGCTTCCACTCAACGTGGTCATGATCCGAGACGACCGGACAGCGGGAGGCCAGGCAATGAAAGCTGAAAGAACACTGGATTCAGCCTGCACAGAAGAGAGACAACCGGGTCGGTTCTGCCGTGTCCAGAAATCTCGAGGAAGATCGGCGCAGTATGAGGCTGCAGAAGGAGGGTACCGCCAGGGAGAGAGCACAAGACTTCAGACATCGGGAAGTCTAAGGCCGGAAAAAACACAAAGATACAGCATCTGGCGATGGCCTGACACGGCGAGATATTGTTCTAGAGAGTTTTCGAGAGGTGAAGTATTGGTCTGCAGTGTCAGTGGGAATGGCCTTCCTTGCGATTGCTAAACAATACCCCGTAATGGCACATGAGAGGCCGGAAGTTCCTCCCGCAGCACAAAGAGAGGCTGACTGGTGGAGCACTGTAGTGTTTGCCTACCGCGGGTAAAGCCACTTGGACAAAACTTCCGAGCGAGGTGTGGCAAGACATTGGACCAGGGACCATGGGCAATCCCCGATACCCAGGATAGACCGGGACTCGTCCACGTACGGTATTTCTCAAAGATGGCCTTTCGCCACATTTAGGTGCTGGGTTGCGGTCTTGGTTGGGGGGATCTTGCCAGTATCAGTACATACGAGTCGAGTGACAGGCTCCCTCCACAGAGCTTAGGCTCCAGAGTGGATCGTCGTCGTGGGTTCGCGCCCCTTAGCAGTTGGCAGTCGGTCTGTCAGAACTGCCACCAGAGCCAGTGGTGCCAACAGCATCGACACCATCGCGTCAAAAAGCCGTCAGTATGTAGATATCTCGCCGTGATGGCGAAACCAAGGTGTGGCTTGTCCGAGAGTCTCCCCAGGGCATGCCTTTATCTAGCGCTAGCTTCAAACAGTATGGGCTAAGGCTGGTATGGAGTTGTTTCTCCTCGCAGATTAATTGGAGAAGGTTTGCCACGGATTCTGGATCGCAATTCTAGCTGGGGGGACTGGGGCACGGGCCTATGTCCCTGAGCTCGGTCCTGTCAGAGATTTTTCGGGTGGGTTGTGGAGGCCGAAAGGGCAGAGAAGATGGTGGAAGAAGAAATAGTCGCGGTAAACTGTTTGACGATTCCATTATGAGGACGCCACCTGGTGTCTGGACCCGATTGGCCGGGCTCGATCTTAGTAGGGGCGCTCTTCCATGGTGCATATCGAACGGAAAGTTGCCCCGATCCCTCTTTTCCAACCTTTCGCCCTACAACCTGGCTTGTTAGCCAAGAAGGATTTCGTTGCCAACTCTTTCCATGCCACCCACCCGACATCTGACCGTATTTTCTACACATTGCCGAGACGTGTTGGACATCCTGTGGCCAAGGCCTGGTCTGTTCCAAAGGGCCCTCGAACAAGCAAGCTGAGGCTGAGACCCTGGCGGAAATAGAGAGGGAAGCCGGGTGGCAAGGATGAGAGGCGTTCTGCAGCGTTGTGGCCCTCAGTTATCGCTTAGAATCATACCTTGATATTTCCGATAACGTAGCCGTCTGACTGCGAAGGGGAGTCGGGCTGTGTTGTGTTGGTGGGTGACCCCGACACCGGCGTTGGCGCGTCTCTCAAGACCCGTCTTGCAACTTGGTCAAACCGTCCCTCCACAACAGCAGAATGCCCAACCGCAGAGAAGCCCAAGATCTTAAGCCGCCCCCAAGGCCGGGAAGTGGCGAGCCTGCTAAATCAAGGGTCAGGATAGGGAGAGCGTGCGATCGCTGCAAGATCAAGAAGAGCAAGGTGAATGGAACACTTTCACCGCCAATCCAGCACAAGCAACATCACATGGCTGACACCAGGTGTAGTGCGACGGGAACACACCTTGCTCGGCCTGTATATCAAGTGAAAGCACGTGCGAGTATAGTGCGCGGAGGCGGAGAGAGGCGAGAGACTGGTGAGTGGTCCCAACGGTCTCGCGACGGACCTTTTCGGTTCAGTGGATGTTCCCCTTGCCGTTCTGAGCCTGACGACTGTGCCTCCCAGGTACTGGGGTATGCAGGATGTCATCGACGAGGCGCTGCAGAGACTCTACTGGGCATGTCGCGAAGGCCGCGGCTTCCCAGGAGTGATTCCAGACGAGAGCGCCGGTCGAGTATCCACCGATGCCATTCTTCGAGGGTTGGGGCTGAGTCCTCCCCCGGTAGACAACACTCGTCTGGCTGCCAGCAGGTCAGATTCGATCTTGGAAACACAAGAACAGCTGCACCGTCCACAATTGTATCGCCCCCCGGATTTCCTGCCGCCGGATTCCTCGCGCACCAAGGCCACTTCTTCTGGTATGACTCCATTGTCGACAACCAGCGATGAGCGACTCACGTTTGGAGGAGAAGCGGCGACTGATGGCACGAATCGAAGAGGGCAACAAGTGTCAGCAATGGAAGTAGATGGGGAAGAGGAGGAGATGTCTGAGGGCCTGCCGGACAGCCTTGCAGCCGGCTTCGGGGAACAATTCCAGGGGAGTATAGGTCGCAGCATTGACCCAGCAATGCTCCAAGATGGACATGTGGATTTGACGGACGGCGATTTATACCCAAATATGAGTGTTATGAATTTTGCAGGAGGACAACCGGGGATTCAGGGGCAACGTATGCCCACGCAGGCTGCGGCTCCCCAATTCCAAGTCGGCGGTCTACCGCAGGAGACCTACGGAGGTGCTGGCGAACAGCGATGGCAGGGACAGGGACAGGGGCACCAGGTCGATGGTCTGCTTCCTTGGCCGGGTAACATGGTCTCAATGTACGGGAGGACGGCGCCGGATGATGGCAGAGGCGGTTTCGATGATCATGGTGACCGAGAACGATGAGAGGTAATGGACTCTCTCGTGAAGGGAGCAGGAACGCTTTCCACACACACACCAGACAAGACAACACCGCCAATGACAGCAATTTTTCAGAGGATCGTAACATGGAAGATTTGCATTCGAGAGCGATGTATAGGAAGTCTTCGACACAGAGGTTGTCCTTGCCCACAAAAAGGACAGAAATGGAACCACGACCGCACAGACCAGAGTACTGAGATTGTCTGGTTCCACGACGCAAGGGAAGTACACCGAGGAATGGAATCTGAAAAAGAGGATGGGGAAGGGGGGAGGAGGTTGAGGTAGGGAAAGGAGAGCGGATGATGGACCTACAGTGGGCATTTAAATAAAAGAACTTAGCAGAGTGGACGGGCAATAATAGATAATGCTGAGTGGTGAGTGGTTGAACAGGCGCGATATTCAAGGTACAAGCGGATTCCTTTTCCGAGGGAGGACGAGAACAGTAAGGCGCGAGGGAGGGTCTTCCGGGCGGCCTCAATCAGAAGACGGCGCCTGAGCGGAGCCCCCGGCCTGCAAGATCGCTAGGCTTGACAGGCGATGCCTCGGACTGGGCCCCCTACAACCTATAACAGCGTAGGGTGAAATTCTTTCGAGGAGCGGCAAAACAGACACGCACGTGATTCTTATCGATAACACAACTTGTTCCATCTTCCACCACGTTTCGCTCGCTCCTCGACTGCGCGGGTACGGGTCCATCAAATAATAACGAAACCCTCTGCTTGACGAAGACGAGGTCTTTAGTGAACCCTAAACATGTCATCCAATGTTGGTCTCTCCACGCCACGCGGCTCCGGAACGTCAGGCTACGTTCAGCGCAACCTCTCTCTCCTGAAACCTCGTGCCGTCGGCGTCGGCGCCCCCTACAGCCTCGACTCCTCTGCCCGACAGCAAGCTCCGCAGACCCGGAAGCCCGACCAAGAAATCCTAGACCATGACCGCCTCCGCGCCATCGAAGTCAAAGTTCTGGAATTGCGGGAGAAGTTGGAAGATGATGACGAGCTTGACGAGGAGCAGATCGACGAAGAGTGTGACAAGCTGCGAGAACAACTGACCAAGGAGATGGAGCGGGAAAAGAACCGCGCCAGTGGGAGATCAGCAGGAGGTGCCCGGAAAGCGGACGGAAGGGGACTCAAGAGCTACCAGGTGCACGAGTTGGCCGAGGCCAAGGAGCAAGAGAGTGAAAGGCTGCGAAGAGCACTTGGGTTGAAACCTGCTGAGATTCCCCGTGACGACGAGCACCCTATGGCAAAACAGGAGAAGAGAAGACGGGAGAGAGAGGGTGTTCCGGTGAAGACAGAAAGTGCGGAATGAGATTCTCAGGAGACAGAATACCTCTTCTGTCTGTTTCTCTCTGTTTCAGAAGAGGTTGGCCGCCATCGTGAGGGAGCTCCAAGATCCCAAGCAAAGAAATCGGTACAGCATTCTGTTATTCTCTGCTGGGGACGTTATGTTTGATTATAAGGTCGGAAACACAAGTCACGGTACCAGAAAATCAGTCAAATCATCGTTGCCAGAAAACATTACCCAAGGTCACAGACGGCTCTCCCACCATCATCAGCGCACTCAAGGTGCACGACCAGAGCATCGTGTATCCGGGTACATGACATACATAGCTGGAAATCTGGGTTGACGAGTCGAGGTGTCGACTACGTGACACTTATCGACAGGATGCCTGGTGCCCAGTTCGGGTGCCCAGCAATACCTGATCAGGCCTGCAGGAACATCCTTGATCTACGCACTCCTGGGTGCTATATTCGCATCTGTCACGAGAGAGATGTGTGCGTGACGGGGGTCCAGTGTTCCCTCAGCAATCAATCCACGTCTCCCCAATCCCAGGTATTTCCGATTGATGAAGTGATAGTTTGATTCTGTTACCTTGGATCTAAGGCTACAGAACGACCAAATCTGGTCGGCATCAGAAATATAGGGACGGAGGAGTATCTTTGAAACCCTCGCGGCGGAATTTGTTGATGGACGGGAAGATATCGAGGTCTCAGGACTTGGAGAGTTACCTGATACGGAGCCGGTCGAGATAAAGAACTCTATAGCTACGATGGTGTAGTGTGGGTTTGAAACTCGGAATGATACTCCAGAGGATGATTCTTCCAGTGAATGAAGCTCCTGCAAGTTCCACGTCTTTGATACCGAGGCATTTACTGACTCAATTGTTATGCTTGCTTTGCTTGCTTTCTCAGAAGTGATAAAGTCTTGGAAAACGTCAAGCGAACTGGCGTGTCGGGGGGCGATCTATCTATCTGTTTTGCATTATATCCATGAACCCATGGTGTTCCCCATGGGACGCTCTGATAGACTTGTGGAGAGATACGCAGCAGGTGGACGGCCAATCGACGGCGTCCCCCAAATTGAGTTCCTAATCTGTCTTGGTCCTTCCATTGCCAATGAAACAAGATTGTCGAGGCTAATCGCCATCCATGAATATCTTGGTGGTCTAGGAGGCGCTATGGGCTGGGTTTGGCCATCTTCAGGCTTCTCCTGGCTGCTCAGCGTCGAGACTGTGCGGTCGTTTGATGGGAGGCTTGGAGCGAAGACTCTATCGCTATTCTGGACGGACTCGACCACATTGGTCAGCTCAAAGGCCTTGAGTAGCTCGCTGCGTCGCGAGTGTGAGACATGACTTCCCCTCAAAGAACTAGATCTCACCGAAGCCCCGTCGTCAAGTAGATCCTCATCTGGGTCCGGCTTCACGAGAAGCTTGTTTACGATGGCCGCCGCAATGATAATCGATGCTCCGAAGGTGACAAACAGAATGATGGCAACTAAACTGAACGACTGGTAGATGGTGGACCGGAGAATCATGTTTTTGCAGAACCAAGCGTCCTGTTCATCTGTGGGTGGCAGGATATACTCGACGTCGACGAATTGTGGTTCAGGAGCGATTGACCCAGTAGCCCATAGGAAAGACGTTCGTTGAAGATGTGCCATTGCGATGGAGTGGTAATACTCCAATTCCAGCACCCACTGGTTCTCTGGCAGAGCGGTTGATAACACAGCACCGCTGCCTCCAATGTACGTCCCGTTGCTCGCCAATAGTGGATTGGTCGTCAACGCGAGGCCTATGACAAGATTCCTTAGGCTCGAGAGGGTAATAGCGCGCAACATTCGATCGAAAGTAGCATTTTGATGAGGTGTAAGTAGGCCATTGAAAGGAGCGACATTCTGAACTTGATCGAATCCAAGAAAGTCGGTGCAGATATTGTCATTAGTACAAAATTTGTGCTGCTCCGTGCATCCAAGTGTACTGATGGCTTGATCGCGAGAGAAGCGGGTTTGAAGATAGGGGTACAAGCTGTCGAATCGAACTTCGTTGTGTGCAGAGAACCAAGGGTCGTCGACTTGTGCTATGTACATTCCCCGGTAGCTGAGGAATAGCAGATTGATGTCAGCGTCTTTCTGTACCAGCTCCTTAACGGGCTGAAAGTCGCTGACACTCCATTGCGGGTTAGCTAAGGCGTAAGCCATTTCGACGTCCAGCTGATATGGAAGGATCACCTGAGAAGTGAAATTGTCGAAGAAGGATGCAAAATTTGAGTAGGAGTATGTCCACTCGGTACTCTTGTAGAGTGAAGGACCGTAGTAAGCATACGCAGTTGCTATGGAAGGCTGGAGACTCGAGGTGCTCGCAAGCGTGCCATTCCACCCCGTGACGCGACCGGTGTCGTTGAGAACGGCGCATGCTGTCCTTCTCCAGTATTTCAGACGGTCTGCTGGCTCGGCGTTGATACCCAAGTCCTCGTGCGAGTCGATCTGATCCGTCTCTAGGACAATGGCATTGGAGCCTTCAAGGCAGGCTTGCCCTTGGAAAGGACATTGGGTATTGGAAACAGTCCAATTCAGAGCGGAAGTTTTGAAAATCTCGCAGGTGGGCGGTTTGTCATTGGTAAGCGATGCGGCCAAATAGCACTCTTGGGCATATTCGAGACTTATTTGGACGTCTTGGCCCCTTTTAGCCATGTACTGGAGAGCCATCTTGAAATTGTCTTCCGTCGAACAGTCGGCGCTGTTGACGATGTCGTAGTAAGTCAGATTCCATATCCCGCAATGATTACTCCTGACGAGGACAGGCCAGGGGCCGTTCGATGATCCGGTACTGATCGCCAAATTGGAAAAGACTCCACCAATCCAAAGTGAGATTGCGTAGATCATGGCGAACGCACCAATTGAATATGAACGTAAAGAAGGTTTGCCCGTGCTCGTTCGTCGGTGTCTCCATGCTAAACGTAGCATGCGCTCTGCAGTCGCAAGGATATCTGAGCCTGCGCTCTTTAACACCGCCTGTTGTCTCTGGATATGCGGAGTGAGCATCGCTGGCTCAGTGAAGGTAGCGAACCTGTACACCAAGTATCGAAGGATGCTCCAGAGCTGAACACCGCAGATTGTGACAAAGACAGCCAGCGAACTGGTCAGGATTGTGGCATACGTTGGGCTTAATGTTAAGGTAAGGCCCCATATCTTGCCACTCGACCAATCCGTCCAAATGCCCTGATAAATCTGAGCAACCGGATCCAGAGTGTCGGCCATGTTGGAACCTTCCGCGTTGTTTCTTGGGACAGAGGGCTCTCCTTGGACCTCAGCTCATTGGGGAAACGTCCTGGTTAAGATAGTGCCGGAGGTTCGATTCCTGGGGTCGAAGCGCAGAAGGCCAACTGGAGTGCTAAAGGGAATGCGAGCTGGTTGAGAACAAAGGTTAAGCGACTCTGCAGATTTGGAGAAACGAGCGATATATTTTGTTTGCTACCATCTTCAGCCTCAGCCTCCCAGCTGCGTGGTGATTGCACCACTGTGCTCTCTCAGGGCCAGCTGCGGATTTAGGAGCACGCAAGGCGCAGATAGCTCCATACGGCATTAGCATGGTCAATGATGAGGTCGAGTTTTCGGTCGGCACAAACATAGTGTGCCTGAGCGAATGAAGACTTCGAGAATGAGCATCGGGTGGCTCGAACCAAAAATCCAGGGGCTTCAACTATCAAAGGATTCGGACCAGTGTTGTGTCATGGCATCATCGGGGCGACAAGCATTGAAGATTAACCGCGCGGTTTGAGTAGTGCCTGTCTCGCCAACATCAGGCGTCACGCTGACAATGGTCCAGATGAGGTCGCAGGAGGCGCATGCCCTTCCCCGCACCAAGAGCGCACGAACAGATATACTCGTAGCACATGAGAAGACAATTCCATATAGGTAGATAACCATAGATCGAAAGCCGGGGATGCTCTGAGTAACTTCAAGACAGATGGATTCGCAATGATGCAAGGATAGAAGAGCGGGAAGAAGAGGGAGAAGGAAAAGAAAGGGGAAATGCTGGGGAGTGTACCAGGTATCACGTGGTCGGAGAGTTTGTGCTGTGATCACATGATCATCAGATACCAATCCGGGTGAGCAATAGACAGTAAGGCCTTCGTAGGCCTTCGAAAGGATAATGTACACTTCAGTTCATCGTTGGGGTGGACCAACCTCGCAGCCACATGTTCCTACCACTATAATGCCCTACCGCCATGGAAGAACAAACCTCAGCACATTACCGATCCTGACTGCAGAATCAAGCTGAGAAGGAGCTAATGTAGTACTTGCGCATCGTCAGCACCCTCTTTACCAGGCAAATGTTCATGTCTTCGACTTACTGTGAGGCACGGATCTCCCTCGTCGCCGTTTTCATCGGCGGGCAGGTAGACATATAGGACCAAGGCTCCTTCATTGATGAAACATGCAATGACCTTGTTACAGACTCGGCCGACGCTGAGGACCCTAGACCAATCCTTCGCATCAATCCGCACCCTGGACCATCCTGCCTCGTTCTCTCCATTCGGGCCCCCAAGTTCCTTCATTCTGGTGGTGGGGTGGTCCGTCAAGTCTGGAAAGTGTGCCGGATCGAGCTGGGGATGTGCAAGGCCCGTCCAACGGCTTGAGATATTCAGGGCATCTGTTTTGACCGAGATTTTGAGCGAGCCGTGCATATTAGCACTGAGTTCCAGACGAGGGCTGGCGGCGGAAGACCCCTTGGTTGTAGCAATTGCCAGTCGCGTGAAGCGTTCGGATATCGTCTTGACCTGAGCTAGAGGAGGAAGATAGATATTCACGTCAGGCTCCGGCGTTCGGGGTTGGTGGAGGCTCTCGACGGCTGCCATGGCTAGGACTTTGACTGGGATGTCTTGAGTGATGATTGTCTCTCGTTCACCTGTTCCAGCACTGTTGGCTTCGTGGAACGATAGATCTTCGTTATCATCACGGTCGAATTCTCCATTACCGCCTTGGCCCCCATGAATTGTGGCCCGGGCTACAACATTGTTCCCGCTGCTAAAGGTGTTGGTGACAATTGTCAACGAGAGGATGGGGACGTTATCTTTCTTGGTCAGCCTGATCTGTGTGGAGTTCGCCCCCAGCGCCGATCGAAGGGCCCGTGAAAGTGCTTGGATGGGAACTTCAAGGTTAATCGTGTTCCTTGGTGACGCAGACTGCAGGATGTATGTCTCGAAGATCATCTCGGGCCTCAAGACGGACCAGACTTGGCTCCCCTTGTCAGGGATGATGGTGAACTGAACGCCATCGTCGTCGAATCGGCACCAGGCAATCTGGCCCAGTGAGGCCAACGAGGCACAGAATTCTGGACAGCTATTAACGAGTCTGTGGCGCGCCGGAGTGGGTGTAAATGGCCTACTTGCTAGTAGATTCACATTTTTGATCTGGCTCTTGAAGCGCATCGCATTGTTCCTGACTGAGAGGACCGAACAGGAACGGTGAGTAAGAGTGGTAGTGAGATGAGGGAGGAGGGAAGGGAGAGGAGGGAGGTCTGTTCAATGTTTGGCCATGGTGATGAATTGGTTTAGCTTGAGGAACATGCAGAAGAAGCCTAGCCACGGGTTCCATGCGCCCCAAGGGCCCCAAGGAAGCGGAAAAGGCGCGTCCTTCCGGGTACGCGAACTGGCGAGCTGGATTCTCATCTCGCCTATCGAGGCAAGACAGGCATACCCTGGTTGGCGGCCAGGCGGCACGAACACTATCGGCATCATGCCCAGACATACACCAGGGGGGATTTCCTGGGGGAAGCAAGCAGCTTAGTTGGTGGCGATTGGGAACCTGTTTCATCCCAACCAGCATCAACATCCTCTCTTTCCTCTCCCAATCACTTCATCATGACTGTAATATCCTTCTGAACCCCCTGATCTGTCGCTGTTTTAATACGTCTTGCTGCCCGACTGCCTCCTTCAACGCGCCACCAATTATCCTGCGGCCTAGACAGTGTCTCGCATGTCCTCATACCACTGTCGCTCGTGAGCGGCGTTCGCAGCCATTCCAGCATGCTGCCAATTGGTTTTCCAGGAGGCTGGAACTCTTTGAGAAAGAAGCAAGCGTGCTTGCTGGCAAGATAGGTCGACAGCATTCGGGCATTCCTCTCTTGAGAAAAATGGCACCCACAACTCCCACTGCGCCGCATTTCCCTCGCTTGGATCCTCCCACGCCGTCTCGCTCTCCCTCTCGGTCCCCTCGGCGCAGAGCTCAATTCGCCATTAGAGAGCTCGATCCTCTCCTAGGAAATTTGACGCCGGACTCGACCCTGCGAGCGCTGCAGGCGACAGAAACTATTTCCGGTGGTGCTGCACAGGAAGACGCTTTGACCACCAGCATTGCGGATGCAACCCCGGCAGAGCGAGAAATCGGCATAAGAGCCGCTTTCGCCGCTCAGAAACTGCGGGAGTGGAAGAATGAACTGTCACAATGGACATGGCCAGGCAAGAAAGAGAGGGGATTTGGTCTAGGGTTCGTGCCTCCATCCAAAACAGGCGTCAAGCATGAGGAGTACCGTGGCTGTTTGCCCGCGTCTGTGGCGGAAGACTACGAGGCTAGAATAGAGGAGATTAGGGATGACCTCGACAGTTTGGGCATCGACGAGATCAAAGATCATGTGCTCGAAGCTCACCTGCCAGCAACGAGCCCGACAAATTCCTCCCGCCCCGTGGGCCCTCGTTCAAGCTACGGAAGGATGCGCGACTTCACTGCCCTGATCACTGCAACCGTCATCCAAGCACTCCCAGACCTGGCCAAAGTGAATATGTTGCTTGACACCTGGGACGTGCGGTTGAGAGTACTAAGAGATCTCCCGAGTTTTCTCGACGTTATGCAGTCCACGCAGGCCGAGATCCAGCAAGCATTCAATGAGATCAGGACGCCATTTTCTGCCCAAGCCCTGACTGACTCGTCTTTGGACGACCAGAAAATGGCACTGGGTGGACGGGTGTCTGACATGGGGCGTCGCGTTGATCTGTTTCTCGATCTGCTTGAAGGGCGCGAGGATTCTCTCCCACAGGCCTGGATCGATGTCCTCGAGAAGATCGAACTCGATTATGCAACTTGGGCGGTCGAGGCAGACCACGTTGTGCTCAGAAACAGGCTGGCATTAAAAAATGGCAAGGATACTGGAACTGAAAATAACAACGGAAGCCTGTGACAGCCGGAATTATCACACCAGAGAAATACATTGCCGGAGTCAGCAGGAGAGCCAGACGTTGCTCAGCCGCCTACAACAACTGATGCTTTACCTGAAGATACGGTTCCTGATATTCCTCCATCAGACAAGGAGGCGGTCAAAACAAAATGCAGACCTTCTCTGAAGCTCGATCTTACCGACCAAAAGGGCCACAAAAGAGAAGCATCGAAAGTCTCGGTCGCCGATTCCATGTACTCGGCGTTCTCAGACATCTCCAACGCGGAGATAATGGACGCCAGAACTACCAGTGTCCTTCCAAGTCCGAAGATCAGCGTTGTGGAGAATCCTTTTCCAACAAGCCGGGACGAGATTGCTTGGTTCGGGTCATCCTCTGCGGCTCAGCAACAGATGGCGTTGAAGCCGCCCATGCTCCAGAGAGCGTCGACCGCCTCCATAGAGGTCTTCCCGAAAGACAAATTGAAACAAGTTGTGCTCAGACGGGCTGCCAGTTGGGATATTCTTACACAGATGGCCGAGTCACCTGACAGCACGCCATCAAAAGCGCTGAAACAATTGACAGGCGCTCCAGATTCGACAGAGACTGCTACCCCAGCAGAAGTGGAAGCACATGAGCCTTCATCACCGCCCAGTGCAGTTTCAACGGCCCAACTTCCTCTCGTACTACCACCGTCCCTTCAAGTCGGCTCCGAGAGCATGCACTCAGGGCAAGAACCGCCTCCCCCAGTTTTACCTAGAAGGTCGAGCAAGCGCAGCAGCCCAGTCGACAGCTCTCCAATGACGCCAGTAGCAAACAAGGGGATCGAAGAGAGTGTACAAGGAGGGCGTCCCGAAACCCTGACGGCGGATGTGGGACAATCCCCGAGGCGACCCAAAACGAGGGAATCGCTTGACGACAGAATCCAAGACATCCTCACGAGCCTACCTACTAGAATCCGGTTGGCAAAAGATGCAGATGCTCAATCATCGTCCACTTCGTCAACTCGTGCCTCAACGCCCACTGCTTCGTTGACATTGTCACCAGCCAAAGCCGACCCGTCAAGCCGCAGAGGCAGCCTCGCTGATCCTGACATCAAATTGTATCATTTGACACGGTCTGGACAAGGCCGCGAAGCAACTCCGGTCAAGCTCTTTGTTCGAACCGTCGGAGATGGGGATCGTGTCATGGTTCGAGTTGGTGGGGGATGGGCGGATCTGGGAGAATACTTGCGAGAGTACAGCCTTCACCATGGAAGCCGGGCAACTGCCGATGGTCGACTTGAGGTTGCCAGCTTCCCTGGTAACGGGGTCAGAGACTCTGTGCCTTCGGCCAATGGAGCGTCAGCTTCTCAAGGACGGCGTAAATCAAGATCACCCACCGTCGCCCAGACGACGTTCGAGAGTACCCCTTCGGCTGAGCTCGTTAACCCCAAGACTCGGTCATCAGCCCAGCGACACCGTTCCCCTGAACGTCGCAAGAGCAGGGCTGACGGCACCTGGACACCGCCACCGGTGCCGCCCATCCCATCCTCGTATACCATCGGTTCTACGACGTTCACTACATCCACTAACCATGATACTGGTACTGTGGCAAGCATCGTCGACCCTGACGCGACACTGTCAAAGGATCAATCTCAACAGCCTCGACAAAATCCAGGGACTGTGCCCCTTCCAAGGTACTCAACTGTCACTAGCCCAGGCGGTGTAACGACGACAACGGTGGTAACTCCTCCATCCACAACAACCAATTATACTCCTCTTGGTGCTGCGGGGCCCAAAATGAACGTGCGACGAGCAGCTACGTATGCGACCACACCAGCCACTAGCAATGATGCATGGGTTCAGGGAATGGTCGGCAAAGCCCGGGCCGTCAGCGGTGGTGGCAGCTCTACCAGTGTGCAAGGCCCTAATGGCACCACGACGACAACGACCACCAACACCAGCACATTCACTTCCACGCCGCCAAGCACGGGCCGTCGGGCCTCGTCGTATTTCAGTTCCAGCCCGAGCTCCAACGCGAATTCGAGCCCCGTGACCATTTCCAGCAGCCCGAGCACGAGTTCCATTGCCAGTGACGCAAAGGCTTCACGGCGGACGAGTCTCACAGCGCGATCCAAGAGTGCCCGGATGAGTCTTGGGGATATTGGGGGAATCAAGAGGGTGTTTCTGAGAAAGAAATCGGAAGGGGCGAAGTAGCTCCGGTTGCCGTTCCAGGAGGAGAGGGCATTGGCGAACGGAGTTCCAGTGGCGTATGTTTCTGCCCAGATGAGAGGTTTCAGGTTTTTGGGGTGGCTGTAAAAATGGACCAAGGGGATCGGTACACAGTACAAAGTTACATGTCGGCTACACAATTGAGCGAGAGGCTACGAGGAGACAAGGCTCTGGGCATTTTGGACTGGGGAGCCCATTTTTGGGGGCTGTTGGCCGAAACAGCAAGGGCACCGGAGGGCAAAGAAGGGGACATTCCTATATATATCCTCATACACAGCTAGTAATGTTATCTTGTAATATTCTGTACCAAGTACCTGTTCCCCTAATGTGTGCCTAACATCCACAATCAGGCTGCGCTCAGCGACACACATTGGTTCGCTTGTGACGAACGAACGAGCGAGCGAACGAACGAACGAACGAACAATACCAGTGTAATACACGGTACCGAGTATTACCAGTTAATACTTTGGTCGGAGAATTGAGTTTTGTTAGCAGCGTCCTTTTGGAGATTAGCCGGAGTATTTATTACTGTACCCGTTCGTACCAACTCGGCAGCAGCCCATTGAAACCGTTTCGCTCCGGCGTTGCGTATCCAGAACGAACTCCACAGTAGTTGTCCAATGTCCAGTGTCCACTGGGCCCGCTACCAACAACGGAAATAAATGCAGACGCTAAGCGGCAGAGACAGAGAGAAAAGACAAGAGTCACTTTGAATGGTGCTACGTCGCATCGCGAGACCCTGTCCGTGCCTAGTTCCTGTGCTCGTGATTACTCGGTACTCGAAAGTAAGCGAGTTACACCGTCGCGGAACGTAAAGACGGGTGGATGGATGGATGCGTTTTCTCGAAGCGGCAATGAGCCCGGTTACTCGTCTGGTACTGCGAGGGAAATGATGAGGTAGAAGAGGGCGCTTAGCTCGAGGTGTAGTAGCCCCCGATACGGCCCTTTACGGCCTAAAAAGATGCATTCGAGGAAGTCTTGCGCCTGTACAGTAGATAGAAAGCTGTAGCCAAATTGACACACCGAGACCGGATTGATGATGATAAAGTTCCCATACAAACCAATCTCACATGCACACGTCGTTGAACAGGGCCGAACACCGCGCGCTCCGGACAATGTTCAACGTGTGGCCCTTGACCGACTCGAAGTCAGCCTCGTTGCCGGCCTGGCCGTCCCCGTCGCCCTCGTCCACCGGCGACAGGTAGCCGTGGTCTTTGGGCGGCTCGTAGTGGTGCATGAGCTGCGGGTTGACCACCAGACAGCGCAGCTCGCGCGAACGGCACCGGTGGGACAGGGCCACGTCAAAGGCCTCGTCGGCGCCGCGGGCGAGCAGGGACAGGATCTTCTGGGCCGAAGTCTTGGTCACGCCGTACGCAAAGGTGCACACCGTCATGGTCGAGATTTGGACCTGGCGATGCCCCTCGGGGAGGTGGTCGACCAGGAATTGCGTGGACCAGCTCGCATATTGCTCCGTGGCGATACGCGTGTCGTCGGCGTACTTCAGGCCCGGAGCCACCCAGTCGTCGATGGCTGCGCCGCAGTGGCCCAGCCAGAGGACGTCCCAGTCGGTACCGTACGGTGTCGGGTCACTGTCCGGGACCAGGGTGTAGCGGCGCATGTTGTCTGAAACCAGTTGAACTTGCTTCTTGATCCTCACGTCCCAATCGACGTCGTCCTCGACCACCAGAACCGTCTCGAAGCCCGCTGAAATGATGTACTTGAGCAGGTCGAGGTGAGCGACCCACGCCGCTGCGGACCCGTGCTTCGGGGTGGTGGCGCCGGAGTTGAGCCCCATATCCTCGAATGCATAAATGACATCTTCGGGATTGTGTGGTTGCGTAGGGATGGTGAAGTCGAGGCCGGAGAGATTGGCGGCCGCCTGCAGCCCTCGTGTGCGCCAGCTGTCTCTCGACGAAAGCACCAGCAGCTTCTCGAACTGTAGTCGACTGTTAGCAGGAGTGATCCAGGCATCCCAAAATTCCTCCAGAGATTCTCACTCCAAGTGTGCTGTTTGCCGCAGCTTGCCTAGGTCCACGGCCACGCTGTGGTGCGAAAAGATGTCCCAGGCCAATATGACTCGAGTATTCGTGTGGGAGGAGAGCGAAGAGAAAGATGATGACGAGAAACGCTGGGAGAATCCGTAATCGGTCTGTCCCGAAGATTCTCATCCAGCTGAACTGTTGGAACATTGTACAAACCTGGAGGGTGTCGAGCACGTTGGAGCAAACCTGCCAGTCGCCATCGCGAGCTATATTTGTTTAGAATGTATTACCAAAGCACGGTATGGTGTCGTATCAAGGCATCCATATGTCTGGTGTTAGCTGGAGGATCCACGAACAAGCAGTCGTCTCCCCTTCCCGTGAAAAATCACCTGGTACCTCCCCACTATCCATCGGACTGGCTCGGGGCCGTGAGTGAGACAGGGCAATCTTTGGGCGTACGAGTCCCCCGCACGTTTCAGATAGATAATCTGGTGCTGGAAGATGAAATGGTTGAAGTTGCCAGTATTTATTATTCCTGGCAACGGTCGGGATGTTCTGCGCCGAGCTCGTGCTGGCCAAACTTGCCTTGGAATGCTCGAACCCTGCTCGAGATAAGAGCGAGCGCGCTGTATCCTCATATGCGGGCGGTGTTGGAAGAATTTGGCATTTCTCCAGAGACGGGATGTCGCCAAGGTCAATTTCGGCTTCGCCACTCGCCTTACATTGATATTTAGTTGCAGGTGTTAAGAAGCCTAGTACCAGAACGGGAATGTTTCTCGGCCTCGGGGAGTTATTGGCGACATTTCTGTAAGGCGATCTAAGTCCTGGTGGTCAGTAACGCTGGTATGGGGATCGATGCAACTTAGGCCGGTTCACCGCCGGACCAATGGCCACGATCAGGTGGGAACGGTCTTTGGGGAGCCAGTCCCCCGTATCAGTAATGCAATAACCTACCAATAGATAGCACTGTTCACCGACATGGTCTGTTTGATCTGGGGGTATTCACGGCGTTGAGCAGGTGTCCGACCAAAGAACGGGTCCACAGGGTCTTCTGATGCAAGGCTGGCGAGAATAAACAACGTCCAAGTGAGAGCAGAGAAATAGCCATTGTGGTTCACGACACGAAACTGCTGCATGAAAAGTTCTTGACCTGGATGAATGAAAAGGACAGAGATATCGAAGATGAGGTGCATGTTCTGGATACAAAGTGTTTGGTTGGTTGACCTTTAGTGATACATAACGCAGCCTGGTGCTAGGCATGAACCAGCTTTGACCAGCGACGACTTCCGATCAGATCCAGACTGTTCATTTTTTGGGTTTAACCTGAGCGTCTGTCAGTCCATACATGTAGAACCTCAACAAAAGGGACCTGAAGCAGCTGCAAGAACGTACGTTGTGCTCTGGATTCGACGGCTGGGTGCTGCCAGGCTGGGTTGGCGCCGGGGGTTTGAACTTCTCGGCTCTTGACGGCCTTTGTCAGTACGGTGTATTGTTCGAGGGACATATAGAGCTATTTCTCGAGCCTCGATGATTCCTCAGAGATCCCATCGTCGGCAAGCCTGATGCAGCAGTGGATGAGACGCAACCTACTCCTTGCGGCGAATGTAGTCAGCTTCGAGGGCCTTCTCGCGCTCATTAAACTTTGGCATGCCCTCCATTGTCGATTAGGGGTTTCTTGACTTCACGTAGCTTTGGGAGTGGGAGTGTTCAATTGGTCGATTGAGACTGGAAAATAGAAAAGAATCATGAGGCTTGTAGACAGTTAACTCGCAGCAGATGAAGGCTGCCACTTTGTTGGCTAATTCTCGTGACGTCATACTGCGAGTGACTCCGGCATACTTTCCCATATATGGGACCCACCGAGAAAAACACGCAAATATGTTTTGTAAACAACAAAAATCGTCATAATTCCAGCGTTGGTGGTGTAATGGTAACATTAGGGCCTTCCATTAGAGACAGCTCTAGCCCCGGGTTCGATGTAAGTTGAAGTGAAGTCAGAGACATCAACACAGTTATCTAACAGTCACATCAGTCCCGGCTGACGCAACGCGATCACTTTCTTTTTGTTTTTCCTTCTTTTTTTCCCTCGGGAAATCCACATCCGTCTGCGTGTCTTATAAACACATTGAGATACTTTTGTTAAAGTCCCCATGCACGGAGTACTCGTCCAAAGTGAAAGTCACCTTCGAAGCCCATACCATGCACGCTGAGCCCCATTGCTATCGCTTTTCTTTCGCACAGTGGCTATTTGGATATTGACTGAACATAATTGCAAAGCTATGGTCCACCGCTTAAGAGTGTTCAATCATTGGCTTCTATGGACCACATTTCTATCAGAACAATACCCTCCCCCCATGCACGAACACGGCCATTACTCCCAAATAGACTATCCAACTAGCCTCACTCTAGCAATTCTTCAGGCGTTGTAAATATATCTAATCTTTTTGCCTCTTATTGGTAACACGAGTTGTTCCCTTTCAGGTCAGGTGTGGCTATTGCTTGATCGGAGCGAATTTCCAGTGAGCCACGCCTGACCCATATGGAAGAGGCAGCAGCGGTTGTAAGTAAGTATACACCTCACTCGCGTTTTTGTCCCAACCGTTGATGCACCCATTTCTTGTAGACCCTCATCTGCCTTGCCTCGATGGCCTGCACGATCAATAGTGCCAGCACGAGCCACACGCCGTGCCGCCAGGGCCGCCAGCCCCGTCCGATCATATGGAAGCCCACTTGCACGCTGGACGTCTTGGCCGCCGCGGCCAGTGGCTTGGGCAGGATCCGACTGCGACTCGAGAGGGTTGGCGCGGGATCTTCGCCACGAGCCCACCGGTTGGGCAAGTCGGGGATGAGGCCCAGCGCCGTGCCCACGCCCGCGATGAGGCGCGTGCCCGTGCCGACCACGTCGTCCACGATGGCTCGGCGCGAGATCCCCCCCGTGACCATGAGGGGCATCTGGGCGATGTCTTTGAGCTGCGCGGCCACGTGCAGAAAGTACGCTTCGCGTCGGCTGCTTGTCGAGGCCACGCCTGTGGCCATGACCGGCGACTCGTAGCTGCCGCCGGAAATCTCGAGCAGATCGAGCTGGTAGCTGTTCAACTGCCGGGCGACCCAGAACAGGTCGTCCACATCGAAGCCGCCTCGCTGGAAGTCAGCCGTGTTGATCTTGACGCCAACGCCGAATTGCGGCGAGACCCTAGCCCGCACGGATCGGACCACCTCGAACAGCAGCCGCGCGCGATTTTCAAGCGAGCCGCCCCACTGGTCGGTCCGCTTGTTTGAGAGGGGCGACAGGAACTGCGAGATCAGGTAGCCGTGAGCGGCGTGGATCTCGACGCCGTCGACGCCGAGTTGTTCAGCCTTCGTGGCGGCCCACGTGAACCGGTTGATGACGTCGTGGATCTGCTCGTCGGTCATGGCGATGGGCGTGTCGAACCTGTTGCTGAGGGACCCCATTTCCAGTCTCACGGCGGACGGCGCGTAGACGGGGAGCCCGGCGCCCTTTTTGATCTGTCGTCCGGGGTGATTGAGCTGGAACCAGAACTGCGCCCCTCCGCCGCGTGTCGCCTGGATCCACTCGCGCCAACGGCTTTCGTCGAGGGGTCCGACATCCGGGGCGAGAAGCACGTCGCCAGGCGACGACAGGGCGGTGGGGTCGATCATGATGTTCCCGCTCAGGATCAAGCCCGCACCCCCCTGGCCCCAGGTCGTGTACAGTTTCAGAAGTCCCGGAGACGGTTGGCAGTGCCTCTGGACATCAGACATCTTCTCTTCCATGGCCGCTTTGCCGATTCGATTCTTGAGCCATGTTCCATTGGGCAGGAGCAGCGGCTCAAAAGCCCTCGAGGCCATCGAGCTCTGTGAGAGGCTGGGGTGGGCTGGTCAAAAGGATCTTCTGAGAATGGTGGGTTGCTCCAGAGTATCAGGCCGTGAGATCAGTGCTGTGATCAGGTCTGTTTCGTATGGGACTGTCACCACTGTCTCAAAGATAACATTCGTGTCCAGGAGCTATGCCAATATATTCTCTCGACATGCTCCAGGCGTCACGGGAAGCAATTGGCCCGATCGGGACATTGTTGCTCCTTGCTTGATGCCAGAGCCTCGGCAGCGTATAGACGCACGTGAAATAACTGGAAGAGCCTGTGGCCAGGTGTGAAGCACCGAGAGTTGCAGGGGAAAGACGCGCGCCCTGTGATATCAGATGGTCGATACATGCTCTCGTAGTCGGGCAGCAGTATCCGAGGAGTGATCTTGCCTGTCGGTATGGGCGTCGGCAGGAATGAGTTTGTTGACCAATCTCGTGCAAAACACTTAACAATTCAAAGCGACGGAGCATACGTGGTCAAATGGAATTTTCGAGTTATTGCTATTCATTACTACCTCAAACTCACAACCGCTCTGTACGCTAATAATCAGTCCGTACCGAAGTACGTTTTAGAAAATAGTCTAACCTATATAGGACTAGCGTCCACGGTCGCGCAATTTAGTACAGGGCTGTACGGAAATAAAATAGATATGGGTAAGTATGCCGACGTCAACCTCTTGTATCATATTGTGCAACGACATGGCATGATAGAAGGGCCCAGTTGGAAGTTTCACATCAAAGGGACCGACCATATCTGATTTCCCTCCTAATTCAACTAACCTCTATGGAAAAAGCACCACTTCTCTTCCTTGGGGGGGTCAACCCACTGCCTAGGAAGGAGGCGAGGCGGGACCGAAATGCGGGACGCCATTATCATCGACACGGGCAATGACACAGCTCTCTCTCTCTCTCTCTCTCTCCACCTATCTCTCCTGGGGTCTGTTTTGTGGGAAATGTGCTGAAGCCTGGGATGGGCTGGGGTCGGACTTATCTTTGTGCAAGTAGCGATTAGTCAACACCACGTCAAGATCAAAGAAGTCTCGAGAAAGAGGGAATGCCACTGGAGAGGTGTCCAAGCCAATGAGAGCCCCCTCGAACGAGGCCGAGGTTCGTACTGTTGATGTGCGGAATCGGAAGGGGTAGCGTTAATACGACTTCTTTTCATGTCAAGCAGCAATCATGAATCCATCCCCTTCCAATCCCCTCGAAGGTAGCGATATGTCTCGAATGACCAGTCAGCCACCCAGGTTGGTCCTGGAATCATGAGATGCCATAGCCTCCATACCTGTGCCTCGCAGCATCTGAACCCTTTCCCACTCGCCCCTTGACTGTTGATGAGACATCTCTTGTCTTCCCAGCTGGAACACCTTCGAGTCTGCGTGCCTTTCGAGTGCTGCCCATGCCATGCCTGATCCTGCACACTGTCATCCACTTGCCCTAGAAAGCTTGGATCGTATCGAGATCAGCCGCTTCGCACGGTACTTGAGTCTACACTCAGATCCGACCGTTGCTGGCAGCGACGACACCTCCATATTCGTGGGCAGTTCTTCGTCGGTTGTCCTCGGCTCATCACTCTCCAACAATTGCCCAAGAATCACCACTCTTTACTTCGATTTCGTAATACCATATCCAGCCAAGTAGATCGAGCTCTTGGACGACGATAAATCTACCTTTGGATTGAATATCCTCGTCGACAATGCGTGCTACTTCTCGCTGCAGTGCACATTGTCAAGTCGAAGGCAACAATGGACAGTTTAGTGTAAAATTGAAGCAAAGGTGCGAAGAACTAGGCTATCTCCGTCGCTAAGGGCTTCAGCCAGATACATACATATATATATATATACATATACAACAGGCATATACAAGGATCTATACGAAAGAAACATGGTGAAAATATACGTTACTTGAACTGATCTGCCTTGCCTGTGAAGTCAATCACCGCCATTCTATTTCCCAATGGCCCTTGTACTTGTAATATGTGCGTGCCCTCGCCATCATCGTCAAAATCCCTTCAACTGAATGTCATTGTCATCTCAAAATCACTTTTAACAGACACCCAACGCCCTGATGCAAGGAATGCACCTGACGGCCTCAGGAGTATCCTCCAGAAACAGACAATCCTTCCGCTCTCATGAAGGAGGAGGCCCTTTGCCTTGCCCCTGGTGCTGATCCAGTAATAGATGGGGCTTGATGAAATCCTCGTCCAACTGGCGGAACCAAGCAGTGTGATCCGCCGCTGCCCCCCGTAATAGATTCCTTATCGAATTACTTGCTCCCGCCAGCGGCGTTGACGCTCTTTCTGGTTGGGTAGCTGCTGTGCCCATGTCTCCTTGGTCGACCCCTAGGGGATCACTGTCTCCGTTGTTGAGGATAATATCAGGGGCCGAGCGGACGCGCGTGTCGTGAGCCCCGGGTGGGAGCGACAAGGGGGACTGCTTCCTTCGTGGTGCAGCGGGAGGGAGGTCGAGATCGACGGCATCTTCGTCGTCATCGGATGTCGAGCCGCTGGTGCTACCGATGCCAGACAGAAGTTTTCCTTGCTGAGCGGCAATTTCACGGTCACGCTGAGAGATGGCCGAGTTTTTGCGCTTGCTTCCGGGGTGAAGTGGCGGAGATCGACCATTGCTGCTGCTGTAGCCTCTGTCGTTTTGAGCGTGTGAGGCTGAGCCGTTTGCTTTGCCTTCGCGGTTGTCGCCCACGTAGTCCAGACCAATCGTTGCCGAGGCGCGGGGATTGTGACCAAAGCCAGTGCCTGATCGCTTGTAGTATGTGCCACCATTGGCGGTCTCAATGTCGAATTCATCGTCCGAGTCGATCTCCTCCACCACCCCCGTCCGGATGCCCAGAATCTCCAGCATACGTGCCGTTGTCCCACCGAAAATGATGACTGTCAACACCACCACGACGAGGACGGTGGCACGGAGTGCAGGACCTTCATTGCCCTGGAGCCCAGCGGCCAAGGCCACGCCGACGGCGCCTCGTAGACCAGCCCAGAACAACATGACTTGATAGTGCCACGGAAGTTCTTCTGCCACGTCGCGACCCCGGCGTTTAGCCCGAAGTCGAATGATATAGTTGATTGCCCTGGAAAGGGGGAATACTGCCAGCCACCGGGCGCCACAGATGCCGACGACTGTCACAAGGATAAACAGCGGCTTGAAAACCAAGTCAGTCTCAGTGAATAGTGTGAGACCAAGGTAAATGAAGATGAAGTTCTCCGACAGCTGGGCAGTGATCTGAAAGACAAATTTCGTGGTAAGTTGAGTCCGTCGGGACATGTTGTAGTATGCGTAATGCTTGAGGGTGATCCCACAGAACAAGAGTGACACAATACCTGGCGGATAAACTCAGTGCACCGCCCGAAGATTGAGAATGGGGCAATAGGACATACCAGACATGTGAACGCCATTGGAGAAGAAGTAGCTTGCATATGCGATCAATACGATCAGACAGCTCTCAATCTTAGGAAATCGGCGAACCAGCGTATACTTCAGGGCAAGGGCAGTCCCGATGCCCACCACCACCCCAATCACCAAACTCGTGAAGAAGACGAGTAAAAAGATGCCAATGGCCTCGAACAAGCTGATGATATTCAAGTTCCCCGCAGCCCCTTCCCGGTATCGCTGGGCCGTCTCAAACAGGACAATGGCAATGGCGTCATTGAGAATGGATTCGCCAAAGATGACCGTATACAGTTTGGGTTCCACTTTGTATAAGTTGAAGATTGCGAGGATGGTGACGGGGTCGGTAGCAGAGAGGGTTGCGCCGACGGAAATAGCTTCGACCCAGGTGATGGTCAGCCCGTCAAAGGGGATTCGCGTCCACAACCACAGTATCAGCCCCAAGGACACGGCGGAAATAAAGGTGCCAGCGAATGCAAAGGTCAGGATCGTGCCGATGTTGCGGAAGAAGTTTGCCTATGATCCCTTAGTTGCTGTCCGACATGGGGCGCAAATCCTGGAGAGCCCTACCTGATGTAGTTCGTAGCCGGAGGCGAGAATGATGGGCGGGAGAAGGAGGTTGAAGAAGAATTGGTAGTCGAAACTGACGGTGTCTTGAATCGCAGTGCCAGGAGTGATGCGTATGACCAGTCCCACGACCATGCCTGTCCCCCTACGGTCAGAGGTGCACCATGATGTCCAGCAACGGGTAAAATACCAGCAAATATAGATATGACAGTTTCATGCACGGCCTGTATTCTCTTCTGCTGCAGGATATAGCTCGTGAACAGGGCCGCAATGAGCAGCATGATCAGAATGAAGAGTGCCCATGACGAGAAGATCTCTTTCTGGCCAGCTTCGGGGGGGTCTGTCTCGAGGATCAATTAGCGACGGATCCAAAGGCCATCGTGAGCCACGAAGCGCATGCAGCGTACCGTCTGGGTCGACGTCTTCAACCTGGCGACCTGTGTCCCGAGAGTCAGTGTCATGTTTCGCAGAGGGGCCGAAGGGGAGGGGGAATGCGTTACGGAGAAGATTTAACGTTGCGCCCACCAGTGTCGACGCCATGTTGGCGGAGATGTCAAACCAGGTATCATTCGAGAAGGCGCAGCCAAGGCGCAAGCATGGCAAGACGACGAAGACCGTGTGCAGTGATGGGTCGAGCAGGGACGGAAAGGGTATATTGCATTGACAAGCAAGCAGGGAAAAGAGTAGGCGGCGTCGGAATATGTGGTTGGAGACGGGCGCAGCGCAGGTGGATATTATGCCACATATTATTGCACCAACTCCTCCTCCTCCACCTCCTCCTACTACGATGGAGTATATATGTAGGTATATCCACTGCCAGAACAAGTGGTTACCCTCCTCTCCACACGCTCCTTTTCCTTCCGACCCATTGGCCGAATGGCCTCTGGATGCCTTCATTCAAGCCGTTGGTGCCACCGTGCCGTCCTCGCCGAACTCCTAAAGGGATCGTCCCTCTCCTTTTCTCTGCACCCCCTGAGATGTTTGAGTAATATAATATCGAGTAGCTCGTACTCGAAATAGTATATCCGAATGCCGGCTCAGGTATTTCCATTGTACAAACAATACTAGTATTCTCACAGCTATACCGAGAGAACCGGGGACTAAATCTCTGGAGCGAAACGAAGGCCTTTTCTCGTGATGCAGTCTTCCTCGCTGCTCCTCCATCCCAAAGCAATGTATGCAATCCAAACTAATCCCTGCTGCTGAGAAACCATCGAACTGGATTACCCCACAACCTCTCCGGTCCAGATGCAAGCGCTGATCCAATCCACCCCGCGACCGCTTTTCTCGTCTTCGGTTTATCTCGTTATGATGGTACAGTAAGACATCCATCCATCTATCATTCCGCTCCGCTCGCTGCTCCGCTGGTAGTACCATTAGTCGCAACCCCATTACTGCTGGAGCCCAATGTTAGTCTCAGCTTTGTCCCGCCAGCTGGTGCCACGGATGCTCGAGGCGTTCCCGCAGCAGAGCCGGCTGCAGTGGAATCGCCGTCTGCAAACCCTCGATCTCCGAGGATCGGGTTTTCTGCAATGTATTTGGCTACCATCTCGTTGCAGTGGTTCTGTCATAGGTTGTTAGTTTAAGCATGTCAGATCACAGAGAGGGGCGAAGCCTTACCTCAATGGCAATTGCATCGTTGTACAGCATACTACCGTCCTCGTTGTACGTCTTGGCGTTCTTCGCCAGGAGCGCAATATCACTCTGAAATTCCTTGAGGCTGGTATATTGGTGGCTGTTGATACGTTTCTCAATAATGTCCATGGCAATGGGTTCCGTGATGAAGCTGTAATAATCCGGATATACTTTCTTCGGCGGCAGCTCGAGGAACGGTCCGATGATCAATCTGGTGGGCGGTTCGTCGTCGCTCTCATCCTCAGATTGCTGCTCCGACTCCGAGTCCGGTACCTCGAGGGCCTTGATAGACGCAAACACAGCCTTGAGAGCTTTTTGGAGGGCTGACCGCTCCGAACTGCTCAGCGAGTCGACAGCAGGCTTGTTGCCTTGCTTCCCTCTCTTCCGCTTGGTTGCTGGTGTCTCCTCCTCAATCTCCTCGGCTTTGCGCTTCTGTCCCGCTGACTTCCGTCCAGGGCCCTTCTTCTTCGGGGGAGGCTCCTCTTCAGAGCTCTCCTGTTCCGGCTCCGGCGACGATGCACCGCCAGCGGCTTCGCGCTCGCGTTTGAGTTTGTTGGTGCGTCTCTTCTCAATCCGCGCCTGTTTGCGTTTGGCCGCCTCACCAATCGAATCGTCTGAATCGTCAACTGCGGCAAGCCATTGTTCTTCAGTAAGACCGTCGTCATATTTGACTTGTGTTTTGACACGGGCACCGCGACCAGTGTACTCTTCGACTTCTTCTTGAACCGGATTGTCTTCAGCCACGTAGATGTCGGGCAGCTCGCTCTCTTCCATCAAACGTGCAAGGGGTCGCCCGGGCCCATACTGGTCGGTCTCTTCACGGTCCTTGTCCATTTTCTTGAACAAGACCAACTCATCTTCCGTGCGAGCCATGATCTCGTTCAGGTCGTCGTCGTCCATTTCCTCCGAATCCCCCACTTGTTCCGCGGCTTCTGCAGCTTCAAGCAAGGTCTTGAGGAACGCCTCTCGCTCTTCGTTGGTGGATTTGTTGTCAAATTTACCGGCCTGGATGACCTTGCCGTCCATGTCAAGCTTGAATTGAGCGCGTTCCAGAATCTTCTCCTCCACGGAGTTCGAGCTGATGAGACGCAGAATGCGCACTTCATTCTTCTGTCCAATACGATGAGCACGGTCCTGGGCCTGCAAGTCCTGGTGAGGGTTCCAGTCTGAGTCATAGATGATGACGGTATCTGCTGTTTGAAGATTCAAGCCTAGACCACCTGCGCGTGTAGACAACAGAAAGCAGAAGTACGGTGATCCTGGTTCATTGAATACCCGCAGCAGTTCAGATCGATCTTCAGCTTTGGTGGCACCGTCAAGTCGGAGATATTGTATGCCGCGGTACCGCAAGAAATCCTCCATGATGTTCATGATCTGAGTCATCTGGAAGAACATCAACACACGATGGCCGGTGGCGCGGAACTTGGGCAGGATCCTGTCGAGAAGCTCAAATTTACCAGATGTTCTCCAGATGGAATCGTTCGTCCCTCTGCCGGGATTCATCTGGTCTTCCACCGGTTCAAAGACATAAGGGTGATTACACAGTTTCCTCAGCTGCATCAACATGTTGCTGAGACCGCGCATGCTGGTCTTGCCACCCTTGCCATCAGCTACAGCCAGTCGGTTGTGCGTCATCAATTGCATATAAAGCTTGGTCTGGAGAGCCGAGAAGCGACATTTGATGACTCGTTCTTGCTTGTCAGGAAGGTCCTTCTCCACGTCTTTCTTGAGACGACGGAGCAAGAAAGGCCGCAAGACCTTGTGCAGGCGGCGAATAATCAGAAGCTGCTCTTCCTCGCTCAGCTCCATCTTGTCTTGTCCGCCGGTGTTTGCAAATGGAGTGTTGAACCATTCGTCGAAAGACTTGACTGATTTGAAGATCGTGGGCAACACGAAATTGAGCAAGGCCCACAATTCGGGCAAGTTGTTTTGCAACGGAGTACCGGTCAAGATCAATCGGTATCTCGTGGTGTAGTACTGAGTGATGGTGCTGCTCAACTTCGACTGGGAGTTCTTCATACGGTGACCTTCGTCAACGATCATGTGCACCCATTTGATCTTGCTCAACACAGGGCGGTCTTTGATGACATATTCGTACGTGGTTAGCAAGACCTGGAAATTACCTTGTCGAATCCTCATTTGTTGCTGCTTCCTGCTGTTTGGCGGGCCTTTGTACACGATGCGACTGACAGAGGGGGCCCATTTCTCAAATTCCAAGTTCCAGTTGGTGAGGGTGCTGAGAGGTACAATAACCAAAAATGGCCCGGTTTGGCGCTTCTTCTCGATCAGGTAGGTGATCAAACTGATGGTTTGGATAGTCTTTCCCAGACCCATTTCGTCGGCCAAGATACCGTTCAGATTGTTGTTGAACAGTGAAATCATCCACTGCAAACCTTTGAGCTGGTACTCTTTCAAAGTGCCTCCTACCAGGATTGACGGTTGGACGTTGACCTCTTCCTTGATTCGATGAGCGACGGCATAGTAATCCACCTTGCCACGTCCTTCCTCATCTTCCGAGTCGCCCTCCTCTTCATCCTCCTCGTCCAAATACTTGTCTTCGCCCCATTTCTCTGCTGCACTTCTTTGTTGTTGTCTGACAGAGGCAGCCAGCTGCTTCAAGAAACCATCCGTCTGCTTGAGAAGGTGTGTAATGCGAGAATCTTTGGCCTGGCCGAGGAGCTTCAGGTATGTCTCTTCGTCGTTGGCCCTCAATGCCTGCAGACGCTGCTTCGCGGTTCGTTCGATGCGCTTCTGTTCTTCACGCTCCATGTGCTGATGATGAGTAACCATCATACGACCAAGCTTCTGAATGCGCGAGCGTTGACCGAGGGCATTATTCTTGATATCTTGGGCGTGAGAGACAATGGACTGCAAGTGGTTCGTTTGTCGAGTCCTTTCCTTGTTCTCTCTGGCATCGCGTTGCTGTTTCTCGAGTTTCTCAGTGATGCGTGCCTCACGGAGTGACTGCTTCTTCATCCGACGGTGCATTGATCGGTTAGCTGACATTGCCAGGTTGTCGTAATAAAAAAGTTCCTGCTGGATTTCGCGGCGGAAGTCTCGCTGTTTCTGGAGCAAACACAGCTTCTTGTACTCGATTAATGCTTTGACTTTAAGAGAATCATCAGCGACGGGTTCGACAGATTTACTAGTATCCCAAGCCGCGATGTTGACAGGGAGTGCTGCCAACTCAGCCTTTCGAGCTTGGATACGGTTGTACAGCAGTCGTTCTTGCTCTTCTCGAACTTGATCTGTGTCGAGGCCAATAGGCAGGATGCTTGGGATTTTCTGGCGCTTGGATCGCTGAGCATGATCTGCGAAACTGATCGCCTTGAAGAGAAGGTCGTACGGCGACTGATACGTTTCGAAGAAAGATTTCGGTCGAGCAACTTCGGTCGAAACACCGTCCTCCTTCGCCTCAACAGCACCGTCTGCCACTTTATCACCGGAAGGGACGCCATCCGTCGGCGCGGCAGTCGGTTGCTTCAGGGAGGGGAAGAGTTGCTGCTGTATTCTAGGATGCAAAGGCTGATGCTTTGACAGGGTCTTAAAAGCGTAGATTTGGGTTCTCAATAAGTTGAGCTGTTCCGCTGTGAAGCTGCCGCTCGACTGGGTAGGAGCGCGCTGCGCTTGTGCACCCACAGCTTGTTCTGAGTTGGGTCCGGGGGTAGCGCTCGGCGTGGAGGAGGTCGCTCCGTTGACCACCGCGCCTGCTGAGTCTTGTTGTTGACCATTGCTGGTCCCATTTGTGGTCGGCGGGTTGGCATTTCCATTGACCTGTAGTCCGGGATGTTGGCTCAACTGTGGTTGCGACTGGTGTTGGGCTTTTTGGGCAGCCTGCATTTGCTGGGCCTGGAGTTGTGCCTGCTTTTGAGCCTGCAACTTGCGGTAATTCTGCTGTTGCTGGACAGCAGTGAGAAATCGATAAGCCTTCAAGTACTCAGGATCGTTTTCGGGGACATTTTGGGCCTTCATGCGCTGGAATTTCTGTTCCCTGTGTCAGCATTCGGTTCCAGTGAAAGAGTATCACGATGGACGTGGAAAGGCGTCTTTGCGATGCCGACATACCTGATAAACTTCCTGCACCTGGGCTTGGGAAAGATTGGGCGGGAGTGAGGGGACATTGGCCTGCATTGCAGGCGCAGACTGAACGGAAGTCATGGTGACTTCTGAACCGACCCCGGGGAAAATTGCAACGCTAGGTGGCTGCAGGTCAAGGCGAACGTGGACAGGGCCTATCTGAGCATCTAATCACGGTGGGCGCCGTTGTTGTCGGTCGTCAAGGGAAGCACAGGACTGGCGCAACCTCGTGAAGGCGGATGGACGTGGCGCAGAGGGCCGATGGGGAGGATTCGCTGAGGTGTAGCAGTCTGGGTGAGGCGAGGTCGGGGCGGTTGAGGAGAGGGTGCCTGATTAAAGAGGGGACGAAGAGTCGCCAACCGGGTTCGGGCGCACTCCTCAAGTGGTACTGCGAGTTGCCAGTGATCAGTTGAGATGAAAAGAGATGGATGCGACGCGTTGATTGATGATTTTCCCGGCCGAGGGGCCTTCACGTTCTTTGGGGGGGAGCGCAACGGAGAACAGATGTGACCCCCAAACGAGGTCTGGCAAGTAGGTAGTTTGCCAAGTGGGCGGCAAATTTAGGGTCTTACTCTGTCCATGTCATCACGTGATAACCAGCTCACGTGATGATGGGAGTACGCGTCGAGGCGTCCCCCAACAGATAGACCTTGGGCGAACAGGGGGCATATACGGTTCGGAATATTTGACAGCCTCGAGGCAGATAACGAAAGACCGATGTGCTTGCAAATTCAATCACTGTATATGTATGTCATACAACGCCCGCTGGAATAATGCATATGATATTCTCGGGCCTGGGTCTAATCCTCGGTGTCTCGGTGTCTCTCTGTCTCTCTGGGGTGACCAGCGCCAGACTCCTTCTATCAATCCAGGCAGCCTTTATCATGTCCTCCGTACACCATCGTTCATGTGAGAACGGTTCTCTTTGCCGGGACAGGAGGAGGTGGGGGCTTCTTTGAGCGTGACGGAGGAGGTGGAGGCGGCACAGCACTCTTCTTGCCGCTTAGGAGGGTCACTGATTCACTGCCATGGGATGTTGCAGGAGACACAGATTGATCCCCGTAACCGCGGTCAGAACCACTGTTTGTGGATTCATCTGCAAAGATGTCCTGTTCATCTACACTTCGGAGTTGCGATCGGGCCGTTCGAATCATTAAAGAGTCGCTGGGGATGCGTGTCATGCCAGGCCTGGTGGCCGGGGACAGATCCCTGGCTGTATGGGAGTCATTGTACGTCGTGGCTCTGGCGTAGATCGGGCGTGCTGGCGAATATTCTGAAGTCGGCTGGTCAGCGAAACGCCCACTCCGATTCGACTTGATGGTCGGGCGCGCTTCGACCACTGCCGGTGTTTCTTCCGCGGGCTCAACAGTCTGAGTATATGACCGGACAGTGTTTGATCGTGACCGAGGATTGGGACGGCCACTACGGTTTGACAGTTGGGCCCTGCGCAGAATAGAGTTAGATCCGACCTTGTATTGGAGGAGGAGACGGCCTACCTGGCAGGCCACTGGCTCCTCAGTTGCAACAGTGCTTCTCTGCATTGATCGTGATACGCCAGTTCCGCGTCAAGGAACGCCGCAAGGTCCGCCACGCTCTCTGGGTCTGAGTCGCGGATTTCCTCCATCCGGCGCTGCACATCGTCGGCTGATTCTTCATATTTGGCCTTCTGAGTCCGCAGTTCCTCTTCGACGCGGAAATCCTCCTTCTTGGCCTTCTGCATCTTCGCCAGCGACGTATCATAAGCCAGTCGGCGCGTCTCAAGTCGTTTGCGGGCGGCCTGATATTCCTTCAGTTGGACCAAAGACCTTTCGAGAGACTCCAGCCAGGACGTGGTGGCGTTTGTGATGTAGGTCTCTTGTGTGCGCGCCAACCGTTCCTGTGTCCGGCCAAACACTGGGGAAATCAGCATACAGTTTTCCTTGCGACATGGCTATACCCACTGTTGAGACACTGGCCGTATTCTGAATCCGTCTCAAAGTCTTCACCGTGGGAAATCATGGTCCCGCCCATGTAAGCGATCGGAAGTGTTTTCTCCTTGCCCTCCACCTCGGATCGCTTGGAGATGGCTTTAATGTAGGCATTCATCGATCGCTGCATTTTCTCGAGGCCTGCAATCATCGCGATTAGCACCCATGTGCCTGGGGTTGTTCAGCAGGAGTGTGGCACGCACCCTCCTGACGGAGGCCCATCTCCAGCTCCAGGGCCTTGAAGTCGTCGGACACATTGGTCTTGACTTCGCCGCCCATCCGCTCTCCTGCCCATTGTTTAAACCGATCGAGTTTCTTGTTGACATTCATGGTTGGAAACGGCCGGTGACGGTGCTCGTGGGAGAGTCGTGGAGGGGTGCGAGAGGAGATTATAATAGCGAGTGAGAATGATGATGTTGGGGGGATCGATAAGAGAAGGTGCTACGTTGCGCTGTCTGTGTTTCGGTGGTGAGCAACGGAGGGATCGGATCGGACAGGACAGCGCGGTGTGGTCTAGTCTTGCAACTGGAATGCTGATGAGCAAGGGGGACGAAACAAAGTCTGGCGAGCAGCGTAGAGTAAATGAGGTCAGAATATAGAGGGAGAATAAACGACTGACTGCGCTTACAGCGTGGAACAAGAATCAGGCCCGGTGAGTGAATACTGGAGGATGAATTAAATCCCTGCCGTCCTCGTCTCGTCTCGTCTCGTCTCGGTGCCAATAATAATTAATGCAGCGACGCGCAAACCATGTGTTTCTGGCTCATAGAGTTCCGGGACCCCTTCAACTCTCTCAGTCCCCTCGCGGTTCAGGTGACAGAAAAGCCCAGAGCAGCCCAGAGCCAGTGGTTCCCAACAGCTGCCCCTGACTTCAAACTCTTCTGCGGGGGATTCGCCGTATGTGCCTCTGAAACAGTGCGCCACCAACTGAAATCATCGCTTGGCTTATCTACTCGAGGGCAAGAAAAGGCACACGTCCATGGTTCTAGCTATTCTCGCTGGGGGGCACAATTGCGGCATAATTTTAGTCGTCCCTAACCACGCCTGCTACCACGAGGAGCAGTATATCCTCGGGCCTTCCTTGCCGCCGAGCCCCGTCAGCATTGTCATGCATATGGCCTCTCATGTAAGCATGGCCGTCTGAGTTGCATATGAATTTTCTCGTGACGTGTCTGTTTAAAGAGAAAAAGGGGGGGAGGGGATTTGCAACAGTGACACGCCACGAGGTCCGCGCTTCGGCAGCTGTGCACTTTTACCAAAAGCAATAAAAGGGGGGATCGGCTTCAATCAAATACTCAGTTTCGGTCACGGTCTGTTTCTGGAGATGATAGCAATCTCCCGCGCTGGCACCCGTGCACATTCTTCCCGTCGTCTCAATCCGATCTTCATTGCGGATATGGCCACCACAACCTCAGGCTATCTAGCTGCAACTAGCACCTGCTCAATAGACAATGCGTCTATTGGCATTCTTTGGGCCGTCGGCGCCTTGGACCCTTTTCCACTTCCGTGTTGTGTGTGTTTTGGTGACGCACATGCCGTAAAAGAGCCCGTAACACAGTCCACGCCGTTTTCTGGAAGTCCCTCGTACAACAAATATCCTCTCTACTCCTTGGTCTTCTGGGTACCACGTAGCAGACCAGTCCTCCGGGCAGCAATAAGACCGGCTTTTTGACCTTGGGCGGCGTATCGTGAAATGGTAGAGGCCTTACCGATGTGCTGATGGTTACCACCACCGTGGGGATGGTCAACAGGGTTCATGGCAACACCACGAGTCTTGGGCCAGGAGTTGCGCTTGACGGCGAACTTGTGCTTGGCGCGGGAAGCCTCTGTATTCGCTGGTTAGCCCATTCCTCCCAGTCCACATAGAAGATAGCTGTGCACATACTGAGCATAGGCTTGTCAGTACGACCGCCACCAGCGACGATGCCGATCATCCCTCGAGCCGAACTGAGCACCACTTTCTTTGCACCACTGGGAAGCTTGACTCTGGTTTTTCCCTCATCTGGGTTGTGTCCGATCACAGTCACATAGTTGCCTGAAGTTCGTCCCAGCGCGCCTCGGTCACCGGTCTTCTCCTCCACATTCGACACGACTGTTCCTTCGGGCACGGCGCCCAAGGGGAGGATGTTGCCGACACTCAAGGCTGCATTCTTTCCGGCGTAGATGAATTCTGATAGTCACAGGCAGTCAGCCGTTGCACCAACTCGTGAGTCCGAGGACAAGAACAGGGGAGCGAAAACCTACGGCCAGTAAAGAGCCCCTCGTTCGCAATGAAGGTCTCGGTCTTGAGGCCATATTTGTAGGGGGAGCGGAACTGGACACGGGCGAGGGGTGCACCTCGACCCGGATCGTGAATGATTTCAGTCACAACGCCACGAATGTACCCATGACGCTCTGCATAATCGAGTTGTCGAAACTTGGCCGCTCCTTTTCTCAACCTGGTATGACTGGCTGTTGCGAGAGGTCAGCAAAGGGATGAAAACCCATTGAGCAAGAGTTTGTTGAGCGCAGAGCAGAGCAGAGATTCGGGGGGGCAGCGTGGACGAGGAGGCACTGACTGAAGATGGATCCGCGCCCTTTGCGCTGGTTCCGAATGACTCTACCCATGATGGCGTAGAGCTTGGAGGTAGTTGTCGACCGAACGTGGTTGTAGAGAGTTCGAGATGAAGAGGTGGACAGGGCGCAGGTTTCGTTTGTGTGCGCTTCAGCAAAAATCTTGGCATGGGACGGTGGGCGTACGGCGACGCAAAGGATGGGAATGACGCAGGTATTGGGCTAATACTATCAAGGACTACACGTGACGACTTGGCTCCCGCCCAGCCCGCCTCACTCCATCTTTGAACTCGAAGTCCAGCCCGCAACCGCCAACTTCATCCTCATCTTACCTCTGCCTCGTTGGAGTGATTTCCTCCATCTGCACAGATTGCAATCGTATGGGGGAACTCTGAAAGTACTCATGTGCTCTGCGTATGTCTGTCTCGTCTTCCCCTCTTCTCCAGAAAACCCTTTGTCGCAGCAATCATGTGAAAATATTGGAGTTTACAACTCTGCCTCATCAAGCAGAAAAGCTTGTTATATCATGATGCTGTTCAGTTCGGCATGGCGGCATATGTCGACAAGAAAGAGTTGTGGCTCGTGGTAAGTTCTTACCAAGCCTAGAACATTGGCGGCTTAGGTCCCCATTCTGCCATGCGTTGGCCGAGAGGTGCAGTGGCCCCAACGTCGGCGTGCTCGTCAACACCACGGTTGGGCAACAGCAAAGCGTCTATCGTATTCTTACACGGTACTAAACAAGACTCGTTACATACGAGGACTGGGTCAATCAAAATCGCCAGCCTCAAGACTCCAATGCAAACAGTTACTCCATCCTGCTGGCTCTCAAGGTGCCTATTCACAATTGGCCCCAGAAGCTCACTTGATGCGGATCGAACCAGAAGCACACGGTTGACTTCAGCTACATGCACAAGCCCAATCACAGTGTCACAAGATCCTTACTGTGACGAGATGTGTCAACATCGCACGCTGGGACTTTCTGATCATGGTCGGCACTGTTTCAATCTCAGACTATTTCAAATTGGTGAACACACGACACCATTTCTAACAGAATCTCCAGCAACAGTGTCAAGGCACGAACAGAATTTGAGCGCATCGTTGGACTGACAATGGGCAATGGAAACCCGGAGAACCCCGCGTCCTCTCGGGGAATGCTTGGTCTCAGCCAGAAATTTGAGGAAACGGCAAGAGATGCTGCAGCGGTCACCAAGGGAGTGAGACAGACGGACAATCGTCCCTCGGCAAGCACATCGACGGCACAAAGCGTTGTCAACAATGGTCGAAGCCTAGTGCATGGGAATGAATATGGATTGGGGCCGAACGGACGATCGCTGCAACGCAAGTCGAATTCAAAAGAGGCTGATTCGAACGCTTGGCAAGCTGGCGTCCCCCGAACCGCTGCTGTTAATGGTGACTGCTCCTCCAACAGTCAAGACACCACAAGTTGGCCAGAAGAAGGCAGGTGATTGGAGGCCGACTGGTGCTTCGGACTCAAGGATTCGCCAGCCTGGAGTGTGTGAAAGGGATGTCGTTGACAGCCAGTGCTGGGACACAGATGAAAAATGCAGTCATTGGCCGAGCAGCGCGTAACTTGCCCTCAACGCGCCAAGTCAATCAATCCATCAGACCGCTCCAGATTTTGTAGTTTCCCTTCCCTTTCCCTCCCCGTGCTCCTGCTGCGACACACCCGCCGTTCTGCACTGTAACTGCCTCACCCCTCCTGCGTGTTTCTTTCCTCTCCACCGAGCCATGGCCGACTCTGACTCTTCCTCGTTGTCTTCTGCTCCATCCTCCGACGATGAGGAAATGGCCCAGAAAATGGCGTTGAAGCCCTCGGGATTGGATCGATATTTCAAGCCGGCGCCCAAACCTGAAGCGACCCCCGAACCTCCCAAACGCGCACCCTCACCACCCCACGAGTATACTCTGGCCGATAACCCGGCGATTGCCTTCCTTGTTATGTTCAGGAGCCGATTTAGCGACGTGTTTCCCAAGTCCCTACCGAACTACGGGCCGCAGGACATTGAGAGAGGGGTGGCCGGAGAACTTCCCGACGAGCAAGTGGAGAGACTCTTGTGTGCGCTTTTAGGTCTTGTCTTGAACAGAAAGAAAGATGTCGAGTTAGTCTCCGCACACTGGACAACTTGCTGCCCAGCAGCGAGCCCCTACGCTGTCGCCTCCTGGATCTCTAACGCGAGCTAGACGCGGACACTATGGCCGGGCACTTGAAGATGCGCTCTCTACACATCACAGCCAATGGCCAACCGAGTGGAAGGGCGTTAATCCTATCCACGGAGGGAAAAATTTCAACAACATGAGCCCAGATGAACGAGTATGATTCGACCTTGACCCCGTTTATTATGCTTAGCTGACCAAAGGTTTAGCTGAGCCTGCTAAAAGCCCTTGCTCTCTGGTCTCTCAATTCCTCCGACGCCGTGCAGGCGCTCATCAAAGAGTCGTACAAGCAGACACGTCGGGACGACGACCGGAACCAGCCGCGCAGCGTTCAACCGTGGTTTTCAGACCAATATCGTCGAAAGTATTGGCTCATTGAGGGTCAAGATGACTCGCATTTTCGAATTTACAGAGAAAATGACGGCAAGACTGCAAAGACAAACACGTGGTTCAGCGTCGCTGGTTCAATTCCAGAGGTCATAGCCCTGGCAGACAAGTTCGCCGAAGAACACAGCTCCAATTCGAAAGTGATTAGCGACAAGCTAAGGGCAGCCATTCCGAGATTTGAGGCTGGTGAAGAGGTAGGTACTCTGCCGCGCATCCTTGATATGGACTGACAATTGCACTAGAAGCGCAAACGTCGCGACTACCGGCTCGCCCGCAAGGCCGCCTTCGCTCGACCAGAACCCGGCTTCTCACTATACGAGGGACGAACACGCGGAAAGAGAATGAGATATACATATTCAGACGAGGATGATGCGTCGGATGGACTCTCTAGCAAACGCTCCACACGTAATTCCGGTATCTCTACCCCCCTAGAGACCGGACCGACCGTGACCGCCAGTGGCAGGCAGGTCAAGTCGCGGGTGGGTGGTATGTATGGGGAAAGCATCTTGATTGACCAGCGCAAGGAGTTGGAAAGAGCAACGGGCGAAGGCCACTTCACAGAAACAAGTGACGACATGCCCACCACCATGCCGGCCTCGCGGAATGTAAGAACATCGAGGTCAGGAAGACAAGTTAAACCGACGAGACAGGGATATGCCGACGGCGGGGATTCGGACGAGAGCGACGAAGCCCAGTCATCAGGTAGAGAATGGAGTGGAAATGAAGACGAGCCAGACGAGTCAGAGCCGGACTTTGACGGGGAGGATGAAGGCGACGACGACGACGAGGATATGACTGATGAGGGCCTCGAACCAGACGAGGTGGAAGAAAGCTTGGTCGTGCAACTACGGTATCGAAAAGACGCTGAGAATGCTACGCCCACAACAACACAAGCTCCAACAGCACCACCTCCTTCCCATGCAACGAATGGAAATTCAGCTTCTATCAATGGTTTGCAACAAGTGCAAGCTGCGCCGAGGCCCCTTCAATCCCTAGGAGAAACGATGGATACGATTAATGTTGCCCCACGAAGCAATGGGCCCGATGGCAGCCATCCCAACTTCCTTAATGGTGTGAAGGTGACGGACCACGACTCTCCTCGACCACTCCCGGCAGTTCATATCCCGCTCCAGCCCATGGACATCTCTTAGCAGATACGGACGTCATTCCCTGGCTGTGAATGAAGCGAATGTGGCCAGTGTCGCGGAATGTTAGACAGAATCAATATAGCAGAAATCGAGCCTGTGAGACTTAACGAACGTACAGCCATTTGCGCAGAGAGTCTGGTGTGCAAATCGAGACAGTTTCGCCATCGTCAGAGCGAACTAGATGTAGCAAAGGAGATGGAAATGCCACATATTGGAGCATTGCCGTGGCATGACTCTGGAACGGGTTTCGCTTTACTAGGTATCATCAATTTATCTGTCCCTGAGGATGAATCGGGGGAACGTTTTAGACAGGCGTGGTTTCCTCTGCAACGGTTTCGTCTCCGTATTCTGCTGTTGTACGTACACACACACACTCTCTCTCTCTCTCTTTCGTCCCCCCCCCCCCCCCCCAACCTCTCCTGTGAAGTCCTCAGAGCCCAAGGTCTGATCGTCTCCACCACCCCGAAACAAGCTGATCAGGCTATTATTACAAGGGCCGAAGCGGAGTAAAGCCATGGAACACCACATCTCCTGGGGAAAAAGGATGAAGGACGCCGTCCATCCAGATCCAGTCTAGACATGTGCAGTGAGTGAGTGAGTGTATCACGGGCAAAACCGAGATCTGTCGAGTAGTTGTTGAGTTGATACAGATAACCCTGGCAATCAACCGTAAGTGACGGGTATAACAATTGTTATGCATCATCATCTCCGCTGAAAAGGGGGGGAACAACGACAAAACACAAGAGCTGGTACCAGCATGTCGATGGATTGATTCCATGAATAGTCCCGTCCCATGCCGCTCCGCTGGGGGGCGGTCCTCCTGTGGTCTCTCTATCTGAAACCTCCACAGACCAGTTTTACAACACCTTCCGCCGGGGTATGTCCCTTCGTCAATGCACCACCGCTGATATACACAAACACAACATCGTCGCAAGCTGATCCCAAGTAGACAACATGTAGGAGAACATATAAAACTATGCCCTGCAACTTTTAGAACCAGCTCTGCCGTCCGCGACCCTCTGGTTTAGATGATCTGTCTCAAGTCCGCAGCGGTCTGTTCCTCACCGGATCCTATCGAGCAAGATGGTCCTGACATTCACCGAGCGCATATATCGTACAGGTCGATCCGTTCCGACCCAGCCTCCACCGCGCCCTCAGGCCGTAGGCAACAAAAATCTCTCTCTCAATAATTCGTCCGCGCCAGGCCTCTTCTCGTGGTCAACCTCGAAGGTCTTCCCCATGAACTGCTTCGCATCCTCACTAGCATGTTCGGGAATAGTGGGTTTCTCGTTGTTACTTCCCACGGCAAACAGCGTCTGTAGCGTCGTCATTGAGGGGAAGGGGCGGGAGCCTGTGTACATCTCAACCACCAAACATCCAACTGACCAGATGTCCGACTTGATCGACTGTCCAGACTGGCGAACGACTTCAGGAGCCATCCAAAAGACGCTTCCTTGAAGAGATGTGCGCGTACCAGGCGCAGAATTCATGCCGTTGAAATTCGTCTTCTTGGACACCCCAAAGTCGGAGATTTTCACGGCACCGCGGTTGTCGACCAGAATGTTGGCGCCCTTGATGTCGCGGTGGATGATGTTACGAGCGTGTAGATAGGAGAGCCCCTCGAGAATTTGTCTAGTAAAGTTACGGATAAGGGGTTCTTGGAAGGTGTTGTACTGCTTCAGCATGCCGGCGATGGAGCCACCTGCAACATACTCGAGGAAAATGTTAAGGTGCTTTTCGTCCGACGAAGTACCCAAGTATTGAACGATATGCGGGTGGGACAGGCCTTGCAACAGTGTGATCTCTTGCTTCAACGCCGCAATCATGGCCGTCTTCTTCTTGTCGCCCTCCGTGCCTTTGGCCACGTTGGGCAATTCCACTTGCTTGACTGCCATCAATTCACCAGTCACAGCGTGGAGGGCCAGATAGACGCTGCCAAAAGAGCCTTCGCCGATCAAGTCGCCCTTCATCCAGTTGTTCTTGTCAAAGCTGTTTCCTTGAAGGAACGAGGTGAGTTCCTGATCTTCTTCCTCGCCATCCTCAGCAACGATAACTGACAGGCGTTCATTCATATTGTCAGTGTTCAAGGTGACCCCAGGACTTTCGTCAAAGTAGCTTGCTCGGACTGCTTCGGCCTGGGCAGCAGAATCAGAGCCGCTGTCAAACGATACGTATGACTTCCTGTTCGGCTCAATAGGAGATTCTTCCTGCAATGGGTGTAGCGTTGAAGAGGCGATTGAATCTCGGAATGACTGGTTCATAAGATTGAATCTACTCGACATTACAGATAGTGGTCGGGCTGTAGGAGCACGAGAGGTCATCCCGGTCTGGTACACCCAGGAGTCGGCGATGCTCGGGATGCTTGGTACCGGAGGAGCGTCCTTGAGACTGGAAGCCATGCTCACGTTACTCATCACGCTCAGGCGACTTTGTGCGCGACTCATGCGCTGTGAACGTCGGACAGATAATCTCATTGTCTTTTCGATATCCTCGCGCTGATGAGCAGGGAAATAAGTGGTCAACTCCTGCACAATCATCTCACTGGGAGGTCGTGCACCATAGAATGTACGGAGCTTCGTACTCTGGCTGCTCGGGACTCGAAGGTGTTGTTGAGCTTCCTGCCGGTCATATTCGTCTGCGGTGGCGATGACGTTCCGATTTCGATCTGTCGTGGTAACCGGGGAAATCGGGACTTGAATATTGTGCCAGGACTCGCCCGTGAGTTTCTGCAACTTGATTTGATTGCGCATGTTGTTCGTGCTCAGCGCATTGCTGTGGAGGACTTGCGATTCATCAGACGCGATTTTCGCAGCCTTGTGGAGTTCGTCGACGTCGGGAGGCCCGTCATTGATCTTCCTCAGGATCAACCTATTCCTCTCGGACCGCGTCGACTCATTACAAATTCTCATGAGTTCGCTGTCGCTTACTCGACGACAATTTGCCGGGTCTGGTTCGAGACCATTGAGGACATAGAAGCAATAATTACGAAAATGGGTTTCAGGAAGGTGGAGCTTTTTCAGCACCGTCGACGTGACATCGTCAGCCGTGCGACAAAACTTGATATTGACAACCTTCGTCTGGCCACCGTTGTGGATGATTTTGATGACGGGAGATCCCGACGGCAATCCACCTGGCGTCAGGCCATCGATGCTCGAATTCTGCCGGAGATGAGCTGCTCTTGTGGTTTGACTGGCAAGTTGCGGAGTTTCAGGTCGTCTGCCGGACGTGGAATTCGCTGACCCTGGTTGGCTAAAGTATCCGCCGCCAGAGGCGTTTCTTGCACCATCCATCGGGCTCTGCGCGTAACGATGGGACCTGAGGCCTGCACTGTGTACATCTGCCAAAGGCGAGCTCGGCCTCGATCCAACTTTGAATCCTGTGCTGGCCGAGTTGAAATTCTGCAGAACGGAGGAGTCGAGCTGGCGGGAGAAGCGCTTGGTGCTGCCGTTGTGAGACCTGGAACCGTGAGTACGAGGAGAGTCCGAGGACGAAGGGGTCCCGGCAATGCCATCCAAGATAGCTAGACTATCCCGGTTTCTCCTCGACCGTAGCAGGGACGACTTATTTCGCAGTTGTTTGATTGCAACATTGATTCGGACACGGTCACCGATTTTCTTGATCCCCATTTCTGACAGAATCTTTTGGTCACACTCCAGTAGACTCTCCCCCGTAAAGTTGTTCGCCTTGAAGAGAGGCTCATACTGTCCACAACGGATGGAGTGCAGCCATTCTCCAACCTTTTTCTCGTCCCATACCCGTATCGAGTCCAGCCCGTCATAGACATCGGAGAATTCAGAGTCCGTTGGGGAGGTAAAAAGGCCGTCTTGGAGAGCCATCGAAGTCATTTGGGTTCTGGTCGAGGACTCAGAGAAGTTGCGGACGGGGAGCTGCTGGCTGGTGCCAGTATTGGCGGTATATGGTGGCTTGGAAGCGAGCATATCCGCGTCAGTTGGTCCAACCCAAGTGTGTGATAATAAGGAGACGGAGGGAGACGTGCTCCTTCTCTAGCTAATGGTCGGCATCGGAGCGGAAGGGGGGAAAAGGCTCGCGGACAGACAAAGAACGAGCGGGCGCAAAGCGGTTTCAGTCAGGTGGAGGGTTGAATGAGACAATGCAGAGGACGTTGGAGGTGTTGAATAGAGCGGTTGATGGACGTAGGTGCTGGGACCCGTAGTCACTAGCGACCGTTGAGCAGTTAGAAAGGGAGGAAGAGACGTTGAGTTGAGGCTGCGCAGGTGAGTTAGAGATAGATGGTCAGATGCAAGGTGGATGACGAGTCCGGGCGGCTTTCAGACTGGCTTGGAGGTGGCACCGTCAAATCGAGGGTGTTCCTGGATCGTGGCTGCAGAACCTGAAACACACGATCGAAAACCAGCGAGAAGCACACAGAGGCTGAGGGAGTAGACACAAGAGGCGCTTGTAACATCAGGACGAAGCAGCCATGGAGAGACAGGGGAGTAGGTATGTGTATTCCGTAGGACTACTCGGTACACAGTAACAAATGAGAAGGGGCGGATCACGGGCCCATCGGAGGCACCAGGGGCGCCCAATCACCATCCAAGTGCCCGCCTACTGGCGCCCAGGGCCCAAACCTAGGCGTAGCCAGTGGCAGCCAGTGGGGATGGCACTGGCCCATTAGGCACCACTCTTTCCCTATTCAGACCTGGCTCCTCGCAGGCTGAGATCCAACCATCGCGGCCCGCTTCTCTTCCTGGCGCGCAGTCCGCAATGATTCCCTTCCCTCATCCATGTCATTGGTTCATGGCGGTCCCTTGCCATCGTCACTCCTGTGTCTCTCATCAATCAATCATGGCCTGAAAGCAGTGTCTAGGCATGTAAGGGAAAAGCCATCATCAGGAAGCGTGAGTAGGCTGATCAGCCAGACCCAGACACATCTCCATCAACTGCGAACTTACACCGCCATGGTCAAGCGATCACGCGAGTCATCGATCCTCTCGTCCAGCAGCGACACCGCCAATTCTGCGGCAGAAGAACCTCAATCTCCTCGTCCTGCAAAACTCAGTGTTGTAGCCACAGTCGCCGACCTGCCAGCCAAACCTGTCATGCAGTGTACTCTCCCGCCTCACCGGGAAACCCTGGACTTTGCTTCTATCGAAGATTTCGAGGTGCATTATGCCAAAGACCATTCCAATCGTTGTACCTCATGCGGCAAAAATTTCCCTACTGTTCATTTCCTAGCCCTGCACATCGACGAAAACCACAATACCTTCCGGGAAGCCCTGCAAGCCAAAGGTGAGAAGACATATGCTTGCTTTGTCGAGGACTGTGACAGAAAGTGTTCCACCCCACAGAAGCGACGTCTTCATCTGATTGACAAACATCTGTTCCCCAAGATCTACAACTTCCGCATTGTGGATACTGGTATCGACAAGTCGACCTCTATGCTCCACGAAAGTCGTCGGAGAAGAGTGTCAACCACCGCCGGCCAAATCACCTCCAGTGGCGGCCATCGAAGACAGCAATCCAGAACGGATAATACGCAAAATTCCGCCGGTGTCGCACCGAAGAGGAAGGAAGACCAGGAGAGAAGAGGAGGACCGAACCTTGAACCCAACAAGCATGTCTCGGATACCGCCATCACCGATCTTGAATCATCCTTGTCTGCCTTGCGATTCGTGCCACCTAGTGTTGCCAGCAGGCAGCGGAACAAGCCGCACCATGTATGAATGCTCCTCGGTGGAATCTCTCAGTCTGCTGACGACTGAACACGCCGGTCATTCCCCAACCCCCAATGTACGGGGGAATTGGAATATCGAGGCGCGTGGAACTGTCAGGCACACGAGACCCCTCACGAGGCTGAAGAGCATGCCGAAGCTTACAGCCGCAGTAACCTGGGAGACCAGTCCTTAACTCGACGGCATTGCCCATGGAGGCCGACGGAACTTGCATCTAAAAACTCCACCCAAGAACAAGATCGAATTCAACTTCCCCTCATCAAACATCCCGCAATTGATTCAGCCGCGGATGACTCTGGGCTGAGATTGGTGCGGGGATGATCTAAACAATGTCTGGACTCGAGCCGACGTGGTACGGATACTGGAGCTCTGCAACACAATTGTGCCACCTCAAGCACATTGCTCGGTGTCCTGATCTTCCAGGCATTGCAGATAAGCGACGGCCACTATGGCGACGGTGTCAGTTCATGCTCTGAGCACTGGCCACATCACAATTCCTGAACGATTTTTCGTGGTTCCAGCGGACCCCGTCGCGAAACGAACAGTACCTTCCTTGTCTTTCTTGGTTCAGCACAAGGATGTGCAAAGTGGAAAAGTCACACGAATTGTATTCGACCTGGGTATGAGACGGGACCTCAACCTCTACCCGACAGCCTTGACTATCCACCTCACCAACCGGCAACCTGTCTCTACGCACCCAGATGCGGTCGCTTCCCTGGCAGCTGGGGGCCTCCGCGTGAATGACATCGACTACGTGATATTCAGCCATGTGCATTACGATCACGTTGGACTTCCAAAGGATTTCGATGACGATAAGACAAAGTTCATTGTAGGCAATGGCGCTCTCGACCTCCTCAGCGGGAAGACGCAATACGATTTGGGGAAACATGCGGTTTTCGAACCAGATTTGCTCCCGCTAGAACGAACGATTGAGTTACCTCCTCCAGACGGTGATGGTGGGAACTCGCAATTCTCGTGGAACCCATTCGGAAAGTTTCCACATGCGATCGACTTCTTCAAGGACGGCAGCGTGTACATTGTCAATGCACCGGGGCACCTGCCCGGACATATCAATCTGTTGTGCAAAATCTCCAGCCAACCCTCGAAATATGTTTGCCTCGCTGGTGATTCATGCCACGATGTTCGCCTGCTGACGGGAGAGTGCGACATAGCGACATGGACGGACGAAACAGGGAGATACTGCTGCATGCATGTGGACATCCCCCAGTCCAAGGAGACTTTGGCTCGGCTGTACTCGGCCTCCAAGGAAGGCATCAAGGTAGAGGGAGAGGAGAAGCCGGCAGAGTTTGAAGTGATCTTTGCACATGACTTTGCGTGGGAGGAGAGGGCGATAAAGGAGAAGAAGTTCTGGCCCGGGAAACTATGATGTGATAGACCATCCAGGAATAGACAAGATGGGACTACAGACTACACGATACAGACAAGGATTTCGACTGGACCCGTCCCCCGCCACCTTCACTCGGTACAACATCAGAGAAACCAAATACTCGTCTGGGCCCGTTTCGTAACGATTAGAAGTGCCATGCTCAGTTTGCAGTGTCTCTCTCTCTCATTTCCGGCCGTTGATGGCGTGTTATAGCTACACAAGAATATTTCCCACCTTGATACTGGTCCAAACCCTAGCAAATGCCGTCCTCTTCGGAACAATTATTCTGCTGGGGGGTATCTTTTGCATGTAAGTAGAACAAGACTCGAGATGATAATGCTTCTCTTCCATCCAACTCAATCCTGGTACAATGGGTGGGTGTTGTGCCCCCCCTGTTCGGTTGGAACCCAACCTCATGCTCCTTTCGTCTATTCCTGAATCAAACCCTCTTCCCTCTTTTTCTCAGCCTCATCATCATCATCATCCGGCGTCGGACTGACGATTATCGCCGGTGGCGGCTGTGTGGCCACGGGACTCAAAGTGCCCCCAGATGATCGTTTGTCCTCCGTCGGGGAGGAGCCATCGTCGGCTCCGTCCTGGCCGCCCTTTTCATCCGTCTTCGGTTCGGTTGGTGATATTATAGATTCCTTTGCTACACTGCTGGTGCTCTGGTGTGCAGTTCGGCGTCTCATGCGTCGAGCTTTGCGTTCTTCGTCCGCTCCCTCACGCCTTCTCCGAACATCAAGCTCGTCGCCTGTGGAGGGAGCGGAACTTCTCATTTCCTGCAGAGCCCTCAGAGCCCGATCGGCGACGTCTTCACTTTCACTGACGTCTCCTCTGCCGCTCGTGCCGTCTGTGCTGAGATTGTCTTCGTTGGCTTTCTCCCCCAGACCACCGAGACCGCGACTCTCTTCCACCCCGTCTTTCACTTGGAGCTCGGGAAGTTGCTGGCCGCTGGCGACTCTTTGATCATGTCTCTCCTTTAGCCTCGCCCGTCTCCTTCGATCACGTTGATCTTTCACCTGCGGCGCTGCAGCTCGAAGCTTCTCAAGCAGGGTTTCCATAGCGCCATTAGCGGGTGGACTACCTGGTGTTTCCGCGCCGCTTGCTGCACCACTCACGTTGGCACTCGCCTGAGCCCTCTTCCGGGCCAGGCTTGCCTCGAGGCGTCGTTTGTTCTCTTCCATGACCATGTTCTTCTCACGCGACTTCTTCCACTCCGTGACGAAGCCACCCAGTTTGCTGAAGAAATCTCTGCGAGCGTTTTCGTCCTGATTGTCTTCGCCAAAATAGGTCATGATGTCGTCATATGTTCTTGACGCCTCGTCCAGGAAGAGCTGGAGTTGCTCTGCCTTTCGCCTTGCATCTTTCATAGACCTTTGTACGACTTGCGCAACACGATCTTGAGGATGAAACTTCTTAGGATCGCTCAAGTTGCCGGCATCGAGTGAAGACTGGACGTTCTTGATGTTGTCAATGTACTTCTTTGCGTCTTGCCGCAATTGGTCAACATTGAGTTTTGCGGCAGGGATAACGCCAGCGATGTCCTCCACAAACCCCTCCCATTGAGAATACTGATTGCGGACGATACGTTCAATAAGGTCGGCGAATGTGGTTTCATTTTTGTCATCCTTAACCATGCCCAGTCGTGCAAGAGAGCTGAGTTTGAAGCCCGAAGCTTGTTTGTTTGAATCGTTCATGTAGTTTCCGATGTCAAGAATGAGGGCTAAGACGCTCATGAGAGAGGTTGAGTCACGGATTGCTTCCGACACATTGACAACATCCTTCAGCTTGTTGGAAATGTCATCGTACTCTTGCTCATAACTGCGTGTCAGAGCGAGAGCTCGCATTCTCGCCTTCCAGTAATGATGCAATTCGTAAGCCGTCTGTAGGTAGATCTGGTCTTCTCTAGTCAACTCGGACGGGTCTTGCTCACGCTTCGAAGTCAAAGCATCAGGGCCGGTCCAGTCTTTGCTATAGGGCGCCATGAGCTTGGCGATGTTTTCGGGAATCGTGCAAAGGTCTTCTCTTTGCAGGAAATCCATAACCACATTGTTGTCTAGGACCTCCTTGTCGCAGTGAATGATCTTCCTCACTACCTCGTCAGCGGAATCGTTTTTGAACTTGGCCATGGAGACATGGAAATTCCTCATCATGTCACTGCTGATGATCTGCTTCTTGTCGTTCTTGCCCTTGCTGGCTGCTCCACCAATGATCTTGATCTCCTTGGCAATGAATAGCTTCTCAACCTCATCAAGAACACCCTTGCGTTGCAGTTCGCGGTACTTCTCTTCTCTGGACTCGGCATTCACGTTTTCTGCCCAGACAGTGACTTGAGGCGTATCAACTTTGTCCCAATGGAAGGCTTTGAGTTTCTTCTTGGGCCGCATGATAGGATTCTTAAGGACAGGCACAGTTACCACTGGTGACTGAGGTAAGAAATGCCCGTGCTGGGCTCCAGGTAGAGCGGGAGCGCCTGGGGGAGGAGGGGGTGGCGGGGGAATGGGCGGATAATGGACTCATAGGTAGGGAACCAGGAGGAGGCGGTGGAGGGGGAGGCGGGACCACCGGTAAAGCCTGGCATGGACGGAGTAGCAGGGGAGATTGGCATGCCTGGGAGAGGCGGAGGAGGTGGCGGGTGGCGGCGGCGGAGGTGCACCTGCTTCAAACCCGGGGATCAAAGCCGTAGACGCCGGATCTGATGGAGGAGGTGGAGGAGGAGGTGGCGGAGGCGGAGGCCCGTTGAACTTGGACTCCTCCGCTTGTCCCTCGTCAAGAGGAGTCCTAGGAGACTGGGACTCCAGGCTCGGGTGGGTTGGTCCAGTCGTGACACCAGCGTCATCTCCTTCCCCTGCCCCCTCGTCACTTTCGTCGTCGATCTTCTTGACCTTCGAAGCAAGCTCGTCCAGGAGGTTGCTTTGTTGATTTTGTTGCTCTGCACTGATCTTCGGCCTCTTGTACTCGACAAGTCGGGGCTTCTCAAAGATGACATCTTCCTCGAAATCCGAGTCCTGCTCCGCTTCTTCGCTGATCGCAAGAGCCTCCAATGCGGCTCTCCGAGGCCCTTTGTGAGCATTGCTACGGTGGACACTTCCCATAACACTATTGGTAAGGTGCCGTCGTGTCTGCTCCTGGAAATCGGCATCAACGACATCGTCCATCTTTTCGCGAAGCTCTCTGAGTCGATCGGAAGGTCCCGTCTGGCCCCAGACTTTGCCTTCCAATTTGAATTGGGTTTTGGTGCGCTCCAGGTTGCGCTCCAGCCGCTCCATCAACTTCTCACGATCCAAAATGCCTGCCAATTGAGCGGGATCTTGAGGTGCAGAACCCTCTTTGGCAGCCCGAGAAGCTGCAACATCTTGGGCATCCCGAAGCATGAGATACAGCTCGCGCGTCTCCAACTCATTGCGTTGCAGTTCCTGGGCCCTTATTCGTTGGAGCTCGGCAACCTCTGATTTCAAGGACTCTGCCTGCCTAGACTGCATTTCGATGATGCCGGCTTGCTCTTCAATCTGTTTCTGCAGTTTCTTCACCAAGCCATTGGCTCCCATGGCAATCTGCGCTGCCATTTCATCTCTTTCAGCAAGGGCAGCTTCGGCAATCTGTCTCGACTCGGTGGCTTCGTCAAAAGCGATTCGGGCCTCATCATCAGTATGCAGTCGATCCAGCAAGCTCTGAACGGTAAAGTTCAAGCTCTGCTTGAGATCCATGTCCGGTAACCGCCGGTCCATGGCCACATAGCTGAGCATGGAATCCACGAGCTGAAACATTCTCAGCCGTTCGTCGGCGTTGTTCTCTCTAAGTAACAACATATGCTGCATAGCCGAGATGAAGTAGTCTTGGGTTCTTGTGCCGTGAACTTTCGACATGATGGCGTCTGTGATTTGCATCGGATCCGTCATGTCCTTGACCTCTCCTTCAATGCTCTCGACCATGCTGCTTCCCTCGCGTTGTAGCAGATCCTCGTAGTCGATCGCCTCGTTTTCGCGGAACTTCGCAATCTGTTTGTCAATTACGTCGTATTGAAAAGACTCCATCTTCACCAGTATCCGCTTGATACCACAGGCAATGAATTGGGCCCTGATATGGCATCGTAATTGTAGGTCCCGGTCGGGAGCATCCACCAACATGTTGATGAGGACAAGTGTGGCGACAGCATATTCCATGAGAAGATTTTCCATACCGATGCCACCACTCCGGACCTCTTCACTGGCACCTACAAGGCTGCCCATTTTCCCTCGGCCATCAATGGTAACTTCCACAATGCGCATCCAGGCGTCAAACCGACCGTTCTCACTCATCTGATTCTTGACAAAGTCCATGGCTTGTAGGACTTTGAGATGGCCTTGGCCTTGATCCCAATGGCAAAGGAAGGTCAAGACTTCGCTGACCAGCTTCCTCGTCGTCAACCGAGGAGAAATGAGACACGTCGCGAGAGCAACAGGGATCTGCTCATGCTTCAAAGCGTCATCAGCGCCGTATTTGTTGTTCATCAACGCCTTTAGACATTTGACAATGTCATACTCCCGGTCCAAGTCCTTGTCGGCTGAAGCGACAGAGCTGACGGGCGTCGGGCCACTGGCTGTACGTCGGTTGATCTTCATCAGGACACTGGTAAGGGCGATTTGACCCTGTGCTTCAATAAACGCCTTGACCCAACTGATAGGTTGCGTCCGTAGACTGACGCTCAGACTTTGCAGCTGTTTGGACGTGATGCTGTTATCCAAAATCCTTTTCACATACCACTCGGGAGTGCCCTCGACGTCTTTAGATACTGGCCCATCGATAGCTCCTGTCTGCCTTGCTTGTTGCCTCCTCTTCTGCTCCCCTTGCCACTCCGTCAACTTGTCTTGATGCACAAGAGTCCATTTCTTTGCGGGCGCATATGCCATCATTTGCCGCCTGGCTTGCTCGGGCAGGTTTTGCCAACCCCGTTTGTGCATCAACTGCAGAAACAATTTTTCGATTTCTGCATCACTTTGGGGTTTCGGTAGGTAAAACCCAGCTGGCGTAAAGGAAGTGGTCGAACTGAAGGGGGAGGCTTGCTGAGTAGGCCAACCCGAATGCGAGCTAATCTTCGAAAGTCTGGAATGGGTGGGAGAAAGTACAGTGACAGACGAGTCAGAATCTTGCCGAGAAGGCATTGCCGTTCGCGACGAATTGTCCGAGGAAAATAGACTAGAACCTCTTGTGGCTGTGGAAGCACTCGACTTTATGCTGGCACCGTCAAAAGACCTCCTGTGTCCCGATCCCGAATATGAATCGCTCGTCGATACCGAGTCGTAGGTGCCATGTTGTGGACCATTGCTGCTCCCAGGTCGACCCCATTGTTGATATTTTGTGCCTCGATCCCCAGCTTGACTGGATGCCATTGTGATCCCGGTTGCACTTGACGGCTGCGGAGGCGGACGAGGCCCGCCTGGGTGCGATGATCCGTTCGATATTCCATTGATGGCAGGGTATTGATGAAAATCAGAACCCCTCGCAAGTTGATACGGTTGAGGCTCTTTCCGGGTCGGTACTTGGTCGTCTCGAGGGAGGTAATCCACCGTCACCGGTGCTTGTCCGCCTGCCGTGGTGGCAGAATACGGGATGGAGGTGATGACACCAGCGGTCATGGCCAGACCTAGATTATCAGCATCCTGGCCATCGTTGGAAGCCACCGACTCTCTCTTCGAATGACGCGAGCCCCAGGAGCCGTTCGTGTGGGAGGAATCGAGACTGCCGCCTCCTTCGTGTCGACTATCGGATTTGGCGTCCCGGTTGCGTCTGAAGAAACCTTTGCCCGCGGACGACTGTCTTGTGGTCTTGTCGTTCTGGATTATCTGGGGCATACTCGGTGGCGCGCAGGCAGCCCAACAGGACGCATGTGTACCTAGATGCAGTCGTTATTGCCCCAACAGGGGAAGTCCACCTCTTGGAGACTTTTCTCTCCCTCTTTCCCAATAACCCTGATTCTGTGACGCTCTCGGATTCGGCTGCGGGTGGCGGGGATTTATCCTTGCATGATGCCCTGCACTTTTCTGACCCTGATACACCTAGTTCCAACACAAGAGATTTCTGGTTTGGTAACGCGGAAAGCACGTGTTCTGGCCAAAATCGTCGCACGGTGTCGTTGAACAAAGAGGAGACAAGGGTCGTTCAGCTGGCTGAGGCGGTAAACAATCGGGCGTGAGTGCAGACGATGAAACGGCGTATTTATTGGCTGCGGGCGTCAGCGAGCGCTATAACCAAGTGACCGAGGGCGAAAAGAAAAAGGCGAAAATAAAGCGAGAGAGGAAACGCAGGCTCTCAAACAAAGACGACGGGCGCTTTGACACGCCGCTCAGGTTGGCGGCGGCGTTTGTCGAGGAAGTTTCGCGAGGGCAAGAATGGTAGTGGTGGTGATGATGGAGGACAGTTCAAATGTGCCAGCATCCCCGTCAGGTGTGCATCGCAATGCCCGGACCCGTCCAAGAGCCACCCAGCAAATGAGGGATCTCAAGTTGTCCTTGCTTTTTAGGCGTTGTGGGTTACTTTGGTGGGCGCCACAGGTGGCCCGGTACCTTCCTGCCAGGGGTTCAATCAACAGTCTTTGGCGGCGTTCTTGGGGCCCTGGATTGCTTAAGCGGCTGCAGCGGCGGCGCCAGGGACCAATGGGCTTGGTCAACGGCTGCCCCCAGTAAGGTGCCGGTAGGGAGCACGCCCACTAGAAGCCCACTGCACCTTGGATCGGCACCCACTAACAACCAAACTGCGTTGCCATCCCTTTCGCCCAATCCGCAGCTAAACCAATCTCAACTCCTGTCCATGCACGCGATACACCATGCCAACACGCTGACGATAGGCACGGAGTACTGTGCAGTGCCCCCATCTCTGATCACGTTCGCGTTCTATCCTCGGAATCCTTTGCTACCCGTGCTCCGGAATCTCGACTCCCGAAGTTTGACACTTACCACTTGGTCCCTGCTGTTGCAACTGTTGTAGACAACAACACCCACTGCGTACGAGCAGCAAACAACGGTCAGGATCGGACAAGTGTCCCAGGTGCCCGCTCGATTCGCCTCCGACCTGACGAACGGCCCCTCCTGACCGCGGTCTGGACACCAAGCTTGCCAGATTTGGCTGCGGCTAATCTCACGACGGGCACTATACTCGAGCGCCTCATTTCATACCGTTCCGTATATATCGCAGCTTTCTGCACCCCCTCACGTCTCCCTGCCGCCGAGTATGGCGGCGTGAAAATGGGCTCCGACTTCAGGCGCTCGCTGCCCAGCACCCTCGTCGGGACTGAAGACGCACCGCCAGCTCCCGTCAGCACCACAGTCGCCAGCAGCGCCATGGCTGGGTCGGGGTTCATGAACTTCGCCAGGGTACGAGTCTCTTCTCAAATCAAACGTGAATTTTGGCAGGGCTGACCAGTGATATAGACGATTTTGCTTCCTCTCTTCATTTCCCTGGTCCTCTATCTCGTGGTATTCTACGCCTTACTACCTCTCTATCGCCGCCATCGAGCTCGTTATGCGCAATATCTCCCTCTGCCGCTCCAATCCGCCCAATCAGTTTCTGTTCTCAACTTACTAGTACCTCCTATTGTACGCCACTCACTGCCAACATTCGTCACCGGACTCTTTATGTTCACTATACGACGGTTTCGGTTCTCGCGCGGTCGATCCAGCAGCATCGTCAGCGCGGACGAGGGAACACTCTTTGATGAAGAGTCGGGCGAGGCGATGGTGGGGTTCGACGCCCAGGAGCGAAACCGGAGACGGGATGCCATGGAGAGGCAAGTCTCCAACATGGATGCCGCCACCAGGACTGTGAGTCGCGGCGGGGGTGTGGGAGGGGGACCTGAGTCGGATTCGAACCGACGACTAAGCCGAGAATTGGAAGAAGTATTTCGTGATGATTCCGATGAGGACGACGAATACGACCCTGTAGTTCTTGGAGGGCGAAGCAGTAATGCTAGGACATGAGCAGGACCACGATACCACGAGCAAACTTCCATTGAGGGTAGAAGACGGCCACCAACGTTACTTTTCGGACTTTTGAGATGCTCTGTGTATGGGGGACGAGCGGATTGTGCCTGGCTCTAAAGTCAACGACATTATCAAGGTCCTCATTGTCCAAACGGCCTATTTCCCCCCAAAAGGCGTCGCGTATTCGGAAAAGTCTGTTCCTTTCTGGGGACAGTGATCACGCTTTTGAGATTGTCATTTCGATGGCCTGCCGGTTAAGGAGGGACATCAAGCAGAAATGTAAACGTGGAGATTTCAAAGACTAGCTATTATAGACTAAGCTACGAGCCTAGAGGAAGGAGAGCCGTGGACTTCCCCAGCTTGTCGTGACCCCGTTCCCAAGCTTGCCTTCTAGAGCTGTGCAGAGCTCATAGTAGCACCAACAAAATCTCCAAACTTCTACAAAACAGTGTTTGAATACTGAGTGGGGGAAATATGAATAAAAGCAATGCAGATGAACAGAATATTTCGACGCATGAAAGCATTGTTTTTGTCCTCCTTTTGATAGGACAGATGAAACATAAAAATAAATGCGGCTATATGTACAGTTGATCCAACAGATTCCCAAAGCTCAAGTCCACTTCGTAGATGACAAGATATATCGATCCTCCATCTCGAGCACAGGACAAGGAACAAAATACAAGGGGAAGAATGCCACCCATTCAGCTTCCTGCTGAGGGTGGTGTCCAACATCAAAAGGCTTCACCAACACATCCGACCCCTCGTAAACTCCCATATGCATCGAGCTCCGGTTCGTCATGCGCGTGATCCCGTTTTCTTTCCAGGAATCCACGGGGCTTGCTGTAAAACACTAATAGCATAAAATTTCCTTTTCCGTTCTCGCAGGTGAATCATTCAGCTGTTGCAAAATGCATGTCTCAGGTCTACATGTTTTGCAGCATCGAAGGTTGGACAAGCTGACTGGGGGCCATCATAGGCTGCGAAGCCATTGGTTGCATGACGAGTGTCGAGGGAGGAGGCATAGACATGGCCATCATGCCAGACACGCTGGTGGGGCGGGTAACTTCATCTGGGGACGAGAGCTCGTCCATGGAGCCGAAATCATTCTCCTCGGCCTCCATCTCCATCTCTTCTTCGCTGGTCACGGGAGCAGGTTGACCATCTTGTTGAGATTCATGAGTGCGGCGGTGTCTGCGTGCGGTCAGTTTTAACCCAGGAGACCCGAGCATCGCGTGGACTTACTGGGCCAGATTGTCGGACCGTGAAAACGCTTTATTGCAGTAAGGGCACACATAGGGACGTTCCTGAGTGTGAGTTCTCACATGTCTAAGCAACCCACGTCAGTAAGCGCCAAGCAAGATATCAGGGGCTCTCAGGCATACCGCTTGAGGTGTTCAAGGCGCTTAAAAAGCCGCCCGCAGCTGGGGATTGGGCATGAATGGGATTTGTAGGGTACACCAAGCTCCATCATGGTTGCACTTCGTGCTCTGCGCACCGGACCTGGTCTCTCTAATCGGACTGCAGGGCTAGCTTGCAGCGAGTGGGTGTGCATGTCGTCCCCCACGAAACTAGGCATGGGTTCAGTGCTAGCCGACATTCCGTAGGAATGTGTTGGGTCCTCTTCGAGACTCGGGAGCGGTGTGCTTCGTCGAGAGAAATCAGTAAGATGGTCGCGATTGACAACCGAGGACGCATAGCTGTGTGCAAGACCAGGAGGAGACTGGTCGCCGGACTCATCGCCCTCTGCAATAGGCAGAACAGAGCTCGACATGGACCGGCGAAGATCGCTAGGCCTTTGAGGGAGATGCGCCTTCATTCCGTGAGTGACTTGAGCAACGGCATTGGCAGCCACCGCATTCATGATCGACGACGGGATTGACGAGCGCCGCCTCCTTGCCTTGTACGTCGGAGACCCTTCAATCACCGAGTAGACATTGGTGGGGGGAAACGGTCGTGGGGCAGTTATGTGCAGTGGTCCTGCAAGAGTAGAAGGGGGCAACGAAGCCATTGGATTGTAGGTCGGCATCGGCTGCATCTCTGGGATGGCAGAGTAGAGGCCCGTATCCTCGTTGGCAATATATGCAGGCTCAGCGCCAGGCATGGCATGTTGTGGTGGCGTAATGGGCTCATATGACAGGCCGCGAGTGCTGTAGTCCTCAAAGTGCGACGACACGAATGAAGGAGCTGGAGAATACTCCATGTATGCGGGCATAGAGGCATGGCGAATGTGGGCGCGGTCGTATGCAACCTGAGAGAAATCCTGCTCTCGAGACATCGCCGTGGTGGAAAGGGGGGTTGGGAGGTTGTTTTGCATGCCCATGCTAGTATACAGGGTCTGCGGTTGCTCCTGGGAGCGTGGCATCTGAGGGACCATTGGAGGAGGCATTGAATCCGTTGCACGAAGGACTGGCGAAGGAGGCTGTGAATAGTTCACATTTGCATTGGCGGTTGCAAACGACGACGAGCTGGCTTGCTGGGCCTTTGTAAGCTGTTCAAACAGCGACTGCGATGAATCGAACTCGAATGAAAGCGCTGGCTCGGCCACTGCCTTGGTTGTCGCTTCCTGGCCCATCTTCTCTCGCTTGAGGTCTCTCTCCAGAGCATCGAGAAACAGGCGGTCATGGGGTACGCTGTACCAGTAAAAGACCTTCTGTTTCTTCTGTGTCCGGATGCAGTTGTTCTTGTACAAGAAGTCCAAAAATGGACTCTTGGGTTCCTCCAGAGAAGCATCTGTGCCTGACTTCAGGTTGCGCAGGTCGGAGAAAATCCCCTCCTCGAACTTCTTCGGATTCTTGACCGGCCGGCCGAACGCTTGGAAACGGAAGGAGAGGCATCTCACAATGTCGGTGCCGGAGATGTGAAACAGGTTGTTCCATAGTACGCAGGAAACGTATTCACCTGTGGGGAGGAGAAATCTGCGGATGAGAGAATCGGGACTCCAGTCCACTGGCGCAGAAATGAGAAAGTATTTGAGGTTGTCCACTTGCTGCAGGGCGACTTGCGCATCCTGGGGCAAGCTCTGTTGTGCCTCGTTTGAGAGCATAAAGGTCTCTGGCTTCTGAGGTTGGGCCATTGGCGCACCGCTTGAGGGAAACATGGTGGTTGGAGGAACAAATCGTCGACGCTATCCAGGTGTCGACGGAAACGGGCCGGAGGGGTGGTGAGCTGCCTTCACTAACTCGCAGTGAATATCGTTGCTCAGCGCATGCAATATAGTATATCAAAAGTCTATCTTCTTGTTCAACTGGAGATAAGTGGTAGCTTTTTTGCTTCGCCGCAAAGGAGGCCCCGGCTGCGGAGGGAAAGGACGGTTGGGCGCTGGATTGAACCACAAGCAATTGAGCAGCAGGAGGATTGCGACGTGTATAGCGAATGTGTCGATGATGTAAATGGAGTCAGTGCGAGAGACCAGCTTCGCAAAACGTCCAGACGTGGTAGAGCTCCTGTCTCGAGTTCGTGGGAAGCGAGTACAGGTGAAACGAAAGTGGGTTAAGGAGAGAAGCTAGTCTCTCAAAAAGTCCTCAGAGCACGGCCGAGTACAGGAAGTGAAGGTTGACAAGGAAGAAGGACTGAGAGGATGCTGTAGCAATGAAACAAATCGAGGAGTGATAAAGGTGCAGAGGGAATAAGAGGTGGAAGAGGGAAAAGGGTACAGAGGGAGAGTCGAAGGGTGAGACCGGGACCAGCGAGGAAGCGAGAGACAGACACGACCGAGCAGTGAGGAGGAGGAAAAAGAGACAGGCTGCGGGCGCGGATAAAAGCTGTGGGCGCTGGGTCTCTAATACTAGTCCCCTAGTTCCCTAAGGCGCGGTCCCCGCTAATCCTTTTTCCCCGCTAGCTCAAGCCTAGGATACAGGCGGCCAGCAGGCCTACTGGCCTAGGGAACCCGCCCGAGGAAAATCTTGGACAGGCCTGTTCGACAGTACAGGCACGGATGACATCTGGTTAGGCGGGCCCGGGCGCCATGGAGAAAAGGGAGTGCTCAGCACACCGTAGCACCAATTGATGCCATTCTTCCCGCCAGTCCAGCCAGCTCTTTTGCCTCAGGGATGCCAGGCACCGGCCTGGTCCGACTCCCTATCGTAGAACAGCATAACATTGGAGCCCGTCTTGCCGCCTCAACAGTCAAAGGGGGGCGAGAGGTGGACCGCCATGACCGAGAAGCCTTGTCCCCCTTAAGAGAGGTTCCTGGTATTTTCCTCTTTCGCTTGCGCCCAAAGCTCACCGTAGCCGCTCCTTAGCCTCTCTGTCGTGTCCCGCTAGAACAGGTACCAATACGCTTACTCCACTTTCTTCAAGCTTCTGTTGTTGATCTTTTCTCCCTCCTGGAACCAAGAACACCTCCGGGTTGATGGTCTCTACCGTGTACCACATCTGGTCCGCCCCCAAAAAAACCTTCCAGCCCTCTGTCTTCGGAACTTGCAGAATCCGTGATTTATTCAGTAAACCTTGCATGCTTGAATCTGGTTGGCAACTGAAACATATAATACTGCATCCGACGTTCCCACTCCCAGAAACGGTGAGATATTTACTTTGCGCGTCATGGTGTTCGTAGGAACTCCGTGGGAAGCATGTACTCGTATAAGCGGAATTGCGACGATGTTCAGAGCTCCGGACTAGCCCGTTCACAGGTGGTACCCGTACCTTTAGCGAAAAGGTGTATGGAGTCCTCGGTGCTTGGTACCGTCCGGGCGATTGATACCCAGAACCATCTCAGTATCCCTCAGTATGGCCACGGACCAGGCCAAACGCTGACCCAATGAGGCCAGCACGGTTGCTATTTTGATCGTATAGGAGGGGTTATCGTGCGAGGGTCTTCCTCATATCCCCACGGTCAGCGTCTCGCTGAAGCATGCACTGTAAACGTTGAAGTTCGCGACTTGATGAAACGAGTGGCTGGGAACGGCGGATCGCTTGGACGAATAGTTTCGCGTTGGCGGTTGTCTTGGACTGCTGTCTGCCCACTCTGGCGCCAAAAGCCACTCGGCCAACGGCTTGATGATTCAGAAACACATCTCAAACAGGCGCGGGGACAGCGTCGCACTGTGTAGACTCGCAGGGCCTGCATGTTGAGGTGCCGACATCCGCATTCTCAGATTCCCACGATTACCCATGTTGACGCTGGGATCAGTTTGTGTGCTCCAGGCCTCTGCGTGCCCACAAGTGCAACCTTTCGCAGGCAAAATTCGGAACGAAACCCAATGCGAAGATGGGGGTCCCATGAGTTTGATTCTTCCATGCCTGCCCCTTTCTCGATGACATGGCCAATGGCGAGATGATCTTCAATAGCTTGACACCAGAAAATCCCCGACCCCATAAGCGTGATTGTCGGTCCCCATTTATTCGCCAAATACGGTTCGCGCATGTGCAGGTTTCTTCAGTGATGGCTTGACTCGCACGATGACACTGCGGAGATACGAAGGTGGGAGAATGTCAAGGTTGAGTGGTGAGAGCGTGACGGTGCCGACGACAAGGGCGTTCCGGAGGCTCGCCGTCGTAAATCCTGTTCAGCCACGAGAACATCGCGTAGGAGAGCCTGGAATCCGAGCAGAAAAGGAGCATCGCCGTAACCAAGAAGATGTAATTCGTCTTTCCAGCGTGATTGGTGTGTTCGTTGTTGGCCTGGGTTGACGGCGTGCGCAGGTACAGGCAAATCGCAGCGCAGCCCACGTGACAGACCAGGTCCAGACGCCGCGTTCGGCACCCACAGACGACTTCTTCCCATCACCACACACCAATGAGTTACCATTTTGCTGGCTGACCACGGTCACACACATCCCCACAATCCTTCCTGCCCACCATCTTTCGATGATGGTTGGTCTTTGCTGTACGTACTACACAACGAGTGTCCTCCCGCGCTCCCCTATCCTTGGTCGAGTCCAGCTGACCGCGATAGACCTCAAACTGGCGCGCACAGCCCTCGACCGACCTCGCTTGACCAACAGTTTCAGATCAGAGCTTTGCGAGTCGAGAAGGCAGGCCAAAAGATGGACCACGGTACCTTGTCGAGGCTCAGCCTGGATGTCATGATGGGGTCGTTCCTCGAGTCGGCCTTCACCGTCTCCAGAATCTCGACGCACGCGCCACGCCCCCTAAAAATGGCCGACCGATGGTGCTATGTTTCAGGTTCTGCACGACTCGGCCGCCACATTAGTCACAAAAGGGTGAACTCATGGGCCCTGAGAGCCGTCGACTCCAATGCCACTGGCTTCCCGAGCTCTGTTTTTCTCCGTGCTCGAAGTGATTGGGCCGTCCGTCACGCGCAAGACTTGGGATGCACATCATCACTGCAGCTCTCTACGCTTTCCTTGACCACTCGTTTGTGCGACTTTTGCGAAAGCCCCCAAACTTTGACAGTCCGATCGATTCTGCATGGCTTTCGAGGAGATATCGAACTACGTGATCTGTACCACTGACCACGTTGAGGAAACGGGCATTCCTCTGATCTCGTGAAGCTCCCTAACTTCTGAAACATAGCTCCTTTCCTTGCGCTTGCGGTTCTACCAACGTTCCAAAGTGGCGCAATCCCAGTGAACATGGCTAATCCTGGCAAATCTCCGACAAAAGGCCACTCCCTGATGAAGGGGACGGCATCGAGTCGCGAGCAGCCCGAAACAGTCCGCGAAAGTTGTCACCATTTCCTGCATTCGGACGCGATGCATGTTGTCCAGCACTCACATAGGCTCGAATCCAGGTGTCAATGTGAGACAATCCAGCGAAGCCTCAAAGGTTCATCTAGCGTTTCCATGAACGGTTCAAGCTTTCTACCCTAAAGAGCCAAGGCTGAAGCAGTGGTGTAACACGAGAACCCATGCTTGACTTAGGTCGCGGGGAACAGAACATAGAGGAAGCATCTCGTTTCAGATTGCGCTGCTGGCTGTGGGAAGAGCTCGCCTCAATGAGGAACTGTCACTTTGTCCATGACAAAATGTTCCCCCTTTGCTCTCCAACGATAGGCGTGGGGACACAGGCGAGAGGGAGACTTCCGGTCTGGACCGGCGGCAAGTCCTGGTGAGGTGAGGCACGAAGCAATTTTGCCTTCTGCGCAAAATGCGGATTGCAGAGGGGATGATACGCAGGAAGGGAGGAGTCGCAAATGATAGACACGCAGATTATCGTCGTCGTCGTGTTTTCCCACGAGATGTAGAAAGGCCTGGTCCCTGGATATCAAAGACATCTTTCTTGCTCAGCGTCAGAGTACCTCCTCGAAATCTGCCCACGGTAGGAACGTCAACGGCGCGCTCTCTTCGGGCATCTTTGGACGTCTTTTTTCCCGAGGCCTTCTCCAGGATGATGCCATTCTCCCGGGCCTCCTTTCTTCGGCTGGCCTCCCGGCCCGCGGCCTTTGCCAGGATCCCCTTCCTATGAGCCAGCGGCATCTTCTCTTGATGAAACATGGAGCTTTTAGAGCCCAAGGCTTGCATGCGCATGTCCACCACCTTGTGCCGGTGAGTTCCGGGCGTGGATGACGCCTTGGTGGCCTGTTCGAGCAGATGGGATTCTTTCAGGAGTCGTTGAAGATCAAGATCATGTTTCAGATTCAGGGCCTCAGCAGCAGCGTCTTCGCCTTCGTCGGCCTCCTGGACGGGACCTTGTCTGCCCGCGCGATCTATCTCTTTCGGGGGCCGCGAACTCTGTTGTCATAGGGGTCAGTGCACCCTCTCGCCCATGTAGTTTCAGAGCGACAGTCACAATCACAATCACAGCCACTTACCATGAATGACTTGAACTGTTGCCGACGTGCTCCGGCTTCTTCTGCCAGGCCACTCGCGGCGTGAAGTTACACAACCTCAACTGTAGCGTCGTAAGCTCTGGATCTGAGAGACCATCCCACTCCGGCTCTTCCTCAGAGTCCCCATGGGCATCATCGTCCTCGCCTTTGTCTTCGTCATCTTCTTCCTTTTCTTGCGGGGGGTTTATTGTAATCTCAGTTTCCGGTAAAGGTTCGAAAGTGGACTCGAAGTATTTGCGAAATATCTCTCGATCGACAGCGACGGGTGATGCGACAGCCTGTTCGTCATCGAGACTGCGCAACCGTTGTCGCGTGGCAACAGCGACTTCTCGCTTTCGCTTCCCCAGCATTGCTGATGTAGGCGTTTGTTCTCCGTGGGGAGTTCAAGAAAAGCAATGAGCCATGGACGACGTCTACGCAGACTTCTCACTGTGACAATGTGCCTTGTTGGACGGAAATGGACAAAATTTGGGCACATCCAAAAAGTTTCCCATTTCTCTCTAAGCAAGCCACCGACACGTCGAATTTTGATTGGCGGGATCTTCGCGTGCCCGCAGCTTTGTCCCTGTACCTCGTAATAATTACCGAGTATTACTTCGAACTCAAGAAACAAAGAGGTGCAGTATAGTACACAGGACAACCGACTTCTCGAGCTCGCAAGGGGTTTGCAAGTCGGTTAAATGAGATAATCCATCTGGTATGTAGACTGAGCAGATCGGTAGAGTCGACGTCGGCGGCCAAATCGTCCCTGTGTTTTCGTATGAAGGATTACATGAGTTTCGTCCGCTTCAGCGTAGAAAAATTTATACTTAATTAATGGCCCCCCTTCCGACCTTTTGAACAGCAACTTTTCTCCCAGAAAAATCATCATAGTCCATTTCAACCTATCGCAGCCCTCATCATGACTCGCTTCCGGCCCTGCATCGATCTCCACGCCGGCCAGGTCAAACAGATCGTCGGCGGGACTCTGAACACCCAGGAATCCGAGCTGAAGACCAACTACGTCTCACAACATCCGGCGGGATACTTTGCAAATCTCTATCGCGATGCCAATCTCTCGGGCGCCCACGTCATCATGTTAGGACCGGGGAATGAACAGGCTGCAAAGGAGGCGCTGGCCGCCTGGCCGGGACGACTCCAGGTCGGTGGTGGCATCACCGACGCCAATGCAAAGGATTGGATTGAAGCTGGCGCCGAGAAGGTACGCAGAAGGAGACTCCATCTGATCCTCGTTGCACACACCCCAAGTCTCAAGAGCCCGGCTTGTCTAAGGCGCAAAAACAAAGCAGTAGGTCATTATAACGTCGTTCCTGTTTCCCAGTGGCCGCTTTTCCCTGGAGCGATTGAAGTCTGTACTCGCGACGTTGGCGGAGGACCGAGACAAACTCGTCATCGACCTCAGCTGCAGGAGGAGGGGCAATACGTGGTTCGTGGCCATGAACAAGTGGCAGACTATCACAGAGATGGAGATCACCAGGGGTATGTGTGCATGTACCCAATGGATTTGGGCCCCTAGGCTCCTATGTCTATCCAGCCACTCACGCAAATGACACCGCAGAAAGCATCAAGATGCTCGAGCCCTATTGTTCGGAATTCCTCATCCATGCGGCCGACAACGAAGGCCTCCAGCAAGGCATCGACACCGAGCTCGTCACAGCCTTGGCCGACTGGTGCATGATACCGGTGACATATGCCGGTGGTGCTCGCACTGTGGCAGATCTTGACCTCGTGAAGCAGTGCAGTCAAGGCAAAGTTGACCTGACCATTGGCAGTGCCTTGGATATCTTTGGCGGAGGTGGCGCCAGATTCGAAGATTGTGTTAGATGGAATGCAGACAATGCCTAGCAGTTTGTCACGGGTCCACGGTTCCCTCCATCGCGACATCGAGGTCATGGCAGTTGTTGCTTGCCGGTGTGTCCAAACCTCCCTGATCATCTTCCTCTCCACCATCGCCCTGCTCCCCAACGACAGTGTCATCGGCATTATCCAGTTCACCATCGAGATCCATTTCCTCTACCACCGCGTCTTTCCTCCGATATCCCAACCTGATCACCCACGTCTGGCCATCTACCTCTCTTTCTATCTCATATCCAACTTCAGGCTCGTCAACGAATTCGGCTCTATGATAGATCCGTCGTCTCGCTCCCCATTTGCACCAACCGGCGGCGTTCTTCCTCCCTCTGATTCTCCACTTCCGGTCATGATGCATCTGCTCGCTCGCTCGCCTGATGTCTTCCAGCAAGACGTCCCAGTTCATCGCCGATGCAGAGGATCGATCCTCTTCTCTGGGCGGCAATGGCGCGGATGACGGCGATCGAATTATCTGCGAAAACGCTGGTTTTGGGACGGTTTTGCCTTCTTCCCGGGGCGTTCGTGATGTGTGTTGCAAAGGATAAAAGGGATCTTGCAAGACCTCATTCTTCTCCCTCCACAACATCATACTCGCACACAGAACCTTGAAGTCTAGCTACAGGACTCATAGACGGGGTTAGCATGTGAGCTTCCAGTCCACCCCGATAACAAATGTCTAGGGACAGAGGAAGGGGAAGGGAACACTCACATTCACGGCCGCGGTGGCTATGCGTGCGATCCACCAGTCCAAGTGGAAGCCCATGGTCTGCGGAAGTTGTGCCCGCTTCACAACCTGACGAGGCTGAGGTGAGTTGTTGTCGAGAGTATCTTCGGCCGACTCGGTGTCCCAGTCGGTCGACTCCTCCGAGCCACCATCTCCATCAGCGTCTGCATTGCCTCCCTCCATTTCTTGCTCTGTCTCCTCCAGGATGGTGTTCCCTTTTGCAATGTTGTCACCATCACCAATCTTGGTGGTAGACTCTTTGGCGGCAGTGAAGCTTGGAGGCAGGGGCGCGATCGAAGGATCTACTGGAAAGGAGCCATCTGCTAGACTTGGAGTGTGTACGGGAGGCGAGGAAAGGCATGCTTCGAGCATGGGGTTATTTGAGGAGGCGGAATAAGAGAAAATGCCCCAGATTCGTTGCATGGTCGTTGTGGGTTTATCTATCTCAGGCAACGACGCAGATGTTGAGTGAAGGAACTTAGAACAGTCACGGACTGCGCGCTTCTAGTGACGCCACAGTGAGCTCAAGTCATTGCATTGTCGCTGCAGGCAGCTCTTCATGCAGAATCGTCTTTATTTCACTCCTCTACTGAGGATTCACTCTCCATGACCTTTCCCAATAAGGTTTGCAGACTATATGATCACACAGATGTAACAAGGATGTCGGCCTTGAACCAAAGGCCGCCTCTCAATATATGTCCCCTTGCTCTGATAACAGGTGGTCTGGACCTTCGTCGGTAATCAGATCGACAACAGCAGATGTAGGCGTAAATCGTTGGAGACACTGGCTGTACGAGTCAAGTTCGGGAAAGGTGAGGACACATGCGTTTGGAAATGGTACGGGTTACGCCAAAATGCAGTCAAGTATACAGGCAAAGTTTACGTGGCAGAGGAATTGGACAAGTTGGTTGTTACAGTATCATTTGATTGAAGTTACCTATTGCGGTGCCATCTGCTCTGTCGAGCAAGATTGTCATAAGGAATACATTGTCATCATCCGAAGCTCATTGAAGAAACCTGCAAGCATACTGCTAGGTTGTGCATATCCACCACTCAACCACTGACCACGAGGTGTAAGAAAACATTCTTAGGAACTGTTGCAAGAGGGTATCGTAGGTCAAGACGTGATGTTGATGATGAGACGTTTAGTGGGTAGCGGCTTGCTTGTTGCCCTCAGCAGATGCCTATACATTGTTAGAGCCAAATCTCGAGGTGACAATAGTGAAGAGGATCATACAGAGTGCTTGCTCTCGTCCACCTTGTCACCGACAGCGTCCTTTGCGGCAGAAGCACGGGTTCCGAGGGATGCGTCAGAGTCCTTGGCAACGTTCTTGTTGGCCTCCTTAGAAGCACCAGAGGTGGCTTCGTTGACCTTGTCACCGACGTAGCTGTACGGAATAAGTCAGTGGGAGAAAGGCAAAGAGGCATGGATGGCAACATACTTGGCAGTGTTCTTGATGGTGTCCATTGTGATGAGATTAGTTGAGTTGAATTGGTTTTGAGTTGAAATTGATTCGATTCTCTGATGGATGGTATGAAAGGATCTTGTGGATGATGGGCAAGACAGAGAGAGAAGAGAGGAAGAGAGAGATACTTATAGCCAGTAAGACTGAGCCTCAGCACGATGTCACTGCCATTCTCGCGTTTGCCTACTTTGCCCCGCGCTGAGACTTGTCATTCACTCCTTCCTCGAACTCCTTGAATCCCCCACTACGTTGGCCAGCCAGTCGCATTGCTTCGCGGACAGAATCAAACAAAGCAACCGCGTCTAGGGATTGAAGCCCGATTCAGTCTGAGGTCACACACAGTGCTCTTGGTTACCCGTGCAGATACGATGACGTCCTTTGACCTGCTGACACCCACCGAACGCGCACCTCCAAACCCGCCAAAGGAAAAGCAAACGCTGAACACAAGGGTGAGTCCAAGATTTGAGCAGTGACGACATGGTGTAGGAAGAATCCTCCATTACGCGAGCAACTTCCGCCAATCATAGCACGAGTGTTACGGAGATCTGTGGCTGATCGTGGCTTGCTTGTGGCGCACCGATCTGATGAGACTTCGTCATAGAGGTTTTAGGAGCTTAGATCCGACCACAGATGAGCCGCTTGACTTCCTTTTCTTTGGTATCATGACGTATAGCCACCAGCAACTCCCTAGTCAAGCCTGCTACAACGATGCTTTGTGCCATGTGAATTCCGGGTTCTCCCTTGCTTGCAGCGATCCAGGAGCGACCAACAGAGATGAGCATGTTACCCCAATCACACCAATCACTGTGACCACCAGCATGAACTGGTTCAAGAACCCCCCTGGCCAAGACACCCCAACGTCGTCATTCTTCCCTCGAAAGGGTGGGACAACACAGCCTCCTGGATGGATCTCAGCTGGAAGTCCACCTCGGGTTATTGTGGAGGGGATCCTCAGGAGCCGCATGTGAAACTGACCTAGGTTCATGGGCAAGAAGACTTTCCCATGTGCTTCCTCATGAACCTTTCCCATCTCGATTCGGGCTGTGCGTCGTGAACCTCAGGTAGTATCTGTCGAACGGCATGTCAAAGGCTGTGTACATGACCTATAACCCCGACAATCCATGCAATAGCCGTGGTTTACTTACCCGTCCGGATCGGTCAATCGAAAATCCTTTAGTCCCCATTCCTGCCACTGGATATCGGCATCCAGCTTCCAGCCCTTGTCAACAATGAAATCTCTCTCCTTCTCCAACTCATCCAACTCAACCACTATTTCAACTCCTTTGTTGGGGCGGCGGTAGCTTGTTTTCTCTTCCAGAGTTTCACTTGAGCCTGTCTCGATGGCACCGATAAAGATGTCGTCACGCCTAAGATAGGCGTAGCCACCATTCCGCTTGATCAGGGTAAAGTTGAGAATGGTAGAATAGAAGTCAATCATCCGTTGCAGATTCGAGGGGAATATCTCGATGCGTAATGAAGCTGGCATCGTGACCGAAAGACCAACTGAGAAACTTGGCCTTTTGCTTTCGTATCTTCTTTGACCATGTGTCACAGTCCCATCCAGGGAGACATGCAGGTTTATTTATATTTTGTAGTTGATACTGCAGCGCTTCGTAGACTACATCCACGAGGGCCTTCATGGCATTGGGGCTCTGTTAACCTCGATGCCCGGAACTTTGTCAGCGACGAGGTCTAGAGCTTAATCGACCTTTAGCTAGTGGATGTTCTCGACCTGGAATGACTCAGCATGAATGTTACGCAGTGCGAGTAGATCTGCAATTCACGTGATGGCTTCATCGATCATTTCCTCCCATATGCTGCTACCAGGAGAAATATGCACGAGTTTGTCCGGAAGTTGAGGGTGATTAATTGGGAATATACATCAATTGGAACGGTAAATTTCTTTGTGTTGGCTATAAAACCATGTATTACAACTCGTCGTGGATGTCAAGAGCATATAGTGCCGCTCCCAATCGCCCATTTTCTACCCAGAAACCCGGTCTCGAATGGAATCGATCAAATGCCCTTTTCGGCCAAGAAATCTAGCATCAGCTTCCCGATCTCCTCCGTGTGACTCTCGACCAAAAAGTGCCCGCCATCCAGCAACTCCAATTTCAGTGACTTCACGTCCCTCTTGAAGGCTTCCGCTCCCGCTGGCGGGAAAATGACATCGTTCCTTCCCCACAGGGCGAGCACAGGAACATTGCTCTCGCGCATGTACGCCTGAAACTTGGGGTAGAGGACGACGTTCGAGGCGTAATCCCGGAACAGGTCAAGTTGGATCTCCTTGTTTCCTGGTCGGCACATGAGGGCGTAATCAAGTTGGTATGTCGCTGGGTCGTCGATCTTTTCGGCCTCGGGCTCACCGTTCAGATATTGAGCTTTCGTAGTATCAAGGGACAAAACTGCACCCGATATCATTTCGCGTAATTGCCTCTCTTCGTCTGACCCAGCGTCGGAAGCCCACAGCTTCCGTAAGGGATCCCAGAACGACGACAGGCCCTCCTCGTAGGCGTTACCGTTCTGTGTAATGATGGCAGTGATGGCCTCCGGCCGCTCAAGTGCAAGGCGGAATCCTGTCGGGGCACCATAGTCGAACACGTACACGGCGAACCTTTTGATCTTGAGAACGTCCAGGAAAGATCCGACGGTAGTCGCGAGATTGGCGAAAGTGTACTTGAAGCTCAACGAGGCAGGAATTTCCGTGAAACCAAAGCCTGGTAGGTCGGGGGCGACGACATGGTATTTCTGTGCGAGGATTGGGATCAATTTTCGGTATTGGTTCGAGGAGGACGGGAAGCCATGAAGCAAGAGGATGGTGGGCTTGCTTGGGGAGCCTGCTTCGCGATAGAAGAGTTTGATACCGTTAGGCAAGGTTGCGTACATATTGACTAGATATGAGATTAGAGGTTCGACAGATGTCGAAAGTGTGATATCGAACGACTTCTGTGCTAAGGATCGGTGACAATCTCTGTTGCTCGATGTCTCCTAGATACCATGAACGGCAGGACATGACCTTGATATATACCCAACCTGGTGTTTAGACAATGAAACGAGTCAAGCTCCTCTCCGCAGCTCGAGCTGTAGCTTAGCCCATGAACAAGCTCCCAGCTCATTTCAGCTCAGACAATGGTAAGCGGTAAACAGACCTCTAGAGGCGTCATCTGACAAACAGAACGACGCTGGAACTCAAGGGTATGGTTTTGAAAAGGAGTCTGTCGAGAGATACACCATGACATTCCCTGCATTGGGCTTGGTCGCAGAGTTGCTGACAAAAAGGTTAGAAGAGCGATTGAAAGTGTAGAAGGAATAAAGGAAGCGGGATGGGACATGAAACCAAGCAGCATGAGGCGGACAAGTTGCTGCTTGACGATGGTCTTGACAGGATAAAAGTGGCGGGGGTGTCCCCCACAATCATGTAATCAAGAGAGCAAGGAGGCTTCTGTTTCGTGAAGATAAAACATGCTGTTTGTGGGATAAGAACATGCCGCTCTTGTTCCTCGGCCGCGCTGCTTCAAGTCAACGTCGCTCTTTTGCATCCCACCTGCTTCCGCACCCTGGAACGTTCGTTTCGTGCTTCCTCATCGTCTCATCCACAATGGTGCCGCCAAAGATGCTTGTGGCTTGCTCTTCGACAAACTCTGAGCGAATAGATTTCCTCTTCCGAGCACCGCCAGGCCAAGATAAGCCGTTCGTGAACCAGCAAACTTCTTTCTGGTGCTGCTTTTCAATTCTGACCACATTGCTGCTTTTCAAGCCTTATATCTTGCGCAAGTTGTGGAGTCGATCTGGCCTGATCTGACCCCCTTCTGAGATTGTCCGCCCGAGGCTAAACCCATGGTAGGAATAGCTGGACAAGTGTCACGATCAAACAGTCATCACGACAATATTGCTCTCAGCGGTAAAAGTTGCTCAAGGGCATGTATTCGGCAATACTGTTGCCCAAAAGGACATGTTCATGAACCAGCAAATTGGTTTTTGCTGCTGCTTTTCATTTCAGATGTGCCTGCTGCTTTTCTCTTGCACCAGCTGGTGGGGTAAAGACTCGTTGACATGCTGCTCAGACGGTGGCAAAGCACGGAACAAATGGGTCTCTGAATGTTCGCTCGTTGGGCAAACGAAACGGGATACAAGGGGCGGGAGATTCTGTCTCATCTGATGGCTGATTGCAGGCTGTCGTCGAGAACCAGTTTGCTCGAGTCTCCATCACGGGCCCTTTTTGGCCCGATGCCGCCTGAACTGTCAACTTCATGAACCAGCGAAGTGATTTCTTGCGCTGCTTTGGTTTTGCAACTGCTTGCTGTTTTGCATGATCACTAACACTTTTGTGGACCAACCTGTTTGGTCGCACAGCAACTTGCGAATGGAGCTGAAGACGAACTAGCAGCGGAGAGGGTGCATTGACACGAAGAGGGCGACGCTACGTGAAGATGAACAGGGAATCCACCATGCAGACATGGGCCTTTCCAACGTTTATGTCTTGAAGGGGAAAGCATGGCTGCCGAAGTCAATGGAACAAGCAGATGAGAAGAGAGATCTCGGAGACCAGGGGAAGCAATGCGGCAATGTCTAGCAAGATGTCTACAGTGAGGAATCATCCCATGTGTGTGCTTTTCATTCCGGAAATCACTGCTTCCTGTACATCCCTTTGACCTCTGAGTCAAATCTGTATGACCCTTAGCAAGCGAGCTCTGGGATATCTTCAATCGCCCACCACCCTGTGCAATCTTCTACAATTTGTGTCTCTTCTGTCCACTGGCAATCTTCTTGAATTCTTCCTGCGGCGCTCCCTTGACAAATCGCTGCATACCCTCCATCACCTCCCTGACACCTTGTGCCTCGAGGCCTTCCAAGAACGGCCGCCTGATCAACTCCTTGATCTTCAGGATGGACTCCTGGTTCAAGTGGTCGCCCAACTTGTCATCGATCTCCGCCAATACCTGTTTCAGGAACCCCTCGGAGTCGTTCTGATCTTTCCCAGAGAAGACCTTGTTCACGAATCCGCAGGCCACGAGCTCGTCGCATGGGATCTTGCGGGACATGATAAGTGCTTCGTTGGCCTTGGTCAGACCCATGCGCTGCACGAGCCCAACACTTGCACCGCCCTCTGCGACTAGCCCGAGCGAGGAGAAAGGCGTCAACAGGAAGGTATGCGGGGCGGCATAGATGAAGTCGCAGAAGCCCAACAGGGCAGCGGACAGGCCCACCGTAGGCCCATTCAGCGCAGCAATCAGGATCTTCGGGTGCGTATAGAACGAGCGTGTGATATCCAAGTTGTTGCTCACAAATCCCCTCAAGATATCGTTACGTGCTCCGTCTTTGTCCATGCCCGGGCCTACGCCGGGTCTGGTGGAGGTGACATTCGCACCCGCCGAGAAGAACCGGCCGGAGCCTGTGAGCACCGTGACGCTGATGTCTGGATTCTCCGCGATGTCCCGGAGCAGGCAGGAGATGCGGTAGTAATAAGGTTGGGTCATGGCATTGAGTTTCTTAGGTTGGTTGAGGGTGATGATGGCAATGCGGCCTTGCTGCCTGTAGAGGACTGCTTCTTCTGGGGAAGCCATCGTAGCCATTGCTGTGGGCGGAGGTAGCCGGTAGATCGCGAAGACGGGTGAGAAAGCAGACGACTCGAGGTCAGGTGGAAAGGAAGGAAGCTGTCACCGGGAGAGATATCCTGAAGCTGCTCGACAAGAGTCAGTAAGTAGTGGGTGAATGGCTCTTCTACACCTTCCAACTTCCCCCAGAGATCTTGGGGGTAGGATATAAAATGTTTCAATTGTCCCTCGGCATTGGAAAGTCAGCTATCGCCGTGCACGGGTACAGGACACTAATCATAGAGGCGGAGGGAGGATTGGACGGCGAGCTTGCGGCGAACTGAACTGCGGAGATTGAATGGGCATCGCGGCGGCGATTCCTGAGCTGGGGAATCAGCCGAGGTTGCCGGAACAGCGACCATCTCGCTGTCTGTTATTCTTCCGCTTCCACGGTTACCATGGTCAAATCGAGGAGCTCTCTTGGGGCTAGTGTAATGTTTGATCTATCCAGGCTGGGGATCTGCATGGTATGAAGAATGCTATCCTGCATGCTACAGGTGCCATGTGCCTTGCCAGCATCCATATTCCTCGGTGCTTATCTCCTTTGCACGGCACCACTTTCAGCCGCTCCAAGCACCCTCCGCGTTACGGGCGTACCAAGACTCGCTTCTCCAAGGTGATAGTACGGGTGGAAAAACTCTGATATGCCACGATCTCTAGACGTATCTCTAACAGGAGATAGGTTTATTGTGGTGGAGGGAAAACGACCTGGGGAAGCCGGGGGGAACACTTGGCCGAGAGACCAGACGTGTTAACCAGAACCTACCTGTTTCAAACCAGTGGATGGGGGCCGTGGATCACCTCTCTTCTTTGCCTTCATTCTTCAGCGTCCCATTTCGACGGGCCCGACCGAGATCGAAATATTACTTCCTGTCAAGCATCTGACGACGATGTCAGGCTGCAAGGCTGAATATCCAGGAGAGGCAGGTTAGGCGAAGATCACGGGAATGCTTGTCATTGGCTGCCGATGTCGTGATCATTGACGGCGCGATCGACTCCTGCAACTTTTACCCCAAGTTGTTCAAGCCCAGGAAAATGGATGTCATATTTCTAAAACGTCTCTGGAGAGACCCCGCTCCCTTCTCGAACCTCTACCAACTTGAAATTCTGTACGGTGCGACATGGCGGTGCCGCGAGGAGCCCAGATCGCAGCACGGCTCCTGAGTCGAGGCTCACGGACTCTGAACTCCAATCCATCTTTAAGCATAAGGGAGCACAAGTTCGACCATTCCCTTGCAAAATCAAAGACCCAGCGGATTAGAAATGCCTCTCTACACACGCGAGCATCTCATCATGCGCAGGCCGCCACTGCTGCTGTGCATGAAGAAGAACCTTACGAGTCCTCGAACCCGGCAATGTCCTTTCCGTGTCTGGACGCCCAAGAAATGAAGACGGCTGCTTTGCAGAACCGCTCTCTCGAATCAGGGCCCGAGCCATCCTACACCACGGGCAAACACATGGTCTTCCACAGCTCCGACCCCATCCTGCTAGATTGGGGTGGGATACTGCCTGAATTCAACATCGCCCACGAGACTTGGGGTACATTGAACGCAGACAAGAGCAATGCAATTCTGTTACATACTGGACTATCGGCGTCAAGCCATGCACACAGCACTGGAGCAAACCCGAAACCTGGATGGTGGGAAAAGTTCATTGGGCCTGGTGCTCCCTTGGATACCAGCAAATACTTTGTGATTTGCACCAACGTGATAGGTGGCTGCTATGGCTCGACTGGACCTTCTTCGATCGACCCCTCTGACGGCCAGCGATATGCCACTCGGTTTCCCATTTTGACGATGGACGATATGGTCAGAGCGCAAGCGCGGCTTCTGGACGGCCTGGGAATCGACAAGCTCTACGCCAGCGTCGGTGCCAGCATGGGCGGTATGCAAAGTCTCGCCTTTGGTGTTCATTTCCCTGAGCGAGTGGGCAAAGTCGTCAGCATTTCAGGCTGTGCAAGGAGTCACCCGTACAGCATCGCCATGCGGCACACTCAACGACAAGTGTTGATGATGGACCCTAAATGGAACAGGGGCTTCTACTACGACAGTATCCCTCCACATACGGGAATGAAGCTCGCCCGCGAAATTGCCACCGTGACATACCGCAGCGGGCCAGAGTGGGAGAATCGATTTGGGAGACAGCGAGCCGACCCCAGCAAACAGCCCGCGCTGTGCCCTGATTTCTTAATTGAGACGTACCTGGACCACGCTGGTGAGAAGTTTTCCTTGGAATATGATCCAAATTCTTTGCTTTATGTGAGCAAGGCGATGGATCTGTTCGATCTTGGGTGGGCGCATCAAGAGAGCACAAGAACGCGAAGACAAAAGAACCAGGAGAAGCTGTTGAACTTTCGTGGGGCAGCCACCATTCGAAACGACCCAGCATGCAGTCTGATGTTGCCGTCGAAGAATTATGAAGAACAAGTTTCCACTGCGCCAATGGATGAAGTTGTTGCCCCCGGCCACCCAGCAGGCCCGCCCAAAGATCTCGTCCAGGGGATGGCACCCTTGAGCGACCATCCCGTCTTGGTGATGGGTGTGGCCAGCGATATCCTCTTTCCAGCGTGGCAGCAGAGAGAAATAGCTGAGACGTTGAGGGCAACAGGGAACAATCGAGTAACGCACGTGGAACTTGGCGAGGATATTAGTTTGTTCGGGCATGACACATTTCTCTTGGATCTAGAGCATATTGGCGGCAATCTTGGGAAATTCCTGCAGTAAGCGCATCTAGCATTCATAGCTGCAAAATACGATCGATCGTGGCTCGGGACCCCTTTGCTTTTCATCCTGGGAACAGCGGCGCTCAATTCTCGAAATACTGGCCGTCTGAAAGGAACACATCTGCCTTACTCCGACACGTTGGAAAGCTGTTCAACTCTTTGAATGCAAAATCAACCCCACAATCAAGCCGTAGAGTCCCAGGACTTCACCAAAGATCAGAATGAGCACCATGCCCACAAATATCCTGCTTTGCTGCATGTAACATCTCACGCCCATATCTCCCACAATGCCAATGGCATAGCCCGCCGCCAGACCAGCCAGGCCAACACTCAATCCAGATGCCAGGTGCATGAATCCCGTAAACAAACTGTAGTTCTGCTGAGGCGGGGGTCCCATGTCTCCTGCGATGAGCACGGCAATGACCAGGGCGTAGACGGCGATGATACCGGACATGACGACGGGAATGAGGGACTGCCATTCATTTGTCAAAACAAAGCACATCGAGGGCCTTTTTGCGCATCCCGTACCTTCATGATCAAGTCGGGGCGGTAGGTTCCCACACCAGCAATTCCGATGCCTGATTTCGCGGTGCCATAGGCGGCTCCTATACCTGTATAACCACTCAGTATCTTTCGCATGATTCAATTATCCATCCAAAACCCATACAGCCGAAGATCATCTGAAGCGCACGGAGGGTTAGCAGAGACGGTCAGGTTCGTTGTGAGACGCTATCGACGTACAGCAGAGGCGATTCCGGCCTGCACCATTCAGCGTGTTAGCCCTGTTTCGCCCAGCGAGGGACAGTGAGGAATTACCATGCCAAAGAAGGGAGCAAAGTTGGGCGAGAGTTCACTGCCAGGTCCTTCAGTAATTGTCGCCATGGTGGAATATTCAGTATCTGATTGTAGTAAAGGTGTCGGAAAAGAGCAGGAAGCAAAGGTGCAGGGAAGAAAGGCGGGTGCTCAAAGCGACCTTGTGGGTAACAGTTCTGCCGATGAAGCTTGGGAATGAATGGGTGGGAAGCCGCGAACAGGCCCTTGGGGGGTGACGGCGATGATGTGCCTGCGCTCCTGCCCGCTGTGCCCAGTGCCCAGTGCCCAGTGCCCACCGCAGGGCAGGCACGCAGGCCAGGAAGGAGCCGTGGGAGCTTAGAGGAGGCAGGCGCAGCCAATGGCAACCCCAGCTTCTGGCTTGGATTAGCAGCAAGTCGATCCTCGTCCAACTGCATCGTTTCTCCCCATCCTATTCCCATTTCCATTCCCACTACATGCTATACTGCGCTCTATCCATTGATCTTTTCACCATTACTACTCATTAATCCGTACATACTCATTCAATCCTACGCTTGCTCTCCCTGCTGGCCTGGTGGGAGCATGACACGGAATCTGTGCGACCATCATCTGTAATCTCTGACCATCCCTCATCCACCGCGATCTCCTCCATTCGTGCAGCACGCACACATAACCCCAACCTGAATATCGGCCACCCACCGTCCTCGATTGTCAATTCATTCCACGCCGTCGAGCCCCCACGATCCATATCGCTGCCCTTCGTTTTGCCTCCACCGTCTACACGACGATTGAACAGCTGGGGGCGGGGGAGAGAATTCAGGATCGCGAAAGAGGAGACCAAAAAAAAGCCCCCTGCACTCTACACGCGGCAGATCCGAGTCTCTGTTACCACAACTCTCCATGCTCGCTCAATAACTACGCCCCTCCTATATCGCTCTTCCCCTCTCCTCTGACCGAGCATGGCAGACTATGGTCTGCCCGATTCTCGCTATTATGGTGCAAGGCCACCTCCTCCGCAGCATGGAGGTCCAGCCGACCAAAGAGATACTGCCTTCCATAATATCTTCGGCGGTGCTCCTCCTCCAGGAAGGTCTCAGACAATGACAACACAGTCTGTTGGTGGCATGTACGATCGGCTGCCCAGTATGGGTTCGCAACAACACCCACATACCATGTCCATGAGACAGGGCCCCCCTCCACCAATGCGTCAGATGCCTCAATCCTACGATCGCTCTAACGGCATTGCTCCAGGCCAGCCTTATACGAATGGCGCCAGCGGTGTAAGACCAGCGCCACACAATCCGGCGCCTATCTTTCCTGACCGACGACCTTATCCTCCGCCTCAGCGGATCGACACACGACCTGGTGGCCCAGCTTCCATGTCGATGTCGACCTACGATCGGAGACCTGTTCCCAATCGAATGCCTCCTCCAGCACTGAACAATGATGGTTATAGGTCGCGATCCATGGTGAGGCCTGGAGAGCCGACCATAGGTTATCGTCCGCCACCCAGTAGCTTCCAGCAGGGTACCGCCAGTGCTTTCAGACAGCAACCCTATGCAGGGGTGGGTGGTTCAAGGACGACAGCTCAAGGCAGACACATACCAGAAAGGGTCGACGGGGATAGATCTATGTCGATGGGATCGTACGCGTTGGATCGAGATCACACCCAGCAATTGACAAGTGGTAGAGTTGTGCCTCACCGCCGACGAGAATCAGAGTCGGATCCTTTCGCAGATCACCATGCCTCATCCAACGGCTCCTTTAGCTCCACTAATTCTCCTGGGTACGGGATCACTCCACGGTCGCGGCGTCCTAGTGAAGGAAGTAATCCCCCGCGTACTGTGTCTGCCGCTTCTGGCGCCTCAGCTTCGTCTGACTTGACGCCAACAACCACCATGAACGGCTCTCGCAACGACAGCATGATGAGTAGGCCGACAGGCTCGGCACATTCGTCGGCCAGTCAGACAACGACCGTCGTCCAGAGAAAGTCGCCCCTTGTCTACCCTGCCCTTCTGTCACGAGTGGCAAGCGCTTTTCAGGAGAGAATCGGCGTTGGCGACAGAACCAAGAATGATCTGTCTTACAAGAATGCCTTTACGGGGGCGGAGGCTGTCGACCTGATCGCCTACATTATCAAGACAACTGACAGAAACCTTGCACTGCTTCTCGGACGAGCCCTTGACGCCCAAAAGTTCTTTCACGACGTCACCTACGAGCATCGGCTCAGGGATGCCCCCGGAGAAGTCTACCAGTTCCGAGAAACGATGGGAGAAGAGGCATCCTCAAAAGATGTCAACGGTGTCTTCACTTTGCTGACAGAGTGTTATTCTCCAACGTGCACAAAAGACCACCTCTGCTACTCGATTGCGTGCCCTCGGCGGCTGGAACAGCAAGCGCGCCTGAATTTGCGACCGCAACCCGGATTACGACATTCCAACTCAAGAGGAAGCTTACACGGCGAGGAGGACCAAGAACAGAAGCTCTGGATCAACAGTGTTCCGAAAGAGGTCGCGGACAAGATCGACGACAAAGAGAAGAAGAGACAGGAGGTCATCTCAGAGATCATGTACACAGAACGCGATTTTGTCAAGGATTTGGAATACCTCCGCGATTTCTGGATAAGACCACTTCGCGGCGCTGGCAATGTCATGTCTCCCATCAAGGAGGAGAGGCGAGAGAAGTTTGTCCGCACCGTCTTCGGCAACTGTCTCGAGGTACTTGCGGTGAATGGAAAGTTTGCAGAGGAGTTGTCGAAGCGGCAGAAAGAACAACACGTGGTGCACACCATCGGTGATATCTTCCTCAGATTTGTGCCGCAATTTGACCCTTTCATCAAATACGGGGCGAACCAGATGTACGGCAAATACGAGTTCGAAAAAGAGAAGGGCGCCAACCCAGCCTTTTCGCGGTTCGTTGACGAGACTGAGCGCCTCAAGGAGTCCAGAAAACTCGAGCTGAACGGATATCTTACCAAACCGACGACCCGATTAGCCAGATACCCGCTCCTGCTGGACAATGTGTTGAAGTACACCAAGGATGACAACCCAGACAAGAAGGACATACCCAAAGCCATCGGCCTGATCAAGGATTTCTTGGCTCGAGTCAACGCGGAGAGCGGGAAAGCCGAAAATCACTTCAACTTGCTCCAGCTGAATCAACAGCTCAAGTGGAATGCGGGAGAGTACACGGACCTGAAACTTACCGAAGAGAACCGGGTCATTCTGACGAAGATGAGCTTCAAGAAGTCTCCCACCGACAGCGCAGAAGTTCAGGTGTATCTCTTTGATCATGCGGTCCTCATGTGCCGGGTTAAGAACGTCAACAAACGCGAGGAACTCCGAGTATACAGAAAGCCGATTCCACTGGAACTCCTCGTCATCGCCGAGATGGATCAAGTCATTCCTCGCCTGGGCCTGGCAAAGCGCTCCTCGTCCAGTCTCATCCCTGGCAACAAACCATCCACATCCAGCACCCCAGGTCAGAAAGAAGTGTACCCCATTACGTTCCGACATCTCGGAAAAGGTGCATATGAGCTTCAGCTGTATGCTACGTCCATCACACAACGCAAAAAGTTTATCGAACTCGTCGAGGCGCAGCAAAGCAAACTTCGCGACCGAAGCAGTGCCTTCTACACCAAGACTATCTTGTGTGAAGGCTTCTTCAATGCCCAGAACCGGGTCAATTGCCTGGTGCCAACGGACGGTGGCCGCAAGCTCATTTACGGGACCGACAACGGCATTTATATTGCTGATCGGTGGCCAAAGGACAAGTCCATCAAGCCGAAGCGCATTCTCGACGCCACGCAAGTTTCCCAAATCGACACGCTGGAGGAGTATAGACTTCTCCTGGTATTGTCGAACAAGACGCTCACCTCCTATCCTTTTGATGCATTGGATCCGAACAACCAGAATCCATTGGCAACGAGACCTCGCAAAATCCAAGGGCATTCCAACTTCTTCAAAGCCGGAATCGGATTAGGGCGACATTTGGTGTGCTCGGTGAAGACTTCGGCATTATCCACTACTATCAAGGTGTATGAGCCCATGGACGATCTTACTAAGGGTAAGAAGAAGCCGGCAATCAGTAAGATGTTTGCCAGTGGCCAGGATGCTCTGAAGCCTTTCAAGGTAAAAGCTGCTCGGGTGACGAACGGTGTGACAAATGATGCTGACAAAGGGGCTTTAGGAATTCTACATCCCAGCTGAATCGACGTCAGTGCACTATCTCCGCTCCACGCTATGCGTTGGCTGCGCCCGAGGTTTTGAGGTCGTCTCGCTTGAGACCACCGAGAGGCAATCCCTGCTCGACCAAGCCGACACATCGCTCGACTTCGTGACGCGCAAGGAGAACGTCAAACCGATCCACATCGAACGTCTTAATGGGGAGTTCTTGCTCAACTATTCCGACTTCAGCTTCTTCGTCAACCGCAACGGATGGCGGGCCAGGCAGGACTGGAAGATCACTTGGGAGGGCACACCACAGGCATTTGCACTGAACTATCCGTACATTCTCGCGTTCGAGCCGTGTTTCATCGAGATCCGGCATATTGAGACGAGCGAGTTGATTCACGTGATGACGGGCAAAAATGTGAGGATGTTGCATTCGAGTACGAGAGAGGTGAGTGACCCTTGCCCTAAGGGTCATACATGTGCTGACGGCTTGTGCCCAGATTCTGTATGCTTACGAAGACGAGAACGGCGAGGACGTGATTGCTAGTCTTGACTTCTGGACCCAGGCTCAAGGCAATTAGAGCTTCTTGAGGAAGGATGGGTGGCCAGATTGGAAAGCCTGCTGTTTCAGCTTTTAGCCCTGTTTTTATTCTGCTTGCTTCACGGATGGACGAATAGCTACACGGTCAAGTTCAGGAGGGCCGTGCAATGGACTCAGGAACGGGAGTTGGAGACACTGACCAAGCCCCGACAATTGGGAAAGGGGATGGACCGTTTCCACATCTGTTCACACATGGATGGAAATGGTGTCAACAACGTTTATGCGCTGAGATGAAAGGGGTGGGGGACACGAGACACATGGACCAAAGGATGAAACGATCCCTAGCAGTTGGGAGGGGTCGATGAGCTGGATGATGAGGCCAGAGCTCTTGCAACGTCCAGAGAAAATCCAAAGCGAGCTTTCACCTTGAGCCATGTTTTTCCTAGTACTGTTCCAGTGCTGCTGCTCGACGGCAGGTCACAACTGGAATTTCGTCCTCGTCTTCTCCATCTTGGCCTTCCATTCCCAATCCTGGCCACTTGCTCTCTGTATCCCCTTATCGACCCTCCTCAATTTCAGAGTCATTCGCGGCCCGAGTTCCTGCAGTCCGGCTCTGATGCCTTCGGTGCCTTTCATCTCCTTTCCATCCGCGCCAACTACGGATCTCTCTGTTTCCCGCTTTGCGCGGAAGATGTACCGGTGCCGGCGGAGGAAGATGTAGTCCCGCTGGTTGTGCAGTGTCAGGACCTGCCGGCCCTGGAGCTCCGGATTTGCGGGGAAAAGGGAGCGGAAGAGGTGAGCGGTCACCAAACCTAGCGGAGTCGTAAAGTTGTTGAGGATCAGTTCCGGAACGTGGTCTGTAGGGCGACCGTGGCCCGGAATCTGCTTGCCCGAATACCAATTGGAGATCGTGAAGTGGAACGTCGGGCCTACGGGAAGATGCACAACGGTCATGCCCGAGGGCCTCTTTTGGTTCTCCTCGAGGACGATGACGGACGTGTATCCGTGCTTGGCGGCAAAGGCCGAGATCTCGCGGACGGAGAATTTATGTCCGTAACGGTGGGAAGAGCGGCGGATGTACTTCGAATTGGGGAACAAGGAGGTGAGGATGGCGGCTTCATTGTGCAAGGTCGAGTTAAGCGACGTGGTGATCAAGATCTTCGGTGGTGGAGGAGGAGGTGCGTCCGGCGACAAAAAGAGAGTAGGAAATTTGGCGGCGAGGGCGGCGGGCGCCAGGGAGAGGTTGGTCGAGGTCGTCGAACGGGTCGGCGAAGGTGCGCGGTCTTTGAGTCGAGATCTCGAGGAGTTGAGCTGGGATTTTGAGGGTAGAGGGTCTTGGGTGTCTTCGTCCAGATCGGCAGGCTCGAGATCATCTTCGTGATCATCTTCGTCGTCGCTTTCCTCGAGCATGGAATCATGATCATCATCGTCGTCGTCCCCTTCATGCTCAGCCACGTCGCCATCGTGCTGTGACTCCTGTTCCTCGGCCAATTTTCTCCTCTTCAGCCTTTCCACATCATAGACCCTCCCCAAGCCCCCGTCTTCAGGCTCGTCCGCGATGTCGTCGTAGACCCGTTTCTTGTCCAGCGTGATGGGGACATTGCGCCGCAGCCGTTCCTCTCGCAGTCGCGGATTCTTCGCCTCCTCCTTTTTGCGGGTGAATCTCTCGGCCCGTTTCAGTGCATCCCTCGCCCGTTTCTGCTTGACGTGGAGGTCCTGTCTCCGCTGTTTGTTCGATGTTTTGAAGGGGAGGGCGGCCTTGTCGGACAGCCTTGTGGTCCGGGAGGGCATATTGGAGTGTAGAGGGGGCTAGTGAATACGGCACATGTGTGTCAAGCTGAACCCCGTCGTGTTTGTTGAAGGTTGAATGGGTTGATGTACTCGGTGCCGCTTCTGAAAAAAAGTTGTGCGGAGGAAAGAGAATCTCCGATACGCAGCAAGGCTGAATTGTGGCTGAATGTGGCAGTGCCTGTGGCTGAACAAGGCTGCGCTCCTCGTGACGGTGGCTGCACTAGGCCCAATTTGGCCTCCGGCGAAAGATGATTTCTGTGTCATTTTCCAATTGTGATTCCTCCTCAAGTTTCGAGTCATCCCACCCTGCGACTCCTGTGTGTATTTGCTCAGGGGCTCCGTTCCAAGTCCCTCATTTCTTTCTTCCTTGGTTCTATGCGTGCTTTGGCTTGTCTTTCTAGAGCCACTTCTTTTCAGCCTTCTCATCAATTTGTGCGACGTTTTACAGCTACCACTTTTGCCAGAGCAAAATTCCAGCCGCCCAAACTAGACCCCAAGATGGCAGAGAGCACGACCAAGACCGGTCAGCCGCTGGACCGTGCGGTTCTCGAGTCTGTCCTGCGCCGCCGACTCTTCTACACGCCCTCTTTCGAAATCTACGGCGGAGAACGCGGGCTTTTTGACTATGGTCCCCCAGGATGCGCGCTGCAAGCCAATGTGGTCGATCTGTGGCGGAAACATTTTGTCCTGGAAGAAGACATGCTCGAGGTCGACTGTACCATGCTGACCCCAGAGGCTATTCTCAAGACCAGTGGGCACGTGGACAAGTTCGCAGACTGGATGTGCAAGGATCCCAAGAGTGGGGAAATCTTCCGAGCAGACCATCTGGTGGAGCAGGTCCTCGAGGCAAGGCTGAAAGCCGATAAAGATGCACGCGGTCAGACGGTCGAGGTGGACGAGGCTAAGGAGGCCAAAAAGAAGAAGAAGATCAAGGACACCAAGATTGAGAAGCTCGACGATGCCCTCGTGCAGGAGTATGAGGAGACCCTGGCCAAAATTGACAACTATGGAGGCGACGAGCTGGCCGAGTTGATCAAGAAGTACAACATTAAGGGCCCTACCACTGGAGCCGAGCTGGAGCCGCCGAGAGCTTTCAATCTGATGTTCCAGACCCAGATCGGGCCCAGCGCCGACAAACCTAATGGATATCTTCGTCCGGAAACCGCTCAGGGACAGTTCCTGAACTTCCAGAAGCTCCTCGAATTCAACCAGCAGTCCATGCCCTTCGCCTCTGCCTCAATTGGAAAGTCCTTCCGCAACGAAATCTCCCCACGCTCCGGGCTCCTCCGAGTCCGCGAGTTCTTGATGGCCGAAATCGAGCATTTTGTCGATCCCGAAGGTGGGAAGAAGCACCCTCGCTTCGAGGACGTCAAAGACACCAAGTTATCTCTCCTGAACAGAAAGACTCAACTTGCTGGAAGCACCAAACCCGACACGTTGACGATTGGGGACGCCGTGTCCTCGGGACTGGTGGACAATGAGACTCTCGGCTACTTCCTCGTCAGGATACAGGACTTTTTGCTCAAGCTTGGAGTTGACCAGACTAAATTGCGTTTCAGACAGCACATGGCCAATGAAATGGCCCATTATGCCGCGGACTGTTGGGACGCCGAACTCTTTACCACGTACGGCTGGATTGAGTGCGTCGGGTGCGCCGACCGAAGTGCATATGATCTGACTGTCCACAAGGAGAAGACTGGCGCACCGCTCGTGGTGCGCGAAACCCGAGCACAACCACTGATCATTGAAGAGTTTGAAGTCGACTTGGAACGCAAGAAGCTTGGACCTAAATTCCGCAAGGACGCAAAAGCGGTCGAAGCCGCCGTGGATGCGCTTTCGCAGGACCTGCGCGAAAAACTTGCGTTGGAGTTGGAAAAATCCGGAAAAATTGAGATCGAGACGCCAGGTGTCGGCAGTGGACGAACAGAGCTCGAAAAAGACGTGATCAAGATCGAGAAGAGGAAACGCACCGAATACATCCGTGAATACACGCCCAACGTCATCGAGCCGTCCTTTGGTATTGGACGGATCCTGTACAGCCTCATGGAACATGTCTTCTGGATTCGCGAAGGGGACGCTGCTCGTGGAGTGTTGTCCTTCCCCCCGGCGGTGGCACCCACCAAAGTCCTTCTTGTCCCGCTCTCCGGCCACGGAGATTTCAAGCCTTTCATCAAGAAACTGACCACCCGTCTCCGCCGAGTCGGGGTCTCCAACAAAGTCGACGACTCCTCTGCGAGCATTGGCAAGAGGTATGCTCGTAACGATGAATTGGGAACCCCGTTTGGCATCACGATTGATTTCCAGACGGTCAAGGATGGGTCGTTGACGCTGAGAGAGCGAGACTCTACGAAGCAAGTCCGGGCCAGCGAGGATGATATCATCACGGCGGTCAAGGCTCTGGTTGACGGGGAGGAGACGTGGGAAGACGTGGTCAAGAGGATGCCTGCCTTTGAAGGGCAAGATCTGGAGTGAATGAGTGAGTGAGTACGGGACGGAACGAAGGAGGTGATCTAGCCACGGCAAACATGAGTGAACTGCCTGCGCTCCGTGAGACATTGTGTCCGTGTGTGTGTGTTTTTCTTGAGATACCCCTGGGACCTTTTTGATGGTGCCATCTTTTTTCTCTTTTCCCTGAAAGAAGAAAAACTGAGATAGCACCTCGGAGATGACGGCCAAAGCACCGTGGCGGGAAATGCTGGGCCGTGGACTCCAAACTTTACGTGTATGAATGAGAAAACCATGTAAGAAGACGAATAACTTTTACGAAAGTGTAGCCTCGTTGGTTCTGCTGTTCTCGGGTTGAACATATCGATGTGCCTCTCTACTCGTCTCCTACTAGTACAGAGGAAGTGGATTTAATATTGTGCCACCCGCAAGCACAGCCATCGTCAATTGCCTCCTGGACCGCCTTCCTCATATCCGTGCGCCACACGTCAAAATACGGCGTCACCATGTCCGCGGCCTTCTTGGGGGTCAAGTGGGTGAGATCGCGGAGGAACCAGTCGTCCTCGGCGGCCGTCTCGACGATGGGATGAGAATGCACACGCAGCTTGTTCTGGGTCGATGTCGGGTCGACGAAGAACTGGAACACCTTGCGGCGCGCGTCCGAATAGGTGTTGAGCGTCAAGTCAGTGGGGAAGGAGTCCCGCAGGATCATGGTCAGGGCGTCGGCGCAGGCGTCGGCATCGAGCATCCCCGTGTTGAGGCCGAGGGCGCCGAAGGGCTGAAGAGGATAAAAAACAAGGAGAAAGAAATATTTAGCTCTTGTTCATCGATGGAAGGACAAAGGGGGAAAGGGGAAAGGGAGGTCCGTAGTGGAAATATATAGATAGATATATCACTCACATGGTTGCAATGGGCAGCGTCTCCGGCGAGGAGTACGTTCCCCCTCCTCATGGTCGGAACCAGCCTCTGATGTGTTCTGTACACCGACCTCGCCACAATGTCCACGTCCAACGGCCTCGGGCCTGGCATACAGCGTGCATAGTGTGCGTAGATGACCTCGTCCGTCAACAATTCGTCGTCAGAGCACGTGTCCAGCGCCGGATCGGCCGCCAACGTCCACCGCCAGAGCGTCTTCTTGCCCATGACGGGGTCTTCCAGAGGAGTCGAAATGCTGAAGTGGGTGGGGTGCATGACGAAGTGCGTGTGCATGGGTGTCTCCTCGATGTTGCAGACCCTCACGTTCGTGGCGATAAGCCGTTCGGGCCAGGTGTGGCCTGGGTAGGGGAGACCCAGTGCCTTGCGGGCGGCCGAGTGGGCGCCGTCTGCTGCGACCGCGAACTTCGCACTGAACTCTCGTTCCGCGCCGGTACTGGGATTGCGCGTGAGGACCGTGACGCCGTCGTTGTCGTTCTTCAATATGCGTGCCAGTTCGTGGTTGAAGTGGATCCGGACGTGGCCCGTCTTGAGCGCCTCGCGCAGGAATAACTGATTCAGTTGCGCTTGAGGGAGGTTCAGCACGCCGGCGCCCGGTTCGAGGAGATGGTCATCGGGGGCGCAGAAGGGCAGATTGGCCACGATATCCCCAAACACCTTGCCCCCTCGACCTTGGCCATCGTCCTTGGGTGGTTTGCGGAAACACAGGCCACGAGTCATGAACCCTTCCTCTCGGACCAGCTCGTATATTCCCATTTCCTTCAGCACCAGGTGGACGGCGCCGAAATAGCCGCATGCCCGCGGGGCATTGCTCGTCTCGGGAAGCCTCTCGATGATGTCGACATCGACCCCTGCCTGGCCCAGCTTGAGAGCTGTGAGAGAGCCGACCGCACCTCCTCCAATCACGAGGACGGACTTTGGAGTCTTGTCGGGTCCTGGCTCGAGTGGACCCGGGGTAGTAATTGGTTGCTCTGCCGGTCCAGCTACCATTGTGTTTCACCAGACTGGCGTTGCTGATGCTTCTTGAAAACTCAATGAGCAGAGACAGGCAGGTGAGGACCGTTGCGGCCAACACATATATAGATAGAGCTGTCTCATGTGAGACGTGAGAATACGATCAGGCCAGCACAGACTTTTACCATAGGGCCAGCCCGGAGGTGGCGGATTGGCCCACTATCCCCAGCTCGATCGTTTGGCAATGATCTGTGTGCAGTCATGCGTCTCGAGTGGATGTACCGGCGTCACACAAGATGCGGCTGGCTGGTCGCCTAATGCTGGTCTCCAAACGAGGCAGATCCGGGCTCATCATCCAATGTGATGGCCACCAAAGGTTGGCCTGAGGAAAAGATAGCCGAGGAAGACAGAGACTGGCCATGTCGTGCCGTAGTTCCACTTCTACAGCATCAGCCGCCCTGTCTCTGTCTGGTCTGGGGGAGCATCGATGAATGGGCGAAGTCGACATGTACGAGGTACTTTGTGCTGGGGTGAATCTGATTGGCGGAAGCGGAGCACGGCACGTGATGACTCTTGGCGACTAAGAGAAGGTTAAATTGACGCCGAGCGCCGCCGCTTTTAACCTCCGCTCACCTGACTCTCAACTTTGCCTCACCCTTATTACTCCGTACTCACCCTTTACCTACCTATATATTACGATTTCCCCCTTTCTTCCTCCTCCTTCCCCCTCTCTCCCCCTCTCCCTCTTTCCGGGGACCCCGTTCACACTTTCTGCTCCATCCGGACTACCTTGTCACAATTCAAAATGCACAAAGGATCAAAGGCATGCTTCATCTGCAGCATTATTGATGGCGTCAGCTCAGCAAACATTCATGTAACGAAAATCATGAACGCTTCAACAGCCTCATGTTGAATTGAGAATCGAAAGAATAGGGACAAACTCACCATACGCATAGTGTCCACGGCCGTCTGGCCGAGCTCTTTCTCGAGATAATCCCGCTTGACCAAACCAACGCCGTGCTCGCCGGTGACGGTACCTTTCATCGCCAGAGCCTTGTCGACCATGCGATGGACGAGACCTTCGGCTATCGCGCGTTCCTCATCAGGGAAGAGCAGGATAGCGTGAAAATTGCCGTCACCGACATGGCCGACTATTGCGCCCAGGATGCCGGACTGGTCAATGTCAGCCTTTGTGACCTCTATGATATCAGCCAGCTGGCTCATCGGGACGGCCACGTCCGTGACCCAAACTCGGTCCGACGGGTTTTGTCGCATGGCCATCACGCTCCACAGGGCGTTCTTGCGAGCTGACCAGAGTTCCTCCTTCTCGTCCGCATCCGACGCGCAGACGTAGGACAGAGCTCCGTGATCTTTAGCGATTTCGCCCACGATTCGAGTAGTTTCATGCACCGCCATGTCAGTAGCGCCGCCGAATTTGAAGAACAGGGATGGCTCCTCGGCCCATTTTTGCTTGGTGAGCCCGGCCTGGTTGATGCTCCGCATTTGCACATCGTCCAAGATTTCTACCGCTGCGACCTGGATGCCCTGCGCGATGATGGCTTGGACGGCACGAGCAGCATCGCGGACACTGGCGAAAGTCGACACAGCCACCGCGTCGCAGCGTGGTTTCACGGCCAGTTTCAGAGTGGCCTCGGTCACCAGGCCCAGTGTGCCTTCACTCCCGATGAAACTGCGAGTTAAATCGAAACCGGCGCTCGATTTCCGTGGACGTTGTCGTGTCTTGATGATGGTCCCGTCCGCGAGCACCACCGTCAGAGAGAGAACCCAGTCCTTCATCGTCCCATACGCGGCGGCGTTGGTGCCTGAACACCCAGTCCCGACCATCCCTCCAATCATGGCGCCCGGGCCCGGATCCGGAGGGAAGAACAGGCCTAGGGACGCTAACTCGTGGTTTAGATCAACCCACCCGATACCAGGTTGCACAGTGCAATCCAGATCCGCAGGATTTATTTCAATAATCTGGTCCATTCGGGTGAAATCGATGCACACGCCGCCCATATGCGGGACGTAGTGTCCCTCGCATGAGGTACCACCTGAGTAAGGCGTGATGGGGATCCTTCGCCGATGGCACACCTTAACCAGCTCCGATACCTCCTCCGTGGTGCCAGGATACACTACCACACTTCCTAACAGTGCACTCTCGGGATTCCAGCCACAGGATTGAAACTCGGACCCAGAATGAGATAGAAGGTCCTGTGTTTCGGTCGAGACATTTTCTTGGCCAACGATGCTCGCGAACTCCTTCCAGGCGTCCCGCATGTTCTGTGGGCTGGTGTCATGCTCGACTTTGGGTACACTGGACAAGGGGAGGGTGGATGAAGAAGATGAAGAAGAAGAGGAGGCGGAGGAGGAGGAGATGTTCGACGGCCTCACTTCCGCTTCCGCTTGCGTTGGTTCCTCTCGCGTTGCCAGCGAGAGCCCAGCGACACCGGCGCCCGTGAGACCGAGCGCAGAAACCTCTGGCGCGACAAGTCAGCGATCAGAAAATTACAGGACGAGAATAAAGCCCGTGGAAAGCGCATCGGAAGGGAGTGAGAGTCTTTACATCTCTTGTCTGAAGATACAACACAAAAGACACGAAGACGTACGGAAGATTGTTTTTTCCTTCTTGCCCCGAGCTCCTCCTCCGGCTCCAGCTCCGGCTGCAGCTCCAGCACGTGTCCTCGGACTGTTACTCGAATGCAAGGTCGATGCACGTCGAACAGTCTGCTTCTCAGTCTGCTTGATGACCTGCCTATAGCCCGTATGAGGACCAGAGATGGAGCGAACTCCACGACGACAGATAGAGGACACGAATGAGGTACTCATCTTGATCCCCGAGCACCAGACGGAGAGGGCAACGAGGTCGTGGATGGGGCCGAGGGCTTCCAAATTGTACGTCTGTGGCGGCTGGGGAAGCGATATTATAGGAAGCTACCACGGACCATATATACTTACAAGCATTATTCTTATACCACATCTCCACTCAGTCAATCCGAATACCGACACTGAAAAAGGATAATGAACAGTTGATCGGAGCGACTTGTCTTCCTTCGCCCGGTCAGGTCTCCCCTAGCCATCCGCATCGTTGTCACGTTTTACCACCTCGATTGAGACCTACTACGACCCCAGTCAGCCCCGTTGCCAGGGTGTCCGGTCACTCTGTTCCTGAACCAGACCAAAAACCAAATCTAACGCCCTGGTAGGGTCGGCTAGCCAGCAGCGGAACTTGTGTCCTGTGGTTAGAACTGAGCCGATGAGTATTGGTGGCGGCGACGCTCGGCCACGGATCGGCGACGGTTGAGTGGAGACTTGACAGTCGGCTCACTCAGGTAGAGAGTTCAGACTCCACCCAACCGTCGCCGAGCGTGTTCGGTGACGGTGATGGTGGCGGTGACAGCCAACTCCCCACAAACACCCAACCCCGATATGGCGTGTCTTTTACTGAACTGCCTGGAAATCTTCTCTCCAGATTCCGCCTCTCGAGCCTCGACCCCGGTCGCTTCGCTTCCCCGGCTCTTCTGGACATGCGACGACACGAGTTGACATTTGATCTCTGATCCACAAACACGGTACTCCGTACTCTGTACTCCAATGGTTGTCATCACAGTCATCCCACATCCATCTCCACTTGCAATGGATTTCATTTTACTTGTGAGGGGACCCCATGGGCACGGCACACGGCACAGTTAGCCAGCTATAACGCCAGAAAAGCATAAGGTGACTGGTTCGGCATCGGTGTCAGTGTCCGGGAGACTTTGTTGTGCTGCAAAAGCACATATATCGCCAGGGCACAGGCTCACGCACGCCTTTCGCTCGCTGCAAGGCTACAACAAGTTTACACAGATCACATCTCCCACCAAATTTCAGTTGAGCCCAATCAGTCTTCATACCGCTTCGAGAGGACACCTCAGGCCAGTCGCTTGTCCCGCCCTTTAGAGAACCAGAAGTCAAGTCCCATATTCCAAAGGGCTTCCCCGGTCATCATTGTCGTGGGATGAACATGGCGGCTAACCTCGAAGGGTCATCTCTTAAAAGGGTTGAGACTTTCAAGCGCGACCTGGAAGAGTACAGGGAAGATGCCCAGGTGCCAACAACGAGCGCGATAGAGATGGCGTATGACGAAAAGTTCCGCAACCGAGTTCTCTGGAAGATCGACCTCCATCTCCTGCCAATGCTGGGCGCATTATACACCATTGCAGTGGTGGACAGGTCAAATATCAGTGTCGCCAGGATCAGTGGTACGTGTGAGCGTGGTTTTTGCCCACAATCTGTCCCAGACAAGGAAAATTTGTCCTTTTTTGTTCTGTTTTTTTTCTTCTCTCCCTCAAAAAAAAATCACCCTGAATCTCTCTAATTCATTGAGCAGGGCTCGATGAGGATGTCGGCCTGGATGCGGGTAACAATGCCTCCATTGCCCTTCTGGTCTTCTTTATCGGCTATATCATCTTTGAGCTGCCTTCGAATATGCTCATCCACCGTGTCGGTGCGGCAAATTGGCTTGCCGGGATCGCGCTGGCTTGGGGCCTCGTGTCCCTCGGTATCGGCTTTTTGCAGAACTGGATTGGACTCGCAATTTGCAGAGCCATTCTTGGTGTTTTGGAGGCTGGTTTCTTTCCTGGGTAAGCAACTCCGTTTTACCACTATCGCCCTTTTTTTCTCTCTTTTTTCCGTGGAACGCATATTGCAGGCTACGAATTGTTAGATCACCCCGACCAAACCGAGATCATGGCTTGGCCCGGGCTGACCTCCGAGTGCTATATAATAGATGTGTGTACCTCGTCTCGTCCTGGTACCGACGCTACGAGGTTCAAAAGCGACTTGCTGGGTTCTGGTTAACAGCAACCACCCTCACCGCGTTTGCCAATATCCTTGCATACGGCCTGATTCAGATTGCTCACCACACCACCTACAAAGGGTGGAGATGGATCTTCATCATCGAAGGGGCTTTTACTTGCGTCTTGGCAATCCTGTCCTGGTTCGTCATCGTCGAGTTTCCCGATTCCGATCGCAACAAATTTCTGTCGCCCGAGGAGAAGGCTTTTGTACAGGCCCGCCTCGCAGAGGACCGTGGCGTCGAGGAGCGCGAAAAGGTAACCTGGCAGGTCATCTACCGAACGACAATCGACTGGCAGGTCTGGGCATATTCCTTGATGTACATGGCCGGTGCGGTGGGGTACTACGCGTTCTCATTCTTCTTGCCCATCATTCTCCGGAAGAGTCTGGGGTACTCGCTAGCCTTGTCGTTCATTCTCTCGGCGCCGCCGGCCCTGTTTGCGGCCGTTGAGGCGTACCTGGTCTCTTATGTGGCCGACAAGACCAAGAAAAGAGGCATCTTCGTCGTCTTCCAGGGTCTCATGGGCATCGTTGGGCTCTGCATGACTGGCTTCCTCAAACATCCAACACCGCGGTACGTTGGGACGTTTCTCGGAATCGCCGGGACCAGCGGGCTCGTGGTGACCACGCTAGCCTGGCAAGCCAACAACATCCGGGGCGATGCTAAACGAGCCGTGGCAACAGCGGTTCTGATCTCAATGTCCGGAGTCGGTGGGATTTACTCATCGCTGGTGTTCCGTCAGCGCGATGCTCCCAATTATCTGCCCGGAATTATTGCCGTCATGGCCATCTGCTGCGCGGCCGTGGCCACCGCTTGCGTGTCTATCGTGGTTCTGAGCTGGTACAACAAGAAAGCCGACGAGGGTGCGCGAATCAACGAGAATCTCGAGGGTTTTAGGTACACGATTTGATGTTGCACTGCTACGGTTGAGACTGCCGAAAAGTTGGCCCAGAAACGACATTCTTTTTCCTAGGATGGCGACGCTAGAGAACTGTGGATGATGCGGACACGGAAAGGAGACGAGTAGATAGTGGGAGGCAGTCATAAGTTGCTTCATTATCATTTCGCGCCTGTCCAATGGTTGTCATCTGCGAGCTGGAACGAACTCAATTCGCCATGAATCCAGGCATTGCTGGGATCTTCAGTCAACCCCAGATCAGCCAGAACGTGTAGGCTCTGATGGCACCCTCTGGCTTCGAAGAAAGGTAAATCTGTCCAATCGATCGGATCCGGATTGGTAGGGTAGTTATCATCGCCATCCCTTGTGTAAGCAGAATTTGGCACGCAGCGACCCAGATATATTGCGGGCACAGAGGTCGACATAGTTCTATGCGGTGAGTAGTCGTCCGAGGCGACGTGAGCCTCCATATCAACATCAAGACTGGGGCCTGAATCGGGGAAGCGGTGCAGATCACGCACCGTCGCCGAGTTCGGAAGCTGACCGGCCGTTGTAGAAAGACTACAAAGAGATTCTGTAGTATCGTTGCCCCGGTACAGGGCAGGAGTGATGTCCTCGTTTGCGGGAGACCGTGAAGCCTGACACGGGAGCTCGGTTCTCAGTCCCTTCTCAGGCCTGTCCGGCGGATGAGGTTGATCAGTGGTGGCCGACTGGATCTGAGATTGCCGAGGTTGATTCCGGCCTACCATTCCCATGAAGAGGTGTCGGATCCACTGCGCCACGACATAGCACTGCTCAAACTGTTTCAGAGCAAGGAGGGGCGAGCGCAGTCTGCGTGAGAAGTTGGCGGGCTCGAAACATGCGATGCCGCAATCGGCAACCTGTGCAGTCATGGCGCTAAAGATGGCTGATACGTAGATTAATGGAAACCTTTCCGGGGTCCAATGCAGTAGCGAATCGTCGACGATGGCTGAAATCCGATCCGCAGCCTCGAGGACGAGTTTCGAGCCTTCTGGATCGGTGAATGGCGGGTCGGAGAGGCGTTGAAGGCGCTGATGCAGGTTGATGATATAGTAACTGGATACATCCTGGATCAGTGACCTCCATTTTGTTCGGACTGGGGCCCGCGGTGACTTACTTGTAGCAGAGCTGCAGGATCAAGTTTAAAAGGTGGCTGTTGTCCCCAGGGCCGGGTTCCCGCCAATCGGCAAGCCACTCCTGGAGGGCATTTTGTATCTGCTGCCTTGCCCTTTCTCGTACCGAAGGATCGTGGCTCAGGGAGAGTTGGCGCGGTGAGCAGTGGCAGAAGAAGAGGTTCGAGACAATCTTGTTCAGAGAAGCCTGAGCGACCATGTATCTCGCGGTGTCAATGGATTCGTTGGGGAAGTCGTCCATGGTCAAATCTTCCACGTCAAAGTCCAGGTCGTTGATGACCATTGGGGGTCCCAGCGAGAGACAGACTTGTCGATCGCGGATGTATAGACACCACCAAATCCGCTTCCAATGCACCTTGTCCTTTTCCGGCATTTTGCTTTTCTTCGTGCTTCGATGGTAACCCATGGACTGAGCGGAGCGAATGGCGTTGGACATCCACCACATTGCATCCCGATACTTCCTCGGCCTGCTGCCAGCGTAATAGTGCAACAGAAATGACGAGAGAATCATGGTGGTCCTGTCCGACGCCTCGTCGGCATCGAATGCCGCGCGAGCTCGACCAAAGAGATCGTCTTCAGCCTCCAGTCGTGTCGAGTAGCCCATCAAATTCAGCAGATACTTTTCGCAGTGGAGTGAAGCCACAAAAAAGACGCATCTCAAAAGGGTGTGCGACACTTTACCGTCTCGTACGGATCGAAGGAATGAGTCACGATCGAGGATGGGGCAGAAGATATGGAATCGCCGGAAGTAGGCTTCAATGAGCTGCCTGGTCAGGTGCGGTGGAGGAAAATCGGCAGGCAGGCCAGCATCACTCGACGAGCTCGAATCCCTGGTTGACGACTCTGTTTGTGGTCTGCCGATGAAGCCATGTAGCTCGGTGGGAGCGGCAGCGGAGGTACTCAGCACGTAATGTGCCCACCAGCTCTCACCCACAAAGTTGGCCCCGTTGTCGTGCGGCGTCCGAGAAGACAGGTCCACAGCAGCAGTGGTTGATGGACTGGGGATGCGTAAATCACCATGCGAGCCAGGTTCTGCGTATCGATTTCCTGGAGCGCCAACCAGTCTGACGATATCAAATTCTGGCACAACGGAGGACTGTACCGGTGTGGTCGCCCGGGATGCTGGTTGAGAGTGCAAGATACTAGGGTAGCCCGAGGGGTTGACTTGGATGGCGGCGTCCGGTTTTGAGACAGTGTTGTATCGTCCATCTGGACCTCTGTGTGGAGAGAGAGGGAAAAGGATAGGTTTAGTCAAGTCTCCTCCAGATCCTATGGCCTAGAGTTACACAAGGATCTTACCTTGAGCGCTTCCATTTGAGCAGTCGGCAGTCCTTGGAAATGGTCCTTCTACATCGGGTGCACGGGACACCATTCACTGAGGCATCACAACGGACCTTTTTCCGGTTGCATCTCTCACATGCAACTGCTGGCCGATTCTGTGACCTGATAACGTGGTCGGAAGGCGATGGCTGGTCGACGGGCATGGTGCGAGGAGGAGTCAGATCCGAGACATGGTTGCCAGCTTGGCCACAAAGAGCCCACAAGGACATTGAAGAGACAACGAAAATCGCGCCTGGAGAGTTCCGGGCGTCGGCCGTGGTGACCCGGTTTATTCGGCGACGGTATAAGTTCATTAGTCATCATATACCCCGTTAACGAACTTAGTTGTATAACTAGTTTAGGTATTAAAGTGGATACTTGGCACGCAGGGCTTGGTGCGTGGAATACTGTAACTTCCAGGTGTCAAGGTCATCCGATGCCGAAACTCGGCCTAGCGTCGACTTTGCTATTACGGGAGGGCTTCTCTCATGCTTATGCGATGCCAGGGTACGCCAGAGTCATTCCCAAGGGCGCTGCTCGATCTCCGGGAGCAGGTACCCAGATATATTCCATTTCAACGCGTGTCTCCCTAACTCGACCCTCGCCCGGAGCGAGGAGAAGATACTTATCAGCAATCAACAGGACCGCCACGATGGGGGCTTCGTCTACCATGAAGGCCATTGTTATCGACAAGAACGGAGGACCAGAAGCGCTACGGGTAGCTGAAGATTTCCCCGTGCCCACAGTCAAAGATGGCGAAGTTCTTGTAAGAACCAAGTATAGCGGAATCAATTACATCGATACCTATTTCAGGTCGGGCCTGTACCCAGCACCCACATTACCGCTGGTCCTAGGGTATGAAGGTGTGGGCGAGGTGGTTTTGGTAGAAGACCAGAACCCATACGGACTACGACAAGGCGATGAGGTGATCTGGATGAATATGGGTATGCTGAACCGAAGAATCTCTTGGTGATTGTCCCTCATCTCACTATCTACCAACAGGGACCTATGCCGAATACTGTGCTGTCCCTGCAGAGAAACTGGTCAAAGTTCCCAGAGGCATTTCTTCCGAGGACGCGCTGGGTAGCCATCTCATGGGCATGACGGCGTTTTCGTTGGTTAAAGAGTCGTACGAGGTAAAGAAAGGCGATACGATCCTGATCCACGCTGCGGCTGGGGGTGTCGGGCTCCTGCTGTGCCAGATTCTCCGAAGTATTGGAGCCACCGTCATTGGCACGGCATCGACGACCGAGAAATGCGAAACCGCCGAGAAGCACGGCGCGACGTATATGATCAATTACAAGGAGAATCCCGATTGGGTCACCGAAGTTAAGAAAATCGTGCCAGACGGAGTTGACTGCGTGTGCGTTCTTGGATCTCCCCCGGCAGCCACAATTATTTAAAACTGACCATGGTCTCTGCCTTAGATATGACGCGGTCGGAAAGACCACGTGGCAGGGTTCCCTGGACGTTGTGCGTCGCAAAGGTTCGGTGATTTATTATGGCAGTGCATCTGGGCCTGTCCCTCCCCTAGACATTCAAGTCCTCGGGAAGAAGAACACGAAGATCATGCGAGCCGTGGTGATGCAGTACATTGTCACGAGAGAGGAACTGGAACACTACACTGGTCTGTTGTTCGAGGCTTTGAAGACTGGAATCCTCAAAGTCAACATACACAAGATATACGACATGAAGGACGTGCAGCAGGCCCACCGGGATCTGGAAGGGCGGCTCACGAGTGGGAAATCGCTCCTGAGGATTTCTCCGTAATAGACGTATATTGAGAAGATCGAGATCTCGTCCCCCTATTGCTTGGAAATATTTACTGCAGCTTAAATCGCACATGAAGTCCCGGAAGATTGATACCACTCAACTCGGTGTGCCATTGCTCTCCATCTGCAATCAATGGGGCGCCTGTCAGTGTGCCGGTGCTGATCATCTCCCCTGCTGTCAGGCCCGGATGTCGACTCTGACCTGCAAGGACCTTGGCCAGATGTCGAAGCGCCGCAATCGGCCCTCCGAGAACGTTCGCTCCCTTGCCTGTGTCCTGGAGAGTCCCATTGCGGAAGAGACGAATCTCAAAGCTCTCGAGCTGCTTCAATAGCTTCCGTCGCCCTGATGTTGTGTTGCGCTCGTGCTCTAACGAACATTTCGGTCCAAGGATCAGACGACCGTGGAGTGCACTGGCGGCTATCGTGTCGACCACGCTGAATTTCCAATCAGGAAATATCGAGATGACAATCTCAAACCCATGTGCGATCCAGCCTACACAAGACAGAAGCTGGTCGTCATCCATCTCCGGGGATGGCGGCTGGATCAGACCCAGAACGATCTCGGGCTCAATTCGTGGCTGGAGATGGCTCAATCGGCTCAAGTCGATAACCCTGACATCCCCGGGATCGATGGTCTGTACAGTGGTGTCGAACATGTACCCCCAGATAGGTTCATGCACCGAGTATTCATCCCAGATATTGGGATTCGTGAATCCGATCTTCCGGCCGACAGGCACGGCTCCTTGGTGCATTCGGAGACCATATCCCGCAGCGGCAACGTCGTATGCATCATCGTGGTTTAAGTCCTGGAATTCCATGTCGGCGGTCAACGGCGGGATTTGGCGATTCTCCCCTCGAGCCATCTCGAGGAGCGTCGCAGCATCGCGGACGCGTGGAGGATATTTTTCCGGAGCATATCGCTCGTGCAGTAAGTTGGTCGCAAGCATGCTGTAATTATGCCACCTGTTGTTGCAGCGGCGAGCGGTACGTCGACTCACAGCGGCTGTGACTCGAAACATTGGTTTTGGATATCGGATGTATTATGTGCCCCGATGAGCTTCTCCATGGGTTGCGTATTCAGATTGTGGAGATGGAGGGACGTTCGACGTCCTATGGAGCACCGAGTACTGCATGTTCGGCCACGGTTAAACGGCTTTCGGTCACGGCCGCGGCACGCTTCCCAGTCCTTTCTGGGTGGAGAAGCTCGATGATTGAGGGCCGCCATGAGAAGGCCCCGGCACCTGAGGCATCTACAAGTCCGTCGGCGTTGCAGCCATTCATGCCCAGGCCTCTAGGCAAAGTAGTGTAGCCGCGGCGAGTCAGGGGGGAGTGAGCACAGGGCGGCATCACCCCCGTCCGAATCCGGGGTGAGACGCGGGCCGCTTTTACTTATCTTGGCGCTCTTTCCGGTCGCGATTCCGCTCGTCGTCTTTGTTTACCACCCGGTCTGTTGGGGAGAACAACATATTACACCTTAGACCATTCTTTAACTCATTCTCTTGTCTAAGGGGACCTGTTTGTAGCCCCCAGGCTTGTCCCGTTACGTGTTCCCATGGCCCCCTCTCCTCCACGCGACACGGCCGATCTCTCACCCAACTCGTCGTCCTTTGTATCCTCAACTTCCAACCCAGTCACCGCAGGCTCGGTGCGACGAAATCTGTTTTCAGCACATCTTTCGCGACGCCCGGCTTCAGGGGCACCGCCACAGCCACAGCCACAGTCACATAGTCAAACCCGACGACACGAATCGCAGTCACAACCCCAGGGGCAGCAGTACGGTAGTAGCCTCCCACGTCCTCGGGGTCATCAACGCTCCGTGTCCACGCCATCGCTCTCACCGTCGCCGCCACGGTCATCTCCTTTCCACGATCCCCCTCGTCACGGCCATGGCGCCAGCTCTGCTTTCGTGCAACCTCCAGTACCGCACCTGTCGCCTCACCGTACAGCACTGGTGGATGGATACGATCCGACCATTTCTCCCCACCGACCCCTCAGTCCTCGATCCTCCGCCTCTCTCTTCCCGAACCAGTCGATCGTCGCACTGAATCCGCTGACAGGGCGTCCCGTGCTGCCAAAAATGCCCGTCCTCCCTGGCCGACTCAGACTGTCGGACTCGGACGATGGACTGGGCGAAGAGCATGGCGAAGACTGGAGAGATGACGAGGAGGACGAGGAGGAGGACGACACCGATGAGCTAGACGATGCACGGCAACGCGGATTTTCCGACGGTGACTTTCACCGTGCGGCGGTCCCATCCCACGCCAGACGCACTGGACGCCGAGGGGCCCGAGGAGGCCACGATGCCTATGACCCTCCGGCAGCAGACCACGAGCACGCCGCGGCCGCCGAGGCCGAAGCCGACGAAGAACGACGAGACCGCGAACGCATCGAGCGGCTGTTGCGCGATATGATGGCGCGACAACGCGCGCGAGCGAAGGGGAAGGCGTCGGCGTCGGCAGCTGCCATGGACGAGGATGACGAGGCCGAAAAGGACGAACTGATGGGCTTGATCATGGGCAGTTTACGCCGGGAGGTGGCCAAGGCGGAGGACGAGGCGTGGATGTTTGGCGAGTCCCTGGGTTTGGGGGGGAGGGCAGGCCGGGACGAGGTGGGTGTGTATGACTGATGAGGGCCGCGTTTTCTTCCGCGACATGTGCATTCATTACAACGGCCGGGACAGGGGAGGGGGTGTTTGTATCATTATTGTCAGCATCAGCAACATTCTGGCGTGTTTGGGTCTCTGGATTTCCCGGTCACAAGGGATCACGGCAGTTGTGAGGGCAAACGAGCGAGACGAGATCAACGAACGAGACCATGAGCGGACATGACGCTTGTACAAACATACACTCACACAGAGTATTGATATGGATAGCGGGGATGTAAAGGCCCCGGAGAGAAATGATATACTCTTAATGCGAATCACCACTCTGACACACAGAGAGAATGAGCACCCAAGTTCTGAATCTGATCTGATAGACGTCCTCCTGAGGACCTCGTCGTCCCATGCATTCATTATTTACCTTTTGTCCTCTCTTCTCTTCTCCTCTCGCATCTAGCCCGCTCCTCCCTCAAAGGGCCCCAAGGCCGTCCTGTCGGTCGTCCCTTTGTCACATGTATATATGTGTATATATATATATATACATATATCCCCCGCTTTGGCTCACACAGGCGGGAGGATCTTCTCGTCCTGATACCGCCGGAACCACTTACGAATCATGTCGTCAGTGTAGACGGTGCCGGCAAAGCCCGCGCGACGGATCTTGATGCAACTCATCAGACTGGTGGCCGTCTGCGGGGTGGTGGCCCGCGCGAAGATGAAGTCGGCAAACTGTGCGCTCTGGCCCAGGAACTCGTCCAAAGGGGGGGCTTTGAGCGCGTACTTCTCGCGGATGCGGTCCCACTCGGCGCGGAAGCCGGGCAGGTCCCGGGTGAAGGAGAACGGTCGGTCCTCGTCGCCCGGGTGCATGCCCAGGGTCTGCGCGATCAGGGCCCAGTCTTCCTTCAGGCTGGACGTCTCGCCGTTGGTCAAGTTGTAGGTTTGGTTCTTGGCCGCGGGCTCGTGCAGGATCCATTCGCACGCCTGGGCGATCAGGTCCGCGTCGGTGCACTCGTAGACGGCCATGCTGCGGCCGGGGAAGTAGAGCGGGTCGCCGCGCTCCTTCAGCACGGCGGCGTAGACGCCGATGGCGCCGTAGAGGTTCATGGCGCCCCCGATGCTCAGGCCAATGATGAGCGACGGCCTCAGGATGTTCCAGCTCCAGCTCTCCCCGCGCTGGCGCGCCTTGAGGTAGTCCTCCTGGGCCCAGTAGAAGTTGGGCACGGCGCGGTCCTCGTCGCGGTCCTCGCGCGCGCCGTGGCGCATCGGGTGGACATGCACGCCGTACGCCTTGGGGCCCTGGAGGATGGTGACGTTGCGGAGCGCGCGGGCGTGCGGCGCCACGGCTTCGACCGTGTTGCGCAGCATGAGCGCGTTGCGGTCGATCTGCTGCGGCTGTGTCCACCCGGCCACCAGGTCGGGCTCTTCGTGCAGGGCGGCGAAGACGATCTGCACGATGCCCGTCAGCGGCGACAGCAGGGCCCGGCACGCCGCTTCGTCCGACAGGTCGAGCGAGTGCCACGACGCGCCGTACGTGTTCAACGGTTTCCGTCGAGACACGGCGATGACCTGGTACCCCCGCTCGCCGTAGTACTGCATGGCCGAGCGTCCCACCACCCCCGTGGCACCCGTAACCAAGATCTGCTGCTGGTCGTTGCTTGTCATGGTGTTGTTGTCGTTGCCTCCTGCTTACCTAGTGGACGGAGTAGGAGGATCTATCTGCAGCAGAGGTCGTTGGAATGGTCGCCTGTGGTGAGTCCATCTGGCCCGAGGGTTCTATAGTAATTATGGACAGGCTCGGTATGTCCCGATTCGGAATAGCCGAGTACACCTTTCCTGATCTAGTAATCATGCCGGTCACGTGTTGCCGAAACGATTGGCCAAGAACTGGAGGCCGAGGTCGTTCGATCAGACTATCTATGATTTTGTTGGGTCGTTGTCCTTTTCTTCTCTAGGCGTTCCTGATCTATATAGTCTCATTAGTGGTTATTTCCATGTGACAACTGGAGTATTCGGGCCAGGGCGATTTGCAGTTGTTTTGTTCGGGGGGGGGCGGGGCGAGGTGGAGCGGAGTAGAGAAGAACGGAGGGACACAGTGCCAACAAACAGTCGTCCATTTCTGTATCTTTCTCACCCTCCGCATAGGTCGACCCTTTTTCCTGATATCAAACCATTCACGCCCGTGTCCTAGCTTGCAGTCTCTGTGACAATCACTAACCATCACTATCCGCGTCACCACCCCTTGAAGACGCTCGTCATCAATCCAAATCCATCGTCGGCGGCTTCTCGATTTCTTTCCGGGCGGCAGGCTTCGGTGTGCCCGTCCGTGGCGTTGCCGCTTTGGGTCCCGACTGCTGCCCACCGAAGAGCATGCTGCCCATCATATCAAACAGAGGATTCCCGGTGTTCTGCCTGGGGATCTTGATGCCGAACCAGATCTCGCCAATATGTGCCAGGGGCTCGCTCCACAACCCCTCCAGATCCTTCAGATGCGGGGCGTAGAACTTGGCGAGCTGGCGGAACAAAGTCGCGTCGGCTTTCTGACACGAGAGCAACAGAAGAGACAGGAAGTTGAGGAGAGGGATCGAAGGGAAGATTCGCAGCGAGAGGCCTGACTTGGCCGACTCCAGAGGTTGAGACATCGACAGTAAGTTCGGGTTCTGGGTGGTGAGGTGGGACGTGAAGGTCGACAGGGCCGTGTTCGCACTGGAGAGGTTGCCGACCAGCAAGTAGGGCAGCACGGAACGGGAGGCGTAGATGGGTGCCAGGTGTGGCTGATCCAGCTTGTACCAGACGTAGTGTAAGCTGGCGAGGACAGGGGCAGAGGCTGGCGTGCCGATGACGAGATGCCGTTCGGCGTCGTACGCTTCGCCCTCTATAGAATCCCCACGATGTCATGTCAGCGGCGGTGCCACACAGAGAATGTTTGAACAACTAACCTTCTGCAAGCACCTTGCCCACCTCGTGATGAATCTCTGCATCTCCCCTCTCCAGGTCCCCCCACTTCCCACTCCAGTTCACCATCTCACTCACAAATCTCTTCCGAGTGGGTTCGTCCGTGGGAAACGCGTGGAATATCTCCAACACCCTCTTTCTATTCTCGTCGTTGCACGCGTATTCGCCCTTGACGTAGACGTCGTTCAGCAGCATAAGCGCCAGGTCGCCGCCCGAGCCGCCCTGGCCGGCGCGGAGGAGGAGCAGGGCGCCATTGTACAGCACGTCGCAGGCCGAGGCGTAGTCGGAGGCTTTGAGATAGCGGGCGGTGATGACGCGGAGTTGTTGGTGCGCCTCGTAAAAGCTGCCTTCGGCAATCCTGAAGGGACGGTGTGTCAGAGTCTTTCTCTCTCTCTCTCTCTCTCTCTCTCTCTCTGTCTCCCTGTCTCTCTCCACTGTTTGTCTGTCTGTGTGGTGGATGGGTTGCGGCGAGAGGGCGTCTGGATTCCACTTACTTTTCTTTCTGACGTGCAATAGTCTTTGCGATCTTGGCCGACATGATGACGAATGGTGAATCAAAGATGTGAGGAACAGACACACTGGTCTCGATCTCGTATGGGAGCCTACACTGAACTGGCACGCGTGGTGTGGAGAGAATATTACGGACTGAAGTTTGTAGATCAGATCCAGTTCGACGTCATGCAGCTCTAGAACTTGGCAGCCTTGTCGATCACGAATCTCGGCCCCACGCCTCGTCTACTCGGTCACTCGGTATATCTACCCAGATGTTCGGTCCCACGACTCTAGTAGGTGAGAATAGATTGTTATTGTCTGGGAAAGTCTGGAGCATGGCTAAACGCTCAATGCCGAAACAGCAATGCGTGATGATATGTGTGTGCTGCAACTAATATAGAAGAAAACGGGGATTAGGAACGACCAACATCCCCCCCCTTTTTGACCCAGATATTCCATGACCTTCTCGACATTGCCTGGCTGTAAATCGAACCCGCAAGGAGGCCGCTTCCAGAAAACAAAGGAAAATGCCCACCACAACCCAGTGAGTGTTTGGTGCCCCCATTGGCGACGAAACTCCGTGTATCATGCACGCTCGAATGGACGATAACAGTGAAAGCAAGACTGCAGCCCGCACCAAGGCAAAGAGCGGTGTAGGAAATTAAAACCCCTCTGCTCGTGACTCCCGACGGTAAGGAAAAATCTTTTGTCATGCTGCCTTTTCGTCCTCCTCCGCCATGCTCTCGAGGCTCGCTCCGCCGCCACTGGCGATACTCCGACTGCTCTTGTGAGTTCTTGTACTGGAACCTTGGCCCGTACTGTTTCCTTTCTTTGGCGTCCCATTCTGCACAGGAGTTGACGTTCTCTCGGTGCTGGCGTTGGTCGCTGTCGACGTGGTCGTGGTGGTCGAGTTGGAACCACTGGTTGCTCCGCCGTCCTTGTCCTTCTTGGTGGTCGGTGGAGGTCGTGAGAACATGGCTTTCAGCGCCGCCTTCGCTTTGGCCTTCTCTTCTTTCTCGTCGGCCGCCTTCTTGGCTGGGTCTTCAGTGGCCTTGTCCTCGGCATACTGCTTCCACTTCCTCCACCCATCATAGTCGATCAGTGCTTGCATACAGCCCCATTCGGTGACTTTGCGCTCCATCCATACAAAGTTGACCGGCTGTGCGAAATAAGCGGTTAGCAAGCGGCTGGAAGGGAATGCGGATGAAATGCCTACCTTGGTCAAGAAGTCGTTGCAGCCGGCAGCCAAGGCCTCGTGCCGGTCACTCTGTAAACTGCTGGCCGTCAAAGCCACAATGATGACAGGACTTTTGAACAGGCTGCGATCGGGCAGGGCATCCGCCTCGCCCACCGGACCCCCGTTCACCTGGGGACTCTTGAGGGCGGCCTCGATGGGACTGCCACTGAAAACACCGATCCCGTTGACGGCCTCGAGTCGTCGAATCTCTTTGGTGGCTTCCAGACCATTCATCACCGGCAGCTGGATATCCATCAAGACCAGATGGAAACCCCCGGTCCTCCACATAGCCACTGCCTCCTTCCCGTTCATGGCCGATTTCCATCTCACCTTTAGGCGTTTCATAAAAGCCTCGAGTAGTTTCAGATTGATGACGTTGTCTTCCACCAACAAGACATTGATGGGGGGAACAGTTCCGTCCAACAGACTCGCCGCCGCCGGGAGAGACTTGGGAGGACCCTGCGGGTCACCGTTGACGGAGCGGCCAAAGGCAGGACCTCTGCGCCTCCGCAGTTTGGGCCCGGCGTGGGGAGACGAGACTCGGTTGGGAGGCGTGATCGAGGGCTTATGTTCGTTCGGTCCTTGGGCCGGCGGCGTTGGGAGGGGGGCTGCCGACGGAGCGGGCCCGTTGAGTTGCGCCTTCGATTCTGTACATCAAAACAACTGAGCATCCTCCCCCGCAATCAGGCCGGCGCTGGGTCACGCAAACATACCTATAACTTGACCATTCGGCTGAACGGTATGGAGGATGGTCGGACTGCTGGTGTGCTGCCTGCCATATTTGGGCCGTGCATGTCTTCTCTGGCCATGTGACCCGGGACTCGGGAGAGGGGGCAGCTGGCCGGTGGTCAAGACGGCCATGGAATGACCAACCGAGTTGGGATGGGGGACGTGAGCGAGGTGAGGAGAGTGGAGCGGCATGGGAGGGAAGTATTCTCGCGCCGCGTCATCGGGACGGTACTGATCGGTATAGTAGTAGGAGATCTGGTGGTTTCCGGCGCGAGGAGAGGGGCGGGGCGTGCGGCGGGAGGCTACTTCGATGATGAGAGCTTCGTCGACCTGCTGGCCGCCGGGGTAATAGGCGTCGAGCGTGGCGCCGATAGGCTCCTCGGGACCCAAGGCACGCTCGGCGCTGACATTTTTGTTGTTGTGTTCACGGCTGATGATTTTGAGGGTGATGTCGGGAGCATCGATGCTGCGACCGAGAGAGTTGGCGTATTTTTGTAAGATGACATCGCGCACATTGTCGACCAGGTCGTCTTCGGCGACCTCGACTCGGGTCGGAGAGGCGCCGGGTCGCTTCACCCATATTTTTCTCTGCATAGCGTCCAGCGTCTCATGTCGAAGGCATTGTACAGAGGCGAGGGTCGGGAGGGTCGGAGTCGAGGGACGCTGGATACGGACGACGGGACAGACGGGTTCTCCAGGAGCCGAGGGGGGCAGAGGCGTGGGGAGACTGCTATTAGGATTATGGGCCGACGGCGTGGTCGGCAGGGTGTTGGTGGTCGGGATGGAGGAGGGTCTGGTGGTGGTGTTGTCGTCGGCGGCGGTGGTGCTGCTGCTGGATGTGGTGTCTGGGTGAAGAGAAAGGGAAGGGGAGGGTAAAGCAGGAGCCGCAAGGGCCAAGGTGGATTCGAGGTCACCCGCAGGCGCAGGTTCAGCTTCAGGCTGGTGCTGGGCGGGTGTGGTGGGTGCGGTGGGTGCGGTGGGCGCAACTGTGGCTGGTGAGGTGGTGCCGGTGTCACCGGTCTTGTTATTGGGCGGCTCCAGCGGCAGCGGTAGATCCTTGGGCTTGTTAGGCTCACTAGGCCTGAGTCTGGGGGTGTTCGCTCGCTCGGCAGCTGGGCCGTTGGTGGTGCTGTCTTCGTCGGGGCGGACGGGGGCGACACTCTTGCGTTTGCCTAGAGACTTGGTCCGTGGTCGACGGTAGAAATTGAAGCTGGCGAGGGTGGACAGTGTGGGGAGACTGAAGCCGCCTGCCGAGCGTTGACGGGGTTGGATTTCATCCTGGGCCGTGGCGGTGTCGTCGTCGTCGTTGTCGTGCAGGGGAGCAGCGGCACTGGCACTCAGACTGCGGAACAGAGGGATACGTGGGCGTGAACGGGGTCTCGATAAGGGCATCCCGGAGGAGGAGTGGTCACAGCTGCGGGAGGACGGATGACGGCAAAGGCAGAGGCAGTGGTGGATGTTGTCGTCGTCGTAGAGGAGCCCCCCATTCCGAGATGGTTGTCATGCCCTCGGTCGGTGCATCCAGAGAGACAGATGGTTCGAGGAGGAGAGAGGGTGTAAGAGGAAGAAAGTGGATTGATTATGTGTGGCTTCGGACGGAATGTGAGGTGAGGGTAGCGAATGGTTGGATTGACGGCCTGGATATCTGTGTTGTTGAAGTTTGTTTGCTTTTTGGAGCTAGAGAAGCTGGGGGGAGCTTTGAGGAGCTGGAGTCGATGTGGCAGCTGTGGTAGGGCGGGAGGATGGTGGTGGGATGGGGGATGAGGATGGGATAGGGAGAGGGAGGATGGATGTTGAAGTGTCGTTGGTCGTGGTGGCAGTTTTGTTGTTACAGAAGATGGAGGGAGGATGAGATGGCGCCTATCTCTGTCTCTTGTGAGTGAGTGTGTGTGTGTGTTCTCTGTCTCTCTCTCTCTCTCTCTCTCTCTCTCTCTCTCTCTCACTCTGTGTGTGTGTGTGTTCGATTCTACCGAGTACGAATTATCATCTCGCCTTCTCTTGCTCTCTGTCCACGTCTTGTCCGTGTCTGTGTATCTGTTTCTCTCTTGCCCTCTACTCCATCACTACCCCCCCTCTCGCTGCTCCTCCCTCTCTCCTCTTACTGCTCCGATCTACCTATTATTACATAGCCACATACACAACATGGAGCTACTCACCAACTACTGCTCCTACATACATCAAACAACGCACCTCACCTTCACCCCTCTCCACTCACCGCTCACCACTCACCTCTCACCTCTCACCTCTCATCACCACCTGCTAAACCTGCAACACATCTCGATCGATGACTTCCAAGTTTCTCGTATTTCTCTACTATCGGCTTATTTCCATTTGATATCTCGAGTTCTCCTTCATCTGGACTCTCTATCAAAGCGTCAACCTAGCCCCAGCAGCAAATCACCACTCCCATCCTCACTCTATCTCAATCACTCTCGAGGTCTGGGGATCCTGTTCAATGTCCAATGGATACCACCCCTCTCTTCCCCTCAACCTTCCTTCCCCTCCATACATCATGCCGTCGCTAACTACATGCCTCGCTATGAGCCAGAATCACTTACTCAACCAGCATCCGTGGTCACAAACCAATCCAAACCAATCCAATCCAAACCCAAATCAGAATCCAAACAAACGCGCACCGTCCTAATGAGTCCCCGTGGCCTTTGCTATTCATAACGTCCGTGCTGTGGAACTTGTTTTTCATCACAAGTCGAATGAATGCTCCTCCTCCCAATCCACCATCGCCATCGCCATCCAGGCACTGGCCTCCCATAGCCCAAAGCAACCTCATGTCCACCGTCGATAATCAAGCAAGCAAAACTGCCAAATCCATGGCTTTCCTCGTCCGCAATGTCAGCTCCACTCTATCAATGCAAGATAAGCAACCGCTTCGATAATGACAGTGAGGAGCATCTTGGTCGAAATCTGCCTTCCCGGTGTCTGGTTCCTGTGGTTCCCTTCCAGGCCGCAAAACTCGGCGGCCCAGACCAAATCGAAAAAAAAGGAGCCAAAAAACGCCATGTCGCTTTGCCCGCCTGCTCGTTGTCTGCTAAAGGGGGAATCTTTGTGCATGAAAATCAATCAACGACAATCTCGCCATGTCAGATCAGCCCCAAAAATTCCCATGAAACAAAACACATGCTCCTGCCCAGGTCCCAAACTTGGACAGATATATGCGAGCCGTAAAGTAGTTCAATATCACACCCCATGCCAGGTTTCTCCACCATGCTGTTAAGGTATGTTGATCGTGCATCCCGTAACTGTTGTTGTTGTTGTTGTTGTTGTTGTTGTTGTTGTTGTTGTTGTGTTGTTGTTATTGTTGTTGTTGTTGTCGTTGTTGCGTCTCCCATCTCTTCTTCTTTCAACGTCCGAGCATGTAGTCGGGATACATTCCCCCAACGCCTGCCGGTCCCGGCGCCACCCCGTTCATCGCCACGCCTCGCATGTTGGGTGCCGGGCTGGTTCCCAACGGAAATCCTTGGGCCACAAATGCTCCCGGAGGAACACCAGCGCCATTCATGCCAGCCACCGACATGTTGAGTCCCGGGGGCACCGAGAGGCCAGGCGGTGGACCGTTGGCCGTTGAGAAGCCGCCGTGCGTGACATTGCTGAATCCGTTGACGCCCATGGGCCCGGTGGCACTGAGCGGCGTACTGGGGTTGTTGCTCCCAGGCTGACCCGCACGCACACCCAGCGGGTTCTTCGAGAAGCTCAACCGGATCCCGCCCTTCACACTGTTGTGGAGCTGCGCCCCGTACAATTCATTCAAAGCCTTGGTGGCAAACGAAATGTCTTCAAACTCCACGAAACACATGGGCCCGTTCTGTTTGGTGCGGAAGCACAACCTCTTGTATCCGCGCTGTTTGGAGAACATGGCTTTGAGCTCATCCTCAGACGTGTCAATCGGTAAGTTGCCCACATATAAAGTATTGCACGGGGGGTTTTGGTCGGCAGGATTGACAGGCGGATAGTTATGTCGTAGGTAAGGTTGAGAAGGGACCGAGTAGTGTCCGTTGGGCCCCATCATGGAAAACTGCGCGTGAGGAGTACGAGACCCGGCGGCAGACCGAGGCGACGCATAGTTTGACGCTGTCCCATTCCCAAGGTTGGTGTTCAGCGAGAGCGCCGAGAAGCTAGTAGGGGGCATGTGCGAGTTGGTCTGCTTTTTGCCCGTCGGGTTGCTGGACGAGTTGTTCATATAAGCCAGGGGGTCCTTGAGCAGCTCGCCCGTATCGTCGTCTGCGCCGTCTTCGTTTATCACCTTCTTCCCGCTGGCGCGCGGGCGATCCGCCAGGCCACTCGGTACGGGCGACTGCGGCGAAAAGATCGTCTGCAGCTGGGAACTGGTGTCCGATGAGACCAGTTCTGGAGGAGACCCGATAGGCGGCGGGGATGTCTTGTCCATGGACTGGAAGGTGCCGTTAAATCGTGAGGATTTCTGGGCGCTGGTCATGGATGGCGATACCGACAGGCCCATTTTGCGACTAGCCAGGGGATCAATGGTGTTGCGTCGAGGCACTGCCGCCATGAGTGGACTGCCTATCACTTCCACAATCATTTTTGCCTGCCCGGCCGTGTTAGGCTTGCCATCAAGCATGGTTTGTGCTTCCGTTGCGCCAACCATAGAACCAAAGCGAGCGATCGCGGTGGTGAAGCCGGCATCTTCTTCATACTCATTTGGGATGATCTCCGTGTCCTGGAGGTCTTTGGCAAATAAAAGCATCGTGCGAACCGCTTCGAGGGTCGTGTTCCGCGGCAGACGTCGCAACATGACTGTCGGCAGAGCCATGACGGCAGCTTCATTCGCGCTGGACATCCGCCTATCGGCAGCCGCGCCCTCGAACCCTGGATTATGTGCAGGCATTGTATATGAATCCGACAAAATGGGATGCAGTCGAGCTTCCGGAAAGTTGAAAGCAAGTACACTCATGCTTCGAAGCGCGAAGAGAAGGGAAGAGTCCGGGACTTGGCCTACCACAAACCCCGAGCTGAACTGTGACCGGCAAGAAGGCTCCGGTATGTTGTATAATGGGAGGAATGAACCGAAGGCAAGATGCTTTCCTTGTAGGGAGATTGGTTGAGTGCTGTGCAATTACGCATTCGGAGTGGAGATGATTTCGTCGCTCCCGACGATGGAGGATGTGCCGGTTCTGAGCAGCGTGTCAATACCCAGATTGCTGTCCGACGAGGGCCTTATACGAGAGTGCCAGATGTGGAATACTCGGTGGGGAGATAGTGGTGACAGGCCCGGTAGGGTCGAGACTAGAATGATCCGTGTGAAACCTGAAAGGACTATCGTAACAGCTGGGGTGGTGCCCGGCCAAAATAAGTGAAGTGGTGATCAATCTCGAGGGCGAGGTGACGAGTACCGACAAGTACCAAGACGGTACTCAGAGGCCAGAAAGGAGTATCCACCGATGATGGGTCGATCGTGGTTCGACTGTCGCAAAGCGAATTGGCCAATTGATGAGAGAGCGAGAATAATGATGGTGCAAAGGAAGTCGAGTACGACGACAAATATGCTGAGGATGTAGCGATAAGGTGTGGGAGAGGTATGTGAAGACGGAAGAGCAAGAATGGGATGAGGAGAGGCAGTTCGGTCGGAAAAGGGCTGAGGATTCCAGGAAGTTGAGAAAGATGCAGAGGTGGGATAGCGATCCTAACGACGGGGAATATTTTGGCGGCGTTGACTGACCCTGTCGATAGGGAGCGATAAAGAACGGCTAGGCCTGGGGGAGCCTGTGTTTGGCAGATGCCAGGATGATCAATCGTGCCAATCCGACACCGTGGTGGCTTACAGATGGTCTCCAAGACGCCTCGCACCAAGCTGGAGGCGCAGGGTGGGTAGAGTGAGATACAAATCGCGATCGCGCGGCCACCGGGTGGTGGAGATGGAGCCAGGCAGGAGGGCCTGGTGCGCACCACGCTAAACAGGCCGCATGGCCAGGGTGCTGAGTGGTCCAAGTCGAGAGGGGGTATTTGGCAGCTGATATTGGCCCTGCCCAGACATGTAAGCTTCCACCGAGTCCACCAGGAGCAGAGATAAACGCGGAGAGATGATCAGTGGGGACCAGGTGAGGACCTCCAGCACACCTACAGTACGCCCAGGACCAAGGAATACGGGAGGAGTTTCGGTGGAGAGATCGAATGTTGATTGAGGGAGGGGAAGAGACGAGTTCGGATGAGGCTGTCAGGGCGCACAGGCGAGAGACGAGCCAGGGAGATCCGATGGTTTTGACCACGGGTTTTCGGTGGATGGCGTAAATTTAATGAAGCTATCGCAATCTTTGAGGCATCCCAAGGGGGGGTTGTCGGGCAAAGTTCGAAAAGAAAGACGGCTTGCCCTTGAACTCGGGACCAAGCCGTCGGTGATGGTAGGAATTGGTATCCGGCTAGGCGACTGGGGATGTTGGTCGTTTGTTGAGGGTGCCAACGTGAGTCCCAAAGATCTGGAGGAGAGTTTGGAGTGTGTCCAGGAGCGATGCTGTCCCGCGGCCACAAGTGGCTAGGCACCGTAGGGGGGGGGGGGAAAAGTCTTAGGTGTGCCGCCAACACGTTAGTGGTGATGGTGAACGTACCCTATCTGGTCAAAGACCTTGAAGGCTCAGGCCCGGGGCAGCCAAATAGGAGACGCCAAAGATATAGAATGGTGCCGTAATTGGATCCCCCGGACGAAGGCTCGGGAACGCAAACAGTAGTAGGCCCCGAGTCGAGTCCGAGTCGCACCAGCGAGCAAGAAAAAGGGCACTCCGGGTTTTGGTGTGCGCTCTGAGGCGCTCTGGGTGTGGAAGTTTGGTGACCGGAACTATCGAGCACCCAACAACGGCAGGGTTAGGGCAATTTGCACATTCTGAAGTCCGCAATTGCGGACGGCCAGCCGTGGAAGCCCTTTTCTTTTGCCTGTGTATTGTGTCTGTGTACTGCGTATACCGCTCTTTGACCGGCCGGCTTTCTTCTTGCTCTCAGAGAACGTTGTCGACGGGGAATTCACGGAGCAGGATGAGCTGGGCCAGACTGAGTTTTGGAGCTCTTCCGGGGGAGGAAATAGCTCTCGGAGTTCGGAGGGCAGTGATAAGCATCCAAAACGCACGTCCCTTCTAGCCCCCCAGGCCCTTCCAAATCATGCAACAAGTCGACAGGGTCAAGGAAGAAGTCTGGCATATCCCTGCCTCCGGACCGTAGGGCTAGGGACCATTTCGCTTTCCTCCTTTTCCGTCTGGGCCCAATTGAAGGCAATAACGAGGGACGCTGACTCCGTAGGGAGGTGACTCGATCTGCGAATGGTTCCGCATGCATGTATTTCTGACGACGCCAGCGTGCTCAGTGGCACCATCGATATATTCATCTCACAGTCTGGGTACCGACGATTCTGCAAGCTGGGACCGTGACCCCTCAATCCCACCAGCTTTCAGCTGCTCCAACTCACCGGGTTCTGCATACGAGGATCAAAAGGTCCATTCATTAATTATTGGGAGAGAGCCTATCGCTCCAAACTTCCGATTGGGCGAGGTTCCCTAAATGCGACGGAACGGGGGGTTGTGGGCTTCGTTCTGAGCGGCGAGCGTGCCCCCGGGAGGACCACAGTGGTCCCATGTTCTCTCGCCCCTAGCTCTTTTGTGCTAACCAACAGTCAACCACGTGGGGTCGTCGTGGGAGAGGTCTCGTCGTCCGTTCGTCTCGTGGCTGCTATTGTCTTGACTGCGGTGGGGGAGGAGGTCAATATGAATAGGCCGGTCTCAAAGTGAGCTTGGAGGATCCTGAGATACCTCATGGACTTTTTCCCAGCTCACCTGTATCGTCGAACACGCTGCTGCTTAGTCGGAGCCGCAGGCAAAATGCTCGGTACCTGAAACAGCGAGGGGGACTAATAGCCCTGAATGATCGTCCCAAACCCGCATTCTCGTACAGCTCGGGCTGGGATGAATTGGCTGCTGATAGGACCCGCGGAATTTAGCAGCTGCATTTCCGCAGACCTTAGGGTCGACCACGGCACAGGATATTTTTGGCGCTAGGGAGTGGTCAACAAGAGGTGGGTGATTATTGAAGGAGAGGATGGTGTGCTGACTGACTGAGCCAGTGAGCAGGCACCTCGACAACTTGTCTGTGCCGCGTGTTCAGGATACTAGGACCATGGGCCCCGCAGCTATCTCAACTGGCCAGAACAAGACAATTGACACAATTGACTGGCTCACAAGAACATGGTGGAGAGAGGAGGCGGACTCCAAGAAAGGTATTCCTTCTAGTGTCTCCAAGACGGCAACGTTTAGTGGACGAGGACAGAGAGTGAAAACTGGCGCCACGAAGGCCCGCTTCCCTCTCCACCACTCCTCACCGTCTACTTGTACCTACAAATCCGTGGCTTTGGGACCAGCCGGGTTACTGTGGCATGTGCAGGTATTCGCGACCTGCTCACACGTGGACGGATGGTCGGGGTGATGTCCACTTCTCTCATTACTGCGTACTGCGTATTCTCCGTCTTCAATAATATCAACAGGCTGGTCAATGTGTCCAAGAGATGCATGCCTGTTGCCGCACCCGTATCCGTACCATTCGATCTGAGGATGGTCACGGCCGGGCAAGCCACCGCCCACTCACCGTCACATGGCCCCCAGCAGCCAAGGTTGTGTTCTATTGTGTAACCCCATCCCTCTCCTTGTGTAACCTCGCAGTTCAGAGATGGCCAACGAGACAGCAGAAGCCGATATCCTGAACCTTGTTGGGCATGAGCCGTGCGAGATGCATATCCAGGAGGCCCACCTAATGGAAAATGTTTCCTGCCCTCATATCACCACGGTCAGGCAGATCAACGAGCAATCCAGGCGAGGCGACGAGCGTGCGTATCGTGATATGGCTTCTTTGGGTTTGACGTCTCCTACACCGCATTGGCATCTTCAACCTCGAGAAAGCCGCCGCCAGAATCACTTTCTTCCCTTTCCCCCTTTTCCCGAGTCGTGTCGCTCCCGTATCTTTGCAGCATTTGTTCGGCATATAAGCCAATCTTATTGCCCCTTCTCTCCAGCATTTCCTGCTTGGCGACAGTTTCCTCGTAGGAGGGTGGCTGTTCTTGCAAATGGGCCGAACTCTCTTCTTGTAGAGCACCTTTTGGTGAAGGTTGCCTATCCCCCTCGAGATCGGGGGTCGAAGTCGACATAGGTGTGAGCTCATGCACCGAACCGCTGGACGCAGTTGGGTCAATCAAGGGAACATCCTCAAATTCAGTGTCGGCTTCAAGATCGGCAGCTGCGCTAGGCAGTGGACCTTCTTCGTGTTGCAGCTCCTCTGCAAATGCTTGGTTGTCGCGGTCCACAAAGTGCCGGAGTGAAATACTCAATTCGCCCCCTTGGACCTTCATCGCGTTTTCGTTGGCATATACCAGCAGCACCGAGTTGGCTTCTTTCCTCACCGCTTCCAGCACGTCGGCTTCCTGGACCCGTGTAATCGAGTAGGGCAGCCTCTCTGACTGCTTGGTCGCCTCTGCCTGGGCTCTGGTCACCGGGCCGATCATTGGAGGATGAAAGGTGGCGGGCTGGGCTTCGTCTTGTAGCCACGCAGTTCTCCACCAACCACGACTGAGGCTGTCCTGCTCTAAGATATCGTCGTCAAGCAGTAAGTTGATCTTTGCATTTTGTCGGCGGAAATAGGTAACGCCGGGCTTGGTTGCGACCCCTTGAAGAGTATATTTGCGATGGGGGACGTCGGGAGCTTCCAGCGTCGGTTTTGTGAGTCTCATTGTGACCTGGCGGCTCCTGAGCCGAAGCTCATTTTTGCGTTGTTCGAGAGAATCCAGCTTGTGCCGAATCTTTTGTAGCACCGACTGCAATGCCGACCCGAGTTCGTCCACATCAGCCTGGGTGACGGTGTCTTCTGCCCCGGACGCCTGGCTGTCGAGAAAGCCATTCGAGACAGATTTCTTCCCCAGCACCGTGGACGAAGCTTTGACCGCAGAGTTGAGGACTTCGGCAACATCAAGAAGTCTGTTGTCGGACGACTTGTAAATCTGACAGCGACGTTGGATGTGAGTGTATTGGTCTATCTCTCGGCGAATCGATTGCAGCTCTTTGCGTATCTGCTGCATCTGCTCCCTGCATTCGTACATGTACCGATCGGGATACCAGATTGGATCCAAGGTCAGGTCCGAGCTCCTCGACGTGCTGTTAGGGTCGTGGACTCGGATGGTGAAGATCTCTGCGCAATGGCTGATCCAGACATCATCTATATTTCCATGTTCATCGTTCCAGATTGTATTGTCGAGCAAGTCGGTCAACGTCTCGCCAGGAAAGTGGTTGATAAAAGGGTCGATGCAATTCAGAGTCTTCTCCACGACCTGAGGGTCGCCCGGACTGCCCGCTTTCGTCGCCACGGAGCTGAAGACCTGCGTCAGTTGTTCTTGAGGAGCTTGTCTTGTCGCTGCAGACGTCCAGGCTTCGAGAAAACAATGGAACGGCGTGGCGTCAGCCCGATTGCGAACAGCCTGTAAATCAGCCAAAGCATCGACACTGCCATAGGCGCGAGTGGTTCTGTCGAGGAAAGCCATGAGGCACTGCACTTCGGTGAGCAGGTTACACTCCTGTCGATCAATGCGGAGACTGTTGTCGGTCGACAAGGCCTTGGTATTTTCATCGGTGGACCCTGACCACCAGCTATTATCATGGGCGTAGGCGTGTACTCTTAGAGCAGGCATGAGAAGCGCTTGGCGAGCGAGAGGGATATTGTGGTAGATGGTGAGCAAGGGCCCCAAGTACCCAGTCTCCTTTGACCCACGGAGGAAAGAGGGTTCACCGGCTGTCCTTCGTCGCTTGGATGGTGGTGGATGTTCAATGATCTCCCGCGAGGTCGAATAGGTGGTTAAAGCCCAACTGCTGGGTTCGTAGTATTCCCTTTTGGCAGGGCCGAAATGTGCACCAGTTCCTGTAACTCCGTCTTCCTGTGCTGGCAAGCCCTGCCCTAGTGACTCGGCCATTGCACGCTGGAGGTCTGGGTCGTTCATTTCTTCTTGTTCCTTGAGGGACTTGACGTTGCTTGCCGAAGCCGCGGCGTGCTCGGAGGAGAGATCCATTATGGAATTGTCGACTCGTGAAGGCGGACGAGATAGGGCGGCGACTCCTCCCATGCTCACATCATCTTGGACTGGCGAAGACGTCGCTGTCAACATAGAAGCCCTCCTGCGGTGTTTGTGCCCCAGATCTTACATGGAATATTGTCTTGAAACTGCCAGTCGTTGGAGGCAGCCTGTACTCACACCCTCCGTCAGCAAGCATTCCTTGGGACGGAGCGATGGTCGAAACAGAGCTTACAGGCTCTTCGATCACGGACTTCACGGGGTCTTCAAAAAAGGCGTTGACGGCCCTGTTGACATCGTTGTTGCTTTTCTGTCCACCAAGGCGTCAGCGCTTGTCCTGTGTGTCCTTGTGATATTGGCCAGGCTCACCTTGAGCAAAACCCTTGCACTGCCTTCATCTACCTGGATTATGGCACAGACCTGGGATATTTGATCCCTGGTAGGTTGTACGCCCGCCATTGTCGGAGAGGTGTCGATGGTGCATCAATCGATGCGATGGATGGGAAGACACGAGCCCGACGCGAGCCCAGGACTGGAGGTTCGGAAGGGAGGCAGGTAATGCTTCGGCACGGTTCCTATGATATTCCAGGATGTTAAGTTCGCAGACTGGCAGAAGGCACAAGTTGACACAAGACGGAGGAATAGGCTCTGTTTTTCCAATTCTAGATTGATGTAGCAATCAATTAATTATCATACTAATTGTTATTATTATCAAGTTGCTGGATCTAGTTCTGGGTTGGACAGCTAAGCGCAAGCAGATTTCCCCGCAAATGCAAGGCTACCCAACCTCGCCAACTCCAGACAGACTGCGTCGACAAAGTCGCCATTATTGAGGTGGGCAAGACTCCCCCCAGTCTCGGGTTTGGGGGGCCTGCAATCATATAAAGGCCGAATGCCCATGTCGTATTGAACCCTGTCGTGGGTTGCTAAGGATGGTTCGATGCCTCTCTCCTCGCGATTAACAGGGATTGAGCAAATCGTCGTATCCTGACCAGCTTCATGGATTTCCGCAATGTCCTTATCCATAGGGGAGATGGTGCGTGATATAGATCTTTGTTTCTTGAATACATCTTCCAACTGGTATCTCGAGCCCAAGCAGGCATATTAAAGTCAACACGCATAAATCCGACGGGGAGTTCACAGCATACCCTTAAAAGCAATCACAAACCCAACTCCCTTTTGTCTAGTCATTGGCAAATCACAATCCGACACCGTATGCTCAGCATTCAAAGCGTGGACCGATTGTATACACTTTCGAAGTCGCCAACTGTGGCCAGTTCCCACCAGGTTCCCATCTCTTTTCGCGTCCTCACAAGATTGGAAAAGCCTAGAAATCCTTGAACGCGTCTTCCCACTCTTCCCGCAGTTCATCCGTATACCTCCCTCTTCCACCCTCGCTCTCTTCACCCTCGACGGGATCGGGGTATTCGTCGAAGTTGCCAGCGTCGCCAGCCCATTCCACCCGGGGTATGATCGGGCCCCGCCTCTTCCGATAGTATATCTCGTCCCAGTCAATGCCATCAAAGAAATAGTGTTGCATCACTCTCTTGCTGCCACCAGCAATGTGCCCGAGGCGTTGCGTGGGATCGGTCTTGCACAGCGCAAGAATAAAATCTCGTGCCGCTCTGGGCACGTGAAGGCTATGGCGGTGTCCGGGTTGAGACGGATGCGCCGTGGGGAAGCGAATGTGACCAGCAACAATCTGCTCATAGATGCGCATGGGGTTTTGGTCCCAAAATGGTGGCTGACCGATCAGCATTTCGTAGACCAAAATCCCCAGCGCCCACCAGTCGACGGCTGTCCCGTGGCCGGTGTTTCGTATGACTTCGGGTGCGAGATACTCAGGTGTGCCACAGAGGGTATATGTGACGCCGGCTCCGTTGGCCTGAGGCTCGGGGTGCTCAGTGCCCAGCTTTTCGAGTGTGGCGCTCTGGCCGTTCTCACCATGCGGCTCGGGACTCGGTGGGAGGTACTTGGCGAAACCGAAGTCGACCAGTTTGAGGTGGCCATCAACGTCGAGGAGGATGTTTTCGGGCTTGAGATCTCGATACGCAACAAATTGCACCTCGTGGAGGTACGCCAAGATCAAGGTGATTTCGGCCGCATAGAACTGGACCGTTTGAAAGGGGAAGCGACGTGCCCGCCGCAGGTACGAAAAGATCTCGCCGCCAGGAGTATAGTCCAGCAGCATGTACAGTGACGTCTCGTCCGAGAAAGACGCAATTAGGGTAGTGATGAATGGGTGTCCAGCGACGGCGGCGAGGACATCTCGCTCGTTTCGGACGTGCTCGACCTGTTTCAACTTGATGACATCCACCTTTTTCAAGACCTTGAGTGCAAACACCTTGTCCTTGTCCTGGGGATGAGGATTAGCGAACCGGCACAGCCAAACTCGTGCAAAGGTACCTGCGCCGCGATTTGGTGAGCAATTGTCTCCTCACATTTTTGAAATCACGTCGACAAGGGTTGATTTACCAGTTCCAAGTGTCCGCATCAACTCGAAGTCGGTGACCTTGAGGGTGCGGGATGACTGGCCAAGCTTCTTCTCTTCTGGGGGCTTGGAGACTTCCTCCGGGGACATGACCTCCTGCTCCTGCTCCTCCTCTTCCTTGGGCCGGGCTGAATCGGCATGTTTCTGGCTCTGGTCCTTATCGTACTGACGACTGGGATGGGGATGGGAGGCGCTGCGGGTGTTTTGAGGGTTACTGGTTCGTAGGTACTGTCTATGGCCTTGAGCTGAGGCCGCTCGCTGCGGCGGCGGCTGTTGCTGCGGCGTCTGAAGCGTCGCTGTGCTCATCGGAACAGCCAATGCGCATCTTTTTCCTTTTCCAAATGGCCTAGGGAGCGTCAAGGCTGAGGGTCATCTCGACGCGGGCGATCAAAACGCAATGCGATATGCGACTAACGAGGGGCGTTTGCCAGCGTCAATGCACGAGGCGACGTCAGCGGTGAGGCGGTGCAGGCGTTTTGGTTCCTCTGCTGGAATGACAAGTGTGAGAGAGGGGAAGGAGAAGTGCAACAGATCCTGCGATGGAGCGACGTAGAGAGGGAGTGTAGGGATGTTGGAGAGGGCGCAGGCACAGCCCCAGAAGCTGCGAAAAAAATTCCCTGAGGAGAGCAGCACAGCGGAGGCGGACTGATAGAAGAAAGGCTTCACTTACACCATAGGACTTTTGCTGCTGAGTGACCCTCCCCTCCTTCTCTGGGTGGCCCCCAGCCCCAGCAGTTTGTTGGATCCCTGATTTCTGATTCCCTCACTCTGCCCAGGGCTAGCACGCATCTGTCGCAGTGGAGATCTCGTAACGAGAAAACCAGCTTGGTGGGCATGACGAAAGGCGGGTGGATGCGGAGGATTTGAGTGGCTGACACTGGACAGATGAAACCAGACCAGACAGCGACCCGAGCAGAGTGCGAGGCAAAAAGAGACGAGGACGAGACCCCAATGGGTAGCTCTATTCCTATTCCTTATTGCTCTCACCTGCGATATCTGGCCTGGGCAGGTCGATCCTGAACGTCAAATTGGTGCAACCATCACGCTTCAGCTGCGATGCCACAACGTCGACCAACCCCCTCGATATCCCCCGGAACGGTCGGCGGTCATGGTGCATATTGTGGACACAGGGTCAAAGAGGAAGACACAGACACACTCAATCAGGAAACCGACGCGCCCTCCTTCCCAGAGCCACTCACCCGCGGCGTTATAGACGAGGCCATGACTAACGAGGATCCGAGGGAGGTCGATACATGGGATTAGGGTCACACAAATCAATATTCGTTTTCTTGCGAGGGTATATCGCCTTCCCAGCTGATCCATGTACAGTTTGTGTTCCAATAACTCCTTCCAATCGATCTATCCCCCTGGTCTATGTGCGTGACGTTCAAATCGTCGATTAAGTCCCCAATGGGTCCATTGTCCTGGCCGGCCCAGTCCCTTTTTGGTCGTTGCAGACAAGATCGTCGCCATGGCCCACGTCCGGATGACGGCGCGAACAAGAAATCTCAGACTCGAACATGGGCTGTTTATATTCGAGGAGGCAGCTAGCTTGATTATGTTTCAATCACCCTTCATGCGTTCGTTTTCGGGTTTCCAGGATCCTAGAGAATGGTTCAGTAGCTGCTTCAGCCGCAACCCGCCCAAAAGCTTGGGGCCACATACCGTCAAAGTCATGTCTCACAAAGGCCATTGGGTGCTCGGGTCCTTCTGAGCCCATCTGACCTACGCCTGGACTGAAACTCGTGATTGGCAGCACCACGACATCGCCAATCTTCTTGTGCTCGGTGATGGCAAAGAAATCGGGGTATGATACATTCGTTTTTCGGGTGCTGAAATCAAAATATTCTTGGTTGTTAAAGTATGAAAACAACGCATCCGTCCACACACCTGGTCCGGTGTACTCCATGATGCTCTTGGTGGGTTCTTTACCCTTGCGGAGGCGCCCAGCCTTTTGCATGGCCAATGTGTCTTCGGTAATCGTGGCAACAATGTCTCTCAACACTGGGTGGCCTGGTTTTGCCTGGATCGTCCATTGGCAGAACTGAATCCTCCTCGCATACCACAGGTTCCAATCTGGTCGGTCTGGGTCGGCCTCAATTCCCACCACCAAGCCGACGGTGGACTTGTCCAGGTTTTGCGGCAACCAATCCGTAGCCGACTGGAGGGCTTGGGTGTCGATGTCACTGTATATCCCGCCACGTGCAAGGAGAATCAGGTAGCGGAAAAAATCGGCCCGGATGACAGGAAGCGGCATGGCTTCGTATGCTTGAACGATCTCCGGCATTGGGGCATACAGATAGTTGATGAGGTGTAACGCAGCGTCGTCCGTCACCACCTCGTGGACAAAGCCAGGGTGTAGGTTTGACCACGAGGCCTCAAACGGTCTTAATCTCTCCTCAAACTTTCCTGAATCCGGTCCATATTTCCACGTCTGCCATATGTAAGCAGGAAATTTGGCCTCGATGTCGTAGGGGAAATGGTATCGTAGCCTTTCTCGTAGAGGTCTGCCTGCCACGTCGTGGACGGCTTGCTGAGACTCCTGAATGACGTTCGGGGGCTTGGGAGGAGGGTAGGGTCTCGAGACCTGCTCTCTTTCAGCCGCATCTTGGGTCAAAGGAAGGCTTGACGAGGTAGATGCATGCCGCAGCAGAAGGAATAAGGTCAGTAGGACGATTGCTGTGAGAGCTGCACGTCTCCATGAATGGGAGATGGCCATGACCAGTAGTAGTGTCTGGAACCGTTGCCCACAAGAAGTTGCTGCAGGGTGCCCGGGCTGTCACTTCCAACTCGTTTCACGGCCAGTCAAAGATCGGTGGCATAAAGGCTTCGGCTTCCTCTGGACCTGTGGACTGAAGAGTGCGACGGCTGGTTATGAGCCCCAACAACTTCCTCCGGAAGGCCGCAGGCACAGCTGATTGAAAAGAATTATGAGTGTGGGTGGGAATCCATTATCGTGACTCCAGCATGTCTTTTGTCCCCTGGCGCTGTGCGGTCCTGCCGCAGCAATCGTAAAGTCAACGGCGAAGATGGAATCGAGAGCTGACGGAGACAACTACCCGACTATAAACGTACGGCGGGTGGTCAAGATAGTCTGTCGCTTGAGGCGCGGCTGCGGAGGAGCTTGCTTAGAGGGAGCTGGTGGATATGATGAAGGGAACAGAAAGCAGTTTGGGGAATGAGTCGCATAGAAAGGGTATGCAAATTGTGAAAACAATATACGTACGCAGGTGGCACAGCAAAGTGCATCGTGGTTTCAGAAACCCTGAACGGACCCTCAGGGATGCGTGTCGACCGACGCACATGGAGCTCGGGCCCCGGGGGATCAATAGGCAAAGGGAACTAAACGACCTTAGTTAAGTTCCTGGTTAAGCTTTGGGGATCCACCATTGCGCATTCTTGGACCTTGGCTGCCCGTGCAGGCCCCGGACAGCGCCTAGTGGTCCTTGGGGCTGACGAATACCTGGGCAGTTTCCACTCGGTACATGTACCTCGTAGAGTTCAGGGTGTGCCTTGCTTGAGTGCTTCATCCCAATGACGACCACATCTCTGAGAATGTATCGGTTATGTGGCCGCCAGTTTAAAAGACAGCTGTTTGATACTTGGCTCATTTCAAACATACCTGTCAGTATCTCGTGCACATCGTAACATAAATGTTCACAGTGCTCTATCGTCGGTTCTTTAGTAGTTGACTTAACCAGCCTGCGCCTGGTAGCCCCAGAATACGCTTTGTCCAGAGGCGAGAAAAGACAAAGGCAATGAATGTCATTGAGCCCAGTACGCCGTACAGAGAGCCGCTGTCGTGGATAACACATCTGTCCCAAAGCCATGCATCTCCATACCCCTCAAGTGAAGACAATAGATCATCCGGATTCTTTCGTATCCCTTTCCCAACCTTCATCCTTCTGTTCTCTTATCCAAGAGCCACCATGAATCACCTAAGGATGCTCAGCCGCCCCCAGGCCTGTCCCTAAAGAGATGAACCACCCACGACTGGGGGGCAACAGTTGTTCATGCTATTGCCGTTGATGTTTGTTCTTCTCCATGACTTTTTCGAGAATTTCCAACCTCTCCTTCGTAACTTTGATGGCGTCCTCCATCTCTCTTTGACCGAACTTTTCTTCCTTGATCCTCGCCTCCACATCTTGTCTTGTCGAGGACCTGCTCCTCTTGTGCCGTTGCTTTTCTATCGACCTCTGTCTCGCAGGGTCGCCGGTCTCCTCTTTATTTGATCGACTGAAGCTGGGGCCAGACTTTTCACGAAGTGAAATAGTATCAATGTTGGCGCGTTCTTCAAGCCAGTCCCAGAACTCGTTTTCCTCACGCAACCACAGAGAATCGTATGCCGCCATCCGCTCTGTGTGCGATCTGTACGGACCGAGTTGAGTGGTTCCCGCTGGGCCACGCAGCCACATCAACATGACCATGACAAAGAGGATTGCAACCACAACCTCCATTTTCACGAACTGCCTCAATATGTCTATGGCAGGTGACAAGGGACGTAATGACTCGAAAATGCCCCAGTTCACCGTCTGCTTCTTCTCTTCTTCGATCTTTTCCTCTTTGCCCTTTTTCTCCCCTTTGCGCTTCTTCTTGGTCAATTTCGAACCCTTGCTGGCGTTGGTCGTCCCCCTAGGACGGCCACTAACCGCAACCTTTAGGACCTTAATCAGGCTATCACCGTACTGCTGTTGGCCTTCGTTGGCCCCCTTCTCAATAGGCCCTTTCAGCCAGGATTTGGCTGTCCATTCGACCGTGCAGTTCATCTGGAATCTTGTCGCATTGCCGGGAGCCCATGAGAGGCAGTAGCGAGTTTTGGTGCTAAACGCGTTGCCACTTGGTACGTCAGGGGTCTGCGTGGTACATGTGATGCTCACCGACTTTTCGAGGTCGAAGAAATCCAAATTCTCGGTCGTGATGCATTTGGTTTGTTTCGGACCAATGCTTCCACCGAGCGGCTTGATGTAAGAGTATTGCCTGCTTTTGATATCGTTGTTCAACCCCTTCTTATCGTCCTCGAAAGCGATTTCCATACATTTGCATTCATCGGCCAAAAATTTCCGCACAAAGAAGCCCGACTCGGGGCCGTATAACAGAGAGTAAATTTTGCCTAGCGGGGCAGGAATGACTTCGTCCTTCATAATCTTGTCGTAATGTGTAGCACTGTCGGAGCAGTCGGTCGGAGGATGCGTCGCCGGACCCGGGAAGTCGTTTGCTGCCTCTGGAAATCCTGCTTGGGCAGCAAGTGGCTGTGGAACGTTGGGTGTCGTGCCGGCGAGGATGCTGGCCGTCTGCGCAACAGCGCTCGCGTTCATGCCAGACGGTTTTCTAGACACTGTCTTGCCGTCCACGAGCTCGCTGCCGGCGTTGCTCGCACTGCTTTCCAGAAGACTTGGAGCACTATCCTCATCTCCATCTGAGCCCGATTCCTCGGTGGAGCTCCCCTCGCTGGGCTGAGCACTGGCTCCATTCTCTACCACAGCGGCCGCACTGGCCTCTTCCGCTGCCAATTGCTTCCCATTCATGCTCTTTTGGAAACTTGCTGGATGACTGACGCGCCAAATCCCGATCAGCAGGTCATACGTCTGCTCTCGATAGATTAAGCTTCGAAAAGTATGCCGAGCATGTAATGTCTGGATGGCGATGGCATTGGGGAAAACCACTGCCGTGTTCTCTCGCTCTATACTGACGACCTCCTCAAAAGAAATCACCACGGTAGTCACCCACCCCAGTATGTTGCTGAAAAAGCAGATGTGGCCTTCGGAAATGTAGATCCTCCCGGCGAGTAAGATCTCTTTTTGCAGAGCACAACTGTAGTCTTCAATCAGGTAGTCGTCTTCGGGAACACTCCGAAACTGCTGGTGAAAGTTTCGATTGCGTTGCTTGGGAGCCATTGTAAAGCCCGTCAATCGAGGCCCCTTGGCCGGGTTGGCCAACGTTGCGGTACTCGCCCCTATTATAGCACCAATTGCCGACTGCCCAGTTGCCGTCGATGACCCGCGCGATCTTCGTTTTCCAAGTCTGCTGCGAACACTTGCCGTTCGTTTGACCGAACCCAGCTCGGCTTCGAAAACGCTACCATTGGGAGGCGTCCTTTCCCCGCTCGCTGCCGCTGCAATCGTTTGCGCATGCCTCATGCTACTACCCACGGGGTCAGGAATTTCAGCCACAGGAGTTGTCGTATTTGACTGTTTCTCATAAGCAGCTGAAACAGCCCTTCTCGCCAGGGCGTCTTCCACTTTCGCAGCAACCTCCTCCTTTTCAGCAGTGGCGTCTCTCTTGGCATCTGTCAGTTCAGGCTTGGTGGAAGAGGCGTGCTTGTCTTCAGCATTCAGACCGAGATCTTCAAAGTTCAAGTCTCCCGAACCCAGTGTTTCCACGGCTAACTGCTTGCGTGGGGCTTCCGGTTCAGGGGCTTCCTCTTCTTCCCTGATGGATTCCTCGATGGGTTTCTGCTTGGGAGTGGCGTCTGAAGCGTTGGTGCCGGCGCGGTTTCTGCTCTGCGCCGTAAGGTTTGTGATAGTCGACGCGGCATTCTGTGCCGCAGAGACCCAAGATGAGAATAGACCTCCCGACGGCGTTCTCTTCTCCTCGGAGGAAGATGCCAGTGGGGCAGTGAGTGAAGTGGAGAGCTTGCTGGGCTGATGTGTGATAGAAGAGGCTGAGCGGATCCTCCGGTGCGATATCATGTTTCCGGATGGGCTCACCACAATGTTCGAGCCTTCTGGTGTCGTCTTGGACTCTGGCTTGTCCGTACTTGGAGACCCAGCCGGTGCGTCAAACCGAGTGTCCGTGGGCGTAGGAGGAGTAACGGTGGTGAGCGGGGTGCCAATGAGAGCACCAGGAGGTGTCAGAGGCCGCACGGCACTTTCTGGGTTTGGCATCGAACTGGTCTGCGGAATATTTGGCGCTGGAGGAGCCACTGTCAGATCCTCAGGGGGGTTTTGCGGTTCAGTAACTTTCGACTTTGGCGTGAGGTTTTCATTGCTGGCGATACCAGCGACCGGCTCGATCTCCTTCCGCTCGGGGCTGGCTCTCGGACTCCTGCCTGGCTTTCCAAAGACATCTCTAAACCTTCTCCCGGGTGATTTGCCACGGAGTTTGCTTATACTGTCACGACGAGACTCTGGTTTCAGGCTGTCTGTTCGGCCAATCAACCCCGTGGGAGAGGATACGGCTTGAGCAGAGTCTGCCAAAGCTGGAGTCTTGGGGGACGGAGAAGCGTCGTCCCCCGCAGGCTCAATGAGGGTCGGGATTGTGCTCATCAATAATTCTTTGGACGGGCTCTGTAGGGAGTCGCCATCGCTGCGTGTAGTCGTCGTAGATATTAAAGGCGAGGACATGGATGCAAAGCCCGTGTGAGAGTCGCGGGTAACCAAAGGAGGCGTCTCGACCTCTGAATCGTCTGTGAGGAGGTTGGCATCACCATCACCTCCTTGACTGCTCGTTCTCCTGCTCAACGGTGTTGCAACAGACTTCACACTCAACCCAGTGCCTGTTCTACCTCTTGCCAAGTCTTCAACAGCAGCCTTCAGTTCCAGTTCGCGCAGCTTCCTCCTCTGTCGCTTGCTGTGGCCAGGCAGCAGCTTGCGCACTCCACTACTGCCAGATTTGCTGCTGCCATCTTGGCTGATAGAGCGGACACTTTGTCTCGTGGGGGATTTGTCCAGGGTGATCGAGTCAAGGGAGTCGGTGCGCAAATCTTTTATGAACTCGTCGCCGACCAGTTCAGACGACCGTCGCCTGTTGGAGAGAACTTTCTTGAGACCCTTCAGCTGAGGTGAGGGTTCGGGCATCGTAGGGGCGACATGGGGAGAGGATTGGGCAGACACTGCGGCCATTCAAGGTGAGTCCAATTGTCGAGCTGCAGTGTGGCCAATGTTTAGGAGCAACGGGGGACCAATCCGCGTGATGTCACACGGACAATGGTAACGAACGGCATGTGGATCCAAACACGAAAAGAGGGGGAGCACCTAGCTGATATCACGAGAATAAAACAAAAAGGTGCTATGAAATATCTGTCTTGAAAGGATAGACGAAGGAGTGCAGTGTAGAAGAATGGTAGAGGAGGTGATGCCAGATCGAAGGCGGTCACCGTAGTCGTTAGTCGAGATGGGTTCTCTTGGTCGCACTTGGGTACGCGTATGTGGTAGAACTATGAGTTCAGGCTGCCGCTTCAGGGCTTCGGTACGCGGAAAGGGCCAGTATCATTAGCTGCTTGTGGGTGGAAAGTTCGCAAGCTTTGGGGGGGGGGGAGTCAGCGACGGGTGCAAAATGCTCGAATGGCTTGCGCGAACCGGAAAGGGCCCCCCGAAAGCGGCAGGCGATGGCCAGTAGTGGCGCGCAATCACTCTGGGCGGCCCCCTCACGCGATCCAATCGTGGCCTAACCCACCAAGTGACCTCAGCCGCCCGCAGCGCCCGGGTGGCTAGAGGGCATGAATTCGCCGGACCCAGCGATCTCAAAGGCAGACACAGGCAGCCACTTTCGGTTGGTGCGGGTGGTTTTCGGCTCCCGTGTTAGAGGCTAGTGACCTAAAGGGCTCGAGCCAGGGGGCACCTCCAGGCTTCCTACCCCCAGTAGGAGTGCATGCATGCAAGGAGCCTCAGTCCCCACCAAGATCTCGTCCAAACCTGCGTCACTGCAGACTCGTGACTTCGTCGCAGATTTCCTTCCATCCAAGGTCCAACTACCTGCGGATTGTTCTCTCATGCGAGAATAATGCCGCTCACGCCTCGTCGTCTTCGAGTCTATCGATACATACACTGCAGACAGTCACCCGACAGCCCTTGCGAACCTTGGCGACCACTGAACTAAGAATAGATGGAAACCGCACCGCTGACTCTCGTAAGCAAATCTATGTCGGAAATTGAGGAGCAACGACGCATGGTCTAATGCTCTCCTGCCTAGGCTCATACCCATGCCCGAAATGCTGCCCTCGAGTCGCGTCGGCACAATCCCGTCGCTGCCAGCGAGGAGCACGATCTCGCCGCAGCAGAGTTCGCAGCTGCGGCCCAGGAGACTTCAGACTCGGAGGCACTGCGCGTATTGAATCTGCTGGAACAACACCACAAGAAGCTGGGTCAGCTGTTGAGGGCAGCTCATGAGAAACCGCCAGTGAAAGAGGTTCCTAGCCAGCCGTCAGTTGGCGATGGCGACAATGCGCTGCCAGCGGCAGAGCAGCAGAAGCAAGAATCTGACAGACCTCCTTCGCCAGAGGTCGCTGTCCACCCTCCCAGGCTTCCCAGGGGCCTGAGGTCCAGCACTCGCGAGTTATCTTCTTCCATTGCTAGCAATCTTGCTTCGGCAAGAGGTATACCCAACAACCGACAAAAGAGGCCTACCCCGATTTCACCCCTGGTGTCGAACCAACATGCCGACGGACACAATGCTCAAGATGAACCAAGGGGCAAGCCTGCCATAAGAACAAATGCAGACCCCGCCGACACTCTCTTGTCCATGTCCCGCCAAACGAGTTCACGTCCATCATGGGCCCCCCCGTTATCCTCCTCTCCGACAAAGTCTGCTGTGACGGAACAGCCAGAGGCCCAAAGCTCGGATGCCCCCTTCCAGCAATTCTACACAACTTTTGAGAGTCTTGTATCGAAACTCAGTGCACCACTGGCATTTGCAGGGCTACCTCTAAACACCACTGCTCCGTCTAAGTCGCCATCTGCTCCCTCTTCCAGCACTCCCAAGGCCCCGAAAGCTGTGTCCCGCCCAACGCCAGCAGCACCATCCGTCGATTATTCTCAGCTCATCTCGCGTGCGGCTTTACGGGCGGTTTCCGGCACCGGAAACAGCACGTCCAACCCGTCCGAGTCATTTTACGTCGTCCCTACCACCGGAGGCACAAGTTCCTACGCTGAAATCATGTCCCGGGCCGAACGTGAAGAGGCGCGTGCTGGCCTCCGTGGACATGGCCATCGCCGCCAACCTTCCAATCTCTCAAATATCTCCGAGGACGATTTTGTTGATGCCAAAAGTACGATACTGCCGGCTTCAGCCAACGGACCGCCGAGCCGCTTTACCAGAGCCCGTGGGGGCGCTGATGAGATCAAAGTGAACGGGAAGACGATGGAAGAACTCGCGTTAGAGAATCAAGCCCTTAAGCATCTCTCTGACACGCTTTCCAGGAGATTACACGTCTTTGAGATGTCTGCTCAAACGTCCTCCGCAGCACTGGCCCAGAGCATTCGCTCCCTCCACAACCGCTCGCCGATGCTCTCTCCCGAGAATTCGCGTGGCAAGACCATCAGTGGGAAGATGGGACTCGACAGTGGCGGGATTGTCGGCATCAACAATAGTGGAGGAGGTGGCAATCGTGACACGATGCAGCGCAGAATAGCAGAACTAGAAGAAATTCTTCGCAAGAGTGATGCGAGGTCAAGAAAGCGCGAAGAAGAGAATGTCAAGTTGAAAGAGACAATCACCAAGTATAGAGAGAAATGGGACAGTCTGAAGGCGGGAGCCAAAGCGAGGAGGGCACGCGAGAGAGCTAGCAGGCCAGGCAACGGCGACAAGGTCGGTTACGGTGAAGAAACCACCACGGAAGGAGGCGAAGACGAGTCCGCCGTGGGAGGCTGACACCACCCACAGCCAGAGGCACCAGCCGCAAGATAGCAGACACGGGGGGACTCTGTATTATACTGTGCCAGGTTGCGAGTATATACAGATTTGTACGAAGGGGACTCACCACCCCTGGAACGATGCATGACAAATGGTATGATGTCCCGACGAGCGAATGTAATCCGATGGGACGACCAAAGTCCACAGAGGATTAGCATTTCTATCGAATCACGCACGCCCGCGAACTCCTTGATTGACTGACAAAGATTGCTTTCATGTCAGGACCTGGCGTACAAAGGATGCTGTGGAAAGGGTAAAATATCCTGTTTGACTCGACATGCTCCGTACAATGTGGTAGGGGTATTATATACTAGCATTACTTACTCTACTTTGGTACAAGTACACAACGACCCCCTTTCCTATTCCCATCATGAATGAAGAACAAACAGCTGTACTCACCGCTCCGTTGCACGCTCCGTGGTGTTATCATCAGCTCCGTCTCCATCTCCATCTTCATCTCCACCAAACTCAGTCTGGGGTCCCGGTCCATCTTTCCCTTTGCCGTGGCTCTCACTCCGCTTCCGACCGGACGAGTGTCGACTCATCATCCCGCTCAAGGTCTCGCTCAACGCCCGAAGTCTTGTTTTTCGCTTGACCATATCGCTCTCGTCGTCCAACGCGAGATCTGCCTCGACTCCATCACCATCTCTTCGAGCCCCTGGTGGTCTCGCCTCGTGCGTCTGTGCACGGCTTAGATCCTGCGCGCTGTCGGCGCTGCGGTTCTGCCAGTGCATGTTCAACGCTGCGAGCGGATCGAATCCGTCGATGTCATCAGCCAAAGCGACGGTTCGTCGTCGGTCGTCGATGGAGTGCCGCCCAGACCGGGTGCGACGAAGTGCAGCGCGCACGGAACGGGGGGATCCTTCGCCTTTTAGTAATGAGTCTGCCACCAAGGCGCTGAGCGAGTTTGAGAGAGGGGGCAACAGCGGGCCTGGGACAGGGAAAAGGCGTGAAATGCTTCCCCTAGAGCCACGAGCGAGAAAGCTGGGAGCGGGAGAGTTGTCGTCCGGCGTAATTCTCGCAGACCTGTCTGGGCTGGGTGGTCGAGGAGAACCGGATGGTTTCGAGGGTGTTTCTGGTTCTGCAGGTGAAGAGGCGGAGCGTTGCAGGGGTCTTGATGTGGCAGGGGTATAGAATGGTGTAGATGCGTCGCGAAGTCCACTGATTTGAGGTGTTAGGGGCGGCAGGGAAACGTCAATGTGCTCGGTGGAAGAGAGCCAGGGGTTGGAAATGAGGTCTTCGGAAGGTTCAGCAGGCGTTACGGAGATCGAGGGCAGTATCGAAGATGCATTTGATAATCGTCTCGGCGTTCGTGGCGTGGCCGTCGCTGCTTGTGCTTGCTCTGCATCGGAGACCACCGGATAGCCGTCCATCTGCATCGGCTTTGGCGCATCGTGCTTTAATGGCGTCCGCTCGTCGACCTCTTCTGCCTCCTCGTCGAGAAGCTGTATCGTCTCCTCCTCGTCTCTTGCCGGTCCTTCACTTTCGCCGATCTCGTGACGTTGACTTGTGATGAGGTACACGCCAAAAAAGGTCAACAGGCATCCAATGACAAATTTGATTGCCTGATCCAATGTCGTATGTTCAAAATCTCGGTACAGCACCGCCGATCCAATAATGACGGAAAGGGTGAAGAGTACAAATTGTGTCGGTATAACCTGCGTCGAATCATAGTTCTGCAAAGCACGGTTCAGATATCGGATCTGCATGAGCGCCGAGGCAATAAGGACAAGCACAAGGAAGTAGAAGATGGCAAAGGTAAACGCCTTGTAGAGAGACACAGACAAAAGGGACGAGACGCCTTTGGTGGAGAGCGCCGTATAGCCTCCGCACAGCGCCACCAGGCCAAGGTCGACAAGTATGGTCTTGCGACCATATTGCGGTTCGGCATACATCAGAGCCCCAATGAGCACCACGGTGATGATGACGTAGAGGAGGAATTCCCACCTCTTGATGGTCCTCCATAGATCACCGGGGCCAAATTTAGCCTCACTGCTTCGTGCGGATAACACGACGGTGACAGCCCCGGCAATTGCAACCAACACCCCGTACAGATCGCGGCGGCGGAACCGTTCCTTGAGCATCAGGGGAGCAATCAGACAATTTGAGATCAAGGCGACAACACCCAGTGGGCTGACAATGGATGCGGGAGCGAAGCCATAGGCAAGGAAATTGCCCGTCTCGCCAATGATCATCAGCACCAGGCCGAGCCACCAGTAAGGCGACTTGAGGTAAGATGCCCTTTCGGCGTCGGTGGTTGGGTCTTTTTCGCGGCGATGGTCTTGCTGAGTAAGTCCCAAAGAAGGCTGTAGAGTCTCCTCTGAGGAACGCTGCGCTGAACCATCCGTTTCTTCATCTACACTTCTTTTGTGATTGGATATTCCAAGATTTTTTCTCCTTCGCTCTTCTGCAATCTCTTCCTGCTGATCGCCGGCAACGCCGGACCCATGCTCAGGCGCAGTGTGTCCATTCGCAAATGATTTTCTGGATTCGGAGTACTCGCGGTCTATGAGGATGTGCGCATATCTCTGGGTGTTCAGAGCAAAGGAGATGAGGATGTTCCCCACGATTGCCGTAACAATGCCGATGAAAGACGACCACTTTTCATAGCCGGCGCCGGGTTGCGATCCACCCTCAGGGGCAAAGAGATGTAGTAACGGTGTCGGGGGGGCATTGACCGTGGAAGCAATAGTCGGTATGTGCATTGGGAAGGGGGATCGTCCGTCGGGTCAGTCAGGTCGTTCGTCTCCGGACGACGCTGGCAGCGGCCGGAAAAATGACGCGGACCCTGTGGGAAGTCGAGGTAGCCAACAGGCAGATCGGGAGCGAAGGTGCTTCATCTAAGGACATCAGCGTGTCCATGAGAATGATCCCAGGTGTCGGAATATGGAAGAAGCCAGAGCCATCACAGGCTCGGTATTTGAAAATCAGGGAAGATGGAGAAGAAGGCGTTGGAAATAATCATGGTACCATCGAAGCGGAGTGGGTATCGCATCGCATGCAAGTTGTACGTCGTTGTGCAGCAAGCAGCGGGCTTGGCGGGCAGCGGTACGGAGGAGTAACGGGCCGAGTAGCGCATCAATGTCACGTGATACTCGCCGCCTGTCCAACTCCGCTTGACGCTTAACCCAACCTCGGTGTCTCCTGCTTACCAGCTGTGTTATCAGCTACTCGGCGCTATTGTAGGTGGCAAATGTTCGGCGTCTGTCTTTCAGCAAAGAGATGATAAGGATGAATCATAATAGGGGTGTCTATCAGGAGGCTCTTGACGTCTAACACCGCCCGAATTGCTCACACCGGCACTGTTCTAAAGGGATACAAAGCACTGCTTCTTGTCCAAAAATGACATGCCAGAGATACTCAAACACCCGTCCACTTGTATCGTCATCTAGCGGCGTGTCGAGTAGCCACTGACGGTAATGCTCGTAGTCCGCCCGGCTGCGCTGCAGAGCCTGCGTTCTCGATATCGCAAACTGGGAACAACAGGGCTGGGCAATGACTTTGGGTATGTCGGTGTAGTTGCCACCGAACATATATGGCCACACTTCCCTCATAGCGTGCTCCGCCGTACGGCGGTCGTCTTGCCGGTCGACTTGAATTTCTGCTGGGCAGCCCGGGTCAGGAACGCAGCGCATATTGGCGTAACCGTGCTTTTCGACATATTCCAGCCTCAGAGACCGGATAGAATTGATTTGGTTGTGGCCGTAGCTGTCCGTATGCCATGCCTCAGGCCAGCCTTGTAGATGCGGATGGACGAAGACCATGTACGATGGGAGAACGTCGTAGTGATCGATGATGAATGTAAGGTAAGCCATAGCCTCTCGGCCTTTGTTGAGTGGTGGGTGTAGCATTCCTTCGCTTGGGTCGTCCATGTAGTATATAGCTTGTTTCCAGCTGGACGGGCGTCCTCGTCAGCGCCCACGCAGCCACATACACGATCCCGCGTGACATACTCTTGAAGATAGTCGGACACCCACGTTACATCTTCGCCGCGCACCTTTGCCAGAATCACTGCTTTGTCTTCCGCCTCGGGTCCGGAATAGATCCATCCTCTGGAATTTTCGGGCTCATTGGGGCCACTAGGGTTGTCGAATAGGGCGAACTGGCTGAAACTGGGGCCCAGTCGAAGTCTGAACGAAACGCCGACCTTCGAGATGCAGAGCAGGCCCAGAGTGACTAAGGCCAGCACCGTAATCGCTGAAGCATAGCGATACTGCAGCTTAGAAATCAACATCAGGGCATGGGAGCTGAACTCCTAGGGAGCTTTGTGACTGCAGCGGATGAACAAGATGCTGTGGTACTGAGGGGGTTCAGAAAGAGCTAAAGAAGCAGATAAGTTGCGTCTCGTATGGGACAAGAGAAATTCACATGTCGTTGTTTTTGTTTATGCGGCTGCATCGTTGCCTCATGGGAGCGCCGATCTTCTATTATTTCCTGGATCCGAGTGTAGCAAGGCCCACAGATATCGACAAGCCTCTAAAAATACTTCAAGGGTTTTCTCAGAGCCACTTTTGGCATTGGGAGAATACAACTAGACTCGTATTTGTGGTGATCAGGTTGGAGTCGCATAAAACGTTTGGCCGATTTGACCTCGTAACACCCTTCTCGTTTGACAAAGTCGGCAATCTTGCTGCTCATGATCGACAGCGGCCAGCAAGCGCCTCCACAGACCCAAGGATTCCACTTCCTGAATCTATGCTTTCGACAATGCCAGTTAGATTCCGGATAGTTTCTGCGTTTGTTCGCGATTTGAGGTGGCGTAGATAGCGCTTGACTTTAACCAATGGCGTTGCTTTCAGCTCCACTAGGCAGCCACTAACGGCTCTTGCTCCACCAAACAGTTAAGAAAGTTACCCAATTTGGCCATGAGAATACCGCTGTGGATCTGCCGATATCAACAAGACAACTGTGGCTATTATCAACACTATGAAATTCCCCCCTGAAGTATGCTGTGGCGTGGCGTGGCCTAAAACTTAGCGCTGGTACTGTTACTATGCCGTTTTCCAGGTTCATCACAGGGAGTGCCAGCCGGCGGCAACGGGAGATGCAGATCGACAGATGGTTTGTCGATCTTCAAAAGACGCGCTGCCACTATTCAAATCTATGTTCACCACCCAAAAGTCCCTGGCAGCATGATTTTGCCAGTGGCCTTGACTTCGCCCTCCGTCTTCTAAGGCATCACATTTGCCAGAAGAGTTGTACCAGCAGCCAGCCAATCCTAGATTTCATTCACTGGCGCGGCATTTGCATGAATGTCGAGCAAGTTGCTGCTTGATGCCCTCACCGATCAGCCTGCACAAGCTGGGGTGTGCGGAACTACACCAGATTACGGCGGCCGAGACAATGGGCACGCGTATGTGCGCACATACTTGTGCGCCCGTCGACCAAGGTTGGCCCGGGCGGCCACATAATTAATCAATGCAAGGAGTGTCCGTCCTACACTGTCACGAGATGCCTAGACACGGGTACACTGCATCGGAGACCAACGGTCTTCTCCTCGTTACGACCAGCGCGCTTTCTTGATCTTCATCCAGTTCTTTCCCGGGTGAGGATTCTATTTCAGCCTTCGGAGGGAAGATATGTCCAAGTTATGTTCGAGGCACTTCTTTCGGACAGTGATCGTGGCTACAACTATCATCACAATCTTCCTGATATATCGAGTATTCCCCTCTTCACCAGATGCCACTCCCATGGTCAAAAGTAGCTTCGACTGGTCTACGTATGTTTACCGACATCCGCTAGAATCTATTACTCCAATTCCGACAGGGAAGCCCCACTCATTTCCTCGGATACAATATAGGTTTCGACGAGAGTCCATACCTGCGGCTATACAGCGAAGATCGCGACAGCAATTGATACTAAAACAGTTCAAAAAATGTTGGCAGAGCTATAAAACTCATGCCTGGCTGAAAGATGAATTGCAGCCAATCTCTGCAAAGAGCAAGACAACGTTTGGTGGATGGGCGGCCACGCTAGTGGACTCTCTGGACACTCTTTGGATAATGGATCTCAAGGAAGAATTCTATGAAGCCGCAGCGGCGGCTGCAAGGCTTAACTGGGCGACGACACCAGATACCTCGTGCAACATGTTTGAGACTAATATTAGATACTTGGGAGGCCTCCTCGCAGCATACGATTTAAGCCAGGAGCCAACTCTATTGAGAAAGGCCGTTGAGCTTGGAGACATGCTTTATGCCGGATTCGATACTCCGAATCATATGCCTCCTTTTTGGTTTGATTTTGAGAAAGCAAAGGCTGGTCAGCTAGCTGCAGAAAACCATCAGAGCTCGGCCGCGGTAGGCTCGTTCGCGCTGGAGTTCACCCGACTTTCTCAGATTACCGGAAATCCCAAATACTACGACGCCATCGCGCGGGTGACCCGGACGTTCATCGAGCATCAAGCGTCAACTCAACTGCCCGGTATGTGGCCAAGGCTCGTTAATGCGCGCGACCAGACCTTTCACGACACCACATTCACCTTGGGAGCCCTGGCGGATTCCCTCTACGAGTACTTGCCCAAGATGCATTACCTGTTGGGTGGACTAGAGCCAGCGTACGAGAAAGCCTATAGGGACTCCATGGCCACAGCTATCGATCACCTGCTGTTTCGACCTATGCTTCCAAACAACACAGATATATTAGTCGCCGGCTCCGCCACCGTCGCGGGTGGGAACTCCAGCCTCAAGCCCGAGGGTCAACACTTGAGCTGCTTTGCCGGGGGAATGTTCATCTTGGGAGGAAAGCTATTGTCGCTCTCGGAGCATGTCGACATTGGTGCAAAATTGACACGAGGTTGTATTTACGCTTACAATGCATTTCCCACGGGCATCATGCCGGAGATCTTCAAAATGCGGGCCTGTCCTTCCCTGGAAGCGTGCGAATGGGACGGAGAGCAGGTTTCCGAGTTACTACCTGAAGGTTTTGAGTCGGTCTCCGATCGTTCATACAAGCTTCGTCCGGAGGCCCTGGAAAGTGTGTTCATACTTTACCGCACAACCGGGGATCCAGGGTTACTGGACGCCGCATGGCAGATGTTCCAGTCCATCCAGGCTGCCACAGAGACCGAATATGGCAACGGGGCCATTGATGATGTGACTGTGACTGGTAAACCAACGCAAAGGGATTCGATGGAGGTGAGAACTGTCATAAACCCCAGACTGTGATCACTGCTAAGGTATTCAATAGAGCTTCTGGCTGGCAGAGACGCTCAAGTACCTCTACCTCATTTTCTCGCCACCCGATCTCGTCAGCCTGGATGACTACGTCCTGAACACTGAGGCCCATCCGTTAAAACGTCCAAAGTAACAGGCTTACTGGCTATCGGAGAAGGAAGCAACAACAACGTCTTGCCGGCAGATAGAGGGGTGCATGCAAAGTATGAAGTAGCACTCTCGGTGCCGAGACCGGGACTCGTCCAGGAAACATACAGAGAAGGAAGGATTGGGCACTAATAACCAGCATGGTGTTTTACTTGTAGATATTGCCGTTCTTGGACAAGCCAAAACATGCCAAGAGTGAGTTGGCGCTTGTCCCAATCTGGCCTGCAAGGATGCAGTGTGTCGGCGAATTGATCTTCCGTTCGACCGTCCTCGGTTGGTTGATTCCGAGTCGCAGTCTGACAACGTGAGGCTTCTGCAGGCCTTCAATTTTGCCCGACCCATTATTGTATTCGCTAAGAGTATCGACGCGCCACAAGGACAGCACACCAACATATCGTGACCATCTAACGAACCACGTTTCCAGGCCCGTCTTCTCCTCTCTTCGATTTCCCTGCGTACCCTCTCGCCGACCGAGTCATTTTGCCGCCATGGATCGCAGCCTTGACGAAACAATCGCCGAACGCCAGGTCCGTCCCAAGGCCGACCCTACCCGTTGTCGCCGTCGCTGATGACCACTCAGAGAGCAGAAACCCGCTCTCGCAGAGCCCCTCCATCGCAGCAGCGCCGTAGAGAATACAACTATCCTCGCGATGGCGTCAGAAAGGTCGGTGATGCACCAATTTCAAACATATGACTCTAATGCGCTCAGGTCCGAACATCCTCTCCTCTCCTCTAGTATCCCGCCTGTCCCGCCAGTACGATTGATCGCCGCATCGTCTCGAAACACACCTCCCATGTGTTGCTCCGACAAGTCGACGCGCTTCAGGCCAGGGACAGTTTGACAGACAGCTAATTTAGATCTTCCTCCTCTACAGTCTGCCAGGGACGACCGCGCGAACTTGGATAAGTACGGCCCCCGCAATGGGCAGTGAACAGGTGGAAAAAGACTAAAGCATTGCCAGTGACTGGGTTCACGACCGTTACGATGACGAACCGGATAGTATGTAGCTTGACGAACGGACACCATGGGGAAGACGATTGATGTTGGAAGCAGGCCGCCGCTACGATCGACCAAGGGAAAGTAATTACCGTCGCGACGATGATCGCTCGCCAGAACGTGACAGGTAAGGCCAAGTTGTGGCGGATGATTGGACGAGGCTGATCGTTCAGAAAACTTCCTCCAGCCAAACTCAGAGTTGAGAACTTGCACTACGATCTGACGGAGGATGATATTTGGGTACGTCAATTCAGCTTTCAAATGACCCCTGGCTCTGACATGGCATAGGACCTTTTCCAACGCATTGCTCCTGTGAAGGAAGCTCGACTCCGCTATGATCGCGCTGGCCGCTCTGAAGGAATTGCCTTTGTCACATATGAACGTGTCGCAGACGCACGAGCTGCTATCCGCGAATTCGACGGTGCCAACGCAAAAGGACAGCCAATCCATATCACCCTCCTTCCACTTCAGAGACGAGACAACCCTTTTGACCGCGTGGAGAATCCGAAAAGCCTGTTTGACAGGATCGAGGCGCCGACGAGCCGCAGTCGACGACGAAGTGAGAGTCCGATGGAAGAACTCGACGAAGAGCGGAGAAACCGCCGCGCGCCACGACGGGGAGGCCCCAGAGACCGACGGAGTGACACCACCAAACCGCCTCCAGAAAACATCGATCGCTACATCCCAGGCCAGCGCGACAGCCGAAGTTCGAGTCATCGTGGAGGGCGGCGACCGGGTGAACGGAGGGAACGTGCTGGTCGAGATGGAGAGGGACATAAATTGGTCAACGGCAGGCCGCGAAAGACGGCAGAAGAACTCGATGCAGAAATGGACGACTATTGGGGGTCTGCCGGCCCTCACGAGGAGACGTCCACTGGTGGCGCGCCGGCGGTGCAAGAAGGTCAGCCCGCAGCTGGAGATGATATCGACATGATCGAATAAAGAATGACTGTCAAGATCCAAACAAAGGGGAGGGAGGGAGCAATTCTGTAAAAGTAGATCCTACGCATCGTCGAAGGGGAGGCGGTCCGAGGTTCTGAAGCCTGCAGGAAAGGAAAGGCATGCAAGGGAAAAGGCAAACTCCCAGATGAAATTGAAACCAAGAATTAATCATCTCTGCGTTGGAGAACCTTGACCTGCCTCCAGTCTGAGTCTGAGTCGTAGGATGAAAGAGTTCGCCCCCGGTCTAACCACCCAGCTTCGACAGCACGAAATCTTCAACCGCCTTCATTCCCTCTTCGGCGCCGCTCCCCTTGATGCTCTTGGGGAACATGATGTATCCGTGAGGCGCGCCCGGCACGATCTTGACCACCGATTCCCCCCCAGCCATCGACCACTTCATGCTCATGAACATGGTGTCGTCCAGGAGACAGTCCTCCGTCCCGCACGTGAAGAGGGCCGGCGGCAACTTGCCCCTCAGCGGCTCCAAATTGGCGTAGAGGGGGGATATTGACGGATGTCTCTTCTCTTCGTGGCTCATGCCGGGGAGAAACACGTCGATGTAGTGGTCCATCAGGTCCCGATCCAAGACCAATATCTGCGGTCGTTGGAAATTGTACACGTGCGGGGTCCATATCATTGAGTAGCAGCCGAAATGTAGCAGGAGACCCTTGAAGCGGAAATCCGCGTACTTTGGGTGTTGGTGCTGCAGGAGGTGAAGGGTGACGAGCATGCTGAGATGTCCCCCAGCGGACTCTCCGCCCACGAATCCTAAGGGCGCTCCAAACTCAGATTCGGCGTTGTCAATCAGCCATTCCGCGGCGTCGAAACAGTCGTGGGGTCCGGCGGGATACGGATCCTCAGGTGCGAGACGATAGCCGACAGAAAAACACAACATGCCCGTCGTGTCCGCGATTTCCTGTAACGCTGGATCTTGCGACTTTTCGTCCTGAAGCACCCAGCCGCCACCATGGATGTGCAGGAAAACCGACTTGACGGCTTTGCCATTCTGAGGGCGGAGTATTCGACAGGGAATGGTTCGGCCAGCATCCCGGCTCGGAATGGCCACGTCCTGCGCTGTGTCGAGATAGACGGCTTTAGGAAGAGGTGTTTCCCCTGCGGCACGCATTTCACGGTAGCGTTTGGCACCGACCTGTTGTGGTTGGTACGGGAGTTGGTCTGGTGCTAAGGAGAGTCCGCTGAGGAGAGTAGAAGAAAGCAGAGGCAGAAAGCAGGAGACTCACCTCGTACCATTTGGGCCCGTGTGCCATGATATCCATCAGCTTCTGGTTGAATGCTTTGGTCTCCTCTGAGATGGCGGCTGGGTGGAACTTGCTGGCTTCGAGGATGACAGCATTGTGGGCGTCCATCTTTGGGGGTCCAATATGTTGTTTGGGACTTTCAGGGTAGATAGTCGAGAATTCAAAGGGGCTTCTCAATTGTAAACAGGAGAGGATCTATCGGTGCTGACGGACCTTCATCTCCTCATTGGCATTGAAGTGGACTTCTCCACTTGGAGGATGATCGGCGCAGAAGCCGAGGACATCTCCATACTGGCCGGGGCGAGGGTGGTGGATCTCCGACTGTCGTCGAAGTACCTACTCGATGCGGATACCGAGCTTCTGCAAGCATCCTTTCGCTCCTGTGGTGTTTGCAACTCGAATGGGCTGTGATATGGAGAGAGAACAAAGGGAGGAGGAGGAGGAGGAGGAGGAGGAGGAGGAGGAGAAGCAGGAATATACCAAGCAGCCAATCACGTGCTAATGTGCACATCAAGGTCGTATGACCCACCGTGTCCGGTCCGGAGATCCTCCGGAGCATAGATGCCGCCAGCGCAGTTGACTTTGCCTCCGAATTTTATTCAGACAGCAGCATCTGGTATCTGGTATCCTCATCGCCCCCCAAAACCTCGCAATGGATGAGGATGCACTCAAAGACTATCTCCCGGCCTCTTTCGGAGCGTCAGGGGGTGGAGTTGACATCGAAGCACAGATGGAGATGGCGAGGAGGAAAGGACCTGGTGTGCCTGAGCCCAAGGACAAGGCATCACCCGGTTCGAAGGGTGACAGTGACTCGGATGACGACTCGGATGACGACTCAGAAGAAGACGAGGACGAGTACCCTGTTTCTCATGAGATCGTCTTCAAGACTCACGATCGTGCTGTGACCACCATCTCCTTGGACCCGTCTGGATCCCGGATGATCACCGGCTCAACAGACTGCACAGTCAAACTATACGACTTTGCATCTATGGCACCCAACACTCTACGAGCCTTCAAATCCGTCGACCCGACCTTCACAAAGGGCTCGGCTGCTTCGGAGACTCATCCGGTGTATACTGCCAAGTTCAATCCCAACTCACCGAGCCAGGTTCTGGTGGTCTCAGCCACGCCGCAAGCCAGGATTCTGTCCCGCGACGGCGAAACTCTGACTGAGTTCGTCAAGGGTGACATGTACCTCCGCGACATGAACATGACCAAGGGCCACATCAGCGAAATCACCTGTGGCACGTGGCACCCGTATGCCTATGACCTGTGCGTGACCGCCGGAACGGACAGCACCCTGCGCATCTGGGACGTGAACGTGCGGAACAAGCAGAAAGAGGTCATCGTCCACAAGTCCAAGCTGGCGGGGTCGGCCGGGCGAAGTCGAATGACGGCTGTCGCCTGGGGGAGTCAGGTCGAAGGCGGAAATAGTCTCCTCGTTGCTGCGGCGCTGGATGGCTCCCTGATGATGTGGGGGGGCGACGGGCCTCACCACAGGCCCAGTGGCGAAATCACCCAGGCCCATACTAGCAACACTTGGACAAGCGGCGTCGACATCAGTGCTGATGGACGACTGGTTGTCACCAGAGGCGGTGACGACACGGTCAAGCTGTGGGATACACGCAAATTCAAACAGCCTGTCAATTCTACCACTCACGCCTCGACGTCAAGTCAATACTCGACGTCGAACATCCTGTTCGCTCCCAATGCGTCCTCCATCATCACCGGTTCTGAGACAGGGGACCTGTACATCCTCAACCCTGCCACCCTGAAACCCGAACTCGTCACTCCCGTCACCACGGGGTCACCCCTGATCAGTGTGCTCTGGCACGACAAACTGAACCAAATAATCACCGGCAGTGCCAACGGCGAGACCCATGTGCTTTTCAATCCGAGAACCTCCACCAAAGGCGCCGTGAGCGTCATGTCCAAACCCCCGAAACGTCGCCACGTCGACGACGACCCGACCCTTACCACGGACATGTCCCAAGGGATCTCGAGCGACGCCATCATCAACCCCGGGACCGCCAGCGAGGCCATCCAGGGCAGCACGTTTGCGTCGCGACACCCGACCATCGGGCTCACCGCGTCAGGCAAGTCGCGTGACCCGAGGAGACCACACATCCCGGCCACGACGCCGTTTGCCAAGAGCCAACCCGACGAGCGGCACATCAGGGAACGAATCCCGCTGAGCACGATGAGGGAAGAAGACCCGCGGGCCGCGCTTCTCAAATACGCCGACACGGCCGAGAAGGATCCCATGTTCACCAAAGCATGGAAGACCACGCAGCCGAAGACCATCTATGCGGAATTAAGTGACGAGGAAGAAGACGCCGGCCCACAGAAGAAGAAGCAGAGAACATGATCGTCATTCTCTCGCCATTTATTTCCCTGGAGAACTACGACCAAAGCGTATAAAGTCAACTTTTCGAGCATCTCAGAAACCTCCTGTTGAAGAATCACAAGGCTTCACCAATCCCAATAATACATGCTCGTCACAAAACGTTTATAATACAGGGCGGCCCGCTAAAGGCGAGAATGGTCCAGCTGCCTTCAAACCTCCTTGGCTGGTTTGCCGGTGATGGCTTCCTTGACTCCCTTGCGCGTGGGATGAACGAGACGCTTGATACCCATCCACGGAGTATTGATTGGGGACTCGCCGGTGTAAATCAGAGTGTCGTACAAGAAGCCGCCGAAGGTGCATCCAATGAAAGGGCAGACCATCGGAACCTGGAGATTTCCTTGTCAATAACCCTCACAAGCGGGCCGCAGGAGGACAACATACCCAGAAATAGTACCCTCCGGCACTCCACACTTCATGGCCGTAGCCTACGAAATAGGTGAACAACCTGGGCCCAAAGTCTCGAGCCAGATTTATGGCGTAGCCGGTCTCCCATCCCAGCGTCGCGCCGATACCGAAGATCAAGAAGAACAAGCCTAGGGGAACCATGATGCCCGCTCCCAGGTTCGCATCGTCCTTCAAGGCAAAGATGACAAACACCAGCACCGAGCTCGAGATGATCTCGGAGAAGACCTGGCCCGTCTTGGTCAAGAACGGCTGCGGGTAGGTGCAGAAGACGCCCGCGGTGGCATGGTCTGAGAATCCAGGGACGGTGCGGATTGAAGCGCCCCCCTCGTACGCATCGATCGCGGATTTGTAGTTGCCGTATATCACAGCCGCCCCGCAGAAACACCCTAGTGTTTGTGCGAAGGCGTAAATCGGGAGCTTGTACCAAGGAAACTTGCGGTACAGGCAGTTGACAAAAGTGATGGCGGGATTTAAATGGCCTCCAGCACAGCCCGCGACGTAGACGCCCAGCATGACACCGATGCCCCATCTGTACGACCGAAGAAATGAGCAAATCTGTGCCATGGGGAAGACTTGGGGGCTTTGCGATGTTTGCAAGGAGAAAAAGAATCAAAAATAGAATCCGCAAGACAGGAGGAGAAAAAACAACACGTACCCCCATGATATAGACTGATACTCGCCCTTGTTCTGACTGCTCGGGGGCAACTTTGGGTTCGCACTCAGGGTGACTTGCGCCACGCTGCCGTCCCCGAACAGAATCATAATGAAGGTGCCCATAAACTCGGCGAAGGGGTCCCTCAGATGATGTCTGATGCGACTCCACAGCAGGTTCTTGTGGTGTTGGTAGTCTTCCTCGGCCTCACCATAATTGAGCGCATTATCGATGGGAGGGCCGTGTTCTTGATGATATGGGTAGGGTGCGTCGGGGTTGGGGTCCATGCTCCGAGCATTTTGCTCCTGATCATGTTCGCGGTGGGCAAATGTGACTTCGTCAGAGGCCCGGTCCGTGGACGAGGAGCCGGGGGTGCGCATGTGGGGGACATGGAAGGGATGTTGTTTTTCTTTTTCGAGATTGTCCATGGTGGAACAGAGTCCTGCAACTTGCGCTTTTGTCTTGACAGGGGGCTTAATGAGGCTGAGGGAGCATATGGAGACGAAAGGCTAAGAGGGGGATCAAGTAGGGTTTCAGATGGAACCGCGAAATCTTTAAACTCCTATATATGACTTCAGGCACTTGTCGAGTTCGCATCACCTACCTGCATGCATTCTTAAGGCCGAACGTGTCCATCAGATGACAAGCCCACTACTGTGGTTCGGGAAGCTAGCATGTAGTAGCCGGTAGAAAATGTCGCAAAATTGGCCTCGATGGGTACCACCTCGCGCTGCCGGGTGCAGCTCCACCATCGCATGCGCGGGAAGCCTCTTCGTTTTCCATTCACGCCACGCCTGTTGATTGGTAAAAAGCTTCCCAGGTATCTTCTCGGCGCTGGGTCGTTGATGGCTCGCTGCTCGGGCCACCTCCTCAAACGCGGGGGCAGCGGGCCAGTCGTGGTCAGCTTCATCATAGCGAAAGAAAGACCACCGATCACTGATGATGCTGATCGACGTCAGTGGCAATGGCGTCCTTGTGCGGAGTGGAGATGGAGTTTGTCCCCCAAACAGACTAAGCGTACGACAGGAAGGCAAATGATTGGGTTTCCTAGACGTCATCTCTTGCCCGACCCATATCACCGCAAAGGGCAGAGGAATGCCAAGAGTGAAGACCATATGGTTATGGACGGGATCGGCGCACTGTCTGTGGTTTGAGCTTCGGAGGTCTGATTAGTCTGCGGGGCCAGAGGGTGGTAATCGAGTTGTGCATTTCATCGCTGATGGCAATTGAACGGACAAACACCCATAAAGGAAGAGATTGACTTGATGGGAGCGCATGGATGAGGAGGTGTGTCTCTCGGTTTCTCGTGTTGATGGTGCCCCGAATCCTGTGCTACCTGGGCGATCATAGGCTTGGGAAGAAGGTCGCGTATTGCAGTGCCGAAAATGGTTCAGTCTTTGCGGTCAGTGTTGACTACCGTCGCGCAGTTTATGTCGCTCCCAGCTCTTGTACAACAATGTGTCTTTTCACTTGCTGTTTTACCTACCAGCCAGTACTGCTCGCTTCGTAGAAGAGGGGATTGATGACATTGCTCGGCTTTGCGTAAAGGAGGTTCGACAGGATGAGGGGTGCCTCAGCACTCGATTGCATTTCCGGAGACGTGCCATGGATATAGACTCGAAGGGCATGTATGTGCCGAACACGAACAGGACGTCAAATCGCCGAAAGTGAGATTGGGGGATGGCTGCAAGTGAGTGTCTGATTGATCCCTCAGCTGTGTCGAGGTCTAGTCAGGGGATAGAGGAAGTAAGGTTCGACTTGTAACGACCAGCTTCTCGATTCAAAACTGGTTATGGGCGAGATTGAACAAAACACTGACGAAGTTCTACAAGACCGCATGCTGCTTATCAGCACGTGATGATAAGAGACCCTTTTCATGCGCTGGCGACACGCAGCAACGCAGCTCGTATCACTCACTCCCCTTCAGGCGCCAGGAGATCATCAATACCGCATTGACAATACACGTCTCGGAAGAGATCGCTGCCCCGTCCCTCACTGGATAGGGCTCCATCAATGGCAGACGACTTCATTGGTGCATCCTCCTGACGGTCTGATGGAAGCTTCACAACCTCCACTATTGCCCGGATGAGGGGTAAACAGAGCACAATATTACACACGATCCATTCTGCTCGACCGCTCAAACGCCGCAGTTTGAATTCTATTCCTTGTGGCATCGCAATGCTTCAGCACCACAAGTGTCCAGCACCGAAAATTTGAGTCGTAATACCAGCTTCCATCCTTCCACGGCCGCTTCCTCTCCCACCATGTCCGACGCAGCAACGAGAGCAGCCGAGACTCTCCGCTCAAAGCAGAAGCCCCTGAAAGACAAATACCGATCCGACCCTTCCTCCGCTCTCGTGACCTTGTCTTCCAGCGGCAGTCTTGACCCTACCTCATCCAGCCTCACATGTTCTCTCTCGTCGAGCACGGCGGCACGGAAAGTGGCTGGTCTACATCGGGCTGCCGGTGGAGAAGGGTTCGATGCCTCTGGTGAATTGTGCTCGGGGGATATGTTACTGGAATCGTTGGTGGCTTGCTTTGGGGTCACCGTTCGCGCAGTGGCCACGAGTCTCGGGATTCCGATCAACAATGGAACAATCACAGCAGAAGGAGATCTCGACTTTCGCGGGACAATGGGTATCAAAGATCCTGAGGGCAACCCTGTCCCGGTCGGATTCACCAAGATCAGACTAATTGTGCGGCTCGATGTCGACGAAGAGCACAAGTCAAAGGTGAACAAGCTGGTCGAGCTGAGTGAGAGGTACTGCGTGGTTCTGCAAACGATAAAAGGAGGCGTCAATGTCGAAACCCAACTCGGACACGTCGGCAACGTGGTTCCCGATGCACGGAAGGATGCAGATGAAGCTGTCAATCAAGGCAAGGGAGAGGGCATGTCGGACATTCCACCCAATGAAAGCGTCCTCAAGGTGAATTGAAGCCCGAGTTGTGCTCAACATTCCGCCCACGGCTATCTCAATGGGCGGTGGGAGAGTACTCCGTATTCATGCCTCATATATACGAATACGACGACATGGTTGATGCCAATGGATTTGTCTCACAGACTTTCTGACATGCTTGTAGACTTTCTCGTTCCTGCATAGCTTCCCCTCTAGGTCTGTGCATGGAGTGGCTGTGTGGCTGTGCTGCTGGTCATCCTCCTCTCGTCGTCCAATGGCGGTTTGTATCTCTGTCACCGTCGGTGGCTGTGTCACTATCTCCAGCCACAGTCTTACTCCAACGGTTCTTTAACCGAACTGCCTCACCATCTCTCAGGCCACCGGCCGGCTTCAGCTGCCATCAAAACAAGGCTGCCTGGTTCTCTACATTGGAGTGAGGGCAGAAACCGGAAGTCTATAAGTATCCAACACCTCACTCTGACCTCGCCCGCCTTCACCGTATCTACAACCCCAAGAGTTCAAAGATCAAAGGACCGCCCGTACCGAAGGATCACCGATCTGAACACCATGTCCAGTCACGATTACTACAGCAATCAATATCCCCCTGGGCAGCACGGCTACGACAATACTGGTGAACAAGGCTACCAGCAATGGCAACCTCCCTCTGGCCCGCCTCATGGCTACGGTGACCAGTCGTACAATCAAGGATATGACCAGAATAGACCATACGATTATACGTCTCCGCCGCCGGCGGAAGATTATCAGCAGCCCTATGGTCATCATGGAGGTTATCAGCCCCCAAATGACCAGTATGGCCAACAGTCCAACCAATATGTCTCCCCTCCACCCGACCACTCTTATCAGCAATCCAACTATCCCACTCAACCTCCCGACTATGGCTACGACGACCAGGCTCAACGTGGCTATTCACCCTACCCGCCCGCTGCTCAAAGCCAATATGAGACTTTCACGCCGCCACCAGGCCCGCCGCCTTCCCACATGGATGGAGCGTATCCTCCACAACCCGGTGCGCCTCTTGACCCCAATGATCCAACCTCTCAGGACCGTGGGCTCATGGGCGCCGTCGCTGGGGGTGCACTGGGTGCCTACGGCGGCCACAAAGTGCACCATGGCTTTCTCGGTGCAGTGGGAGGGGCTATCGCCGGCTCCTTGGCGGAGGACGCGCTGAAAAAGCGTAAGAAGGAGAAGAAGAACCAGCAACGCCCACCAGGGTCTCGGCGAGACTCTTCGTCGTCGTCTTCGAGCAGCTCCTCGGACGATGAGAAGAAAAAGAAGAAATACGGGTTGGCCGCCGCTGGCGCCGTGGGCGTGGCCGGCACGGCGGCGTACGGGTGGCATGAACATCAAAAACATCAGCAGCAGCAGCAGCAGCAGCAGCAGCAGCAGCAGCAGCAGCAGCAGCATCAAGGTCAAGGACAAGGCCACGGTCCGGGAGCTCCGATGCGCGGCAACTTCTCGGCCTCGGCCAACAGTATCACGCTTGACCGGGACTACGACCTCATCGCCTCCTGCACCAACGTCCACGGGGAGCACAAACTGTCCTCCATCTCGCTGAATGACTGCCTGACCAACTCGCACGGACATTTCGCGTGGCATCGCGGGGGCAACTTTGGCGCGAGCGCACGCAACGTCCGGTTGGTCGAGAACGGCAGAGTGTTGGAGGCCGAGCTGGGCACGGGTGACGGGAGATGGAACCGGGATTGGATCCGTCTGGACGAGCGCATCAGCAACAACGACGGCGATTTGATCTTTCTGGACTAGTCTCCTACATAGCTAGCAGATCGACGCAGAGAGCATTGAACGGCGGAAGGAGAATAACGACGTGCATGTGTGTAAGAAGATGTTTCATGGTGATGATCTGTACTCCTGGTTGAAGCCGTGCTGAACACCGATTCAAGTGTAATGTCATTTCCTCGACAAGACAATATTGGTCGACGAGGGACGAAGTGAACCCATAGAGCCCGACTCACCGACCTCAACCTGCTTCGCAACGTGATACCAAGCAACAAGTGCGGTGTAGGTATTTCAATCATGCCTCGCTATGTTCCCACCACAAACTTGCCACGGTGCTCTAGTGATAGACTTCAGGTGGTAGGCTAGGCTGGTGGGCGTCAGTCATCATCACTGACCTTGCAGTTGGTGTATGATCTCGCTGCTCCTACGGGGTTGGCCAGCTCACTCATCACTCACTTGGATCCTCGACGTTATGACCTGAAGGTTGAATGTTAGGTGGACGCCACGTGCCGAGACAAGGCTTCGTTTTCAGGGATTGCTTTGGCGTTGTCAGCAGCACATGAGATCGACGAGACTACGAATGCCAGCAGGAAGACGGAGAGGTTTGTGAAGGGATTACTTTAATATTTGTATTCCAACTTGTTTCTGTTTCATTGGGGATGGGCTCCTCTTCAAGCCATATACTCCTGCAGACGGACAGTGGCTCAGGGCACTGCCCCAGCCACACAGCGCACCACCCTCTCACCTCTCTTTCCATTGACGCTCTCTCCTTACCACCATCCATCCAGCACGGCTGGGGGTCTCATTGCCGGTCATGCCCTCGTCACCTTCAGGGGGTCGATATTCGCACCCGGGTACGTCTTTGACCAGAACTTCCTCTTCCAAGTCCTCCACTGTCACTTGCCACGTCTTCAGAAGATCTTCTACGTCCTGCCGCCACGGGAGGCTTCGACGAGGACTTTGAATCGCGAACAAAGTGAAAGCCAGCAGTTGGCTAACGGCCGTTAGATGCAGTTCGATTCTCTCAATCTAATCTAACCATCGATCTAGTGTTCGGTTCTATATCGCCTAGAGGGACGGATAGGCCATAGTATACGTGGGAGCAATGCGCAAAAAGATGAACGCTTCGCCGGTAAACACGCACCCAATTCCAATCCACAGGCAATCATGTACGTGAACGCCTGCGTAATCACCGCTGCTACCACTCGTTGACATCATCGAGTCACGCCGCTGGCTTGGATGGAAGTGCTCGCCCTCAACTTATTGGTTTTAAGAGCGGGCATCATCCTCATATCCGCGCTGATGGGCATCCTCCACGTAGTAGGAGGTGCCACCATCGGAGTTGGTGAGAGACTGCGCCGACACGGCCGCCATTCCCAACGCAGCGGCCCCAACGCCCGTCAGACGGGGATCCGTGGGCGACATGGGTGCAGGCTGGGCTGAATCGCTGACGGTTACCGACGAAGGGTCTGTGGACTGTGTCGGAGGAAGAAGGACGCTTGTGGTTGTGTTCACAGGGCCTCTGGTGCGTTGGGCACCAGACCTTGTCACCCCGGGGTATTCCTCCAACTTCTCTGCGATCCATTTGGCGTGCGTTTTGTTGTCGACATCCGAGATGATCACATCCCTCGCCGCGTTTTTGTGCCACCAGGCCGGATGCAAGTCTGTGGGTACCAAGCGATAGTCGTCTGGACCATTGCCGAGCCCGCGTCTGAGCGCCACAGTCTGCATCCGCTTGCGGAGCTCGAGGACCAGCATCTGTTGGTCAGATGGAACAGGGACGGGTGTGGGGAACCCGCGCAGGAAGTAATCAATCGGGAGCCCGCTGTCGACGTATCCAATGATGGATCTGTCGTTGACCAGAACCGGCTTCAGAAGGCGATTGTTCGGAAGGTCGACAGTCATGCTTGTGTTGAGCAACAATTGCTCACGCGTCCTCTTGGATATCAGGTCGACTTCCATCGCAGAGGGGTGCTGGCGGCCCGACATGAATGGCGGAGTCAGGATACATTCTCTAAATCGCATGCGCCGCATGTTGAATGTATTGATTTGTGGCATCGTCGTCCCAGGGGGCACGTAGATACGAGCCAAGATATCGCCCATGTCAACTCGCGAGTCGAGACGAAGCCACAACTCCATAAACATCCCAGACACGTTGTGTGATATCCATCTTGGCAAGTGGCTGAAGTACCTCAGGTTTCTTCCTTTATTGCCCTGTTCGACTTGATTGGTAGCTTGGTTCACAAGCAGAGGAGTTCCGACGCTGCTATATGTGCTCGGATATGGGTCCAGTTGGAATAGCACTGGATGCAAGTTAGTCCCTGAGAGCATGTGGAACGGATGAGATGAATGCTGGCCGTTTGTGGGTTGTGCTGGGATTTCCTGGGTGACGAACTTGACACCGATGCTTGGGTCATAGCCGAGAGAGTAGTCTGGAAAAGGCTGTTGCGGCGGAGGGCTCTGCATGGGAATGGGAATGGAATTTGGACCATCAACCACCACACCTGGCGCGTTGAGACTAAGAGGCTTTGAGAGCTGTGACTGAGCGAGAAGTGATGCCATATTTGCTTGAGACTTTGATCACTTGTCTTGAAAGAGCTCGGTAGGATCAGGGCGGGGTGCAAGGAGAAACACGAAGCGCGCGACGACAACACCCTGCTGTCGCGTTGGAGGGTCTGAGATGGCTGTCAGAAGTGGTTGTCGTCTTTTGCTGTCACTGAGATGGACAGTTGGAAGTAAGCATGGGCTCAATGTCGAGAGGAAGAGGATCTTGTATCTTTCGGACCGTGAAGACTGACGCTGATGCTGTATATTGCCGAAATCGAGGCTCAAGTAGGAACTCGAAGCCGGCACTTAAGCAAGAGAAAGACAGGCCTAACAAACGAAGCCATTGTCGAGTCAAAGGCAGTATTTCTGGAAAACCCTTTGTTTCGATCTTTGTTGATGGACACAAAACTGCGAAGAATTTGTTGTGCCAGCTGCGCTTCACGTTTGGCCGGTCTAGAAAACGGACAAGGCTGAATCTTCATCGAAGACTGCAGCCTCGCGCCCAAACGCCTTTCATCAAACTGCCGTGCCGCGCAGTCTCACTCCTCGATCCCTCTTCTTTCGTCCAAACGCCCGAAGATAGTTTCACTTCTTCCTTGCCAATGTTGTACCTCTTTGTCTTGTCGAGGCTTGATCAAAGCCAGTTGAGGAGGACCAACCCATTGTCCTCCGGACAACAAGCCAGAAGGTCTCCAGAACAAAGGTACTTTCCACAAATTCTGTCATCTCCATTGATTTGACCGAGGTCCAGGGCAGTTCGTACCAGGCATTATAGGTGCCATGGCATCCCCGGCCGACTGCACGGTTCAAAGCAATTAAGGCTCTTGTCGATATATATTATTTACCCTTCGGCGAAGTTGTGCTCTTGTATGGGCTGAACGGAGAGATATTGCGCCTCGATATCCGCATGACAGCATCGCTCGGCCGAGTCATCCGTGACAAATTGAGTCGCCAGGGACTATTGACAACGACGCTGAGTGGTAGCGCAGTCAGTGGTACCAGCGGTTATTGCTGAGGAGACCCTGGTGCGGCGCAAACTCGAATGGGCGGGTTCATGTCGGCTTCCAACCGCTGGCCAAAGTTCGTCAGTCGTATTTGCGAAAATGACCTTGCACAGTGCAGCTCGAGCCTTTTGCAGGCCCTTATACAGCAATTTGGTCTAGGCTTTTCTTTCGCTGTCATTGACTGTTCTGGCTCGAGCTTCACCGTGGGCCTCGAAGTTTCGGCGACCGGGTGACCACGGAGCAGGGAACAGGATGTTGTCCATGACCATTCCATGCTCACTACAGCATTATTGCAGGTGTCGCGAGCCCGGACAGTGGCAGCAATAGTAGCACTGAGGTGAGTGATTGGATTTCTGCGCTAATTGACAAGGATAGAGTTAGCAAAGCCTGTGATGCTGTTTGCTGCGTTCACTTCTCCTCGCCAAAGGGATAGTTGAACTTCAAAAGGCCGTTCAGTCCGCCCACCCAGCCGTCATCCCCATCGGCACCTGCACTGATGGTTCGCATGATACATGGGATGCCGCCAGTGAAGGCCCCTGCGTGGGTGGTAATGTCCTCGGCCGAGACCCGAACCTCTGTACCGACGCCGATACCCTGCGTCCGTCTCATGCCGTCGATACTGACGTCGACCTCTCGACCCCTGTTCTTGTCGCTCAATTTCAAAGTGATGGGAGTGGTAGATGGTAGAACCAGAGGGCGAAAACTCAAACTCCGTGGACAGATTGGTGTCAACAACAACGAGGGAACGAGGGGATGGACGATGTTCCCGCCACTGCTGAGGCTATATGCCGTGCTCCCTGTAGGTGTGGAAACAATCATGCCGTCGGCGACTGCCTCGGTGAGGAATCTGCCGCCGACGTAAACATTGACAATGGCCAGATGAGGGTCTCGACCTCGGTGTATAATGACCTCATTCATCGCATACATATCGTCGGAGAAGCCACCATTACTGCTCAGGCGGTTGCCGTTGGCGTCGAAGACGCCCACCTTCAGCCGTTGTCGGACCAGAACCCTTGCGCCTCTTTCAGGCCCCATCGATTTTCCACGGACAGACGACCAGCCTGTGTAATCATTTGAGCAGTCGACGTCGTTCGAAGCTTCACTTTCAATGACCGCGTGACGCTCAGAGGCAGCACCCGACATATATACTTCGCGGATGGCCCGCTTGTACTCGGAAAATTTCCACTCACTCAAAAACCCGAGAGTACCCATGCTGAAGGATAGGATAGGCGGCACCTGTGAGGAGGTGGCGAACAGGGAGGCTGCATGCAAGATGGTCCCATCACCGCCGAAGGTGACAACCAGATCGACCTTGTCTTGATATTGCCGGTGTGAATGATCAACTCCTGGCAGAGTATAGTGCCGTCCTAGGAGTTCTTCCCCAATCCCAGCAGAGACTCGGGGCTCGACCACGATATTCACATCAGGATACGTCGTTGAAACATGTCTGACGAAGTCCAGAAGAGCGTCTGTTGTTGCATCTGAGCAGTCCTTTTTGATCAACAAAAGATTCCTGGGTGGTTTAGACCATTCAAGGCAAAGAAGTTCCTTCGCCGGGGTCTCTTTCAGACGAAATGTTCTTTTCGATGGGATATCGTCAAGAGAGCCACTTTTGGCCGGTGGGAAACTTGAGTATGCGGCGCGGGCGCGGCCTGCTGACGGCGGCATAGGATTCAAGGCCATCCTCAATCGTTTGGGGGTGCTGAAATGTGAGATGGTGGCATTTCGGTTTCTGACCAGGAGACGTGAGGTACCAAGACAACTCTTGGCAGGAGACATTGTCGCCATGATGGGGTCTATTTGTATCCGACACTGAGTGGTCAGATGATGGGTTGAACGAGAATGATAGGTGGTCTGATGCTGCCATGGATCGTCGCGGCTGGCACGATTTGAGGTCAAGGGAAGTGAAGAACAGCATATGCATTCAGAAAAAAAGGATAAACAGCATCTCTCTGACCTCTCTAGTCATTGTATTACGCTGAAATCAATCAAACTGACAGAGATTCTATAACCATGAACAAGGCCGAGTATTGGAAAGGAGAGATAATAGCGGCCGGCGATGGTGTTGACGTAGGTCCTTTATGTCAAGCACGTGATAGTTGTTCAGTCACGTGGTAAGACACCACTGCTTACCTAAGTCACTGTGCAGCTCCCGAGCTCGCTGGGCTCATTAGCCTAGTGGCCTCGCTAGGCCCCCGGAAATAGGCATCAATGTCTCCCGATAGGGGTCTGTCCTCTCTGGTGACCCTGAAAGCTTCGCCCAGATCTTGGGCATCCCACCTGCACTTAGTAATATGCTGGGGTGCCGACACCACCGACGCCCACCGAGCTGACCTTCACTGCGGCCTATCCCAGACTTGCATATCGGCCATCACATTTAGGTACAAAGGCATCAGCACCAATGGAATGTCTGCCTGTTGGATGAACTGTCGTTTTGACACAAAATTCACAAAACTCATAATTCCACCTTCCGACTTCTTGACCGTTCACCAGTCCCATCCCTCCCCTCTATGAATCCGCCCGTTTCCTAAGGCCGTTGTTGGTTATATCTATCGCTACTCATTGTCGGCGTCGATGGCGCTTCTGTTGTCTGTTGTCAACCTTCGATTTGCTTAGTGCTGACGAACCATTTAATGACCGTCACTGCGGTATAGCCCGTAACACAGCCTTGACTTGTCCATTTCCTACCCACAGGCGAACCATGGCGACCGAAGATCAGGGCCTCCGAAAGCGCATTCCTCTGTCCTCACCCGCAGACGAGTCGAACCTGGGTCCAGGCAGTGGCAGCAACCCTGCCAGGGAAAAACCGCATCCGGCGGGCGAAGTCAAATACAATGTCCTGAACCAAGTAATTCGGGCACTCCTGCTGTTGACCTGGTTCAATTGTGGTGCAGTCTGCATCAATGTCACTCAGTTTCTTGGAGCACCGCTGTATTGGTGGAACAAAGACTACTATTATGCATACATGGCGTTGACAAAACAGTCGTTTGCTATCATGACGATTGCAATGACACGGTGGTTCTCCCCAACCAAAGTCCGCGTGAGTTGGGACAAAGATCTACGAGGGCAGTTCCGCAAAACATCCGCTGGGAGGCTGGAGACGGTGTTCCCAGAGCGGCTGGTGTATATTGCCAATCATCAAGTGTACACCGAGTGGTTATATCTCTGGTGGTTTGCCTACACTAGTAGGATGCATGGGCACATCTTCATCATCCTTAAAGAGTCACTGAAGTACGTGCCTGTCCTGGGTCCTGGCATGATGTTTTACGGATTCATCTTCATGGCACGCAAGTGGATTTCGGATAAGCCTCGCCTGAAGCATCGACTCGAAAAGCTCAAGACCCGACACAGTGGTCCCATGTCTGGCTCGGACGGACTGGACCCCATGTGGTTGTTGATCTTTCCAGAAGGCACCAATCTCTCACAGAATACGAAGAAGGGAAGTGCCAAGTGGGCTGATAAACAAGGTATACCTGACATGAAGCACCAACTTCTACCCCGGAGCACGGGTCTGTTCTTCTGTCTCCAGGAATTGAAGGGTACCATGAATTGGGTCTATGACTGCACGATTGCTTATGAAGGCTCACCGTCAGTGCATGGCTGTTCCCCCTTGTGTCACACAAACAGAAAAAACTAACGCGGTCGCAGAAAAGGAGCTTTCCCCCCGGATTTCTTCACGATTCGGTCCACTTATCTACAGGGTCGACCACCAAAGTGTGTCAACATGTACTGGCGTCGGTTCGCCATGTCTTCGATCCCTCTTTCAGATCCCAAGGAGTTTGAGCTCTGGCTGATTGAACGTTGGCGAGAAAAGGACGAGATGCTGGAGCAATGGTACAACACCGGTCGCTTTCCCTCGGACGTGGAATCTGCCGATGCTAAGCACGGAGTGTCCGAGGATGGCTTCATTGAAACAGAAATGACCCTCAACAACTGGATGGAAATTGGCCAGATTTATGTGGTCTTGGCAGCGGCTGCACTTGTGATCAACGTGGTGGTCAAGTCTTTCGGTATGTTTCTGAAGCTGAAATGACTCTGGGGGGTCGTCTTTGGCTTGAAATGGCGTTGGACAGAGCCCGGGCGATGAGCACACGCCACCACTTCGCATGGGCCTTGGCAATTTGGACGGATTGGGACAAGGGATGATAGAACAATTCATTTGGTGTCGAGTATCCACGGCTTGCAAGGGCAAATGGGGTTGTTTCAAAGCAGGCCATGGTGGGCTGCCAGGCGGCTCAGCAACGCTGGAGTACCAGGAGAGGACATGGGCACCATATGGACACATGATTGCTAAAAGAACATACCGGGTAGTCAAGCCCTTCTTCTTGAGGAATAGCAAGACGAGGCCCTGGTCACAGAAAGTCCCGGATCAAGAAAACGGTCCCCACAGCCAGACCACCAGGTTTGTCATCAATATCAATGAAACCTGAAGCCCTCCATCGCACTGCTGGATGCTAGGAGGAACTGAATCCTGCCATCCTTCCTGGTCTCAATCAGAGCTATGATTGACACAGAGCAGACCTCCGCAACGAAGTGGCACAAGCTCATTAACACAAGGGCTGTCCCTACCGCCGTCGACAATGTCAGCTATATCGGATCTGGGGGCCACTCATTACCATTGAGTGACGGTGGCTGGCTCATCAGATGGCGTAGCGGGCGTCTATCCCATATCCGGCTCTGGCTTGGCGCCTCCCTATGGATGCCAAGCCCGGTTGATGACCGAGAACCGACCTCCGACTTCCACCCCTTGTTGCCGCCTCTCGCTTGACTCAACGACTCGTCTATCAGTGCTTGTTCTACTGCCCAGTGCCCACTACTACTCCTGCTGGACCAGTGCTCGAATTAGGTTGGCCTTGCAGGGTCTTTAGGGTGAATGAACCCGTCGAACCCGTTCCCAACCATCTGCTTGCTGAGTGGCGCCTCTATGCATAGGAGATTGGGATCATCCATCCCCTTGTCCCCTGCCCTAGCTCCAAGGCCGAACCGAAAGTCTCTACCATGCTCACGTCCAGGTCGCAACCGACATTGGATTTATGCTAGGGCTGGGGAGAAGCATTGTAGAAAGCTTGATCCAATGTCATGGAACGGAGCAATGCGAACAAGGAAGACAACTCTAATGTATAGTTACGAATACACTGATATTGACAGAGTACCTCGTACGTCTTCGCATCTCGATCGGGATAGACATACCGAGCGCCATGCGATGAACCAATAGTCGCATCCGTTGAGAGAGTTGCCCCGTCAAGTTCGTCAAATGTTTCAGCCTCTTCCGCACCTGTCTACCTTTCCTCGTAGACACTCTCAGCTCTTTGTGCCCTCATCTTGCGACGCCCGCTCAGGGGACGGCATCACACTGTACTCGGTACAGGGCTCGTGGGCCCTCCGACTACCGGCCACCGAGAGCAGCTACTGGGAAACGTGTTTGGGGAGCTGAAAATAATGACTAACCCACCAGGAACTTATATCCACCAGAATACGGGGGGTTCCGGATGGGTTCGAGTTTCCAAGGGTCCAGCCATCATCAATCTCGCTTTGTCTCATCGAGACGCAGTACACAGCAGGGCTGGGGGCTTCATACTACGGGGGATACGGATTGATCTCCCACCATTGCGTTTAGAACTCCCGAGTCTTCTCTGTCCGCGTTTCTATTTGCAACGATCCGGCGGCTGGATGAGGTCAAGTCGTTGGTTGCCGTCCTAACGGGCCCACGGCACGTCCTTTGTGGGCGATATATTGGTGTGCACCATTGACTGACCGCCACAAGGATTGCGGAGCACTGAGAACTGACTGAGCACCACAAGCGTCTGGAATCGAACAAGAAGACAACGGTGGCGTCCCGAGAGGATGAAAGAACCTGCATCAGGCAGCCATTTCTTCCTTCTGGGACTAGAAGTCCCCTCTTCTCCTTGTTGAAAGGGGGTGTACAACGAGTCTGGCCAATGAGGAGGCCTTTCGGGCGTGTCAATATGTCCTTCAGCGACTGTTATTGAAAACGGCGCTGCAAGGGGGATCAAGGGAAGGAACGACAAGTGTGATCCCTTCATTCCATGAGGCTGAAAGGAAGATGAGCTCAAATCTGCGTTGTTGGATATAAATACTTCGTTTATCCTCGAGAAACTCCAGGGCATTCACGAGCTGCACAGCAGAAGAAGCGTGAACTTCATCGACGTCGTCATTCATCCCATCCCCATCACTAAAGTGTCTTATCCCTCCTCCCCCGCGGCTTTCCACCAAGAACCTCAAGCAACATGGCGCCCCCAGCACCCAAACCTCAGATCCCTACTACCTTCAACGGACCCATGCAGGTCATTGGTGCCGGCCTCCCGCGTTGCGCAACCACCACCCTCAAGGAAATGCTCGAAAACAAAACCCTCCTCGACGTCGGACCGACCATGCACATGAATCGCTGCCTTTCTTCCCCCGCGAACATGCGCCTTCTCTATGACGCCCTCAGTGAAAAAGACACACCAAAGCGTCGGGCCATTCTCTACAAACTTTTCGCCGGGTGTGCCGCAACAGCAGATTTCCCTGGTCATCTGTTCATCGAAGACCTGATTGAGATGTATCCGGACGCCAAAGTGGTGCTCAACATCCGCAAGGGCGGTGCTGACGACTGGGAAGCCAGCATGATGTCCACCATTGCCCCATTTATGAGCTGGCAGTACCGGGTTGCTTGCTTCTGGAGCGTCCCGGACTACTGGCACTATCAGTGCGAGGTCGAATGGCAGAGGTTCTGCAAGGAGAAGTTTGGCGCCGAGAACTTCTGGAGTAAAGAGGTGTACGACAAGCACAATGCCTGGGTGGTGAAACTGTGTCAGGAGAAAGGCAGGGAAGTCCTTCTCTGGGAACCCGCCATGGGCTGGGCTCCGCTATGCGAGTTCCTGAGTAAGAAGGAGCCTGAGGCCGGTGTGCCGAGAACCAACGACCGGGTCAAGATGGAGAAAGTTGTCGGCTGGAGAATCGCTCTGGGCCTGAAGCTTTGGATGAGCAAGGTTTGCATGCCCGTTGCCATCTCTGTCCTCGGCGGGTATGGAGTGGTGAAGGCGATGCAATTGTGATAGACTCCGGATGCTGAGCTTTTTCTTTTGTTGATGTTGTTTGGAATTGGCAAAGAGGCTGCAAGGGGTGGGTGGTTGGTTTCACGGCGTCTTGGGGCTGTCTCAGTACTTCGGCCGCTTCAGCCGCTTCTAGTCTTTATTGTTTTGACCATGGTTGCTAGTCGGATGTGTGGACAATGTATAATATTAGGGGTCACCCGACCCTGGACATCCAGTCTCTCTCTAGATCCCATCGGCGCCATCCACCAACCTCAAGTTCATGATGGTTTACACATCAGCCCAGGAATTAGGGCAGTTGCGTACATGACCGCCGTGATGGGCATCAGCTCGGCCATGCGCCCTTGCATCTTCTTGGTCGGCACGGGGACCAGCCCTGCTTCTTCCCAGGTCCGACAGATCAAGCCAGGCAGTGAGCGGATCTCGGCGTCGACCAGTTCGTCCTCGCGGCGCAGACCATCCTCGTCGGTTCCGCCGGAGAGCGCGGCTTTAATACCAAGCGCGGTTCCGAATTCGCGGAATGCGAGGCGTTGAGCGACCGGCTGGTCAAAGTAGTCGTTCTCCAGCAGCTGTTTGACGCAGCCGATCGCGCGGCTCGTTAGATTGTTCGCCCACTCCTCCTCGGGCGTCAGCCAATGGGCCGTCCACAGGGTCATGCCCAGGTCCAACGTGTCGGTGGACGTGTAGTCCCGGAGCTTCTTGTCGACGATCTTCTTGAACAGCGAGACTTCTTCGCTCAGGATCTCCGGGTCGTCGGGATTCGAGGATTGGAGGAGCTTGTAGGTGACATAGCCGTCGACGGGATCGAGGTTGCCCTCCGACAGGACGAGGGGCTGCGCGAGATCCACGCTGAGTTTCCAGAACATCCGCGGCCGGTGCGACTCGGCGTTGGACATGAAGTGCGGGAGGACGGCCTGGGCCATGGAGATGGCTTGGTCGTTGTACCACCGGTTCCCGCTCACCAGGCTCATGCGGTTGAGGGCGAACATCCACACCGTGAGGTAGTGGAAATACTGGCCGTCGCCGTCGGAGCCGGATTCGTCGTGCTTCCCAATCCGCAACCCGCCTTTGAGGGGATGCTGGTCCGTGGCACCGGGCAGGCGAGATTTGCCGTTGCGTGTATACCCCAGGATGTTGTGCACGGTGGTGATGAGGTTCTGGGCGAAGGTGAGGTAACGGTCCTCGTGGGTCAGCTGGTACAAGGTCAGGAAGTTGACGACGGCGAACCCGTCTGTCCAGAGATAACGGCCTCGATGGCCCTCGGCGGCCGGCGGGGGTACCCATTTGGAGAGATTCTGGTCGGTCGATTTTGGGAAAGGCCCATAGATGGACTCCATGGCCTGGAGGAATTTCGGGAGATTTGCTTGGTCATCGGATGCCATGGTGGAATAATTCGCCGCGAGTGTCCTGGAACTCTGCTGCCGAAAATGAAGCTGACGAAGACGAGGACTTTTTGGGCCGCAAGAGGTGGCAAGATACCGTGACCATTGATATAGAGATGAGCAAGGGCGCGTCAACATCCAAACGAGTCAAGCTGATGAAGGCACCTGGCCTCTTCAATAGGTGACTGATGTCGATTCTTGTGATATAAGTGACGCGAGACCACCTCCAGTTACGTGGGAAGGGCACAGATAACTGTCCCTGTGGTTATATTGATGGTGTGGGCAGCAATGATGTATTATCTTGGATGGGATCTGCAAGTGTCATGCCACCCACATACATCCTGGGGCCATGTGCCACATGTCACTAGGTTCATAGTGTCTAGGTATGCATCCCATCCTGGTATACATGGCGTGGAGACTGGGCCCTTATGTGATTGGCTCTCCATGACGGAAAGGGGGAAGTTTTGTCCGAGTCGGCCGAAAGAGGGAAGCACAGTGCTGCATTGCGCAAGCTTGGCGGTCTTGGCACCGATGCCCCTCACCGGGATGGCGATATGCATCATTGCCAGCCCCTCATTCCCAGGTTCAATTGCTTCATCGTACAGTTGTTGGTTCTTCCTTAACTCCACCGGGCTCTGATTACCTCCCAGGTTCCTCCCTTTATTTCGTGAAAACTCTTCCGGCTTCCATCTTCTCATAACAGGTCGTCATCTTTCTTTGCTTCACCTTTGGTACCTTCTGTAACAATCCATCCATCTACTCTCTGTACAATCGCAATCCACGCCGCCAAAATGGTCAAAGCAGGTCAGTCACTCTCCAATCCCCCGGATCTGGGGTTGCACGGATTGTCCCGATCATAGGTTTCCCCCTTCTGTCAGCCGTCCTCAACCAGTCCGGCTTAAGCACGCATCCATCCATCTCCCCAGTGACTTGCAGTCGGCCCAGCTCATCGTCCTCTCTGCGCCCTATCTCGTGTGAAGCAATCCTCACTGACACCTCCTCTTCTTAGTTGCTGTCATCCGCGGAGACTCCAAGATCACCGGCCAGGTGACCTTCGAGCAGACTTCCGAGTCGTCTCCCACCACCATCACCTGGGACATCCAGGGCCACGACCCCAATGCTGAGCGTGGCATGCACGTGCACCAATTCGGTGACAACACCAACGGCTGCACCAGCGCTGGTCCTCACTGTACGTCCGGGGTTCTAAGAGGAAGAGCGGAAACAAAAGGTTGATATACTGATGTTGAATGTGCTCCCAGACAACCCACACGGCAAATCCCACGGCGCCCCAACTGATTCGGACCGACACGTCGGTGACTTGGGTAACATCAAGACCGACGCTCAGGGCAACGCCAAGGGCAGCGTCAGCGACAGCTTCGTCAAGCTGATTGGCGAGCACAGCGTTCTGGGCGTACGTATACCCGAAATACCAATCTCAGCTCCTGTTCTCATGTGTACACCATGGGGGGAAGCTTTGACCTGGAGCTAACAATAGTTGACAGCGAACTATCGTCGTCCACGCGGGCACCGATGACCTCGGCAAAGGCGGGAATGAAGAGAGCAAGAAGACGGGCAACGCGGGTCCTCGACCTGCTTGCGGGGTCATTGGTATCGCCGCATGAATGACACGATAACGACACGAAGACCGCGAGCATCCATGTCACCATATGTCCGATGGGAACCGAAAATCGGACTCTTCTCTCTTGAGGTGAACCCGCAGGAGGACATGTTGAAGACATCAGATTCGGCACCCGGACCGAAGCAGGGGAAACGAACAAGCTTAACTTGGTGACATGGCATGGCCTTGTGTGTCTTCCAGATTTAACACAAAAGTGGCTTTTCGGCTATCTTCTTGTACGCAGTAAAAGATCCATACATAGATAGCAGCAACACTTACAAGCTCAGATGTTATAACAGCCCACGATCCACACAAACCGTGATCCGTCCGACGTTTGTCATTATATATTCTTCTCTGTAGTAGGGGGTATTTTTTTTCCGTACGGCCATATTGAAAAATCCCAAACCGCGGAACAAGCAATCGTGGCTCCTCAGAACATCCAGAAACGCAATGACACTGGGCAGAAGAAGAGCATCCAGGCCGCTCCTCAAAAAATGCAGATCAGGGCTCCCACGAAGTCTCCCAAGGCAAATTGTGTGAAACCCTTCCGCGTATGGAGCATCGGAGATGCTCCTTTGCCTCTTCGACTCTTGGAGAGCTGCCAATGGTTGGATTGAAGAAAGCACACCTATGGGCTAAGAAAATAGCCCAAAGCTTGCCATCATTCTTCACCGTCCCACGACGACTCGAGCTGGTGCTGGGAGTGTATTACACTTCCGTCGCGGTCACGAACCTCTCCATGACCGGCCTCTCGCTCTCTCCGTCTCTTTTTCCCGCGTCTGAAATCTTCAATTTCTCGGCCTCGATCGCCAGCCCTTTACTCGTGTCGCTTGCCACAAGCATTTCCGGGTTTCCTTCTCCGGGGGCCGTGGTGTGGCCATTCATGTGACCGTTGGCGGTGGGCGGAATGGTTGAAATTGATTCTTGCGCTAGTTTTTCTTCGATAGCGGACGTCATGGCGAGGGAGTGGGCGGGAAGAGGACCGGGTTCGGGTTGTGACGGCGGATGAGGATGCGGTTCTGATATGGGTTCGGGTTGTGATTGTGGTGCTGTTGTCTGTGATAGCTGTGCTTCATGGTCTGACGTTGTCTGGGTTGCAATCAGATTCGCGGCCGTAGCTCCTCTCGCAGCGGCCTCTGCAGCCTCTTCAGCTTGATGATGCGGCGACGCTGTTCCGTTGGGGATCGGCGTCTTTGCACCCGAAGATACCTTTTTGTCCGGGTGGACGGGATTTTCTGTGTAATCGGCCGCGTACACAACTGGTTTCATCTTCTCGATGTCGAGATTTGGCCGCCTGAGTTTGCCCTTTTCCGATCCGACGGGCACTCTCTGCCCGTCGAGCCAAAGGCAGGGTCCCCTGACCCAGCCTTTATTCCCGTCTCTTTCCAGAGCGGTACGGGTCTCATCGTCCAGATGTGGCAGGTCACCCCAATCCCAGTTGAGATCACCGCCGTAACGTTTAGGAAAGTCCTTTGGCTCCATAAACTTGGCCAAGGTGGGTTTCACGTCATTTTTGCTGAGAATGAAGATCTTGGAGACGGTTACAGGGTCAAACCAGCGTTTGATCCAACCCCAGACAGTCGGAAAGAACGCAGGAGCGCCGATTATCTGATCACGATCAGCTCCTCTTGCCTGAAGAACTCACGGGGGTTCTCACTCACAAATATTCTGTCCAAGGTCTCCGGGTAATGCGCCGTTGCTAAAACAGAGGCGTCCTGCATGTGCGCCTTTAAATTCCAGAACTGCGTCAATCCTACGCCCGAAATATCCACAATATTCGTCGAGTTAGTCACGGGGACTTCAGGATTCGGTCTCTCGAGCGTGGACACGAGGGGCAGCACGAAGTTGAGTAGGTTCTGATATAGGGCGAATAGAGGGAGGAGTTTGGCGGGCGTCGCGAGATTCTTGTGGTTCGGTAGGCTGTCTTTGTAGGCCTGCGAGTCTTTCTGGTATCTTTGCACGTTCTTGCTGTCCAGTCCCTTGATCACGTAGACGTAGATAGGAATGCCTCGTCTGTCCCGATGGCCAGTCCATTGGGGATACTGCGATTTGAAACCACATGTCAGATGTCTGCCACTTATCTCACTGTGCGTTGGGTCTTGGTTTACCATAAGCCGCGCCTTCTCATAGGCCTCAATATCAAAATTATCGTACAGCTCTTCTACCCGCTGCTCTTTGAGCCAGGCCTCCGTCTCGGTGAACTGTCCAATTGCCCCTTGGACATCGAACTTCCGGGCGCGCAAGTATCGGCTGTAACCATGTCAAGTCAGCAATACCATGTCAAGTCAGCAAGGGGGGCAACACATCAATTGCACATGAATCCAGATGTGATCTCGTACAGTAAAGTCCCGTCATCGTGAGTGGGCTTGCCATTAACACCATCGGGCGACCACCATCCCCCCTCTTGCAGGCGCTGCTTGAACTCGTGGAGCCTTTGTTCCTGGATCGGGTTTAAATGATTGAGGGTGCCGGTTAGAGGGTCTGCAGTGGTGGTTCTCGTCAAGGTCGGATGGGCATTTGTGCCAACAGAATGGTCTGAATGGTGCGACTTTTGCGATTGGCCGGTCAGGGTTCTGTAGAGGTTGCTCATCTCGGGGTCGGGTAACCAAGGAAATAGTACAATTCGGCGACAGGGTGTTCGGTCTGTGGACGCGGGACGTGGAGATTCGAGGACAGGGTACAAAGGACAGGGACTTCTAGGAGGATAGATACTTGGAATCGGGACCAAGGTTGTTGAATATCAATAATTCATTGCAATAGGAAAAATGGATGGAGATGCAGTTAGACAGCTTCTAGACCGCAGGACAAGACAAAAGACGTGTGATATTAGGCGTGCCGACAGATGTCAAGAGGAGCGGCGTTTCATTTGTTCAAAGGACCATTTTGTTGCCCATGATAAAATTATCTTAGCGACCGGACGGGCTGGCCGGAACGAATGTCCAAGATGCCCCAGCAGTGAGTGCCAGGGGACGGGAAATGGTGATCGCATAAAGCCACAAAGGGACAAATCTGATTGCGCTGGGAAGGGGAACCGCTGATATCATCCTGCCACCTGCGGCACCTGCGGGCCAGTAGTAAGTAAGTAACCTGCGACCTGCATCATCACCACCACCTCCACCACCTCCAATCACCTCCTCCTGAAACCTCCTCATTCCACTCGTTCGTCGTCCCTTGTGCACGGCATCCTACTGTATGCAAGTATGCACAGTCTGTCTGAGCACTGTCGAAGCACCGTCCACCGCCCAGAGCACATCCTAAAAGAGCCTTTGCCACCCCCAGAACTAACTCGGCTACAGGCTTCGATGGCTCCTTGCCTGTCCCTATCGTTCCCTCTCCACCTCGTTTCATCGGAAACCCCGTCGACTTTGCCCAGTCGGCGACTCGGAGGATGAAGGACGTAAAATGGTCCCGAGTTACGGCTCACGGGTGCATACATCGGCCGAGAAGCTGGAGCTATTTCGACATCCACTAATAATATTATTTCATACCTACCCTAAGGCCATGCAATGTGCATCGATCCGAGTCATTTTCCCTCTGGGCACTTTGGTGACTTGTGTGTGTGACATCAAGCAACTCTATTTCGGATCATTTTCGTTATGGCCTGGACCGTTTGTTGGCACTTGATGATTATGATGACAATGATTACTCCTGATCTGATGGGCTCTGGTGACGCTGGTGGCTCCCCTGTTTGGCTCTTGACGCGATGCGTTCATTTTCTCTTAAGTATTACCGACACGTCCCAAAATACCTCCCTCCAGCATCATTACCTGTATAGGGAGGGTGTGCGAGAGCTCGTCCGCCTCGGCTGCCTGCCGCTTCCCCCTGCTAATCAGACATTGCGTGTCTACAACTCCTCCCCTCATCCCCTGGCGCCCCGTTTATTACACATACGAGTCCCATACCACGGGTTGCGACCGAAGGCACACCGACCACGCGCATATGGCCCTCGCTTCCACCTGGATCCAATATCCACCCTTGTCAGCTGAAGTAATGCGTGAGTCGCGTCAAGTAAGCAAGCACCGTTTATGGAATGCCTTGAGCACCCCTCAGATAGCCGACGAGGCTGCGTAACGTCCGAAGAAGGGGTTCGTAACCTCGTTTTCGAAGCCCTACAAACCGCCATGGCGGAATGATACCTCCTTGTCAGATTAGTGGATGCGGTGTCGTGCTTGGACATCCGTTGACGACCCAAAGCGCTCGCATTCGTACTCGGTACAGCAAAGCATAGATCCATTTCTGTCGTTGCCGGCGCTCGAAGATTTTGTTAACCCACCTCGTCGGCTTTCGAGAGGGATCCATACGAGAATGCTGTCCTAGAATGCCGCAGATGCACTGCATCCAGAAGAATAAGGGCATCTCCACCGTCTCTTGCTGTGTAATATCAAGTAGCCGAGCCTCTTGCCAAACCGTCAGAAATTTCAAATGACGTGTCACGTCGTCAATCGCAACGGTGAACCACAGACGCTCCTGGAGCAACGCTAGCGACATCTCCCACTCACTTGTAAAGGTACCGCATCTCAATTGCACTCTTCATCGTCCGCCCTGAACAGCTTCCTCCACGAACCATCCCAGTGGAAGAAGTCAGCTGCATCTGGTCTCCTCGCTAGGCACACTCTCGGGTTCTCCTGCAGCTCCGGCAGCCGTGTCCACGATGGCCAAACCCGTCTGGCAGGGCAATCACCCCGTCCGCCAAATCAATCCCGCACGACCGTTCTACCGATTCTGCGCAACAGGATTAGGAGCTGCGATGTGGTTCTTCGTGAGTTTGCCAACCAAACACCCGCCGAGCTCTGCAAGTGGCCCGAGCTGACGATGGGATGTGTGCAGCTGTTCTACCGAGCGAAGCAAGACGGACCTGCCTTGCTCGGATTGAAGCACCCTTGGGACCATTAGATCTGAATTGGGCGATCGGATCAAGAGGACGATCAAATATGAGATCAGAGGAGCGGAGGAAATGTCATTGAAGCAGACCGTGACAGAAACAGACGACGAGCCATGAAAGTCGAAAGGTCATTCACTGTCCAGACGAACACCGAAGCCCAAGAACACCGCGAAGAAAACAGCCACCCCATTGTATATACGGCTGCTGAACATGGACCGGCGTTACTATATGGGGACCAGGATCAAGGACGGTCTATGAAGTGGTTCTAGGGGGAGCATCGCAGCACATACCGTTTTTCGCATTGTCGGAGCTCGCTTCTAGCCACAAGACACATCCGTCAATTACGCTATGTCAGAGGTTGGAAGGTTCAATGAAAACGACAGTCCTTGCATCAATCACGCTCATGGAACGTCTGATCTCCCAAACCCCGTTCTCGACGCCCTGTTCACGAGAAAAATGCCTCGTAGATGAAATCCCCGGCACCTCTTGTCGCTAAATGTTCCCATTTGCACCAGATCCCCGGTCCAAGGTTGCGTATCATACTTTATGGGCGCTTGGACTTCCCAATTCCTTCATATCTCTCACCCTCTACGAAGCCCAGGTGCTCAGATGCATTCCAAAAGTGTTATTCCTGCCACCCGTCCTCAAGTCTCGATAGCTATGTAGCAATGTAGGTACACAAGTCGCCAGCATGGAACAATCTTACCTTTCAAGCTTGCTATCGATGTCTTGCTTGTACGTGTCAGGGAGCGGGAATGCTCACTCTTACCACTGTTGCTCTCCGTGTCCCTGATAGATTCTTGAGTGGGTTGCCCTGACCTACTTACTGTATTAGTACATCTGTGTGTCGCGGCATAAAGAGGTGCTCGAGTAGGAGCTCGAAATAAGTGTTTCATGTGTAGATACGATTACCGTACCGAAAGACAATAGAACCGAATGATTGATCCAAGGGAGTGTTTTCCCTTTCTTTTGATTGCTCTCTACTTCTTTTCGCCACACGGTCCCTATATAGAATATAGACATTCATACATACATACACACAGTGCCTTTACGTACTTATCTGGATATCTTCCGCAATGAGCTTGTACTGTTTTCTCTTCTTCGGGTGTTCGGGTCTCAGCCTCGCTTTAAGCCGCCCAATGAATTTTGCCAGCAGAGGAAAGAAATACCGCTCTGCAAGATAGGCAATGGCAAAGCCAGCCACAGCCAACCCCAGCAGAAAAACCTCATAGTCCGCAGTCATCTCCGTCAGGTCCATGAAATTCGCCAACCACTTGGCCGGATCGAGAAGCATGTACAGTGAAATCAGCAGTGCTGTCACGATCGTGACGCAGAAAGGCACATTCGTTGCCAAGGATTGGCGGAATGGTGGCCCAACGCTGAGAACAACACTGGACAGTGTATACTGGAAGCAGGACACCAAAAACAAGGCGGTGTTTTGAGAGTTGTCCACGTTGGACTTTTCCTTATCAAGCCGTGGTGGTATGTACCAAGGTTGTTGTTGGACCGTCTCGAACGCGACCAGTTGAACAAGGACCGAAAGCACGATCTGACCCAACAGCGGGGTCAAGACCTTTCGTGATACGAGGCTGGCGGTAGGACGCTTCTTGCTCAGAACCGGATACGCACCAGTCCAGCCCATGAAGATTGCCAGTGGCAAGATCAACGCGAGGTCGATGAACAGGAACTGGAAATCTCCCAGATTCGATGCCGACGCATAGAGGAAGCTGACAGAAGTGAACTGAATGGCTGAGTACAAGCTCATGTACTTGAAGCAGCAAAAGCTGGTGACCAAAGCAGCACGGCCCTCCTTGATCAGGGCGGGTACGCATGAAATATCAAATATATGGCTGGTGAACGGCGCAGCGACAGATGCCTCAGCTTCTGAAAGAGAGACACCAACGTCTGCGGCCTTGAGCGCACCGCAGTCATTTGCACCATCACCACAAAAGCCACAGCAGTAGTCAATGCTCTGGAGCTTTTCAACGAGTTCATGCTTCTCATCTGGGGACATTCGGGCGAAGACGGCGCCTTTGACGAGCATCCGTTGCAAAACCTCTGTGGATCCAAAATCAATGATCCAGCGAAAAGCATCCCCAGTGACTGCCAGGGTATACTCGCCGATGGCGATTGCATCATAGGGAGCTGCATTGTCGTCCTCGGCTGGTAATGGCTGAGGCAGTAAACTCTCTTCGTCAAGTTGATAGATTTGATTGTCGACGCTTTCCCAGCAGATACGTGCTTTGCCATCCATCTTGTCGCCCTCAATGAAGTGAGGCACAAAGCAATGTGCATTGCGATCAATGATGCCACACTCTCTCGCCACGCTGATGGCAGTCAGGATGTTGTCTCCGGTACACATGACATTGCGGATTTTGGCTTCGTTGAGTTCTTCGATGATCTCAGTCGTGATTTCCTTGAGTTTGTTTTCGAAAATGATGAAGCCAATTAGCGAAAGTCGTGACTCAGCTTCAGATCGGTCCATGTTCTGTACGTCGTCCCAGCTTAGTCTCGAAATGTATTTCGAAGCGCAAGCAATGACTCGGAAACCTTTGTGAGTGTAATAATTCAGCAAGTCGTCAAAGTCGTCGGGAATGCTTGATGCAGTGCAAATGTCCTTCATGACTTCCGGCGCGCCTTTGACGTAGATATTGACACCTGGATCAGAATGCTGCCGCACAATGACACTGGCTCGTCTCAAATGTGAGGCGAATTCGAACGAGCGCAGGATGCCCAGTTCGACGCGCACCGGATTCTCATTACCCTGAGAATCTTCCAAGTCATACTCGAAACCATGTGGGGGACGTGCCACGCTTGGTGCGGTTTGATGGGTTCCAGGTTCGACAAAGTGGCTCGTGCTACGGGAACCTTCTTCAAAAGACCACTCGGTAAACTGGAACATCTTGAGGTCAAGAGGGTCGCCAATCAACTCATCGTCGACCAGCCGAAGGGAATGACAAGTCGCCATCGAGTACAGCATGTTTTTATTGACTCGATAGTCGACCGTGGGATCGCGGTCGTAGGAAGCTGGAGGAAGAAGCTCGCGCGGCCCCTCCAGAATGTCCCCAAAGCGTATTTCTGGATGTTGTACAAGTCGTACACCCAGAACGTCAAGGCCGTCTTCGGTCAAGGTTCCCGTCTTGTCGAAACAGACAACGTCCAGTTTCCCGGCAACATTGACTCTTTGCGGGCTGATGCAGAAAATCTGTTGTTTTCTCAGTCGAGCCAGGGCGAAGTTCGTTCCGATAGTTAAAGTGGCCGGTAGAGCGGGCGGGACTACGATCGTGATGAGATCCAAAGCTCTGACAATGATCAGATGCCAGGCGAGACCCAGCTTGACGAAATTGATGAACGAAGCAATAAATCCGACTCCCGCGATGATGCCCATCACCGAAATATACCGGAAGGAATCACGGTAGAACTTGAAGCCTGATGGCTTAGGGAAGAGCATGGATCTTACAAGAGCACCCTTGGTAGTGTTAAATCCAGTACGGACCACCATAGCAAGAGCAACAGCTTCGTCGTCCTCGGTATCTTGCGGTCGCCTTGCACGAATGATTTTCGTGCCGCAGAAAAGGAAGTGACGTGCGACACTCGGATGGATTGACGGTGCACCAAGGTCAATGTACGGCAGAGCCTCGTCAGTAATGGGAATTTTGGAAACAGGAATAGATTCCCCTGCACAGTCAGCTTGGAGATTGGCAATGGTCGTTGAAGCTTACCGGTGAGCATGCTTTCGTTAATGATACAATCGCCGGCCAGGAGCAGACTGTCACAGGGAAGTTGTGAGAGAGAAGGATCAGACACCTCATACACGTCTCCAGGGACAAGATCACTTGACAGCGCGGAACGCCCTACACCCAACTCAGTAGAGACTCGGTTTCAATGACGGAAGAGCTTACAAAAGCCGTTGCGGAGAACACGGACATCGCACTCGAAGCGCGAGATTTCCCTCAGCCGTCGCATTGTCTGTGTGCTCGTCAGCATCTCGTTTGACCCGAACGGGAAACACAACAGCGCGCACCGAACGAGTCTCTACAACGGTAGTGGTGATGGAGAAGACGGAGATGATGAATATTGCCGCCGCATAGTAGTAGTACTCGTCCATTGACCAGAGGATGAGGCTGGCGACCTGGAAGATGTAGAAGGGGTGAAACGCCTTGCCCACAGTCAGCAGTTGAAGGATGATAGGATCTGGCACCGCCAAACCTCATCGAGGAGTAACTCCGGAATAGTCTTCTGCTGGATCTCGATCATATTCTTGCCAAAGACTTGATCTCTCGGGTCTCTTTCTTCCGTGTCAAGACCCTCCCGCAGGGCTTTCACTGACACCCACTGCGGATCCCACCAGTCGTTGTTCAAGACAAATTTATCTTCAACCGGATAATACAAGAGCCTCATGTATCTATAGTCAAGATACCGTAGGTGCCGTAACTCGGCGTCGTTGTCGTATCGATATCCATTGAGCTTCTCCTTGCCGGAGCGGGTAAAAACGGTCGACATGGGATGACCATAATCCTCGGAAACCACATAATGAACCGTAAATTCCCCCCATTGATTCTGAAATTTCTTAGCCTTCTTCTTCGACCGTTTGCGCTCTCGGCCATAGCTCACCTCTACGACAACCCACGAGCACTTTCTGAGGGGTGCCGAATATCCAACGAGAGATATGCGCCACCGAGGCACCCAGCGAAAGACGAGATAGCCGATACCCGCTGTAAAGACACAGATGGCCAGATATGCCAAGTAGCCAACAGTCGATGTCGTGAAACCAGCTAAGGCCATGGTCAGATCCTCATTCTCAATGTATAGCTTTTGACTAAAATTGCCGCCATCCTCGTGTTTCTGGGTGTCACTTCTCGCCGAATCGTGTCGATAGAGGAGCGGTTGGTCGGACGACGTTCGATATCTGCTTGAACTCTTGCGATGCGAGGAGGTAGGCTCCAGACCAGCCTCCAAGTCTCGGTCCCCTCCAGCTGTGTGGCCCTGCTCTTCGTCGCTTTCAACAGCCTCTTCGTCGGAGAAGACATTCGGCGATTCTTGGTCTTGCTCTGTAAAGTATGTGAACGAGCTGATCGACCCTGCTCGCCTCCGGGGCAGCCTGTATGCGAATCCCGTCACGGACGAGGGCACTGATTCTGCTAGACAACCAAGTCAGAGTGCATCCACGACGCGACGTCTACTGGGCGAAGGACTTACATATGGGCCCAGAAAACACATCAGTGGTCGACATCTCCACATCACTGACTATGCTTGCAGTGCTCAGATTCGAGTCTCTTCTGTGCATTCTCCCAGCACTCGAGCTCCTCCTTGAGGGCCGTCGAGGGGCGCCCTCGTTATGTGAGCTGCTGTCCATGGTGTGAAGTGCCACAGGCACAATGTCCGTCCGCGTCTCAGCTCATCCTTGACTCAAAAGAATACGAGGGTGACATTAAGAGATAGGTGGGTTGGTGCAGCTACCTAGGTATGTAGCATTGATATCATTGATCTTGGATTGAATTGGGGGCCAAGTTGGGGGGAGATATGATGTATTATGTATGCACGATGCGGGCAGAAGTTTTCCGCAGTCTCTTTCTCCCGAATAATAATACACTCAATTGCTCGCACTACCCGGGGGTCAGTCTCTACCATGTGTGTCCAGAACAACGTGACAACACAGCTGACGGAATGTCACACAAAACAATGTATGTAGTTCTACAAGTGCTCTACTATAGCAAAAAATCATTCCCAACCTCTATTGTAGACGTTGAATAGCTGGCTTATGCAGGGATTTCCATAGTGCAGTGCTGGTGGTGCCGCTTCGCCGTATCACCAGTTGGTGCAGTTGAGTGCGCTAAATCCCCCACCAGCAAAGCGTGGGACTCGGAGGCAAAACTGATTTATTGCTGTGCATTTCACGCGGCCTGGCCAAAAATCTTCAATTCCTCCATTCCATTTTCTCTGTCCTTGCCCACCTCGTTCATTCCGGGAGAAAGGAAATCTCTTCTTCAACCTCCGCCGGGAATCGTTCTCAGAGTGTCCCTTGGACCGCCACGAGACCGCTAGCTGAAAAAGCTTTTGAAACCCAACGTCAACTCAACATTTGCATTTCTCCCTCAACAAGTCACGAAACTCAACCTCAGATCGAAGCCCTTGAATAGAGAGCGAAATGGCCGAAATACCCAAGGCTCGCAACCTGACTGCGCCTACACCACAGAACAGTATGTCTTGACCGTCGACCTGATGTTGAATGTTGCTCACAGATCTTCAGCGCCTGCATCTAATGCGCCGATTTCCTCACACGCCACTGCCCCTAACGTGAGCTCGATTGCTGAGGGTAAGAAGCTGCAAAACTGGCCATCTACGACAGGAAGGTTAACCTATCACAGAGGATCTCGATCGTGTTGCCGCCGCCTCGTTATTTGCAAAGAACCCCGCTCTTGTCTCGATGATGCAGCAAAAGCTCGGTTCCCTCGTCGGCCGATCTTCAGGTACATCGAATCCTTGCCGGCTCCCGTTCGCCGCCGGGTCACGGGTCTGAAGGGCATCCAGAAGGACCACGCCAAATTGGAATCGGAATTCCAAGAAGAAGTCCTCCAGCTGGAGAAGAAATACTTTGCCAAATTCACTCCGCTTTACGAAAAGCGTGCTGCCATCGTCAACGGCGAGGCGGAGCCTACAGAAGAAGAGGTCGAGGCCGGTAAGGCCGATGAGGAGGAGGAAGAGCCCGAAGAAGATGCAGACAAGGAGGAGAAGACAAGTGCAGAGGACATGAAGGGCATCCCGGAATTCTGGCTCTCTGCCATGAAGAACCAGATCTCGCTTGCCGAGCTTATCACGGACCGAGACGAAGAAGCTCTCCGCGCCTTGACCGACATCCGCATGGAATACCTCGACCGCCCCGGTTTCCGCTTGATCTTCGAGTTCGCTCCCAATGATTTCTTCACTAACAAGACCATTTCAAAAACATACTACTATCGAGAGGAGAGCGGCTACGGGGGCGACTTCATCTACGACCACGCCGAGGGCGATCATATCGACTGGAAAGCGGGCAAGGATCTTACTGTCCGCGTGGAGAGCAAGAAGCAGAGAAACAAGAGTAAGTCCATGTCCTTTTGTTTGTGAGGTTGACTATGGCTAACAAGTCATAAAAGACACCAAGCAGACCCGGGTCATCAAGAAGACCGTCCCTACCGAATCCTTCTTTAACTTTTTCTCGCCACCTGCTGCTCCGACGGAGGACGACGAGGTTGCCTCAGACATCGAAGAACGACTCGAACTTGATTATCAACTGGGCGAGGACATCAAAGAGAAACTCATTCCCCGTGCCATTGACTGGTTTACTGGCGAAGCTTTGGCCTACGAGGAATTCGAGGATGCCGAAGAAGGCGAGTTCGACGACGAAGATGATGAGGATGATGAGGATGAGGAAGAAGCCGAGTCTGACGAAGACGACGAGGAGGAAGGCGGAAAGCCTCGGTCTCAACAAACCTCAGAGTGTAAGAACCAGTAAACGGAGATGGGCACCCCTGTGATGAATCTACAATCTGGGCAGATGTGCTGTCTGAGCAGCAAGAGAGCGAGTTTCTATGATGCTGTTGTTGATGGCAGCAAGATCGGAAGGATACGGTCCCAATATATTGGGATCGAGCTCCGGGATGACCTGCTCCGAGCATAATGGGAGTTCTGAGGATGATGCTGTGATTGATCGATCCGTCGATGATAGGCGGAAGGGCACAGTGGGCGATACAAGTCCAACGGCGTCCTTCTTACACTCTCCTTCCCTACATGAATTTCTGGTCCGAAGTTTACAAGACGGCGTTCAATGGGTATCATCACTACAGAGAAGAGCAACAGATCTTTTTCTTTTTAGTCAGTGGCAATGCGAGTCTAGTATTCCAGCAACACCATTTTTGGGTCACGTAGTTCCTACCAGCAGGTGGTTGACGTGCAACTAGGATCTAATATTATGCCCCGAGTATTAATAGCCCGTTTTACGCTATCCGGGGGAAGATCTCGTGGAACACGCAAAGAAGGCTGCCACAAGCTTCTCGGACCAACCCAGCTGGTCGTGCGTATGTAGTGGAAAAAAGGGGGTTGCCACTCTGTTTCGTCCATCGGTGCACGAGCGTGTGTTGGGCGGACAATTTCTGAAGGGCCCAGGTGGATGCTGGGTTGGTGCCAGGGGGGGCTGAGGATGGAGACCGCGCTTGCAGTAAAGGGGAAAGGCGCCTGATGGCGAGTGGCCTACACTGGCCTCAGCGACAGCCGTTAGGGGTCCTGTGGCTCTGGTGCGGGCTTGGGGCCAACCACCAACCAGTGGTGATTGTGCTTAGGGCGCATGGGGGAGCGCGTCTCGTTCGAAGACCCGAGTCCCTGAGAAACTTTCTGACATCTCGCAAGTCAAGTGAGTGTCCCCCAAGAATTCACAGCCGCACCTCGAGAGTCGACGGTCAGGTCAACATCTCATCCACACCTCTTTAATCCCATCTCCGGTCTCTGACCGGAATACTACACTCATCTTTAATTCTTTGTCGCTCCTTTCCACGCCAGGGGAGGCCAGAATACTCGTGGTGTTTCTTTGAACACGTCTTCCATCCCCAGACCCTCCTCCCCGTCTCCGAAAATACACATGGCTGCCCTCATCTCCAACAGTTGAGAGTCCTATCCATATATCCATCAGCACCCGTCCAAGATGGCGAGCTGGGAGATTGGCACTCGGGCTTGGTTCCCAAACCAGTCCGAGGGCTTCATTCCTGGTGAGCTTGCGGAGAGAAAAGACCTGGGGGATGGGAAGATTGCCCTCGTCTTTACTCTCTCCGACGAGTCCAAGCAGACAGTCGAGACCACCGAAACGGCCCTCCTCGATACGCACAATGCCTCCCTGCCTCCCCTCATGAACCCTCCCATGTTCGAGGCGGCCGAAGACTTGACCAACCTGTCTCATCTGAACGAGCCGGCCATCCTGCAGGCAATCAAGCTTCGATATGCGCAGAAAGAAATCTACACATACAGCGGGATCGTGCTGATAGCGACCAACCCCTTTGCACGGGTGGACTCGCTGTACGTCCCGCAGATGGTGCAGGTGTACGCCGGCAAGCAAAGAGCATCACAAGCACCCCATCTATTTGCCATTGCCGAGGAGGCATACACAGATATGCTGCGGGACTCACGGAATCAGACCGTCGTCGTCTCCGGCGAGTCTGGTGCCGGGAAAACAGTAAGTGCCAAATACATCATGCGGTACTTTGCAACTCGAGGGGCCCCGGGGCAGGCCAGCAAGGGGACAAAAGCGAGAGCGGATGCCATCAGCGAGACCGAAGAGCAAATCCTGGCCACGAATCCAGTCATGGAAGCCTTTGGCAACGCAAAAACGACGAGAAACGACAATTCTTCACGATTTGGAAAATACATTGAAATCATGTTTGATCAGAGCACCGACATCATTGGTGCCCGGATAAGGACATATTTGCTTGAACGATCACGACTTGTCTTCCAGCCCTTGAAGGAGAGGAATTACCACATATTTTACCAGCTAGTGGCCGGAGCGACCGAGGAGGAGAAACAGGAGCTGGGCTTGTTGCCTGTGGAAGAGTTCGACTATCTGAACCAGGGCAATGAACCCACGATCGACGGGGTTGACGATGCCGCCGAATTCACGGCCACGAGAAAGTCCTTAACCACAATCAACGTTTCGGAAGCTACTCAAAAGGAGATCTTCCGGGTTCTTGCCGCTCTCCTGCACATCGGAAACATCAAAATCACTGCCACGCGCTCAGACTCGACGCTCTCCGCCAGTGAGCCTGCGCTCGTCCGGGCCTGCAGCATATTGGGCATTGACGCGACAGATTTTGCCAGATGGACGGTGAAGAAGCAACTCATCACCCGCGGGGAGAAGATCACCTCAAATCTCACCCAGCAGCAGGCCACCGTCGTGCGCGATTCCGTGGCCAAGTTCATCTACTCTAGCCTGTTCGACTGGCTGGTGGAAACCATCAACCACGGTCTCGCAACTGAAGACGTCCTCCAACGGCTGAATACCTTTATCGGTGTGCTTGATATTTACGGCTTTGAACATTTTGCAAAGAACTCCTTCGAACAATTCTGTATCAACTACGCCAACGAGAAGCTCCAGCAGGAATTCAATCAGCATGTATTCAAACTTGAGCAGGAAGAATACATGCGTGAAGAAATTGACTGGACTTTTATTGATTTTTCCGATAATCAACCTTGTATCGATCTCATCGAAGGGAAACTCGGTATCTTGTCTCTCTTGGACGAAGAATCTCGACTACCCATGGGCTCGGACGAACAGTTTGTTCACAAACTTCATCATCATTTTGCAGCAGACAAGCAGAAATTCTACAAGAAGCCCAGATTTGGGAAGTCGGCATTCACAGTTTGTCATTACGCCCTGGACGTCACCTACGAGTCTGATGGCTTTATCGACAAGAACCGTGACACTGTACCGGATGAGCAAATGGAAGTGCTTAAGAAGTCTACAAATGCCTTCTTGGTGGACGTATTAGATGTCGCGGCGACGGTGAGAGAAAAGGACACCGCTCAGACGTCCTCCAAAACCGTTGCTCCCGGAGGCGGACGCCGAGTTGGTGTCGCTGTTAATCGCAAACCTACTCTGGGCGGCATTTTCAAGAGCTCTCTCATTGAACTCATGCAAACCATCAACTCCACCGACGCGCACTACATTCGATGTATCAAACCCAACGAGGCAAAAGAGTCCTGGAAATTCGAAGGACCCATGGTGTTGAGCCAGTTGCGGGCCTGCGGTGTTCTGGAAACCGTCCGCATCAGTACTGCCGGTTATCCTACACGATGGACATACGAGGAATTTGCTCTCAGGTACTACATGTTGTGCCGGTCAAATGAATGGACCACCGAGATCCGTACGATGGCGCAGAACATTCTTGTCAAAGCCCTGGGGAAGACCGCCCACGAAAAGGCAGACAAGTACCAACTTGGTCTTACCAAAATTTTCTTCCGAGCAGGGATGTTGGCCTTTCTGGAGAACCTTCGTTCGGCTCGGTTGAAGGAATGTGCCATCATGATCCAGAAGAACTTGCGCGCGAAATACTATCGGCACAAATACCTCGATGCCCGACAGTCGATTCTCAGCTTCCAGGCTGCGACACGCGCATTTTTGGCTCGAAGGAAAACCGAGGAAACAAGACGAAACAAGGCGGCGACCGACATTCAAAGAGTGTGGCGGGGACAGAAGGTGCGCAAAGAATATATTCGAATCAGGAACGACCTCATCCTATTCGAATCTATCGCCAAAGGTTATCTTTGCAGGAGAAATATCCTCGAGACTCGCATCGGGAATGCCGCGGTCGTCATCCAAAGAGCTTTCCGCTCGTGGCGAGCATTACGTGCCTGGAGGCAATATCGCAGAAAGGTCGTCATTGTACAGAACTTATATCGGGGTAGAGTCGCCAGGCGCGAGTATAAGACGATGCGTGAAGAAGCTCGCGATCTCAAACAGATCTCCTACAAGCTCGAAAACAAGGTGGTGGAGCTTACGCAGTCTCTCGGGGCGCTCAAGCGAGAAAACAAGTCCTTGGTTTCCCAACTGGAGAATTACGAGAACCAGCTGAAATCTTGGAGGTCAAGACACAATGCTTTGGAGACGCGGTCGCGCGAGCTCCAGAGCGAGGCGAACCAGGCTGGTATCGTCGCAGCACGCCTAGCTGCCTTGGAAGAAGAACATGCCAAATTGCAAGCGAGCCACGATGAACATTTGGGCAACGCGAAGAGACTGCAGGAAGAAGAGCGCAAGCTTCGCGAGTCATTGAAGGTGTCCAATGCAGAGCTCGAGACACTGCGACAGTCAGTGTCCACGCATGAAAGTGAGAGAGGTACTCTGCGGCAACAGATCAACGAACTGCAGGATCAGCTTGAGATTGCCAGACGGGCGCCGCCTCCACCCGTCACGAACGGGGTCAACGGCGAATACGCCAATGGCACCTCTCAGCTTGCGAATGGCCTCATCAACCTCGTTTCCTCCAAGAAGCCTCTCAAGCGACGCAGTGCCGGAGCTGCCGAACGAAGCGAACTCGACCGATACAGCGGTGCCTACAGCGCCCGTCCCGTTTCGATGGCTATCGACTCTCACACCAAGACTCTCTCCGGCTCTACGTTCAACCCTGGTCTGGACAGTGTCGAGATGGAGCTCGAGAATCTCCTTGCCCAGGAAGAAGAACTCAACGACGAAGTCACGATGGGTCTCATCCGAGGCATCAAGATCCCTCAGCCAGGCGCAAACCCTGCACCGACCGACAAAGAGGTTCTGTTCCCGTCTTACCTTATCAATCTGGTAACGTCTGAGATGTGGAACAACGGCTTTGTCAAGGAATCAGAGCGTTTCCTTGCCAATGTCATGCAATCTATACAGCAAGAAGTCATGCAACACGAAGGCGACGAAGCTATCAACCCCGGTGCGTTCTGGCTATCCAACGTGCATGAGATGCTCTCCTTCGTCTTCCTGGCCGAAGACTGGTATGAGGCGCAAAAGACTGACAACTACGAGTACGATCGTTTGCTTGAGATTGTCAAGCATGATCTGGAATCTCTGGAGTTCAACATCTATCATACCTGGATGAAAGTGTTGAAGAAGAAGCTACACAAGATGATTGTACCCGCCATCATCGAATCGCAGTCGCTGCCCGGTTTCGTCACCAATGAAAGCAACCGCTTCCTGGGCAAATTGCTGCCCTCGAACAATACTCCCGCCTATAGCATGGACAACCTCCTCAGCCTCCTGAACAACGTCTTCAAGGCCATGAAAGCGTACTATCTCGAAGACAGCATCATCACCCAAACAGTGACCGAGCTCCTTCGTCTTGTGGGAGTGACAGCTTTCAACGATCTGCTTATGCGTCGCAACTTCTTGTCGTGGAAACGTGGTCTGCAAATCAACTACAACATCACTCGTATCGAGGAGTGGTGCAAATCCCACGACATGCCCGAGGGGACTTTGCAACTCGAGCATCTCATGCAAGCGACCAAGTTGCTCCAGCTCAAGAAGGCAACCCTCAACGACATTGAAATCATCCAGGATATCTGCTGGATGCTGTCCCCTAATCAAATCCAGAAGTTGCTGAACCAGTATCTCGTCGCTGATTACGAACAGCCCATCAATGGTGAAATCATGAAAGCCGTCGCGTCGAGGGTTACGGAGAAGAGCGATGTGCTGTTGCTCGCTCCTGTCGACATGGAAGACAGCGGGCCCTATGAGATTGCTGAGCCGAGAGTCATCACTGCGCTGGAGACATACACTCCATCATGTAAGTTTTCCCAATCGGCCTGCTCTTGCCAGCCCCTTCAAAGCGGTTCCCATTCCAGCTCTTGGTTAATTTTACTGACACGGGGATAAAATAGGGCTCCAGACACCTCGTCTCAAACGCCTAGCGGAAATTGTCTCCGCCCAAGCTATGGCTCAGCAAGAACAGGGAGGTCTGCCCGACGGGCCGATTGGCGACGCTGAAGCTATGATGGCGCAATGAAGCGGTCGACTTGGTCCCGGCACGGGTCTGGGATAATCTTGGTCGCGGAAGCGAGTTTCAAAAGCAACGTTTCTCATGATTACACGTGGAAGAGACAAGCACCTAATCCTGAAGTGGTTGGCGTCTACGGCTTAGACATTGAGCGATGAAGAAGCAGGCTCGCGCACCGACGCTCATCATCCGCGAGTTTCTCGGGCCAAGAGGCAGAAAGGCTGAGGCGGGTAATTTTATACACACCTTTTTGGGCATAGCACTGCGGAGTTTCCTAGAGCACTCACTAACTACTTGGGCCACATGTGCTGCTTCTGACACAACAGCAATTGCGAATTTGGGCGCGGCGTTTTCTCTACAGTCTCTGACTGACCATGTATGTTCGAATGTTAATGTCAGGGCAGAGCTGGAGGAGCAGACAAATAAGGAAACCAACAAGACTCGGGCCCCAGCGCCCCCAGCGCTGTTTTGGTTTCTCGCCCCGTCTCTTGTCTTCGCCATATGATTCCTCGTACCGACTGTGAACACCCCCCCCCCCCCCCCAATCTTATTATTGCTGCCGCATAATAGAGGTAGGCCAGCCACCCGAAACCGCCCCAGTAGTTAGTGCGACGTTGGCTTGTATTCTCAGAAGTCAGATATGCGTAATGGGTAACGTTGCATGGAGCAGACTGTTCTTCGTGCAGGAATGGATCGGGTACTTCAGTCCAAGGCATTATTCCATCAATATATACAACACAGGGTAGATGTCCGCAGAACACAATAATACCATCGGGGGCTATTAGGGTGGGCTTTCTTGGCTTGCGGGCCAATCATACCTCTCAGCATTTTGACCAATCATAATAGTTGCATATAGTCCCTAACTGAGACTAGTGTGATATGCGGAGTACCGGATCCGCGTTAACGAGAACTGCGGTGAATCCATCTGCTTACAGCCAGGGTTTGTTCCTGAACAATGCTCCGGATCTTTGTGGGGATGGTCACCGTCCTATTCCCCCTTTCTCCATGGTTTTACTGTACAATGCCCATGATGGGTCGTCTCACATTTCTTTAGGGAAACTTGCTCACAAGTCCTTTCGCAGCTCGGGAGATTCCCAGATCGCCTTCAACAGGATCCGGATATCGTCGCGCCAGAAGAACTTCTGGCCCAAGGACTCCAAGTCCCACCACTCCCAATCCTGTAGCTCCGGCATGGCCTTACGCATCTTCAACAGGAGCTGCCGGCCCTCGTGGGACAGCTCGGCAGAGTTCTGCGCCATGGCCCAAGAATCGATCGCGACGAGCCATATCCAGATCAGGCAGTCGCGCTCTGTGCGGGAGCTGGATACCCGGAATTCCGGCAGGCGAGCGGTCAACTGCGTCGTGGCTGAATGGTAGATGCACGCCTTCGGCCGCAGGTGATTGGCGCGGTTGGCGCAGTAGCGGAACAGGGCGAGGCAGATCATTTTCTCCAGGGAGGGGCCCCTTGGTCCTTCGGGGGCCCTGAACGCCGCGCAGGCATCCCAGAAGTTCCACGCCTGGCCCGCGACAGGCCCGTAGACCTTGGACATCTCCTCACCATACTTTCCCTTGTAGGTTGGATCTTGAGGGCTCCAATCCTGCTTGACGCTGATTCTGTGGATGATTTGGAGAGTCTCAAGCGAGAGTGCTCCCGCTCTCGCCAGGTTGCGGAACCCGCAGGGGAGCTGCTCCATGGTTTTCGTGTCGTCTTCAAATTGAATCCAGGAAGCTTGTTGTAAAGTCAACTTTGTCGTGGCGGGTGTGTCTGGTGGTGAGTCGGGGGGCAGATCGCCGGAGAGGGACAACAGGCTGGATTAACAGGATTAGTTATAAAAAGAGTTCAACGCCATAGACGGGCCATCTGTGCAGGAAAGTAGGAGGAGCGCTCACACTGTCAGGGTGGTCCGAGCTGAACTACCAACTCCCAAGCGACAGACGCCGCCTCTCGACGCCACCATTTGATCGACTTGGGCCCTGTGCGCCTTGTATGCTGATTCGTTTCCAAGACCTCTCTCAAACATTGCCAGGTACAGGATTGTCAGGATAGCACCATCGTCTACACGGGCGTCGGGCTTCGCCAGCCTAGCTCTCAGCTTGGACATTGCCTGTCCGGCATGGATAAAGGCATCTTGTGGCAAGGGAGATCCAGGACATGCAATTGCAGTGTGGGCCACTTTTGTCAGACCGAGTAATACGTGAAAGAAGTCCTCGTACTTGGCCATGTTCTCGAGTACCCAGTGTCCGTAGACATTGACGACATTGAATGCTTCGTTGATCGAGGCAACTGTGACCAATGATTAGCGCTGTTCGGGGTTCCAACCACATGTAATTGGCCAACTCGCTCTCCAGTTTTCTAATCGAAGGGGCAACTCACCTGTCGGCATGATATAATGTATAACTGTACCCGTGTTAGAGTGCCATTTTGCGTCCGAGGACAGACCCAGTCACTTACGGAAGTCAATTGCGAGGGCGGCCCCATAACGGTCGGTCCCAGGAATACAATCGAACGGGTCAACTCGAACACCCCTCGTCCAATGCCATGGATTTGGTGTTGCTAATTCAGTCTCGGGCTTGAGAGGCAGGGAGCGGATTCGAGAACTGTCAACGCCAGACTTGGAGTTCTTGTTGTCCGGCACCACTACCTGCCCAACGCTTGTTGTCTTAGCCTCTTGGTCCTCTCCCATCAACAGTTGGTCAATTCGTATTCGAGGCGACGAGAAATACGTGCTTTGCCCTGCGGAAGCTGGAGTGTTTTCATACTGCTCGCTCCAAGCTGTCTTGGTGCGGCGTCTTGGATATGGTGGATCTGTCGGTGCTGACCAGCAATGCTTCTTCAAGACAATGGTGCTGGCATTGTGTCGATTCCTGAACTTGGCTGCGTGCGAGCGTGCTTTAGACTGAAGACGCTCGAAGTCGTTGCGGGACAGACTTTTGTCGGGGACATAGGGGATGTAAGATAAGTGAATGGGCATGGAGATGGTAAGAGAGTAAAGTTCGTGGTGTCACTTCACATTCAGCATAGGACCGGGAGCCTTGGGCGAGACTTCTCAGGGCAACACCAGCCACCAAAGATGATCCAAAAGAAGCCTTTATCTGTTCTTCCGGTCGATAATATCTTACGCACAAGAAGACCACCTGCCCAGTTTAACAGCACATGATGGTACTCTCAACCGAGGCAATGAGCTCTCGAGCGCCATGGTTCTAGAGCCATTGAAAACGGGCTGGGACGGGCGACGCTCTTCGCTAAGAGAGGGAGAGAGAGAGAGAGACTGGCCGAAGGATCGAGGAGGATGCCCGGACAAATGAGGTCGACAGCTGTGGTCTTACCCCAGAGAACGAGCTGAAATCCATCCCGATGAGCGACCTCAGATTGGTGCCCCTGGTCGATGAACATCTGGAGTCCGGCACGCGGTATTTCTGGTAGGCCGCCCCCTTTCTCTCGATTAGGCTATTGACAGAAGAAGAAAAAGTACAAGCGGCCGCCAGTCCGCAAATGACATACTTGAAAGCGCTTTCCTAGAGACCGGAAGGAAGCGGTTGATACTTAGTAATCGCCTCGTCACTGTCTTGTTCTGCACCCAAGAAAGAATCAGTCCACGAGGTGGTTAAATCTCAGAATTTCTTCCTTGTTGGATACTGTGTCTTTATAGCGACGGATGTGGTAGTAGAGGAGCAATCACCTCATAGCCCGGAGTATTTAAGACTGGTTGCAGCAACCGAAGAGATTTGTCTGAAGCCTCACTTTTAATGAGTGCTTCGTTTAGCGAGGCGGCCCCATCCGTGCCACTCAGTCAGACCGGAGGGCAGATTTGGCGTCCAGCAGACCAGGCTCCTTCGTGAACCTACTCGGGCACAGGATGCTGGGGCTTTGGCAGTAGTATCTGAGTTCAATCCAGGGGCTGGGTTGACCTCCGAGTTACAGCACCGCCAGAGAGCATGCGATACCCAGGGGTGCCCAGTAGCGGGTAAATATCATTTCTGCCGGGAATCAATGATGATAGATTGTCTTGAGGATTGTCAAATGAACAGGTGATTTCAATGCAAGTATCGGTCAACAGCCGGCCTCTCTTTCCTCCTTCGGCGACCTGGCTTCCGGGTTTATCTATTCCCATTGCCATAGAAGTCAAACCATGACTTCGACGGCAAGGACATAGAAAGCTGGGTCGGTACGATTGAGAGTGCTGATAATAGGAAATGGTTCTGACTTGGTTGATCAGGCTGAGTCTGTGCCGGTTGGTACTGTTGGGCATCGCAAGACCTGTGACTGGGCCATCATCACTACCATCTTCGGCGACGACACGTGTTGAACTGAAAGGGAGACGTATGCAAGCTAATTTGCCCCCATGCTCTTATAGGCGAGGGGCGTGATTCAGGCGGGCTGCGGCTGTGGGAGATGCCTCTAGAGAGCAAGTCGTGGTTGGTTTGCATCAGACAACGAGGCACGGCTGGCTGTGGTCGTCGTCTCGTCGGGAGACCGGATCCAGCGTCGACAGTGTGTCTTATCTTGAGACTCGAGCGGTCTAACATACAATCTTTCTCCATCTCTTGTAACCCCATTTTTGTGTGCCGTTCTCCCTTATCTGTGAAAGCGAGATGTTTGAGCCTTGGCCAGAAATTGGATAAAGCCCTGGCTCCAACACGCCCTGTGTCCGGGTGTATGTCGGAATGATCTTGTCCTGATGCTGGATTGGATCGACTATCTCAACGGGGTCAAACCCTCAGGCGCCCAGCATCAACCCCGGACGGTGATGGACTTTCAAAGTCCATTTCCATCCACATGGCAATGAGTGCAGACATGGCTGAAACGCTAACCGAAGGCGAATTTTTCGCGAATACGAGGTCGTCATAGAACTCGGGCGCTCATTAAGCGTCCCGGTCCTCCTGGGCTTTGTCAACGCACCAGAGTCGTGGGCAATGAAGGGTGTAACAGACATAACCCCCACGGCACATCGTAGAAAGTTGTGTATCAGCCCTAATCGCCGCGTTGAGGCTGTCGATAAGATACCAAAACTCCGGGGAAACTATCTGGCATCTGTCTTCACCTAGACGTTCCCTTCCTCATGGACCTGTCTTCAAGTCACAGCCATGACGGGTCTTTGTGGTCACAATGATGGAGGTTTCAGTAAGCTACCGACGCCTTGCCCGCAGCAGCGATTGGAGTTGCCATCAGGTCACTCAGGTTACTGACCAGTACCCAGAATCACCCGTAGCCCGTGGTTCGGGGTTCGGTTGTGTTGAATGGGAATTTCCTGGCGTTTTCGGGTGTACAGCCGGCGCCAGCACCATCCTGCCCCCAGCATGTGTGGAGGTAGGAGAGCTGTGTCCGACGCCCACTGACGGGGTGCAAGCATGGTAGGTTGGCCAGCAGTTCTTGTGCAAGCCTATCGGATCTGATGAGTAGGCTGGCAGCTATTCCGACGCCCCTTACTGCATCACCATGTCCCTATCTTGGAGCGGCTACTTCTACACTCACTGGGAGTGCAATACGCAACCGGTCAACCCAATCCCGATCATGGCCACCCCAACCATCACAGGTCCTGGTGAAGTATCGACGCGATACCTCGACGCAGCCCCTTGGGTACCTGGCCCAGCATCTCCTACCGCAAGTCCGTCGGGAGGCAGCGGTGGTAGTGGACACTCCAGCAATTGGGGCGGCTCAAAAACTAAAACCTGGGAACGTCAGAAGCAGCGGGATCAAGGGTTCGGGCATCACCGGGACCTGATGGTGCGCAGGAATGGCGACATGATGAGTGTGGCGGGGGATATTGAACGGGGGAGGGGGTGAGCATCCGCGTCCATGAGCTTCACTATCATAAATATGGGGGCAGGGGAGGGACGTTGAGGTTGAATGGTTGATTTCTGCGAAGCCCGGCAGGCGCATTGAGTTACCGCTTTAGTAATGCACCAATGTGAGATTGGTGGCATCTTCAAAAATCGACCTTATATTTGATTCTGTTGTTCTCTTCGTGGCGGGCCAGAGTAGTCAATACGATTCGGCGGTAGAAACAAAAGGTATGACCACAGTGGTACTCGTCGTCTGTATTAATAGGCTCCACTGAGACCGAATGTGGAAGTGGGTCCTCGGCACCTGGTATCCACAAGAATACGCCGCATTCGGAACTATAGGCATATAGCCTGTCGGAGGGGTTGCCAATGTTGCAGAGTGCACCGCATAGTTTGTACAATGACTAAGGCCCTCATATTGACGACCTAATGAATGGGATAAAGTTCACAGGTGCTTCACGGCACGGATTGTTGCGAGAGATATCTTCTATAGCCGAGAGACTCAAGAATAACAATCCGAACAGCTTCGGGTCCATCCACCAGAGTAACGTGCTTCGATCAACAGACTTTTCTGCCGCCTACAGACGTGATGGGATCCGTCCGGCCTTCTTGAGCGCTTCTTTACTTGACTCCACCGCCGACGCAAATCCCGCGACCAAGCAATTGTAGTCCAGCGTCACCAGAAGGAACGTCATGCCCAGGCCTGCCCGCGTGCTCACCATCTCCGGAGACGTCGCCATGGACCCAACGATTTTTCCGTGCTTCTTCGCCGCATCGAGCACGGTCGATAGAGCCTGGGAGAACTCGGGCTCTGGCCCGTCCACCCCTCCGGGCAACCCCAGGGACAGACGCAGGTCGTAGGGGCCGATAAAAGTGCCAGTCACGCCGCGCACGGACAGGATGGCCTCGGCGTTCTTGATCCCCTCCGCGGACTCGATGATGGGTAGAATGGCCACGCCGTCATCTTGGGCCATGTCGTAGTACGTGCCGAACTGGGTACCCAGCAACTGTCGGCCGAAGGCGGCGTTGAAGGGACCAAAGCTCCGTTTGCCCGTCGGGGGGTAGATGGCGTGGGAGATGATGCGTTCCATCTCGGCCGCGTTGTTGACCATGGGGATGATGATGCCCGCCGCGCCACTGTCCAGCGCCCATTTGATCCACTCGACGTCGTGCGAAGGGACGCGCACGATGGCCATGCATTTGCCCTTGGACGCCGACACCACGCTGTGCACCATCTGGGTCATTTGCTCCGCCGACATGGGAGAATGCTCCATGTCGATCATCACGAAGTCGAACGCCTGAGCAGCCAGCATGGCCACAATGTTGGCTTGGACGGTCAGCACCGTGCCCAACAGTGGCCGGCCGAGCTGTTGATGCTGGTCTCGGAAGCGGGCAATGCCTCCCTCGCCTGGTACATGGGGCTTCTGGTCTTTGAACATGGTGGTTGATTTGTGTTGGGTTGGGTTGCTACTACTTGGCGAGGCGTGAGCTTTGAGAGGTCGAGTAAGGATTTCGCACCAGCAATAAACTATACTACCAAGGAGGGGATGGGTAGAAGCATTCAGGCAGCGTGTTCAGTGGAGTAGCCGAGCGGGGGCCCTGGGGTTCAATATGCGGGCGAGTGTGCCCCCATATGTCTGGGGCGTAACCCTCGGTTGTCCCTGTTTCAGGTAACGAGATGGGGATCAAGTCGGTAAAGCAACGAGCTCGGCCCGTGATATCCGTGCCGGTATGTGGAAGTGATTGGTCGCAGCCTTGTGCTGGAGACACCTGAAATAGGATGTACGACTGACCAGTTTTGCTTGCTGGTCAATTTGCTGTGCTGTGTCTACCTGCCGCCATCGTTCTAGCTGGGTTGCAGAGCGGGCGGAAGGCTCCCGGACTAATTCGACACGGTTTGAACAAGTGACTACATCTATAGTATTGAAATATCCATCAAAAAGGCAACTTGTGCAACCTGTATGGCATTCCATTGATTACTAAGATCGCTTTGAAAATAGATCTCCTCATTAGAATGCTTTTTAAATCAAACTGCAAAAAAGCTCGCCTAAGCGTGAACAGCTTGGCAGACACGATGGTTCTAGGACTGCCTCGGTGACTCAACCGGGACTATGGGAGACCCTGTTGCCAGTATGTGGAAACATCGTTCTCGCCGTAAGCAGTAGAGCCAGTATCGAAGACGGAAACTCGTCGCATATCCCGCCGATATTTGCCCTCGTAATCCCCATGCGTCGCCCTATGCAGCACCGCGCAGTTGTCCCATATGGCCACATCGTTGTTGTCCTGCCAATGGTGCGTGAACTTGTACTTGTCTTGCTGGACGTGCTCAAAGATCTCCTTGATCAATTTTTGCCCCTTTTCAAGGTCCATGCCATCGATATGGTGGGTGTACGACGTGACATAGAGATTCATGCGACCTGACTGTTCATGCAGTTGAGCAATCTTGTGCTTCGCTAGAGGGTGTTCCATCGGATTGATGTGAAGGAAAAGGGGCGAGTCTGGATTCGCCGTCTTTCGGTTGTGGAACAACGAGTTGCAGCCCACGAGACCCTCAATTTCCTTTTTCTTTTCCTCCGGCAGGTCGTCGTACGCAGTCCGACTGTCCAAGTACTCGGTGTGGCCTCCAGTACCTTTGGGAGGAAGTTCGACACCCCGAAGGATGGAGACACCTGTGCGGCGTGGATTGAAAGCGCCATCTGCGTGCCACAGTGCGTTGCCATTGGCAGACGCAGTACGGTGAGGATCCTTGACTGTCACGACCTGGTTCTTGTCGTCCAGGTTACCGACGTCGAAAATCTCGTCGTTGGGGATCCTCATTGCCCTCCCTGCCAGCCGGTGAGCTCTGACGCTGTCGAGCTCTCCAAATCGCCGACCAAGAGCAATGGCGGAGTCATCATCTAGTGCCGTTTTGCGAAGAATTATCACGCCGTACTTGTGGACAGCATCCCTCAGCTCCTCAAAAAGGCCATCGTCGACCGGTTTGGAGAAGTCAATGCCTTCGACTTCAGCGGCAAAAGTCTCACCGAGGGGTGTAATTTGTAGCCGCGTGACACTGGGCATGTTTAACAGACCTGTCTCAACTTGTGATGTGTGTGAATTTGCAGAAGTTCTAGGCTGAGGGTCCCGACAAACTGCCCTGGTTCGAGTTAGGGCTAGTATATATCCCCCGTTGCCGGCATACTGCGTTCCTTCTACCCTGGGTTCGGGTGTTGCTTGCCGTTTGCCTCTGTGTCCCAGGCTCGGTTCCCCACCCGGCTGTGTGGTCTCCGCGGTTCTTCGGAAATGATATGGGGAAGTAAGAACCTTGCCCAGCGATACTTGCAGTGTAAATATAGTGTTTAAGGAGTGGGAATGGCGGAAAAATCTTGGTCCATCGCGGGCTCGACTGGATACGTTCAATCTCATGGGTTTGGGACCCAACAACACTTCTGGAAATGCCAACTCGGAGTGAGGTGGCTGCACACAACACCCGACAGTCATGTTGGGTCATCATTCAAGATCAAGCATATGATGTGACGGACATTATCGACGACCATCCTGGAGGCGCAGCAGCAATTCTTCGTTTTGCGGGAAAGGTCTCTCTCCTAAGTTCTGGTATTGATGCCATGACGCTGAATACCGCCCTAGGATGCCACCCACGAGTTTGTTCCTATACATCCAGAAGACACTCTTTCCAGATTTCTCGCGCAAGGTGGGGACCCCTACTGACTAACGCGGACGCTGCTGAACAACATTCGGCAGACAAGCATTTGGGCGTGGTCGACATGGCCACATCAGCTGAAGTGGCCGTCATCACGCCTCAGGACAGAGACAGGCAGCATGCTGACGACATTCCGTTGAAACTGTGCCAAAATCTGATGGATATGGAACTGCAAGCATCCACAGTGTTGACTGAAAGAGCATTCACGTATTTCCACTCGGCGGCTGAATCTCTGAATGCTTTGGAGGCCAACCGGAGAGACTGGGCAAAGGTGTCTTTCCGCCCTCGAGTACTCAGAAATGTCACTCAGGCGGACATGTCCTGCAGAATCATGGGACAGTCCAGCACTCTCCCGATCTTCATCTCTCCCATGGCAATGATCAAGCTGGCAAACAAGGACGGCGAGTTGGCCTTTGCACGGGGGGCTGGGTTAAAGGGTATCCCAGCCGCTTTCAGCACTTACACATCCTGCTCACACGAAGAGATCATGCAATGCGTCAATGCTGAAGGATTGCCACACAAGCAGTTCTTCCAACTGTACGTACCGAGGAAACGCGAAAACGCAAAGGAGCTCATCCGGATGGCTCGCCGTCTGGGTTTCAAAGCATTACTTGTGACCGTGGACACGCCTGTTGTCGGCAAGAGGGAAGAAGATGATCGGTACAAGGCTCGAGTGGAGTATCAATCCGGTGTGGAGGACACCCCTCGGACACTGGACACGTCTCCATCAGAGGAGAAGCCCATCCTTCGAGGGGTCCACTCCTCGACCTTGAACTGGGATGACCTGGCCTGGATCCGAGATACATGGGCAGGTGCCGGTCCCATCATTTTGAAGGGCATTCAGAGTGCCGAGGATGCCCTGCTCGCATATCGAGCCGGGGCAGACGGTATCTACCTCAGCAATCACGGCGGCCGACAACTCGATTTTGCACCGAGTTCACTGCAGACCCTGCTCGAGATTCGGAGATTCTGTCCCGATATCATTGGAAGGATGGACATCTACCTAGACGGCGGAGTGAGAAGGGGGAGCGATGTCCTCAAGGCCATCTGCTTAGGAGCCACCGCGGTGGGCTTGGGACGGCCATTCGTCTACGCGCTCGGCGCCTATGGACAACAAGGTGTCGAACGCGCGATCGAACGTGAGTACCAAGTGTGCCTCCAATCTGAGTGAGTTTCGTGAGACTGACTTCGCCTACTGCAGTAATCAGCGATGAGATCGAGACAACCATGAGGCTGCTCGGGGTGAACAGCCTGAGTGAGCTGAGCTCGTTCTATGTCAACACCAAGGAGCTGGAGAATAGCATCGTAGACCAGATAGACACGAGGCCTCGGCAGCGGCACGCAGGGGCTCGTTTGTAATAGATCGCTTTGCTTGTTGAGAATCCAGGGCCTGCTATACCACAACCAGAAGGATGGTTGTGACACGAGAGAATACCTCCTGAGCAGTTCGAAGTCCGCTTCACGGCTGTCTCGGCCCGAGACCGGCGAAATCTTCTTCCGACTCCGACTGCCCCAGTGCCAAGACTGCGGGGGCCCAGAATTTGTGGGGTTTCTGCCTCGGAAAATGCGAGCCGTAACTTCATCTCAGCCTCGGGAACGTGCTTCTTCACGGATTTGGTATGCCGAAAATCTGGGACAGGCACTGGCGGTTGACTGCTCGCTCACTGAAATGCCGCCTGTAGGAAAAGTACCAGCCTAGATGGGCATTCAGGGCTTCTAGAACATGTTCCCACCAGCCCGAACTTCTGTGCGTGTGAGAGTGAGCCGCCCGCGGATGGACCAGCTCATGGAGCACTTGATCCGGACTATGGACGCGTGTGCCTCGATTGAGAACCATTGGGTCTCGGAGAGGGACTTGAACAGACGAGTATACGTCGTTGCCAAGGCTTTCGCCCGACTGCGACAGGGGTTCTCGGTACGGTGAGTGTACGAGGCTTTCCTCTGGCACGGTCTCGCCCCTGTGGTGCTCAACCCCGGACCCGAGAATCTTCAGATCCAGTAGGGCCGTTCTGCTCTCCCCGCATATTCCCTCGGGAACCCCTTGGAGCGAGTTGTTGTGGGCCTCGTGAGTATCAAACCCCAGAGTCCAGTTGAACATGACGCTTGGAACGCAGCGTATCCAACTTGTCGTACTCTCGTCCACGGCCTTTATTCTTGGTTGAATCCTCGCACAGATACTACGTTGGGAGTTCTATCTTGCCGATTCCAGATGCATCCAAACGATGTCTTTGGTGTGCGGCGTGCCGCTTCACCCTTGGCCGAGGACGTGTCTATGGCTAAGCGACAGAAGAGATCCCCCATCGTACGGTCTCGGGCGTCATTGGCTTGCCACAGCTGTCGCCAGCGCAAGATCAAGGTTGGTGAAAAGCAGATCCCAAGTTTGGAACAATACCAGTGGAAGGATGGAGCGGATGAGACTAACATTCTCCAAGTGCGACATCCAACGACTCCCGACTGGGTCTACGTGTACCGGATGCCGTATTTCCAGCATTGATTGTCACGTCAGCCAATTTTCAGATCGCAGGAAGTTCGTCTCACCCTGCTCCTGGACTACTGTTTCTCTCGAGCTGACGTTTGGCTCCCAGGCACGGCTCTCGCGAGCACGTCGCTACACTTCAGGAACAGGTCCGGTCGCTGGAGGCTTTGGTGCGCCAAATCATTCCGGATGGGAATACTTCCGTCGGCGGCAGTCAGGAAGCTCAGGTAGCAAACACGCCGCAGTTGGACGTGCAGAAGGCTCCGGCTGTGAGCACCACGCCCGCTCCTGACAATATACAAGAGCTCCAGGATAGTGCCTTTGTTGCCACTTATCAAGCGTCGTCGGTGGCTGAACAATCCAGCAATCATGATTCCCGTCGACGTAGGGAAGAACAACTACCTTCTGCAAGTCCACAAACAATAAGCATTGCCAACAGCAAGCTCCAGACAAAGCAGAGTCCAGTCCATGGCACGGCCGCTGTTATGCCAGCTGCCCGAGAAGACTCTTCATATGCGGATCAAATACCGCAGCGCGAGCCTGAGCAAAGACCGAATATGGCCAGCTTGAGCCCCATGGACAACGAAAGACAGAGTCCCACGGCCCAAGTCTGTACTGGAGCCAATGGCGAGGAGGGAATCTCGGAAGAATCTGGCATATTCTTTGGCCCGACGTGTCAACTGCACGTGTCATCGCCTTCTGATGTGGTGAGGAGCGTGTCAAGCATCGATCCCCCGCCTCCCCCGGGCACACAGATCGACATGGACTCGGACCGGCTGAAGACGCTCCTGTTCAACAACTACTGCAATTTCCAGACTCTCTCGGTCACCATAATCCACCGAGAACTCTTCCTGTCACACCGGGCGCGAGGCATACGGTCCCAGCACTACTCCAGATTCCTGGAAAATTCCCTGCTGGCGTGCAGCGCGCGTTTGAGTACGTCTGTCGCGGTCCGCGCGCTGGGATCGAGCTTTGCGATGCGCGCCAAGTCAGAAATAGTGTCGGAGATGGAGGATCCCAACGTCGCGACGCTGCAGGGAATGCTGCTTCTCAGTGATTACGAGATGACGGAAGGGCGGGATCGAGTCGGTTGGATGTACTGCGGTGAGAAACCCCTTGCTTTGTTGCCCTATGCCACCCTGATAAAATGCTAGGTATTGCTTGTCGACTCATTGTGGACCTTGGACTGCACCACACCTTGAGCAAGAATAGCGACCACGATGCCTTAAATGTCCATGGAGGAGGAGGGTTCCGCGCGTCGGTCACGTTGGGCTGCTTCGTCTATGAGACCCTGTGGAGCCTGTACCTGGGCCGTCCGAGCCACATCGCGATCTTGAGCCCGTCCCTGTCTTCGTATGCTCGCCGTGTATCCGACAATCTCACTCTGAGGGCCTGGTTCGACCTGTGTGTCCTGATCGCCGAGATCACAACCATTCTCGACAAGGACTCGCCGATGCAGGCAAGCGCTCTGGACCGGCTGTCAGAACTGGATGGCAAGTTGCGTCGGTGGTATGTCTCGCTGCCCGCAGAGATTGCCCTTGACTACGACAACGTGTCCGGTCTTGATGCCGTTGCATATGGTCTGCACATGCAGTACTTGCGCATGCAAATGCTCCTGCATTCCCTGCCCATATCCACCCACCGGAAGCGCAAACACAACGAAAGCAAGGACCAGCCTCCGGTCCTCCGCAACTGGACCGCCGAGTCTTCTCGCCAGCTCGTCCACCACAACGCGGTGAAGATCGCCCAATTGGGGATCACGTACAGACAGATTTTCGGGGTGGAAAACACGCCTTCGGTGATGTTGGACAATCTCTACGTGGCGGGGACCGTCCTGATCTCCACCGTCTTGGGGGCCGAGCACTCCTCCGTCGACGAGAATGACCTCCGATGGCTTCGATTGCTGGATGAGATGATGAAGGATCTACAGCCCCATTTCCATATCACTGCCCGGATGAGGAGAACACTGGCCCGGATCGTGGAAGGTTGTCCCCTCCTTGTCGATGTCTTCACGGACGACGTGCGGACATCGCCTGCTCAATACAATGTCAATAATGGGGGCCTGGACACGGCACATGGCGGCGCTTGGGGGTCCCTCGAAGCTGCTGTCAACGACTTTGTCCTCGACCCCAGTCTCTTCAACTTTGTCGACTTTGAGTTGGTGGGCGATAGTGGGGGTTGAATTGTGGACGAAGGAGACCATAGCAGATTGGGGAGTGCCCTGTAAAATTCAACCGGATCTTGCCATGAGGTCGAGCACTGTGTCCATCCATGGTTGATAGATGTGTAGAGAGGAGTACATATGTAAAGTGATGAATATATAAATGTATAACTATATATATATATATATATATATATATATATCTAGGTAACTACAATGCTCTGGTTAGACGTGGAGGATGATGTTATTACATATTACAGGGTCCCACTCAACGCCCGCATTTTATTTTCGGTCAAAACTTTTTTTTGGTGGCACCATCGTTTGGTACAATAGAGATAGACACTGCTGAATATTACACTCAAGCAACTTAACCCCCCCTGAAGCCCAGCGGCTCTCTCAGTCCTTCCCTACCCTCATATCGCTCTCAACAACCGGCTCTCCAACCCCGCTCAAGCCACAGACAGACACACACACACACACCATGCGCTCCCTCCCCAACATCATCATCACCGGCACCCCCGGCGTGGGCAAGACCACGACCTGCACACAGCTCGTCGGTCTGGCCTCATCCGCGACGCCTCCCATCAACCTCAAGCACCTCTCGATCAACGACGTCGTCAAGACCCGCGACTGCCACTCGGGCTACGATGAAGAGCTGCAGACGCTGATCGTGGACGACGACAAGCTCATGGACGAGGTGGAGCAGGACATCGCCGACGGCGCGGGCGAGGGCGGCTGGGTGATCGACTGGCACTCGACGGCCGGGTTCGCGGTGCGCTGGGTCGACCTCGTGGTCGTGCTACGGTGCGAAGAGACCAGCGTGCTATACGACCGCCTCGTGGCCCGCGGGTACAAGGACTCGAAGGTGCAGGAGAACATGGACGCCGAGATCTTCGGCGTGGTCAGCGAAGAGGCCAAAGACGGATGGGGCGAGGAGGACGAGGGGCGTGTGGTGGAGCTGAAGAGCGTGCATGCCGACGATATCGAAGAGAACGCGGAGCGTATCCTGCAGTGGGTGAAGAACTGGATTAAAGACCACAATACGGACGGGATGGGAGATTAAAGGGACTGCCGTCAACGGGGAGGATCTATTCCTCTATCGCTCTTGACCAACCATCAAGTCACACAAAGTCTATGGTTCTATCTATTGGAATGGAGAGACCGCACACAAATCCCTACGGCTCCAGCTCGCCGCCCGCGAGCCAGGCTTTCAGCTTTGCCAGCGCCTTGCCTCGATGCGAGATCAAGTTCTACGCGAAACAGGGAGAGAGTGGTCAACAGGTGTCACCCATGAGCAGGAAGAGTGAGGTGAGAAAAGGAAAGAAAAGAACATACCTTCTTCTCCTTCTCCATCTCCGCATATGTCTGGCCGTCTTCGAACTCAAACACAGCGTCCCAGCCTGTTTTGATGAGATAGCGGTATCAGAAACAGACAGCCAGGCTTGCTTTCACGAAAAGGGATCCCTCACAGCAGAGGAAGGAAAGAAGGTCACATACCAAAGACAGGCGGCCCCCGTGCCGGCACGATCTTCCCCTGACACCGGCCCTGGAACAGAATCGGCTCACAGCCCGGTCCGGCACAGTACGCAAAGGTACACACCGCAAAGGCGGTCTTGTCGTCGTACGCGGCGAGCATCTTGTTGAGGCCGTCGTGGCCGAGTGCCTGGAGAAAGTACTTGCTATGGGGCGAGGGAAGTCAGTCCGATGTTAGTGGCTCAGTGGCTCGGGAGAGACTGGTGGCGGTCTTTCCTCGTGGCAGCAAGGTACGGGATGAAAAGGACAACGGACGACCAGGAAGCCAAAGGATTCATGCAGATGAGAGTACGGTGAGGAGGAACTTACATATAGGGTCCTGGCAGCCCTTTGAGGGCCTGAAACTCCAGCGCCGTATCTTCTGTAAGGACTGGGCCATTCACCTAGCCGGACCACGGGTTGTTAGCCTATCCGTTTGATTGGAATAAGATCCTTGATAGCATAAATCAACAGCCACCTTTCCGTTTCCTGGCATCTCTCTGGTCCTCTTGCGGGGGTCCGTGGGAGAGAAAGTAGACCAGGGCTGTCTCAAAGACTCCTTCATCCCATATTCCACACCCAATTTTCGGTCTACACACGTCGTCTGCATGTATCCATGTATATCTCGACGTCTCAAAGGAACTCAGTGTCACTATTGAGATCCTCGTCCAATGTAACATAGTGGTGACACATCCACCAAAAGGGTTCAAAGCAGAATGCATTATTGGAAAGAAAAGGTGGCTAGTACTCACCGCCGCCGCCGCCCTTGAGGCCTTGTCCCTGGCAACCTCCTCGATGGTTCCCTGGATCTCGACGCCCTCGACATTGCGGCTCTGCAGGTCCAGCCCCGGCACGGCGCCCAGGATCGCACGCACTTCCGCCAGTTTGTTGGTGTTGCCGGTGATGAAGTTCAACACCTTGGGCCGGACTGACTGGAGCGGTTGTGGTGCAGGAGACATTGTCTGTATGTTGTCTGTATAATGTAGCTTGTGAGGGAAGAAGAAAGAGTCAGGAAAGGAGGTCGGGTTTGTAAGACGTCGATATCGATATCTACTACTATGCCAGCGAAAGAAAAATAGGTGGAGATTCGCGCACGGTATTGACTAGTGCTGGTCTTTGAAATGGAATGAACAAGAGTGATCGAGCTACTTGCTCGAGATACTGATCACGACTGATTTGGCTCTTAAGGCTTCGAGATAATGAGTCAGAGAGCCTGTCATGTGGCTCACATCTATTTAATATCATCATATCGTCAAAAAGAAAAAAAAAAAAAATGAAATGACAGCGGCAGCGAGGTTACAGCCTGACAACAGTGACTCGCGCAATCCGAATCCGAGCTTCCAACCATGGCAACCTCTTGAGTCCAGAACTAACCCTGCAGCATCAGGTGTATACCGTCAAAATACTCATGCCAAACTGTTCAATAGCGACCAAAGAACGCCCCTATCGTGTCATCCCTGATTTACCCACCCTGCCGGCAATTCAGCTGCTCTGAAGCAATCACACTCCCTGGTCGTCCCTGTTACAATGCAATATCGATGGATCTCTCCTCCGTAGAATGCCCTAGTCGCAAACAGCGGGTTTAGGGAATGCTTGCCTCCCATGTAATGATCAGAAATGATGATGGTCAATATGTGGTGCTCCCGCGTGCTAGGACTGCCTAGTTTTCAACGTTAATAACTCAAAGACTTTGTAACTTTTCAAGTATTTCTCGTCTCTCCGGTGAGCTTCCAAAACCTTTCCAGGACGGGCACACGCGAACGAAGTGCGACGCGAAAACGCAAGTTTCTTGAGCGCAGGGCTGGGGTTGAACATGGGATCAAAAACCACCAAGTTGACAGCGCCACTCAACCTTTGCTCGACCCCCACAATGGTCATGGAATGGCCATGATGCTGAAAGTAGATCGGTGGCTTGTCCGTGATAACAACTTTGTCCATGTTGTCTTGGGTCGAGTCGTCGTCAAAATAGTCGCAGACCGCACAAAGCATTGTCTCGAATGCCTCAATCTCTTTTCTGGCGTAGTATGCCGTTGCCTCGCAGGCAATATCAAGACTCGAAAACAATGCCAGTGCCTCCGGTGTGCCAATGAATTTTCGGGTGAATTTGATTCCGCCGGTTTCCACACGCCCGGAAGAGCCGAAGCCCAGGTCCCAAGCATTTTCAATCATATCCTGGAGTTTCAGTATGGACGGCAGTCTTCCCCGGAAGTTCTCTGAGCCATGAGCCTCTGTACCTTGAATGTAGGACAGCAACATCTGGATATTGCGATAGCCACAGAAGCCACCCTCGAATGACATCTTGCACACGTGGACAACTTCAGGGCTGCAATAGAATGCACGCTCGACCGTTCTGTCTATCTGAGATAGCCGAGCGAGGACAGGTACCAGGTGAGGTGTCTCGTTGGCAACGGTTTCGACCTTGACCAATCTGCCGTCGGGGCCGATTCTCTGAGTGACAGTGACTTTGGCACCCGCTTCGAGCATTCGGCGCAACCAGCCCGGCATTTGCTTCTCGTGTGCATAGGGGCCTAATTCCGACTTCTGCAAACAGTTAACCTCGCCACGTCTAACATCAGATTTCGACGAAACTCACTCCTAGCTGTTTTGTCTTTCCAATCTCTGTAGAGACGGCCGGGCCGGCGGATTTCCTCTTAGGAGATGCGCGAGTGCCCCAGAACATATTTTTGAGAGAAGGACCGCGTCTCTTTTCGCTACGAAGAGGAGGCGGTCTGTCCTGTATTTGGTCATAGTTGCGCAGGGATCTTGGGATGTGAGTGCTAAATGAGCCGGAGGAATTAGCTAACGGACGTTGGGCGGTGGATCGGACTGTCGAAAGCTCGTCATCTTTGCTAGAGATCTCGACCTCATCCACGGAAATATTCTCCTGAGCGTGCATGTCGGAATGGGCATCGAGCTCGAGAAAAGGTACGCGTTCGCCACAGGCACATTGCACCCATGATTGCTCCTTTCCAACGCGCGAAGATGTAGGAGGCGGTGCTATATTCGTTGCACTTTCCGGCGGCTGATTCTCATCCCGGGCAGGAACAGTTGGACGGTCTGGTAGGGCTAATTCGGCAGGCAAGCCTGCTTCCTCAAAAGCGAGAAGTTGAGCCAACTCGGCATCACTCAGTTGAGATGCGGCATTGTAAGGCTGCTGACCGTCAGGCTGTTGGCTGCCATGGAGACGTTGCACGTGGCTTTCGAGGGAGGCGAGATCATTGCTGCCGAAGGAGCAGAACGGGCAGGCCAGATGTTGTTCCCGTTCTTCGTTGGCCATCACGACACGACAGAATCAGAGACGAGAAGAGATTTCAGACGATTTCCGCCTTGTGCTGGCTGGGATATCAGGCGCACTAGGCTGTGGCCAAGCCCAATCGGTCACTTCAGCAGTGCCTGTCACCGGCTGCTGCCTCTGAGTCCACTATACCACCCCTATATTTTCAACAGAAGTGACGCAGCGGTGTGATCGACCAGACGAAGAACGAAGAACAAAACAGGGGGGCCCTTCCGCCTGAACTCCGCATAGCAGTTCTAATTCGGTGTGTTGTGTATGCAGCACGGAGATGAGGAATGTCCGAGCAGGCTGAATTAAGTCGGCGAATAGGAAACCGGCAGGCCGTGCTGATTGCCAAGTCGAGCGAGCTCAAGGAGGATTCTCGGGACAAAGGACAGGAGGAACAACCAGGGCGTTGGAATGTCACTCCATCTTCAAATGTCCATGTCAGCCAGCAATCAAGACCTCTCACAGGCTGCGAGTAGGATTACCTGATATTTTGGGAACCAGGTGTGACAGTGACTACCTCTGCCTCGCCAGCTTCTGGGGTTGCATTTGCCCGTGGTGGTGAGAAGATGTGCTGATGTTGCTGACGTTGCTGATGTTGCTGATGTCGCTCTCTTTGGTAGGGGCACCAGAGGACCAGCAAATGCATTGAAATGACAAAATGACAAAAGTGTTTGTGGAGGCCCCGTTGTGTCACGTGTTGCCTGACTCAAATGACGCCACGGCACCAAATGGCCCCTGACCGCCACATGATTCGCCGAGATCGCTGCCGAGCGCTGCCAAAGTGTCTCACCGCCTCGAGGACCCCTCGAGAATTTTCAGAATTCTGCCGCTGGTGCTCGCTCCGAGGATTATGACTGATTGACTGCGAGGCATTTGAAATATTCTCTCCGTCTGTAGTAGTGGGATACGATGCCAGTCACTGACTTACTGGTCACCCGGTAAAAACACTCGTTCACCCTTCGTTTGCTAGCTGGCTGCGACATTCCTTTTTTTCCCCTCATACGTCCCAGTGACAGTACTATGTTCCTCAGCCATTCACCGTCACAGTCGTCCTCCTCACTATGACCACGCCCACCCTCTCTAACGGTCTGCACGCCGAGGACCCGCTCGTCAATGGGGTCAATGGCATTCGGACACCAAGGACTCGTCCCATCAACGTCTTGAAGTTTGGTGGTATGTTTGGTTGTCCTCCGTTACGCTTGACTGCAGTTACTGACTCGCCCAAGGGACGAGTGTGGGAAAATTTCCTTTAGATATTGTCAATGTCGTCAAGTCTTGTTCCTCCAACACTGATGTCGCAATAGTCTGCTCAGCAGTATGTATACCTCCCGCTGGTCCTCCAGTCGCATTTACTGATACACCTGATGCAGAGATCGAGCAGCACCAAAGCCGCCGGCACGACGAACCGTCTCTTGCGAGCAGCCACCGAGGCAGAGAACCATGGATCCCATGGTTTCAAACGGTTAATCCAAGATGTTCGGACGGATCACGTGGAGGCCGCTGAAACCTATATCCAGTCTGAGAAGATACGGGCGCAGATACGGACGGAATTTGAAGACGAGTGTTCGTTGGTGGAGCGGATATTGGAAGCCGCTCAGACTTTGGGCGAGACGAGTCCCCGGTCCAGAGACAAAGTCATGAGCACGGGAGAAAAGCTCAGCTGTCGTTTCATGGCAGCGTTGCTGCAGGACCGAGGGATTGACGCTGAGTATATTGACCTCGCGGACGTGATCGACTTCAGAGTCTCCCACAGTCTGGATCAGCAATTCTACGACAACATGGCAGCCGGGCTGGCAAAACGGCTCCAAGATATCCCTCCGGGCGTCGTGCCCGTAATTACAGGATACTTTGGAGCCATCCCCCGAGGGTTGTTGACGACGGTTGGTCGAGGTTACACAGACCTGTGCGCCGCGCTGGTTGCCGTCGGCATTGGAGCCAACGAGCTACAGATATGGAAGGAAGTGGATGGTATATTTACGGCTGACCCGCGGAAAGTCCCGACCGCCCAGTTGATTCCACGGATCAGCCCAGCAGAGGCGGCAGAACTCACCTTTTACGGATCCGAGGTCATTCACCCTTCCACCATGGACCAGGTCATCCGCGCACGGATACCCATACGTATAAAAAATGTGATGAATCCGCGAGGGGGGGGTACCATCATCTATCCAGATTCTCCGTCGGAGCTGGCCTCGACGCTGTCAGGACACGACCCCAAGCTTTTCCGATCGAGGAGCCCCAGCCAATTCACGGAGGGAGACAAGCCGAAGCGCCCGACCGCAATTACCATGAAACACAAGATCTTAGTCATGAATATTCATTCCAACAAACGAGCCCTATCCCACGGTTTTTTTGCAGGCATCTTTGCGACCCTGGATAAGTGGCGGTTGTCGGTCGATGTGATTTCCACCAGCGAGGTGAACATGTCGATGGCCTTGCACTCCGAAGCCCCCCTCTACACGGGAGGAGGGGACGATGAATACCAGATCGTGGATCACGACCTTCGGGGAGCCATCGAGGAATTGCAGAACTTTGGAACCGTCGACATTATTCCAGAAATGGCAATCGTCAGTCTCGTGGGTAAGCAGATGAAGAATATGATCGGCATTGCTGGAAAGATGTTCTCGACACTGGGTTCGAACAACGTCAATATTGAAATGATCTCGCAAGGTAAGGACACCACCCGTGGTTTAGAGCTCCCTCTCGCTCTCTCTATCTGTGCTAACACTATGAACAGGAGCTAGTGAGATCAACATCTCTTGTGTGATTGCAGAACGCGATGCTGATCGAGCTTTAAACATCCTGCACACCAACTTGTTTACATTCCTCGAACCCTGATTGTGCATTTTGAGCGATTGAGCAGCATCTAATGACATTTACCGGAGTTTTTGCATCCAAAAAAGAGGGGGCACTAGTGGTATTATCAAAAAGGAAAACATCCGCAACCCGGGGTTGGACACTAAAATGGGTGGCACTTTGAAAAAGATCTGGAAATTTGAACATTCAGCTGGCATATTGGGGGCCCACCGTGGCGGTTATATTCGGAGGTGCTACGGACAATGTCGACGACAGCGATGGAGTAGATGAAATGATTTCAACACAGGGCAGGATCACCGCACGCCACCGGCTTGACAGATGTCAATCAAAAAGAATAAGATCCAACATCTCCCCCAACATGACATCAACCTAAGGGGCGGGGGGTGGTAGAGTTAAAGTGAGTAAATGCTAGACTGACGAAACGACGAAGAGCTATAGCCTCGGTATAGAGTACCCGAAGTCTCAAATCCTGTCGTACTATTAACCTCGTAGAGGTGCACAAGAAGTCAGAAAAAAAGACTGCGGAAATGACTGAAGGGAGGAGTTCCGTAGAAGTGGCAGATACCAAGGCCGGAAGAGCAGTTGTTCCGTTCCGAGGAACGCGTCTGGTGCGCGTCCCGCGGAGGGCCAATCAAAACTCAGCAACACCACGGAGTCGCGCCACTTACTGACACCAAAACCAGACAAAGCAGGGAACAAGGTGGGCAGGACAAACGGGCATTCCACGTCAGTCGAGTCCAATCGACATGCCATTGATTGGATGTGGATAAGACAAGCAGCACAGGCCTGTCCACCAGCGTCCACCAGCGTCCACCAGCAGCCACTGAGATGTCACCAGAATCAAGGCGTCCGTAGCGCCAAAGTCTCGTGGCGCCCAAGATCCATCACGGTTCGCGTCTTCTCCCCCCCATCGGCCTCACTGCCTCAGGTCAAGTCACCTGTCAGTGGCATCGAGACCTCGAACGCCTCAATACCTAGCCCACCAGGCCCGCGTCATTCCAGGCATTCCGTTCCAAGGTCGAAACTCCTCTCTCGCCCACACCCACCTCCGCTGCTCTCGAACTTTGTTCTTACCCGACCCAGTCTGCCTCTTTTCTGGCTGCATTTCCCCTCTTAAGAACTGGACGGCTCCCACCGCCAGCTGACTCTCACACATCGACTTTTGACGCGATAATAGTCGAGTAAACAAGAGCACCCTTATGAACCTCAGCCATTGTCAGCATTGCAGAATGTCTCGATTCACTCGATAGCCGCCCTTCAGCCCTCTCGACCTTTATCCCTTTCGACGGTTCAGCATTCATACCATCCCGGCCCCCTCCGTCCACTGCACCTGCGGCCTCGATCCTCCGCGCCCCTCTCGCACAGACACGCTCATACCTCCATCCACCTCCCTCATCTCGAAGATCGAATCTCTCTTGACGCCTCCTTGCGCGAAGTTCGAGACTGCTCTCAAAAGGGAGCCGTTGCCCGTTTCGCCTGGGTTGCCTGCTCTGGACCAATCTCAGCCGCATCTTGGTGGTCGACATTAAGAACTGGTTAATGGAACCTGTGCACTTGATTTTCACGCGACTTTTTCCATACACTGGGTTTATCCTGTATCTGTGAATCCTCTTCATCACTTTTCACCATGGCGTCGACGCGTCAGCACCCGTTTGTGCAGATTTACCAAGATCCAATTCCGGTGCCGTCGAACGACCTCTCACATATGAACCGACCTCGACCGCGTTTGCAGCCTTCAGCAATGCCTCTGCAGCCACTCAGAAACCCTCCTGCTCCTCACCCACACCCCGAAGTTATCCTCAACGCTCCAATGGCCCCCGGCCAACAAATATCCCCTCTCAAGAGCACCCCGTTGTCGCCACCCGCGCCGTACTTTGGAGATTTGAATTATGTTCCCATCCCTCCGCCGGTGACGGCCACCCATATCTACACGGACTCACCGGCAAAGAGACACGCTCTTCCGACCAGTCAGCAATATCGTCCCGTCCAAATGGCACAACCCATGTTTACCACCTTCGACATAAAACTCGACAATTATGACCAGGAGAATTTTGGGGTCCAAACTACGCAAGATAACTTTGTCGACTTTCCCGAACCCTCATACGTACGAAAGCAGCCCCTTAAGCGATCATATTCAGAGGCGCAGATGACGAATGACCGTCCCTTCAAGAAGCCTAGGCAGGACGACGAAGCTGTCTTCCACCTACCAGACCCGGAAGATATGCCCCCCATCGAGGACGACGGCAACAAGCCTTCTTACAGCTATGCTCAGATGATTGGAATGGCTATCCTTAGGGCGCCAAATCGGCGGCTGACTTTGGCACAAATCTATGATTGGATCTCCACGACGTTCGCCTATTACCGCGAAGACACCAAGCAAAGCTGGCACAACAGTATCAGACATAACTTATCCTTGCACAAGGCTTTTAGCAAACAAGAGAGGCCCAAGGGAGATGCCGGAAAGGGGAGTTATTGGGTCATTGAGCCGGGAATGGAGGCACAGTTCGTCAAAGATAGAAATCGCCGAGGGACCAACATCACTCATATGACCATCAATGCCAATGTGATGCGTCCGGAGCCTCCAAAAGTTGCTCAACAGCTCTCGGACGCGTTGGCGCCCAACCCCTTCCTCGGCCAATTCAGCGAACCCCCTCGACCTCAGACGGCCCCTGCTCTTCCGGAACTCTCATCAGATGCGACTCTGCCAGCCTCCGATCCCGCTCTCAACGAGCACGAGACTGCCGAATTTGGAGACCGCGGCGTCACGGCAGCTCCCAAGTCGTCTCCTCCAGATGCCATCAACTCGTCACCGCCGGTGGTTGCACCTCATCATCAGCGGGCCCCTTCTTCCCCGTCTGCGCGACAGCCACGCCCATCTACATCTCATCGACAGAAGTTAAGTCTTACCAAGCACGACGACAGCGGATACTTTTCATCCATCGAATCATCTGCGCTGCGACCAAACAAGAACGCCGTGATGCTCACCTCGGAGTTGGACATTGAGCCCATGAGGAAGAAGAGAGGTCGTGCCGAAGAGGAGATTGTGCGGATCAGAAGCTCTTCGCATGACCTCACTCCGAGCCATGGGCGATTCCGGCCATTGACGGCAGAAGGTGCGCAGTCGTCGTCCCCCGTTCGTGTCAGCCCCAGCGTCCCTCGCAATCCGATGACTCCTGCTGTTGTCTTCAAGAAACCCGCCCGTCCTCCTCCATCAGTCTCTCCGAACACACAGCTCCTCCTCCACCGCAAAGCCATGCGCGAGTTTGCAAACTCACCCATCAAAAGCTCGGGGCTCTTTTTGTTGGAAGAGGCAACATACAGTCCTCTCAGGTGGACGACCCTCGCGTCGTCATCCACCTACCCGGAAGAGTCTTTTGAAATCTTTTCTGATCCGGCCCCGGGTCTCACTCCTGGCACGCCGCTATGTGCGTCATCACCCCTCAAAGGGTCTGTCTCTCGCCCAACGTATGGTCGAGCAGCCACCACTTCCAATATCCTCACCGACGTCCTGGGCAGTGCTCAGAAGCTCAACACGAAGACCCCCACCCGTGGGTCTCTACTCCATCCACGCGTACGGGCTACAATTAATGGCTCGCCGTTGAAAGCCTCAGCTACGCATGGCTCTGTCTTCGATGCCCAAGATGATCTGTTTGATTTCAAGTCATTCGAGAACGACAACTCCGACGACAACGACGAGGGTGTCGATATTCTTCAAGGTTTCGAGAAAATCGGTGGCACGTCGGCGCAAGCCAACGCCACCACATCCACTGACCATTCACGTCGACCGTCCTTGGGTCGCAGCTTTACTTCACGCTTCTGATGTGTTAACGAACTTGGTTGATACTTGGTCATGCTCATCCACGGATGGGTAAGCGGAGGCCTTCTTCATGTCCAATGTCTTTTTTTTAATCTTGGTGATACCACTGTGTCGTTGGATTCATGGAGGGAGAAGAGGCTCAATGAAGCTTCCCTGCAGTGTGCACGCAGGCTCTTGGTGTGAGCCCCATCCGGTTGGGTTTCAGGTTGGGACTACTGCAGAGACAACTTTGCTATGATGTCAAGAGTTTATGACTTGTTATTATGCCCTTCTTTTTATGACGATATGGGATTGTATGACAGAGTAATGGGGACGTGTGTTATCTTGGGGGAGCTGAACGTTCTGCTCGAGGACCGGCCCTACCTAGATAGTTTAGCAGCAATGCAATGAGAATGCCCGCCTCGATTCCACCTCCATCCTCATCTCACCTGTGGCGTGATCGTCGGTTGGTAACACGCACGACGAACCCTCGTGCGAGCTCCAGCCACTGCAAGCTGAGTCATCACACATGAGACGGTCGAGGCAGATCGTTCTCGCGCGACAACCAATGAAGGCCACGACAAAGTAAGCCACCAACCCATCAGGTCTTCTCGAGCTGCACCTGTATCTGCATTATATTGGTCAGCTTCTGGGTCAGATTGATGTCGTCTTGTTCTGTGTTGACTGTGGCATGATTACGACAAACAGAGTCACTCGGGGCGTCCGCAGCGGGTTCCTCAGATACTGGGTGTCAAGGTCTCTCACTTCAGCGGCGACGAGGACGACGACACGAGCTACACTGGGCTACGGCAGAGAGCTGGGCAAATTCTCCATGTCATCTCACACCACTCGTTCACCCTTTTCACAATCTCTGCTCGATCAAGCTCAAGCCGCAGGACTCTCCACGAAAGCACCGAAAAGCAGGATGAGCCGGCGTACGCCCATAGCACCCCAGCGTGTCGATGCGCCACTGACCCAGTCGGCAACCTTCCTCGTCCTCACGGTAACGGACAAGCCCGATGCCGTCAAGAGGGTGCGTTCGACGCTCGCCAGTGTAGACGACCTCTCCAAGAACGTCGCCATCCGTGATCTGGACGCGGCCTTCGCGTGCACGGTCGGCATTGGCAGTAATATCTGGGGCAGTCTCCTCCCGGGGGTTCCCAGACCGGCTGAGTTGCACCCCTTCCCGACAATATCCGGTAAAGTCCACACGGCCGTGTCGACGCCGGGGGATCTGTTGTTCCACATCCGGGCCCAGCGGCGCGATCTGTGCTTCGAGTTCGAGCGCCAGCTGATGGATCGACTGGGCGACAGCGTCAAGGTCGAGGACGACACCGTGGGATTCCGGTACTTTGACGTGCGCGATCTCCTGGGCTTCGTGGACGGCACGGCCAACCCCGTGGGCGCGGCGGTCGACGAGTCCGTCCTGGTGACGGAGGTGGACGACGCGGGCTCGGCCGGAGGCAGCTACGTGGTCGTGCAGAAATACGTGCACGACTTGACGCGGTGGCGTGGGCTGTCGACGGAGCAGCAGGAGGCGATCATCGGACGCACGAAACTCGACAACATCGAGCTGGACGACGCGGACGAGGAAAAGCAGAAAGCGCACAAGCAGCTCGCCAACATCACGGGCGACGACGGGTCGGAGATGTCGATCCTGCGAGACAACATGCCCTTTGGCAACCCCGGCAAGGGCGAATTCGGCACGTATTTCATCGGGTATTCGAGGAAGCTGTGGGTGATCGAGCAGATGCTGGACCGGATGTTTGTGGGTTCGCCGCCCGGGCTGCATGATCGTATCCTGGACTACTCGACGCCGTTGACGGGGACGACCTTTTTCGTGCCCAGTGCGACCCTATTGGCGAGTCTTGGTGACGACTAGAGGGATGGGAAGGTGACCGTGAGGGAGTGGTATATTATGCTCTTCATTCAACACGACACAGGATTCGGGAGATCTTATGCATTGAACGGAAAGGATATGACTGAATAGAAGGGGCATCTATCTCTATCTCTCCATTCCAGCGCTAATCCCATGAATATGATATGTCAAGTGATGCGCAGGTTTGCTGTATGCTTCCCAGAATGCAGCTTCCCATGGCTTCTAGGGGCGGTGTAGTATGTCCAAGTCCCATCCTCGATCACCATGTCTGACTCAATGCCCTCGATGCCATCATCAGCATCCTAGCCAGTAGTTGTAAATTGGGTCGCCAACTCCGCGAAAGTCCCTGTATGGACAGTATGGGCTATTAGCCACGTTAAAAGCGGCGTGTGGTCGGGAGACTTTCTCGTCAACTCCGAGACACCATTGAAACTTTTCTGAGCCCGAATCGCGTCGTGTCCGACACAACACCAGAGCGGTTTGACTGAAAGGGCAATTTGCTGGGAGGTCCTCAGTCTGGTGAACAAGGGATCTTGCTGCAAGCGGCACCACATCTCCCAAAGGTCGCCCACCGAAAAAGGATGTCGGCGCCACGATGTCTGCGCATAGCTATTGAAGCATGCCGCCCTCAGAAGGTATGGAGATCCCACCACCTTCTATAGAACATCACACAAAGGATTATGCTGGTCAAACATGTCACGATTCCACTGACCAGTGTGCCCGATCTCTAGACTACAACCACCGTGCCGCTGCGGCCGCGCCTTTCAGCTCCAGCCCATCCAACACACCGGTCGTCGATACGAGGTTTCTGCTCAAGTACACCCGAATATGATAAAGACAGCAAAGACAAGTCTCTAGAGACGGGCCCGATGGATATCACGGCGGGATTCCCAACACCAGAAATCGGATCGTACAAAATCCAGGATGCCTACGAGGAAGAGGGAGGAGATGAGTCTGCCACACCGACAGCAAAGGCCAAGCATACCCCGACTTCGATACAGCGGACAAAGGCAAAGCCGGACGTTGTGTCGGAGACTCAAGCCCAGGAATTACAGCAGACTTCGGCATCGACAGTGGCTCACAAGACCTCTCCATCACCAGCACGGGGAAAGGCGCAACCGCACCCACCTACAAAGTCAACTCCCAAAGCCACCAGGGGCTCGCCATCCACGCCTCTTCTTTCTTCCTCCGAGAAACCCGCCCCGGCATCTGGCGATGAAAGCACCAAACCCAACGTCCCACCCAATGTCCTCGCTGCCTACCGCACGCCGCTATATCACCCGACGACCCACGGGATCCCGGTGTGCCAGCTGCAACTGCGCTCGTTCAGCACCCGCAACCTCGAGTTCTTCGCCGACTTTTGCGTGCGCGCCGCCTACTATCTCTCCCTGCCCTGCCGGGGTCCCACTCCCCTCCCGAAGAAGATCGAAAGATGGACGGTCCTCAAGAGCAACTTTGTGAACAAAAAAGCGCAAGAGAATTTCGAGCGGATCACGATGAAGAGGCTGATTACCGTGTACGATGGACATCCAGAGGTGGTGGAAACGTGGTTGGCGTTTGTGAGGAAGTGGCAGTTTTACGGCGTCGGTATGAAAGCGAATCTGTGGGGGTGGGAAGGCGTCGGTAAGTCTTGCAAGTTACACACCCATAATCTAGTCTTCTCTCCCGCTTCGCTACGGTGGACTGGCTATGATGCACTCATGATGGGGCCGTGGCTTTGCTGACATGTGTGTGTTTGTGTGTTTCCAGACGTTGCCTCCAAAATGGACCACGACTTCACCTCTCTCGAGAAGGAACTCGACAGCAAGTTGCGCTTGTTCGGTTTCAACAAGACGGCGGGCAAGAACAACGACTTGCTTGATTTACTGGAGAAACAGGGACACAGGCGGGAGGGCGTTGGTATGAGCGAGGTTCGAGAGAAGAGCCGAACGACCGAGGATCCTTGGTAGGACGGTGCCGACCTCTCTGCAAAAACTGGACGAAGGAGATTCGAAACGCCGCGACGGGGCTCTCGATCATGACGAGGCTTACACCAAGTTACGGTATCAGATGTCGTGGCATGTATATATGCTCGAAACCCGCGTGTATAAATGGGTGGACCAATGAAGGCTCAGACAACACTATCCCCGGAAGCAATGCAGGCTCTGTGTCGTGTCAGGGCATCTTTGTCAGTCTCACCAGGTTGTGGAAACCCTTCTATCAAGGGAGGCAGCAGCGATACACCGCATTTATGTTTATATACTGTATTATCAACAAGCTATCGTCGCTGTCACAGACCACCTCAGGCTTGGATCCGACCACCTATGTAACTACTTCGCGTATTCAGAAATGTCCGACCTCCAACACTTCCCAATATACTTATGGAAAGCCTCTCTGGTCGCCAGCGCCTCGTACCACATACCGAAATCGAAACCCCCCGGATGCTGACACGGCGTTGCTCACCTTGATCAAGTCATCATGTTGACATTCCCGGGCGATCTATTCGTGGGTTCTGACGTGAAGAAACGCAAGGCTTCCCTTTCACCGCCGATCGTGGAGCGTGCGGACTTGCCGTCTTCGAGTGTCGTTATGTACTATGTATGACATTATGCCCTATATCCGCGGACATACAACGCTGCAGGCCCTATATGTACATACATATGCTTTCTCGGTATCCACCGGGGCGAGTGTGGGAGCAAACGTCTGGATCGGGTAGGTAGTCGCCCGCCTCAGCAACAGCAACAGCAACAGAATATCTCCACCATGCCGGTGAGCGTACAGTAAGTGGCAGGAGTGGAGGTGGTGAACGGCGTCGACGTTGACCTCCATAGTGGCCAGACAGACTCGTGGCTGATGTAACCTGGAGGAGGACTCTTATTGTTGTTGTTGTTGCCGCTGTGGGCCGGAGATGCGCCGGCAACGTAATGGTCCTTTTCTCTTCCTTGTTCCAAAGTAGCAAGCAGTGCGTGCAATGGTAGTGGTTGAGATATTACCCTCATTGGATCGCCACTATTACCTCGTACCTTTGGCGAACGTTTCATCGACAAAAGAACCCACCTCTGGGCAATATGTACCTGCCAACAAGGCTGAGCCTCATTCAGCGGCTCTATGTAGGTAAAGGTCCAGCCAGCACATCAGCGTCTCACCTGCCGACAGTAACCGGGCAACGCTCACTGGCTCTCTATGCCATGGCTCTCTGTATAGTCGTTGCGCATACAGGATGGTTCGTCCCAGGTTTTTGCAGAGAAACGCCATAAGCGGCCATCCAAGGGAATTTGTTCCGCGAGGGTCCCAGCTTCGACCTCCTATCTCCACATTCGTCCCGGGGGCGGGCCCACAGAGATGGACATACGGAGTACATACAACCCTTTCATTCTTTTGCGGGGTTGAGGATCCCTGCCACGGAGGCACAGACTAAGTCTTTCACCGGCAGGTTGACTCGGTTGCATCGAGCTAAGTTTCCAGTCCACAGATTGAATAGTTCGCTTGACCCTAAGATGCGTGGAATTATTCCACGGGCAGTCAGCTTGCAGCTGCCCTGTCCCCTTTGTGTCTATATCTTAGATCGTGGCTTGCCCCCACCTTCGATGAGAGCACAGAGGGCATCTTCCACTTTGAATCTGCTGACCTCCTGTTTCTCTTGGGCTGTCATTCCATTCTGTGTCTCATTCACCATGTCTCCAGGTCGGATCGTCGACGACAATGAGTACGACTTCATTGTGTGGTGAGTCCCCAGCCGTATAGTTGACGGAGTCGTCGCCGTCATCATGGCTACTAACCATGCGACCATTTACAGCGGCGGAGGCACCACAGGCTGTGTTGTGGCGGGTAGACTGGCCGAAGATCCCAACGCTCGCATCCTCGTGGTCGAGGCCGGCCCGCACAACAAAGACCTCGAGAACGTCCACATGGCTGGCGGCTGGTCCAAGAACTTCGACGGCGAACTCGACTGGAACCTGGTCACGCCGCCGATGAAAGGCGTCAACGGCAGACAGGTCAAGCTCAGCCGCGGGAAGTTCTTGGGAGGGTCCAGCGGTGTCAACGGCACGCTGTGCATTCGAGGCAGCAAGCAAGACTATGACGACTGGAAGTAAGAGTCCCCCTCCGTGCAGCGGTTTCGGAGCCTGTGCTCAACGATCCAGTCTTCCAGGGTGGTCGGGACAGGAATTCTTCGAGTACATGCGGAAGGTTCGGGGATTCCACGCCGCAGAAAGAACATGCAGCTAGCTGATCACACGAAAGGCCGAGACGTTCCATCCCAAGCCGTGGTTCCAGACGGACGAGAAAGCCCACGGCTACAATGGCCCGCTGCACATCGAGCCGCACGACCTGGCGCCCATTTCGAGCCTGATGCTGGAAAGCATGGAGGATATGGGCCTCCCGCTGGTCCACGATATGTTCAGCAACGGCCAAACCCCTCATGGGTGCGGCCATGCACCGCGGACCGGTACGTACCGACGACTATTCTTGCGTAGATGCGATAGCTGACGCCAGGCTACAAAGTCCACAAGGGCATCAGAACGACCGGCGCGGACTTCGTCACCAATGATCAACACAGGGCCAATATCGACCTCCTGGTGGAAAATGTTGTGGACAAGATCAACTTTGAGGAGAAGGATGGCGAATTGCGGGCCACGAGCGTGGTGCTCGTCGGCAAGGATGGCAGCACCAGAGAAGTGAAGGCGAGAAAGGAAATCATCGTCTCTGGAGGTGGATTGCCTCGACCGTCCATCGTCTGGGATCAACAAGCTAACGGCCCAAAGGCGCATATTGCTCCCCAGCCATTCTTCTCCGATCAGGTATTGGCCCCAAGGCTGAGCTGGAAGCGTTAGGGATCAAGTGTCTCGTCGACTCGCCGGGAGTGGGAAAGAACTTGCTGGATCATCTGGTCGGTGGTCTCGGTTTGCATTGCTCAGGGTTCCAGTGGCTGACTCGCCGCAGATTGTGTTTGCATTTTACGAGGTCACCAAAGAAGGACTGACAAACGACCACCTTGTGTATGGCACGCTCTCCTGGACTGTGACTTCCTTGGGCTAATTCTCTAGGTATCATGGGGACGCCGCCATGGCTGCGTATATGCTGTACAAGGAGAAGAAGGAAGGCGTCCTCTCCACGTTCCCCTTTGGCGCGTTTGCCTTTGCGAGACTGGACGATCGGCTGAAAGATGAGCCCCTGTGGAAGGAGGCAAAGAGGGAGCCTGGCCGTGACCCGATGGGTCTCACTCCCAGGCAGCCGAACATTGAGTTTTTCACCACCGAGGTGGGTGTCCGATAACGATCCAAACAAGCGTACTTCGCTCGCTGACAAGGTCAAAGTTGTATGGTGGACCGAAGCAATACGATCAATTTCCCATCGGTGAGTTCGACAGAGAACACTGGTGTAGTGACGGACTGACCGAGCGGCTGCCTCTAGACAAGAAACACGCCTTTGCCATGATCACCGAGCTGTTCTCACCCCATTCACGGGGAACAGTGACTCTCAAATCCAAAGACCCTCTCGAGAACCCCGTGGTGGATTGCAATTATCTCGCCGACCCCCTCGACATGCTGGTGCTGTCCGAGGGCTGCCGGCTGGGCAATGAGATCGTCATGAACCTGAACAAGTTTGCCAAAGAGGAGATTGTGAAGGGATCGTGGCCGTCAGGTGCGTTCACAGCCAGCCAGCCAGCCATCCAGTTACCGCCAGCGCCGAACACCTCTCTGACTGACCACAACCCCAGATCTGACACATCATACTTACACGAAACGGGAAGAATGGGTCCCATACGTCCAACAAGAGGCCACCACCTGCTATCATGCCGCGGGGACGTGTAAGATGGGGCGAGATGACGATAAGATGGCTGTCCTCGACGAAAAGCTGCAGGTCCGCGGAGTCAAGGGCCTCAGCGTCGCTGATACCAGCGTGATGCCGACTCTTCACGGCGGCCACACTCAGATGCCTGCGTATGCACGACCTCCCCAAGATGTTATCAGCTGATACTGACACGCAGCAGTTACGGCATTGGCGAGAAAGCGGCTGATCTGATCAAGGCGAGATGGTCAAAGGCCTAGCGAGGCTGAATGGTAGCTTTGATGGACAGGGACAGTGACCAGCGTGGGCTGTAGCTCAACACGTAGTAGTTGTATCATGTAACTAAACGGGATGTACCAAGCGAAACAGACTGGTGTTCAAGAAGGATCCTGGCGATGCGATGTCTCGAAAAGCACATACATACAGGACGAGGCTGAATGTCCACGGAGTCGCCGAGGAGCCAATCAAATTCAACTGCAAAAGCGGCGCCTTAAACTCCCCGTTTCGGGCACAATATCAAATTATTTATTAAACATCGATCGCCTGACTGACTTTGCTCCGACAACTTTGTATTTTCAAGCTCTACTTGTACTTGTATAATCCTGTTCTTTGGCTGGCGTCCTTTTGGAACGCGTACACTCTTTTTACCCTGTGAAATGCCCCGAGGCCTTGTGCATGTGTCAGTGAGGCCGCATTGTTCGAGGAAGATCCCACGGCGCAGCGTCAGCTATGAGACAGAGCTTGCGTCCGTCAAAAGGGTGCGCTTGGGCGAGGAAAAGCAGCCCCGGATCATCAAGGCCGGGCGCGATCATCCGCCGTCCAGACCGGTCGAACAGGATGCGAGAGACGAGATAGAACAGCACTGGGCGCGGATGTCGCCGTCGTCCAGCATCAGACGAGCCTTTTCGGGGATTCAACCCACGGGAGTCCCTCACCTCGGAAACTATCTGGGGGCCCTGCGCCAGTGGAAACGGCTTCATGATCAGTCCACCGACCCCAGGTTCGCCATCAATTATCGCTACGAACAGTACTTTTCGGTGGTCGACCTGCACGCTCTGACCTCGGACACTCCCCCGACAGAGCGCCTGCGTCTACGGAAGGAGTCGTATGCCGCACTTCTCGCTCTGGGATTGCACAACAACAGGAACACGACGCTGTTTTTCCAGTCCGATGTAGGCGGCGTGCATGCCATCGTCGGGTTCGACATCCGCTGACCGGTCGACAGGTGCCGCAGCATGCGTCCTTGATGTGGATTTTGAGTACCATTGCTTCGACGGGCTATCTGTCCCGCATGACTCAGTGGAAGGTGCGCAGCAACTGACTATACGTTTGTGGCCCGACAGAGTGGGACTAAAACCGCCGCTCACAGAGCAAGTTGAACTTGCCGGACAATGCCAGCCTCGAAAGCGACGAAGCGACGGCGAAGCTCAAGCTGGGCCTGTTTTCATACCCTGTTCTTCAAGCGGCCGACATCTTACTCTATCAGTCAGTTTGAACAGGAGCTCTGTTGGTGGTGCTGCTGGTTAACGTCAGACAGGCCATCCATTGTGCCCGTAGGGGAAGATCAACTCCAACATATCGAGTTTACGCGCACGTTGGCCCGGGGATTCAATGCCCTGGTCCGGGAATCCTCCGGAGGAAATGTATTCCGAATACCTTGGCCGGTGATATGTAAGGGATTCGAGTGGACTCCTCGTCCGTGAGACACACTGACACGACGCAGCCCCAGCCAAGCGGATCATGTCCCTCAAACGTCCGGAGCAGAAGATGTCCAAGTCCGACCCTGATCCCAAATCCCGCATCCTGGTCACCGACAGCCCCGAGGAGATTCATGCCAAGCTCAGGGGTGCCGTCACTGACTCGGAGCCAGGGATTTCTTTCCACCCGGAACGACGGCCAGGGGTATCCAACCTGGTCGAGATACTGCGGCACGTGACCGAGTCGCGGGAGTCCAGCGAGTACATTGCCAAGGACAACGAAAACGTCAGCATGCGGGCGTTCAAGGAGATGATCGCGGACGAGATCATCGCTGCGCTGCGGGGCGTGCGGGACAACTTCCTCGCCATCATGGACTCCGGGAACGACCGGCTGCGCGAAGAGATCGAGTGGGGCGGCGCAAAGGCGCGACGGAAAGCCCGCATGACGCTCGACGAGGTCCAGCAGGCCCTGGGCCTGTTTGGGGTCACGTTGTCTGAAGAAGAAGCGACCCGGATCCGCGAGAGACGGAGACAGGCTGCACGCAAAGACCTGGGGACGGACATGAACATCGAGTCCAATCCGTTTGATTCGGAAGGAGAGGCTGTGGCATTCGACGAGGAGCTGCCCGACCGAGGGGAGGGCCCAGACCACGATCGGGGGGAGACTCTGCAGTCCATCAAACAGGGCAAGCTGTGATACGTGTTCCATTCTAGCAGTCTCGTGGCGCTCGAGGGCTAGCAGACCCATCTCCTCAAGATTATTGATCATTGGCCTGAGTGGAAACACGTTGCTCCATATGGTCTGAAATGTATCGAGTACAGGATACGGATATTATATTGTCACAACAGCTGAGGGCGTGACCGAGAAGGTTGTGTTGTGTTTGTGTGTCTTGATGGGCGAAGAGCATCGCAAGGCTGCGGACGGGAGCGCGACGTCATTTTCCCGCCGCCAAATTTTGTTACTCACAATTTCTCAATGTACCAACAACACCGCCAGCTTCATTCATTCCATTCATTCATTCTAGCTCCAGCAACACTTCTCCTAAGCCTAAGCCATGGCAGAGCTGCTGCCACTGCTGTCAAGACAATAAGATAATCACTTCCACACCTCACACCCCTGCCAACTCGTACAAATGCGGCGGATACCGCTCCCCAACGGCCTCCTCGCCAGACGGACCAGCCAACGCCCTCTCTCGAGCTCTTCACGCGCCCGTGTCCGCCATGGGAAGCATGAGCACGACGGCGACGACGTCGTGGACCTGGCGTTCCATCGCCACAACCCGCCCGAGAAGACGAACACCAAGGGCCCCGGTCCCTTGATCATCATGCACGGGCTGTTCGGGTCGCAGCGCAACAATCGGACGCTGAGTAAGTAAGGAAGCCAACGCCCTCTTATCACTGTGCTGTGGTATACCAGTGCTGACCAGCAACCCCCCGTGCAGAGCACTAGCCAAAGACCTCTCTCGCCCCGTCTACACCATCGACCTCCGCAACCATGGCGACTCCCCCCACTCGCCCGTGCACACGTACACGGCCATGGCGCGGGACGTGGAGCATTTCCTCGACAGGCACAAGATCACCTCGCCGACACTGATCGGGCACTCCATGGGCGCGAAGGTCGCCATGACGCTCGCCCTGCGCCAGCCAGAAAGATACTCGGCCTTGGTGCCGGTGGACAACGCGCCCGTGGACGCCGCCCTGAAGGGCGACTTTGGCACGTACCTGGAGGCGATGAAGGAGATTGACGAGATGAGGCCGCGGCCCAAGCGGCAGAGCGACGCGGACAAGATCCTCTCGAAGTACGAGCCGGACCTGGCAATCCGGCAGTTCCTTCTGACAAACCTGGTCAAAATGCCCGTCGTGCACGGTACCCCAGGCCAGCAACAGCAACAGCAGCAGCACGCAGCACGCAAGGACAAGCACCACGAGACGGAGCTGCGCTTCCGCATCCCGCTGCACACGCTGGCCAAATCGCTGCCCAACATGGCCGACTTCCCCTTCAAAGACCCGGACACGCACAAGTACAAGGGCCCCACGCTCGTGGTGCGCGGCACCAAGAGCCACTACGTGGCCGACGAGACCTTGCCGGTGATCGGCCGGTTCTTCCCCAAGTTCGAGCTGCTGGACTTTGACTGCGGCCACTGGGTCATGAGCGAGAAGTTTGAGGAGTTTCGAAGAGCGCTCGTCGAGTGGGTTGACCGGGTTGTCGATGAGGAGGTGTAGCCCATCCCCATCAACTCGCCTGTATCGGTAAGATAGATCAACTCAAGTCAAGGAAGGGGAGGAGACAGAGAGAGGGGGGACGTCCAAAAGAATCCAAGAAGGAGAATGGGAACAACAAAGACCGGCTGTCCAATAGTCAATCAACCAGTGTCGGTCCCAAGACCATCATCTGTCGAGAGAGGTGAGAGCACGGAATCAACACCCTATAATACACATAGACCGACCGAGATAGAACGTACCAGAGTCGAGGACGACGTTATACGAAGCGTCCCGCAGAGCCGGATGGGGAGAACCAAGCTCAAACATGATATCTATTCCCTCTCCACCGTCTCCATGTCAGTTCCCTCTGGGTGTGTCTACGGAGGGTGCTTCCTTTCGGTCTTTTTTTCATTGTGGAAGTTTGGGATGAATTCTTTTTTATTTTCACTGTGGTCAAGTCAAGGGCCGAACCGTCCTCTACAGCTAGACTGAATGCTATGCCTGATGCCTTAATGCGTGAACACCCTCCATTCCTTTTCCCAGCACCAGCATGCAAGCAAGCAAGCAAGCATATCTTGTCTTCATGTGCGCCGAAGATGGGTCACCAAGGAAGGGCCACCAGTAAACCACCACCACAGGCACACACGCCGACCGGCTCTCGTCTCTTTTCTTTTGACTCTTCTTCCCTGTGAAAAGGAGAGAGAGAAGCAGGTCCCGAGCCATGGATACCCCTGGCCAGCTAGACTTTCGGCGAGCCAGGAATGTAGCAGCCTCGAACAAACGGTGCAGATGTCTCGCTCTCTCCCGGTCATCGCCCCCTCCCCTTGACTCATCATCAATGTTCTCACATATGCTTTTCATAGTTTCCGATTCGTCTTGTCACCTCCCAAGATACATCTCCTCCCTTGTCTTGGGCTTCTCTCCACGACTGTCTAAAGCAGGCAGTGTTCCACGCATTCGTCGTACCATGCAACAACCCCAGCTTACACGCTCTCCAGCGGCGCGGGCTCCTTGAACTCCCTCTCGACCTTACGGCCTTCGTCGTCCTGGCCACTCTCGCCGTGCAGGCCCAGCAAGGCACCGAGGTCGAACTTGGGCGCCTTCAGCAGCTTGACCTTGCGGATGTGCACATTCTGGAGCGGGTAGATTCCCTGCGTGGACTTTTCGATCTCGCGGCCGATGACCTCGGGGATGAGCTTGCCGGTCAGCTGGGCGAGGGTGACGCTGGTGGCCTCACGCTGGATGATCTCGGTCATCTTCTTGCGAATGGCCCGGATCTGCGAGGTGGCGGCGTAGGTGGTCTTCTTGATCTGGTTGGGGCGGCGCTTGGTGAAGGCGATCGCGAAGAGTCTCAACAGGTAGTCGTCCGTGGTCTTGACCGTGACGTTGGCCTCGATCAGCGTCTGCCACTTCCGCACCAAACTCCTCAACTTGTCCGAGGTGAAGTCCAAGCCGTGGAAGTTGGTCAAGCAGTTCTTGCCCTGGATCTCGTCGACCCGGAGCTTGACCTTGCGGAAGGCGTGATCTTCGTCGTTCTGCAGGTCCGCGAGCGAGACTTCGAAGATGCGACCCTTCAGGGCATCATTGGCGGATTTCAGACCGGTGGTGCGGTTCACGAGAGTTTTGCCGACACTGCGAGGATAGAAATGTCAATAATCATTTCCGCTAGACCAAACAAAATATGTGGTTGTGATTTCTCTCTCTCTCTCTCTCTCATATTTCCCCCCCTCTCTTTTCGTGGCGACGATGTTGCTGGGGAGAACATTGGGAGGACGTACTCTCGCTGGTTGAATGTGGACGGAGCCTTGATCGAATACCAATCTTTCCGGGTGAAGGGATCCTGCGTTCTCTTCTTCAACCCCTTCTTTCCTTTACTCAATCGCTTGTTTCTGAAGGAGAGAAGATCTTGTCAGTTTCTGATCCTCATAAAGTGATCGCTCCCCGCGTTTGTGTGCGTGCGCCGAGTGGTGGGCACAATGAACTGGTGAGCGACAGCAGCGGCGGGCTGGACAGGACTTACTTTCCAACAGCCATGATTGCGACGGGTGGCTTGTCGCAGAATTAAGCTGTCTGATTCCGATTGAACGCAACAGAGGAGGTTGCTGATGTTGGGTGGAATGAGACAGAGGCGGTAGGTGAACAGGGCGAGAAGTTTTGATATCGCAGTCGACCGCAGTATGTGGGCGGAAATATTTTCTTGGCGCACAATACGGAGTATAGAGGAGCATGTGGTTCGCTAGCGTAGAAATTGCTACGGTGGATCATTGCACGAGTCAATGCGGCACTTCTATATACTGCGTGACTCACGCTTCGTACCTACCCGCCCACGCCGTAAATCTTTTGTCCCATGGTTAGTTCTCCATGGTGCTGTGCGAAAGTGTGATGTTTAGGACATCGAGTTACACAAGGCCACTGACTGTAATGCTTCGGCTGAGCTTGATTGCTTCGTGACCATGACAAGGCATTTTACGCGCTGAATCTATCATACCTGGTACCTGTATCAACGCTAGTGAATTCCTCTTTGAATCGTCTCTGAGAATGTTGATCCTCCTCCACTGTCTCTTGCATGCCTTCTTTTCTCTGTCACCAACTGAATCAACCCACCGATTTATGCGTTCGTCGCTCGTCAAATCAGGCCAGGTCATAAATATCCTTTGTGCTTGCACTTCCCTACACTTTCATGTCCTTCATCTTATCCGCGACATTGCCTGCCGCCGGCATGTCTCGCTTGGGGCCACCTTCAGGTGCACCCCCAGTCTTACCCTTCGGTGGCTGCTTCGACTTCGCCGAGGTCGTATCCTTCGGCAATTCCTTCGTGTATGGAATGATATCCGGCGTCCCAGGTGGCATGTACCGTCTCAACACCTCTGGCACTTCGAAGCCATCCTCCTTTTGGTAATTCTCCACCAGACAACACAGGGTCCGCTCTGTGGCGCACAATGTCCCGTTGAGAGCATGCACATACGTCTTCCTGGTGTCGATTGCACCCTTTTTCTGGCCGTACCGAATCTCCAGCTCTCGCGTCTGGTAGTCTGTGCAATTTGAGCAAGACACGAGTTCCTTGTACTCGCCTTGGTAGGGGAACCAGGCTTCCAGGTCGTATTTCTTGGCCGCTGCGTTATTGAGTGCGCCCGACACGATCGCCACGACCCGGTACGGAAGCCCTAGGGACTGGTAGAATTCCTCGGCGATGGATTTCATGTCGTCGAGTGCTTGCCAGGACTCTTCGGGCTTGACGAAGAGGAATTGTTCGATCTGGACGATATCCGTTAGTATCGCCAAGTAGATCTCTCATGGAGGATGACAGTAATAGTACTTGCCTTCTCGAATTGGTGGATGCGGAACAACCCCCAGGCATCTCTGCCGTGTGCGCCAGCTTCCTTTCGAAAACACGAAGAGTAGCCGGCGAACTTCTTTGGCAGATCCTTCTCCGTCATCCACTCTTCGGCAAACATGGCTGAGATGGGCTGTTCGGATGTCGCAATGAGAAACTTGTCCTCGTCATCCTTGTCTTCAATAACCTTGTAAAGCTCTTCGTCGAACTGTTCGAGTTGTGCCGTTTTGGCCATGTACTCGGCCTTCATGAAGTAGGGCGGTTGCAGGGGATCATAGCCCTTGGAGACAAGAAAGTGTAAGCCGTAGTTGATGAGAGCTTGGTTTAGCAAGACACCCCATTTGCGGAGAAAGTACCCTCGATGGCCGACCAGCTTGACGCCTCGTTCGCTGTCGTAGACTTCTGCACGGGTCATGACCTCGTGGTGAGAGAGGCAGTCACGTTTTTCCTCTGTGAAGCCTTCAGGTGCCCATTTCTTGACCACCTCGTTGAAGTCCTACACCTGCGGATGAGTCTGCGTTCCCTCCAAACCTGGGACGTGGAATGCTTTCGACTGACCTCGTTGTCGTTGACCGGCACCGACTCGTGCACATAGTTGCCAATCAGCTTGCACTTGCGGTCTCTGAGCTTCTCCTTCTCAATGGCCTCGTCTTCGACCTTCTTCTTCTCCTTCTCCAAGTTCACCTTTTCTTGCAGCAGGTGGTCCGCATCTTGTTTTGCCTGTCCAACGCAAACCATCAGTTCGGGAATTTTCACAAGGGAGGCAGGTAGTCAACGCGACCGACCTTCTTCAACTGCCCGATCTCTTTTTGCACCGCATTGATCTTTGCGCCGACTTGGCTGGCCTTGTACCGCGCTAGAACCTCGCGTTAGGGCGAATTCCCAGGGATGGGAGGAAGCATACTCTGATAGGCGTCGTTCCAGAGTGCAATGACCTCGTCGACGATTTCGGTGGGGGCGTATCGCTTTTGCAGACTCTCGATCACTTTTTTGGGATCTCCCCCTCTATTGGACCGGTGAGACAAGTGGTTGCGACGCTGAGGCTGCAGGAAATGATCTTACCTCGAGACAATGAGGTCTTGCACTTCAATCATGATGACGAGGGGGACCAGCAAGTAAAGGGAAGCACTAGAAACTGCGGTGTGGTGTCGACCTTGGAACGCCCTTCTCAGCAGCACGTTGTGGTTGCAGAAACTGATTTGTGCCCCCGTCCACCCCGCGAAACTGCGGAGCCTCGTGAGTCACTCCGACATGTGCCACATCAATAGGTGCACACGACCAAAATCTATGGAGGTGGAAACTGGACATCATCGAGTACTGGGTGACATTATCGTATTCATTTGGACACACTTATAGACAATTCCATATGTTCTCTCTATCGCATGGTTTCGCAAAAACCGATCCAGCGAGCATTTCTCCCTCACTCGACGAGCAACCCAAGTACTGCTGGTCTCTGGGATGCGCTCGCCGCCACCACCACCACCACCACCCGGCATCCTGCTCGCTCAGTTCAAAGAGTGATTGACATTAATTCCAATATGAACTCCCACGGAAAAAGCCCAAACACCTTGATGTCTATCCTGATACTCCCGAACGCCAACTGAGAGGCTGGAGGCATAACAGCCTGAACACCGGCATCGACATGTTGAGACAACCAAAACCAGAAGAATTTCCCAAAATCAAACAGCCCCCTTCAATGACGAGGTTCTCTTGCAGATCTTCCCGAGTCGTGCAACAGCTGCTTTTCACATGACTGCACACTTCCCTCCTCCCGCAGGCTTGTCCGGTTCCTGCGACTTCTCGATCTCGGCAATCATCATCTCAAATGCCTTTGCAACATTGTGGTTATTCCGGGCGCTGGTCTCAATCCAGCCACAGTTGAGTTCCTGGCCGAGCTTTTGCCCTTCTTCGGCGGTGACTTTACGTTGCTTTTTGGCGTCGACATCGCTCTTGTTGCCGACGATCATAATGGGAACCGACTCGGCACCCTGAGAGTGGGGGTTTAGCAGAGCTCTCGAAAGGAGGACTCGTTCAAGGTAGCCTACCAGATGATTCAACAGCTTGTCCCGGATAATCCTCACCATGTCGAAGGACTGCCTTGAGGCCACTGAGTAGACTATCAGGTAGCCATGTATACCGATATACAGCTTGGAATTCATAAGACTGTATTCGTCCTGTGTCCAACCAAACGTCAGCCCACGGGGACAGCTCGCCACCTCTTTCCTGCAGCATGGTGCCTCATTCGTACCTGTCCAGCAGTATCGATGATTTCCGTAAGAAATGTCTGGCCTTTGTAGACAATCTCATGGCTGAATGTGTTCTCGATCGTAGGGTAGTAGCTTTCCACAAAATGTCCTTCGCAGTATTGGACGGTCAAAGAGGATTTGCCTGCGGTGCCGAGGAACAGAAAGACGTCAGTCTCATTGCCCTCTCTTGTTGCCTTTGATTCACGACGACTTCAGCAAGAGGGGACTAACCGACAGATCTACTGCCCAGAATAGCGATCTTTCGCTGCTTGACTGAAGGGGCCATCTTCGACACCAAATCTGGGACACGGGGAATGTTTTTTTTTCTTTGCGACGGGAAAACGAAAGCAATGGCGTCAGGGCTCCTGGGTCACAGAAAAAAGGTCGGCGGCTCTTCTAGCGTTAAAAAGGTGATACCGAAAGGGAAAATATCAAGTAAGAAATGATCGTCAGAGGGACAGGGACCGAGAGGGTAATGCCATGGAAGAAATGGAATACAGGCGGCGAGCCAAAAATGGAGCAAAATCAGTAGGTAATAGGTAATAGGAACTGGGTGATGACGGACTGCGGCGGAGTTGTGAAGTTACCCAAGGGTTTACGAGAAACTTGAACGGGACCGAGACCGAGTGGTGAGAAGGTTTAATCTTTTTGTCTCTCGCGATGCAGCTGCGGACAAGCCGCGCTTGCCGTGATGTCAGTGAATGAGATGAGTTGATGATGGGATGATGATCGGGACAACACGGTATAGGCTATACTCCGTACATGTGCTGGCCGGTGGCTATACCAGTGGCTATACCAGGAGCCTGGGCCCGAACCTCACCGACATTTTTGGCGCGACGGTAGCATGCGAGAATCGAAAAAGTCATGCCTGGTTTTGTTGGTGTTTGATTTTCTCCCGAAGGAATTTCAGGCCACGAAGAAATACTAAGAAGAAGCACCACCGGCCACCATGCAATTTGTTTGGTGGGAGAATTATCGCAACACATGAGACCTGCACGCTATGGATACGCACGGTTGGTTCCCCGCCGCCAATGGAGAGGAGACCGAGGATGGGTCCCGCTGGCCCTGTTCCATTTGTGACACGGAGGGCGGCACGGAGGGCCTGAGACGGAGTGCACAGGAATTCCGGCATATAGAAAAGAAAGAGACATCTCGACTGTCAGCCTCGGATTGCAGTATGCTCCTCTATCTCTAGCACACCATTGCCAAGGGGGATCAACCCGTTCTGCTATACCAACCACATCCCCATGTCGACAAAACTCTCGCGAGATGTGATCCCATGTTTTCTGTGCCTGTCTATACCTAATGTCCAATGCCGTAGGTCGTATGCTCATCGGAAGTCTTTCTCGCGAGACGGGAGAAGTGCCCCGTCATGCTGCTTCACGGTCTCGAGCACCGCTGTGAACCGCCCTGTGAACCCCGAGGACGAGCTGCCTTCCTCTCCGAGCGCCATCTCCACGGTCCGGAGATGGTGGAGGAACGTATCGGCAGCTACTAGCAGCGGCGAGAGCCCTTTTCCTTTAATAGATCGTGATATCCACTCGCAGGCCATCGGGTTCAGGCACAGTGTGCAAAGCAAGGCGGAGATATAGCCAAAGGCCACCAGGATTTGAGTCTGATCAATGGTCATGGCCTGGGATCGTCAGCATCGCACATCTGTCTTCACAGGTCAGTCAGAGGCTCGTACCTTAGATGTCTGGTCAACATGGCTGTTGAATATGTCCACCAGCCGGTCTACCATGTTCTTCCCATCCGCCGTCAACCTCAACATCCGCACTCGGGCTGCGTCCGAGCATTCAGCAAGATTGAGAAGACATCCCACAGCTAAGATCACAGATTCAAGCCGCGCATGGTCAACCTCTTGCTGGTTCGTTACACGCTTTGTTAATTCCAGAAATTGGTCCTCGATAACCTGAAAAACGGTGTAAACGACGCGTCCGTCGACTAAGGCGTCACAAGCTGTCGCATCGTTGTTGCTGAGGCTCACAATGAGTCGAAGGCATGAGTGCTCGATCTGCGGTTGGGTCTCATGAGCCTCCTTCATGACAACCGCCATGCTCTCGCCCAAGTCCACAATACGGGCAGTCGATAGCGTAGACCCCGTCACCTCACGGTTTGCACAGGCAATCTCCAGTATCGACAGCAAAAGTCGAATGGTCTCTAAATGTTCAGCCATCCCACCGCCTGTAATCATGTCCTGTGTCTTCGCGAAGTTCGTGAGAATCTCGTCAAGGAGTTCTCGTGGCAACTTTGGAAATGGTTCCTTGAGGGCGATGAGATTTCGCAGCGTAGATTCGATAGAACTAAGTATGGTTCTGTTAACAGCCACACAGGTTTGGTCCAAAAGCTTCGACCTCTTCTCCTCAAACTCGCTAACATCTTTGACCAGAGCCTTGGAAAGGTTCTGACTTCGGTCCTTTGCAAGTTTGGTCAATGACCGGGGTTCCGAAACGAGACGTGGAGGTAACTGGTAAAGGGCATTCAATATCTGCAGCACAGTCCTGGGTGATGAGCTTTCGGCCACACCTATGCAATGAAGAACGAGCGCCATCAACGTCGCGCTGACTTGGTCCAAGGATGCGTTGGCACAGTCCATGATGCGCTGGAGACCACCAGAGTCTTGGAAATGGCGCTGAAAGGACAGTTCGTCCAACTTGGTAACAAGCTGCAGGAGCCCTGGAACGCGTCGTGGTTTGGAACCTGATTCGACGTCTTCCAGGATGGTGTCCAATTCCAAGTCGAATTTTCTGATTGCACCTCCGCGTCTTAATTCGTGGATGCTTTTGATCCGGCTGAAAGAGTCAGCCTCATCACTGTCATCGTTGTCTAGTTCCATGTGCGACACGCCGCTGGTGAAGTTCAAAGCCTTCGACAATATCTCTTGCGAGGATGGATGGCTATTTGACGCCGAGTAGCCCTCCGAACTGTCGGCCATCTCGCTCAAATAAGACCTTTGCTTAGCGTAGGTGACTCTTTGACGTCCTGATGGAGCAGCAACGGGTCCATTGGACGGCTTCTTTTCCAGGTCAGAATCATGTTTCGTCAGACGCCTTGCCGGAACCTCTGCAAGTGAAACAGCATCGCCATTGGGTTCATTAAAATGTTGCTCATGTGATGAAGGACATGAAGAGGTGTCGATGCGTTGGGCGCGTGGAGCGTCGAGTCGGTCGACCAACCGAGTTCGCCCTGTCCAAGTAGGCCTGCTGGGCACATCTTCCATGTGCTCGTCCTCGGACGAACCCTGCAACTTTTGCGAGCTTGACTCAGGCGTCAGACGCAGAGTGGTTGGATGAAGATCACTTGGAGTGGGTGAGACCATGAGACTACCATCCGGGCCACGCCTCTTTCTCCTCGAAATGTCCGTCCGCGATGATTGTGATCTGGTGGAGGAATCTGATTCTTCGGGGGGCGAAACGCCAGAGACTTGGGGTTGGTGTGAGCAAGGTGCTTTTGAAGGGACAAGCTTGCCATGAGATTCTGATATGCCACTGGCGGGACCTTTGACTGGTCGCTTCAACCTCCGAACAATATTGGCTGATTTCGAATGTTCTCTCACCACGTTGGTATTCACGGGCTTGGGGTACAGCTTCTCTTTGACTCTCTCGTCCCTGATGCGCAATTCTTTCGTCTTCACCATGACGGGCTTGGGCTCTTCAGCCACCTGCATATCATTCTCCGGTTGACTTGCTTTGGTAGGTATAATCTTTCTCCTCTTCAACGCGTACTGTGGTTTGAGCCTGGTCGATTCCTCCTCAGAGGACCGTGCGTCGAACATAGTAGAGGATTCCGTTGTAGTGAAAAGCGATGGGGCGTTTGCACTCGATGGCTTTTCCCTTCCATCATCCGAATGATACATGTTTGCATTTCGCAACTCATTCTGAAGTTGAACATGAGGTGTGTGGGTGGTTTGTCTAGGCCGAGAGAGCAATGTCGTTCGCGCGGCGTCATCAAAAAGGTCGTGGACTCGGACCTTTCTCGCTGCTTTTCCGTACAGGTTCCCCCTTCGACGGGTTGAAGGGATGTCCATAGTGCCTACACGCGACTAGGCGCAGAGGTTGTTGTTTCATTCGCCGTCCTGGTTGTCTTGAGACGGACGCGGTGAGTGTGAGCGCTGTCTCATGTATCTTAGGTGCCTCGTATAAGATGTAGAGAACAAAAAGGCATTGTTTGACGAACTCAGCGCATATGTAGCCAAATTCTGCGCAATGCTGTTGATCTGGGATTGAAAGTTGACAAAGGACATGCGCACTGCCGTGAATTGCGGCTTTGGAGATGGATAGTGCCGTTAGAGGGCGATCTGGGTGCGGGGTGATGTCAACCAATAAACAAACCAACCCCTTGGCGTGTTTACTGGGGCGGCCACCCGGGCGGCCCCTGGAACTGGCCGTCATAGGTGCCCAGGGGAGAGAGCTTCCCGCCCGGAAGCTGTTCTCAGATCTTCCTCGGCACCACTTACAGTAACCAGATTTCTGCATGTGACGATGCCTGCAGCAGCGTAGCCAACCAACCCATCTGTAACCAGATCCCGGTCCATGAACAACAACTCCATACAATTGCACCACGCCAACTCACAGACCACCTGTCGTCGTATTCATTGCCAGTAAACTCAAAGCTCTATGAAGCCGCCTTGTTTTCTACTCCCACGATAGCAGTAGACGGATCTACGTCCAGACTACAGGTTCTCCCCCACCTCGACAGATAGTACCTCAAACCAAAGGCACACACGCTCTGAGCCTCCTTCTCCAGGTCACGCGAGCAGCCACGATCCCTATCCTTTCAGCTGTCTACAACAGTATACTGCGTGAAGATTATGGCTTCGATTCCGCGAGCCAACGGGGTCCAATCCCCCGCTGTGGGTGTTGGACCTTCTTATCGTCCAGAGGAGGAGAAGCCTACCGCTACTGTCTCAAAAAGCGTCGAGCAGGAGAATGTCCACGTCTTGCCACAGACCCCTCAGCTAATTGCTCTTCTGACGTGGGTACTACTATAAGAATATTTGGAGCAATGGAAACAATAGTGGCTGACTCGTTCAATCCAGCATGATTCGAGACAAGAACACGCAACGAGCGGATTTCATCTTCTACTCTAATCGAATCATTCGTCTCCTCGTCGAAGAAGGTCTCAATCATCTCCCTGTCGTTACACACACCGTCACATCTCCCGTGGGCAAGGACTATGTCGGGGTGAAATTTGAAGGGAAAATTTGCGGTGTTTCCATTATGCGAGCGGGAGAGTCAATGGAGCAGGGTTTAAGAGAATGCTGCCGTTCGGTGAGGATAGGCAAGATCCTGATCCAGCGCAACGAGGAAACCAGCAAACCAAAGCTGTTCTATGACAAGCTGCCTCCGGATGTCCACAACCGCTGGGTACTGCTCCTGGACCCCATGCTGGCAACCGGAGGCAGTGCAATCATGGCCGTCGAGGTTTTGAAGAGCAAAGGCGTCCCAGAGGACCGCATCTTGTTCTTGAACCTGATTGCCAGTCCCGAAGGTATCGAGAACTTTGCCAAAGAGGTGCCCAAGGTGAGAGTCATCACGGCCTTCGTGGACCAAGGCCTCAACGAGCACAAGTAAGTCTTTCGTATGTGCTGTCGAAAACGTTGTGCAACTAACTCCGGCAGCTATATCGTCCCTGGCCTGGGTGATTTTGGCGACCGCTTCTACACGCTATGATATGACGGGCAATAACATGAAAAGCGACTGCTGTCCAACTTTGCCGTTGATTGCTTGATTTCGACCAGTTCACCCACACACGTGCAGAGAGTGTTACTCGTTGGCGGAGGGAGATCTTCTTGCGACCAGACCAGAAGAACGACACAAAAAGCGACAAGTAGAAGTTAGATTTTGGAAGGCCGGTCTCCGAGAGCTCAGCGACGATATGAGACCCTGAATAGCCCAAGTTGTTCCTCACCTCAGCCTATGGATCATTACTGCTTGGTACAACTATCGAAGCACCTCAGCTGGCACGAGACGGGAGACGAACACAATTGGGCCTAGGATGCTCAGGGACGTTTGGACGATGAAGATGAAAAGAGCTGCCTCTAGTGTGAGAAGAAAGTCAATGAGCTTTGCAAGCACTCCCATCTTCCCAGTCTCCTGTTTTCTGCTCCGGTATTTACATAGCCTCCTCTCGCCATTGTTGAATCCGCAGATCGTGGAAAAGCCGTGGATGTACGCCCCCGTCCGCGCCCCTGTCCGCCCAACCCCTGTGTGTACTGGCTGTTGAAAGCCGTGTCAGAAGCGTCATCATACAATTCCTGTGGTCGTCGCGCGTCCATTGCCATCTTTTTTATGTCTCTCTATAATAGTCGTCTTTTTCCGTTTGTCTTCTTTTCCGATTTGTCAGTCCCATGTTTTTTTCCGTATCTCGTTTCTGGACACCCAACTCGTGGTGCAAGTAGAACACACGAGTCTAGATCTCTTCATCTTGTTTTTTAGCTAATGTTTTCCCTCCCTCGTTCCCCTGGTAGCCGGTGGAAAGGCCAAATGGGGGGCGACTCGCTCCTCTTTCTGGTAGTCAGTATGAGGCACGGGTCACTTAGGAGCCGGTGCATATTTATTATTAGTAGAGAATTCTCGTGAGGATCTTTTCCTTGACGCCTTCCAGCTCGGCATACAGCTCGGCCACTTGGTCCTCTTTGACGTTGCTGATGTCGGCCATCAGATACGCCACCTCGCCTCTACTATCGGTCATCTGCTTGTCGACGTTGTGGTCGCCCAGAAGGTGGTTGACTCTCCTCAGGACACCGGGGACGTTCTGATGGATGAAGATAACACGGGCGTGATCCGGTTCGTCCATTGTGAGCGAGCGCAGGGCAACCTCGGGCATGTTGACGGCGCCCACGGTTACGCCCTCGTTGACGTAGCGGACGAGCGCCTCGGCGACTTCGATGCCGATGGCGGACTGGGCCTCCTCTGTCGACCCGCCAATGTGGGGCGTCAGGATGATGTTCTTCAGGGACTGCAGGTCTTCCGCCCACGGATTCAGCTCGTTGTTGAAATAGTCGCCGTTCCCGCCGGGTTCCGCGGGATACACGTCCAAGGCGGCACCAGCGATATGGCCCGACCGCATCGCATCAATCAGCGCGGGGATGTCCACGACTGAGCCCCTTGAGGCGTTGATAAGGTAGCTTCCCTTCTTCATGGTCTCTAGCTCCTTCGCGCCGATCATGTTCATCGTCTCCGGCAGCTCTGGGACGTGGCAGGTTACAAAGTCGGCATCCTTGAGTAGATGATCGAGGGTCGGCACTTGACGTGCGGTGCCCAAGCCCATCAGGTTCACCACATCGTAGTATATCACGTCCATGCCCATTGCCTCGGCCAAGACCGACAACTGCGACCCGATGTGTCCGTAGCCGATGATGCCTAGGGTCTTGCCACGAATCTCCCAACACCTCGCAGAGACTTTGTTCCATGTCCCACGGTGCAATTCGTTGGAGCGATCGCCCAGTTGGCGAGCCAACGCGATGATTTCGCAGATGACTAGCTCGGCGACGGAACGGGAGTTACTGAAGGGCGAGTTAAAGACGCAGATACCGTGGGAGGCGGCATATTTCAGGTCGACTTGATTGGTGCCGATGCAGAAGCAGCCGATCACAATGAGGTTCTTTGCTGCTGCTAGCACGCGGGCAGTGAGCTTGGTCTTGGAGCGGATGCCGATGACATGTACATCCCTAGACAGTACGGTCTGGTCAGTCATGAGAGTCCAAGCAATAGAACGATGACTCGACTACTCCAACCGGGGGTCTCTTACTTGATCTTCTCGATCAACTGATCCTCTGGCAAACTCGACTTCAGGGCCTCAACCTGATACCCCTGACCCTTGAGTATATCCCGGCCTGTCTGGTTGACATTCTCCAACAGCAGAATCTTGACGTCCTGTTCGCGGAAGGGCTTTAATTGCTTAGGCTGAGGGCCCGTTACGGTTCGCCTGAGCCCAGGAGAGGTTCCGCTGATGTTGTCGACGCCGAAGGAAACTTTGCGGGTATGGAAGGTATCATTGGGGGAGGTGGACATGGAGAGACTGCGCGACACTTCGCGACGGAGGGTGTTTTCTGACTCGCCATTCTGCTGGATGCGAATGCCTTCTGAGAGGTGTGACGCAGGCATGTTGACAAGGTGCCCGTGACACTGTGAGTAGAAAGAGAGAGTGTGTGTGTGCTAGGTGTTGCCAGTGACTATGGGAAGGGCATATACTGTAGATAGCAGATCAACTGGTATAAGAATTCAATGACTCCGCCCCGCCGGTTTGCGGCACAAAATTTTGGCAGCGTCGGGCTGATGACGTGACTTTTTCTCGTATTTTGTTTGGCTTCAGCCTTGTTCGATTCTCCGCATACCAAGGGAGGAAGACAAGGCTGAGCTGTAATTACAAGGTGTGATTAGTTAGTTGATCTCAGTCTCTGATGGAAGCTGGGACCTGGAACCTGGAACCTGGAATCATAATATCTTGGTGCTATTGAAATTGAACTCTCTATCAACCGCTGATGGAGACTTTCGGCCAGGTTTCGTCCCTCTTGTCTGTTCCATGCTAGCCTATTGAACGTCTCTCTCTCTTCCACTGATTCCTGCGAATTAGACCTCCATTTGGTGGTCGCCGCTTTCATCGTGCTCCTGTTGCTGTTGTTGCTGCGACCCCCTCAGGATTTCCATCTTCTCAACCTCTCCTTGTGGCACCTCGTGTCGGTTGATCCAGCTCAGGATTCTCCATATACCGACAAGCAATTCCTTTCTTTGCTCGATGTCAAACAGATCCAGCCACGGACTCCTACTGACGTAGAGGATGTTTTCTTGCCGTTGATCCATGTCTGCTGTGCCTGCAGTCTCCTGGGTCTGAGGCCGTGATCTCGCATCCCCGCCAGTCTCTAGCCAGTCCAAATAACTCTCGTGCACACTCATCTTCAAAATGCACACGTGGTGGTTTGCAGCCGATATCATAAAAATGTCGTCCCAGCCAGGTGATCCTTCATCTTGCCTTCGCTTGCCAATTCTCCGATGGATCAGCTTTTCGTCCCAGTAAGGTCCATTTGGGCGGATTTTCAACCACTCTTGGTACCACTTCCGCCGCACGGGCGGGACATACATCAGTCGTCTCCCGTCCTTATACTCGGCTTTGTCTTTCGGCGAGCCGCCCGCTTCGCCACTTTTCTTCTTCTTCTTTGGTCTCTCGCCAGGTGAAGACGGGCCAGACATTAGGTCTTCTGGTTGGAGATTCTTCAAGTCGGCTGCGGTGGCGGCCTCTGCTTTCCTGCGTTCCTCTTCTTCTTGTCCCCGTCGTTCAAGCTGTAATCGCCTTTCGTCCGGACTCCAGCTTGGATCTTCATCCTCAAACACTTCGCTGGCCAACTGGCCCCATCTCATCTCGCCGCCACCCCAACGACTCTTGATGGCCCACCATTGATACTCGCTCGGTTCTTTGGATAACGTCTGCCCGTCTCTTGCTCTTTGCTTTGCGAGCATCAACATACCGCCGATTTCGCGAAACAGATCAAACCTTTCGCCGACAAAATCACTCGTCGGACTCAGGAGCCCGTCCCTCGACTTGAATCTTACCTCGGGCCTGCAGTGAACTGCCATCAACGGCCCTTCCACCATCCTCGCCCTTACCAACTTCGTGTCCGCCGGTAGTTTTGCAACACAAAAATTATAGGACACGGAGGGGATATTGATGTTGTAAACTCTCAACTTCTCTCGCGGACTCACGTCGTAATCTCGGCAGTTAAACTTGTGGACGGCCATTTTCAGAAGGTTCCTGATTGCTGAAACCCGGGTCCCTGGACTCATCTGCTCGCCGTTCCCCAGCCGCTGTCCCTTGTATACCTGCTTCATCTTTGGGTGGCTGGGCATCTCGATCGGGGCCATAGGTGCCGAACTATCGGGGGATTGGTTGGAATTTGCCGTTTGCTCAAGGTCTTGTGCGGAATTTTCGGAGTTCTCGACAGAGTCTCGCATCTCAACATCAGCTGCGTTCTTGACATCCTTCTCGACATTGTCAGTCTTGCGATTGGTGTCCTTGGCCGGATCTTCTGTGACATTAGATTCGACTTCGTAATAGTTGTCTTTGCTATAGTCCCAGTACCGACTCATATCCTCCAAACTAGCAAAAAAGTTTCTTGAGTATGCCAGACGGGGCTTCTTCCTCCCTTCAAGAGGTGCGAGTCTGAGCACTTCTCGATATGCATCTTCATTACCGACTTCAAGTTCCTCCAGCATCGCTGTTAGATCACTGTCGTACAGCAGTGGACGGGACTCGAATTGCTTGTCGGACACCAGTTCTGGAAGTGGCACATCTTGGAGCATTTGGATGTTGAGATGGGCGAGGTGAGAATCACGGATGTCGGATAGTTTGCGAATCGATGCCAGTTCTCTACAGACATTCTTGATATGTTGCCGAGTCAATGGACTGTTACAGCGTGGAGGGACGTAGTTGGGGAACTCTAGAGGAATAGGCTTTGGCGGTGGGTTCCGTTCTCTCTCGAGAAGACCATCTCCTGCGGCGCCTGTCAGAGGTCAGTGCGTGGCTCCCTCATCCTCAGTCCAGACATGCGACAGCTGACGATGAAGTGCCTGATCTCAAGTCGCAGCAGATCAAGTCCATCAAGGAGCAGGTCCCAACGCAGAACCCATGTCTTCGGAGGCCAACTTCAATCCGGTACTTTGACCACCAGAAGACTCTGGGTCAAAGACACGAGTCAAAGTCGAGACCATGTTAGAATAGACTCGTTTCCGGACATGAAGCGATTTCTGACACCAAAGGTGGAGCGGTGGCGTCAAGTCTTCGATGCCAGATCCGTACACCGTTCCAGCACAGGATGATGTGGGCAATGTGATATGGTTGAATTTCTACTCACCGACAGCAGCCCAGCTGACTCCAAACATGATCACAGGAGTGCCGTGTCGAAAAGTCTTAGCATGAAGGTGCCGAGGCTCGTGGGATGCTGTTCTCAACGGCCGGTCTAGGGCACTATCTGAGACTCGGGCACCAGATCTCTGGCTATTGCCGTCAGATTGGCAGATGGTGCGGGGTGGGTGTTGAACAGTTAAATATCGATTGCAGCCTGGATCGAGCAATTCAATTAGGACGGCACGAGGACAGCCGTGGCCTGCAGCATTCCCTGAAACGGTGATAGCAAGGCTCCAAGTCGAAGCGGGATGCGCAGATCTTCAAGCCAGAGTAGAAGTGACCATTGGGCTGTTCAGCACCGGCGCGAAGTCGACATCAACCCTGGTGACCTAGTGTTGTATCCGGGGGGAGGCTGGTAGGCGTCGTCACACCTGGCGTTGCAGTAGTGGATGCAGAAGAGGCTTTGCCAATTTTAGGGGGACATCTGGAGAGGAAGGCTTTGGTGACAGGGGCACCTGCATAGTGTCGCAGGTCGGTGTATGTAGGCAGTATGCGGGTTGGATAGTGTCCGTGTCCAAGTGGACGGCGATGCCTCTTAGCCCGAGAGAGGGTCTTTCAAGGTCCTGTAGGAGTGCCAGGCGAACAACCAGCCAACCATGCCAGGGATAATCATGGATCACCCGCCTGACCTAGTGAGCTGCTCAACGACGACGAGGTGGCTTCCATGTTAGAGAGAGCTAATATTTTGGTTGCCGGAATAAATGTAGAATAGACTACCGTTTACAAGCAATAATATGGGGAGTGGCTTCTACTGGAGCAGCAGCATGCCGCCTCCCAAGCGCCGTCACTACGGTCGGACCAGACGATATGTGGTCTACGCTTTCAAGGAGCTAAGAAAGGTCGTGGAGATCACAATGGCAGTAGAAAAAAAACCCCGAGCAAGACCAAAGGAGCCACAAGTCACCTCGTTGATCCGGGCCCCTCGTTGCTTTATGGTGACGGCTATTGAAACCACTGTCCCCCCATGTGAAGCCATGAATTCTGTGCCAGGCCCATAGGATGTCCCCTTGCCCTGTCGTTTTGGTTCAACATCTCCGCCTGGGTGTGCATGCGGTCGTGGTGCAGAAGCATGTGTGTGAGATTGTCCTCCCGGCCAGTCTCCCCATACATGCTCAACATGTTGCTCTTCACACAATCATCTCACGTCTCTCTTCGCCATCTCTCGATAGCCCTCTATTCCTGCTGTTGCTGCTTGGCATCCTCTTCGGCTTCGCCAGCAAGTGCATTTCTCTTGGTCTGAATACGTTCCTGTCTCCGTTCACGAGCAGCCTTGGTCTTGGCACGTTTGGCGTCCATCTCCTCCTTGAGGATTCTCTCACGCTGTTTCTCGGCCTTGGCCTTGTGGATCTGGGATTGTATGTGTTAATTTCCATCCCTGAGATGAGCGAGCGTGAAAAGTTTGGGGAGACATACATGTTCAACCAAAGCACGCTTGTGCTTGAAGGTGTTACCCTTGCTCAACTGGTAGAGTTCGTGGTAGAGGTGCTTGTCAATCTTGCCGGCAGCACGGTACTTGACGAGGAGACGGCGGAGGACACGCAGGCGTCTCATCCATAGAACCTGGCTGTGAGCCGATGGCCGTCAGTCCAAAGTCCTCCAGTGGGTGGCAGATCGGTCCTCGCTAAGATTGGGGTCGTTTCATCATACCTAGGCATGCGAGCATCCTTCGTACCCTTTCTCTTACCGAACCCTCGGTGTCTGCCAATTCTTCTAGCCGCATTCAACTCTCTCGCACGAGCCCTCGAATGCATGGCCACCGGCTTGCGGATGATGAGTCCATCACTGACGAGTTTTCGGATGGTCTGTCGCGAATTGGCATTGGAGATTTCATTGACTTCATTGGGATCAAGCCAGATCTTGCGTTTGCCGCAGCCGACAACAGACGCCGCGAGGCGCTTCTGGGTGCGGAGGTTCGTCCTGCGAAGATTGATGTATCAGCTTCAGAACTTTCATCGTCGGCGTCATGCACTTTTCCACCGCACAAAAACCCCGGGGACGAAAATTGAAAGCCCAATCCTCGATGAAGTTGAGCCATCACAGACAGAGAGAGCGCCGCACTTACATATTGAGACGATGACTGGAGAGCGGTCGGAGTCGTGGGTTGCAGATAAACCTCGATCTCGTGGAAGAGTCAAGTCAATCGACGGGAACAAATTCATGGTGCGCCAAGCTTGGCAGTATTCGCGCTAATCCATATTCAGCCAATGAGGGGTATCTTCATCAGGCTTCGGCCACTGTTTCTTGGCAAGGCTGACTTTTGATATCCCTCCCATGGCAAGCCTCAACGTGCTCAACAGCCCAAGCGCTGCACGACTACCTGCTCTTCGCGGTGACCAGAGACGCCTCGTAATTAGAAATAGAGCTTTTATTGTATTCGACATGTCATGAGTGGAAGTCCCACGATAGGGGAGACAGGAGCCATCATTCCTGCAGCGCCTGACCTCTACTGCACACCCGAGGGCAGTCCTAATCCTTGACACATGAAAATTAACGGGACTCTCTCAGTTGTACATGTCATTGACAAGGCCCAGCAGCCGCATGTAGTCTTGCTCTCGTTCCCGCAGCCAAGAAAACATCTCATCGGGCGCCCTTCAGAATCATAGCTGTTCATCCGTCCCAAATCATAATCCATCCACGCGTATATCGTTCCCTCATACACAACAAGAAAGCAGAACATCTAAGCCCGTGAAATTCAACCCTGCCCCAAACAGCCGGAAATCGCAAACAGAAATCGTGATTTTCGCCATCTGAAAGCGCTCGAAGGAGATCGTTTCGTAAAGTCGTTAAAAGTCGAGGAAGCAAACCGTGCACGCTTGTTCCGTTCGTTAGTCTTTAATCTTTTTGGCGCTAGGGCCGTCGTAAATCTCGTAATCGCTTTTTGGAAATATATCGTGATGTGGCATTACCTCGGGAGTAGAGCCCATCGACAGGCGCAGGTCAGCTTTTCCACTCCTCACACGTCTCCAACATGGACAAGAGTCTTTTTGACGAGGACATAAGACTTTTACCGTTGTCCGCCTGTTTTGATAGCTTGCATGTGGGGAGGCGTGTTGAGGGGCATGTTGTACGTCTCTTGACGTGCTGTCTTGCGCCGTTTCGCGTCGTAACTGTCGTATTCTCGGCTGCTAGGACGGTCTTGATCATCGTCTTCTCGCCCGCGTTTCACTGATGACACGTTCGCAGAATGACCGGTGGCCCCATATGTCGGATTCCCGTAGCTGTCAGTTGGCCCTCCTTGTGGAGTGCGATCCCGGCCCATGACATTATATACAGTGCTGGAAGTGGGGGGTCGGGGTGGAGTGTTATAATCTCCTGTCCATTGTGGTTGTCCTGCAGGCATGGTCCTAGGTGTCGCGTGACCGGAACCAGCCTGATGCGTTGGAGAGTTCGTCATCTGCTCCGGGGACATGTGTGGATGCTCTCCAGTAGCACTATACGTGTACTGTCGGCCCGTGCTGTAGGCAGAGGGATTCGCGCTCATGTAGCCGCTGTCTGGATGGTCACTTTCATGTTGAGATGAGTGGCTCTGCGTGGTGTACGCATCAGATTTCACGTCATGCCCGTCGGCTCCAGCACCGGCGCTTCCAGGGGCAATTGGTGGGCCCATATCAGTCTTCCCGTACGGGACAGTTTGCATGGGGCCGTACCGGCTTCCGTCTGGATGGTGCGCATAACCGGTCTGAGAGCTGGGCGTAGTGCTATAGTAGTGTTTTGAACTCTCGTACCCCGACTGTCCGGAATAAGATTGCATCCCTTGCCCAGCAGTTCCGGGTGGAGTTGTCGCAGGTGTTGTAGGCATGGAACGAGCGTTCATGCCGGTGTCGATGGAAAGAGGCTGCGCTCCTGGTGCACCATTCGTCAAGCCCTGGGTGCCCCAGTCATACGAAGTGCCTTGGCTGCTCATCCCCAGCACACTTGAAGCGCTCGTCGGAGGAGTGGGGAAAGTGTGTGCACGGTCGATGCCAGGACGTGGTGCATTCGGATGCGGAGCAATTGAGTGCGGTGTGGGCGGAGCTTGACCTGGACCCGGCATGCTATTGTGATGTTGGAGAGCCGGCGGCTGGGATTGGGATGGACGAGTGGAATCGACGCTGTCCATCCGACGCCGCTGCTCTGTTGCTTGCTGGACTGCATTAGTCCGAGATGCATTCTCAGGATTGTAGAGCAGGCCGCCGATATTGTGCACGAAAAGTGGGTACAGCAGATCTGTAATCTTTTCCTTGTTGGCAAAATCAAGGGCACGTTCGAAAGGTATCCTGCACGAAATTAACAGATTGCTTCAGCTTTAGACATAAAAGAGACTTACCAGACTCCTTTCAGATGCATAGGCCCGATTTTAACCACATGTCGGGTTTTTTCAGATTTCAAAATACCGTCTCGGCGTCCACGAGTCATTCCAGCAACATTGAGCAACTTTGTCCCGTTGATGAAGTGGTTATCTGCAAAACAAATAAGCATGGGTAACGTTGACAAACTGGGTTAAATCAAGCGTTACCTTCGCGGCGAGCAACACACACCCCCTTCGCCTCTACTTGAAAGCACAGGCTCCCTTCGTCTTCCCACAGCGTTGCTGTTACCCTTGGCTTCATGCCTGGGGGAGCAATCTGGCCGGTAGTATCAAAAGGCTGCTGCTGCTGAGGAAACCCTTGGTTTGGAGCAGGCAACCCCGCCGTTTGAGCCACATAAGGATGTTGAGAGCTGGGTGCACCAGTCATGATAGCTTTTACATGGTCAGAAAGGATACACATTTTATCATCTCATAAGCATTGAGCTTACCAGGCAGTGATGTGATCTGAGATACTTGCTGCGGTACGGGACCGGTGGCAGACTGTGGAGAAGTAACACCGTTTGTATAGGCATAAGTCCCATAGGTCGGAGGCGGGCCGTAATGTGACGACGCCGGAATTGGAGGTTGCTGATACTGCTGATAATGGCCCAAGGGTGCTGTGGAACCCGCGTGGGAGTATGATGGTCCGGAAGATATGTGAGAGCCGGGATGCATATCCAGGTACGACTGCGTTTGATTCATTTTGGATCACTTTGCGTCAACCACCAATATTTGCTCGATGAGTTACGTCCGCCCAAAGCTAATCACAAGCAAAGGACAATACCTCCCCGAGATAATCAAGTTTTCGATGGTCTGGGAGCCTGGTTCCTCGCGCCTCTTGGATCAACCACAAGAGGAACGGCTTTCTTTGGACCAAGAGGCACAGCCTGAACAACCGAAATCCACGAAATATATCCCCGCCTCTTGATGCGGTTCTCGGATTTTTGGCTCGCGTTGAGATTAATCCGCGAGCGTCAAAGATTATTACCCGACCGTTCAGCAAGGGAACTTGGTATGCAGGTTCCAAGTCGGATGACCCCGGGCGAGAAGAACGAGCTTGATGAGGGGCGTCCCCGGCTCACAATCGAGCCTTATCGTCTATAGGCGGAGAGGTCGTTAACGACGCCGGCAATTTCTTCTTCAACCAAGAAGACCAAACTGCGGACGATGTTCCTGGGGGGCATGCACGAGTGGACGCAGCGACGGATGGTCCAAGACGCTTGGGTGCCTTCCGAGTGGTGATACTGGTAGTGGCCGTTAATTTTCTGTTGAGCTTTTCGGCGCGGGAACGAGGCAACGAAAGAGCGTCGTCAATGGGATCGCAAACTGCGCAGGTGGGCAAGACGTTAGCAAGTATTTCATGACAGGAGGTTGTGCAGCATGCAGGCACATGGAGCATGCAGCACGGATCAGCAGAAAAAAGCAGCAGCTCGTTCAGGTTGTTGTGCGGACTACTGGGGGTACGGGCAGCGGACTTTTTCGCTTCGCAGAGGCTGATGGCAGACTTTTCTGCGGCGGTTTCTGAGCACATACCGAACAACTGGAGAACGCTTCTCAAACATGAACTTGAAAGCACAATCGTGACGCGCAATTAGGCCATGACTATTGACGGGCGGACAGCAGACACCTGGATTGGGGGTTGCAGGAAAGATGGTTCAATGGAGATCTGGAGAAAAGAGGCAACGAGGTTTGAGAAGCAGGTAGGATGCAGAGACGCAGACGGTGTGCAGTAGCCGAGCGGGAGGACAAGAAGGTGTGCGCAGGTGGTGCATTAGAGCAAAATAGGCAGAGGGCCAGAGGTCCAGAGGTCCAGAGCAGGGTGGAGGGACTGGGGGGGTGGTCAAGTTCAAGTCAAAGGCCAGAAGCCAGAAGCCAGAAGCCCAGCAAAGAGGCAAAGAACAACGCCGAAGCCGCTGGCTCTTGATCTCATCCCCCTCCTCCTCCAAGGGCTTGTCCGTTAACCTACGCCCGCTAACTGGCCACAATTCAGCGTGGGCGGTGCATGATTGGCACCAGATTGTTCCCTAACTTGCCTAGGGGAGTCCTTCCCTAGAGACCCACTAACTCTAAAGCCCCCGACCTCCAGCAGCAGCAGGGCCCAAGATGCCCGACCACTGCCCAGCAAGAGATGGGTCCACTTCCAAACATGGGCCTTTTGCCTTACTGACCAGCCGCAGGTGGTCGGTGATCCATGATCCACTCCTCCACCCACACACCCTCTCGCACCACACTCACACACAGACCATGCTCCCAAGCGTGCCGAAACTTGCGACTTTTGAACGCTCCACGAAAGGTCAAACCAAGACCCACGGCCGGCGGACCCAGGCTGCCAATCGCAGCCGGAAAACGGCTGGCTCGCCTTTCTCCTTCCGTGACGGAAGTTACTCTCCTCTGACAACGACGGCCTTTCTTGACCAAATAACGTTGCACCCTGCCCATCACGTCGGCGGGCTTAAGGACAAACTTACAATTACCATTGACCTTTTGACGAGCCCGCGAATTTTCCTGCCACCCTGCCTGGGCCTCCGTGACCCCGTGGGTGATTCAGAAATTCAGAAAGAGCCGGGGAACGATGACGGCGTCAAGGGCGCAACTTACACAGTACGTACAGGACGGCCAACAACCGAAACCTATGTGGGTAATATATTCGTCTTGTGCAAGTATAGGAAAACTAGGGATAGCAAACCCTGTACGTATGAGTAGTGCTACGGGTAGAGGAGGTTAGAATCCTTCTCACTGCGGAGCACTTACACCAGGCGCCTTACTCGGAACTACTAAATTCTCATCAAGGGCCTTCTTGGAAGCTCTTAAGCGCCCAAGTTTGAGCCCCAGGCGTTCCCAGGTGCCAGCGGTGCGCCTTGCTGGCCAGCGGTGGATTCTGGATATCCCCAAGCAGAAGCAGCCATCGTCGTCAGTCAGGCGCTTCTGGAGCCAGCACAGGAATGCGTACATACCTGTACTGTATGTTGAAGAAAAGGGTAGGGCAGTTGTATTCGACCTCAAAGGGCAAAAATTCAATTCCTTGGGACTCCCCCAGCCCTTCGACAGAGGCGTCGCATCCAGTCAGCGCCGGGTCCACCCAGAGATGGTCAATTGGACTTCTCTGCAAGCCACCAGGAGCACAACCGACCCTAAAGTCCAGGACTGGAACCATGACCGCGAATCCATCACCACCACCTGGCACCTGGCATACTTCCTGCCCCCCTCCCCGTACCGCCTATGCCTATCATCAGTTCAGGCTCGGGAGAATCGTCACCTTATCACGGGCAGCCCCCAAGTTCCCCAACCAGCGTCGTGCAAAAATCGCCTGGCCACTTCCTCCAGTCCGACGCCAGGGCCCACGCACCGCCCGAGTGTGGATGTTGGAGGGGAGAGTAGCGCTCTTCCTTTCTCTTCCAGGCCCTTGCCGTCTATCAAGAGTTGCGCCCCCCAGGTCCGGCCCTTGGACAATCCCAGTGCGACATTTTCACCTCCTCTCACGTTACGAGCCCAGCCTCTGTTTCGCTCAAAGTTCTCGTCTCGACGTTACTCAGGGGATGCTCATTCAAATTCCCAGGTCTGAATTTTAATTTGGTCGGTCTCGACGAAAAGGCTTGTGCCACAATGTCGGACGATTTCCAGGTGGCACCAACCAACAGCAGTATGTCCCTCCATTGCTTCTGCCGGCGGAGTCGCGCTTAGTCCGGAACGGAGAGCCACGGTGCCCACCCTGCAGTGAAGGGTGACGATAAGGTGACGATGGGCAAGGCGTTCCGTTTCCCCCTTGTTGCCCTGGTTGAGAACTTTCCAGGTCCCCTGCTCCTTGTCGCTGACTTGCGGATGTGCAGACTGTTCAGCCGCGGTAGCTCTCGCGTCGCAAACTCTGTGGCCCGACTCTGTCTTTCCCATACCCTGAAAGGCCACTCGATCCTGTGCCCCAGTTGCCCGTGCCTTCGCGGTATCATGCCGCGACCTGTATCCCGGCCTCGGTTAAGAGACCACGAGTGTTCGACTTGCTCCTCGACGAACGCCAGATTGGGCGTATCTGCCGGGTCTTCCAGGCGCTAACGTGAGGTACAGCGGTAGTCAGCTGCGCCATGAAGTCCCCGAGCGCGTACCTAGTGCCCACGAAGCTCGTCTATTGTGTTTGCTTCAAGTCGCCTTCGTATGAGAGCAGCCACGGCTCACCGTCCCATGCAGAGACAAAAGAGATATTGCAGAAGCAACTGCTTGGGTTCAACCAAGTCTCAGTCGGTCTGTACAACACACCATTGTCTGACCTTGGGTGTCAAAGAGAACCCGTGAGTCGATTCAAAGCCCTGCTCTTGAGCGCTGATGGCATCATCTGTCAGCTTGTGGCTGGCCAGTGCGACTTGGGGCCTCAAGTCTCCAAAAGTTTCAGGTTTAGCCTACTCCATCTGCTGCGCGTCATGGCCCAGCCCGACTGACTGCCTTACCGTCGACCAAGATGGGCGTTCCTGTTCCCTCACACGGAGTTGTACTCCGCGGTCTCAAAGGAAATAGTGGCATCGACATCGGGTCTCCCAGCCTCATCAATTAATCACGAGGATCGGCCAACTGCCTTTGATGAAGCTCATCTCCGAGCCTTTGCTCACTATCGATCCCGTCAGGTTGGACGTTACTCATCCTCGCCCCAACAACGAAGAAGAGTGGCCCGGATACCCCGGTTAGGGACAATGATACCAAGTGGTTACCGGATGATAGTGGTGTCGACTCAGGGTTCATGCCGCCGCCGATCCCCCATCCATCCCTTAACGAGCATTTTCTGGAAAGAGGATCAGGGCCAATAATGCTGCCAACCTCCTTGACGGAGCATTTAGCCAAACCCCAACATGCTGGGCGCTCTGGAAAGTTCCAGTCCAACGTCGTTCTAACACGTGTGCTTTCAATCACAAACCCTGCCTGACGACTGGCAATAGAGAGCCAGCATCGTGAAGTTAGAGATGATTTTGTGCGGCTTTTGAAAGTGTTCTGCTCGGTGGCGAATTGATGCTGAGCCATTCCGTATATTATCGGCAAGGGATCTTCAGCGAGAAGTGCTTGCTTGCATGCGGGGATGCAGACGGGGTGTTCCCGCTGTGCATGTGTATCCGCTACGAATTTAAGGTCGCATTGCATCTTGAATCTATCTGGATCCAAGATGCCAACCAGAGGCATGCAAATGCAAGATCACCGGGCTTCCTCAGGCCACGGTGCATGGACAATGCACCAACTCCTGTCAACATGCACTCCCTTCTAAAAGCTTGAACTGTATGCAAGGACAGGCGTCAACAGCAGATCTGCCGAGTGTCCTGGACGGTCCACATCGGCACCCGGCCTTCGTCCGATGACGGCTCCATCATGCACACCCAGGCCTGGGGTGAAGGCCTCGAGAGAATAGTGGCACATGCGACCATTGAGCATTTCAGCCTCCCGGTAAACATGGTACGGGCAAGCAGGGCATGATGCCGCCGGCTTCTTTCTCTGTGTCACAAAGCCCCATCGGTTACGCCTCTTTGTACCAGTAGAGACATCCGTTGGGGTCTCGATTTAGGGGTTTGCTTCCACGCATCCCGGGATCAAATGGCAGAGGAGGAAGGAGATAGCAAACTGGGAAGGAATGTCCGTTTCAAAGCGATTGGCATGGTCGCCGAATTCGAAATCCGTGCAAATGGCCCAGCCGGCTTGCCGCCCACATCCCAACAAGTTTTGATGTGTTGTCAATCCATGATTTGCAGAAGAAAATCCCAGCAGCCCACTCTCGGACTGGCTTCGACCAGCTTCGGCTGATGCAGCCCAATCGGTGTCGTGGGAGCCCGGGTCAGCTTCGCGAGGATCGCTCGATCAGCAATGATTACTCCGTCGAGCACGTATCGAGAAGTTCTGAACGGGGTGCCTTATCCCTAGTGCTTCTCCAGCCAAAAGAGTTCTCCTGATGTGGAGTTCCCCATCGTGACAAAAGGGTCTCTCTTTCGCGAGCTTCTTCGGGAAGCACTGGGTTTGAAGAGGAGGCTGGGCCCTAGGGTAAGTTTTGGTGTGTGGGCCGATGTGTGTGCTGCCGGACATACCCTCGCCCTTGAGGCCGCCATCCCAGAGCCGGATCATTTTGCGTCTGCGATATTCAGCCTTTCTGTTCCGCCGTTGCATTGGCATTGCACTGCATCCCCTGTTTACTGCAGGTCTACGATCTTGCATCGATCGCCTGTGCAGGATGCACTGCGTTTGAGAAGTCTATGCCGATCCATTATCGCCGCCAGAGGGCTGTGCCGGGCTAGTAGCACCAGCTTCCTCTCGCTTAGGCGGCGAAGGAGAGAACAGGCGAGGAAGAGCAGCCCCTTCTGGAAAAGGCGAAGACGGCTCTTCCAAGAAGGTCGACGGAGGAGGAGGCCCTGGTGTTGCCCCCCTTGTTTTGGATTCGCAAACATGACCACGGCCCATTGACTGTGATTGGGCCAAATACTATCGGGAAAATCAACGGAAAGACATTTCCCCCTACTCATGCACATCATCACAGCTGCATGACGATCACTGCGAGGGCATTGCAGTGCAGTACCTGCGACATGGCCTGAGGAAGGGAGGCGATCCGACCTTGCTCCATCAAATCTCGCAACAAGCAAGGCGAGAATGTCTTGCATTGTCAGATCAAGCTCTCCAGTCTCACTTCCCATGCCCCTGGCATGGCACGACAAGTGGTAGTCCGTACATTATGTTGGGTCAGCTCTGTTATACGAGGTGTGGGCTTTGCCTTGAGTTCTCCGCTGGTCCCCGCGGTGGATGAAGGATTTTCAATCAGACGCGACACTTTGGCGATCCAGCCAGCCCAACACCGATCAAGAAGTCCAAGACTTTGACTCAAATCTTTGTTTATATTATCGAAATAAACGTCCCTTTCGAATCGGATCAATCCCAACGAAGGCAATTAGCCTACAGGGTCCAAGGCGCCCAAACGTTCCAGAGATGTTCCGCTTTCCATGGACGGCGGACTGTTTGCCACTGGAGCCACCATCACGCTGTCGTCGATATGGCACTCTACTGGTCCGCACAACTCATTTGTCTGAAATGAAAGGGGACGACGACCGCGTCTCGTCAAGACCAACCCCGTTCGTTCCATCCCTTGCGTTGGTGAAAGGGATCACATTTACGACGACGAACGGTGGAATTACCCGCATGGCCACGACAACTTCTGCGTCCAGGGGCACGTGGAGGTCGATTTGGGTTCATGACAACGACAGTGTCAATCCCACGATTCAACAACCATTGGCTTTCGATCATCGAGGAGGGACTCAATTTCTCTATCGTTGATAAATTTGCTTAACCCCTTGGAATGCCCCTGTCACCTTGGCTCTTTTCCAGCCTTCCCCGAAACTCTTTGCTGCACATTTGGGTCTAAAAGATGATCACCACACATTCTCCCTTGTGTTCCAAAGGTAAGAATCGGTACCCTTCTGCACTAACTGTTACCCCTGATCGTTTGCTACCTACGGGTGATTGGACATTGCGGCACTTCGATTTAGCCCACGACGCCATCAATCTTGTACTACGTCTCGGACTACTCATGCTTTTACGAGTATGGAAGGATACCCCACATCCGTAGCGAAATAGCTGGCTGACGATGCTTCCTTACGATCTGCCGGGAGCTGTTGAGGACGAGACAATAGCATTCACCAAGTCAGACGCAACCTAGCCGGAACTGCTTTTGACTTATCGTCCGGGTCTCGGCGAAGATATACATGACATCCGGAAGGTTGCTTCCATATTCACAGAGGCGACTGGCTAAGCACAATTCATGCCTCACGTACTGCGATTTTCTTTAACCCGCTCTGAACGGACGGTTTTTGCCCAGTTGTTTCTTTCTCCTGTGTTTGGTTGGCGCACTTTTCCCTCACCGGCTCATATCGAGATAGGAAGCCATCGTGGCCGAGAAGCTGTTAGTTCCTTGTTTGAGGTCTCTTATCTGGGTCACCCAAAGAGCTGCTCACCGCCCAGTGACTCCTGATGACCTTGCCCCAACTGCAAAGTTGCGACGGAAGAGTTGTCGGGTGGTGTGGACCGTCGTAGAAATAACATTGACACGTTCAAGTCCCTGGAATGACTCTGCGGACAAGGACAACAAGTGAATAGAGCCATTTATCCCTGGGCGGAAGAATGCTTTTGTGTCAGAAATTCAATATTCCACGCTGTGTTGGCCGAATGCATGGCGCGTCGCCGATAGAGCCTTTGCTGCTCATATGCTTGACGTCGTATCCTCCAGCCGTGGTGTCTTTTTGACATCATGAACCCTTCCCAGTTGTTTTGCGTGAGCATGATTTCGTGCCACGGGTGACCCATGATAGCTCCATTTTGCCCAGAGATATTCCCATACTCCTTAATAATGTCATGATAACTTTTCTTGCAAGGTAACGCCACGCCACACCACGCCTCGCTATGCCATGCCATGTCCTGTGAGAAGACAGTACACGCCACTGCTCTTCACGCTCGCTACGGAAGCTCACTCTTCCCCATCGTCTGCGTCTTCGTCTTCATCATCGGCACCCCTGCCACCAGCGGCTCCAGCCCCTGCTCCAGCCCTCCCGGATGTCGCGTAGCTGCTGAACTTCGCATCTTCCTCGGCCTCGTGTGTCGCCGCCTCCTTGGCCACGTCTTCACACGCGTCGATCCAGTCCGAATAGACGTCGACCGCCGCGCTCAGGTAGTTGATGCCGGTCTGGAATTTCTGCCCGCATATCTTGCAGAAGAGGTTGCCCACGCCGGCTTTCTTGTCGAGCTTGACTTGGATGGCTTTTTCGTGATTGCAGAAGAGACAGGTGAACGTTGTAGCGAGGGGTTCGCGCTGCCAGACGGGGAAGGGACCAATGTTAGCGAGTTTAAGGTAAACAAAATGAGTAGTCATCCAGTGGTCCTAACGATGGGCTGCCTGAGCTGGAATTTGGAGATGTACTGACTTTCCTGGGACCTTGAGGTTTGCGAGAAGACTTCTTGCGTTTCCCCTGTGCCGACAACGTTAGAACAGAGGCTTGCCTCGAGATTTGTGACGACTCACCATTTCTGGTCGATTATCGACAATCTCAGAGGTGGAGCGGTCAATGGGAGTCCACAGTCCAAGTGACAGGGTGAACAGGGGCGACAAGAAAGAGAGGGAGAGAGGGAGGGAGTTGAGTGATGGGCTCGGCGTCGATAATGAAGAACCTCAAAAGGAAGCCGCAGCCTCGTCACTTGTCACTTCCCACCCATCTCCGCAGTCACGTGCCATCGCCAAGTCTTATCGTTATCGCGACATCCTCCGAGGCTTCCTGCACCAATCACAAGCCCTCTCACTGACTGCGATGACAATCTTCCCCTCCACTGATGCACCATTGCTTCGACGTTGCACTCGTCGAAAGAGATTCCCTCTTCTCTTCTCTTCTCTCTCTATCTATCCTATCTATATCCCCTTATACCTATACATCTTTAGATCGTGCTTGGGTGCTGGGGGCTTTTGTCGGTGTTTGAGAGTAGCTCCGAGAGGCATTTCAACGTCCTTCTGGCGACTCTCCCTCGCCAGCACTACTCGGTTCATCAATCCAATCCGTCCATTCAGTTTTGCCCACGTCCGTCTCGGTGGAATTGCCACGGACGCAAGAACCGGAGCTAGGTCCGGGAAGATCTGCTCAGGATTCATTCAGAGGCTCTGGACGAGCGTCGAGGTCTTTGTTTTGTTTCGGATTGAGATCAGTTTGTCTTCCAGCCACATCTCGCACAGCATGGCTACGCCAAACGGGGCCACCCCCGAACCCATCCTCTCAGAGATCCTCGCCACACTCAAGAAGATCCAACTTGACCAGGCAAACCTCGCTGCGAATGTAGAGTCGCTCCAGAGCAGAGTCGAGACCTCGCAGTCGGTGAACCAACTGCGCGGCGGGTCCCAGTCTCGAACAACAAACGTCAAGGACTCCCCCAGCTTGGATCCCATACAGCTGGGCAAGTCGGCGAGCGGCGCCGCTTCCCCTCCTACAGACTCCAGCTTGGCTCCTAAGGCGCCGTCGTCTCCCACGACCCCGGCCAGGAAATCGTCCGTCACCTCGCGAATCATCCTCACCACCTACCCGGGCCAGTCGGGGATCGACCCTATCCCACTGGACTGGGGAGCTCCCAATCCGATCCATCGGGGTCCTGTGGTGGTCAGCCGTCACCACAACACCATCCGTCGCCGGAATGCCATCGGCGCCCACGGGGGTTCCTACAGCATCTACCACGCCCTCGCCGTAGCGAGCAACAATCTCGACCTGGAGCACAAGCCGGACTTCACCAACACGGAACCGGCAGCGAACATCGGGCCCTTCCCCGCCTGGGGCGACAAGAAGAAGATCGTGGCCATGGACCCCTTCGGCCACCTGGCACCCTGGCTCTACAAAGACCTCATGCAGTCCCAGGACATCGACATCCGGCCCACCATCGCCGTGACCAAGGCGCACATGAAGATCCCCGAGCTCGAACAGTCGGTCAAGGCTGGCCGTTTGAAGCCGGACGGGCGGATCTGCCTCAACGAGACGGGGGAACTGAACGTCACCAAGTTCGCGGTCGAGCCCGTGTGGTACCTCCCCGGCGTGGCGGAGCGGTTCGGGATCCAGGAGAGCGCGCTGCGGCGGGCGCTCTTCGAGCACACGGGCGGCTCGTACCCGGAGCTGGTGACGCGGAACGATATCAAGGTGTTCCTGCCGCCCATCGGCGGGCTGACGGTGTACTGCTTTGGCGACCCGGCCAAGATGGCCGACCCCAACGTGCGGCTGGCACTGCGCGTGCACGACGAGTGCAACGGCAGCGACGTGTTCGGGTCCGACATCTGCACGTGCCGGCCGTACCTGATCTTCGGCATCGAGGAGGCGGTCAAGGAGGCCCAGAAGGGCGGCTCGGGCGTTGTCATCTACTTCCGCAAGGAGGGCCGCGCCCTCGGCGAGGTCACCAAGTACCTGGTGTACAACGCCCGCAAGCGCGGCGCCGACCGCGCCAGCGAGTACTTCAAGCGCACCGAGAACATCGCGGGGGTCAAGGACATGCGGTTCCAGGCCCTGATGCCCGACATCCTGCACTGGCTGGGCATCACCAAGATCGACCGCATGCTGTCCATGTCCAACATGAAGCACGACGCCATTGTCGACCAGGGCATCCCCATCCTCGAGAGGGTCCCCATCCCCGACGACATGATCCCCGAGGACTCGCGGGTGGAGATCGACGCCAAGATCCACGCCGGCTACTTCACCACCGGCAAGGTCATGTCGATCGAGGAGTTGAACGCCGTGCAGGGCCGCAGCTGGGACGATATTGAGCATTAGTCTGTTGCTTGTGTTGTGTGTGTCGGTGTGGACTGTTCCCAGGTCTGACACTAGACGATTGGATTGGAAATCTAGCCAAGTTTAATATCTTGTTGGAAAGCTGCTCAAATGGCAAACTGTACGAGATAGACAAGACAGTGGTAACAGGATGCGGCAAGGCTGACACGGCCAGTGCAAGGAAACAACCTTCGCAATATGACAACACGTGTGCACGCTAAGGTTTCCTGATTTCTGCATGATTTGATTACTCTAGCTTTGTCGACTTCGAGGTCCGGCTATGGTACATGTTTTGACTCGTTTCGTCAAGGTCCAACTCGTCTGAGAGGAAAACAGGGACAGCGTGGCCATTGCCGTGATCCATGCCAGCGAAGCTCCATATGACCAACGGTAGAGTCTTGAAACAGTTGATGCCGGTAGACAACCCCCATCGTGTGCCACCTCCTGCTGCTCCCTCAAGATCTCCCCAAAAGCGCATTTGTCCCCATTCACCTCCAATCCAGGAAAGGAATGCTCGTGTGACAGTGTGCTCTGACCTAGCTCGTCGAAGGTGACTGATTGTGCTCGGCTGGTTTCCATGTCTGGGTCTTCAGAGTGTGCGGACCCACGAACTCGGAATTTCAGGTTCTCGTGCTGTTCTCAAGACTCTTCTGTTTCCTCTCGGCATTTAATCCACACGCAATCCTGGAGACATCTTTAATCAGCACGAGAGGCTAGTGTGATGTCGTGCCTCCCTGGCTCTTGATCAGTTACCAGTCATGCGCGTAGTGCTGCATGGCAGGATATGCTGAAGATCCCTCATACACCATCTTCACCTTATTTCTGATGTCCGACCAGTCGATTCGGTCACCCTTTTCTTGCTTCACGCGCATGACTTGTTTCATCTTGTTCTTGAGATCAGACGCGCACTTGTTAGTGAGCCCTCTGAAACGGTAGATGGTGACGAAGTTGTTGCACCTCATCCCAGTGAAAGCTTTCAAGAAGTGGAAGTCGTTGTTGGAAACCCAGGCGCGACCGGCAAATTGCACTGCGAGTGTCCTCAACGTGGTGTTCTCTCCAATAAGACGGAAGATGTGATGCAAATGTGGGTCGTTAACGAATTTGCGCTCTGGAATTTGCGTTGCATGTCTGGTGCGATTGTCTGCACCATCGGTGAAGACAAACGAGATGTATTTCAATTGAGCCATCTGGGAAGGGGGGTTAGCTTGTGCCAGAAGCCGGATGGAGCAAGGGAAACAGTGGCTCGAAAGACGAGACATTCACGCTGGCAAGGGTACTTACGTTGTCAGGGCCGATGGCTTCCAAGAATCGTCTGATATCCTTGTAACCGACCTCCTTCCACACATGTTCGTAGTATCTACCGCGGATGGAAGTGTCTCGCGTGAAGTGGAACGAGTTCTCACCATAGAGAACCTCTCTGCCTTCTTGGTGAACAGTCTTGCAAGTCCGGAGAAAGTGAGCAGAGTGTGAGAAGTCGCGGCGCTCGAACTCTATGGCCCTATCGTCGCGGAAGAGCAATCGGTATGTCTTCACGCGGAGCTCGAATGGTAGGTCAATGAAGCCGACTTTCTTCACAGCCATGGTGGCATCCTTGGTAAGCGCAGCAGCTCCAATTCCAGGCGTGGCAGGCAAAATCGAAGGAGGAGCGCCCAATTTCTTCAAGAGAGCCGCAAGGTCGAGTTTGACAACGGCCTTGGCGCCACCCTCACAACTAGCCTCGAATGTCCTAGTAACACGTCCGTTAGCTGTTGTCGGATTCCAAAAGGGCTCAGCTTGGAAAGTTCCAGAGTGAAAAAGACACAGCCTTCACGGAGATCCTACTTACAGAACCGGTGAGAGCTCGTTGTTTTCCGCTTGAGACTTCTTGGCACCATCCCGATATTCGACGGACCAAAGGCCCCCGTCCTCTTCCTCCTCAGTCACATTGCCGTTCAAGGCATATTCATCGTCTGAGAGATCGGGGACAAAAGGTGGAGGGAGGACGCCGCGACGAGTGAGGCGTTTCTTGGACTTGCCCTTCTGATCGCGGTCGGGCTTTCTCTTGCGTTTCTTCTTGTCAGACCCATAATCAGAATGGTCAGAGTCGTGGTCATCCGATGGGACATCGATGAGAGGGTCGAAGACACGTTCGAACGGGTCGTCGTCCTTGTACTTGGGACCTGCGACGCCAGTGGTGGTCACATCGGCTCCAGCACTTACGATGTTCAAGGGCTGAAGGTTGTTGTTGGAGCCCTGGGCTTTCTTACGCGTAGTGGGCGGCATGCTGATGGAGCCGTGAATGGATCTGCTGATGTCTGAGCAACCCAAGCTCGGACTGAAAGAAAGACTTGCCTTACAAAAGCACGGTCCCTGAGATGAATGCAGTGAGGACAAAGCGGTCGGCTGTCGATGCACGGACGGATCGAAGATGAGGTGAAGATGGGTTGGGAGAGAAGGTGCAGGATGAGAAGGATGAGAAGGATGAAAAAGTGGTTATCTGCGAGACGATCCAAACCAGACAATGTGCCTGTGGGAAAGAGGCATTTCAACCACCGCCGCTTGGCAGCAGTTGTATAGCACGTGATGGGCTGTAATGCGCATCAGGCAGGAAGGAACAGCCAAGAGGGAGAAGCTGTTGACAATCTTCCCGGGAAGGAGGGCATGTTGGCGAAGGCCCTGTTAAAGCAGCGAGACCCAGGGCCGACAGCGAGGTCTGGAGCATCCGCGCAAGACGACCCATGCCCTCACACCACAAGTGACAGTGACAAGGGTGCATTCTTTGGCTGCCCAAGAACTGCCTGATCGCAGCCAGAAAGAGCATTATGCCCGTCAGTTACCCAAACACCATCCATTGACATGCAAAACGACAGGCGAAGCCACCGGGGTCGGAAGGAAAGAAGCAAATCAAAGCATCACCGACGATGACGACGACGACGGTGCAGAGCAAACTGCAATGGTATTCATTAAAGAAGACATCAACACTCAACTGATCAAAGAAGACTCCCTTTGGCCCACTGCTGCTAATCCAAATCACCGAGCCACACACTCATCCATATCTCTTTCCAGGCTGTCCCTCTCACCGCTCTGAGGAAGTCTCGTCCTAGTCCACGCAAAGAATCAAAGCGACTCCAGCCCATCAAACATCATAGCGTCACAAAAGGCCATAAACCAGCCCAGCACGGCAGATTGAGTGCAATTCGCATCCCTATGCAGGCAGCCACACAAATCGGTCAACAATCAACAACATGTCCAATCAGTCTTTGTTTCAAATTGTCCTTCAAGGTGGTGCTTGGACCCAGGACATATCAGCATCGCCCACAGACCTCCAGCCCAGGGGCCGGAGCGCGGGAGCTGCAGCTGACGTACAGATGCTCTTCATCTTGGATTTAGTTGTGAAGAAGAGAAAAACAAAACAGAAAAACCGAAGAATCTGGGGGAAATGATTTTCGGGCTGTCGCTTGACCTTCCCGTTGCAGCAACCGGCGAAACCTCCGCATTGGTTGGACTTCATTCCTTGATCTTGCGCCACTTTGATGGAACTCCCAAGTCTATATATCATCAGCCATATCACCCACCCCTTCTCCATCCGGGGTGCAGTCTCTATCAGGGGTGCAGTCTCTATCAGGGGGTCCGAGTCGAGGCAGCCGTCACCTGTCAAGAGTTGAGACTGGCCGTGTGCGACACCTGTCGTCTGCTTTGACGCACCGTGTGGTCTGATTGAGATAATCATACCCTTTTCTCCGCACTTCGTTTGTACAGGCACTCAGTGGTCAATATCTTATCAGTCCAAACATGGCCCGTTCAATGCTTGCAAGGAGGTTCTGGTCGTCACCCTCTTTGGTCTCCAAACCGTCAATATGTCTCTCTTGTAGGGCCAGCATCAGAGGACTGTCTTCTTCCCGAACACAGAGCTCTGCCCAGACCGAGGCTCAAAACAAGGTAACATCTCGTTCAGAACCAATGCAAGTGTCAATGTAATACTTACATGGCCGTCAGTTACTGGGTGAGCATCTTAAAGAAGCAGATCCCGAGATCTACGAGATTTTGCAGCGCGTAAGGAAGCCCTACAATAGCTAATATTTCATGTCATGGCTCTAATTCGTTTTTAACCCTGCAGGAAATACGTCGCCAGAGACATTTCATCAATCTTATCCCTTCCGAAAACTTCACCTCCCAGGCTGTGTTGGATGCCTTGGGCAGTGTAATGCAAAGTGAGAGTTTCCCGTTATCAATCGGTCAGCGACTGACTTTCTGACCCTCTACCCAGACAAGTACTCAGAGGGATATCCCGGGGCACGATACTATGGAGGCAATGAACATATCGACGAGTCCGAGAGACTGTGTCAAAAGCGCGCTCTGGAGACATATCGCCTGAATCCAGAAGAATGGGGGGTCAATGTCCAACGTAAGTGACCACATGTGGTTGAGCTCGAGCTCCCTTGGTATCCAATACTGAACAAGTCAGCCTTGTCCGGCTCTCCCGCGAACCTTTACGCCTACTCGGCCCTCCTTAACACGCACGACCGTATCATGGGTCTCGATCTTCCCCACGGTGGCCACTTGTCTCACGGTTACCAGACTCCCACCAAGAAGATTTCCATGATCTCCAAATACTTTGAGACCCTTCCATATCGCCTGGACGAATCGACAGGGTTGATTGACTACGAAAAGATGCGCGAGCTCGCTCTCTTGTACCGACCCAAAGTCATTATCGCTGGAACCTCTGCGTACAGTCGACTGATTGACTACGAACGCATGCGAGCCATATCTGATGAGGTGGGTGCTTACCTGCTATCTGATATGGCTCACATATCTGGTCTGGTCGCTGCCGACGTGATCCCAAGCCCGTTCCAATACTCGGACGTGGTCACAACTACCACGCACAAATCCCTCCGTGGCCCTCGAGGAGCTATGATCTTCTACCGTAAAGGCGTACGCCGAACAAATAAAAAAGGCGACAAGGAGATGTACGACCTCGAGGGTCCCATCAACGCATCCGTGTTCCCAGGCCACCAAGGCGGTCCGCATAACCACACCATTACCGCTCTCGCAGTTGCACTGAAACAGGCCCAAACGAAAGGATTCAAGGAGTACCAGAAGACGGTTCTGACCAATGCCAAAGCCCTTGCTGAACGCCTCGGCAATTCTGCATATACAGGTGGTCTGGGCTACAACATTGTCAGTGGCGGGACAGATAACCATCTAGTCCTGGTCGACTTGAAGTCGAAGGGCATTGACGGTGCTCGCGTCGAACGAGTACTCGAGTTGTGCGGCGTAGCTGCGAACAAGAACACGGTTCCTGGAGACAAATCGGCCCTGAGGCCTGGAGGGTTGAGGATGGGCTCGCCTGCCATGACCACAAGAGGTTTCCAGCCAAGCGATTTCACCCGCGTGGCAGAGATCGTCGATCGGGCGGTGTCGATTGCGATCAAGGTGGACAAAAGCGCCCGGTCGGATGCGGAAGCGAAGGGAAAGAAGAATCCGGGAGCAGTCAAGAGCTTCCTAGATTACCTGAAGGACGGGACCGAAGTGGCCGAAATCTTGACGCTGAGGCAGGAAGTGGAGGATTGGGTTGGGACATTTGCAGAGCCGTGGATCAAAGACAAGGACACAAACACTCGTTGAGGAAAATCTGAAAACAGAAACGAATGACGACGGGTGATGATGAAGGGACAGTCTCCAGATCTCCGATTTCCTCAGCTGACATGTCATCGCGAAAGTTGGGCAGTCGTTTTGCTCGAGAGGAATAATGGCTAATGAAAAGATGTGGTTTGGAATGCCGGGTGGAGTATATGCCTTTCCACTGTACCCATACTTTGATATTAATGGCGATCTTCAGCGTCCAGACGGCTATCAACGTGCAGTCAAAAGTGCATATTCCGGGATCCTGTCAGAAAGGCAATCGATGTCAACAAGACCAGTGTGCTGGGACTGCAACGGAGATTGTCGTCAGTAGTAGTCAAGAGTATGAGTAGCTTCGGCACACATTCCGCCCAATATTGACAAACGTCCCCGGGTGAAATTATTGTGTTGTTATCGCCTATTGCCAAAGAAGCTCCACGGACCACCACGCATTCTTCATCAGGGCAAGCGGATGGTCACGTGCCAGGGGTTGTTTTTGAAGCGAGGTCGGACTTCAATGTTCTGTTTCGCCGACAGACCAGTTGCTGTTAGGCCCTGCTTTTTCATCTCGCATCCCTGACATGTCTCAGATCCAGGATGCGCACCGTCGACTCTGATACTCGCCGTTTTCTCCTTCTGGGGGCAAGCTGGGCCGACGACTTGCAGTGCGCCGCCTGTTTGATCGTCGGGGTCGCGGCGTGGCGTAACCGAGTGGGCGTGCGGCGAATCGATAATTCGTGCGCCATGAGGGCATGTTGTGAGCGCCAATGTTCGCCTTGTGTATACCCGTAGCTCGGATGATATCGTCGATGCTGCTCTTTTCAGTCTCCTCTACTCTCTGAACGCGCGGCTCAGCAGCCCGGACACTACCGAAGTCCTCTTTAGTATGCTCCTCATTATTGAACCATGTGCCTGCGGTGGAGGAGGAGATCACAGGTGTTAGGGCCGATGGACAGAAAGGGGAAAGACCTCCGTCCGGCGGCTTTGCTCCATTATTACGTTGGGTACTTCGAGGAACCAGGCCACTGGTATTGCTGAAAAGAGTAACCGCATTTAAGTTGAAAGACCTCCATCTCCACTATTGCGTTTGCAAAGGCAGCAATGGCATGATCGCATGCTATTTTCAGGGCCCTCGTGGTTGATTGACAAAGGTTCGACTAGGTGTAATATTGGAAGTCTGTCTTTATCGATGTGATTATGTTTTCCCATGGGTCCGGTTGAACACAACAACCGCGGAGTGTTGGTCCAAGTGCATACCGAGCACGAGGATTGGTTGTCTCGAGGCGACTGGATCTGAGAGAGACGAGATCTGATCCTTCAGTTGCGCAGTTAGCACAACTGCAAGTCATCAATCCCCCTGAAGGAACAGGCGCAGTGCAGGCATTCTGGAGGGGCAATTGGGTGAGAGGCTCCGTTCGTTGTGTCCCTCGTACGATGTGCTTCTTGTGTGTTTTTTTGCCTCCCCAATTACAATGTGACGCAGCGGTGCGGACCAAGGACGGGGAGAGAGACAGCGAATGGGTCGAGCATGGGTCGATGCTGAAGCACCGGGAGCAAAAAGTCGACAAGGCTTTACAGGAGGCGGCGGCAGCCGAGCTTGCTGATTGGCTCCAGCCCCTGGTAGCAATCTTGGCTTCTCATTTCCGGACTGCGCCAGATCAGCATCAACGATCAACGGAGCCACTGTCAACTCTCCGCTCTGGCCCCTCAACTGGGGTGCTTGGAAAGTGCATCAAACCTCCCAGTAAACAGCTTGGGCAGCTCCTTTGTTTACGACGCCCACGATTCGCCCTGCGACACTCCTCTGGGGTGCGTTGTGGCAACAGAGAATCACGGACGTTGTAACCGGGAGCGGTGCACTAAGGCTTCTGAGCCAGTGCAGTGCCTAAGCGACCAGCAATCAAATTCGTGGACGGACCGCGGCAGCACGGATCTCCCTCCTACACTACCCACTACGACGACGGACCTCGATGCGGTGGCCCGTTGGCTTATGAATCGATGATGCGATCTCAGGACCAAACAATATTGACAAGGACTGATGCAAGCGGACATGCTCAACTCGGACTATCGTGGGTAAAAGCATCTCGGTTGAGATCAAGGCGAGAAATTACGCGAGAACAGCTGCTTTCCAAGCTGGTCTCCCAATCAACCCTGGTAAACAAGCACACAGGCGAACAACAAAGGAGACTTCATCGTATGATGATGGTGATGGTGGTCACTTGAGCAGTTGGATCTACCAATTCCCCAGGATGACCTCTTCCCGCTACCAAAACATACACAAACTGCCTATTGCATATGTATGGCCTTCGATCATTTCTTGGCCCCTGTCAGATTGTCACCTGTGGTTGGACAGACAGCATTGAGAATGACGAGGGTGCTTCTGCCCGACCAAGTTGTTATGGTGTGAGGAACGCCAGCTTCCCACGAGACATGTTCAGGTCTGGTGGAGGAGGTGACCACTTTTCGCCGCCACAATCTCGGATGAAGTTGAGCGAGGACCAATGGCGCCGACGGAGGGCTGGATGAGGCTGCTCTAAAAAGCACTATGTGGGCTCCGCTATACAACACCACGAACTCAATAACACACAAGACCAGACAAGACCCGCCGCTACCCCTGACGCCGCCAGAATGCTTCCTTTCTCCACTCGTCGTCGTCCACTCAATCATGGCCATGGTCAACATTGATGCTAAAATGATACCTTAATTTCCCTTTTGTTCGGCGTCATGGCGTCCCCTCGCCCATACATATATGGAAGAACCTTCGTCGTCCTCAGCACTTCTTTTTCCTTCCTCCATCCTACGATCAAAACTCCAACTTACAGTCGCTCGTTCAGCAGCTCGAAAGCCGGTCTTTGCGCCACCCACATTCGTTTCAACGAACAAAACAATCTACCCACGAATCCCACTACTTTAGTTTTCTAATCCAGAAACTACCACCCCGTCACAATGAAGGTCACCGCATCCATCATCGCTGTTGCAGCTCTCGCTTCCAGCGCCTCTGCCGGCGTTGCCAGCACCTGGGCCGATTGGTCCAGCACCACGACCACGACCACGACGACCACCACCAAGGCCTCGGTCGCCGCCACCAGCACCCACACCTGGGAGGACTGGACCAGCTCGACCACCACGACCACGACCACCAAGGCCTCCGTCGCTGCCGAGAGCACCCACACCTGGGCTGACTGGACCTCCAGCGCCGCCCCTGTCTCGTGGACCACGACCGTTGTAGGTGCCATCACAACCTACTGCCCATATGCTACCAAATTCACGCACGCTGGCAAGACCTACGAAGTCACTTCTGCCACCACCCTGACCATCACTGATTGCCCGTGCACCATTTCTGTCCCTGTCTACACAAAGACCTCCACCTCATGCAGGTAAAGATTGAACCTTGAGCTGACTCGAAAATTTCTCCAGGCTGATACAAGCAGTTCCGTCGCCGCCGTGTCCACTGGTACCTGGGGTGACTGGTCCTCCACCGTCGCTGCCGTCAGCACCACCGTCACCCCCGTTGCTGCTGCCAGCACCTCCAGCGCCGCCTGGTCCCCCTATGCGCCATCCAGCGTCGCCCCTGCCGTCGCTACCTACACTGGTGCGGCCAACGCCCTCGTTGCCAACGTCGGTGCTGGTCTTGCTGGTGTCGGTGCCATTGCTGCTTTCCTCCTGTAAGCGGGAAAGCATTGGGGGTCTTGACTTGCGATTGTCGATTGGCTTTTCCCGACATGCTGATATCGTTCGGCTTGGAGGGAGTCGTGTCTTCGGTATTCACAGTCATGGCTTTGCGTTTTAATTTCTTAGCGCTTGAGACTCGGGCAAAGAACAGCGGCTAGTTGGCTCGGCTGCAGTATGCACGACACGGCATGAACATTTAGCGGTCACGACAAGTTTGGGCAAATGCGTGTATACTAGCAGTCGGCGCCTTGGACATAGAATATTCTCAGCTAGTCGTTGGAGTGGTGTGATGGACACCTTGTACAGTTAGAAGGTACAATGAGAAATCCCACCCCTCAACCTGGGTGCTGGTCATTTAATGAATGGAAGTTTTCTGGATAGCCTTTGTTTTGTCTTTGGATTCGGAGCTCCATGCTCTGGGAACGTGCTTGTGCTCGGCGTGTGTGCTTCCGAGCTCGAGGCGGAGGAGCTGTGCACGGACTACCACTGAGCTGGATAATAGGTCGGCCGGTGTTGTTTCCAGCAATGCCAATGGCAATCCGTATGTGAGATACAGTTACCAGCACCTGGTGCCACGGGGACTCATCTCCCGCAAGAACGCCGAACTCGCTTGGTGAAACGTTATAGGCCATGTTGAGATCGTTGGGACCTTCATGAAATGGCATTCTCTCGGTTTTGGCTCGGGGGCTGATTAATTCCCCCTGCGTCATTCTCTCCAACCACTCCATCGGACCATCAGATGTCTGTCTTCGTCCACACACAGACCATCCCAGCCTCGGTTCTCCCGTGCGCCATTGATCCCTTCCTCCCTCCCCGGGCTGCATCCACCCCCACAAAGTCGGACGACGATCGAATGATGTCGCTTCCCCAATCCAAGTCCAAACTCCGCTGGACCGACCCCCTTCCCTCTGCTTGGGATCCCCCCGGAGCTTGCTCGCCTGTTCTCTTCTTTGCTGCAGGGAGCTGCCGTTGATGTAAGTCTGTTAAAAGCGGGTTCCCATCTGGCCAGGTTATTGATTCAATCTCAGGTCCGGAGAGAATACCAGGCACCCCGAACATCCCTTGGTAATTCGATTAAATCGTCCATGCTTCGTCCATAGACGTACGTGGTACATAGAGGTGCCGCCACCGCGTCCCAACCTCATCGTTCCCTAGCCTCGAGGCTCCCTGCTGTCCGACACATATACCTGCCTTCTCGATATCTGACCTTCACTATATCCGTGAGTCTACCTTGTGCCGCCTCAGTCCTTCGCAAGGCAGTCTGTCGTACACTCGCTCCCCACCTCATGGCTCCACACAACACAGTCCAGGATTCGGTGCAGAATGCTTCGATATCCGACCCGGAACAGTTCTGGGACAAGCATGCAAAGGATCTATACTGGCATAAACCATACAGTGCGGTCCTGCGCAAACAGCCCAAGAAACTGAAGGACGGAACCACACACCCACACTGGTCATGGTTCCCCGACGGCGAGATCAGCACCACCTACAATTGCATAGACCGCCATGTCAAGGCCGGCAATGGAGACAAGATTGCCATGATCTGGGACAGTCCCGTGAGTGGGTCGAAAGAGAAGTATACCTACAGTCAGATGCTGGACGAGGTGGAGGTTCTGGCCGGTGTCCTCAGAGAAGACGGTGTCAAGAAGGGAGATGTGGTGCTGGTCTACATGCCGATGATACCCGCCGCCATCTTTGGCATGCTCGCCGCCGTCCGCCTGGGTGCCATGCATGCAGTAGTCTTTGGAGGATTTGCCGCTGCGAGTCTGGCTCAGAGGATAGAGGCGGCGAAGCCCAAGGTCATTTTGACGGCCAGCTGTGCCATTGAGGGCGCCAAGGGCCCTCTAGCGTACAGGCCGTTTGTCGAGGAGGCGATTCAGCAAAGCAGCTGGAAGCCCAGCAAGACCATCATCTGGCAGCGTGAAATCAGGAGATGGGATCCTGTGAAGAAGGATGCAGGGCAGAGGAACTGGCAGCGTCTCGTCAAGAGTGCCCGGAACAGAGGTGTCCGAGCGGAGGCCGTCCCGGTTAAGAGTACCGACGGTCTGTACATTATCTATACCAGCGGCACGACCGGTCTGCCCAAGGGCGTTCTCCGCGAAGCTGGCGGTCATGCGGTCGGCCTCAATTTCAGCATCAAGTATCTCTTCGACGTCAAGGGACCCGGCGACATCATCTTCACCGGAAGCGATATCGGGTGGGTGGTCGGACACTCATACATCGTCTATGCACCGCTCCTGGCCGGGGCGACCACCGTCCTCTACGAAGGCAAACCGATCGGGACACCTGACGCGGGGGCATTTTGGCGGATGGTTGACGAACACAAGGTGACGACACTATTCACGGCGCCTACCGCACTCAGGGCCATTCGGAAAGAAGACCCCGAAGACAAATTATTTAAAGAATACGGCGAGAAGGGCCGCCTCAGACATTGGCGTGCCCTGTTCCTTGCAGGAGAGAGGTCGGAACCTTCCATCATTACACATTACCAAGAGCTGCTGAGCAAATACGCCGCTCCGGATGCGAGGGTCATTGACCATTGGTGGTCCAGTGAGAGTGGGAGTCCCATGACCGGCTTGGCCTTGCGTCCGGCCATTGGGCATGACCCCAACAGCCGCGAAGAGCACAAGGCATTGGCGATCAAACCTGGCAGTGCTGGGAAGCCGATGCCCGGATTCGACGTGCGCATTGTGGACGACGAGGGAAATGAAGTCGAGCAAGGCAAGATGGGAAATATTGTACTCGCCATGCCCTTGGCTCCCACCGGATTTACTACCCTCTTCAACGATGATGACAGATTTTATAAAGGCTACTTGAGACGATTCAACGGGAAATGGTTGGATACCGGGGACGCTGGCATGATTGATCAGGATGGATATTTGCACGTCATGTCGAGAAGCGACGATATCATCAATGTGGCTGCACATCGGTTCAGCACTGGTACGCTCCCACACTCTGCCTACATGGTAAAGAGCTGTATACTGACCATTTCGGTGAACAGGCGCTATCGAACAGGCCATTACATCCCACCCCTCCGTCGCCGAAGCCTGCGTGGTCGGTGTTCCCGACCCCATGAAAGGACATTTGCCGTTTGCCTTTGTCATCCCTTCTTCCGCCACGCCCTCCGACCTGCCCGCTACACCCTCGAAAGAATTCTTCACCGGCATCAACAATCTGGTACGAAATCAGATTGGTGCCATCGCCTCGCTGGGTGGCATCATCCAAGGTAAAGGCATGATTCCCAAGACCAGGAGCGGAAAGACCCTGCGGCGAGTATTGAGAGAGTTGGTGGAGAACGCCGCCGAGGGACAATATGATAAGGAGGTCAATGTTCCTGCGACGGTGGAGGACAAGGAGGTCGTCGAAGTGGCAAGGCAGAAGGTCAAAGAGTGGTTTGAGGAGAGGAAGAAACAGCAGGAGACAACCAAAGCCAAATTATAGGCACCTAGATCGGACTGCTGGTTGGGAAAGCGAGTGCACGTATTATCCATTTTATGTTGTCTTTCTGAGTGTAGCAAAATGCAATTTGTTGCTTCCGAGTGCTTTACATATCACCCAGTCTTGCTTGCCTTCTACTCTACCATGTCTCCCATCAATGGTCCTAGAGTCGCTCAACACCCATCCCAACATATGGGTGGGTAGCATGCAGTTGTGGAGAGCACACGTGATTCGCCCACCAAGCCAGCCTATCAAGGCAGGCGCACACAATGTAGAGTATATAATATCTATGCCCCGAAATATGGGAAAAAAAGCCCTGGTGGCACAATTGGTCAGCGCGGTAGGTTTTTCCATCACTGGTCGCCCAATATTACTCAGTTCTAACAATCTCTCAGTGAGACTTTTAATCTCAAGGTTGAGAGTTCGAGCCTCTCCCAGGGCGTAACAACGTTCATGCTTTTATTTTTGTTGTTATTTTTTGGTCCTGTACGTCTTTTCTTTGTGTTAAGCAGACTGTAGAGCAAAAAGGCCGATTGCTTGTGTAAGGATTTACCAGGTTAATTTTTTTGTTTTGTTTCTGTGCTAGTCATAAGATCCTTTCTGGCAACTCATCTCTTGGCTATTCCGTGGTCTTGACGGAACAACCTTTCCACACCGTTTTATGCCTTTGCATTTTGGTACAATATTCCTGAGAGATGGCTTGAAGGATGAGTCTCCGTCTATGCAGTCCTGAAAGAGGAACATCGCACAGACAATGGCGCCCGACCGACTGAGAGAAGCGCACACGGAATGGAAAACCGCGACAGAGTATATACAATCCTGCAGCATTTCAGCAGAGCGATTTCTTCAAGTCACAGACCTGTTGTTGGAAAACCCCAACTTGAATTCAACCCACCTCTTCCGAGCCGACATCCTGTACGACAGTGCCCACCGGCTGAAGACGGTCTCGGAAAAGGAAAGGTTCTGTCTGGAGTCTATTGGAGTGCAAAGCAACGACAAGCATGCAGGTGGTGGAGATGATCTCGAACCCGTGTCTTCACCCCCGGTCTTTGAAGGGGCAATTCTACAGAGGAAAGTCTTACGGAAACTCATTCCTCGCAAGCCACAACTCGACCGTCCGCTCGATCAGTGGTGCTACATCTACAGACTCCACCAAGAGACAGACGGGAGTTCGGGATGTATTGTCGTGTACCAGCCACAAGTCGACGCTGAGGTTGACATGCCCTGGTACCATCCACCGGTCAAGTCTCTGGCGTATCTCCGCAAAGACACAGGAACCGAGACCACGCTTTCCGTCCATTTCCTTCCTTTCCCAACCTCTCCTGATCCGCTCCCGTCACGGACACATCGCATATTCGTCTCACTCCTTCAGACGCTCCTCAGGCTCGCAAAGAACCCAGCACCAGAAGGAGCCGTCGCCGATGACGACCACAAGATGACGGAAGGGCACGCCATGAGAAGCTTGTCTCTGGCCCCTTCAGCCCTGAAAGATACGATCCTCCCCCAGCATATCGTCCAAGACACCTACACGCGGCTGAAAGAGCGGTACGCCAAAGACCTCATCTCCCGCTGGGCGGAGAAAACCGAGCCAGTCAAGCACGTGTTCGAAGACCTGGCCATTGCCGCCTTCGTCATCGAGCTCTGGAAGCAGATGTACCCTCAGGCAGACACATTCCCGGGCTTTGTCGACATTGCATGCGGAAATGGCGTTCTGACCTACGTGCTTGTCAAGGAAGGGTACCGGGGACGTGGCTTCGACGCGCGTCGGCGGACCACGTGGGATGTCCTGGAGCTGGACAACTGTCTCGACGAGATGGTGTGCATTCCGCAGCCATTTCTGGACCATATGGGCGCCGAGGAGATCAGCGGATTCCAGGAGACAGGCGCGAGGGTCCACAACGGCATCTTCGCGCCGGGGACGTTCATCATCTCCAACCACGCCGACGAACTCACGCCATGGACACCCCTTCTCGCCGCTCTGTCATCTCCCGACACACCGCTACCCTTCCTGGCTATTCCATGCTGCTCACACGCCCTGAGCGGAGCCAGACACCGCTATTCTCCCAAGGCGCCCATGGTCCCCGCGTCGTCTGCGCCGATAGATGATAGCAGCAGCAGCAGCGACAACACCGACAAGAACAACACAAGTGAGCCGCAGCCCGCCAGCGGCGACCTTAAGGCCCTTCGAGCCGCCAAGGCCCAGGCGGCGAACCACACGGACGATACATCCATGTATGCCTGCTTGACCAAGAAAGTCGTCTCCCTGGCACGCGAGGTCGGCATCGACGTCGAATTGACACTCATGCGCATCCCGAGCACGCGGAACATCGGGGTCGTGGGGAACAGGAAACGAGCTTTCGCTGGTGCCCCTCCTCCTAGAAGTCCACCAGACGGAACGCGGGCGAGGTCCGTGTCCGTGCTGAAGAGCATCCCGGACGTGCTGCACCGCGAGTGTGCCATCTCAGGAGGCATCGCCGCGGCGGCGCGATGTTGGGTCGAACGAGCGCAGAAACTCCAGGCGGGCCGCGGAAGGGGCAAAGTCAACGGGCACCGACCAGCAACAATACCACCATGTCGGACTTGATCAGGAAAGGGGGTGGGTTAGTTGGTTGGTTGGTTGATTCCATCCATATATCAATTGAATCAGGCCGTGGTGGTCGTCACCATACATGCATAGATACATACATACAGACGGACACATACAACGACCAAACATGTCTACCTACAACCACATGGCAGCAGAATCAGGTTGAGCCCAGACATGGTCGTTATAACGAGGACGTCTGGACATTGGCGTATCTAAAGGCTACCGCTCCTCGAAAAGCTCCTCGAAGCGACACGGCTGCCATCACCATCCACATCCTCCTCCTCTTCTTCCTCGACGTTGGGCAACGCGACGTTAAACAGCCCTTCCGCCCATTCGGCAAACGTGTCGAGATCCCACACTGCATTCTCCGGGCTCTTTCCTTTGCGCGAGATGGGCGTGGTCACCGTCGCCGCGGCACCATTGACCCTCCCATCCCGTGTCCCAGCCTTTCCGGGTGGTTGGGAGGTGTACGCGTCGAAGAATGCCTCGTAAATCTGCACCACCTGGTCCTCGACCGCGGCGACCAGGGTCTCTCTCGTGCGGTGGTCATCCAGGTACTGTTCCAGTTTGGCTCGGAGGATGGGGATCTCCTTCTCGATCCTCATCCGGGTCTTCTCCACCGCCTCAGCCAACATGCTCTCCCGGTCACCTTTCCGGGACCCCGTCTTTTCCAGGTCCTTGGGAAGATCTTTGCACATGTCCGCGGCGAAACCTGCTGTGAATTCATTGATGGCCGTCCTCAACTGGCCGTCAAGTTCGACTTTGGCGTCCATCATGTTCTCCACCACCCGGGGCAGCAGTCCGCCAGAGCTGAACAGCTTCATCCAACTCGCAGGGTTGAAGAGGCCACCTCGTTCACGGAGTTCCCAGAACGTGGATGCGACGCCCGAAAAGTCAAAGCTCACGTCTGGGGTCACGTATTCGATGTCGAACGCCACGATCTGCGACTTTAAAAGTAAGAGGTGTTTGAGCAGAAAAAGTCGACCGTCGACTGGTGAGGACTTGGTAGATATTTGCTGAGACGCGGTCACGAGAGATAGGGTGGTCTGGTGCACAATTTGGTGTGCCAAGTCGTCAAACACGGAGGAGTTGACCAGGCGGTAGATTCGCGAGAGGAGGCGCAGAGATCTTGAGAGTGTGGGATAGCAGTGTTTTAGAGCGGACCGCCGCGACGCGGCGAGTGTCCAACTGAAGGAACCCTCCTCGCCGGAATCATCGTCAAGATCGTTGGTGGTCGGGGTTTTGGGCAGTGGCGTCAAAGCATCGCGGGAGGAGCGGCGTCCGGACAGCGGAGCGGTGGCCGACATGGGCGGCGCGGAGGTGAGCCGGGGGTAGTCCAGGTCTTCGGGCTTGGGTCTGAACATTTCGATTTCCTCACGAAGGATGGCCAGAGCGCGGAAAACAAGGCGAGTTTGTGCGTCTTCCAGAGCCGGTTGGATGAGCGCAGAGAAATCCAGCTGGTTCAGGTCGGTCGGGCCGTCTTCTTCCTCGTCGTGAAGGTAGCGGGTTTGAAGCAGTGTGACCAGGGAGCAAAGCTTGGAGAGCTTGTTCTCGTGAATGATCCGAGGCCGGAGATGATCATACAGCGGTTCGCAAATGGACTCGAGGAAGTCGTACAGTCCGTGGTAGCCATGGAACCACTCCGACCACAGCTCAAACTCATCGAGACATATACCCCGAATGTAGCCGATACTGGCCCGTGCAAACTGCACCAAGTCCTTGGAACTGGGCACCTGAGCCGTCTCCGTGAGGCGCTTCTGCACGATGGGCAGGATCAATCTCCCCCTACAGGCGGCGAAGCTGGAGTGCAACTCGTTCATGAGGCTTTGGTATTCCCCCTCAGTGCCGGGCTCTGCGTCTGCCGGCGGGTTGGCGCGCTTCTGGATTTCCAGACCGAGCTCCTTCATCTCGGCGGCTCCCACCCGGAACTTTGTGTAGAGAAGCGCGGACATCGTGGTGTCGTTGAGCTGCTTCGCTGCAATGCGACCAGCAACTTCAGTAGTCGTCTCCCGCACCGCCGCCATGAAGGTGTTGCGCACCAATGTCAATGCTCGAGTCAGCAGGAGCCTGTAACGTGACCGGTAGGATTCTGCTTCCTTGTGGGACGGGTGCGTCTGCATGTAGTCGATGCATTCGTCCAGGGTGACCAGCATGTCCGAAAAGTCCTTGGTGCCGACGAAGCTGCCTGCCTGCGGTGCGTTGAGACGACGGGTAATGCGTTCGAGCGGTTCATAGTATCGCAAATTCTCGGCGATCTGGTGCGCGACGATTTCACTCTTGCGTTGTTCTTCCAGAATGGAGGCCGACTGGGCCTGGAAGGACTTTGTTTGAGCACTGACAGATTTGAAGGATGCCGAGATGGAAGACAGCTCATCGAGGGTCGCGGCGGTGGAGGCGAGGAGGGCATCGAGGTGAGCGCTGGCGGCGTCGAGTTGGTCAAGATACTGCCTGTCCTTAGGTTTAGCGAGGAACAACTCAGTCTGGCGATAAGGAGGGGACACACTGATATTCGTCGAGGCTGGCGTCCAACAGGACATCGTCTATGTCCCCAGACAGCTGGAACAGCTCGAGTTCTGTCCCTGCACTTTCGAGTTGTGCTAGAGTGGCATCTTGCTCGCTCTTCAGATTTTCTCCTCCTTCCGAGGCCATGGCTGTGAGAAAGGCCGCTGATGAAGTACAGAGTCCTTAGAAGGATCTCACAAGGGCTCGCACGATAGACATGGGGGGCGTAGTGTTGGCCGTTCCATTGCCTGTAGACCGTTGGGTACCAAACGAACACGAAGTGAGGGCGAACAAAATAACACAAGGCTGAACGGAAACCCACCAATATTATTGCCTGCGATTCAATGACGCACACGATTTCCCGAATACGAGGTACATGTACGTGCTCTGCTCTCTATTCATCTCCAATGTTCACGGAGAGAATGACTTTTGTTCCATCTGTTCCAGTGATGTGAGCTATAGTGTACATACGGTATCCTTCTCATCACCGCCAACGCAGCCATGTCCTCCAAGACTCTGCCCTCAACCGCCGTTCGCACCTTTACTCGTCCGCCACGGGTCGGTCTCTCTCAATTGGGATCTCGTGCATCGTTCTCTGCTGAGGCGAGACGCTTCTCACAAAAAGCCTCACACTCTGCCGCTACTCATCAAGCATGGAAGAGGCCGTCAGCCGCTGTTATTGCTGCAGCAGCCACCGTTGCCATAGTCTACACCACCACCCAAGTCCACGCCGTGCAGGCCGAAGCTCCTGCAGAGACACAAGAGGTCGTCATTGAAACCTCCAAAAAGAGGAAGGGCGCTTCGAAGGAAGAGAATAGGGATCTCATCAGCTCTCAGCACCTCCAAGTCAAGAAGAGCTGGGAGAACCCTGGCGTATATGCGTGGGGATCAAACACTGGTCGAGTCGTGGCCCCCGAGTCAAATGAAACATATATCAAGACGCCGCGAAGGCTGAGCTGGTTCGACGACGTCCTGCTCCGAGATCTGAAGATTGACAGGAATTTTGGTGCAGCAGTCCTTGAGAACGGAGACCTCGCACAATGGGGCATCGAATATTCCGAGGACGTACGGCAGCCGACGGTCACGCTCAAGGGCAAGAATTTGACGTCCATTGCCATATCGAAAGATCGTATCATTGGGCTGGGAAAAGACGGAACCGTATATTCGATACCAGTGTCCAAGGTGGACCAGGAGAGTGGCCACAAGCAAACAGAGAAGTCCTGGATCCCGTTCTGGGGATCAACGTCGTCGATTAGCTACAGAAAGCTCGAGCCCAAGAACTTGGGAATGGGGGAGCGAGTCGTTGCTATCAGCGGTGGCCTTGAGCACGTCCTGCTCCTCACGAACTCAGGACGAGTCTTCTCTGCCGCCTCAGGGACCGAGGACTTTCCCAGCCGTGGACAACTGGGCGTCCCCGGAGTGACGTGGCTCACTCGACCGGAAGGCCGATATGACATGTGCCACGAACTAACCACGCTTAAGGGCTTCGAGATCACCAAACTTGCATCCGGGGACCACCACTCTCTGGTCCTCGACAAAGAAGGCCGCGTCTTTGCCTTTGGCGACAATTCTTCCGGGCAGCTCGGCTTCGACTTCAACCCTGAGGCTCCTTTCGTCGACACACCTTCTCTCCTGCCTACCACCCGTCTCTATCAAGGCACTAACCAATCGTCTAAAGTCACGTCTATCGCTGCTGGCGGCTCAAACAGCTTTTTCACCGTCGACGCCACCCGAGTTGCCGGCCCAGATGAAGACCCAAGCTCCATCTCAACTTTGGGAAAGGTAACGGCAGATACATGGGCGTGCGGACTGGGCATTCGGGGCACCCTGGGAAACGGGAAATGGACACACGTTCAAGGCACACCCACACGCGTTCCGTCGTTGTCGGGCCTCTACGAGTACGACGAACAGACCCGAAAAGTGGTTCCGATCCGGATGTCCCAGATCTCCGTCGGCAGCACCCACGCCTCCGCCGTGCTCGACAATGTGACCTACCTCGATGCTTCGGAAAAATCCTCAGAGGACGACACGAACTGGGGCTCCGATGTGCTCTGGTGGGGAGGGAACGAGTTCTACCAGCTGGGCACAGGCAAGAGGAACAACGTGCCGATCCCGACGTATATACGGCCATTGGACATGGCCAGCGAAGCGGAGATGGGACGGAGAGAGGAGCACAGATTGCATCTGACCCCGATGCACGATGTCCGGCTGAAGGTGGATGGCAGGAAAGTCCGAATGGAACAGCGCGTGGTATGCGGCAGGAATGTCACGGCGGTGTATTCGGCTGTTTGAAGTGGTCATCTCACGTATATCTCGATCTCAATATCTGTCCCCTCCGGCACTATTTTTGCCCTTCACGAGCAGAGACTTTCTGTATAGCTCATCAATTCAACAATCTGACACACTTCGGAAGAAACGATCGATCCATGTTTCCATTTCCTATGGCGTTTTGTTAGGCTGTTGCATATCATGGAAATGACTCGGGCGACGTTGTGGAGGCCTGGATGAGCGAGAACGACGGCGGCGACGACGACGACGACAACAGGCTAGGGCTCGTCCCCTTGTCCACCTCCAGATTGATATTATGTAGACTTGTCTTCTCAAGACAACAGCACACATAAAGTAGTTTGTTCGGTCAATGCGTAATGCATTCTTCCAGCCAGCAACTAGCTGAACCTCTGTGTCATATGTATTGTACCACCAGGACGCTTGAGCACATGTCTGTGCCACCGTTCGCTGAGACCACAAGCTGTCCGCGACCCCGGCTTGAAATCATGTCTGTACTCTTCATCTCGTCTAATATGTGTGCACGTTCGCTCGTCGTCACATGAATATCGCCCAACCCGTACGCCGGACGCCTTGCTGTCGGTCGGACCTGAAACCCTCTGCAATGTGATTCCTTTCCCCGTTGCGCTAATGAACCATGACTTCCGGCTTGGTCTCTGTCCCTTTCTTCTCGCTATTCGCTCCCGCAGCAGCCGCACTAGGTGCAGCGCCGGACTTCTCATCGCCCTCTGCCATCTCTGTATCCTCACCCTCTGCGCCCTCCTCATCTTCCTCATCGTCCTCGCTCTCGCTGCTCTCCTCCTCAAGATCCTCGCTTTCAGCATCACTCGCTTCTTCTTCCTCATCTTTCACTTTTTGACTGTCTGTCATTTCTTGGTCCCCATTGGCCGAGTCGTCTTGTGCCACCCTTGCTTCGGTCTCCTCCAATTCTTTCTCTAGCGCTGCTTGCATCTCTGCCTCTTCTGCGCCGTAGCCGGTTCCATCGTCGTCGAGGGTGTCGGCTTCTGGCTGATCGGGAGGATATTCGGCTGGGGCTGATTCTTCCGAGTCCCTATCGGCGGAGTTACATCAGCTACAAACCTTCTACCTGAAGCGGAGGTGATGCTTACCATTTGATGGCGAATCTGGTGACTCGGGGTTTTTCTGCGAGCACATTGCGGCGGATCTTCTCGATGACGGGCTTGGCAGGCGGGTCGGCAATCAATGTCTCGTCCTCGTACTCATTATTCACGTAGTAACCGACGCGCACGAACTCTCTTCCATCGTAGGAGCAGGTGAGGAGGATCACCGTCACCCCTAGAATTTCGGATGGTGGCAAGCGGGATAGGTTGGGAGGGTCGGCTTCGAATATAAATTTATTCACACCGATAGGGATGGGTCCGACGAGGAGAGAGTCAAGCTCTTGGTCGTGTTCTGCCGACGTGGCAGAGCCAACGTAGGTGAGTTTCCATTCCAGATCTACCCCATCATTGTCAGCTGATGTACGCTGCTGAAAAGAAGGTCCGCCAAATGTTCACCTTCACGGAGTTGCTCAAGGCATTCGAATGTGATTTCAAATTCGTAGGGTGCCGTGAATGGGGCAGGGTTGTTCAGAACCTTGACACCGAGCAGAGAAACCACCGACATGGCTGCGACAACCGCCACGGAAGTTCTCGACTGCGTGTACGTCAATCACAATATCCAAGAGACGTTTATACGACGGTCTGGACGAGTGACCAAGAAATTGTGACCTGTTGAAGGGGCTGTGAAGGAGTGTTCGCGAGAATTGAATCCAAAGTCGCGAGAGGGCCATCGCCGCGTTAAAAGGGTCGCGTCTCGAGACTGCCCGCAATCATTCTGAGAGGCAAGTTAGCCGAAGATGCTAAGTTCTTAGTGTAAGTTCCTGTTCAAATGACGAATTCCAACCGCAAGGCAAAATGCGCCGTCTCAGACTGTGCCACCAGCAGTGAGGTGAACCAAATTCCATCCCCGACAACATCCTGTGATCATCTCACCCCTCCCTTGTCACTTACTCGAGACGGCAGCAACGATGATGCTCAGCTCTATGGGGTTCTTCTAGTTGTAGTTGCGCAAAAGGTGAGTGCACTCCTCGCGTGCTCCAGCAGCCGATGAAAACTGACGCCTCCCAGAAACTTCCCTGCTCTCAGATCACTCCCTTCCACCGGTCACAGAGAGTAGGCAGGACGTTATGGCGAATCCAGATTCAGGGTTACCGTCACCTTCTTCTAGCACGACGGCGGCGTTGTCTTACTTCAACGGTACTACTACGGCTGCCCCCGATCAGCCAGGCGCAAGTGCTGCACAGTTGTCGCATCCGTCTGCTGCCTCAGAACAGAGTCCTGTCAATAATCAACGTGATCAAATACTATCTCCGACTCAGTCCCCTCTTCGTCCTCTTCCTACAAAACCAGCCAGCCAGCTCTCTTCTCAAGCCGCCACCCCAGCCATGACTCAGTCTTCTACACCCGCTCTTGCGCAGTCCAAGCCCCGCATCGTGGGTGGTTTTGAAGTTGATGATGATCCCGAAGATGAGGAAGGGACACAAGACGGAAAGGATGAGGTTGATGTCTACGATCCATCCGTGGGGCTAGACTTCGATGTCTCGACACCTGCTCCTACCCTTGCAAATCAAACCTCCAGTTCCCTTAATAGAGCTTCCCAGTCACCAGAACAAGAAAATGGAATCACTCCTGTTCCTGTCCAGGCCACTGGTAGTCCTGCTGACGCTGACCTTTCTTCTTCCACTACTACTACTACTACTACTACTACTCTTCCTTCTGGTGCCAGTGCTGATGTGCGTGCTGCCACTGCCACAACACCTTCTCACACAGCTCCTGATCACCCGACTCAGAATTCTCCACCTCGCTCGCACTCGCATGTGAATGCCTCTGTTGCTCCAGGCTTACCCAAGTCTCGACTAGCTCATGATGTGGTTGGTATTCTGGAAGATCGCATCAAGGATGACCCTCGCGGAGACATTGATGCGTATCTTGAACTAATCGACGAGTTGAAGAGTCGAAACAAGCAAGAAGATGTCCGTCGGGTGTACGAGCAATATCTCAAAGTTTTCCCTCTGGCCGTATGTGCTTGTCCTCTGTCGTCTTTGTTGCAGTGGCACTAATAGTTTCCAGGCCGAACAATGGTGTGCGTATGTGAAATGGGAAGAGGAGCACGATCGCATGCGGGCCATGGAGACCCTCTTCAATCGATCTCTGCTTGATGTTCTTGATGTGCAACTCTGGACTCTGTACATCAACTATATCCGCCGGCGGAACAGTATGCAGACGGGCGATATCACTCGCTCGTACACCATCATCAACGATTCCTTTACGTTTGCTCTTAAGACTATCGGCATGGACAAGGACTCAGGTCAATTATGGCAAGACTACATCAACTTCCTCAAGACTGGTCCGGGAATTGTTGGCGGGAGTGGTTGGCAAGACGGGGCAAAAGTCGACGCTTTGCGAGAGGCGTACCAGAAAGCAATTGCTGTTCCCACTGCGGCAACCATGCCACTGTGGAAAGAATATGATGCGTTCGAGACCGGGCTGAACAAGATCAACGTACGCATGGAAGACGTCCCCACGCCGTTCTGGGATCTATGCTAATATACCTATCAGGGCCGGAAATACCTTCAAGAAAAGTCACCCGTCTACATGACTGCCAGGACGGCATATACCCAGCTGCAGAACTTGACAAAGGGCCTCAAGAGGACTTCGAGGCCGCTGTTGCCACCCGCCCCAGGCTTCGAGGGTCATGCTGAGTATATGCAACAAGTCGGCCTATGGAAGCAGTGGATTGAATGGGAGAAAGAAGATAACCTCGTCCTCAAAGATGAAGACGCCACTTTGTACAAGAATCGGATCTTGTTCACGTACAAACAAGCTCTCATGGCCTTAGAATTCTGGCCTGAGATGTGGTATGATGCCGTCGAATTCTGCTTCAGCAACGGCCTTGACGCCGATGGCACCAAGCTTCTCAACCAAGGAATTGCTGCCAACCCAGAGTCCCCCCTGTTGGCTTTTAAACTCGCGGATCGTATCGAGACATCAACCCAAAACGATGAAAGTGCTGATCCCGGTGCCAAAGAACGGATGAAGAAAATTAGAGAACCATACGACAAACTGCTGGACGCACTCTATGACCTGATCAAGAAAGTGTCCCTCCGTGAGAAACAGGACATCCAGAAGGTGGAACTCACTGCTGCCGGCAATGGAGGAGACGGCCCGGAGGAGGACGACATCAACGCTTCCAACGTCGCGGCCAAGAAAGCGGCCCTCGACAGCCAGATTGACACGATCAAGAAGAGTGCTCAAGCACAGACCGACATCCTCAGTCGAATGGTTTCGCATGTCTGGATTGCGCTGATGCGAGCAACGCGACGAGTGCAAGGCAAAGGATTGCCGACGGAACGAGGTCCCAGTGGCTTCCGTGCCGTCTTTGGCGAGGCGCGCAAGAGAGGCAAGCTGACGAGCGATTTCTACGTCGAATCTGCGCGCATCGAGTGGCAATGCTACCGAGATCCAACCGGGACAAAGATCCTCGACCGTGGGATGAAGCTGTTTCCCGAAGACGACTATCTCCCGTTGCAGTACGTCAAGCACCTCTTTGACATCAACGACGTCACCAATGCACGGGCGGTTTTCGAAACGACGGTCAAGAGACTCCTGGCTCATGCAGACGGGGAACATACCGCAAAGGCCAAGCCGTTGTTTGCTTTTTTGCACGACTACGAATCCAAATACGGCGAACTGGCTCAAGTCCAGTCGCTGGAAGAGCGCATGAAGAAGCACTTCCCCGAAGATCCCATGCTCACACTCTTCTCCAGCCGATACAACACACCCGCCTTTGAGATCATGAACACGCATCCCATCATATCACCCCACCAAATGAAGCCTCCGCAGGCCACGGTCATGCCCTCGATCGAGGGGCCGGAAGTCGTCAACTCGCCCATCCAAAAGGTGATTGACGCCATCACCACCAACTCTCCGAAGCGGCCATTCCCGGATGATTTTGAGGATGTCGGGCCACGCAAATTGGCACGTGGTGAGTCGCCCTTGAAGGGTGCAGCGGGTCGCCGCATGAATCAACAGCAGCAGCAGCAGCAGCACCAGCGTCAGACCAATCCTCCTGTCGGGATGTCACAGTTTCAAGCTCCACCGCCCTTGCCCCCAGCAATCGTCTATCTTCTGAGCATCCTGCCAAAGGCGTCGACGTATGTTGATGCCAGATTTGACGCCGTGAAGATTATGGAGCTCATTCGAGACGTTCGTCTACCTCCGCCCACGGCAGTTCCAGCGCAGCACAACCAGACTCCCGCCCCAGCACCTCAACCAGGGTGGCCTGGGTATCCGCCACATCCACCCGTGCCGATCCCGCCACAAGGCTTCGTGCCTCCGCCGAGCGTTACACAAGGCCCATACGGAGGAGGTAAGTGGCTGCCATAGTCTCAGCTCTCGAAGCCACGACGTCACTGACATGGAGTCCAGCACCGTTTCGATACGCCTAAACCCGGCCACTTTTCTGGAAGCCGACGAATAGATTGGGCGGCAGAGCAGGATGTAAAACCATTACTTGAATTTTCAGCATTTTAGCCAGTTGGGAGTCCAGATCAGGCAAAATTGAACAAGGAATGCACGCCATCGAAGAGTCACCAGACAGGACGGCTCGATTGGGATCTTGGGCGACTGGAAAAAGTCGGCTGCTTCTAGCCAGCATTGAAATCTCCGAAAATAATATCTTGATTGTTTGTATCTGCGTGTGGTCCTCCAGCTCTTGCGTCTGTCATCCTGCCTCGCTTCCTCGCCGCTGTACGGGATAGTGTTTGCCGATGACTGTTTGATCCAATGGGCTGCGTAGATCTCGTTAGGCAGTAACAGCGGGGTGATGGAGACGGCCGGGGGGAGCAGTGAGGCTAGGTTGGATGTAGCATGGTCGATGTGTACGGGGTACTATTATGTGGTGGGTGAGTGGATGAGGGTGCCGACAGCTCAATTTTGACAAAACCTCCGCCCGTGGGTCGTGCTGAGGCTGGTCCTGTTCAGAGAGAGTGTGTGCAGAGGAGGCTGAGAGGACTGAGAGGACTGAGAGGACTGAGACTGAAGTGAGAGACAGCTGAGCTCACTGCTCACGCTGTTGAAGTGACAGACAGACAGAGGACAGCAGAAGCACACGATGTGATTGAGCCTCAGACTACCTCGTACAAATATCTCCTACCTATCTCTTCCCTTCCACCACTTTGATTCCTTCTACATGCCACCCTCTTCGTCTCCTATCCTTCTTCTTCTTCTCCTTCTCTTCATCTTCTTCTTCACATCCATCTTGTCCACCTCGGCAGTGTCAAGTAATCGCTAATCCTCGCTCCTCCAGAGTCTTCTCGGCTGCACTCCTGGGATCTCTCAGGAGCCAGTCTCACTTGACCATCAACACCATCTGTGCACAGTCAACCACACACAAAGCAGCTGAGGTGAGTAGCTGTAGCCTCTGTTTCCATTGTTCGTGCCTCCTTCCAGCAGTTAGCCTTGAATCTGAGACACGGTCTCAAACAAGAAGCTGCAACTGCTTTGTCTGATCGCTGCCTCACCGGCAAGATACACAACACCACAAACAACAACACTCACAAACTCCATTCCACACTCGATCAAGAATCTCTTCCCCATATATTACCCGTCCATCTCATCCATACCTCTTAAGCCTGTCATCTCACCATCTCGTATTCTTCATTGTGGTCGACCACATCCACATCTTGGTCAGACTCGGGTCTTGTCTTGACTCTCTGCACAGTCCACCTACTGACTTCGCATTCCAACAGTCGACTGCTCTTTGAGTCACCATGTCTGGAGCAGCCCGCAAGCGAGGCGCCGGCCGTGCGACTAGGGGTCAACAGCCGTCGGAAACCTCCTCTCGTCGTGGCGATCGACTTCAAGTGCCAGGCGGCGGCTTCGATGGGCCTGCTTCTCGAGGAACCGCCTCACAGTCTGGTCCCGGCTCTACAGGTCGTGGTGCGGCTTCTGCGGCTTCATCTGCTGCGTCTGGTGCTGGTAGTCCTAGTGTCCCGCAAGAGGCGCCGTCCCAGGGTCCTAGCAGTCGTCGGAGCAGCCAGTCTGGTGGTCAGTCAACGCGAGCTCCTCAAGCTCCTCCTCGGACCGATCCGGCACGAGACAAACCGGCGAGATACACAGATCAGATGCGCAATATCGATCTGCCCGCTTCATTCTACAACATTGATCAGTTGGTAAGTCGTTTTCTCTATTTGACCTTCTGGGTTGTCCACCGTGCTCCGCCCCTTCGTCTTTGTCGAAACATCCACTGCCTTTCCATTGTTGTTTTTCCCTATTCAGGTCTGCCACGCAATGTCACTTTTCCTTTTTGACGTTATTGACCCCTGTCACTCCCACGCACTGCCTGTCTGAATTCACGTTCAGCTTTCAACGCGAATGCCTTCACAGCCTCCACAGCATATTCTCAAGCGTTGCCTACGCATTGTTTGGGGCAGTGACTGCTTTCATTGTGCCTACAATCACTTCACATGAGATGCACCTTGCAGTTCTCGCTCCAGACTATTTATACCCTCGTGTTCCCTCCATCTTGCTCTTCCGAAGCTACACATACACCCACACACATCTCTCCCCCATTCCTTGCAAACATGGCACCTCCATCTTCCAGAGGGCCCGGGTTTGGTGCAGGCAATTCTGTTCCCAGCTCCCCTTCTCGCCAGCCCGGCTACTCTGGTCCCATTTCTCCTTCTTATCAGCAGGGCAGCCCAAGCTACGCCTCCACTCTTCGCCAGCCAGCTCACTCTGGTCTCTTTTCTCCCTCTCGTCAGCCGGGGAACCCAGCTCATCCCTCTCCCCCCCGTCTACAAGGCGGCCAAGTTCATGCCTCCTCATCTCGCCCAGGGGGGAATCCTTCTGTCAACCCAACCCCGCCCGGAACAACAACGGAGATAACATACATCTGCGAGGGAATGGAGCGCTACATGCATCTCTGTCCTGGCATTACTGTGGCACAGCGATCTGATGAGAATCGCGCTGACTCTCCTAAACAGTACAGCCTTCCGACCCAGTACATCAAGCGTCCTGGATTCAACAATACAGGCAAAGTGGTTGGAGCGAATATCAACGCCTTCCACGTTCTCCGTTATCCCAGCGTCAAAGTCTTCCAGTACGATGTAACCATCGGCACTGGTGGGGAGAAGCGAATTGTCAACCGCAAGGTGTGGAATTCACGAGCTCGAAAAAACGCGACTGGCCCACCCGTCCTATACGATGGCAATCGTCTTGCTTGGTCCATGCGTGACTACAATGAGATTCGCCTCATGGTCGATCTCGACCAAGAAGAGGCCCGTCCTTCTCGAAATGGCAAAAACACTTTCCGGCTGAGCATCAAGCGAACCAGAACTCTGGACATCAGTCTCATCCAGCAATACCTGGAGGGTCGTGTGCAGATGAACGAGCTCGTCGCCGAGAGTATCATGTTCTTGGACCATCTGCTCCGAGAGACCCCATCGTCTTCGCCCCAATTCATCTCCATCCGCCGAAGCCTCTTTAGGCGTCAAGGCCAGCGAGCTGATCTCGGCGGTGGTATTGAGGTCTGGCGTGGAGTTTACCAGTCGATGCGTCTTGCTGAAGGCAAGAAGATGATAATCAATGTTGATGTCGCAAATACCTGTTTCTGGAGACCGACCTCTTTGACTTCAGCCATCGTCACCAAGTGGAAAGAGATAAGAGACGTCAACGACATTGCCAACAGAATGGAGCCCTATCAGTCCAACGGCCATCGAGATGAGACCGAGTTCCACAAAACTTTGGAACGAGTCTTCAAGGGGGTTGAGGTGAAGGCCACGTACAAGGGCAATCCATTCCCCGACAAGCAGTGGAAAATCCTTCGATTTGACATCAACAATGCCCTCGAGGAGAAGATCGAATGGAAGGATCCCGTCACCAAGAAACCGACCGGTGAGCTGGTCACGGTGGCCCAGTACTTCAAGCGCAAATACAACATCACCCTGCAGTTCCCGGCGCTGCGACTGGTGGAGATGACACGGAAGGGTGTCAAATACCCCATGGAATTCCTCTTCCTGATGGAGGGCCAACGATATGGCGCCAAGCTGGATGAGATTCAGACGGCGAACATGATCAAGTTTGCGGTCTCCCCCCCCAATGTTCGACTCAATGCCATCAACGAAGGCAGGAGCTGGTTGAATTGGGACAATGATGAATACCTGAGGAACTACGGACTACGTATCAACCAGGTGCCCATCAGAACCATGGCACGTATTCTTCCCGCCCCCGGCATCAAGTTCGGAAATAAGACGGAGCAGGTCGGGACGCGAGGCCGTTGGGATCTGAAAGGAAAGACTTTCCTCGCTCGAAACCCCCAAGAACTCTTCTCTTGGGGTGTTGGCGTCTTCACCACCGGTCGTTCGAGGATTGAGAAGGCCCAGATTGACCAGTTTGTTCTCGATTTCGCCCGCGCTTATCGCAACCATGGGGGACAAGTTGCGAATGCTGCACCATTTGTCACCACTCTGAACCAGGACGTTGGCGCCGCCGTTGCGTTTCTCCATCAATCAACGGGGAACAAGTTCCAGCACCGACCGCAACTCCTGATCTTCTTGGTGTCAGACCGCAACTCTTTCCACTACCTCCGTATCAAGAAATCGTGTGACTGCCGCTTCGGTGTCGTCTCTCAGGTCATGCAAATCTCACAGGTGTTGAAGGGCAACCCTCAGTACTATTCCAACGTCCTGATGAAAGTCAATGCAAAATTGGGCGGTACCACAGCTCAAGCTGTGCCACATCCGAGCAGTGGCTTCAAGTCGTTTTCGGTGCCGACCATGATCATTGGGGCGGACGTCTCGCATGCGTCCCCCGGCAGTCATCAGGCGTCGATGGCGGCCCTGACGGTGTCATACGATCGCTTTGGCGGTCGCTACGCTGCTGCGTGCCAAACCAACGGCCATCGAGTCGAAATGATCTCAGAGGCCAACTGGCAAAACATCTTGGGACCTCTCGTGCAGGGGTGGATTGAAAACGTTGGCGGCAATCGAGTTCCCCAGCAGGTCTACTACATCCGCGATGGTGTGTCCACCAATCAGTTCCAGCAGGTCCTCAATGAAGAAGTGCCCCAGATCAGGAAAGTCATTCAGTCTTGCATGAATGGCCATACGTGGGACGGGAGGGTTACTGTGATCATCGCCAACAAGCGCCATCATATACGCAGCTTTCCCGACAAAGAAGGAGCCGACAACAAAGGCAACCCTCTCCCTGGCATGCTGATTGAGAGAGATGTGACCACTCCCGACGAATTCGATTTCTACCTTTACTCCCACATCGCTTTGCAAGGCACGTCTCGCCCGGTGCACTATTCCGTTCTGCTCGACGAGGCCAAACACCGTCCGGAGGTGATCCAGAACATGATATACGAGCATTGTTATCAATACATGCGCTCGACCACCTCTGTGTCGCTCCATCCGGCGGTGTACTACGCTCACCTGGCATCCAACCGTGCAAAGGCCCACGAAGACTTGCCCGCCACTGCCGGTCCTCAAGGTGGTCCTGGCTACAAGCAAAATGCCAGCAACAGAAGCCCGGACCAGCCTTCTGAGACCGAGGCCAAACCGCTGATGCCTCTTTTCAATGCAAACAAGATCGTCTTCGCCATGTGGTACATTTGAGCTTCGTCTCAAAGCTACCAAGGCCGACAATCCCCGACCTCTAGCGAGTTCAACCCTTACGATGCGGCAACCAATCTTGGATCTGCGTGCATCCGCAATTCCCTTCTCTTGTCCGAGTACGATCGACCCATTTGACGACATTGCCCTCAGTCAAAATATGCGAAAAGTGCTCGGAAGCTTTCAAAGCAGTTGAAGTCTCTGCTTCGGAACAAAAGGCGATGCCCTACTCTCAATGGGCCCTCTCTTGGTGCGACATTGGTTTATGGAGGGGGAAAAAGGAAATTCACAAAAAAAAAGCACTTTCGAACAGGTCTTCTCGTCCACGCCTTTGACGAGGGTGCGCTTGAGTTGACCGGCGATTGTCAACCATTCTACAGCTCGGACGTTGTCCATCTGCTGGCTGCATGGTATCTCATGGTCTAGCTTACACCAATGCAAATCCATTCAATGAATTTTTTCGTTCTATTGCTGTAACATGTGTAGTGTGCCTCGTTCTTCGTTTCTGGCTTCGTTTGAACATGCAGAAGCCACGTTCGATCTTCTTAGTAAGTAACAACGTGTTCGCCTTTCCCATCGTTGCAAGCGCCGATCAGGGAGCACAACGTGGAAGATCTGACGGCGGAGACACACACACACACACACACACACCCATCCGATATCCCTTGGAGCTTAGCCAGTCACCATTTTCCGTGTTACATATGTATGTATGTCTGTATGTATGTATGTACTATGGCCGCCGAAAGATTTGTGTACAAAAGAAGAGACGAGGGATTTTCCCAGTCCGCTCCCTTCCGTTCTTCCCTCTCACCATCCGTCGTCGCATGGCATGTGGCATGAGGCATGAGGCATGAGGATATGAGGATATGAGGGAGGTAGGGACTAGCAACAGAAAAACATGCCAAAAGAGTGGTGGCCAAATCGGTAACCAGGAGACGGGATTCGGGAGACGGTTCCAACAGACTTCAAATTCCCAGATTCGGAACTCAGACTCCAGGAAGGAACAGGCCTCTGCATTCAGTCAACAAAGGGAACCCCCCACCCCTTTCACGTACTCGCTCACGGGGTCCATGGTGCCTGTGGCTTCGTTGTTTGCAGCAAAGGCGACCGGATAGGTTTGAGACAAGCCTAGTGAGCCCAACCAAAGCAAAGCAGAGATGCTTAAAGTGAATGGCGCCCACGATGCATCTGTGGAAGTACGCACACAAATAAGTGTTAGACCATCCTCGAGGGCTCGCTCACACTTGAAGCATAGATGAAACACAATTGGCCAATGCAGACCATCATCCCTACCCTCATTTGCCTCCGTTACACTGACTCCCCAGTCCTACAACCTCCTCTTCCTATTCTCTCTCCCCGTCGGAAGAATCGCATCATGAGCCCTCAAGCGAAGAGCAAAAGGCTGATAACTGCATTCACCTTCACCTCCCTAGAATAACATGGCCGAACGGTCTCTTGCGCGAGGCACTGGCCCTTCGTACAACATGCACTAGATGAAGAAAAGTGGTAACACGCCAAGTCCCAGACCCAAAAACAAAGTGCCAGCACACGCAACAGTAATCTTGAGGCTGGGGGGAAGTTCGATCTGAGAATACCTGATGCCTTGGTAGAGAGTTCGGACAAGCAAGACGATCAACATCAAGAACTGCACGAAAGCCCAGCCCAATGCCTCGTCGTATTGCATGTGTTTGTCGTGAGACGCCATGACAGCCATGCGGATCAGCATGCTGGCATTTGCGGCGAAGTAATTGAGGAAGATGAACTTTTTCACAATGAGCCCTAAGACGGTCCGAATTCTTCGCTGCCATAGAGCCCGCCATAGAGCTCTCTGCAGTCGAGCCCGGTTGACTTCATCGATTTCAAAGCGAACAGTTCGAGCGGCAGTCTCTTGGCCGCCGGCTCCGTCGATCTGACTGAGAGAATATGTGGAGGTACCGATCTGCGCATGGGCATTCAGCAGACTGGATCATGACAGCAACAGTCAGTCCGCTCTTACCAAGGTGATCTCTGAAAGAGGACGGGAGGGTCCTCCAGCTCGACTCGGGTCCAGCTCGTTCTGGCTCGGATCGGGGGAGAGCGACGGGAACCTCGGAGGAGTGGCCATCGTGAGGGCCGAACGTCGAGAATTCGTGACTGAGAGACGGCGCAGCTGGTGAAACGAACGGTGGCCGAGTGTGACGCAGGACGATTTGTGAGGATAGCTGAACAGAGGCTGCAGCCTCCAAACTGCAAAGTGGCAGGTAGTAAGTTGCAGATCAAGTATGAGGCCTTTAGTATGCACAATATCGAATACTTGAACGTCACAAATCAATGCTTCTGATATGAGAGTTGGAAGAATTGAGCCCGAGGGTCGAGGTGAGATACAGGGTTCGGCACACTCAAAACTAAGCGGCTGCTTCCTCACGACGGACGCTCCAAAGGAAGGCAGTCAGTCAATTGAGCACACTGGCACATGAGAAGGCGTAAGCGTCCTGGAAGGCACAGTTCATCTTAGGCTGCCACAGGGGAAACATAAATGGTAGCGTGAGTTTGATCGCTCCTTTCTGCTGATGTGGTTGGTATATGTACACAAATTCTCCAATGTGGAAATTCCAGTGTTGGTACAAGACATGACGTCGTGAAATTCATTGAGCACGTGAGACATTGATGGGTATCTGCTGCAACCCTTGTCGTCGAGGCCCTTTATCATCGGTTGTGGTAGTCGATCACGCCTAGACTTCTTCGCATATCCGCCAAACGGTCGGAGGCTGGCGCAGAGGGACGTGGCGAGTCTCCTCCATTATCGCGCTTCTCAGGATCCTGGATTCGGACTTTCTTGCGACCTCCAGACGTGAATGGGAAGTCCTTGAGGCTCGGGAGCTTGGAGATCTTCTTGCCCGATTTCCCGACGACTTCCTTCTCATTCGTTTGAGGATTGGTAATGGAATCGTGTCGTAAGCGACCCACGGGGCTGCTTCTGGGGCTGTCATCCAAATTCTGCATGGTTTGGAATTGGAGGGGATTCGTATTTAGCGCATCAGAGAATTCCATTTGATCGTCTCCTTCCTTGTAGTCGTTGGGGTCGTCGACCAGGGCAAAACTATGCCTTCTCAATTCTTCCTTGCGCATGCGACGGATGCCGAGACGCTTCAGTTCGGTCTTGAAGTCGTCGAGCATGATGGTGTCGGTGAGGCACTTGAACACGAGACTCAGTTTCCACCACGGGTTGATGCTATACAGCTTCGCGTCAGTCACGGACCACGAACCAAGATGGGAGGGATACGCACCCGTCTGTACTGCCGGTGAAATTGTGGATACTGGCAGCAATGTCGACCGCTGTGAAGATGAGGGCGAGACAGATGGCGGCGAGCAAAATCCCAAATCGAGGAGATCGCTTGATGAGTTCGAAAGCGCCGGTACCGTACACGGAATTGATCACATAAAACAGAGTCAGACAGGTGAAAACCCACCAGGGGTCCCTCATGAGCGGTTCATAGGGGCGGACCCGGACATAGAAGTCGTTGATATTGTTGAAGAAGCGAAAATTGTTCGAGATCTGCCAACAGATGAAGGGCACCGTGAGGGCCAAGGTGCCCAGGTATATCCTCCGTACCCATTTGCCGGTTTCGGGCTTGAACATGCTTCTGGAATCCATGAAGAAGGGTTTGATTTTCATCCAGGCGACAATATTGTGGACGATCCAGGAGATGTACAACAGGGTGGCCGTCGAGGACAGGTACCAACCATATCCTCTGAACCCCATGAAGCAGAATGTGCCTGTGGGAGAGATTAACCCGTCTGCGTCTGTCACCACGCCCCAAGTTCGCTGGGACGGATTCGGCCATGCTTACCATGTGAGAGTGCTGCAAGTTGCTGCAGGAAAGTTGATGTGTCAGCCTCACATACATATCACTACACAAAGGCCAATTTACCTCGACCAAAATCAGCTTGTGCAGAAGAACACCCCTCCTCATATTCGCAATGGTTATGCATGCCATGATGACGAGTGCGCCGACCATGAATCCCTCCGACCAGCCCTCCAGAATGAAGTCCTCGTCCGAGGCGAATGCTCGCCAATCGCCATCTCCCGTGCCAACAGTGCCGCTCCCATTGCGCCGCGAAAGGATTGAAGTTGGAGCCATGTACGTGATCGAGTCAAAGTGGAGAGTCGGTCATGTCTCCGCCATAAGCCATGGAAGGTAAGATTGGACTGCGGCCCGAGATATACGGGAGGAAACTTGGGATTTGGAAGAAGGGTCCTTGCGACGGTGGTGAAGCCTTTCGGCCACCAGATCAGGTCACTGTACGACGCGGTCTCCGGTCGACTGGCCTAATATGCCGTTGGTGGAACACTGGGTGTGGTAGGCGTTGGTTCGGTCGAGTCGCAAACTGAGGGATCTCGCGGCCAGCACGGTTCGTGATGGATAGTAACGGCGATCGAACCTGGTTAGGCGTGTTAGGGGAGGACAGGGTCAGAGACAGGCGTGACAGTTGTACAAATGAACAGGAAATCGTTGGCGTAGTCAGTGAGGACGTCGGCGACGGCGAGAGTGAGCAGCAAGTCGGGGAAGGACAGCTTTTTTCGAGACCCAGCTGTGCGGGCCATGGCCATATGAGAAGAGACGGTCGAGCGGCATGCATACAAACATAGGATGGAGCTTCGCTAAAAGCCGCAGTCGCATGGCATGAATGTTTAGTTAGAGCTGATGTTGGGGCATGAGATCGTCGGGTCACGATGCATGGGGCTGGAGGCGACCTCGAATCAGGGTGGACAGGAGGGACACACACAGCTGGTGACCCAGTGACTTGTGACCAGTGACTCAGTGACTCAGTGACTGGGGACGGGCGACGGGCGACGGCGAAGAGTCGGACAGGCTGGGTGAGGCTGCTAGGCTTTGGTTTCTCGCGGCCCACTGCCGGGGTTTTCAGCCGTGAGCAAAAAGTGGGCAAAAAAGGTGCTAAAAGTAGGTTGGTCGGTGGGCGAGCAGCTCGCCTGACAAATGATGGGGACGGAGACACGTCGATGATCGGCTATTTTTTTTTTCTCTCGCAGGCCACGGAGCATTTGACGCCCGAAAGGCATAATTAATAGAAGGGCTGGTCAATCATAAGATGGCTTGGTTGATGTCCATACCCGACGAGTATTATTAGGTAGCTAGGCTTGGACTTCGAACCCCGCAAAATCCCTTACTGAATCCCCAGGGCGCTGGTCCCTACGGTAGGGAGTCCCGCATCGCACTTGGCAGTCCTGCACGCCTCTGTTAGGCGCCTAGGTACAGTAGGGTAGGTGGTTAGAGCAAGCCAAAGCAGAAGCCATGACGGCATGCAGTAATGGCGCTTACGGGTTCCCCGCAACCCAAGGCTCCTTAGGCTCCTTAGGCTCCTTAGGCTCCTTAGGCTTACCGGGGGCAGAAACAGGTATGACCTAATAAAATTAATAGGTACAGTACTCACCCAGTACTGTACCACCTGTGATGATGACGCAAGGGGGACGCCCGGAATACCACCCACCACCACCTTCTTCTTCCTCCCCGGTTCCAGTCGGTCAAGAACCAGGGGAGGGGATGCACATAACGAGTTAGTCCCAGCATAGTAAGTTACTTATCTACCTAGGTAGGTAGGTAGGCGGGCGAGGCAGACTTCGAGCCCATTCTGTTCTGCCTTGCCTCCATAACATATCACATAGTCTGTACCCGAGTACGTCGAGCAAGCGAGAGGAGACAGTTGTTTTGAGGCTAACGTATCTCTAGGGATTTCAAGACAAGAAGAAAGAACTCGGCCCGTTGAAAAGGGAGAGTCATATGGAATGTAGAAATTGCCTCGAACTGTGACTATTCCGGCTCCTGCTTTATCCCCCCCGTGTTCGACCAAGAATAAAAACCCGATTAAAAATGCCATCCAGCCAGCAGCATGACTGAAGGAGAAGTGTTGTTTCCGCGGGTTGCTAAAGTACATCCCTGATCTCATCGTAGTGAAGTCGTTCATGTCATATAAAATGTGCCCTCTTCCTGTCAGCAACCCCGGCCAGCTCTCTTTATTTCTCGAAAAGCGCGACCTTGGTACCGCCGCCGCTGGCCAGCGTCACCGTCAGCCACTCGCGCCACTCCCTGTCGTCTCGGCTCTCGATCCGGGGGAAAGTCTGGATCAATCTGATGGTGGCATAGGACGCTTCCATCAAGGCGTATTGTTGGCCCACGCAGATGCGAGGCCCGCCATTAAATGGCAAGTACTCCCAGCCGGGGCGGAGAGTCTCCCATCGTTCGGGCTTGAATTCCAGCGCATCGGGCCCGTAGAAGTCCTGACGTCGGTGCACTGTCTCGAGTGTCAGTATCGTCGCGGATCCTTCATGCAGCATGGGGGGAGACTTACTTGACCATGGTGAATATGCCACTACTTCGCCCTTCCGGATCAGCACCGGCGCTTTACCATCCTCTCCTCCACCAAGAGGGAGGATGGTGTCACGGATGGCCTCGCGACTGTTGCCGGGCACCACTGGCATCAGCCGGAGGGACTCGTTCAATGTCCATTTCAGATACTTCATCTCCTTGATCGAGGCGTAGTCGGGCTTCTCGCCGCCGAGCTCATCCACCTCGGCCTTCAACTTGGCCCAAATGTCCGGGCGCTTCGACAAGACATGCCACGTATTGGCCAATAAGCCCGCAGTGGTGTCGCGGCCCGCGAGCAAGATGTTGAGCAATTCCGAACGGAGGGCGTAGGGATCCTGAGTCTGCTGGAGCAACGCGTGAAGGAAGACGTAGCGACTGTTGGGATCCCGCTTCCCGGTCTTCAGCTCCTCCATGGCCTCCTGGATGATTTCGTCCGCAAAGCCGTGGATGATCTTCACGCTCTTCTGCCACTGCGCATCGGGGACATACTCCAGCAGACCTCCGGTGCGGAAGTTTTTCGCACAAGCTACAAAAGTCCATCCATTAGTCACGTTCCACCCTCCCCCCTAAGATGAGCCCGTGCACGCACCTTCAGTGACATAGACAAATGCCTTGACAAACTCGTTGGCTGATTTGGTCTCCAATCCTGGTGCCAGGGTGTTTGTCGATCTGCCAAACAAGAACTCGGTCGCCGAATCCATGGTCAGGCCGAAAAACAAATCCTGCAAGTCGACGGTAGACCCATCGCGCGGGACGGACTCAATAAGATGGGAGACGTGTGCTTCAAACATTTCGAGGTCGGCCACCTGCTGACGGGTGAAGTTGGGTCGGACCATGGCACGAGATCGCTCCCAGGCGGCCCCGTCGTTGGCGAAGATGCCGTGGCCGAAGATGGGGAGGAAGACCTCGCGCCTTCTCTTGCCCAGAGAGTAGTCCTGGAATTTGGTGGACAGGATGGTCTTGACGATCTCGGGTTCGATGGTGGAGATGACTATGCTCCCCGATGAGCCCGCTGTCCAGCCTGCCTGGCAAGGCATACATCGGGAAAAGGATACGTACCAGTGTTTCGGGCCATCTTCACTTTGACAGTGTTTCGACCATTGCTGAAGTTTCTAAGCCGAGTCGCCTCGTGCATGCGACCCTCCCGGCCGGACTTGACCATGTGCTTGATCACGTCCACTCCGAAGAGTTTGCCCATGATGCCTTCATGAGGGTACCACACGACCTCCTCGCACCCATGGTCCCGAACCATTCGGCGCCTACGCGCACCGGTGGTCAATTCATAGTAGATGCGATGGAGGGAATAGGCCACCACCAGAGCGACGAGAAGAACGGGCAGGGAAAGGTGAGGTATGGACATGGCTGCCATGGTTGGACCTTGACGGACGGAGGATGCTGCAAGGATGGGAACAAAAATGGTCAGGGTGGTTTGTTGAATGGATTTAATACAGCGTTTGCCAGATGGGCTGTGCCTCCAAATGGGAGGGCTAGTGGGCGTAGGAGCCTCAACCGAAACAAGAAAAGGTAGGGCGATCCGGGTGGGTGTCGAATGGATGCAACGCAATTGATAGTCAGCCGGGCAGTCGCTATGTCTCAGCTACACGCTCCTCTGGTAGCAGTTCGATCCGACCTGAGTGACAGACAGATTGTGGATGACGAGGGCGAGCTTGGTTATGTATCACCCCAAAAGGTTCAACGTATGTGAGCGGTGGCCCAGTTGCGAAAGGGCCGATCCTGCTGATCAAATTGCAAACCCCCAAAACGGGTCAAGGTCAGTTAGGCGTCGACACCGAAGCCTGCACCCTTGACTCGGATTGGCGTCAGCCCCGGGAGGGTGAGCATTGTCTTTTTGTGTTGGACCACACGAGCGAGCTTGACGGAGGTTGCACCAGAAAGGAGTTTAAAGCAGAATAAGAATACGAGGAATAAAGCGATTGACTGGAGCCTACAAGTGAGAAGCTGCCGAGGCAAGTGGCAGGCTTTGACAGTCCTCGTAAGACCAAGCAAGACCAAGACCGAGACCGAGACCGAAGACACGAAGGCAGAGACGAACCCGATATGATCGATCGCCCTCCATACATACCAAAGCCAATCAGCCCCGTTATGAACACCACACATAACAGAATTGTGTCGACTTTGCCTACACAACTCAACTCTCGCAACTGGCACCCCCGGTGGTGACCCAAGCGGCGTCAGCAAATCATCCACAGGCAGCAACTGGTCAATGTCCCCGACGGTGCAATTGGTTCTCCCATTCTCCCGTCGGAGCGGTGATGATGGTCATCATGACGATGATGACGCCGGCGATAACACAGTCCGATCGAGAGGGAGGCCTTGACGCCCAGACAGACATGCTGAGTCCAGAACACACAACCACAACCACAATCACCTCCGTAGCCTTGCCCTCCATTCCATATGTGTCCCAGGAAATCAAGAAATCGGAAATCACAGTTTGACAGATGCGAACCTCTGTCACCCTGGTAGGTGCCTGGCATCGTCGTCCAAACTATTCCCTCCCCTGACGACCTTGCTCGCGACCTCCATCACTCTTCCCCCGGCCACGATGCCCTCCTCTCGCCCCAACATTGCCGCTGCCTCTTCCTCGACCTTTCCCTCCGTACCGGCCACCCCCGCTGCCACTGCCTCCGCCTTTGCCTTTGCCGCCAACTTTGAAATCAATCTTCTTGAGTGGACGCTCGACCGTCTCGAGCCCATCAAGCCCTAACTCGGCCCTCCGTTCCGAGCTCACTTTCCATGGCTGGAATATTTCCTGCGCATCCTCCAGACCCCGCAGCTCCTCTACCCAAGCCTTGCAATACTCACCGTGGGGGTCATAGTCACAGCCTTGTTTGATGGGGTTGAACACTCGGGCTTCCCCTCGAGGGTCGTTCCCCACGCCAGCCACGTATTGCCAGTTGCCCCAGTTGGAGCTGACGTCGTAGTCGGTCAGCATGCATTCGTACCACTCCGCCCCCAACTTCCAGTTGATGCCCAAGTGCTTCGCCAGGAAGCTCGCCACATTTTGTCGAGCTCGGTTGCTGGTGTAGCCTGTGAGGTAGAGTTCCCGTTGACTGGCATCGATGAACGATGTCCCTGTCGCCCCGCGCAGAAATCTGTCCAGCCTTTCGGCGACCTCCGGGCCGCTCCCTTTGCTGCCGGGTGTCTTCCACGGGTACGAGTGGTCGTTCCGGAACCCCTCGAGTCGAAACAATCGATATCGAAATTTCCGCGTAGAGAGCCTCATGTAGTCCCGCCACAAGAGCTCAAAGCGCACAGCAGCAGTGCCTGCGTTCTCACCTTTCCCAAATCCTTCTGTGCCTTGAAAGCGCTCATCCTGACCATCCTCGAACTCAAGGAGTTGCGAATGAATTTGTCGCGCGGTGATGCACCCGAACGCCAGCCAAGCAGAAAGTTTGGTCGAGAAGTCTGTTCCTAACAAGCCGTTGCGCGTATCTTTGTATCTGTTCATGGCGCCAGTTTTGACGAGAACCTCGATGCGCTTCAGGCCTTCCGTGGTGCCCCCTCGGAAAGGATGGGCAGAAGCCACTCCCGAAGACGGGAAAAGGGGTGGCTTGGAGAGAGGAGGGCTGGCCATCAGCGGTTTCATCAGCCTCGACTCCAATCCCTCGAACGTGTCAGGTATCGTGAAGGGGTGAGTCTGCAAGGGTACGAAAGTTGGCAGTGGCGGCAAAGCTGGTGGCGGAGAGAGCGTTTTGCGTGGCGCGGTTCTTAATGGCTCGACCGACTTCCGGTAGCTCGTGAAGACATCTGGGAGATCAGAAGCTTTATCAAACGGCAAATCTCGGCTACGACAGGTCAGTCCAGCGAAACATCCCAGTTGTTGGTCATGTGTCCTCACTCATCAATGAAGTATTTCTCGTCCAGCCATAATCTGAAACTTGCCCCGAACTTCTCAGCAGCTGTTCGCACATCTCGCTCTTCTCGTTTCTCTTCCACGCCTTCCTCCCCGGTCATCCATACCGCCGAAACGGACACTGCCTCTGCCTGACGGAACTGATCCAGAATGTCTTCGACGACCCGGCCCAAAAGGCCGACGCGGACAAAGAGACCACTACCTACACCTTCGAGCTGAGATTTCAGATCCCAGATAGACTCGGCGAGGAATTTGGCTCTGTGAGGGCCACATCGCCAGAACTTTCCCACCTCTGAGCGTGCCTCGGGGAAAGGTGACTTGGAGCCAATTTCCGAGAGAAATCCAGAGACCTCGACCTGCTGGGCGGGGAAAACATACACCGGGAGAACGTGAGTGAACGGCTTTTCCGCCTGTTGGTAAAGTTGGTGTATTTCGTGGAAAATAGGATTATCTGGAAGTCGGAGGTCTCGTCGTAGTAAGTATATCAGCACACGGGAGGCGGTCATTGGGCCAGCTGCAATGCCGAGGACTCTCGTCTTCTACCCAATACCGGACTGTAGGCTGAAAGAAGCTGGAATGGTAGCGTTGTAACCTCCAAATTCCCAAAAGGTGCACGGACGGGCGAAAAGAAGCCGTAGAAGCTTTCTCGCCGAAGAGCTTCACTTATAGGCCGAGCAGTTGATCTACGGAAGAGTCTTGAGAGAACACAGAGTCCATGGGGAGGGCGAAACTCGCAGACAAAACACAGACTGACAGAAGTAGCTGCCAGTGACAAGTCAATGATCCTGGCTAATCAGCTGTCGACAAATGGCAAAGCAGGGACCTCCCCGGCGGTGGATTCGATCGACCAGGGTGGAATAGAGCTCGAGAATCGGCGGGCTGATGGGCGGGGACCAATGGTACAGGAGGAACATGCCTCACAAGATTAATTCTGGCGGATGTAGGATGCGGTCCAGGATAAGTTATCATGAAATCATTGGGAAAGCCTCGAGAGAGCGGAGCCCAACAGGGTGAAATCTGAGAACCAGGCCTGAACCTTGGAGAAGCTTGGAATGAACGGAAAGCTGCACATGGTCCGGAGAGCGTTGGCAATGTGTCAAAATGTAGGGCGACGGACGGATTGGTGGAAGGGCCGATTTGTGGCTGAAGCAGGACAGAGGCAGCAGTGCACGCATCATGGCGTGACGCGAGAGGAGGATAGGTTTGGAAACAAGGTTCGATCTGAGGTCGGAGGAGTCGATCTGCAAGATCGATATGTGGAGCTTTCAGAGTGGTACGAGGTAGCGCCGATCGATCGGGGGACACACGGCTGACTTGTCTTCTATACTAGCCAAAACGTGGACTTCCAGGGCGGCGGGGTATGTGTTTGCAGAACCTGGCCGCTGGGAGTTTGACGTACGATGTCAGAGTCACAACCGAGCAGAGGCAGCAAAGAGGGCGTGAACGACAAGCTGATTTGAGCAGGAATTCGCCTAAAGCTGCAAGGTAAACTTTGTGCTGCAGCAAATGACACTAGGACAAAGCCTGCACTTGGCGGCATCTGGATGGTTGGCATGAGCATGCACATTGGAATCCGTCTTTGAGTCAAGATGGCCTGTTGGTGCTCGGTACCGCCATGGTGGCTGGACTGGACCTCACCTTGCACAACCCCTGCTCGAGTCCATACAGGGGAGAAAAGAGGAGGGGCGTGTGTCCAAGGTGAGGTTTTCTTTCTTTCTGCTCCGCTTCTCGCGTTAAGCCTTCCTGGTGTCTGTCAATCGTGAGATCGTGTAACCTTTGATGGGTGATTCGCACCTCGCGAAATGAGGAGTCGAAGATTGCACAACCGACTGCATGTGGCTGGCCATGTTGGAGGGTTCCTGGTTTCGGCCAGGTTGTATTGCATTGCTTCTGTGTCCAGGCTATGTATGAGGCCTTTGGACTGCAGACTGAAGAAAGAGGAGCGCAATCCACTTCGACCGGTGGACAGGTAGGTAGGTGGCTTGCTTGCCTCGCTACCCGTCGGTGGTGAGGACTGGTGGGCCAACTGGCCACTCGGCCGGGCACGTGATGCTCCTTCCCCACAGTCCTTGAGAAGGCTGAGAAAGGGGGCCCATGAGCCCGTGACCCGTGACTTGCGACCCGTTCTCGCAGTGACTTGTGACTTGTGACTCTGGGTGCGCTGGGCGTCGTGGTGCTGGCGGCGCCCTCTTCCGCAAGCGAGCTTCGCGCCATTTGGCAAGCCAGATTCAAGCCACACTCGCGTGGTCTACAGGGATCTTCCTAGACACGAAACTGGACAGTTGCTACTTCGTGAAAATGAATATTAAAGAGGCCAAAGCGTCCCAGGCGGCAATGCCACGCCGTCATAAGCCCCTCGGGGGGACGCTGTATGCCACAAACACCCCAAGCAGCATCCACAGGAACCAGCATCAAAATGTATTCATTAAAGTTTTATTGATTCCGTCAGAAATTTTTCGAGTGTCCTCTGGTGCTCCAGCTGAGTCTGTCATGCTCACAACCACACGCCGTGCCAGAAAAAAAAAAGAGTTACCAATATAGCCCTGTCCTGTCATGCCATTCCGCTGGGTATAGTGAAACAAAATGGTGTATCAGATATGCCCATTCCTAGCAATAGAATCCGTCAAATCCATCCGTCTCATGCCGCCTGTTGCTGGCGTTCTGCCATCCATCACGTCATAAAACCCAAAAAACATTCCATTAAAAAGAAGATCCACACGACAAAGGCCACCCAGGATAAGATATTGTACAGTCGCTCAGTGAAAGGGATAATGTGCAATCAGTGCAGCGAAGGGTGACATCTGATTAGGCTGCGGGCGCAGCGGCTGGGCTCTCGTTCATGCCATCGCTTCCAGACTCAGACTTGACACCGTCCTCTCTGGACGAAGAATCGGGCGGCTTGCCACTGCCGCAACCTTTGACCAGGATATGTCGCTGTGATACTAGTTAGTCGAGTCGCACATCAGATTTCGTTACCGCCACTTACTTTGAGCGCGTCCTTGCGAGAGAAGCTCTTGTCACAGTGACTACAAGGAAAAGGCTTTACAGCCAGGTGGATTCTCTTGTGTCTCTTCAAGTCATGGTTGCGATTGAAACTCTGCGGACACTGATCGCACTTGAACGGCCGATCGTGTACCGGTTGTTGTTGAGGCGTGTTGCTCCGTGGTTGGCCATACATGTTTTGAGGATTTGCCGCATAGCCGCTGTTGAAACTCATGGGCAACATATTGGCCTGCATGTTGCCAACCATTGCCATTTGAGCGCCGGGACTGTGAACGTTGGACATGATCGGACCAGGCATGGCGGGTAATGAATACGAGGGCGGAGGATGACGCATGAAGGGAGCCTGAGGCTGAGGTCCTTGATGGAGCGGGGGTGAAACTCGAGGAGCCGAAAGAGAGTGGGGATGAGGGCTCTGTGACACTGGAGTCGCGGATGCATAATGATATCCTGGATGATGTTGTTGAGCCGTAGTCGGGATGGTCGCATACAGACCAGGATTCGATGCCGCTCTGCTGACCCCATCGCCAGGTGTCACGGGAGACTGCTGGCTGGATGGCCTCACACCGTGTGGCAGCGGTGAAATGAGGGTCTGCTGGCCCGTAGCGTGGGTAGCGCTGTTCGGGGAAGAGAGCTGCAGAGGGGCACCGTACTGTTGAACCGAATGGAGATCATAGGGCGGAGGTGGAAGTGCGGAGGCTTCTCCTGCTGTAGGCGAGTTGGTGCTATTCCTCAGCGAGGCACCTGGCATTGGCGAAAACACAGAGCGGGCGGAAACAAGCGATCCGTTCTGCCAGGATGGAGGTGTGTATCCCGTGTGAAACCCCGTCGGCGTGTTACCGGTTCCGAATAGCGTGGGCGTATAGGGCAACACCGGACCGGCTGCGCTGTTTGGGGTTGTTCCTGTGGGAATGGCGGACGAGCCAGCGCTGCTCTCGGAGGCGGAATTGGACGGAGGGGTCAAAAGCTGTCCGACGTTGATGGGCGGTACAGCCTGAGACGTATTGAGGCCCGAGAGAGGTGGGAATTTCTGACTTGATACCACGGGGTTGAAGTGGAGAGCGTTGGGGGGTGGGAGTTCGAGACTGAAAGCGGCTTGCCTACGCTGGCTCAGGCTCGATGGTGTGAGGCCATCGAGGGTTGTCCCCATTGGAAGGGGAATTGCGACGGACGCCAGAGTGACTGACGGGGGAGGATTTAACGCGGGCTCCGCTGTCTCTGAGAAAGAGATATGACGGTCAACACGCCTGGAGAGTCCGATCTGGCGAGAAACAGACGGTTCTCCTTCCTTCTTGTCGTCTTATCGGCAGTGCTGGCGACAGAGGGTAGAAAAGGAGGTACAAGCAGACCAGACGGATGTCCTTGATCCAGTGTTGTTTTCTGATCGAGTCACAACGGATGTGGCATCAATTAGAAAATGGGCGGTTTGGATAGACCTATAACTTGACACAACTTGCTGTTCTCGGGGACAAGCGCAGGTGTATGTGATCTATTTCAACAGCGCCGATACGCGGTGCAGACCGGGGACTTTGTAGAAAGTGATGGCGATGGTAGAGTACCCGTGAGCGACGATCAGTTTCTTGGACCGGAAATGCGGCTGGCCCGACTTATGCGGCTTCCTCAGTGGTCGAGGGGCTCTTTGTGGTCAAATCGGCCTCCTTTTTCAGATAATCGAGGGAAAAGGATCTGCACGGACTCAACCCAGGCTGGTAGTGACAGTCGCTTTTGTTGGATCTTGCAAGCGGATATGGAGGGGAGTGGCCTCGGTCGAAACCTCAGAACCGAGACGAGATAACAATGACGGCGGGCGTGGAGGTAGGATTGTTCACACGCAGACAAGAAGAGGATGAGAGGAGGATTCTGAAATCAGGCTATGAAGAGGGCAGTTCGGGGACGATTTCAAAGATTGAAGAATGCTCGAGGTCGCGATCCTTTTGGTCGGGGCAGCACATGGCGCTCTTAGCGGGCAGCTGGCGGCCGGCTGGCTGGACGGGCCTGTCGCCCTCGTCGCCTAAAAAGAAGAGAGCTGGTCCAAAACGGACAGCGGAGACAGGAGGTGCTAGTATCTGATGGGTATGGTCGCGATGGGTGCTGCTGTGCGGGCTGCAGACTTTTGGACGGGTGGGGGGGCGTGTTTTCTGGCCCTTTAACGCCGAAGAGGATAGGCTTGGAGGTGAGCAAGGACGGGCACAGAACTGATTGCTGATTGCCAGGGCACACTGGCGTGAACAAAGCTGTGGAGCTGGCCATCTGGTCAGTACTCATGCAGGCTGAGGAGAAGAGAGTTTTGGTCAGGGATGATGGTGGGCGGGACACGGAAGAGGCTAAGAGTCGAGGCAGGGAGCCAGGGGGAAGGAAAGCGAGCACGATGGTGAACGAAGGAACGTGTTTTAGGAGGAGGTAGGGGGGAGGGAGAATCGATGGGATGGATGGGCGTTGACATGGGTCCCCGTCGGCTGGGGGGTCTCAGTTTCCGATGGTGTTGGTGGTAGACGAGAAGGAGAAAAAAGCACACAACAGTCTGGACCGAGGGCTGCAGCCAGAGTTTGATTCCCAAACGGGATCGCGAGAAATTGGATCCTGAAGAACCACTATGCTGGAACTGGCATAGCACTGGAGGCATTAGGAGTGTGATGAGTCTCTGTGTGGTTTGCTGGTGGAGAATTTCCTGACCGAGTACCAGTAGAAGGGAAGAGGAGGAGGGGTGGGTTTGTTGGCAACGCATAGGCTGGTAGGCGCTTGGGGGAGGGGTGCTTCAGTAGTCGGGTCATGAGAAGCTGAACACAGCACGCAAGCACTCCTTTCACTGAGATACCCAGGGACATGGTGACGGTGACGGTGACGGTGCTTCCCGGCACGATTTGTGAGGCATTGGGCAGGTACTGAACAGTTACCCCCCTTTTTGGGCTCACTAGGGCCCCCTCCCCTCCTCCAACCTTTTTTTTAACCATACCTACAGCAAGGAAGGCTTACCTAGACTTACCTAGACTTACCCATAGTGACAGACCTGTGCTCTTCCTTTGGTAACCTATCAGACACCTAGAGTTAGTTGACTTGCTTACCTACAATGCAATATTGTGTAACCCAGTACATCCTCGGTGTCTACGACGAGTAAGTGTCTGTGAGTCCAGGTTCCAACATGTTACACCTGCCTAATCAATTCTAACCAGTCAGCGACTCCGCTACCACTCCTTCCACTAACCACGGCTTGGGAGGTGTGTGCCAATGTGCGTGCTCCGTACCGTACCCTACTGGTTTCCCTATCATGGCCATCTCGAATTTCTTCTCCCCTTGTACTCTGTATCTGTAATATTGAGCTCGTGTTCGGCGTCCATCTGAAAGTGTCCACCCTGCGTCAAAAATTGATTCTCTTTTGCCCCCCTCCCCCCATTATTTTTATCACCTGTTCCAGGAAAATCCTTTCCCGACAGGACAGGTATCCTAGCCCTGGTCATTTGGTCCGCCATGGTCTGTGTGTTTTTTGTCTTTATCTTGACCGTACTAACCACAACCTACCTGGACAGGCCCCATCCCAGGTAACCTTTTCGCCCAATACCCCGTACCCTACGGTTCTTTTGCCAGCGGCAGCCTATCGACTCGCACTTTGTGCTCAGTGTCCACTGCCCACCCTACCTCTCCTCACCAGACTCACTAGCTAGGCGAGAAAGCAGAAGCTATCCTCTTTACCGATTTCCCACCCTCTCCAGTGCATCATCGGCCTTGCCTGGTCGGGCTTAGGGATGGCCAAGACAGGAAAAAGGAATAAACCTCTGGCACTGTTTGTTCGCCGCAAAGGACATCACCTTACCCAACCTTCACGGCCTCGCCGTTGATCAAAGGGTGTTTCAGGGGGTTTCCCTTGCGACCACGAGCCACATTTGCCGAGACCCTCGTCACCTTGCTGAAAGGTAGATTCCCACCATCACCGTTCCCGGATCTTCTCCGCCTTGGATTGAGTCAAATGGGCTTCTGTCAAGTTCCCTTTGGTCTGATCCGAGGTTTGGACCTGACGTTCACCCCCGCCATGACAGTGTCTGCCGAAAGCTGTCAGCTTGACCAGACATCATCTTCCTGGGACTCCAATTGATACAAGTCACGGTGCACAACCACCAACTAGATATGAGGCTGAGATGCAAAGCACAACCTGGTCGAAGCAAGCCCCACGTGTGAGTTGCAACCCGGTCTCGGGCTCTGCCTACACTGTTTGTGAGGCAGAGCCCTCAGGCTCATTATGCGCACAGACGTTTGGGGTTAAAGCTTCCTTACTCCATCAGTGACAGCTTAACCCCACCACCATAATGGTCCTTGGTTCAACTAACGAGCAGTAATACGATCTTTAGCTCCGGGCTAGTCCTCGCTGCGTGCATTGGTGTCCTCTCCTATTCGGCGGTCGACTTTCAAGCGACTTGAAGTATGGTAGCGGATCAAGCAATTTCCAGTGCCATGTGGCTGCCACCTCACTTTTTTCGATGCCCCTAAGGGTGTCGTGAGTTGATCGGGCCGAGCGGTGCTCGACGCCTGCTAGGCGTTTGCTTTGTGCCCTCACAGGCCTGCCGAATCCAATCCAGTTACGCTCCACCCGCATTCAGACTATTCTGCTCTTCCTGGAAGTTCAGCCAGCCATAACCGTGTTGCGGAAACAGCCACCACCAACTAGACAACGCCAGCCCGCGCTTTTGGCCTTCAACAGATCGATCTGTTCAGCGCCGTGAGGCTGCCACGCTTTTGACACATTGATGCAAAGGCGCAAAACGGGCTCTTCAAACCTTCCAATGGAACTTTGATGCCGCCCTCTACAAGAACAAGCCCGCCGTTTTGCAGGGCCAAGCTGGGCTCCAAGATCACCTCCCCCATCTCAGTGGCAGCCCGGGACAGATCGTCCCCTGTTGATCACCTCCTGCTATGGCCGGCCATCACACTTCCCTCACATGTTCGCGGATCGAAAAGATAAACAACACCCAGTTCTCATTCTGGGGTGTTTTGGTCCGTCGCGTGGTCGAACACTCCATGCGATTCGCTCTTGGACATGAGCTCAGTAAGCGCTTTACGTCAAATCTGATCCCCTAACTCCAGGAGCAATTTCGGAGAGGTTGGCTTGTCACGAGGGAAACTAAATGTGCTCGGGCTTTCTGAAGGGGGCTTGTGGGCACTCGACGAGCAGCATCTCTAGGGGATGTCCAATGGTGATGCCCCCTAAGCGAACCGCTATACCGCTTGCATGACGCCCCAAAGATGCCCCTGCAGATCGCGTCTTCGACCTCGTTGCTGACACCCGCTTGCCGGGGTTTCTGGGGCTGCTCCGCTACGCCAGGCTCATTGGGCTGATAGTGCGCTATTGGTTTACTCTCCTGGCGTTTCCCGAAGGAAACTCCCTGACACAATGGTTTATAATTTTCCGTCCCTATACAGCCTCACTGACGTTTCGAAGTCAAACACATCTCAGGCCATTTAGATCTTGCAGATTTTCAGCCTCCCTCCCGACTTATCCCAAAGTCTAGACCACGGATCAAGCAGCAGGTCGGAAATTGTATCCTCCGGCCTACGCTCTTTTGCCGCCTTCCGCATCGCTGAACCCGCATTCACTACGTACAGAACCACCATTTCCCCTTGCAGATTTGGACTCGATGATCCGCTGGCCACATTGAGAGTTGATTGCTGACTCTGTTTCGTCTTCACGTGGTATCCAGGACTTGAAATCAATAGAGCTATGAACGGAACTGCGAGTGGAACCTAGGCATTCGTCAGCCCCTTTTACCTTGGTCCGTTCGAGGCTTTCAGGGCTGAGGCGACTATCACTGGAGTCTCGTAATCTCGGCGTTTTCTGCCAGAACTCAAAAATCAATATCCATCACCTACGTGTTTCGGGAATCTGCATGCGGCTTCACGAACACCAACTCTGTCGCGGGACAGGAGGAAAGTGGATCGGTTTCACAGCAAGAGCTGCAATTGTTGCACATGGCATTGTCGAATTGTCCGACTCCTGGTTCTGACGTACCGGGCTTCATTTCTGCGAGCCATTTCTTAAGCTCTGGACTGATCTTCCATGACGCGATTCAGAGTCCAAACCCCCCAGGTCGAGCTGGTAGTTACATATTAACTGTGCCAATGTAGTCGAATGGCTCCGACTCACTGCCCAGACAGAAGGGACGCTGAATGTTTGCTGGAATCTGAGCCGCCTCCTCCCCGAGGCTTGAGGTCAGAACATTGGACGTAAACAAAGGTCACGTCACGTCTCTGCCACAAACCTTATGTTCCTGGTGGCTTCTGAGGTTAAATTCAACTTTCAAGGGTTGAAGGGCTGGTTGGCTACCCACCGGCGCCCCTTTTTTGACTCGAGCCATTTTCCCCGAACCCGGCGTACCCGCAAGAAAAGTAGCGACGAGGAGGCGAGAAATCCTAGCAGCCGAGCGCCACAGCCTCTAGCAGAAGTGGCTCCGACCTTGGGCCGTATCTCAGCCTTACCGCAGTCTGGCCCTGTATGGCTGAAGGACCGGGATAGACGTTGATATCCACAACTTCACACACTGAGTGTTTGTCAATCTCTTTACTCCCGCCTTGGCGAGTAGGTGGCGACGTGTAAGCTCCCAATCAATTGCGAAGTTTCCGAACAGAGCAACGGACGGCCTCAACGGACGAGGCCCTCTTGCTCGACGCCGTTGGCAGAAAGTGTAAGCTACACCACCAACATAGGATTCGTTAGACACTCTTAATGCAACCGGCCTGCACTGTCCACTGTCCAAAGTACATTAGCTGTTATTCTCCAAAGCATATTGTGCTCGGGAGTGCTTCCCGTCGAAAGCCACACACATACAAGGCCATGTAGGGGGCCACTGGCGACCCATAAACTTATACAAACGTGCCGTGCATGGTCTGGAGCCCTTTATGTATCGACAACGCCATCGCCGGATGTAGGTGGTGTTTCTTACCCCGTGGCATGGATCAAACACGTTTCTTCTGATGGCGGACCCAACGATGCGATGTGAACGGCTTCTTGTCCCGTTGTCCACTGTATTGAGTTAAGAAGACTCGACGACAAACAAGGCGCCTCCTCCCAATTATTCACCGGCTTCCTTCCAAACGAAGCAGCGGTGTTTTCCACGACCCGCAACGTGACCGGCACTGTTTGACGACTCTGGGTCGGCTTCGACAAAGCAGAGGTCCGTGGATTGCCTCAGAACCTCCTCAAGAGCTCTCAATGCGCCGGGCCCGAGATCCAATGCAAAGCGTATTTCTTTGACGTGCCTGGGCATGCGCATCACGTAAATGTAAGGATACGAAAACTCCTTCCAGTCGCTCTCTAGCATGTTACTTCGCAAATCCTGCAAAGCTGTTTGATACTCGCGGTCTGGAAAGTCAAAGGAGAAGTGCCTGTCCCAGACGTTGAGATCGAGGACCAAGTTGGGTCTGGCGTGGCCACGCGGAATGGAGGCCATGAAGTCCTTGAGGTAGGGGATGGCCGCCAACAGGATGTGGGATGCGGCCTCCACGACGAGAAGGGCGAGGCTCGGGCAGCGTTGGTTCAAGGTGCGCCAGAAGGAGATGGCGTACGAGCTGTTCAACCAGGCGTTTCTGTAAACACGCAATGTCTTGATCGAGGCGAGTGCGATCGAACCGAGGTTGCAGAACGTCTGGATATCCTTGTCGAAGCGGAAGCAGTTGGCGCTGTACGCAAATTCAAGCGTATCGCGGGAGATGGCCTTGTTCACCCGAAAGAGGGAGGTGTGGAAGGTCGGTTCGTGCGGCGCTTCTCTGTCCTCGGATAGTGACAATGACGCCCACTTCGAGAAGAAGTCGTGAAAGCCTAGAGTGATAGGCCCGGGTCTATGACAGAACAGGTGCCGGTAGATTTGATGTCGGACCTCTGTTGGGAGATCCAGCAAACCCAGTCGCCGTCGAGGCTGGTCACCACTCGTCACACAACCGATGGCGTCTGGTGTAGCGGCCATGTGTCATCAGAATTTGGGGTGGGCGAATAGGTTTCTGTTTCTGGGTCTCTCCACTGACCAGAACCATACGGGGAGGACCACAGATATGTATGCAATAGCCGAGAGTCGCAATCACATGGCAATATGGGGGAGAAAAAGAACGATGTTGCTCTCCCCGTACTCGGTGTAACAGGGAAATCCGTATCCTTTCGTGGAATACGTGGTTTGTGATTTGTGACCTGGGTAAACCACCTTTTCAGTGGTGACTGTCAGATGTGCTTCGGAGGCACAAAAGTTGTTCACCTTTCGACGCTGGATATGGCGAGACTTGAAGAGCTGCGAAATTTGAGGAGTTGGTATAACTGCCAAGTCCAAATAATTATCTCGTGATTCTATATGTACGATGGCGGCGTATCCCTCCAGCTTACCCGTAATTCCAACGGAGTAATTTCCCAGGGTCACTTGAACAATTGGTCACAATGGCTGGCTTCGTTCTATGTACATGGAAGTCAATGACTCCCAACGTACGCACAAACACAAGATCCTGACAAGTTCTGAGCGACTTGCCCTCCAAGTCGCCAGCAACACGAGTGGTATGAATGGCCAGGTGCCTGAGCTTGCCCTATATAGAACATTCCTTGCATTCGTCTATCTCTCAGATGCTCAGTCCGTCGCCTTTTTTGGTCGTTGCTCTTCATGAGCATCAACCATGACTCTAATGTACTTGCTGCTCTGGTTTGGGTGCACCAAGTTATCATGAGATTTCCAAGTCTATCTCCCTCGCTGGATCCACCTTGGAATAGCATCCCCGAGCTCTGCACCTCATCTAGTGTCAGACCCTTCTGTCTTGCATCCTCATGTGATGACCGCAGGCTGGAATGCTAAGAGAGCCTTGCTTCAGACGACACTGGCAATGCACAATGACGGATTGCGTAGTGTGAGGACATTAGCCTCGTAGACCACCCACATATGGCCTTTGAGCAGGATAAAAGAAACCGATGAAGGAAAAGGACGAGCTATTACTGTACATAAGCTTGCAGCAGAAACAATAGCTTAGGAAGATCGTTGTTATAGCGTACGTAGAGAAGATCACTGTGGAATAACCATCACGTGTGCCGCATGAGGCGATGACGTAGTGGTCCGCGCTTCTCCAGTCCACTTCTCGTGCGAACCTGAACAACGACAGCGCAGCTTTCCGGACCTTCAATGATCGTCGTTCACAGGTGTCCACCGAGCGAGAAGAAGCTTTGAACTCATCCAAAAACGGTCCTATTTCTCCTCCTGCACTTAACCTGACACTCATCTCCATACCGACTTGCCTCTATCCCCTCTCGTTCCTGAGCTCCAGAACTCAAACCCAGCGTCAGTTCTCGATCGTATGTGGCAGCCCAAGCCTATGAAGGCTTTTGTATCCAACATGTTTCGCATGGTATGTTTGCACCCTCGAGATTCCCCTCCTCGTGCACCCTACCTGACCCCCGAGCTATCCGGCTCTCGAGCCCCCCTCTCTGATTACAGCAAGCACCCGACGACTCGTCTTGGATCCCCGAAACATGAGAAACAGAGCAAAATAGAAAGAACCTGAGCTAACCCCAAGCCTTTCCCTCGTTCGCCGACCAACCAGGCCAAGACCCTCGATGTGATCACACTGTTCCATAAACCCTCCCTCCCCGCGAGCGTGCGGGTGCAGACGCTGCTTAAACAGGCCTCGGCGCAGGCGGCCGAGACGGCCACCGAAGACCAGGCGTCGGACCACTCGCACCAGAACGCCACGGTGACCCGCGACCCGTTCGAGCTGGAAATCACCGAGCAGCCGCCCACGCCGGACCAGCTGAAGAGCATCTTCGAGTACGTCGGCTCTGGCCGGGCCGCGGACCTGGTGAAAGGCGCGGCCAGCGAGAGCGACGCCCTAAGGAAGGTCAAGCAGGACGGAAGCCTGTTCACGCGTCCCGTCGTCGTGGATTGGAGTGCCGGCAAGGCCGTCATCGGGGACCAGGACAGCGAGATCTTGAAGTTGTTGAAGGCCCAGCATAAGTGAGGAACAAGGAGCGGCCACGCTGAGAAATGGAGCAAAGCTGAGTGATGGCGATCACGGGAGTACCGGACAGTGTACAAGAATACTCTCGAACCGCGATGTGAGGTGACAGACGACTATGGTTTGCGTCAAGAGAACTGCTGATGGAGCTCACGGAAGAGAAAAAAAGATGCAATCATGATGGGCATCATTGTTTTCCAAACAAGGAGCAAGCAGTGGCCGACCTTCTCAAGCTCTTTAAAAGTTCCATGGTTGGTTTCTTTATGGTACACGATTTGACACGAAGACTACGATTTCAGCTTCCCTCCCAATCTATGAACTCCTATGGGTGATAGGTCTCAGACCCAAAGACTGCAGCGGTAGACCGTGACGAAAAGTGTAGTCATATATGATTCTGTGTTTCCAGGTGCTCGTTCCCCGAATTCCTCTTTCCAATTATTGATATCTTTCTGGCTCTTCCACAGGGTCTCCCAGGATCTTTTTGCTTTCATTGAATGCGAACATACAGCAGACCCATCTGGCCATCTGGCTTAGCCTTGTCTCCTGAACTCCAGCGGCTTTACAGAGCCAAGCCAGTCCCAGCGGGAAAATTGTACCGCCTCTGATGCAATCAGCTGGACACGATTAGCATCAGAACCAAATATTTACAGCTCTTCCAGATTGGACGTCCTTGACGTGTTGCATCCTCGGGAGAGCTGATGTTGCAGATGCGCTTCCACTGCGAAATTGCATGTGAAAACCCCTGTCACATATCTGCGGCGAGCTGTTCCACAAAACGCGGAGCGGGATTACAGCATGATGCAGCCCCCTGAAGGCCCGGGCTTTCAGATCAGCCTGGTGTCCGATGCAGCAGCAAGAGGCACAGAGACAACCCAGCCCAAATCACAATATCAAATCAAGCGAGGCCAGAAAGGTGAGACCTTGGCACTCAGGAAGGCTGTGCAAAGAAAGGAGATCCACCCCCGACATGGAGTTCAGCCTGGCCAGCCACACGGAGAGTGTGCATTAAGAATCCGGGCTGGGCTTGACAGTATTCCTAGGCTCGGAGGCACCTGACGTCTTCATGTAAGGTACGGTCAGTCCGGATGCGAGACGGAGGGCGGCGGGGAGAACGACTGGAGCGTCGTATGCTCGGTGCTCAGCGGTCTTGGATCCCGTGGGCCTATTGGCAGCCTGTGACACACCCTTACATATGTATGCATTGAGACATGGCCCAAAAGTGTGCGACTCCTCGGGCGTTCAAGACTGTGGTCAAGGGGGAACCTGAGCAGTCGGGATGGCTGTCTCGGAGAGTGTGCTCGCATGCGAAATGGCAGAGGAACCGGAGGCACGAGGCGAACGTGGGCTCAAGAGGGAAAACGGCATGTTGAGGACCTGGCTCGGAGTCTTTTGACGCCGATAAACCTCGTAGATGCCTTGTTAGCAACAAGTGGTGACGTGTACCAAGAGGTCGGTTGCGATAAGATGCCTTCTGGGCACAAGACTCGGCGGCTGGGCAGGAAGAGGCCGATGGCGACAAAGCGGTGCGGTGGAGCGACAGATAAACTGGAAGAGATCCTTGATGCGGGCTTCGGCTGGAGATGTCTGCAGCGAGCGAGCGAGCGAGCGTGGCAATAAGAGAGTCGTTCATTGATGCGATAGACGGACACACAGTGAAGTAATGGAAGGGGCTGGGATGGTGTTTGTGCCCTTTGGGTATAGGCACCATGCAGCTGGTGCCAGGTGCGCATCTAGCTGCATTCCAGAGCACCCGGGTGACGAATTCCTGTCCAGCGCCCCGCCAAAGCCTATCCAGCCCAGGCGTCATAGCTGCCAAGTTGCATACCGATGAACCCCTCTTATAGCCTAGACCACCCGCCCAAGCTTCCGCCACATCCCGGCTGTGGCCCATGACATTCGGGGGGCGTCGTTGGGGGTGGTTGCGAGGTCACGCAACGTGCATTCCCGAGATGCAAGGACAAGACAAGGAACAACCGGACGCAGGAATCAAAGAAAATCCACTCCACCTTGAGGTGACTTTGTGCCCTTCTTGCGTCCGTCACTATTAACCAAGTTTCCTTCTCTGGTCGAACTAGTCAACTTGCTTGTCCTGTACAATAGACTCTTCCTCTCTCCTGCTCGTCTTCCTTGCCAAACGAACCTGTCACTCGCTATTCTGCTCCACCTTTTAACGGCTGCCCGCCTCGTCATCTGCGGATCTGGGATCTGCGGCAAGGATCAAGATCGCCCCCACGTCAACCGAGCCAATCCAAAGGACCGACACCACTCACGCTCGTATACAAGGAACAAATAGTTTGCTTTGCTCAGTGGTTCTCTGGCAATAGACGAATAGAAGCTGCTTCCCCAGCTGGCTCGCTGCCGGCGCAGGTACTCTGTCCTTTCCACACCATTTTCTACAACACAATGAAGCCCTTTCGGAGAAGACAGTGCTTCCATGTGGCGTTATCCGTCATCCTGTTGGCGCACAATGCCTTCGCAATCCAGCTCGACTTGACAAGCAACGACTCAATAAAAGCCGCCGCCAGAATCGTCGCTGATGAGATGGTGTCATATTACACGGGCTACCGACCTGGAGATGTCCCTGGGAATCTTCCTGCTCCATATTACTGGTGGGAAGCTGGTGCAATGTTTGGCGCGCTCATTGACTACTGGTACTTCACGGGCGACGACTCATTCAATGAGATCACCACGCAAGCCATGCTCCATCAAGTTGGGCCTGACAACGATTTCATGCCACCCAACCAGACAAAGACCGAAGGAAACGACGACCAAGCATTTTGGGGAATGGCCGCTCTCTCTGCGGCGGAGAATGTCTTTCCCAATCCTCCCCCGGACCAACCACAATGGCTGGCTCTGGCTCAGGCTGTCTTCAACACGCAGGCGGCGCGCTGGGACACTAGCTCGTGTGGAGGTGGTTTGAAGTGGCAGATTTTCGCCTTCAACAACGGGTACAATTATAAAAACACCATTTCGAATGGATGCTTTTTCAACATGGGTGCTCGCCTCGCGGTCTACACCGGAAACCAGACGTACGCTGACTGGGCGGACCGCATGTGGGATTGGGTCTCGGCCATCGGTCTGCGGGACGCGCAGTACAACTTTTTCGATGGGAGCGATGACACGATCAATTGCACCCAGCTCGACCATATCCAATGGACATACAATGCAGGCACATTTCTCGTCGGAGCTGCCAACATGTACAATTTCGTAAGTCGTTCTTCATCCGCCGTTGTCGAGGCCGACTCACTGACTTTTTCAAACGCAGACAGGGGGCAGTCAAGTCTGGGAGGACAGAATCAACGGGATCATTGGGAGGCTAAATGTCTTTCTGCAGAACAATATTCTGAAAGAGGTTGCCTGTGAAGGCGTCAACCCCGACGGTTCCGATACCTGCGATGTCGATCAACGCTCATTCAAGGCGTATCTCGCTCGATGGATGGCAGCGACAATGGTTAGAGCGCCCTTCACTTATCCGCTCTTGAAACCGATTTTAGAAACTTCGGCTGCGGCTGCAGCTTCAGTCTGCACAGGCGGTGTCAATGGTACTTCGTGTGGGTTGAAATGGTGGACAGGCCAATTCGACGGCAGCACTGGAGTTGGCGAACAAATGTCGGCCCTGGAAGTCATCCAATCCAATCTGGTCACCGAGGTCGCTGGTCCTGTTACTCAAAATACCGGAGGAACCAGCAAGGGAGATCCCAATGCTGGCACGCAAAGCCCCATTGGCCCCGAGGATCTGAACAAGGAGAAGGTCACCACAGCGGACAAGGCTGGGGCGGCGATCTTGACTGTTTTGTTGGTTTTCTTCATTGTGGGAGGCGCATGGTGGATGGTTCTCTAGACGTGAGATTCTTCTGCTTACCACGACCGGCATTGCTCGTGAAAGCTAGACGAGGGAGGACATACGTTATGATTTGACGATTGGCATCAAACCCGGCGTTTTGCTGCTAGAGATCGGCGGCTGGAGGGTCTGTTTGTGTGTCTGGCAAGTATGGTTAGGTGCTTGGGGGATATGGGAACACTTGGGACAAAAGAGCTGAAGAGGCGGCTCTGGGAAGCTGGCATTCCCTCTCGTGAGAAAGCGTTGCTCGAGCCCGCCCGGAACGAGCGCTGAAGTAATCAGCATTGAGCCCTCGGTGTGAATGGTATTGAGCCATCCATCTTGCGTAAATTTTATGAGGGCGTTGGCGAGAGGAGACTTGTTTCAACGCATCGCTGCTTGCAGATTTTGTACAGATCGCCTGGTCCAAGATCATCTCCAATATGCAGTGGACAGAATCTTACTTTCCTTCTGCCTGTGCACGTCTCATCTGCTCCCTGATGGTCTCCCTGTCCGTTCCCTGCTCCGCTGCTTTTCTCATCCTCTCGGCGTTCTCTCGCTTCTCAGCCTCCGCGGCGACAATCCACACCGGCTTATCTGATTTGGAATACTCGATCAATTTGGAGACGAATTCCTCGTTATTTTTGAGGCGTTGCTCTCGCAGTTCGAGATTGCGTTTTTGGAGGTCGGGGTTGAAGCGTTTGAAGACTTCGCCCTCGGCGGGTGTTACACTGAGGCGGTCATGTCAGTTTGGGTACGTCTAGACCTCGAGGCGCCGTGCAAAAAGACCATCCGGACGAGGTAACAAATGAAAGGCAATGAGGCTTACTAGTACATCAATGCTGGACCTCCAGCACAGCACACCACAAACCTTGTGTCGATCAGAGATGTCAGCACGATACCAGCCAACAGATTGTTTTGTCCCTTACACCGCTGCCATTTTTGTGTACATCCATCCCCGAGAACCCATGGTGGGTTTCAATGTGTGTTCTCGAGCGCTCCCCAGCGACTTTTCAACGACAGCTTTGGACACCTCGGTCCTAGCTTAATAACAATCCACTGGCGGGGAGTGCATTGGCCCGTGGAGGGTATGAAACGGTAGACAGACTCAAGATCGAGGGGGCACGTGGTGCGCCCTTAAGCAGATGAAGTTGAGGGTGCGAAATTCAGGTCGTCAAGGTCAATGATGCAGTACGAGGTACTGGATCTACCATTTTCACGTGAACTTGGCGGGCTCTGATTGGCGAGCGACCTGCACCACCTATTCTTTTCGATTTAGGGGGGCAACCAGGGGCACTAAGGGCATGGGGAAGCGTCCCAGCCACTGACAAGACCATGATCTAGGCTGCATTAAAAAGCCGGCCGTAACGGGTCATGGGTGGTGCCTTGGGGACGGAGGCATTGGGCGGAATCAGTACGGGGTACGGAGCAACTCGTACGAGCGAGTTCATCATGGAATGAGTGCGCCATTAATGCACGCAACTCGGCAAACCGAGGCAGCGATCTTGGGTGCAAATGCAGCCTGCAATCTGCAGCATCATGCTACTAATACTAGCAACGAACAGGTCGATTCTGATGTAAGGACGCCTAGAGCACAGCCTCCTCGTCTGTCAGCCAAAAGCTGGAGGTAGTCGGCGGTAGCTTGCCACACCCGACCGAAGCGGACGAGGTTGCGTCTTTATTCTAGTGATGGCAGGTCTATTTAATCCGTGGGTTTGATGGCGAGGAAAAGGAGCGGATGCACATTGTCATCAAGTATCTTAACGTTTAATCCTACATAGTAATACTCAAAGCAGTTGGGTGGTTGGGCTCATCACGTGCTGGTGTCGTGAAACGAAACAAGTCGGTGGCGCTGCCTTGCTCGTCTCAGAATCCCTTGTCGGGGCCGGCCTCTTCCTGGCTGCGGTGGTGCGCTTGTCGCAGGCCCAAGCGCCAGATTTACTCGTACCAGCCTTCGTCAGCTTTGCACTTCCAACCTCCGTTGCAATCTATCTTCAACCCCATCAGCACCATCAGCACTGCAGAATTCTCGACCTAAACCAACACTTGTTCTCTTCGCACTCACTCTAAACCGTCACCTGCTATCGCCAACTCGCCATCCCTGACATCCCTATCATCGAATTCGCTCCTTTTCCATTCCAGCCTAACCTCCTTCCTCCCTCTCCGACTTCAGCTCTACCAAAAATGGCCTCGGAAACGCCTTATGATCCCTACATACCTGCTGGCGGCCAAGGCGGCGCGCAGCCGCCCAGCAACCAGAGAACAGCTGCCTTACAAGCGGTACGTCAATAATTGCTGTCCGCACACACACAGTTGCGAAGAAGATATGCGGGTTGAGGATGGGCGATTCTGCGGCTTGAGGTGTCGCAGGTGGATTCTACACGGCGAGATCCATCAGCGCACGCTGGCTCAGACCTGCAGGGTTGACTGTCCATCAACCTGGGTAGATTCATCGTTGGAATAACGACATTCCATTCACTATCGACCCGGCATCATCGTCTCATCATCTTCCGTTCGAGCTGAAGGCTGACAGGATCACCTCATATAGCAAATCGATGATACCGTCGGTGTCATGCGTGAAAACATCAACAAGGTGTCACAAAGAGGCGAGCGACTAGACTCGCTGCAAGATAAAACCGACAACCTCGCCGTCTCCGCCCAGGGTTTCCGCAGAGGTGCCAACCGGGTCCGGAAACAGATGTGGTGGAAGGACATGAAGATGCGCATGTGTTTGATCGTTGGTATCATTGTGCTGCTCATTGTCATTATCGTCCCAGCCGGTATGTTTCTACTTGTTCCCGTCGGTGTATGGCACAAGGACTAACTTGCTCCAGTGGTCGCCACACGATAAATGCTGACCACCGTCGAACGAGACCTGAATTCTTTTTACTTGGAACATTACGACAGCACAGTCTTCCCCAATGTTGGAGGAAACACTTGAAAGCGAGAACAACAGCGAATGCGAAAGCGTGATGAGAGCTCTTTCTGAATAGTGCTCGAGAGCGCTTACGGCTGGACGAAGGATGGGATGGGGCTACTCCTGTTACAATAATGCACATTGGGCTTTTCTTCCCCTTGTCGATTGGGCGTTCAATAAAATGGAATCTGCCATCAAGTTTCCCACGGAATTCCTGCCATGGCTTTGTCTTCTTGTTGTCTAAATTAAACCCCCGGAATGCTGTGTGAATGTGTCTTTATCTTGCTCCTCGCAACGTGTGACCGTGACGACCAAAGATCGAGTAAAACTTCCACGAGTGCACCGTCCAATGGCACAGACCAGCTCGGTAGAGAGAAAATGAGTGCTCGTGAGTGTTGATCAGCCTCTTCAGGCTAGCAAGCCAGTGGCATGCGTTCATCGTGCAGCAAAAGGCGGCAAAGGAGAATTTTCCAGGCAAAATTTTTCCCTCAGGAGCCCCAGGCGAAGAGTGTAGTTGCAGGGACGGCTACGCCACCCATTATTCGGAGAAGCAGCGGTAGCCTCCAGAGGCCGTGCAGCCGCTGGTGGGCTTCAAAGTTGGGGTTGTGGTTGGTTCTGCCACTGGCAAAACCTCATGCACAAACCACCGTCACCCCGCAAAATATTTTGCTATCGAGCAGTCGGGCGAGCAAGAAAATTTTGACGCAAGGCGACGCTGCTGAAGTTTTTTCTTCCCCTGCTGTGGTCTCGGTCATATGGTTCTTTGGCGTTTTCCCTCTCAATAGACCTGCCGTTGGGTGTTCTCTGTTGGTTTTCTCCGTGTTTCTGATCTCCCCTCTTCGTACACTGCGTCCAGCACGATCCAAAAACAGTGACTCAATCACTCTTATCAGCTGCCGCATGATTTGAGGGCAACCATGTCGGCATTGGGAGCTGCTACTGCACGAGCAGTCACTCGACGGGCAGCGGCCTCGTCTCTTCGTTCTCGAGCTCTGCGTCTGGCTCGACCTTCATACACCCCCCTCGCGGTACAGCAGACGTCTCCGCGACGGACATATTCCTCTCCCTCGGGATCCTACCCTTCGACGAGGTCGACCGTGGTACAGTTGCTCAGTAACATTGGCTCCAAGAGGGAGGTTCAACAGTACCTGTCACACTTTAGCTCGGTTTCGTCCCAGCAATTTGCAGTCATCAAGGTCGGGGGTGCCATCTTGACCGAGCATCTACAGACTTTGTCCTCCGCCCTTGCGTTCCTCAACCATGTTGGGCTCTATCCCGTTGTGGTCCATGGCGCCGGACCCCAGTTGAATAAGATCCTGGAAGACTCGGGGGTTGAACCACACTTTGAGGACGGTATCCGGGTCACAGACCCTAAGACGTTGGGGATCGCACGAGCGCTGTTCCTCGAAGAGAATTTGCGGCTGGTGGAGGAATTGGAGCGTCTGGGTGTCCGAGCCCGACCGATCACGTCTGGTGTTTTTACCGCGGACTATCTTGACAAGGAGAAATATAACCTCGTGGGCAAGATCCGACGTGTTGATAAGAGGCCAATTGAAGCTGCTATCCAAGCGGGATGCCTACCCATTTTGACATCCATGGCCGAGACATCAGACGGGCAGGTCCTGAACGTGAATGCAGATGTCGCGGCCGGTGAGCTAGCACGAGCACTCCAGCCGTTGAAGATTGTCTACCTCTCCGAGAAGGGCGGGTTGTTCAACGGTGACACAAAGGAGAAGATCTCCGCCATCAATTTGGATGAAGAGTATGATCACCTCATGCAACAGTGGTGGGTTCGACACGGCACCAGGTTGAAGATCAAGGAGATGAAGGAGCTCCTGATGGATCTGCCTCGCAGCTCGAGCGTTGCCATCATTCACCCAGCTGATCTACAGAAGGAATTGTTCACGGACTCTGGCGCTGGGACTCTGATCCGACGGGGCAACAAAGTTCATGTCAACACCTCTATCGACCAGTTCAAAGACCTCGACAAGCTCAAGGAAGTCCTTCTCCGTGACCGGGCTGGACTTGATGCCAAAGCCATCGTGGACCGCTACATCAAGTTCCTCCAGACGCGCGACTTCAAGGCTTACTTCGATGAGCCGATGGAGGCTTTTGCTCTTGTCTTGCCACCAAGCGGAGAAACAGCGCTGGCTCAGCTGGCTACCCTCACCATCACCAGGAACGGGTGGCTCACGAATGTGGCAGACAACATCTTCGCCGCTATCAAGAAAGATTTCCCCAAGTTGATGTGGACCGTGAAGGAGGATGACGAGAACTTGACCTGGTTCTTCGACAAGGCTGACGGTAGTCTCTCCAAAGATGGCGAAGTCCTCTTCTGGTACGGTCTGGAGACCAGCGACGAGGTTAAGGACCTTATGGTTGAATTCACAAAGCATGGACGTCAGTTGTTTGGCGATATCAATCTCGAAGCCAAGCTGCACCGCGCAGCGAGAGCGGCGTCCACTGCGACCAACACTGTTGCTCAAGGCATGACCCAGAAGCGAACCTTTGCTACTTCAGCCAGTCCGTTGCGATCAGCACGACAAGCCAGATATGTCACCAAGCCCGCTCTTTCTATTCGCACATACTCCACGACAAACCCAAACCCACCTCTTGGCTCCAAGAACAGCTCCAACAGCAAGCCTTCACGAGTAGCCCTTATTGGAGCTCGCGGCTACACGGGTAAAGCGCTCATCGACCTCCTGAATCGCCATCCGCACATGGATCTGCGCCATGTGTCATCGCGAGAGCTTGCTGGCAGGAAACTAGAAGGTTATGATAAACGCGAGATCATCTACGAAAACTTGACTGTCGAAGACGTCCGACAAATGGAAGAGAATGGAGACGTCGACTGCTGGGTTATGGCTCTCCCAAATGGCGTATGCAAGCCGTTTGTTGATGCTATCGATCAGGTCGGCAAAAACAGTGTCATTATCGATCTCAGCGCCGACTACAGATTCGATCCCAACTGGACCTACGGCCTGCCGGAATTGGTTGACCGTTCTGCCATTGCGAAGGCCACCAGAATCTCAAACCCAGGATGTTATGCTACGGCCGCTCAGCTGGGCATAGCACCTCTGGTGCCGTATCTGGGAGGTCAACCCACAGTATTCGGCGTGTCGGGGTATTCAGGTGCAGGCACCAAACCCTCTCCGAAGAACGACGTCAACAATCTCACGGACAACATCGTTCCCTACAGTTTGACAGATCACATCCACGAAAGGGAGATCTCGACCCAACTGGGCACACCAGTAGCTTTCATTCCCCATGTTGCCGTCTGGTTTCAAGGCATTCACCATACCATCAACATTCCGCTGAACCAGGAGATGAAATCTCGAGATATCAGAACGCTTTATCAAGACCGCTATGCTGGGGAGAGGCTGTTGAAGGTGATTGGCGAGGCCCCCCTGGTCAAGAATATCGCCAAAAAGCATGGCGTGGAGGTCGGGGGTTTTGCTGTGCATAGCAGTGGAAAGAGGGTGGTGGTTTGTGCAACGATCGATAACCTCTTGAAAGGAGCGGCAACACAGTGTCTCCGTAAGTTCCAGACCCCCGTTTGACGCGTGGAGATGAGGCATATACTAACATTCTTCTTTTCACAGAAAACATGAACTTGGCTCTGGGCTATGGGGAGTACGAGGGCATTCCCCTGGAGTAGAAAAGGGAGCTAGACTAGAGTACAGTATATGAAGGCGCCGACGGCAAGATACAATACCCCGAAAAGCATTCGAATAAAAGTCCCGGTTTAATGATACGAGATCCACCTGTGAGCGAGGTTCCTTTTTTTTGTTATACACGCCCTCTTCAATTCCAGTTCACTTAAAAGTCAATGGTGGAGGTGTGAAGAAAGAGACCCTCAAGCCTTCGTTATGTCTTTTTCAAGACCTGGTTCAGTCTCTGCCTTTCGAGTTTTTAGGTGTGAAACGGCACACGAAGGGAGGTCTCGCAGAAGGCCGCGAAGGAGCTCCGGTGTAGGATCTGAATTGTACGGTGTTGGTGTGATTGTGCATCCTGAGGCAGACATTGCAGATGCACTGAGAGGAGGGGGGACACGATAACGAGCAAAGAGTCATCACCACGGCCAGTCCTGCATTAAACCCTCTGTGCGTCTGTCTGCATGTTATAATCCTCTTCTTCTGTCAGTTTTCCTCACGTTGGCGATCATGGTATAGTTCCTCCAACCGGTTAACCACACAACACGGGTCTGGCAGAATGCTCTGCGCTCAGGTTCATGCCCGCTGCAGACTCTGCTCCTTGACCACCCTCTCGATTCTCTTCCCAACTCGCCTCATATTTGCAGACCGCTCCGCTCCTTGATCCTGTCCACTCGCCTGCCCTTGTTCACCTATTCTTCCTTCTTTTCCTTTGGTCTACCACTCCTGTGCCCGCTGCTGCTGCGGCAGCCCACGTCCTCAATCCCAGCCCTCTTTTAGGTCTTGTCAGCGACTTGAGAAGAGTCCCTGATAAAGACCGGACGAGCGGAAAGGATCTCTGGATTGTTTCAGGCAATATGTTTTACAGCCACGAAAGCGAGTCCCCCTTTTTCCCGTTCAGGCTCGTGGCTCGCAAGACACAAGAGATCCAAGGCTGACGCGCGACCTTTCCTGCAAACACAGTCCTGACGAATCGTCAGTATGGCGTTGCGACCATCTGGTAAAGAAACCCCCCTTCTCTCACTCGGTGTTGTGGAAACCGCTGAGCCATTTTCCCCCTAACACGCGCTCACTTTCTTCGCCAGGCTCATGGCCACACTCGGCTCCAAGTCCAACCTGAAAAAGATATCGCGTCGCGCCATCCTCGACGTCGACCTCCAGAAGGCATGCAAAACCATCACGGAGCCCCAGGAGCCATTGGCTTTGAGGTTGCAGGGCAGTCTGCTGTTTGGCGTCTCCCGCGTGTTCCAGCAGCAATGCGGCTATGTGTTGACGGATGCCACAAGTCTCAGAGACAAGATGAGAGACACGGAGCACGTCCTCAAAAAGATGGAATTGGATCCCGACGTGGGAAAGACACGGTCAGTCGCGCAGAGACGCTTAATTCCCTTTCTGCGAATCTCAAGCTCATTTAGATGGCAAGACCAGAACAACTGAACCTCCCAGAAGACCCGTACTTCGTTCCGGAACTTGACATCCACTTCGACCTCTCTGTGTTTGGGCTCGGCGCAGAGGGTGGCAGCTCTTCCAGCAGTGTCTCGTCATTTCTCACAGTCCCTTCAAGCCAGACCAGTCACGCCCCCCACGATGAACTCGATTTCTCAGACCTTGGGTTGTTGTCTTTCGATTCGCCTGCCGGGGACACTGGTGGCTTCAATGTATCCTTGGGAGGAGAGACGAGCTCTGTCGCGCAGACTGTCAGCAGAGTCGGTCCTTACGCTGTCTCTGAAGAGGAACCCGCCATCATGGAAGTCCCATTCTTTGACGTCGACGAGGACGGCTTCCTTCAGCCAGTCAACTCGGGGAGTCCTTTGGGCTTTCAGCTACCATCCGACGCAGGGCCACCACCGCAAAGTGAGGCCAGGGCTAGCGATTGGGGCGGCGGCGCACGTCTATCAAGCGGAAGAGATGATGAACCAATGTCGAATTTCGACGATATGATTGCCCTTGAAGAGGGAGAACCAACCCTTCTACCTGCAGCTCCTCAGATTCCTTTGACTCCAGAGGCTGCAGATGAAGAGGTTCAACCGGCAACACGACAGACCTCTTCTGCCCAACCATCTGAGGAAAGCTCAGAGACGGCAGAAGCACCTGAGCGTCGCGCTCGCACGGTAAAGGTGATTCGACCAGACCGAGAAACAGAGTTGAGTAACCGAGACCTCAACGACTGGAACCAGAACTATCTTGCCAACATGGCGGCTGCCTCACGCATCAGACAAAGCCGACTAGCACGCTTAGAAGCCAAGACGAATGCTGAATTCTGGTTCCTGCAGCAAGGACTGGGGAACGTCGCATCTCTCTTTGGGGAAGACAGAGTCCCACACCCATTCACTGTCTTCAGTGGCCAGTCACTGTGGGACATGTTGAGTGGAGGGCTCGAGTATGGAAGGAAGAGATCACGAAGTAGCTCCTTGGCCGATGTCGAGCAAGACGATGACAGACGAGTCAGAGCCAGAACAACATCCGAAGGTGAAGTTGCTCGCGGAGTAGGAGACGAGAGACTCCCATATCCCGATGACGACGGACTGTTGTTCCAAAGCGAAGACTTTGATGTTGAAGTTGAGGTTGGCCGCCAGGGCGCCCCATCCTTGCTCGACCAACTGTCCAACTTGCCATGGAACCTCTCTGGATCTCGTCAGAGCTCCGCACAGCCTCCGGGAAGCGGCCTTATTTCGAGACTGACCTCAAGCATTGGTGGTCCATATGGCGGAATAGAGTTAGGGCCACCTTCTGTCCGTGGTAGACGTCTTACCTCTGCCAGTCCCCTTTTTGGGAGAGGACTGGCGTCACTATCCAGACGGAACAGCCAAGGACCTTTTGACGCTTCACGAGTCACGAGCAATGAGGACGACTTTGCAGATCTGGACGCGCAGCTAGGGGCAGACATCGACCCAGAATTCGAATTGTACGGACCTTCTGTGAATGTGGATACGCAAACGGCTGCACAGTCTCAGTGGGTCGCAACCACTCTGGAGAATGAAGCGTACAATTTCCTTTCCTTCGTCAACACCAAGATTCAAGAGAAAGCAGAACAACAAGACGTGACTGGAGAGGAGGGCACTGCAGGACAAGCGACGACGATCACCCTAGACGAGCTCCTCCCACCGACCCAGAACTCACAGATTGTGGGCGCTCAAGCTCTCCTTCACGTTCTTGCCCTGGCCACGAAGGGCTTGCTCGAGGTCTACCAGGCCGAGGGCTTCACTGCTATTGAAATCTCGGTTGTAAGTCATTGAAGCTGTCGAAGATTTGTCGGTTGACATATGGTGTGCGCATGCGACTGTCAAAGTACTGTAGGTACGTGGAAAGAGTATCAGGTTTCGGATATGCGCCGACGAATCACCGAAATTGTGAGAGTATCTAAATCTTCGAGGTCAAATCAGCTGGCAGGGATTTTGCAACCGGGAAGTTATGAGCCGGGTCAAGGGATGGTCATGCGCTCGCTAAACGGGGTTCAGCCCTGCTTGTTCACGGACAGGAGCAGCTTGAATTCGTCAGGGATACAAGGATCCTCGCTGCTGCAGAAGAGGGCGAGCACCAAACCATCGCCGTTTGATCGCCGTGGGAATTTCACAAAGGGAAAGAAGCTGTGGCGCAGACGAGCAGATCTCTGGTTTCTTGCTTTTCAAGCCACAACCTTGTCACGGCTCTTGTCACGGCTCTTGTTTCAAAAGTAGACTGTCGAAGATCCGATGTGTTTATTCATAGGCTGGTCTTGAGCGGCGACGGAGTTCTCAGAGGTACACGCAACGCCGAATAGCGGTTGACATTTGTTTTCCTTGTCTCTTGCTTGCACAGCCCAGCAGCCTACCATGTTGGAGAGCAGCTTTTCTAGAATATCCAGTGGCCCAGCAGTCCGGACCGCCACTCGTTACACGGCGATCGGTGGCTTCGCAGCCCGCGAACCCCGTTCCAGAGGCTGCTTTTAGCGGACGATCGTTCGGGAGGTCTGACGCCAAAGAGAACTGGTTGCGGCGAATCATGGGCTTGTGCCTGACGTGAAAGGTTTGAGGTTCGTTCTTTGTCCTGATCAGCTTTGTCAAGGTCAATGTTAGTTGTCTTTGTCAATAGCACATTGTTGCACGTTCCTGGAGGTCTATTGCGGATTCAATAGCTGGCTGGCATTGCAACCAGCAGGACGGTTTGCTGAAAAGACCAAAATATTACGTTAGATTGCTACCCCTCTTCTGCCCCTGAAAGTTAAGCAAAAAGGCCTTAGGCGAGCCCGGGTGATCGCGTCCCCGATCCCCCTGCGCAGGCCCCCTCCGGAACTTTTAAAAGCTGTGCCGTTAGCAGTGGTCTGGGCCAAAGCAAGCCCCAAACTAACCCGCAAAGGAGGCCTAGGACTAGCCTCTCCAGCCTAACCAGCCCCATGTGTCCACCTACAACAAACAACCCGGCCTTTTGCTCACTCGACACCTGTTTATCTGCACCACTCGTTCCCTTTGCACCTCTCGTTGCGATCGCGACGTCCATTCCTGTCCATTCGTTCGCCCGGCCTGTTCGTCGACTCTTGTCGTCGGCTTGCCTGCGCCTGGAGCTTGGTATTCGGCATTTCCCTATGTTCTTCCTGCGCCACCACAGTGAACGGATGAGAGGGCGAACTGGACTCTAATTCCAGCTTGATTGTCAATTACAACATTTCTCGCACGATTCTTCACCGGTCGACACGCCACTCCAGGTTGTCGATGCAGCTCAAGGAGCAGGAACACTGTCTGTAGCGGGCTTGATCTGAGATCTGGCCACCATGATGGCAGGCAACCAATATGGCCAACAATGGCACCAAAATCCGACCCCCTCGTACCAGTATGACAGTGGAAATAATCAGAGGCAATGGCAAGAGAATGGGAGGGGCCAGGGTCCCTACAACCAGGACAATCAACGTTACAATGACCATCCAAAGGGTCGCAATGGCTATGGTACAGGCCCGGCGCCGGTGCCGGCGAGTTACGATCGAAACGCGCAGTGGGAAGGTCAAAATCAATACCCTCAGCAAGGTGGCCATGAAGCACAATATTATGAGAATGGCGAGGGCTACTCGCGGCCACCCCGGCAAGGCCAGTACGACCAAGGTCTCCCTGGTGGTCGGCAATATCAATATGACGAGCGCTACCGAAACCACGGACCAGGCAGACCTCCACAGCCCGATCATGCCTATTCCGATCCACAGAGGCCACCGAGGAACCAGTGGTCGGAGCCTTCCACACCTCAAAAGAGATCGAGGAACCGCAATCGCATCTTGACCGAACCGACGTCCCCTAAGAATCTGGCTTGGGACAACCCCTTTGGCGCATTCCCGCCGAAGAAGAGGCCAGGAGACAAGATGAGGCACGAGAGACACGCCAGTTTGGACCACGCCATGGCGAGTCTGGACATGAATGAATACCGTCCGAATGGCAGCTATGACACCCGACCTCAGACCTCCAACAGCCAGAGGAAAGAAGCCCCTCGTCCCAGTACTTCTCATGACCGTCCAGATCGTCACGCCGACTTTGGACAGCCGCCACTTCCAACGCAAGGCTATCCCATGCCGCCGAGTCGAACCTCGCCGGAGATGAGTTATCAGCAACCACCAGTGCCCCGACCTCAAGGTGGAATCAACAGCCCGAGGATGCGGCCGGCAGGACCCCCGCGAGGCCCTCCACCGCCGATGAACAGGAATGGCCCTCGTCCTGGCCTTCAGGGTGGAATGGAGGATCGCACAAACCATAATGCTCCGGGTAATCTTCCACCGCCAGATCGCCGGGGTAACAATTATATCTACGACGAGGGTTATGCCTCAGACTTCATTCCACAGTCAAGAGCGCATATCTCACCAATAGACCGTGCTCCCCAAGGATATGGGTCCCGACCAGCGCCTCAAGAGGAATATTATCCCGATTCCTACCAAGGGTTTGCTCCTAACGACCACGGGACAGTCCGTCAATTGAGAAATAGTGAAATCCCCGATTTCGATGCTATTCCCACCGATACGAATGATAAGACCGAGGACCACATGATTGCCAACCAACAGTCCGGTTTTCATCGCAACATTTATCAGAAACCGACTTACCAAGTACCGGGCGGGTTTCCAGGACAGATTGACACCAAACAGTCTATTCCTCCTCCTCCTCCTCCGAATCAGACCACTTCTCCGTTGGCCGAGTTCTCGTTTGACTTACCTACCTCCTCTAAAGCTGTGGCGACTGGTAGAAATGATGGGCCTGTACAAGGCTCATCCTACCGTGGGGTTTACAATGGACAGGAGACTTTTGGCGCGGGAGGACCTCCAAGGGGAGCATACGGGGGCATCCAGCCTCAGGATGCACCTGGCTCACAGTATCCCCCGCCTCGCGCGGCCAGTCGGAACGGGATGAAGGCGCCGCCCGTGGAAACCGACGCCTCGAGACCTCCGCTGCCCAACAATGGCCAACCCTATCGATCATTTAGTCAGGATCAGTATCCTATGCGACCACATACGAGCAATGCGCAGCGGCCGCCGCAGCAAAGCTACGAGATGATGAACCCATACGACCAGGACTACGCATCAAAGGGCCGAGCTCCGTCGGCACCCACTGTACCACCAGTCTCAGCGCCGTCCGATCAAATATATGGCTACCCAGGACCGGGTCAACAGCACCAACAGCCGTATGGAGGACAGGGTCCACCATTGCGCAAGGCATCCCTGGACAACTACAATGTCGGCCCTCCCAGGCCCAACACCTCCAACTCGGCACACCCTGTACCCGTCAGGCATTATCCAACTCCAAATGCAGAGTCCAACCCTGATGCATTGCCAGCACACCCTACCCCTGTCCGGGCCGGGCTGAAAGACAACAACGGGTATCCGTCGAGTCAAACGCCACCAGCTCCGCCGAAGCAACGGCGAGAAGTCTCCGGGTCGCCATCGCCTGTTACTCTTCAAGAGCTGAATGGACTCCGCGAGATATACAGCAGGAACCCAGGCGACCACGCTCTCGGCCTGAAGCTGGCGAAGAAGATGGTCGAGGCAGCCAGGGTGCTGTCAGACGAGAACGGGACTGCAGACGCGAAGACCACACAAAAGAATCGTGAAAAGTACATATTTGATGCGCACAAACTGATTAAGAAATTGGTGGGAGCCAACTACCCCGATGCGATGTTTTATCTGGCCGATTGTTACGGACAAGGAATGCTGGGACTTGCCGTGGACCCAAAAGAGGCCTTTTCTCTCTACCAGTCGGCCGCGAAGCTCAATCATCCTCAGAGTGCATATCGAGTAGCCGTGTGCTGTGAGTTGGGGACCGAGGAAGGTGGCGGCACGCGACGCGACCCCCTGAAGGCATTGCAATGGTACAAACGAGCGGCGACGTTGGGAGACACCCCCGCCATGTACAAGATGGGGATGATATTGTTGAAGGGATTGCTGGGCCAACAGAAGAATCCCCGTGAAGCCGTGTCATGGTTGAAGAGAGCGGCCGAACGAGCGGACAAGGACAACCCCCACGCGTTGCACGAACTGGGTCTCCTTTATGAGTCGGCGTCTTCCACGGACCATATCGTGCGCGACGAGAAATATGCACTTCAGCTGTTCCAGCAAGCTGCGGAACTGGGGTACAAATACTCACAGTTCCGACTTGGATCGGCGTACGAGTATGGACTGCTCGGATGTCCGATCGATGCTCGCCAGAGTATCGCCTGGTATACTCGAGCGGCGGCCCAAGGAGAGCACCAGTCGGAACTGGCGCTGAGTGGTTGGTACCTGACAGGATCGGAGCCACTGCTCATGCAGAGTGACACAGAGGCATTCCTGTGGGCACGAAAAGCGGCCAGTTCGGGGTTGGCGAAGGCAGAGTACGCGATGGGCTACTTCAACGAGGTTGGTATCGGCACACCCGTGGACATTGAAGAGGCGAAACGTTGGTATTACCGGGCAGCAGGTGAGGACATTCATTGTTTCCCGGATTTTGCCGTTCGTTCGACTGACTGATACTTTCTCTTGCAGCACAAAACTTTACCAAGGCACGAGAACGGCTCGAGGAGCTGAAGAGGGGGGGTCCCAAGCAGCAAAAGACACGGGTGTCACGATCGAATGTTAATAGGCAGAACGAGGGGGACTGTGTGGTTATGTGAGAGAAGGAAAAGGAAAACAGACAGAAGCGGTGGGCAACCAATCTATTTTCGCTGGTTCTCACGCCCACCAAGCACCCTTTTACGACTGGGCTCACGTTGCTGACGATGGGCAATGAATTTCATTTCATACCCTTCTTCTTCTCTTCCTTTGCCCTTGTCGTCCTTCAAACCGGCCCTTCAAGATGGGTTGGGAGCCAACCAACCCATAGGCATGCTCCTTTTTCCCCCGGGAAGGAGAAAAGGAATGGAGAAGAAGAGAAGCTGCAAGTGCCCCCAGGCGTACGTATGTATACCACGGTATTGCATTTTGTATGTCGAACGGGCGAACGGGGGGGGACTTAATAAATGTCGAGCAACAATGAACAGGGGGTGGTTGGGTGGGTAAGCAGATAGGTAGGTAGAGAGGGAGGTGGTCTTGCGGATGTCGTCGACCTTCACACGAATATGCAGCATGTATGTATGCATGCATGTATGTCTATTTGTCTAGGTCTATGTACGTCTTGAAGAGGGAGGAGGGAGGTAAGTGAGTGACTTAATCTGACTTGTGTGATATCTGAGTTGACGTGACTTGACTTCAACTGATCTGATCTGATATTACTATCCACACAAGCTGACGACTTCGACTCGTTCTACCTAGAGCCTATTGTTGTCTATTATCACCTATATATACCGAGTACTTCTCGGAAACACCCTTGTTCAGTAACTATTTCCTGGCTGGGCCCCCTTAATACCGACCGAGAGAGAGAGAGAGAGAGAGAGAGAGAGAGAGAGATCAATTCCGTCTTTACTTACTCACTCCCTTCCTCACACGAGGAGGAACCTCGCAAAGTACGCACCCAGGTCCGCGCCCCCGGCGTCGTCGAGCGTGGTCGCAAAGCCCACGATGCCGTCCGGCCGGACGACGACCACGGCGCCCCGCTCCACGCTGGCGCCGTAGCGGGCGTGCGCGCCGGCGTCGTGGTCGTAGTACGCGTCGCCGAAGCGGGCCACGCCCAGGGCTTCGTCGGCCTGGGGCTTGTTCCCGGCGATGACGGTTACGAGTCTGATTGTTTCGTGGTCAAGGTGTGTCTTCGTACTGTTGTTGACGTTGTCGCCGTCAAGGTATTCGCGCAGACGCCGCACCCCGTCTGCCGTCCGGAGCGGGTCGCCCGCGAACACCACGACGCTGAACACGCCCACGTTCTTCAGCACCGTGTGCAGCCTCGTGGGGATCTTCGCGCCGGGCCCGTGCACCAGGACGTCCGGCGCGCGCCAGCCGCACGGCACCGTGCCGGCCTTCGTGGGCACGTTCAGCGCGTTCTCGCCGTACCGGATGCCGAAGCCGATGTTGAACTGGACGTTGTCCTCGAGCATCTTGGCGAACAACGCGCCGGGGTCCGGCGGCGTGGAGGAGGCGGCTGCTGTCCGTAGCTCGGGGGGCACGGTGCCGGATATGAGGGCGGAGAAGGTCTTGTCCAGGTCGATCAGGTGCTGGGCGACGGGGCGGCGTTCGCGGGTGTACGTGGCCAGCACCGTCTCAGCGCGGTACCACCCCTTCAGCACGCCGGCCAGTTTCCACGTCAGGTTGACCGTGTCGTGCACGCCCGTGTTCATGCCCTGCGCCGTCCCCGACGAGTGGCTGTGGCAGGCGTCGCCGGCGAGGAGGATCCGGTCCTTGACGAAGGTCTCGGCGAGGGAGTGGCGGACGCTGTGTTTTTTGAGGGGGGGCGGTCAGGAGGATTTCCTTGCAGCCTTTCCAGTCGAAGCACAAGATCTCGAAACTGGGCCCAGAAGGGAGGGAGGGGGGAGGTCTTCGCTGCCTTACTTGTACACGGTATACCAATCCACACACGTGAATTCCAGAGAGAATGGCTTGAGGGCCAACTTCGCCTCCTCGACGGCCTGCTCCTGCGTCATGTTCTCGCCGTATCTCTCCATCATGGCGCGCGAAAGGGCGAAGCCCACCCGGGTCCGGCCGTGGTCGAGGGCGGCCCACAGCACGTTGCCGTGTGTGGGAGACTCCAGATTGGCAAACCCTTCGCGAGAGTCGGGCATGTCGGTCTCCACGACGCCGTCGATGCGCATCCAGCGCAGAGTCGTACTGTCTGTGGTCGACGAGATACCCGAGAAGTGGCGGACGGTCGAGCGGCCACCGTCGGCGCCGACGAGGTACTCTCTGGACAATTCAGTACGAGAGGGCTTCTGCTTGCGACTGACTCACCCTGCAAGAGTCCTTGTCTCTGCCGTATTGACATTCTTGACTTCAACCTTGACGGGACTATCGATCTGGGTGTCCAGACCAACCACCTCCCATCCACCGGCCACCAGTCCACCGAGTTTCTCATACTGGGCCTTGATAATGTCCTCGGTGTACTTCAAGCGGATGTTGAGCATGTAGTCCAAGAATGTATGGCCCTGCATGGCGTCAAAGACGTGCCGCATGCCGCGGGTATTGTCCCTTTTCCCGTTCTTGTCGTAGTTGACACCGCTCCTCGACACGAATCCCACCTGACTGAGATGTGTGAGGAGGTCGTACTGGTCGAGCATCTCCAGTGTTCGGGGGAACACGGTACATGCGCGGCCGTACATGGGCAGCTTGTCCTTTTCGAGTCGTTCTGTCTCCCTCCAACAGAAGTGGCCATTGTCATGGTTAGCAAAGAGCCGAACAAACTCACAGAGACAGAGAGAAATGGTTCTCCATGTCCAGCTCCGAGCAATCCCCAGACAGAGAGGGTGACTTTGCCCTTACCGATAACACAGGTGTCAATGCCCATGCGTTGCAGCCCATAGGCCGTCAACAAGCCCACAGGTCCTCCACCACAGATGACCACGTCGTAGTGATCCTTGAAATGAGCCACCATGGTGTCTGTCGTGATCCAGAGAATAAATAATCAAATCTTGAAGACAAGGGCGGTTGGTTATGCAGCTCGTGAGGGAGTTGTCCGGGTGTGTAAAGCAACAAACAACCTTGGGAGAAAGCCGCCGTCCTGATGTCCGCGATATACATATAGCCCTCACGAAGAAGGACTATTCTCTTCTTCAAATGGGTCTGTACGAGCAAGCAGCTCGGCCGAGCCAACTCACTCACTCACTCAGCAACGACCGGACATTGGAGGCTACCGCCCCCTTCTTTTTCGACGAGACTTGCCAAGTGATATAAGAGTCATCGTGGATGATGTGGAGGGAGGAGCACCGCTGTATTATTATGTCAACCTTATCCAAGGACTGCTGGCCGCAAGGGTGGGAGGCCCTGTGCTCTGTGCCACCCGCCGACACACCTGGTGGGGTCAACGAGGTGCGTATCATCTGTTTGTTACTGTACTTGCCCGTGGTAAGCGAGCTGCAACCCTGGAGGGATAGATTCGTTGTGCCCGCCATCCCTCCATCCACGGGCAATAAAACAAAGGAGCTATCTCGTCGGTGTCGGCGACACGGCGGGCGTCCGCAGAGCCGCTATGCCCTTATACTCGAACAGGAAATGGGCAGCGGCAGCTTCGCAGATGGGATGACTGAGCATGGAAAAACAGGCCGAGAAGAGGAAGAGGGTGCCTGTGTGATTTGCATCGGTGGTATTGATTGATCTAAGACCCCCCAACACTATGATTCCTTCTTTTCCGGCTTGCCCTTTTGCGCCTTGTTTTTGTTATCCCCAGCATCTTCATAATCGCCTCCCGCCGCTTCGTAACGCCGTGCCAGTTCGCCGGCTTTCCAGGCAGACCATGATCCTTTCCCTCCACCTGACGTGGAACCAACGAAGCGTCAGCCAGTCACCAAGGCAAAGGTAAAGGTGGCGAAGGAAGACGGATCAACGCTCTGAAAAGAGACATAACGGGGGACAGGGTGTTCCCCACCAACCTTTTTCCATATTCTTCACTTCCTCCTTGATCTTCTCGCGCAGTTCAGGGTCCGTGGGGTTTCCCTTGGAACTCGGCATTTTCCTCAACTTCGCGTAGAAAGTGAACCCAGATCTAGATCAGTCGGTCGGTGTCCCACGTTTGGATGTCACGGTGGTGGTGGCCACGCTGGTGCAAGAGGTAGAGGGTGTTGGTGTCTTTGCGACTGTCTTAAGTAGATAGTACCGCCGCTCTTGGATTTCAGAGTCGAGTGTCGGCTCTGCTGAAATCACTACCGAGGAGCGAAGAATGTGAACTTCCCCGAAGTCGACGAGGACTGACTACTTCTGGGCGAAGACGTTCTCGAACTCGCGTCCGAAGTTGACGTAGTCGAGATCGAGCTTGTTCTTTCTTTGGGATGTCTACCTCCACCCCGCAGCGACGGGTCTGACGAGGAGGAATCCGAGGCTTTTCTGAGGATCTGGCGCAAGGACTCCTGTGCTGACGAGGGGGTTTCGGAACTTTTGGTAGAGCGGAAGGTGGGAAAACGGATCATGGTGGGAGAGAGGGGGCTAGTGAGTGATGATGGCGTTTCTTTGTGTTGAATGCAGGGTCGATGTCGTTATGGATCTGGCCTTCCACAGGTTTTAAGATTGGGATGGGTCAGGATATCTGGCTCGCTGGTATGCAGGCGAGAGCGATAGGCGACATACAGGAACGATGACGAGGTGGAGATCACACCCGGCGAGCGGGAACAAAGGAATGCTGGGCGAAAGGCAATCGACGAGATATATACGTCACAGGAGAGATAAGTGTTGTGTCGACGGTGTGAGAAGTCGATCTGCCGCTTTGGTGTCTCGGGGTTGTGTGGCTGGTGTCGTGCCACGGACGCGAGAGACCTTGGGAATATGTATACCTGTGAGTGAGAAGAGACTAGAAGCAACAAACAAACTCTTGGGGCTGAGACCGAGGCTGAGTACTTGTAGCCGTGATGGTTTCATCTTCTTCTCATCGTCCCCGTCCTCGTCCTCGTCGTCGGATGGGGGAATCGCGATTGGAGGGGGCGAATCTGGAATAATTAATATGCTCCCACACACCCAATCGGGCCTAAGCATGATGATCGTGCCTCAGTGTGCAAAAGGGCCACCGAGCCACCCAACAGATTTGACAAGCCTGACAAAACTTGACGTTTCGGGCTGTGGAACCAGCATCCGGCCAAATCGCAGCCACGCGAGGCAAATGGGCTGGCCCTGTTCTGGCTGGTGCGGGATGATAGTCACTTGACAGGCAGAAAAAAAGCAGTAGAGAGAGACAGACCTTACGGACGACCCCATGATTTCTCTCCACGATCGATGGACCGATCTTTGGTCAATCATGCACGATGCAAGAAATGAGATGTCATGACCTCATCGGCGTGGCATCCAGATCAGACTGTCCTAGTCAACGACCGATTTACTGTGTGTACTGGTCTCAAGTGGCTGTACATCGTGGCGGTGGCGCCACAAAAGGACTCAGTACTCGGTACAGATCCCATAGTCTCACTATTTACTATACGACGGACTGTTCGTGACAACGAGCCTCGAATGGCTGCATCTGCCCATGTTATACACACCGGATGCTTTTGAATTGACACCATGTGCGAGAAGATGAGATGTCCAACCTGCTGCTCTCCTCAGCCAAAGCGACCAAACGAGAACCAGGATCTTGCGTCTGATGGAAGCGTCAGACTTGGTAGTACCTGTAGCAATGGTCGCATCGCCTTTTGAACCAAGTATCCAGAAGTATTCGAGCCAGAATGGATACAGATAGTAGCCAGGGCCCAGCACAGAGACTCTCAACACGGCCTCATGTTTCCTTTTGCATGTTCCTCTCTATCCGCCCCACCTTGAAACGACCCATGATCGTCCCTAATGGCTTCGTCTCGCTCAATTACAACTTGGCTTCCACCTTCTTCTCCACAACCTTGGCCGAGCTCTCAATGTCCTTCTCCATCGCCTTCAAGGCTGCCGTGGCGCTACCCTCTTGCGAGCTCCGATACATGAAGATACGGCTGCACTGGATGGTACCCACAAGGAAGAGACAGAAGTTGACGGCGGCAAGACTATTGAGTTGACACAAACATGTCAGTATCAGGCCGTATACAGATCATGGACTCGAACCACGCAAAGAACGTCGAGACTTACAGCATGTTCTTGGGCTTAATGACAAAGCACCATCTCGTCCAGATAGAACCTGTCGCCATGAGAGCCAAGTTTTGGGTCAAGGACAGTTTCTCGGCCGGACGCAGGAAGTCTGATGCGCCGGCAAGGACGACGCCCCATTTCATGATCGGGGCCCTAAAACAGTGACCCGTGTCAGCATCTTGAATCTCTTGACCAGATCCCAGACTACCCATATCTCCAGGTACGTAAATCCCGGCAAGCAATCTTCCCCCGAATGTGCTAGAGTCATACCAGAAATGCACTGTCTTGATGCCAACCTCACTGGTCCAGAGTCTCTGAAACAGAGACTGTTGTGGCGCACCTTCGACCGCCGGGTTGGCGGCTGTACCCTGCCATCGTCGAAATACGGAGTTTCTCAACTGAAAAGGCGCTCGGGAGGTGAACGAAGTTGTGGATTGTCGGGCGGTTTGCTGCGCGAAGCGCAGTCCGAAGCGGGCGGACATTATTGTGGTCGGGGACGCGTTCTGCGACGGGGCAGGCTTCGGCTGTGGCAGTGCTCGACGACGACGTTGACGCAAAGACCGGCGACGGAGATGGCAGTAAAGGAGTGGAGATTGTCGCCCTGTGAAGGAGTTGGATGTCGAAAGGATGGATGAAGAGAGGTGAGTCAATGGATGGGGAGGAGAAAGTCAGATAGATCTCCGGTAAATCGTTTTCACAATGTCCGGGTGCTCACAGCGCCGAAGTCGCCGTGGCTTTGTCTGACGTAACAAAACCAGCATTTACCCGGCACAACTCGAAATTAGTTACCGTCAGACCCAAGTATTTCCCATCTCCAATACCGCCAAGCTCCAATTCGTTCCTCCGACTTTCACTCACTAAACGAACGTCGACTTCATGCGCCAGCAGCTTTCTCTCGACCTCCGTTGATAACTCGGCTAGACCTGGGGTGTGCCCGCAATGGCGACCAAATATGCCTTCACCCAAGGCTTGAGGGAGTTGAGATTCCACCTGGGCAATTCGGGCCAGGGAAGCGATGCCTGCAGGTGTGTGCCATTCTCGACAGCAGCAGCAGCAGCAGCAGCGGAATCCAAGCTCTTTTACAGCAAACTGAACTGTGTCATCTAGATCCTTCCTCAAGCGAGCATACCCTACCATGAAGCATCACAACCCCCACATTCCCATTTTAATCCGCGAAGCTTCAGGCGTGGAGCCCAAGGTGTGGGCAAGATATGGTATGAACTGTTGGACCAAGACACCACCGGCACGGCAAAAAGGCTGATTGTTCGATAATGCAGGACTCGGAAAAGAAAAATCAGAGTCTTTATCAGGTGAGCTTTCCTTCTGCAGAGGCAGGCAGCTAGCTTGCAATCGGGTCTGACAAAAGTGGCAGGTCTTTCAGACAAGGAGATCGAGGACAAAGTCACGACCTTGGTCAAGAGTGAATTAAGCCCTTGAAAACGAGCTCGAGTTTCACTGGACCGGTCAACAGGGGAATGAATGTATAACACCCGCTCTTACTTGAAGATGGAAGGGGAAGCTACCCGTACACTGCTCGTCGGCGCTGAAACAGAAGAACAAAGTTTGGCAAAGAATACTGCTCGATTGTACATACACGACTGCATGCCAACAGCCCCAAAAGAAAAAGGATTCAAAACTTTTGATTGACTCGTCCATCCTCACACGTCAAGAAGCTCCCACCTCTCCAAACCTGTATTGCGCCCAGCCCATGCTCGCTTCCTGCAGCGTCCACAGTTGCTTCCCTTGATCCGTCCCCGCCGCACCCGCCGCGATGTGAATGGGCAGGAGATGCTCAAAGGTGGGATGGGCGAGTCTGGCGTCGCCCCTCTCCAATAACCCGATCATCGCCTCATCCCTCTGCTCCCCCGGCGTCGTTTCCACCGCCACCTTCAACGCCTCGTCAAAAGTCACCGCGTAGGGCATGGTCCTGTTCCCACCCCCGCCCAACATCATGAAATGCCGCAGATTGTGCACGCTCATGCCGGAGCAGATGATGAGGACGTTCTCCTCGCGGAGTTTCTGGACGGCCTGCCCGAGTTTGATGTGTGCCGCCGCGTCGGTGTGGTCGTCGAAGAGACTGACCTGCACGATGGGCACGTTCACCGGGTTTGTGTCGGGGTTGAACATGACCTTGAAGGGGACAAAGACGCCGTGGTCGAGCCCCCGCTCCTCCTTCTGGGTCTTGATCCCGTGCTCCGCGAGGACGTCGATGACGTGCTGGGCCAGCTTCGTCGAGCCCTTGTTGGGGAACTTCTCGGTGTAGTAGTTGCGCGGGAATCCGTAGAAGTCGTAGAGCAACGGCTCGTCCTCGGCGACGTTGACTTCGATCGTGTTGGGTCGCGCGGCCTGCCAGTGCGCCGAGAAGACCACGATCGCCGCCGGCTTCACCTGCTGCGTGATCTCGCGACCGATCCGTTGGAGCTGGGGGTAGACCGGGTGTTCGGTTTCGAACATGGTGTTCGGGCCCTGTGCACGAGACATCACATCGGTCAGCACAGCCCACAGCCTCTTGCGGAGAGGAACCCTCGCGGCACCCCCAGACGCAGGGACCGAGACGGACTTACACCATGAGAAACAAAGTAGACGGGCGTTCGTTTGGCCATGGCTCCCTTTCCACCTGTCGAGAAGGAGGACCTGGTCGAGACGGAGAGTGATCTGAAGGGGTTAAAGATGCGCATGTACGAGCCCAAGCTGAAATGCCAAACTCCCGTCGCGGCGAGGAGGACCAGGAGCGATAGAAATGTGATGGCTGTGCGAGTGCTATTTCGAAGCATTCACCTGTCTGTCTGTCTGTGTGTTTGTTTCCCTCCCTCCTTGGCTGCTTCTTCTGGCTTGATAATAATGATGATGATGTGCAGCAGAAGGTTCGAGATCCTGGTGGCTGTTGTTGCTTTATGATTTCCTGGACCTGCCACCCGTCTACCAAGTATATCTATTACACAAACGACGACGACAACGTGCTCGGAACGAGGATCGACCCGGGTGAGCAATGACTGGCTTGCCACGAATACATAAGCACAGTGAGTGGAGGCGATTTATAGACTTATTATTATTATTGTTTATGGGAAGCGGAACGCCTCCGTTTTTGCTTTGGTAATATTATATACGAAATACATACCAAACGTTTCGATTCGGGTCACTCGGTACGACGTGCAAAGCCATGTACTGTATACATACATACAGCCAGACCAGCACGGGTGATGCTAAGCCGATTCCTTCTCGGCCGATATAGGGGGCGCTATAATCTATTGCTTCTCAAGTGCCGAATGATTTCCCTCGTCCAGCCTCCTACAACATGTCCAGTTCAGTTACCACCTTGGATGACCTGTGCACCATCACTCCGGGCGCTCTCCTGCAACCAGCTCGGCCAGCCTCGGATGAATGGCACGAAGTTGAACCGTGCTGGGAGGATAAGCTGGTCACCTTCACATTTGAGCACCTGCAAGACAACTGCCTCTGCCACTGTCCCCGGTTCCAGCATAAATTGATTCGAAGCTGTTTCCTGGACTAAGCCCTGAGAAAGGGGCGTCCGTACCCACACGGGATGCACAATCCTATGCATCATCACGGTCAGTGATGGGACAATGCATCAACAGTCAACTTACGTGGTGCGGACTTTATCAGCACGGTATCTCGCCCGCAGCTCTTGCGCCAATCCCTCATGGAACGCCAGTGCTGCTGCTTTGGACGCCGCGTAGCTGGTCACGCCGGCCCATGTCGCAAAGCTCGACATGCTCGCAATGGTTACCACATGGCCATGATTGTTCTTGACCATGGCCGGCAGAAATTCCTTGACCATTTTGAAGTGGGCCAGAATATTGACGTCGAAGGTGCGTTGCAGCTGCTCCTCGGTTTCGTCAAGAATGGTTTTCCCATTTGCAACGCCCGCATTGTTGATGAGCACCGTTGGGTCACCAACGTCCTTACGGATTCTCGCAGCCACATCTCGAATATTTTGGGACGAGGTCACGTCAGTCTTGTAGAACGTGGCACTTTTGGGTAATGGTGATGTGGGAGGCTGCACATCGACAACCACAACGCTGATGTTGCGTTCGCCAAACTGTCGCACCATTTCCTGCCCAATACCGGAGGAGCCGCCACTGATCAGGACGATTTCACGTTCCCAGTCCCATGACGGGTCTTTCACAAAGTTGTTGAGCACTCGCCGGCTGAGGTAGCTGTTCAGTCTGTACAGGACAGCAAATGTGAGGAATCCCCCCAGAGCGCGGTCGATCAAGGTGGATTGAACGGCCTTCGTTGTCATGAACGAAAGAGCCCTCTGGATAGCCTCGGGGAATTTCAGGTGCAGCAGAAGCAGGGCAGCAGGGATGACTGGCTGCAGCAACACATGGTGGACGGGTCTGAAGAGGTATTCAAGAGTGATGCCTTCCCTGGGGGGATACAAGACCGACATAATGGCTGCCTGACGCATTCAAGAAGAAGAGGGAGCAATTCTCGTGGAGTCTCTTTGTGGAGGACATCTCGTCGAGCTGAGAGGGAGCTGAGTTTGAAGCCGGAGAGGCTCCGCCTGCATGTGGCAGAGTGTGCTCCGTCTCTCCGTCTCTCCGTCTCATCTGTTACAGGACAGGATACCGACTCGCCGAGTAGAGACGCTGCATTAAGGGGGCCGTCGTAAGCCTGACGAACTGAAATCGAAAGGGGGGATTGGGAACCTCGATGGCGATGGGGTGGAGAAATTTACTAGTGCAGTTTCCAAGGGGGTCAGGCCGCAGTCTGCAGTCCGCAGTCTGCAGTGTGCGCAGTCACGGTTTGTCAGAGGGTCAGACGCCGCCCGCAGCCCCCGTAACCCGTGACCAAAAACGGCGCTCAGTCAATCTCGCTGGTAAAGGTTCTCCTACTCTTTCACAGCAGACCACTTTCATCTGCGCCCCGTACCGATCACGCTGCCTCAATCGAAGTGTACCCAAATACCCCGTTTCGTCGCTGTCGTCCCTTCGAACCATGGGCCGCACCATTGACCAGGATGTGCATGCGGCATTCGTCGAGTTCAAGGCCAAAGGTACGTACGCAGTATTGTCACCCTCAGTATTGACTGTACTGTACATGGTGTACGCGTATCACGATACAACATACCTGTACTGTGACGATAGACGAGAGGAGCAGCTGACTGAGTCGCCGTCTCCACATACAGAGGACGATAAATGCATGTCCGTTCAGTGCATCTACTGCCAACAGATCCGTGCAAAGAACACTTCGCGCCAGAAGCAACATCTGCTCGAGTGCCCTGGCCTGCAAAACCATCCCAATGCTCACCGTCCACAGTCGTCTCCCGGCGACGCCATCGCCGCCAATGGCTTCGGCACTCCCACCATCTCCCACAGCTCGGCCACCCCCATGAACAATGGCCTCAATGCCAATAGCACTCCCATGCAAGGCATCTCGAACGGTACAACGTTCCCAGCGTCCGCCGACACTTCCACACCGAGCCAACGCCACACCCCGAAACCACAAAAGACCCCCAAGGGCACACCGGGTTCCAGCCTACCGGCGCCGCCTCTCGACGATGTTCATGCAGCCTTCGTCGAGTTCAGAGCCAAAGAGGAGGACAAATGCCTGTCGGTGCAGTGCATCTATTGCAACCAGATCCGAGCCAAGAACACATCGAGACAGCGCCAGCACCTGCTCGAGTGCACCACCTATCAGAATGTCATGAAGGAATCAATACCGGCAAACAACCTCCTCCATAGATTTGACGAAGGTGATATTGCCCGTTCCCTCCAGTTGCCGGCCCCGACCCTGGAACTTGACTTCCGCATGAACATCAAGGTCAATCCCAAGATCGGCGTTGGACCCGGTCTGTTCGGCCATCGCGACTGGGTCAGCATTGTTGGGGGTCAATGGGCCGGACGATGGGGCAAAGGGATCGTCATTGTAAGTCCCACCACACCAATATTCGAGTCGCCAACTGACCGTGTCTCTAGCCTGGTGGACTGGACAATCAGCTGGTGGTCAAGGACCTTTCAACACGCAGCGATGCCTCCTATCTGCTCCAGACCAACGACGACCCTCCCGCGTACATTACAGCAAAGTCGAGAGGCTGGCGCACCGGTACCAAGGATATCCTCGAACGGCTCAACGACTCTACGGTAGCAGACACCATCCCAGCCAGCCAATACAGGTTCCGGATGACGATTGAGCTCGAGACTGGCGACGAGAGATACTCATTCCTGAACACCTGTCTTTGGGTGGGGAGTGGAAGTCGGAGAGTGGGTGAAAGTAAGTGGTTAGCCTCCAGAAGTAAACATGATGCTAACACTGGTCTAGTTGTGTATGATGCATATCGGGTCGGCTAGAGTCCTGAGCCGGATGACCTCAGTCCATCAGACCCTTCGATGTTTCTTTACGAGGAACTGCTTTGGGCCTACGAGAAGAACATCGAACTCGCCATAGCCGAGTGTGGAGCCCGGAAGTATCTCTGAATTCATACCATCATTATTCTGCAGGGAGTTAAATGGCTGTTACTCCAATCATGTCCTCGATTCGATGTATTTCTAGGCCACTCAGCGGCATTGTGGGAACAGAGGCACACACAGCAACAACAGCGGCGGCGGCGTCGGCACCTTACATCGCATGCAGCCCGCGTCATTCCAGCTACACGTCGAGCTCTTTCCGACGCTGCTGTTTAATGAGTGGACAAACGGTTTTATTAGCGAGCACGCGCACGACGACGTTTTCTTACGGCTCTACCCAGATCGGAAGTTATTATTGCCATGGGCAGAGCAGAGCAGAGCGGCCCCGACCGAGCACACACTCGGCTGGCTGCTGGATGGCACCGTACATAGTTTTATACGACAGCACAGGAGGCACGGGCCGTGGAATGGAACGGAATGAATGAACTCCTTACACACCTCAACAACAGCCTCTTTCTCTCTCCCTGACTGCCAAAGCAAGGGTTAGTTATTTATGTAGGCCGACTTGTTCTGATTGTCTCAGTCTGCCTCCGCTTTGGTAACGGTCGAAAACATCGAGAGATTTGTGCGTTCGTTCGTTTGTTTGTTAATGTACATTCGTTCATTGTATTATATTACATCTTGCGTCTAGCCAACTCAACTAGGCGGAAGCATGAGATATATCAACAGAGCCAACCCCCTTTCCCAAGAAGGAAGCGGGAGCGGGAGCGGTCGCATCTATTGAATTACCACCTCTCCCGCGCGATTCAGGTCTATCTACCTGCCATTCAATCGATCCATTCCTCCATCCCACAGCTTAATAGTTGGGCTTAGGCCGTCTCTCTTCGTCGTGCTCTGTATCCTCGTTGTCCATATAATTGACTCTGTTCTCTGCACCTGACTCTCTTTCGGTCCCAGAGGTGAAGGACCAATCCATGTTCCTGCCACCCAAGTATCGCCAGAGACGCCAGACTTCTTCAATGACGGCCTTCGCCGGGCCAGGTACGGGCCGTATCAGGACAAGGTGGCCTCCTGCATCACCTTCACCGCGTGACGTCTGATGGGGATGTTGGAAGATCGATTCTTGTCTGATCAGGTTGTTGAGTTCTTCCAGATCAGAAGCGTTAGGCGCAGTGGCATTGGTGAATAGATGTCTGAGGGAGAAGACCGGGAACCGATATGTATCCGAGACGGCGATCATGGGAGGTATGAGAGGGTTGTTTGACGGTAACGGGGGAAGGGACGACGATACAGAGTCTGAAGAGTCGGGGTTTGCAACATCATCGTTTCCGATGCCTAGGAAGATGCTTCCTGGTAGCCACTCTGAGTGACCGAGCGCGTGATACTCTGCGTCTTGGATCGTAACAGGCGCATGAGTTTGAAGAGGCACGGAAACGTCAACGTCTGAAGAGGTGGAAGAGCCACTGTGTGGGGACGGGCCCTCTTTTGGTTCACTGGCCACCGCGCGGATCTTGAGGCCAGTAGGTGAGGTTGTAGACGATGTTGCCCTCATCAATCGCCGAAGCTCTTCACCAGAGAACATCCCATCCCGAGGGGTAGGCAGCGCAATGGCACCTGATGGTCTCGCGGGTAAGGGCTGGGACCGGGCAGCAGACGCGGAATCTGCCAGCAACTTCAATGCAGTGAGAATGCGTTTTCGAATGATCTCCGCAATCCGAAGAGGTATGTCAGGCTGCCATTGCAATTTGGCCAAGCTGAACCGCGCTATCGCTTGCCCGGCTGCAGGTGAACTAGAGCCCGTTGCGAAGGTATCTTGGCCGCCGACCGCCGAGTCAAATCGATATGTGTTTTGTAGGTAATGGTGTGCAGTTGAGATGGACTCCCGGGTTTCGAAGTGGATTAATTTGCTCACCTCGCCAGGCCTCGTCTCGAATGTAGTCGGCGCCGGAACTTGGGGTGTTTTCTTGCTACGCTGGGTTACCTTGTCGGTCACCAGGCGAAGGAAAGTAATATTGGTCAACAGCCGGCTCTGGACGGGGATATATCTTCGAGTTGTTGCTGTATAGTCGGCAGTCTTTTGAGATGCTTCATTGGAACTGCCTGCCGAACCATCTGCGTTAACCGTTGATATCATGTCTGCCTTGACCTCACTTCCGCCGTCGAGTGTTCGCGGTCGACACTCTAACGTCGCCAGCTCTGCGGTCAGTTCTGCTTCCAAAGCATCCACATCCGCAAGGTCTGCTGGCATCAGGTATATCTTGCCGTCCCTTTGATTCTTGACGTATCCAAAGTCCAGTAACAGGTCGGAGGGCTGTCGTGCGCCACTACCTTGACATGCTCGGAGGGGGCTTGCAAGAATTTCCGCCCAAGGGTTATTCTTCAATCCTTTTATGCGTCGATAGGACGGGTGCTCTTTCCTTTCCTCCCGTTGTCTCCTCGCCCTGGCAACCCGAGCGATGATAGGTGACTGTAGGGCGGGAGGTGTTTCTCTTTCAGGACGGCGTGAACTGGCGGCCTTTCCACCCCTACGGTGGCGATCCCCGCCTCCTCCCTGAAGCTCTGTGAGCAAGTCTTGGATTGCCTGCTGTCCCTCGACACTGGACGCATCAAGAGACTCTCCTTGCGTGGAATGATACTTGCGCAATGGCAAGTCGGGCGGCAGACTCTGGGACGGGCTCTCCTGCTGCGTGGTTGCACCTCCGGACGTATCAAGAGCCAATGACTTGTGCGAACCAAACCGGTAGGATTCTCCATTGTCGTCCCCCAACCGAATCTTCTTGCTCGCTTTCTTCAGGTCCGACAGCAAGTCCTTGATGGCTCGACGGCCAGACTCGCTGTACGGACTGAAAGGGCCATCTGGTCGAGTATCTTTCTTGTCTGATCCCGTAACAGAGGGAGGTACTGGCGCTGATCCATCGTGTGACTTCTTTGTCGCGGATCTAGAAGTACTGGCATTCCGGAAGTAAGGTCTTTGATTTTCTCGGAGGAGGACCGATGGTCGGGAACGGGGCTCATCGAAGGACTGGCACACGGTTCGAATGACGTCCAGACGCCATGTCGCATATGAAACGTGCCGGTACGGGCATGGCAGGCTCATCCCTTTGGCATTGTTTGCTGGGGGAGGAAGAGCGAAAGACTGATAAAATGAATTGGGAATTGGATGAGAACCGCAGGTAATGAGAGATTCGGGCTTGGCAAAGGGGACAATGCGCGGCAGCCTTGCTTAGTCAAATATCTCGAGTATCCACCGGGTGCCACCCATACGCAGTGGTGAATGCCTCGCATCGACAGTCTATTATTTCGCAAAGACAGTCACGTCGAAAGAGAAACCCATCTTGTTATTGCCCAAACACGCAAAGGAAGGACAAGTCTTATTACACGCTGTCTTACGTCGCCTTATCGCCAAAGACAAATCTCACCACCTCCTCGAACACTCCATCGGGGTTATCCTCGTGCATCAGGTGCCCGGCGTTCTCAATGTATGCGACACTCTTGCGGGACGCGCCGCTAACCCGGTAGAGTTCGTGGACCGTCCACCGCTGATGCGCACCGCTCTCCTTGCCCGCCATCGCCAGCATGGGCACTTTGGTACTCTGGGCGTCCTCGGCCACGTACTTCGGCAGGTTGTTGTACCGGAAGAAATGACACAGCCACTTGGCGTTGTCCTCGACCTGTCGCAGCCGGTCCGGGTTGGATTTGATGCGCGGCCAGAACTTGGGCCCCATGACGCCGGCGCAGAACGCCTCGGTGGCCTGCTCGTATTCTCCCTTCTTGCAGTGCGCCACCGTCGGGCCCATTGTCGTGGCGCCGAAGATCGACACCGGCCAGAACGTGATGGGATGCCACAGGAGGAAAGACAGCACCCCGGTCAGGGTGGGAGGGAATGTCGGGAGAAAGAGTCCCGTGAGGGGAGGCTCTTCCACCAGCAACGTTCGGAACAGGTGAGGTTTCCGGCGCGCGATGTAGAGACTGTTGACCGCACCCGACGAGTTGGCCAGGACGTGGACGGGGCCAATATTCAGCGCCTCGATAAAGGCGGCCAGATCGAAGGCGTCTTGCTCCCAGGGCGCGTCTTGATCGTCCTTGATGGGTTCGTTGGGCCAGGCATAGCGTCGACTGTAGTTGTAGACGTGGAACCGGGTGGCGAGTTTGGGTTCGAGATCGAGCCAGGCGCGTTGGTCAGAGATGTGGCCATGGACGAGGACCAGAGGTTCGCCTTCTCCACTTTCGCGGTAGGAGAGGGAGACGCCGTTGACCTCGACGGTCTTGGAGACGACAGCCGGTGATACAGACATTGTTTGTGTGTGTGTCTGTGTGTGTGTTTTCAAGGTTGACGTGCTAAACAGACATGCTGGCACCCCTCATCTTGTTATTTAAAGGTGCGCGACGGAGGATTGCCGTTGCCGCCGCGTCAGCGACTACTACAAAAGGGAGCCTATGAACGAACTTAGCCGCAGCGTGCACGTCGAACACGAGATGATGGATGGGGCTGACAACTACTACACGAGGGAGTGTTGCATGCATGATGAAGAGAGGCGCCGGGGGTGTCGATGGTCGACCTTGGTGGAACAAATCCAAGCGTGCCTGTATTTCGGGATTTACCAGGTATGCAAAGTAGCGGCGAAGGGAGGATGAAGCTAGCGAGCTACCACGATGCGCCGAGCGAGTATGTAAGATGATAAATCGAGGCAAGCCACAACGGGCAATTCATAATTACCCCGTTGTGGAGGATGCTTTCTTTCCTCCTTCCGTACTGCAGTAATTATTATGAAGCTCTCTCCGCTATCAGCTGTACTACGATTATTACTAGCTAGCGGAACTGTGGGTAGTGGCGGGGGGACAGTTGAGTTCTCAGTGAATACCGGGCGCCAGCGGCCGCAGGGGGTTTGCCCCAGACATCTGAGATATGCAGCGAGGCAGATATGCAGATGTGCAGACATGGGCCATGGTCCCACTTGTGGCACCAGGAGGAGAGGAGAGAAGAGAGAACGATTCCCTGCCCCACAAGGATCGAGCTACACGGGAGTCCGGCGAGCCTTGCAAGAGAAAGTAGTGGACAGTAAGCATCCTCTCTCGGGGATCCAATCACGCTCGTTTCTGAGAAAAATTGACCTGGAAAATTCCATGCAGGCAACGTGCGAGTACGAAGACATAATTATGGTCAGGGATACGGGGAGGACGACGCCTTGACGAAGGAAGTAACGAGCACCAATCACAAGGTGGGAATATACCGACTATTCTGTATACAGTAGAATATACAAGATACTATTGGCTATCATTTCCCCGCCGCCAGGCTCTTATTCGCCAGAGGGACACAGGTGGGTTAGTATGCTCCTCTTTTTTCCCTTTCAGCTGTATGAAACGAAGGCTCTTTCATCTCATCGCACCCACCCGTGCCTTTACCGGGTACACGAGTACGCAATATATTATTTTCTCGAACTTGTGCAGCATCACGTCAGATGCCAAGCCAAGCTTCCGCATCCTCGTTTGCGTTGGGTTCGCCCACGCAGATCATCCCTTCCGATTGGCAATAGTCCACTGTGAATTCCCAGCCCTAGTGCAAGGCTCGAAACTCAGCTGCACACTCAGCGACTAACAGCTAGACAGCCGGTGCTGACGTCAATACCCCCTTGGGACTAACAACAACAGTGCAATTTAAGTGTTCGGTATACACTCTGGTACTAAAGGGCGTCAAACTTCAATACAGACTCTGTGACAAGCCGTGATCAACATCACGCCAACCTACGACCCTAAAAGCTATGCCTACGGGGCCTCGTATCTTGTTAACTGGTGTTGGTTGGCAATATCCTGCTTTCAGCTACACGATGCAGAGACTTTCCGTTCAGCGAACAAGTGATTGCGTGCCGATGTTTTTGAACAGGCAAACCACGGGCAAAGCGAGGAATGTGCAGATATGACGCACCATACTTCTTCTTATTGCAGTTGCACCTTGTCATGATGGCCAGAACGAAAAGAAAACTTTGAGTCCGAGACGATGTGTGCAAGGCATCTTGTTATACTCGCATAGGCAAGTCATATATATGTGTGTGTAGCAAAGCTGAATGAGTGTGTATGCAATGACAATGATAAAATGACATGGAGTGTTAATACATACTCAAGAAATAAATGACCGCGTAAACTTGACTGACAAATATTCTCGCTGCTCCGTGGTTAGGGAGAGAGAGAAAACAAAAGTCCCCAGACTACTGAGTGACCCCTATTCATCTTCAGCCTCGTCAGCTCCTCCACCATCACCAGCACCGTCGACACTCGCACTCGCACTCGCTTCTGCACTCAACTCACTCTCAATCTTACTCTCGCTCTTGCTCTCGTCCCCGCTCGGAGTCGGACCCTGTGTGTGGGCAACGACGTTCTTGTACTTACATCTGGCGGCGCCGCACCGACACGCGATGCCCAGGTTCGCAAAGTATCCCCCGCCGTAGTTGACCGTAATCTCCTCGCCGAAGGCGATCTTGCGCCGCGCTCGGACCACGACGTGTGTGTGCTGCCCGAGGTTCACCAGTCTGTACTCCGTGTTGGCCGCGCACGAATGGTTGACGTACCGCGTCCACCCGCCCCGGTGCGCCGCGTCGAGCGCGTACTGTGGCCGGAGTTCGGCGTCCGCGGTTGGAGTGGTTGATGTGGTGGATTTCGCCTTTCCCGTGGCCGGCGATCCCTTCGGCTTCGGCCTGGTGGTCGTCGTCGTCCTTACTGAGACCACATAGTCTGCCGCCCGTGCGACGTCGAGCTGCATGTGATACGTCTGCAGGCCGTACCGGTGGTTGACCATCGAGCCCGGGACATCCTCGGCGTCCGCCTCAACCGCAGTGATCTCGCCCAGGTACTCGCCCAGGTAGGTGCCCGGGCGGATCGTTTGGAGCGCGCGCACTCCTCGACCCCTATCAGCCGTGGTGTACAATTCAACTAGGATGTCCCGGTGGTTGTTCTGCGGGGGCTTGTTGTACTTCTTGCAGAGATCGGCGAACCTGCATTGGCAAGCCAGGCCTGCCTGGTTATACTGCTTCTTTCCTGCACCGGTGACAACAGTAGCGCTGGAGCTGAAGGGTGCCAATTCTACAGCTCCACACACTTTACAGGGATTGTTGGGAAACCCGCAGAAGGCTGGGTCGGCGTAGTCGCTCCCGTCGAAGGAAACCATCTTTGGCGCGAGTGCCTGCCAGTCGTAGTCTGCAAGGACGATCGATTGGTCAATGTTGAATTGTTGGAGCCATCGTTTCTCCTTCAACGGGAACATCGCCGCCCGGTTGACTTCAAGGTGATTTCCTTGTTCGGGGATGCCTGCGATGGCGTTCTCGCCGTGCACATATCCCGCCTTGGTGAGGTCCTGAGTGATGGTGCATTCGACTGATGGCCAGGCGGCTGGTTCCCCATCCTCAACGGGCAAAACCCAGTGATGATGAATTCGGTGCTTATCTTCATCGCCGATCTGGTGAGTTTCTCGCAGGTCGTCGTCGCCAATTCCAAAGTTGGCGCCACTCTTGCCACGGGTGTCTGGACAATCCTTATATACAGTTATAAGAAGAACTTCAAAGTCGGCGTCGAAGTTCACGAGGGCGTCTGTCCAATCAAACTTGTACGTTCTGGCGAAGAGTTCTAGGCTTGACGCGCACTCTTTGATCTTGGGGTAGATTTGACCCCATTCAGGCACGCCCTGTGCTCTGCTCTCGACGTCGCTGCGAATGATTGCCTCGCGAAAGCTTTTAGAGTGTGCACAAATGGTCAGGAGAAGGAGATTCGGTGCGTCACAGAATTCTGTCAATCTTTGAGCATGGTCAATGCCGACGTCGTCTTTTGCAAGGTCTGCAATTCTCTTCTCCTTGGGGTCGTTGCTTTCAAACTTATCTAGCCTTGTAATCAACGTTCGACGAGTGCTTTTCGTAACGAGGTCAAAAAAGCGCAAGGTCCGGGCTTGTCGGAGCAAGTGCCGTGTCCAATAGCGCTCCCATTGTCCGACCGTCTTGACTGTAGCTGCACGATGGATTTCAGCGTATAGTTTGATCATGAACCCTTCAACCGTCGACCCAGGTTGAGAGACTCGGCGCTTTTTGTTAGGTATCACAGTCGTGGAGGGTGTCCTTCGGGTCCTTTTTGATCTCCGAAGGCCCCCATCAGCATTGCCTTGTCCAGAACTAGAGCCATTAATAGTATTGTTTGCAGAAGCATTGGTCACGGTGGGTGCTTGGGCTTGAGGAAGAGCATTTTGCGCAAGGGAAAGTGAGTAGGCCTGACCTTTTGCAGTTTGCTTCCGCACTCTCGCGCCTCTCCTTGGTTGTTGGGGGGAGCTCATTGTATATCACGTTCAGGGCCAACCTTGTCAGGATAGAGAATGAAGAGAATGTATTGATGGAGAAGATGCAAAGGGGGAACAAGAGCGAGGAATAAATGCAATGGAATAAGAGAGACATCTTGCAGCAAAGCATTTCTGAAGGCACAGGAATAGCAGCAAGGAAAGCGCAATAAAAGCGCCATTGTTGAACATGTTTCCAAAAATGGGCGCAACGAGGACAGGCATGTGTGAAGACAATAACACAGACCGTCGAGATGTCCAGCACAAAGAAGCCCATTGACGCCAGTCATTGTTTCGTGATCCGAGTCCCTCAATAGGCGTCTGCCATGAGCAAGAGCAATCCTGCCGCGACAACGACGACGACGAGAAGACAGCTGATCGTGTCGTAGGACCTCCATAGAAAAACGATGGATATGGAAAGGAGTGGAGACGAGATGCAGGAGCAGACTGTTGGCCAGGTTGCTCTGCCTATGTCCTTCAGAAGGAGTCTTCCGGATTGAGGCGGGAGTCAAAGACGCATTGTCATGATTCTTTGTGAAGGTGATCTGGCGGTCAGTCGGGAGGACAGTTTCCTGTCCAAAAGAGCGCCTCGGTGGCCAACATGGTCAATTTGCATCCACCACCAGCGGTTCTCTCTCGAGCCAGGTAGTGTGCTGGTTTCTGTAAAGGCCACCTCGAAGCTTTGTAAATCGAATATCTCGTATGGACAGCATTGCTCATGTCGACAAGTGGGTATCGTCTTATACAGTCTCAATGTACCTTCTTACCTCCCAATCCGTGACAGCCTCGTCCCATAATCGTAGCTCGTGTTCTCTGGTACCACCATAATGCTCAACAAACTCGTCACCAAACACTTCTCGGGCGACACTGCCCTTTGCCATAAATCGTGCCGTGCTGTCTCTGAGGTTCTTGGGCAATCGCTCTCCCTTGTCACCGACACTCCCAACCTCTTCGCCTTTGCCGAGCGGTGGTAGTTTGATTTCGAGTTTCTTCTCTATTCCTCTCCAACCAAGGCCGACAATGGTGGCCAGCACCAAAGAGGGATTGGCGTCCGCGCCACAGACGCGTACTTCGAACCTTGTAGATTTTGCAGATGCTGTTGGAGGAGCGATCAAACGAATAGATGCGGCCCGATGTTCGAGGCCCCAGGAAACCGTGACGGGAGCCCAGAAGTTCTCGACCAGCCGCTTGTACGAGTTGATGGTGGGTGCAATGATGGGCATGACATCCGCAAGACCATCCAGTAAACCGGCCAGAAATTGTCGACCCAGGTCGGACACATACTCGAGGTCCTTATATGGAGGGTTGGGGTCCCTCTCGCCCCGGTAGAAGAGATTTTTGCCCGACTTGTCCACAATGGAGCAGTGCATATGTCCACTGTTACCAGGCAACCCTTCCTTTGGCTTCGCCATAAATGTGGGTGTAATACCATACTTGCTGCTCATAGCCTTGACCACGTACTTGAACAAGCTTGAGCGGTCTGCCATTTCGGTGACCTCACCAAACTCCAGGGCGGCTTCGAAGACTCCGGGGCCTGATTCCGTATGCCAGCCTTCCACATTGCATCTGAATTGCTCACAAGTATTGAAAATGCTGTAGAACCATTGCTGATTGTGTATGGGGTCGGTTAGGGAGTATCCGAACATGCCCTGTGTCAGGTGCGGGAGGGCGTGGACGGGATTATTCTGGAGGAACGGAGCTGTCGTGGAAGAGGAATGATGGCTCGTCTGGATTGACTCGTCTCGGGGAGCGCGATATGTGAAGAACTCGTACTCGGCGCCAGCCATTGCTCCGTAGCCGGCCTTGTGCAGCTTTGCAACCGCAGTCCGCAACAGACTTCTGGGGCACGCGCAGATGGGTTTGTCGGTATCTGGGTCGTAAAAACTGACCAGGAAGAAAGGCACGTTGTCTTCCCAAGGTATACGTCGGAAGCTGGCCAGGTCTACTTTGGCCACCAAATCTTTGTATCCATTCTCTTTATTGCTGATCTGGAGTTCGCGGAAGTAGGTCATGTCGTGCATATCCCAGCCGAAGACGACGCTGCAGAAGCCAAACCCATCTTTGGCAACAGAGAGGAACTTCCTCTTGGAGACCAACTTACCCCGGAGGATCCCTATGGAAGTTAGCAGGCATCATGCGAGGAAGTGCTAAGGGCGCGTGCCGTCGATATCAATGCCTGCGAGCTTGACCTTTGTATCGGAGTCCAGCGCAGTTTCCAGCTCGTCCAAAGTTATGATTCCACCGTCTTTGTTGCTGGCCATGGCGGGAACGGAGGAGACAAAGAACAGGAGAAGGCGGAGCTGCGTGGAGCAGAGACAATGGACAAGGGACAAAGCGTCCAGCAGCTGGACTTTGTAGGGTTGTATCACAGAAAGCGGGGGAGAGATGATTGGTGTTGTAGGTGTTCGCACCCAAAGGTGGATGGAGGTGGTGCTGATAAGCCACCAGCCTAATAACTCGTAATTACACTTGATCTCGGGGTCGAGACACCGAAGGGTTCAGAGTTCAGAGACGAAAACAATGCACACAGCTATCGACACAGCCATCACCTTTTGTCCGCTAAGGCTATAACACGCAGGGGGCAGCGGTTCTTTCTGCAGACGGATCATGGATATTCACCTATCATCTTCGCCTCTGGGAGATATGCAGTGCGGAGGAAGCCACCGGACCACGCCTCCCGTTACTTATAACAGCAATAGCTCGTCTGCTCTGATCGACAGGTTTGGCTTGGAGCTTTGGGAGAGTGAAGCTTAAACAAAGATCCACCGTTGCATGCCCGGGCGGGCTGCTTCGGAAAGAGAATGAGAGGAAGAGGGAGCAGCCCACATGCCACCCACACCACCAACAACAACATCCAACCACCAGCAACCAGCAACCACCCGCAACAAAATGCGTATTTGATTAGATAAGGAGATCCACGCCTTGTGTGTAACGGTCCTGACTGTCATTTTGAATCTCTCTTGTGGCCCTCAATTTGACATATCCTGCAAAACCAGGTTCGACTGATTCCCTCTGCCTCCTCGCCTGTGATCCGCTCTCCTCACCGCCGGCACCAGCACCCTCCAACAAACCCAACAGGAAGAGGTGGACAGCTCGCTGTGAGCATGGCTACTGAGTCAAAGCCTGGCCGACTCGCCGGCAAAAATGCCATCATCACCGGTGCAGCCGGTGGGATAGGGCTGGAAACGACAATCCTCTTCGCCAAAGAAGGTGCCTCGGTCCTGATGGCCGACATTTCTGAGCCAGCCCTTGAAAGAGCCATTGCCAAAGTCAAAGAACTCGTCCCTAACCCGCCTCGTTTGGAGATTATCAAATGCGACGTGTCCAAAGAGTCGGACGTCCAGGCAGCGGTCGAATCACAAGATCGACACGGCGGCATCGACATCATGTTCAACAACGCGGGGATTATGCACGCCCAGGATGACGACGCCATCAACACGCCCGAGAAAATCTGGGACTTGACTCACGCGATCAACGTGAAAGGAGTATGGTATGGCAGCAAGCACGCCGTGCTCTCCATGCGAAAGCATCAGAAGAAAAAGGGCTCCGTCATCAACGTCGCGAGTTTCGTCGCCCTGATGGGCGCTGCCACGCCCCAACTGGCATACACAGCATCCAAGGGCGCCGTTCTCGCTATGACGCGCGAACTCGCCATCGTCCACGCCCGGGAGAACATCAGATTCAATTCACTGTGCCCTGGCCCGTTGAACACCCCGCTGTTGCAGGACTGGCTCGGGGATGACCTGCAAAAGAGATTTCGGCGAGAGGTGCACTTTCCCATGGGGCGATTCGGGGAGGCGATCGAGCAGGCCCAGGCCGTGCTGTTCTTGGCCAGCGATGAGAGCAGCTTTGTCAATGCCACCGAGTTTGTGGTGGACGGCGGCTTGTCTAGGGCGTATGTGACGGGAGAAGGGCCACCAGCTGAGGCGCCGCTGAACAACGTGCATTGACAAACCAGCGGGCAAAAGAGATTTTGCACGATGCCCCAAGCGATCAGCGTTCATGAGAGGGCAGGTTGTCTCAGAGACGGAGTGAGCGGCGGTTTCAATGTCTTCTTCATTGTGATGGGGTTCCGGGATAGACCTAGCAACTTGATAGAGACAAACGTTATGAGGCGAAACAACATCCGGCCTGGAAGCAATTTACCCCTATTTGCTGTGTTTACTGATTGTATAACTGCCACTGAGCCCGAGAGCATCAGAGAGTCTCTTTACACACCCCTTTGTTTGTGCTGCCTTCCTCCTTACGCCTCCAATCTGTGACACTCGATCTATGCAGCAAGACGAGTCGACTCTTCCAGCATAATCATTCTTGATCGTCTTACCATATTGCCAATGATCCCCAGATTTGTCCACCCATACCGTCGACTCGTTGCGGACGCATTCAATCTCGTCCACTATCACCCATTTCCGGGTATGCCATGGTAAGAAAAAACCCACCCAATATGCAATAGTGGAGGACGTAGGACAGGCGCCTGTGGACCAGGTACCGTCAAGCTTCGAAGGCATTGGCTATCAAGAGAACAGGATAGACGGAAAAGAGGAAGAAGAAAGTACGAGAAAGGCCGGTTGCCTCACTAACAAGGAAGCATCCTTCAAGCACGTCCGAGGAAAGAGAAGACGTGAAGATTTCTCGGGTATTGTACATACCAGTGGTAATACAGCTGCCTCGAAAAAGATCATTCGTGGGTAAAGTGACCTCTTCATCACGCGTGTCTGCCGGGCTATATGAGCTGCAGGACGATAGGTTGGTCTGAACATCTGGAATCTCATTTCCAGTTGACATCAGGTGTCCAACATGAAATCCATCGCTTGATGGCTTTGGCTTTAACGGCAGGGCCGCCCTGCTGGAAGTGCTGAGCCAGCGCACCTGAACCTGCTGGATCTCCCAGTATCCCTTCAACTCTACCCGCCGTCTTTCTGACTGTCGAACGAGAGTCCAGAAGCCGGACGTGGGAGTTTCTTCCTCAAATGCGGCAAAAAGGTCCAGGAAATTTCTTTGAGGGACCCGACATGATGGGCGATCAAAGATTGATGGTGCCCATTTCGATAAGATCCTTTGCTCCATTGGAGAAAAGTCCCTGCGTGTCCAGCTTCATCTTGCCACGGCTCCCTTCAAAGTTGACGAACATAAAACCCTCGAGGGTCATCAACCTTCTCGTTGATGCAAAGGGATAATAAATTGCTTTGCTGATAGCTCGCCCAATCCCTGAGACCAGTCCCCCTGAAGCCTTGTTTGTTGAAGCCGAGCCTTCTGCATGTTCCATCATGAAAATAGGTTCCTCCAATTGTTGCACGAACTTTTGGTCCATTTGAAAGCGGTAAGGTTCGATGAGAAATTCCTTCGGCTTTAGGAAAGGTAGAGGCCGGCGTACCTGTACCGCCAACTTCACAACCCCGTTTACCGGCACGAGGTCGATTGCTTTGATGAACCTTAACGAGCGCATCATTATGAGCCAGCCAACGGCTGAGAAGACAAAAATCCCCAAGCGATGTGCGACTGGCACGAACCACGGCAGGTCGGCGTCTCCTGTCCAAGCCCAAATATTACCATATGCGAGAAGACCGGCAATGGCAATAGCACTGCTTCCCATAGTAAATGCCGCGGCGTAGATCCCAAAATGAGATGGGGGTCTGTATATAGCTGTTTGACCAGCATCGTATAGTTTTTGCGCGTACCATTGCTTCCTCGCTAGTTCCGGGGGCAGCTCTTTGATAAATTGTGACGCCGGCCCTCCAAGTACAGGTATGCTAGGTTGTTGACCTTTACTTAGTGGTGTCGAGGGTCCTTTTGCTGCGGGAAGGTTTGCCTTTGACACGGAGCTCTGAGGAGACATCATGGGAGTCCGTTTGGAGCTCGTGGCGGCGCCTGACGGGGAGGATGTCGCGAAACGGTGGGGAACGCATGATCGGAGGCCTCGAAATCGAAGGAGAGGTCGGGCTGCAGAGGAGAGAGCTGCCATAGTTTTCACAGAGGTATTTCGCCGTTGGCAGACGGAGGGAAGCTGTCAGAACGAGTGGAAGGGAAACATGAACACCCTGGAAGGACTCCTAACCATCACCAGCAAACAAAATCTGAGAGACCGGGTCCATTAAATTTTATTGACTGGACTGGCTTGACTGCCAGAAACGAAACATCTCAATCGTACCGCCGCAAGGCTGCGCTGTGGTCAACTTGAGGAAGGTTGAGCGAAGTCCGCAACGTGTCCGATCTCAAGCCATGTGTCTCTCTCTCTCCATCTTCGAACCGACTTCATGTGAAACTGTTGAACGAGAACTCGATGCTCAGTTGATGCTAGCTTATCGTACAGTTTCATCAAGTCCCGACTAATTTCATCACTCATTACATACAGCACGTTCAATATGCAAGCGCCAATGCTCGGTCTCGGCGTTTCAGCGGTTGATATCGTAGCACCACTCAGAGTACCTGTACCAGAAGACGTCGTATCACGGTCTCAGAGATCCATATCTTCAGCGGGTTCTTATGCCCGTAGTCGTCCATATGACGATTAGACAGATCCCAGCTTTAGAGGTGAAGGCCGCCACTTTCTCCGTCTTGTGTTCCTGTAATCCCTGCACCCTGTTGGATAGCCTCCAGTAGCTGGGGAGATACATTTTGTCTGTTGCTCTCCTCCACCACTCCAAGTAGTTTGACGAAAAAATCTTGACGCAGCACCTCCATCAGAATATCTTGGCTGTCAATCATGTGGGAGGCCGCATATCGAAGGATGCCACCAAATGGATCACTGCCATCATTATCTTTCAAGAACTGGGCCTCGACATGGGCCAATGAAGAAGTCGTCACTGCACTCCAGTCATAAGGTGCGACTCTCGCGATGAAGTCGAACAGTCGTGCTTGAGAAATGGTAACGAGCTGCATACCCTTCTTGGTTTTGATATCTCGTTTCGATTTCGTCAGTGAAGTCCATTCGAAGAGGATTGTGTATACGTCAGGATCGTGGAATACTCTGCGCCAAAGCAGGCCTTGTCCTTGTGCTTCCGCAAAGTTACGACCTGCGGATAACACCGTTGTGCTATTTTGGCTGTCGACAGCGAGCAACGCTTCAAGCACCTCCAGGGAACGTTCTGCAACCTCGGTGCTTTCCGATGACAACCAGATGGTGAACTGACACTGAACAAGACTTGAATTGGTCGCAACGAAAGAGGCGCCACTTGGCGAGTCTGCGGCTTTCCGCAGATATGCTAGGCAAAGTAATTGGATCGCAACTGAAGGGGAAGTCAGGCCTTCTTGGAGCTTCTCGGCAGATATGGTGGATCTGAGCTCGTCGAAGGGCAGGAGTGAGATGACTCGCTCCAGGAGCCGGGTAAGCGGTCGGGGGTCTTGTTGGAGCGTTTGCAATAGCTGTTCGCCTGTGCGTAGCACTCTCCATAACAGGTCTTTTGGGGAGGTAGGAGTAAGGTTCCTGTCTGCACGTTTTAGAAGTTCCTCATCCAGTGGCAAGCCAGGTTCCGCTTCGACTGCGGCAAGATGCGCAAAGACTTCGGGAAAGAGCTTGACCGAGTCCTCGACCAAGGCGTCCATGATGGTCAGATTTCAAGGGATCACTATCAAAGACAGAAATAGGAGGACTTAGTAGTTCAGGTTATCTACGAAAAAGACCAGAGTTACGAATCTTGTAGCAGCCTTGCATCCCCTCTGCCCCGCCAAGCCGCGCCTAGGGAGCTTATAGCTATTATTTAAGCAAGGGTTCATCCTCTCCTCAACCCTTTCTCCTTTCCAAGCAAAAGCTGTAGTGAGGATTTCAGGTAACGCCCTGTTCTCTTTGGGGGACTGTGATGAACTGTGTGCTCAAACAACCGTGAACCTAGACCGGCACCCGACCGCTACCGTTCAGGTCAGTGAATCTGGGAGCAGTGTAAAACAGTGTGATTTCGAGCTGATTTCTGAGTCCCACATCTACTTTCTGCAAATAGCGAGTTGATGACGACGGTCATATATTCTCATCATGAGCGAGGATCCAGGGTAATTCACATAGCGCTTTTTGAGTCACGACCGGGTGGGCAATGAACGTGTTATATACTAGTTTTGAGAAGAAACTCATGACAGTGGAAAAAGCAGTGCAGGCGTTCTTTATCACTTTCATCTTCCACTTGCTTTCCAACTTTCAGCACCTCCGACAGGCAGCAGCTTAGTCAGAAAAGTGGCCTCAAACTAACTAAGGTGATATTCGCAAATCTAATCCTAAGGATCGATGTGTGCATGTTTGGTTTAGGAATACCCCGCGATTTGCCGTTCTAGTGTGGAATCTGGGCTGGGATAACGAGACGAGGACACCCGCTGCGACGGGATCGCCCGTCCTATCTACCCGGCCCATGACTGATGTCCTAACCATTGGCCTGAGCACGAGCCAGGAGCAGTTCGCCCGCCGCGAGTTCCTGTTGACACAGCTAGCTCATGGCGGTGCTGGAGGTGAGTGAAGGTGAGCGAGGTGAGTGCGAAGGTAAATCATATTAGAGGGGCAGGTAAGTGGTTATAAAAGCGGCACGCTCGGGGTGAGTCGCACGTGAACTCCGAGCGGCCCTACTTTGCTTTGGCTGCCAAGCACTAGCAGGGCAAAGTGTCGCCAAGAGGCAACCCGCCGCTTCACTTCTCCAGGTCGCCCTTTAGATGATGCGTCTCCAATCCAATGAGACTCGGCATCTTGCAGTGTTTGATATTTCGATCCCTGGCCCCTCCTCTCTTCCCTCACAGTCACCCTTGCGGTTTGCAATATGGCTGAACCCTCGACGAATCCCCTCCTCTCCTCGAAACCCTCAGAAAATGACCTCGCCGTCTCTCTCCATCCCCTCGTTCTCCTCACCATATCGGACCAAGTCACAAGACATTCAGTGCGAAAACAGTCAGGCCCGGTGGCGGGTGCGCTTCTTGGTCAGCGGAAAGGCAGAGAGATTACAGTGGAACACGCTTTCCCTGCAGCATTGGTGAGACATGAAGAAGGGCCATGGCGATTCAACCTCGAGTGGATGGAAACGAGGATCCAGCAATGTGCGTGAGAGGTCAAGCGATTCCTGAGACATGTCGATTAACATCCACCAGATATTGCCGTCCATAAATCACCCGCTCTAACGTTCGTTGGCTGGTTTACCCTTGGTCCTCCTGAAGGTCCACTACCCGAATTTGTGCATCTTCAGGAACAAGCCATCGAGCTGTGTAATGATAACGCCATCCTCCTCACATTACACCCCGAAGCAATCCAGTCAGGGGACACTGGTGGAGGGAAACTGCCCATCACGATTTACGAGAGCGTCGACGACCGTGAACATTCCAAGGATGACGGGTCAATGCACACCGATAGGGAAGAGGGGTCAATGCAGATTGACGCAGAAGAAAAGTCCGTCCCCAGATTCCGCCCACTGCCATACACAATCGAGACAGACGAGACAGAAATGATTGCAATAGACTACGTTGCGAAAGGGGCGGGTGGCGCAGTGACAATCGACGATGCACCCTCCGAGGAGCCAGCTTCAGGACCAGTCGAATCACCGCAGTCGGACAGAAAGGGCAAAATGCGAGCGGATCCAGGCCCGGAGGTTCTCGATGTACAAGGAACAAATGGTGCAGAGGAGCTACTGAAGGCCCTCACTCCGGAAGAAGAAGACCACATCGCTGGGATGACGACCCGGCTTAACGGCGTAAAGATGCTCCAGTCACGACTTGAACTCTTGAGAACCTTTATTCAGTCCCTTCCGCCCTCATGTATCTCCGCCCTAGGCATCAACACGGAAACCATTCCACTGACCGCGACGACCCCGGATCTACCTCATGTCCCTCACTTACGCAACATTCAAGCCCTGCTCACACGCCTCTCCCTCCTTACTCCTCCCACAGCGTCCACCCAGGAGAATCCCTTGGCATCCGCATCCCTCGCACAGTCCAACGATGTCTCCCTCGTCAGCCTTCTCGCTCTACTAGGCCAAGACATCCAGGCCTTTTCAGAGCTTGGTCGAAAAGCCGTCACGGTGGAAGCCAACAAGAGTCATTCAAAGGGCAAGCAACAACAAGGAGGAGGCCCGAAGGGTGCCGGTGGAGGCGGAGGCAAATTAGGGCCCGGCGGATCAAGTGGCTTTGTGGACACGGATGAAGGCAATGTTCGCTTTCCTGGCACGGTTGGATTCACCAACACGGGAGCGTCAGCCATGGTTTAGTCACTTATTTTCCGCTGCTCAAACCGTTGGCTCTCCAGAAACAACGTAGTTGAGTGGGCAAGTGATTTTACGACTCGAGAAGTTTGGGGTTCCAACCGACCTGATGGTATTGTGGTAATAGGCGAGAAGCGTGTTGAAGCGGTTTTTTTTTGGCACAGTGCATAGCGACGGCGTTGTAAAAACGAGGCGTGAGGCAAGACTTGCTTACATACAGCTCTAGGTCAAGAGTGGGAGATGAATTGACGGTAGTCTGAGAACTCAAGGTCCAAGGATGACGGCGAATGCATAGATCTGTCGAGTGCCCTGGTTTCGTCGCTGACTCAGGCGATGTACTTTCATCTTTAGCAGTCGGGACTGATCAGAACGGCGACCGCACATCAGGTATATCTTGTTCCGTACTATCTGTCAGCGACATGATCGCTCTTTTCTTTTCTTTCCTGTAAGTTTCCTGGTATTTGCAGAGCACTGATCTCATATTCTTTTCTGTTTCTGAATATCCTCCTGCACCCTTGTCGTGCCCTTTTTGCTTATGTGCTGATCCCACTCAATGCCGATCCGATATCTTCCCTCGTCGCTGCATAACAAGCTGACCACCCATAGTAATGACATGAGAAAATCTTTCTGGCGGACAGACTGACACGTAAAAGTCCCCTAAAGCTTTGTTGCACATAAATGAAAGGTCGTCAGGTGCTGTTGCGACAACACGTCGTGTGTGGTTGAAAAAAAAAAGCAATAAATACATTTACTGAATGTTGTCATCCTCCTTGGGGAAGGAGAATTGATTCGAGGTTCCCGGCGTCAATGTCCTGAACGCCTACGCTGCTGGTGTCATTAAAGAATGAGTGTGGGGAGTGTACTGTGCCTAAATGCAAGCCGAAACATAACCGTGCAAATATGTTGGAGACAGCGAGCATATTCAAGTAACAAGGACATCCGCCGGCCGTTGTCTCCTGTGGAAAAGGGGTATTCTGAATTTCTTTCTTGGAGGTTCTTGGGCCGCATGCTCAGCCGCTGGTGTTGACGAAGAGTGGGGATATGGAGTTTTCGGGGTACCAGCGGAGGGCACTGGGGGTGTCGAACCAGTCGAGAAGCTTCTGCCTTCCGTCGTCATGCTTTTCTTTTTGCGAATAGTCTTCATCAATCTGCTGATGTGAGGCTGCTTCTGCTCCTCGGGAGCTGGCAACTCAGGTGGAGGTGGAGGGAGGCTTTTATTCAAGTCCGGAGCCGAAAATCTGACAGGGCGAGGCTGCTCGATTGATCTGGTACCGCCACTTTGGGGTCGTGACGATCCATCCGTGATGATTCGCAGTGTCTTCTTGATGGCTTCTGCCTCAGCCGAGGGCTTGCTCGCTTCCATCGATCTGTGGACGCCGCCAGAAGATGCCGTCCGGCTTTTGGCTGTCGCCGTGGTAGACTCATTTCGGAGACTGCTGCCAGGCTTCTTGGTGCTGTTAACGGATTTCCGAACGGTGTCGGAGAAACGTCGCGCTGTCTCGCCGGGAGTGATACCGGCACTCGTCAAGGGTGTTGAATAGTCAGTGGCAGTTATGGTACCGCGGTGGGACACTTCCGAAGGTGTCGCAGAGTCGTCTTGTATTTCGAGGAATTGGTGCGTCACGCTGGCTGCGGGTTCCATGTTGTGGGCTGGTTCGAGTTTCCGTTCACGCTTCGCACTGGGCTGCGGCTGCACCGCTTTGCCTTCTTGAATCTGAGCAGCAATGTATTTGAGGGGATCATCTGACATATCGTCCGAGTGTGGTACGTTCGCCAATAGCAAGGCACATATTCGCTTCAATTCCCCCTCCTCTTGTGCGGTCAGTGCCTGTCGGTCGATGAGAGGCGAGTCTGGAATAAAATGCGGATCATCATCGTCACCCCGATACTTTTTCGGTATCAATGCCTGTTAGAGGTCAGCGGCGGTGGAATCACCTTGCGCTCTGGGCACCCTACCGAAGCATCTGTCTGGAGTCCGAGCTTTTTGTTCATGGCGTCTGTGAAGTTGGTGTTTTCGACTAGTCGAAGGAGTGGAATTTAGAGTAAGAGAATGTAAGAGCAGCCTCTAGGTCAAATCGGCAATCTGGTTGTCTGTCGGTAGCCAGGGCTGAAGGGTGTTTGGGGTTCTGTTCACAGCATGTTGCTTCGGGAAGCAGATTTCGAATTTTGTCGTCTGCCACGGAAGCGTGCGTCGAGATCGAACAAAGCAAGAAGCGCTCCCGGGTTTGTGAAACCTGACGAAGTTGGCTTGATGTATGGCACTGGTAGAGAACACTGAGGAAACAAGACGAGGGTCAGCCGGACACGACCAGGGAAAGATAAGGATATCTCGAGAACAATAGTATTATTATTACTCGTCCACAGGCCATGAGAATCGCGGCATGTGGACGATGGATGGCAGTCAGCGTGAGGTTTCAGCTTCGAGCTGACCAGATGAAGGCGACACCTGGGAGTGGGCCACGTTCGCATAGGTCCATGGCACTCAGCAAAGGGGTCCGAGGCCAGCCATTCTGTCATCCACGCGAATGGCTGTTTGACCAGTGAGATATGAGGTTAGCAGTTGGCCTATCTGATCCCAAACCCGGCCGTTAGCACTGTGAAAGACAATTAAGCGAAGATGGAACTTCGGGTGATGAAAAGAAGCGTGCAAGTCGAGAGTGTCGATGGAACCAGTGATTGGCGGCGCAAATTGAAGAGAGATTGAAACGAGGAGAAAAGGGAAAGAAGCCAGACGAGTCTAGCCAAGTAACCGAAGCCAAGATGAAGCCGGGCCACGCCCAGGGAGGCCCACCCGCGAGCGCGAAGCTCATTACGCAGGGCGAGTGGGCGTTAGCGAGCCCTGGCACTCCTAGCTAGTCCAAGTCGGTAGCTTTGGGTCAGGTTTCAGGAACCAACAGTCCGGCAGGTGGAGGATGGCAAATCGGACGGAGCAGTTGGGAGATGTCCAGGTGGGTGGCTGGGCCCACCTCCGAGGCCGGGGCTGGGCCGGGTTCCCTGCAGAGCCTCCACCTAGTTTTTCCAGAGCAGGATCTTGCCTGATGACACTAGGCTACTACGGGCACCCATCTCTTTCCCCAGTGGTGGCTAGGTGATCGGTATTACCAAAGCACAGGACTGTATGTACCTCCTGAGGGGGAACTCGATGGCCCTTAACTCTCTTAGATAGGCGGGCACTGTTACGTGCCACGACGCTACTCGTACCCAAAGCTGACCACCTTCAAGAGCCTTTTTCCTTTTTCGCACGAACGTCATGCAATGCAGTTTTCTACTACTTCCCTTATGGAGTAACTCCCAGTATGCAACTTCTGAACTTTGGGCTGTGATATAATACCAATGTCGATCAAGGACACAACCCATTGCTTCATATGCTGATTACTTCACCAGGTTGACCCCTGCAGCAAGGCTCGATGCCGCCCACAATCGCAAATGCATGTCACTGGAAAATCTCCGAAGCCTACTAAATCTCCCGAACACCCCAGATCACCATCAACATTCAATGACCAGGACTGTAAATTGCTTGAATGCCATCTAGAGAGGGCTGTCGCACTTGGCCATGGGTGAAGCATCGAAATCGATAGGCTCTAACCAGGACCTCTGGCCAAATCGTCAGCTGTCGTCTTTGTCAGACTCGGAAAGTTGAGGATCCAACTGCGCTGATGACGAGCATAAGATTCGCCTCCAGGACTTTTTGTGACGTTCGCCGTGCGACTCATGCACCTCTCAAATTCTCGCTTTGAGCCCATTGGATCGATAAACGTCGTTAAAGTTACTCCAAAAGTAACGATGTGAAATGCATTCGGCTGTTCTTGAGCGTCACGGGTTGACTGAGCAGAGAAACGCTGCACAAGCTTGCCACGACGAACCGAGTATTACCTCGCGTTGCCATCATCGCGCAGGTACTTTTGCATTTCAGATTAATGAACATTCTAGTATTCTCTCCAGCGTACTTGCTTTTAGTATGCTCGAAAGCGTTACATGTCATGCATTGAAAAGCCCTTGCCCTGCAGCCAGAGGCAAACAGGCCATTCTCCAAGGTAGGAAAAGAGATGAGTTCTGTTCCTCAAATGGCCAGGACTTTCGCCTTTCACCTCTTCCGTCGACTATCTTGATGATCTTCGCGTCTACAGGCCAACACGGTTCGTAGTTCGCTGATCCGCCTTCGCTCAGTGGGAGAGTTCCCCGGTGTAATGAATTGTATCAGTTCTCCTAGCAGATCCCAGTTGAAGCACATCTCCGATCTGACCAACTCGATGAGAATGTCTCGATGAACTCCGATTTCGATTTTCATCAGGGATGGTATGCAAAGCTGCCCTTCCGCTCTTGGGTAAATGCATTTCTTCTGTAGACGTCAAGGACCTTTGGACAGAACTTTATTCGCTTTCGATAACACCACAATGGCTGTGGCTTGTTGAGCAAGCTGTTGCCATCATTCCCGCTGCAGCCAGTCCCAACAGCGAGGACAATTGCCCCCAGTCAGGTATCGACGTTTCTGTGTCCCAAACTCCCAACCCAACAATGGTTACAACGATTGCCGGCGTCTCTCACGGTCAGTCGGGGTTTCTAGACAGGTCAGCCGGAGCGTCGGATGGGTGCCAGTAGCCTCAGAGGCATCCGAAGCATTCCAGCCTAGATGTCGATTAGACAACCTTGAACAACAGTAGATGAGAAAGTCAACAGCATAGCACATTACCCTATGGCCTGTGATCCACATATGTGGCTCACATATACAGACCACAACTTTTAATTAGACTTAGATCTCTTCAAGATTGTCCCCAGTTCTATTTAGACATATTCTGCCCTTACACGATCACCACCCGGCTGTTAAAGTCACAAGAGATAATTCAAACTATCGTGTGCCCAACTGCTCTTATGCACACACAGCCTTGCACCACTTCAGGACGAGGCTGTAGCTAAGACTTCCCCGCGCGCGAATCATCTCCAAGTCCACTTTATCGCAGGGTAATTATTATTCATTCGAGTCTGGCCCTCGAATCTGCACTCCCGCTCATTGTCTCCCCAAACCATACAAAATCTACGTCCAATTCATGGACAATGGGGGACAGCGCGGAACAGGGCTCCCTCGAGACTCGGGATGCCTGGCTTGCCGCTCTCAGAAGCAGTTCGACAAATCTCCGCATAGAAGCACTGAGGAAATTGCAGCAAAGTATCCAAGTTGCTGGTAAGACTATTTGTAAACCCCGTTTCATGGGGTCCCAATCTCACGGTTGCTGCAGATGAGACGGTCTCCAAAGAATTGTTGATTGTATTGCCCGCTCTCCTTGCGACATATCCTCGATACCCAGATCGAAAATCTCGCCGAGCAGTGCAGTCATGCCTCCGAGCATATCTCACGACTCCCTCTACCTCCGACGTTGCCTATGCTGCCATAGCAAAATTCCTGTTACAAGAGAGCCAAAAGCCGGTCATAGCCCCCGGAAATGCATTCGTCCTGCTTGAGTGGTGTTGCTTGGTCCAACAAGAAATCCGGCTCAATGAGAAGTCATTCGAACAATACTTTGGGAAAATATGCTGTGCTGCTGCCCGCCTCCTAGACAAATGTGAAGACAAATCTGTCCGTGGCGGAGTCCAGGAGTCGGCCTTGACAATCGCTAGGAGGGGTTTGCGTGACGCATTCAAGACGAAACAGGTCGGAGACAGAGCCCTGCAACTCGCCCTGCACGACGCTGCAAGTTCCTCCGAAGCAAATGCTAGCCATGCCCTTTACGTGGGAGCGATTGCCGGGGTCAGTGCTCGCATTGCAGAGAGGAGGGAAGAGCTCCAAGCTTCAAAGAAGCAGGTCCTTGACTTCTATGTCAAATCCGTCGTAGGCTCAAAAACCCCTGTGCCATACCAGCAGTCCATGGGTCTCAAAGATTTCTTCCTCGACTTCGTCACCCTCCAGGATGTGGGGGAAGTCTTGGTTCCAGCAATGGAGAAGGCCATTCTGAGATCGCCCGAAGCTATCCTTCAAGGTCCTATCGAGGCGCTGGCTTTGTGTCTGCCGTTGTCACTCGATATTTCAGGTTTCGTCCATGGGAAGCTGGTGAAACCGCTCTTATCAGCAATGAATTCCACCAATGCCATCATTCGCGATGGTGCAGGTAAGGCTCTGTCAGCCCTTGTCAAGCGAGGAGGGTCTCCAGAGGTGCTGCAAAAGATTGCTGGGGAACTGGGATCCGCAATGAAATCCTCAAAGGCTGGAAGCTTTGAATTACGCGGACTTTTGGCCGATACCTTGACAATGATTGCTCCCCAATCGACCACTTCTTCTGTTATTGCTGAGTTTATCGTCCCCGTGGCATCTAAGGAGGCCAACGAGGGGGCATTGAGAAAAGAGGTTGCTGCGTTAGCAACACATCTGCCTCTTATTGTCACAGCTTCGTCGATTAATAAGACGATTTCGGACCCAATTCTCAAGGGCTGCGCTGACAAGAGACTTCCCTTTCGCAAATTATGGGTTCTGTGTCTTGCAAACGTCCTCAAAAGCCTCAAAGAGATTCCATCAGAGCAAGTGTCACGAGATTTTGTCAAGTTGTCTCTGAAAGACCTGAAAGATGCGTACGACGAAGTTGCTCTCAATCCCCTCCCAGCGACCCAGAATGGTTTTGTTGCTGCAGGTTTTGGTCTTCCCGCCCTGCTTGACGCCCCGATCCTGCAGACGGATGAGTACAAATCAAATACTTACGGTGAAATCAGCAATCAGTGTCTGACCGCTCAAACGAAATTGTCTTTTCTCTTGAATTCAAAGGTCTATACGCGACTCTCGTCCCCAGACGACTGTCAATGGGCACTGTATGCTTTGACTAACCTCACGCAAAATCTCGAGCAATCATCAGAAGAAGCCAAAACAGCATGGGCAAGAGCAGTCTTGCATCTCCTGCTTACCCCTGAGGTCGACTCCAGTGTGCGTAAGGAGACTGGGGTTGCTTTATCACAAGCCTATTCGAAACAACCAGCTCCAGTCGGTCACAGCATAGTGCTTGGTATCTGGGATGTCCTTCGATCCCGTGCGCTAGAGCTAACAAAGACGGCCGAACAGTCTCTGAACGACAACCGTTTGCTTCAGGCAGTGAAGTGCATCAGCATACCGAGGGACAAGCTGGAGAATATGACCCCGGAAGCGGTAATCGAGGTGCTGGAGCAACAGGCCATATCTACGGTGGTGCTATTACGTCCTGAGCTGATTATCAACTCCGACTGGATTGCAACATGCCTCGCCACCGGGATCGACCCGGGAGAACTGGCGAAGGGGCGACAAGAACAACTTTTCAAAGAGATACTTTCACATTTTGAGGCCGGCAAGATGGCACCGTTGACGATTTTCGAGATCGCTGCCTGTAATTCTGCAGCTACACTGGCATTCGTGGCGCCGGACGTTTTTACACCCGCCTTGATTCGTCAATTTCGGAAAGATCTAGACCCTGTGCAGTTGGAAGCTGTTGGTCCCACTGAGGCTCTCATTGCTAGAGCCCCAGAAGGCACTGTTGTCGTCGACGTCCTTGGCCAGCAGACAAACGGAATTCTCGACAACAAGAACCAGAAAGACTACGACGTTCTCAAATGGGAAGAAGAGATCCGCAGTCAGCTAGCTAAAAAGAAGGGGGCACCCCCGAAGAAGTTGACGGCAGACCAACAGGCAAAGATCGACGCCCAGCTTAAGCACGAAAGTGCTACACGGGCTCGAGTCAGGCTAATCTCGAGCAACATCAGAAGGGGTGCAAGATTCGTTGAGAGTCTTGCTCACGGTCCGCCAACAGAGGCAGGACTTTGGATGTCTCCTGCCGTCACTGCGCTTCTGGGATCTCTTGAAGCGGGAGCAGCACTCATAGTCGAAGACGAAATCCTCTCAGCGTATCTTGCCTGCTCCAACAAGATCTCGGACCGGCTTGGAAATATGCGCCTTTTTGTCGGCGTTGCTACTCTCAGGTCTCTGCGGAACGCAAATGTTCCGGAGCACCTCTGCATGGAACCACTTGCGGAGCTTGGAACACGAGTGTTATACAGGTTGAGATTTGCTGCTGAGCAGCGCCCCTTTGACACCGCCAGCACTGCATATGCCCTGCCTCTGATCTTTTCCGTCCTCGAGAATGGAAAGGTAGGAGATGTAACAGGTGAGGACGCTGACGCACAAGTCCTTCTTGCGCTCGAATTCCTATCCTTCCAGATGGGATCCGGTGCCGACGAGCATCTTCCAAGAGCAGACATTTTACGCCAATTGATCAATGCAATGCGTAAGTATAACCAGCACTATCGCATAATCAGAGATTGTCTGTTTGATTTCTGCCGATCAATCTCAGAAAATGTCACCGCTCAGGAGCGGGACATTCTCCTATCTGCTGTTACCCTCCCGGAGTCTGCCGTTCGGTCTGCGGTTCTTCAAGCAATTCATTCAGAAATCGACCTTTCTGAGATCGACAATTCTGTCCATATATGGATTGCTTGTCAGGATGAAGAAGACGAAAATGCGGAGACTGCGCTGGCCGTTTGGGAAGAGTTCGAATTCACCGTAACCGAAGAACTGGTCGATAGCATCCCTCCATTCTTATTCTCAGCGGCACAATCGACCAGAGCGGCGGCAGCAAGAGCTCTTGCGCAGGCACTTATCCAGATCCCTTCGAAGACCGATTCTGTATTGGCATTACTCGAAGAGTCTTATCGCACGGAAGCTCAGCCACTGGTCCCAAAGCGGAACAAGTTCGGTATTGTGCAGAAAGGGGAACTAGTCGATCGGTGGGAGAGGCGGAGCGGGCTTGCTCTGGCATTCAAAGAGCTTTCTTCGGTCATGAGCGAGTCTGCTTTGCTGCCCTTTATGAACTTCCTGGTTCACGACGGTGCCCTCTCAGATCGTCATGCTACAGTTCGCGCAGAAATGGTCGAGACGGGCACGGTCTTCGTGGCAGCACGAGGGAAAGAATGCCTGGAGCCTCTTATGGGGCTATTTGAAAAGGTGCTACAGAGTCCTGATAAAGGAACCGAAGAATCAGATTGGGTCAATGAAGCGGTAATCGTTCTCTACGGGTCCCTGGCAAGACATCTTCCCGATGGCGACAGGCGGACGGGGAATGTGATACAGAAGCTCCTTGATACTCTCAGCACGCCAGCCGAATCCGTTCAATATGCTGTGGCCAACTGCTTGCCTCCACTGGTTCGTCCTCCCTCGGTCGATGCCGGGCCTTATATCACTTCTCTTCTAGAGCAGCTTTTCCAGTCCAAGAAATATGCCGCACGACGAGGAGCAGCCTACGGTCTCGCAGGCATCGTCAAGGGGAAAGGCGTGGCTGCCTTGCGACAGCACAGGGTGATGGTCGCGTTGCGAAGTGCGACCGAAAACAAAAAGAGCCCTGAGGAGCGACAGGGTGCAATGATGGCCTACGAACTACTGTCCTTGCTGCTCGGACGAACCTTTGAACCATATGTGATCGAGGTCCTTCCCCAGTTGCTGACATGCTTTGGCGATCCCGTTGCGTCGGTCCGTGAAGCTTGCTTAGACACTGCAAAGACGTGTTTTGCCAGCCTGAGCTCCTTTGGCGTGCGCCGTGTCCTGCCTGAGTTGCTGGAAGGGTTGAATGAGACACAGTGGCGAAGCAAGAAAGGAGCCTGCGACCTTCTCGGCGCCATGGCTTACCTTGATCCGCAACAGCTGGCTACGAGTTTGCCAGAAATCATACCTCCTTTAACATCAGTTCTGACAGACAGTCATAAAGAGGTTCGCGCTGCTGCCAACAACAGTCTCAAGAGATTTGGCGAAGTCATCACAAATCCGGAGGTTAAGAGCCTCGTCGACATTTTACTCAAAGCACTGAGCGACCCGACCAAATACACGGAGGAAGCTTTAGACGGGCTGATCAAGGTTCACTTCATCCACTATCTCGACGCACCGTCACTCGCCCTCGTGGTGAGGATCCTAGAGCGCGGGCTCAACGATCGATCAGCTACCAAACGCAAAGCTGCTCAGATCATAGGGAGCCTGGCACATCTTACCGAAAAACGTGATATCGTCACTCACCTGCCGATCCTTGTCACAGGTCTGCGTCTTGCGGCCGTCGACCCGGTACCTGCCACTCGAGCAACTGCTTCCAAAGCTCTGGGCAGCCTCGTCGAGAAATTGGGCGAGGATGCCTTCCCCGATCTTATACCAAGCTTGATGTCGTCACTTCGTACAGATACCGGTGCAAGCGACCGCCTTGGGTCTGCACAGGCTCTCAGCGAAGTCCTCGCTGGCCTGGGCACTGCCCGCCTTGAAGAAACTCTGCCATCGATCCTACAGAACGTCGCCAGCACACGGCCCACCGTAAGAGAGGGATTCATGACTTTGTTCATCTTCTTGCCAGCATGTTTTGGCAACAGCTTTGCTAACTATCTTGCTCAAATCATCCCATCTATTCTCAGCGGGTTGGCGGACGACATCGAAGCGATCCGCGAGACCGCGCTCAGGGCAGGCCGATTGCTTGTGAAGAACTTTGCGACCAAAGCCATCGACCTGTTGTTACCAGAATTGCAGCGCGGATTGGCAGACGACAGCTACCGTATTCGTCTCAGCTCAGTCGAACTTGTTGGAGACCTGCTCTTCAACCTCACCGGAGTCAGTGCTCAAACAGAAGCTGAAGAGGAAGGCGAATCTGCAACACAAGCAGGACAATCTTTGCTGGAAGTCTTGGGCGAAGAAAGACGCAATCGGGTCCTGTCTTCGCTCTACATTTGCCGCTGCGACTCTTCTGCTCAAGTTCGAGCAGCTGCCATCGCTGTGTGGAAAGCACTGGTTGCCACACCAAGAACACTCCGCGAATTGGTGCCGACGCTCTCTCAAATGATCATCGCTCGTCTTGCCTCGTCCAACATGGAGCACAAATTCATCGCTGCCAATGCTCTGGGAGAAGTGATTCGCAAAGCTGGAGAGGGTATCTTTGCCTCGTTACTCCCATCGCTTGAGGAAGGTCTTCAAACCGCTACCGACCCAGACAAGCGACAGGGCATCTGTATCGCGCTGAGAGAGATTGTCAACGCCGCTTCCCCCGAGTCGCTAGAAGAGCACGAAAAGAAATTGATTGCCATTGTCCGATTGGCACTGACTGATTCCGATCCCGAAGTCCGCGAGGCTGCTGCAGAATCGTTCGATTCGCTCCAACAGATGTTTGGCAAACGAGCTGTGGATCAGGTATTGCCGCATCTTCTGAACCTGTTGCGGAGCGAAACGGAGGCTGAACATGCACTGTCTGCCTTACTCACCTTGCTCACCGAAGCCACAAGAGCCAACGTTATTCTGCCTAATTTGATCCCGACGCTCCTCACCAACCCCATCAGTGGATTCAATGCTCGAGCTCTGGCTTCGTTGGCTAGAGTTGGAGGTGCAAGTATGACTCGTCGGCTGCCGACAATACTAAACAGTCTTGCGGACAATATCGTCACATGCAAGGACGAAGAACTTTTGAAGGAACTCAATGAGGCATTCGACGCGACCTTGTCTTCCATTGATGAATTCGATGGTCTTAATACGGCCATGAGTGTCATGTTGGCGATGATCAAGCATGACGATCACAGAAGACGTGCACTGGCTGCAAATCATTTGGCGACATTCTTCGCAGATCCCGTTGTCGACTATTCGCGGTACAACCAAGATCTCATCCGTGCCCTCCTCATCTCATTCGGCGATAGGGACCAAGAAGTTGTCACGGCCTCATGGACCGCCCTGAACCAGCTGCAATCTCATTTGCGTAAGGAAGAAATGGAGACACTTGTCGTCTCCACTCGGCAAGTCCTGCAGCAGGCTGGAACCGCGGGTTCTGTGCTGCCCGGTTTCGCGCTGCCAAAGGGCATCCTGCCTGTGCTCCAGATCTTCCTTCAGGGCTTGATGAATGGTACAACCGAGCAACGAGTCCAAGCTGCCATGGGCATATCAGACATCATTGAGCGCTCCAGTCCTGACGGACTGAAGCCATTTGTTACGCAAATCACGGGTCCGCTCATCCGTGTCGTTGGGGAGAGATCCATGGATGTCAAATGTGCCATTCTGTCCACTCTCAACCTGCTCCTCGAGAAAATCCCTACTTTCTTGCGTCCTTTCCTCCCTCAGCTGCAGAGGACATTCACAAAATCTATCGCCGATCCAACCAGCGAAATTCTCCGGACACGGGCAACGAAGGCGTTGAGTACACTCATCACGTTGACACCTCGCGTCGACCCCTTGATCGCCGAACTTGTCACCGGTGCGAAAACCCCCGATGCTGGTGTCCGCAATGCCATGTTGAAAGCGCTTCAGGAGGTCGTCAGCAAGGTTGGTTCCAACATGTCCGATGGTTCCCGTGAGTCCATTTTGGGACTCATGGACAGCCAACAAGACGCCCAGGACGACAATATGATGATGACCAACGCTCGTCTCTTGGGAGCTATGGTTAAAGTTCTTCCTGCAGAGAAAGCCGCGACCTTAATCAAAACCCGCGTACTCGTGCAACCTTTGACGAGTGCGTCGATCCTTGCTCTGAACGCTGTGCTCTTGGAAATCGCCGCGACCTTGATCGAAAATCCGACCTACGCGGAGGATACCAGGAACGTCCTCATCAGCGGGCTTTCTGGGAAGAGCGGCACTTTTGTGCAACAGAATGCTGTGCTCGCACTGGGCAAATATCTCCTCTCTCTGCATGAAATGTCCTCCGACGCCCAACAAGAAGAAACTTGTAGACCGTTGTTTGAAGCGCTCGCCTCGACAATCCCACCAGGAGGAGACATCGACTCGCGCCGCCTTGCCCTGGTGGTCATCCGCACGATCTTCCGCCACCACGGCAACAGCCTCCGTGAGGACCACAAGCTGCTGGCCATCCTGGTGCCGCCCGTGTTTGCATCGGTCCGGGACGTCGTGATCCCCGTCAAGTTGGCCGCCGAAGCTGCCTTCCTGGAACTCTTCAACGTAGTCGACGAGGACTCGGCCGTCTTCGACCAGTACATGGCCTCGGAGGACGGCGGCAAGGCGCTGGGCGTGGGGCCCACGCGAGCCATGGGAGACTACTTCAAGCGCGTGGCGCTCCGGTTGGGCACGCAGGCGCGCGAGCGGAGGGAGGCGGAAGGCGGCGTCAAGGGTGGGCTGGGGCTGAGTTCGGACGAAGAGGAAGACGAGAGGGAGGTCTGGAGCGTGGGACGCGTGGATCTGGGTGAAGCGGGATTTGGCGAGGAATGAGGAATGAGGAACGCTGCCCCGGGGGTGGGGGTGGAGGGGACAGCGAGGCAGAGAGAAAGAAAAAAGTGAACAAAATGTCTATTAGATGAATTGATTTGGTTACCAACGAACCAGCCAATTGAGAACCCCGATCCGTGTGTGTGTATCGTAATGCCGGTGGCAGAGTAGCAGGACAGAGAGGGGGGGGGAGAAAGAGAAAGAGAGAGAGAACTGCACTGCAAACCCGCATCGTGAAGAGAAAAGAGGAGTGTGGGTGGATTTTGGGTATCACTTCTACAGTGAGCTGGACACGGAGGCTGTTATCAAACATGCAGAGAGCCCCCAAGCCTCGCCTATATATATGTACATGCATAGAACTGTGTCTTCTCCTGTAAATGCACAGCAGGTCGGGCCTCTGACCGAAAAAACCAGTCGGGCCTTGTATGGTCGAGCACGCCATGACAAAAGGTTTCGGTTGAGATCAGCATGGTCGAAATTCTCGTGCTTGTCCCTGGCCCTGCCATGTCTGGTGATGGAACGGAAGATAGCACGTCCGTCTGAATCTCGATGCACTCCTCCTCGGAATGCTCATTATTTGCGGGTTCTCAGCTTCAACAAAGGAGAAGAGGCCTGGCGGTGTCGCAGGGTTTCTTGTTATCTGAAGAGAGACTTGAATGCAGGTGCTGGTTGTTCTGGGATATCTCCTGACGGACCTGATTGCTCCGTAGGTGGCGGTGGCCTGGAAATATCGTCAGTGCTGGTCCCAGCAAACAACTGGGCGGATGAGATGAGCAACAATAGATGGAAAGCCATGACTTACGGTGCGCTTTTGTGTCCCTGTTCATTATTGAAGTATTTCGAGAAGTCGCCTGGATCCTCAAATGGTCTCGGTCCCAGGATCCTGACCAAGTCGTCCCTGACAAGCATTTCCTTTTTCAACAGCTCCTCTGCCACAGCCTGTAACTGATCCTTTTTCTCGAGCAGCAGATCCTTGCATTGTCTATATGCTTCATCCACGATCCGGCGGACCTCTGTGTCGATATTTCGCGCGGTTTCTTCCGAGAAAGGTTTGTGGAGCCTTTGCTCGTCGTCGCGATAGTGCAGGTAGCCGATCTTGGGAGACATACCCCATTCAGTGACCATAGCCGTGGCCATCCGTGTGACCTTGTTGAAATCATCAGATGCTCCGCTCGTGACAGTGTCGAACCAGATTTCCTCGCTGACGCGTCCGCCCAATGTCATGGCCATACGGTCCATCAATTGTTTGACGTTCAGAAGATACACGTCACCACCTCCGGCAGGGAGGTATTGGGCGTATCCCAAAGCCCCTTGGCCTCTCGGGATAATGGACACTTTGAGTAGGGGGTCGGCATACTTGAAGTACCAGCCGCAGATGGCATGACCAGCCTCGTGATATGCTACGGTTTTCTTCTCCTCTGGCGTCAAAACTAGTGACTTCTTCTCCAGGCCACCAACGACACGTTCGATTGCTTGTTCGAAATGAAGCATTTCGACTGACGCGGCGTTCTGGCGAGCTGCAATGAGAGCAGCTTCATTGACACAGTTGGCGATATCTGCGCCCGAGAATCCTGGCGTCAGCGCTGCCAGGCGGCCGGTGAGGTAGTCCATGTCCACGTGGGTGACGATCTTGCGGAGATGGACTTTGAATATTTGCCTGCGGCCGTCCATGGTGGGTCGGTCGATAACAATGTGTCTGTCAAACCGACCCGGACGCATCAAAGCCTTGTCGAGGACATCAGGTCTGTTCGTACCTGCGAGGACGACGACTTGTTCGGAGGTGTTAAAGCCATCCATCTCAGTCAAGATCTGGTTGAGGGTCGATTCCCGCTCATCGTTGCCACCACCAAAGTTTTGTTTGGCTCTTGATTTGCCAATGGCATCGATTTCGTCAATGAAGATGATGCACGGCGCATTCTTTCGGGCATTGGCGAACAGATCGCGCACTCGAGAGGGACCGACACCGACAAACATTTCGACGAATTCGGAGCCGGAGACAGAGAAGAAGGGAACACCAGATTCACCAGCAGTCGCCTTGGCCAACAAGGTCTTACCAGTACCCGGAGGACCAGACAGAATGGCCCCCCGGGGGATCTTTGCGCCCAGCCGCTGGTATTTCGAAGGATCTTTCAAGAAGGAGACGAACTCCATAATTTCCAGCTTTGCTTCGTCCATGCCGGCAACGTCGGTAAATTTGGTTTTGATATCAGTCTCGTGGTTGAATCGTTTCGCCCTCGACTTGCCGATGCCAAAAATACCACTCTGGCCACCTGCACCAGACGCAGCTCTGCGCGACAACCAGAACAGAGCACCCACAAATAGAAGTGTTGGGCCAAACGAGAAGATGGCGGCGCTCAAGGGGACTTCGTCCGAGTAAGCTACGGGTATCCTCTCATTCGTCGGGATGCCCAATTCTTGCTGTGCCTCATCCAAATGTCTTTCAAAAGCTTCCACCGAGCCTATTGAAAAGTAGTAATAGAAGTTTGGCTGGGCGGCAGGTGACTCGGGGTACCTTTGGGCCACGGCGGAACGATGTAATTCCACCCTGACTCGATTTCGGTTGATGACGGTGAGCTTGTTGACCAGACCTTTGTCGAAGAAGGTCGTCCTGAACTCCTGCCAAGTGATTTCTCGGCTCGTCTCGCCAGGATACAGGCTACGGTACAAGTAGTAGGTAATGAAAGCAGTCATGATCATGGTGCTGGCGTCGAGCTTGAACTCGTAAACCCTGGGTCCGCCCTGCTGCTGCTGCTTTTGCTTGTCTTTGCGCTGTTTACTGTTCTCTTCACTCTTGTTTGACTGCTCGAACAGTGGAGTTTCCTCGGACGTTTCGCTCTTGCCGTATTTTTGTCGAATCTCTTCGGGGGTCATGCGTGACATCTTGGTGAAGAGGCCCACAAGACGCACCGTGGTACCCAGGTCAATGCGCTTGCTGGGGTCCTTTCGCCGCGCCTCCAGAACTTCTCGGAGTTCTTTGGGGATTCCGCCCTTTTTCATCAGCTCGGCAGCTTCGTCCACGGCGTCAGCTTGGGCCTTTGGGAGACCCGTTTTGATCATTTGGGCAACATCGTCGATCTGTTTGATCTCTTCCAGCGTGAGGGGAGAGAATTCTTGTGTGCTGGCCTTCTTCGACTCTGACTCTGCATTTGGATCCTCTTTCCCAGGTCCGTCCGAGGGTTTCTCGGCCTTTCCAGCATTCTCAGGCTTCCTCTTCTGCTTCTCGGGGTCTTCCGAAGGCGGCTTTGGATCACCAGGGGACACGGTGGCATACAATCTCGATAAAGGAGGACGTAACGACCGAGTACATCGAAGTCTGGCGAATTGGGTAGAGCGGCGGTGGGCACAGAAGGCGCACTCAAAGGCAGCTTTGGACGAGCGCATCAACTGCGGCCGCAGGAAGCTTGCCGCCATTGCTGGCGAACAATCTAGAGGAAGAGGGTGCCAGCAGAACTGGCAGGAGAGTATAAGGGAGACAGAGAGAGAGGGAGAGAGGGGGGGGAGAGAGCAAGGCAGAAGGAAGGACTGGTGAGTGAGCTAAACGTGCGCAATGGTTGACGCGAGCACATTTGCCTTGCAATGCGCTTGTCATAGATTTACTAAGGTGCTAATAAGTTATTAGCCCACTGGGTCCAAGTGCGTGTGGTTGCGCCACCGGCCCTTCTCGCCATCCGAATACATAAGAATGCATAAAGTACGAGGTACCTACATGCTTCTCCTGACTGTATTCTCAAATGTCGGATTCTGTCTGAAACAAAAAGTACAGCTCTATTCTATGGGATCTGAATACATGTAGTAGGCTTCAATTCCATCGGTTGTTCCCATCTCATTCCTATCCCCCCATATTCAGCCAACTTGACCTCGTCACCATCACTTGCAAGACTTGTTCCTTCTCCTGCGCAGTGTTTACATCCGCCTTCTTCCATACATGTCGTGTCGCAGTTTCCATTCCTCTTCTGACTTGACCTTGACAGTGTCTTTTCCGGCGGGTCGAAACCTAGGATCACGGGCAATTCTGCTGGGAGCGCTGTAGAAACCGCCGGTGTTGTCTTCAAAGAAGCTGGTGCTTCCACTGTTACCCATCAGGAGGAGCCGACCTCTCTCAATAGCATACTCGGGCGCAGGCTTGTACTTGCAGACGAGGCCGGCCGAACCCCTTCCCGACTCTGATGATTCTGCCGACTCGGTCAAGTTGGCCACGATGTCTCCAACCGCGCGAATCGCCGCGCCCTCAATCTCTCCGTTGGAGGTGTCGTCGCTCGAGGCACCATCGCCCCCACCAACAATGGACAGGCGATTGGCATGGCATTCTTTAGAAACCTGCTCAAACAGCCTTCGTGTACCTGTCGCTGGTTTGTGATCTCTTGTGGCGATTTGCATCCAGTTTTGGAGACTCTCCTTCCTCCCTGGCTTTGCACTCTGCAAAAACCCAAGAGGTGCATCAGGACTCTGTGCTCTGGCACAAATCCTCATGACTCGGCTCATCTTCATGCGTTGGTCCTTGCCAACAGGTCTGAGCTCGAGCCAATCATCACTTCCGACCTCAAAGATCTCTCGTAGGATGGAGGCATTGAAGGGAGAGGGGGTTTTGCTGGTGCATTGTGCAATGACTTGGCGAGGAGATAAGTGCGGTTCGAACCCCGGGGGAGGTTTCCGAATGACAATGGATTCTGGGCTAGTCGTCTGGGCGTGGCGGGTACGCTCTGGCGTTGTTGTTTTACTGCGAGTGTGTGCCGGAGAAGCCGATTCACTTGCCTTCACTCGATGCAGATCGGGGTTATGCAGAACGGTTTTCCCGGTCCTTGCTAACGCCTGCTGTGCTGCGACAAAGCTCTGCATTTTATTCTTGCGGTCGTAAGGTTCCTCATCTGGCAGGACAAGAGTTGGGTGGATGGATTGGTGGGCGATCCGTTGTGCTGCTGACTCTGCTATCGAACCCTGCCTCATTGGCTCGCCGACAGCATTGGGGTATGAGAACCGTCTGATGGCATTCGGCACCAGCAGAGAAGAAGTGTCAGAGATGCTTCCATCCATGTTGACGACGCTGTCCGAATTAACGTGTTGCATGACTGGGCGCTCAACTGGCATCGATGCAAAGGGCCAGGCTTGAGAATCATGACCTGCACCACCTTCATCTTCATAGTGAGCAAATGTCACCGGGTCTGCCATCGAGCCCCCGAAAATCCCTGACATGGGCATGAGGGGATAATGTGGGAGGATGAAGCCAGAAGATGTGTCCATGTATTCATGTGACAACGAAGCGAGTTTGTTCTCCTGCTTGGAAGGGCTGATGTCGTCTGGGGCCATCAAATTGCCGTGGTATTGACCTGGGAAGAAGGTGGGCATCGCGGCTGGACCTGGCACGCGCATACCATGTGAGTCAAACCACCATGTCACACCAGGGTACGGGAACCCACTGATTCCAGAGACATTGCTCGGAGAGCTATTCACACTGAGGTGGCTTCCTTGTTGCGCTTGCTTAATGATTGCATGTGGCTGGGTGCGTCGAGGAGCCGGGTTAACGAGCGGCGACGGCGCCTGCGAGGTGTTTCTGAGCATTGCCTTGGGCGCGATCGGGACCGTTGAGCTAAGGTTGTTGGCTTCGCGCCATGTCTGAGCTCGGTCAGAATCATGGCTGATGGAGCTATTGCCGTCCACTCCTCTCTGTCGGGTCGGGGTTGATACGGTGTCTTCGTTATCCGCAGGACTGTCATCATCATCTTCAGGTGTATCTTCCAATATCAGCGGCTTCCATGCTTTTGGACCCTTGTTGCGATTCAGCTGAGGATTCTTGGTGAAGGCGCTCAACGAAACTGGGGCAGGCTGAGGAGGCAACTTGTTTTCTTCTGCTTCACGGCTCGCTTGTCTCGCAGAAGCGGCCTTGAAAGCATGATACTCTGCAGCTCGGGCGCGTGCACCCAACATGTCGGGATTTCCGTAGGCAAAAGAAAAGATCTAGATCTTGTGAGTATGGCAGCCGCTGGGAAAGGGCATCATGTTTGACCTGAATCCAAAAGTTTACACTAGATCTTGAGTATTTTTTCCTTGCCGAGTCAACCAGCTTACAAGTCCTGCAGCTGTGGATGTGGGATCTCAGATAGGATGATGTGGATTGGCTAGGTACTGTGGCAGATGAGAAAAACTCAGCAGTGGTGACGAAGGAGACAGCGACAGTGATAGCCACCGGATGGGCCTCGCAGAACCTGGCACCTTGACAGGCTCAGGTAGAGGTAGAGCGCTGTACCCTTGGATATCGATCTCTGACAATCGCAGGGCAGGGCAGGTGGAAGACGGGCGTTGAGAGGAATGGACAATTTGATATAGCGGGTGCCGCAGGGAAATGAAGATGATGGTAAAGTGAAGGCCTAGGAGGGGAGAGCAAAATCGAAAATACTGAACACAGGATACGAAAGAAGAACAAACACGTTTCCTCAAGTGGCTTGAAATGAGAAAGACCGTAGAGCCTTTGTTCAGAAGGACACTGTTGAGTCGAAATCCAGGAAGTTTGAGCCAACAGGAAGGAGAGACTGTGAGGGTGAAGCCATGTACAAGCGCAGCCTTTGACCACTTTGTCCGCGATTCTCTCTCATTTCAGGCTCCATCAACCCATCTGGGGGGGTCTTTGATCCATTACTTTGCCGTCACAGATATACGGCTTCAGACGTCGGCAATGAGAAATCGTCAAGATGTCCCATGGCTTATCAATAGGGAAGCTTTTGTGCAGTCGTCAGTCGACACGTCTCAGGACCCAGGTTGACCTTGTGTTCCAGGATGAAGGCCAGAACATCCATCATTACACCTCCTCTTTACCGAGTCCTATTCGGGCATCCTCACGTCAAAGAAGATTCAAGCAAGCACTCGAGACAGATCAAGAAAGAGAATGGCTGATTGATAAAGGATGATTAAACCGGGAAAATGTCGGCAGTCTGCTAGTTTTATGACGATGGTGACAACTTCATCCAGACAACAAAACTTCTCTATGTATATTTTTGTCGCCACTTTGACGACACGTCGACGACACCCATAATACACCTTCCTTACCCTCATCGTCCTCAAGGAGTGACTTATGAATTCAGGATTTCCACCGAGACTCCTAGGACAAAAGACCCGTTATGAAGATAGGTGACCCAACATATCGAGGCGCCCCAGTCCATCTCCCTCTTGAGGTTGTCCGCCTCATAACGGAACATGTCGTGTCTGGGCACCTTGGTGCTACTCAAACGTCATTATGGGCTTGTTGCTTGGTGTCTAAAACGTGGTATGCTGCTTCGATTGCTCGGCTTTACAAACGGCCACTCCTTTCCAGCCGCAACTTCGACCTCTTCACTCGAACTATATGTCCCAAGGAACGGTCTCGAAGAACGCGCGTCGGCCTCGAAAATATGATCAAGCATCTTGATATGAGGGGGATCGCATACGATAGTTCCAACAGTCTTACGGCTCGCCTCATCTTTCGAACCAAACTGTCATTGGAGAGTTTTGCTTCCCCAGCCGTCACGTTCTCGTGAGCCTTTTCCGTCCTTTCAAGGAATCTCTGAAAACCTCTGACCTGTTTCCAGGCTAGCCTCGTTGGCTCCGTTGTCCAAATGTGTCAATTTACGTCACCTAGATTTGTCAACAGATTACTACTCAATCCCGGTGCTTGATCTTCTTGATGCCATCGTTGAGCTGAAACAGTTGACAAGGTTGAGCCTCCCCAAAGGATTCCATGTCTCACAGGATATTCACTCGATTGAAAACTTGAGATGGCCAGAGAACTTGACGCATCTCACTGCTAGCGACGTAATGTGTTTTCGTTCGGCCGAGTGGGATTTGCTAATTGAAACCTGGCCTCGGAGTTTGACAACACTGACTTTCCCGGATTGTCCACACTTTACTGGGGCCGACGTCTTCTTACACTGTCACAATCAAGCCAAGCATGTGCAGCGTCTCAAGTTGACCGAGTCGAGAGGACTAGGTGAAGACAGTTATAACTTGTTCGATATCCTGCGCGTCTTTCCGCATGTTCAAGAGTTGATCATCCCCGCCGACGTGGCACGGAGGACCCTCAACGAACCCCCAGTGGAGACGGAAGAAGCGGCTGCCAGAGATTCGCCTTTGGAGATTCTCAGGATCACGCCGACATCCCATCCGAAATGGTACCTTGATAGCCAAGGTCGTGTAAATGCAAAGACAGATTTTCAATCTTTCAGCCGGTTTACCGTACTGCCTCGACTTCGAAGGCTGGAGATGTCCGCATCTCTTACCACATACGAACTTGAGGGAGACCAAACGTTGTTCGAGGAGCTCTCTGGCAGGCTCGAGGAACGTGCTGACCGAGACCAGCGGAACTCTTCGGGCATTTTCCTTTTGGACGATTCAGGGGTTGCAGAAATATAAGAGGCATGATCAGTTTGAGGTGTTCAACATGGCAAGTGAGAGATCGTCGTATTCAGTACCATACCAGCAGGCCATCCCCGTTGCTCACACTGGACAAAGAGTTCTTTCTATTTGAGGAGGTAATGAGACATTCAAACACCCGCGAATCTCCCATTCCCTGAATCATAATCGATCAGCTTGTCCAACCTTGTTTGTTCAACGCTGCCTTTATCATTTCGCTACTCGCCCATTACAACCCCGGTGAGATACACGTGAGCCTCGAGCAATCCCGACGCCAACGCCTGCCCCAACATTGCCGTAGCCTTTTTATTATTGCAGTCCAGCAAAACCGAGAAGAACAACATTCTGATCGCTCCGTTTGCGCTCCTTCTGTCCTTCCAACTTCCGGTGCCCTCATACAAAATCCTCGTAGTTCATTTTTCTTCCATGTTTCATACTGTACCGTAAACCGATCGACAATGCATTAGGGAGAACGGAGGTCAGAACATGCTGGCAAAGAGCGCGTAGCTGCTGGTGCCATGTCCGTGACGCCCCGAGACTTCCGGGTGGCTTCTCAGAAGATCGTTCCAAAGGTGCCTTCGGTCTCGATCCTCTTGCGCGGGCTTCCTCCTTCCGTATCTGGTTTGCGATGTCTGCACAACCACACATGAGTTAGCATACTACCATCAGAGCTCTCGGGCTGAGAAGTGCGTGAGTGAAAATGGAAGGAGAAAAAGAGCACATACCTGAATGTGAATCCCACAAAGAGACCCTTGCCCATCTTTTCGTCCCGCTCCGCCATCTCTTCCAATGCTCTCTGTTTGTCGTGCACCTCCTTGTACTTGGCCATATCCGCTTCATTCGAGAAATCGTCGAAGTACCCAGCATCGGTCTCTGAATCCAGCTCCGGCACAAACGGTGCTTTCTGCTCTCTCAACTTGGAGAAGTCCACTTCAGCAAAGTACTCATGCTTGTGGATTTCCGAGATGGATTTGAATCGGTGATCTTTGGCAGCAACAAGGCGGGTGATCAGGTCCCAGGTACGCTTGGAGAGGAAGTAGGTGGGGTCATCGTAGATGGGTTTCCGGAGCACACGCTGCCAACGTTTGAGGTTCTGCCAGGTTTCGTCAACAGTGGCGCCGGCGAACGGGGGGTATCCTGCCAGGGCTTCAAAGAGCATGCAACCCAAAGACCAGTAGTCGACGGTGAAATCATATGTTTCACCCTTGAGGACTTCTGGGGCCATGTAGTCAGGCGAGCCGACGATGGACTTGGCATAGTTGATGTCCTTCTTGCGGAGGGAACGGTAACCTTCACGACGTTGGTCGGCCGAGCGGTCTTCAACAGCGGGCATGCCGAAGGGAACTGGCGTATTTCCGACTTCCTCAAGTTTGATACGCATGCTTTCAATCTTAATGGGACTGAGCATGCCGGCGGCGAGACCAAAGTCGGTCAGTTTGACGTGTCCAGTAGCATCGATCAGGAAGTTCTCTGGCTTCAGGTCGCGGTGAATGTAACCCAACGTGTGCAAGGCGTCCACGCAGGAAAACATCTCAGCAATGTAAAATCTGGCATGACGATTGTGAAGGACACCGGTGTTGTTGAGCAGGGTTCGAAAGTCACCTCCAGGAACGTACTCCATGGCCAGGTAGATTTGTTCTTCATCCTGGAAAGAGTACAGCAACTTGACAAGCCACTCGGATTTCGCGGCGGTCAGGATGTCTCTCTCAGTCAAGATGTGACGCACTTCATCCAGTTTGAAGAGGAGTTTCTTCCTCATGACCTTAAGTGCACAGACTTCTCGAGTGTCCTTCTTCTGAGCGAGGTAGACCTGGCCATATCCACCTTGACCCACTTGGGTAAGGATCTGGAAGTCACCATGGCGGAGGCGGGTGCGACGTTTGCGCAGATTGGCCCGTTCACGCCCAAGGTATTTGTGAAGTGCAGCATCGAACTCTTCTCTTGGTGTCTCAGGTGGAGCAGGGAACGAGGCCTTGAAAGCAGCTTCTCTGGACTGACGATTGTGGACGTACGAGAGCAGGTCAAAGTAGTAGTCAAGGAAGTCTATGAGAAATTAGTGCCCGAACCCGGACTGTGGAGCGTTAGGATACATACACAGTTGAGTCACATTCGCCAGCCGCTTGACTTTTGGGAGTTGCAGCTTTTGCAACTCCTCGGCAGTGAGACCTTTGGTTGTGGTCATAGTCTTCTTGGAGTCAGCTGTGCGATATTGCTCTTGACGCGAGATGGCGGCATGGTTCTGCTGGATGCCTTTGCCATAGCCCAGGCCACCAGCAGGGGCGTTCTCTTTGTTGGATTGGCGTGTGGGACTCTCTGGGCGGCTAAAATACTGAGCAGGAGGATCAGCGAAGGGGTCTTCGCTCGTGTTCTCGTCACCGGCAGAGAATCCTTGTTTGGCAGGGGATTTTGGTTGTGCCTTGATGGGCGACGTTGGAGCCAATTTCATGGCATTATCAAACACATTGGGCAAGTCGTTGGCTCCAGGAGGTAGCTGTCTCTTGCTTGGACTGCCCTGAGGAGTCTGCGCAGGACTGGTGAAGCCATGGGCAAGACCCCCTCCAGGCGTTGACGGCGTTTGAGGCCGGTCGTACATCTCGTTGCCAGAACGAGTATGCAGCAGAGGAGGAGGCATTGGCATGACCATGTTGAGATCTTGTTGTGATTTCGGAGAGAGAGGTGTGCTGCCGAGAGCCATTTTCTGTCGGACGAATCTGTCTGTGTTTTGAGGGATGACAGCGGCGGGAAGGTGAGGCGGGCGGTGAAGATGGAGACTATTCTCTCCCAGTATCAACACAAGAGTAGGACAGTCATGCAATTGATACCATCCACCGAGCCCTAAACCAAGTGATCAGTTGGCAGTGAGGACAACAGCAGGATCAGTTGAGCAGCGCAGGCAAACAAGACCGCTCTGCGACGTGCTTCGGATATTACAAGGGATATATTCAAGACGGATTTGGAGGGATCAACAAGGGCGGCTTGTTTCGATGGGCAACAACCCGTGCTGCAGTCACGTGCATTGATCTTAGTCCGCTCCCAACACGCCGCTTTAAGCCAACTGTGCACACCTGTGCTGCGGTGCAAAGCGATATCGATATTGGGATCTGTGTTATAGTGTGTTAGTGAGAACCCAGAGTGCTCAACTCGACGGAGTTAAACCATGCTTCTTTACAAACTGGTATCGAGTATCTTTTTGGTTGGTGGAAGGAAGAGACAAGAGCGGCGGTAAGATTATAGAACGCTAGACGGTGTATACAACATGCTTTTTGCATTACGAAGTCCTAAAATCGTGGGCAACGACTGACAATGGAGGGTACGATCGACGGAGCCTCCAAGCGCCAATGACTGGACCATCACGCCGCTGTCTGACTCTCTCAGGGAGCTTCTGTTTCAACATTGGATATATTGGATCCCCCCACCAACCTCGGCGATCCAAAAAGTAACAGATTGATGAACAGCAAATCTCCAAGACAAGACATTCACTCCTTTTGGTAATGTGCACATTCTCCTTGCAAGGCGAGCCGGCAATCTACCACTCCATCTTCTCCTTGACATATAGATCCACATATTTGTCAACCTCCATCGAATCCAGCTTCGAGGCATCAGTGCCCAGCTCCATGAGCTCCTTGATCTTGGCCTCTGGGAAGTGGTGGCTCAAATGTCTCTTGTACTTGGCCAAAATCTCGGGTTTGGCCTCATCTCTTCGCAAACGGTGACCAAGTGGAGCCTCCACCACAACTTCATCAAGCACAGTGCCGTCATTCAACGTGACGGTCAGAGCATTGGAAATCGTTCTCAATGCAGGGTCGTGGTAATCCTTGGTAAACTGAGGATCCTCAACACACTTGATCCTCTTCCGAAGGTCCTCCACGAGAGGAGAAGTGGCGGCCTCGCTGCCATCGACGTAGTCGGTAGCTTCCAAGCGGTTGAAGCACAGCATAGTGGCAACCATATATTGAACGCAATGGTCTCGATCGGCAAAGTTGTCCATAGGCTTGAATTGCTTGTCGATGATACGGATGCAAGCTTCGTGGGTTCGGTTGGTGATTTCTTTGATATCCTTCGCCGACTTGCCCATATCGGCAAGGATCTTGTAGATCTTTTGTGCAGCTTCAACAGCAGTCTGCGAGTGGAACTCGGCCGGGTACGACACCTTGAACAAAACGTTCTCCATGACATAGGAGCCATAGGGACGCTGGAACTCAAATTTCTTGCCCTTGAAGAGAACATCATAGAAACCCCAGACTGGAGCTGACAGCACCGTAGGGACACCGGCTTGGCCCTGCAGGACCTTGAATGCGAGGTTCACAGCTCTCTGGCAGGCATCTCCAGCAGCCCACGACTTGCGGGACATGGTGTTGGGTGAGTGTCGGTAGGTTCGTAAACTCTGCCCATCGACAAATGCCTGAGAGACGACAGCAGCAGTCTGAGCCTCGTCGAGACCCAGCATTTTGCTCACCACAGCAGCCGACGCCACCTTCACGAGAACGACATGGTCCAAGCCGACTCGGTTGAAGGAGTTCTCCAGAGCCAGACAACCTTGGATCTCATGGGCTTTGATCATGCCTTCCAAAACATCTTTGACGGTGGGAATCTTGCCATTGCCAACCTTACCACCAGCTCTGTTTGTGCGGGCCATCCAGTCAGCGACCGCAAGAATAGCACCAAGATTGTCCGAAGGATGACCCCATTCGGCAGCCAGCCAGCAGTCATTATAATCCAGCCACCTGATCATAGCACCGATGTTGAAAGCACCGTTCACTGGGTCCAACTCATAAGGTGTTCCCGGAACCCGAGTTCCATGAGGAATGCTGGATCCCGGGACAACAGGGCCTAGGATAGCGGTGCACTGAGGAAAGCGCAGGGCCTCCAGACCACATCCGATCGTATCGAGGAGGATATAACGAGAAGTATCGAGGGCAAGTTCCGAGTCAATCTTGTAGTTGTGGACGTAGGAGGCGATATCGGTGATTTCAGGATCGTAGGCCTGAGGAGAGGCTTTGGAGGGCTGCGAGGAGGCCATCTTCGCAGAAGTCGAGAAAGAGGAGGTCAGAGCAGGCGTGGGAAGAGGGACTCTCAAGCTGGGCGCTGAGCGGATTGCCGAGGAGGGTGCCTGTGCTCGAACAGCCAAAGCACCAGCAGCCAACCTTCGCACTGGAGCTCTTTTGAACGCAGAGGACACCAGCATGGCTCGGTAAAGGGCAAGAAGGGAGGGTCAGGTCAGTGCTGATCAATTCTTGAAGTCGGTTGGAAGGGGCTCAGTGCGACAGCAGTCGACCAAGTGGAGGTAGGACCGTGTTGTAAAAGTCGGTGATGAGGTGGACGGGCCAGCGAACAACTCAATGCTCGACACAGGCAGTGACAGCGACAGGCTTCTGTATTCCCCAAGCCACAACAGGGGTTGTTCTGGTCAGGCTGTGGTCGAGTTGCTCACCGACTGTGGTGTGAGAGCCAAAGAAAGTGAAGAGAGTGGAAAGCAAGGCAGGGACAATTGAGGGGGAGCAGTGGGAATAAAATAAAGTCAGAGATCGAGCACTTCGACTTTTTCTTAGACTTCTGCAACGTCCTTCGCTCACTAGCACAGCAGCTATCTACTCGGTCATCTACTTTACATCATCCGCTCCTCTCTCTCCGTTTCGTCCAGGCTGTTATTGACCTATAGAGCCCGCCACTCCCAGCATCGCTTCTTGTGCCGCGCCCCCGATTGAGCTCCGACTGCCTCGGCCATTGCCGGCCCATCGCAAGTGGTTCCCTATCACAGTCTGCCTATGGTACGAGTACAGGCCGCCCCGCTTGGCTGCCCCTGATTCTTGCTAGCTGTGAGTTCCGACTCTATCCAGTCCATGATTGATTGGCCCGTCGTCAGCCTTTCTGATGCTTGCCACAGTCTGAAGAGAACAATACGAAAGATGGCCCATAGACAAGCCCGTTATCAGCCTCTTGAAAGTGCCCCGGAAGTAGAACTGGACGGAGGCTACCTGTCCGACGATGATCCTAAGGCTTCCCAGACCTTCACCCTCCGCCCCGGTCCACCAGCAAGCGACGCCGCTTCGTCTAGCGAGGTCGCTTTGCTTGGCTCCTCCGCCGCTGGCACGTCCCCCAGACGACGAAAATATTCCGATCCCGTGGCCAGCCGCTTCTGCGTCGGCCCCAAACTCACCAAGCAATACATCGCTTTCTCCGTCCTCATCTTAGCAGTCGTTGTCTCGGTCATTGGCGGCGGTGGCCACTGGTTCTATACTAAGGGTCAGATCAATGGGCAGTCTCCGCCATGGTACCCGACACCGCCAGGCGGGACACTGCCAGCATGGCAAATCAGCTACGACAAGGCTCGGAAGTTGGTTGAGCGCATGAGTCTCGTGGAAAAGGTCAACATCACCACGGGCACAGGATGGGCAATGGGACTTTGTGTGGGTAATACTGCTCCTGCACTGAGTGCTGGGTTTCCTGGCCTGTGTCTCCAGGATGGACCTCTGGGGATACGATTTGCAGATCATGCTACTTCCTTCCCTGCTGGTATCACGGTGGGTGCCACCTGGAACCGTGATCTGATGCGTCGCCGTGGCGCCGCTCATGCCCATCAGGCCAGGCTCAAGGGCGTCAACGTTATTCTCGGGCCGGCAATGGGACCATTGGGTCGGAACCCAGCCGGTGGCAGAACGTGGGAAGGGTTTGGGAGCGATCCAGTCCTGCAAGGCGTTGCTGCATACGAGACCATTCAAGGCATCCAGTCACAAGGGGTCATGGCCACTGCAAAACACTACATTGGCAACGAGCAAGAGCATTTCCGTCGGGGTCTGGAGTGGGGTCTTCCAGAGGCTCTTTCTTCCAACATCGATGATCGCACTTTGCACGAAGTCTATGCCTGGCCATTTTCCGAGAGTGTAAGAGCTGGCGTGGCCAGCATCATGTGTTCTTACCAGATGGTCAACAATTCCTATGCTTGTGCGAACAGCAAATTGATGAATGGGCTCTTAAAGGATGAACTCGGTTTCCAAGGCTTTGTCCAGTCAGACTGGTTGGCCCAACGCAGCGGGGTCGCTAGTGCTCTTGCGGGCCTCGACATGTCCATGCCCGGTGACGGGCTGTATTGGCAGGATGGAAGATCACTCTTTGGTGAGCAGCTGACCATCGCAGTGCTCAATGGCTCTCTTCCCATGACTAGGCTCAACGATATGGTCACACGGATCGTTGCTGCGTGGTATCAGCTTGGGCAAGAGTCCTGGACCTCTGAAGGACCCAATTTTTCCTCCTGGACGTACGACGAGTACGGCTATCCACATGCTGGGAGCAGTAGTAAACAAGAAAAGGTCCTCGTCAACAAGTATGTCGAGACAGAGAGTGACGAAAGTCGACAATTAGCTCGAGAAGTTGCAAGTGAGGGCACCATCTTGCTGAAGAACGAAGATTCAATCTTGCCGTTGAGTCCTACTCTTTCCGAGTTGGGAGCTGGTAGCCTCAAGCGAGTCGCCATTATTGGGGAGGATGCCGGCCCTGGAAAAGGACCGAACTACTGCGAAGATCGAGCTTGCAATCAAGGTACTCTGGCTGTGGGTTGGGGCTCAGGTGCGACCGATTTTACCTACCTTGTGGACCCGCTCACGGCGCTGAACTCGAGCTTCGACCTGTCCACGGTGGAAATAACCAGCTCCCTTGGCAATAAGGTGTCTTCCAGCCTGAGGAGGGCGCTCAAGGAGCAAGACTTATGTCTGGTCTTTGGTAACGCAGACGCGGGCGAAGGCCATCGCATCTGGCATAGTCAACGTGCGGACAGAAATGACCTGGAGATCCAGAAGGGCGCAGGCCAGTTGATCCGCACAGTGGCCGATGAATGTGGTGGTCCTGTCGTGGTGATCATCCACTCTGTTGGTCCTGTCACCCTCGAGAACTTTGCCGATATGCAATCCGTCAAGGCCATTGTCTTTGCGAACCTGCCCGGTCAGGAAAGCGGAAACGCCCTTGCAGACGTCCTGTTCGGACGGACCGATGCCTCCGGACGGCTTCCATATACGGTCGGTAAGTCCCTTGTGGACTATGGTCCAGGTGCTCCAGTGCTTTATTATCCGAATGCCATCATCCCACAGGTGGATTTCAAAGAAGGCCTGTTCATCGATTATCGACATTTTGACAAGGCAGGCATTGAGCCCCGTTATCCTTTCGGTCATGGATTGTCCTTCACCACCTTCGAGTTTTCTGACCTGGTGGTTACAAGTCTGAAACCGAAATCGGCCCTCCCTTCTCCGAGGCCTGCAACGCTGACCCCCCCAAATTTTGACGACACCATCCCTCCTGTTGAGAGTGCGCTCATCCCAAGTACATTCTCAAAGATTCGAAAGTTCGTTTATCCGTACATATCTGGAGCAGACCAAATCAAGAAAGGCAAGTATCCGTATCCTGATGGGTATGACATCGTTCAGGAACCCAGTGCAGCCGGAGGCGGTGAAGGTGGCAATCCTGCTTTGTTTGAAGAATATGTGACCGTTCAAGTGCGTGTCACGAATACAGGAAGTCGCAAAGGAAAGTCGGTGGTACAACTGTATGTGTCATTCCCTGCCGCGATCAAGGAACAATCCACGAATGAGATCATCGAAACACCAGTGAGGATGTTGCGGAACTTCACAAAGATCGAGCTTGAGGCAGGAGCAGACCAAGTCGTCAATCTCAGTCTGACACGAAAGGACTTGAGCTACTGGTCCGTGGTCCAACAGAACTGGGTGATGCCCGACGGCCCGTTCACCCTGGATGTGGGTCGCAGTTCGAGAGATCTGCCTCTGCAGGGAACATATTGATCGCCCAAAGCACACGCATTTCGAGTCAGCTATTGCGGAGTCAGTTTGGAGCAGTCGATAACGTGAGGAGCAAGCCAATACACACGCCATCTGGTCTCCTGGACCCCGGGGAGCAAAAGCAATCTTGGGGCTAGATCATCTGATATATCGAGTCGACAGTGTCAACGCGACAGGCCACTACTCCCACTATTCTGTTTCAACCTCGGATCAAATGGTGCTTCCCTGTTCGCCACATTTTCGACCGAGGACTCTATCACATCCCTGTCCCCGCATTCCCCCACATGGAGTTCACGAACCAGAGCCTCGACTCCAGGCTAAGGGCTCCAGTTGCCCTGCCAGAGGTTCGTAGAGAACTCACTGAGGCGACCTGAATCCTCATTCGGTATTGGTGATTGGTTCACCAGGATGCTTTGAACGACCCGGATCCGGTCTTCTGGACATTGCAATGCATCTCCGCTAAGTCCAGGACCCGCAGTCCGATGGTATAAAAGGGATGCGGGCGGAAGGTAATTTGAAGCATCTTTTACATAGACTGTGGCAGAATTCATACCCCTCGCTACCCTTCCATCCTCGAGGGCTGTGATTGTTTGGACTATACGTTGCCATCTCGTCATTTCGTGTGAGAAGTCGTCTTGAGAGAGCATCTGCTCGACCTCTTCGCTGGACCCAAGTGATTCATTTTTAACACAGACGCTAGTCTAATACCCGCCTTCTCCTTCACCCTCTGGTTCTCTTCGTTGTTTGTTGACCGAACCCGTGAGTCTGTTGTCGAAATGGCTCCCGATATCAACTCGATGGCCCAATGGACCACTGAAGGTTATGCCAATAACGGTGTACCTCGACAGGAATATGAAATTCCCGGTAAGTCCATCTTTCTCGTTTCCGCTGGTTTGCCCACGCGTTGTTCGAGTTGGCGCAAATTTGGAGCTGGGAAACTGTCCTCCTTAGTTCAACAAGCCATCAGAGAACATGTCTCCCAGGCCAACAGCCCCCTACGAATAAGGTCTTCATGTTTGCACGAATTGGAACACCTTGTTGGATCGAGCAACTCCATCTCAACTTGTCCCAGTGGCCTTGGAATGCAGCCTGCCAGGAGCCTTCTATTTACTCGCTTGGCTTGGAGGGCCTTTCACCGAGTCGCCAGAACCACTAGAGCATACCATCGGCTCACGATTCCCTTCTGCATTGCTGATACCTTCGCCCCGAGAATTGCGATTCTTGCGATAATCTCCCATGGCCTTCTGTCGTCCCGTCACGTGTGCTTCGCGATCTAGAGAGCTGCTTGCTGATAAAGATGCCACAGATATCGTGCTGCATGGCCCCTACACCAGGAAGATCCGTGTCTTGTCTATCGGTGCCGGAGTGACGGGAATTATGAATGCCTATCATATCCAAAAGTTTCTACAGAACGTGGAACATGTGATCTACGAGAAGAACCCTGATATCGGAGGCACTTGGCTAGAAAACAGATATCCAGGTATGTTTATTGGATTCTGTTATTTGATCGCGTCTCTCCTTCGTCACGGTGCTTCTGCTAGATGGAGTGGATGTATTTCGAACGGATTTCGTCCCTCGAAATACACTCATGCTTCGAAGCCTGAGACTATGATTGCCAAGCCGTGTTCTTTGTTTCATTTACTGATCGAGCCATAACAGGTTGCGCATGTGATATTCCGAGTCATGCATATACCTACCCTTTTGCTCTTAACGTGAGTTATGTATCTCTCTCAACGCCGTTTGAGCTGAGTCTCACCTTGAAATTCACAGCCCGACTGGCCTCGTTTCTTCTCTTACTCGCCTGATATCTGGAAATATCTCGACAAGGTTTGCGAAACTTGGGGCCTCAGAAAATACATGACTTTCAACACCGAAGTGGTTGGCTGCTACTGGCAGCAAGAGACGGGCGAATGGCTCGTCAAACTCAAGGAGACGAAACCCGATGGAAGCACACGCCTTTTCGAAGACCGGTGCCACATGCTCCTTCATGGGACTGGTATCCTGAATAACTTCAAGTGGCCCAACATCGAAGGGATGGAGAAGTTTAAGGGGAAGATTATGCATACCGCTCGGTGGCCCAAGGATTATCAGGCCGAGCAATGGAAGAAGGATCGTGTCGCTGTTATCGGCTCTGGCGTAAGATTCCACCATTTCTTTCTTGCTGGGAACGTATCTGACCTCTGGCATGCAAACAGGCCTCCAGTATTCAGACGGTACCAACCATGCAGCCACACGTCAAACATCTTGATGTGTTCGTCCGGACGGGTATGTTTTCCAGCAGTCTTACATTGAATGCGCCCCTCCCCACCTGGATGACTTCATGGTCGCGTGAAGGTGAATGTCTAATTTCTTGTGCTTAGGTGTCTGGTTCGTGCAAATTGCCAACAACTTCGGTGCGAACCATGAGTATACGGATGAGCAGAAACAAGAGTTCCGCGATCCATACAAAATCACCGAGCATGCCAAATCCATCGAGGACCAGGTCAATGGACTCTGGGGTTCCTTCTACAAGAACTCGAAAGCTCAGGCGGAGGGACAGGCTGCTTTGAAGGCCCGTATGGCTGAAATGATAAAGGATGAGAGACTTCTCAAGGGCTTTACTCCGACTTTTGGCATTGGTTGTCGCAGGATTACCCCCGGCGATCCATACATGGAGTGCGTTTGAACATTACCCGTGTGAACTCTCCCCCGCCTGACAATCTCTACAGAGCCATTCAGAAGCCCAATGTCGACGTACACTTCACCCCTGTCGAAAAGATTGTAAGTTATGCTTTGGGCTTCGATCCTCCAATCCTTTTCAGCAGAGCTGTCAGACGCTAACAATTGACAGGACGAAACAGGAGTTATTGGTGGCGATGGCATCCACCGTGAAGTCGATACAATCGTTTGTGCCACTGGATTTGATGTATCATACCGTCCTCGCTTCCCCATCGTCGGCCAGAACGGAGTCGACCTAGCCGACAAATGGAAGGTCTGCCCTGAGGGCTACCTTGGGCTCGCGATCCCCGAATTTCCCAACTTTTTGACATTTATCGGGCCCAACTGGCCTGTGGAGAACGGCAGCGTTATGGGCCCGCTGATGTACGTCTCGTATTATGCTCTGCAGATGATCAAAAAGCTCCAGTCCGAGTACATTTGCAGCATCTCGCCGAAGCAAGATGTCACGGATGCGTTCAACGAGCATTGCCAGGAATGGGTCAGGCATACCGTTTGGGTTGAAGAGTGTCGATCATGGTTAGTAGTCACCTTCGTTACTCTTTCGTAAATTCGGATCTTGACTGACTTCTTACCAGGTACAAGAACAACGAGACAGGTCGTGTGAACGCCGTATGGCCCGGCTCCTCGTTGCATTACATCGAAGCTATCAAGACACCTCGCTACGAGGACTTCGAAATTGAGTACCTCGGACCTGCCAAGAAGAACATGTGGGCATTCTTGGGCATGGGTACTGTTCAGGCCTTGGTCAACAAAGAGGATGTATCACCCTACTTGAATCCCGAGGCCATTGATCCGGACTGGATGAAGGCTGTCGGCATAGATGCGAGCAAGTTGCACGAGACCAAGATGAAGGATCTGCAAGCCAAGCATGAGGAGCAAAAGGAGAAGAGTAAAGAGAACGTGCAGAAGGTGGTTGTCTCCTGAGGGAAATCGACGAGGACCGTTGTGGGGGCTCCTGAGTCCTCCCCAGATCAGGGGCCAGGCAAGCCTTATCACGTGAGCAAAGAACCTAGCGGACACCAGTGGCCCTAGAGTTGCCCAGATATCGTGTGTAACCGGAGAGAGCATCCTAGGACGACGATAAATTTTGCATTGTCGCCTTACTAAGTCAATTAATTTATGGTGTCTATCCTCAAAGATTGTGTAGGGTGTGGAAGTTGGGTGTTCACTTCTTAGCTGGGACGTCACGTGCCAGGGCGTTGCATCCTTGTAGATTCTGCGGAGACGAAAGGCATCAAGCGTAAACAATTAATTATTCACCCTCGTCCCCCCATGCGCGCGGGCTTCGGCTGTCACCAGTTTTATTGTCTACATACTTGAGGACAGGCTCTACTGCGCTCCATTTGCGTCACACTTAGCTTCGCACCTCTTTTCGGCGTGCCACGTCCTGAGCCACTCAGCCGCGCTCTTCTTCCACGGCATCCAACTTCTGGGAAGTGCCCGAACCGATGGAGATTCATTCCGTGTTGCCCGAAGAGCGAGCGCGAGATCCAAAAGGCGAGACACTTCCCTGGGGCTATCGCTACGCAGAGTGAGTACTCAGTGCCTCCGGAAGGGCCCCCCAGCCAAAGAATATTACTCTGACTCGTCTCCGAACAGCTCGGCGAGAAATGCCAGGCAACTACCAGAAGAGAGCGGACCTTTTGGTCGCAATCGCAGTATAAGATCTACCGCGTCACGAACGCCGCGTGCAAGAACAGGCACTACACCCGTTCGGCAAAAGGAGAACACCGCGGTCGCCGAGTTTGGCAGGTTGTTTGCGAAAGAACAGGCGAAAGAGGAAGAGAGGAAGACCACGTTACCATCTCCTCCGACGGCGTCAGGCGAAGCGCCTGCAACGGAACGACCTATTCAACCCGAAGCCGTGCCGACCGAATGTGTACTCTACGGCTACGCAGGCAAACAATCGGAATGGAAAGTTTTGTCGAAGTTCGAAAAGATTGTCTCACCCGGCATCATTTGCGAAGACTACCCGCGAGAAGATCCCAATCTCTACCTCTCCTCGAACTCACCGTTTGGTCTCTCGCGAGGCTCTGTGGTGGTCCATCAGAATCTGAGCCGGGAAGCGATCAAGAAGAGTCGGATATACTGTGGTGGCAACCACTGGATCAAGGTCACATTCGACTCCTACCAGGCTGCCGAGAGAGCATGCTTTTACAGTCCCCTCGACATTGATGGCTATATGGTCCATTGCGAGATGTGGCACGGGAAAGGCCCTGCAGCAGATGTTCCCTTAACTCGAGGTCCCTCTTCAGATGGATCAGACCTTCTCCAGCCAATTGCCCCGCGACAGTCTGACGACGGTCGGAAAGCACGGACCTTGAGCTCGTCACAATCTTCCCGTATGCTGTCAGGCAAACAGTCAGCCATTGCAGGCTTCGAGCGGGCACTGCAGACCCTACCCCGATCCCATACAATGCCCGACATGCAGTATGGCCAGCCTCTCAACCATGAAGACGAGCAATTCTCTATCGATTCCGCAACGGCCTCATCGGCAACCGCCACCGCCACCGACCTAATTCCTCTTCAGCCGTTGTCGTCCACTGGTCTACGTTCACGCTCCGTCCCTCAGCTGCCTGGTGAAACTACTCAGCACCCCCCGGACTCGGAATACATGACGCACATTAAGAATGTGAAGAAAGTAGTCCTCCGTCCGATATCAGAAGCTCTGCCCCCACAACCGACTTTCGCGGAGAGAGTTCTTAGGAGTATCCCTATCGTGTCGTACTTCATGGGGAGCACGAAGCAAGGAGTTGCGGGAAGACGTGATGTTATTGGGGAGGGACCACTGCTCAAGGACGACGGAACCTGGGACCCAGCTAACGGCTGGTACTGGAGCTTCTGGCACGGCGTGGACAGGTGGCTGGGGACGGACTTTTGTGGTTTGAAGGATGATTGAGGACAATCCATCATTCAATGTACACCTGATAAAATCACTTTCAATGCAGACACGACTTCGGCGCACGACGTCGACACATTTAATAGATCTATCTCCGTCGGGCTTCCTGGCGACACACGCTGGCTTTCGCGTCCCGATAAGCAGATGCAACAACACATGCATTACTCAAAAACAGAACCAACACGGAGGCTGGGAATTCCCGCAGAGACAGCCGGGGCACAGGACGCGGCACGACGGTGAGGGAGGGGCGAGGGGAGGTTTCTTAACGCGTCCCTGGGCGAGCAACAAACAAACAAACGTGTACAAAAACCCATCGAGAAGATTGGAGAAGAAGAAAAGAAAAAAGCGAACAAAAAGGAGGGGGGGCGTGCGTGCGTATGTGTGCCCAATGAATGAACGGGTCTCTGGGGATCAGTTGGGCTCTTTTCTTGTTCTGGCACCATTTTCACCCTGGATCTGGATCGGTTTTCTTTGAAATCCCCGAATTCGCAGTCCGTTAGCGAGGAGTAGTGGTAGTGGGAGTGGCAGTAGTAGCGATTGTGTTCCCACCATTCAAATTATCCCTCCTCCCAAGGTTCTTTTTTTTTGGCAGACCGAGTGGCGGTAGCGAAAGGATTGAGTGAGAAGGAACAGGAGAGAGGGAGGTTGAAATGAGTCAAGTCGCCCTTTTTTTTCATACACATTCGCGCCCAGGAAATGGACCATTCCCTTTTTTTCCCACCTTCGCCGTTATGGAAAGGGGGAGGCGGAACGAACGATGCGGAATGACTCTTTCTTTTTGGCTTGTTCCCTGGGGCTTTCCCTTGATTCTTTTGGCCGCCTTTTACACCATTGGGGGGAATATCACACCTCTCCCGCTCCCGCTCTCACAGCTGACCTAGGGGAATAGATATTCGGGGATTTCTGTGACGACTTCTACTCGACTTTGCCCTCAAAGTTCTCCCCCTCAACCAGATCCGGGATCTCGTCGTCGTCGTCGTCCTCGCCTTCTTTCTTGCCTTCGCCCTTTTCGCCCTCTTTCTTCTGTAGACTCTGGTACGACTCGGCCAGGCGACGTAAGGAGGCGAGGCTGTCGGGGCCGAGCTGGTTCAGGATGCCCGGTACGAGTTCTGTAAGTTCCTTGTCTTCACCGTTCCCATAAATGGCGAATGTGTTGGAGGGGACCGACGCGTGGACTGTGGTGCCAAAAAGGGAGATAATATGTTAGCGTACGGTTCACACTTGAATACCAAAAGGCTTCAATGCACCCTTCTCGCCCTCCTCTTGCTTTTCTCGTATCTTTCATGCTTTCATGTCCCGTTCGCACAGTGTAACGGTTCTTAGGTTGAAGAGACGTACCCTTGGGTGCGGCGAAATGTATCACATTGCCGTCTTCTTTGAACATGTTGACCTCCTCGATCGCCTGGATGGGCTGCACATTCATCTTTTTAAGCGTCGTCTGGAGTTTCTTGTCGTCGGTCCCGGAACTCTTGTGAACCTTCTTTGTTTTGCGGCGCGGGGTACCTTTGCCTCTGCATCAAGAGAGAAGGATGTCAGATGAGCAGGATTCGGTGTCGTCTTGGAACTTTGGTCGTAGAGACCAACAGGAAACGTGAGCAGGGAAATAAAGATACATACCCTGCGTTATTTGTTAGCCGGGTATACGCAGACGGTAGTTTTTGTGTCGTGGATATTGAGCGGGAAACATACCAATTCGCACCTGCGCCTGCATGCGCTTGAGCTTTTCTTGATCCATCGTGGGGAGTGGGTGGCTGTATGTGGCGGAGCTTTACGCAGCTCAGGTTGGTGACGGGCGAGAAAACCACAAGCACGCACACAAATTCAATTACCCCGGCCGAAAAGATCGGTTTCGCCGAGCCTTGGAGATGCAAGAATCGATCAAGCAACAGAGACGTCGACAAGACCGACAGGAAAAAAGGAGACAAGAGGCTCAGGAAATCTCAAGAACAGGCTCGGATTTCCGTCCTAGCTGTACAAGGATAAAAATGGGAGATAGAGCAGTGACCTGAAGCTTTCGTCTTGCGGGATGATGTGAAGGAGGTTCAAACTTCTGGGGTTTGTGCCCTTTATGACAGTCTTGGCGGGTTTGCTGCCTTTTTATGGACCTCCGGGCCAGCTTGTGCGGAGGATCACGTGTGGCCACAAGGACGTGAAGTCTTACGATTAGGACCGGGTAGAACATGCATAGGATTGTTCAAGGAGGGCGGTGGGCATAGACGGTCCATCCTACCCCATCTGAAGCCATGTATCTTCTTGTGTCCTGGGTCTGACTGGCACAAGCAGAAAGAGCTGCATAGCCTGATGAACCAAAGAAGCACCCACCAGGAGCAGCACAATCCGAGTTGAAATCCCTCTCTATCACGTTTCCTGCTCCTACTTATTATGTTTCCCTTTTCCATCTCCGTCGTTGTGACATCCCCAACAAAACCTCTCGTCATCTCCATCCTCCCTTTATAGGGTGAGAGGGAGACTGTCCTTGTGCTGAGACTGTGCTCCTCGCCGAAGCTCAACTCCTGTCAGTCGGTGGCGATTTTTGCGTTGAGCAGACATAATAGGAGTTAGAGGATGGCAGAGGGCTCGCCAAACGACCGAATGTCGTTTTTGTTTGACCAATCTCCAGTAGGATGCCTCGAGCTCCTCAATCGGTTTCCAGCTCCGCCAAAACCCTTACCTTGACAAACAGTGTAAGAGGTACATCGTTTTATGGTGACATCAGTTCCGGTATCGTCCTTTGTGACGCTTTAGCCCCAGACTGGGGGAGCATTATCAAAGCATATGGCATGGCACAGAGGTGTGAAACCAACGAAATCCAGCATCGGCCACTTATTGAGCGCCATCCGGAACAACCTCGGCTGCGGACGGATTTCCCTATACCTCGCGCCCACCATTGCATTGGAGTTGTCTCATGTCTTTGTTTGCTGCTGAACATCCACCCTCCCTGTACTTCCCTTCTGTCTCTTTTCTTCGCCCATTCTAGGCACGATAGTGACCTCACTTGCGCAGAGATGGCGGGGAAACAAGCGTTGATCGTACCTGCGCTGAAGAAACATTCGGCCACGGTGATAATGGCACACGGACTAGGGGACAGGTTAGTATTCAGCATTGATGTGGCCATGATATTCTTGGGTTCTGGCTGATTCTGAAGAAATACAGTGGTGCAGGATGGTGAGTCTATCGCGGGGCCGGAGAACAGTGGCCTTGTGGTGATCAGAGTACTCACTGCAGCCAGGGTATCGCTGGCAGAAACCTGGCGACGGCGGGGAAAGTTTGAGGACGTCAAGTTCATCTTCCCCAACGCGCCCAATATTCCCATCACAGTGGTACGCAACGGAAGGCCGGCCCTGGAGCAATCGGTGCGGGATATATGTAGCTGACTACGAGCACAGAACTTCGGCATGCGCATGCCCGGATGGTATGATATCGTAAGGCGCCGCGACGATGTTGGATATCCCTTGCCCCTCTTCGACCCTCCTGCTTTGAACCCAGATGCCTCTAGGCGATGGAAAAGCTAATGGCTGATATATTGTGCGCGACATAGACCAATTTCTCCGACCTCAAGCAAGACTTCGACGAACCAGGCATCCTGCGCTCCCGTGCAACCTTCAACAAACTCATCACGGACGAGATCGACGCCGGCCTCCCCTCCAACCGCATAATCCTAGGTGGCTTCTCCCAGGGTGGCGCGATGTCTCTATTCACAGGCGTGACGACACCGCACAAGCTCGGCGGGGTCTTTGGGTTGAGCTGCTACTTGGTGCTTGGAGACAAGATCAAGGACTTTGCAAAAGAGGCGAACGGCGCGAACATAGACACCCCTTTCTTCATGGGCCATGGCGACGCAGATGAAGTTGTCAAGCATCAGTGGGGAGCACAGTCGGCCGAGTTTCTAAGGAAAGAGTTGGGCCACAAGGTCGACTTCAAGACGTATCCGTAAGTACTCCCGGGGCATCCCGTCGACACTCTGGAGGGGAAAGCACTGGGCTGACGATGGCGCAGGGGTCTCCCTCATTCTGCAGACATGAAAGAAATCGACGACTTGGAGGAGTTCATCAAGCAGTGTTTACCGCCCAGCGAGACCCTGTGACTAGATGATGTTGTGACTGCCAGTCGAGAAGCTCACCACTGGTTACATATTGGCTTCTCCGCCTCGCTGGTATTATTGGCGTGCATTCTGTTCTCAAGGTCACGGAGTTGGCGTAAAAGCCAACGAACAAAAAGAGCATAGATGAACTGGACTTTTGACAGCAGAATTCGTCTGCAAAGACATGCCTCAATCATGAATATTATCTGGATTCCAACAATTCCCCGGTCGAACTTGCTTTTTATTTTGGCTATGGTCTTGGTTTCGTTTATGCAGCACCCTCCTTGCGCTGACCAGTGTAGAAGGCCAAACCATAGGTATTGGTCTTGAAGGTGATGACACTGCCCTTGGGGAAGTAGAAAACGTCGCCGGCAACCGCCTAAAACCAACGTCAGTCGTGCCTCGCGCGGGTCTCACAACTATCGAATGGAAGAAGCTCACATGAACGGATTGGCCTGTCTCGTCAGTGATGTCAAATTCGCCCTCCAAAATAATCTTCATCTCGTGGTAGGTGTAGGTGTAAACGAGGGGAGTGCCCTTCTCAAGTCTGTAGATGCCACAGCTGATGGGCTTCTCCGGGTCGTTGGATTCACTGCTGGCGACATCGCCGAGGAAGGCATTCTCATTGGCGATCAAGGGGGGCTTGAACTCGGACTGGACTTTGGAAAAGTGCTTGAAAGCTGGAGTGGAACCCATCTTTTCAGGTGCTGCCGGTTTCGAGGTTTTGAATTTGGAGGTGAGTTTGCTGAACGAGACGCCCATTGTTAGACTTCTCAGGACTCTTGAAAACCAGCAAGATCGCGTGGGCGATGGGCGAGTGTAATGCTTTCTGCCCCTGCCTGAGTGATTTTCAGACTCACCTTTATTGGCAACCTGAAAGTCCTTGCGAGCGGTCGCGCGAAACAGTTGCGATAAGGTATGGGGAGGTGATTGCACGAGAACCAGGGAAATGCAAACGAGTTTGGGGAAAGAAGTTGAAGAAGCTGCAGGTTGGAAGAGAGTAATGCAGGAACCAGGATGCAGAGCTCTATAAGATATACCTCTTCAGACCTCCCACTACCCACTACCCACTACTTGACTTGTACGTCTGACTAGGCCGAGCGTTGCCCCGGTCATGGGCCAGGCATTACTACCGTGCAAACAACGCGGTTGCGGCAATAATCTGGTGGCCATAAACCCGCGTCAGCGTGTGAATCTCGGTGATAGGCGTCAGACACCACGAAACAGTGACCAGTCATGGAGTGCCAATAGAATAGAAAGACTGGAAAGATAGAGGAGAGGGGGAAGAAAATGCCTGAGATGGTTAAAGCGAGTTGGAGATGGTTAGAGTCAATGGGAAGCTGACCACGAGCGGCCAGAGATAAGGATGTCAGTGCGGAGTTATGATCCTGGGCATGTTTATGCCGTTTGCACCAAAAGCGGCCATCTTCGTCCTCATAGGGCTCATCGGGACCCTGCCGAGCATTTGATGGTACAATCTTGCAATATAGGATACTATGACACGTACTTTTACTCGGTACATCATGCTCTTGCATTAGGTAAAAACAAAACAATGTATTCAGGATATGGCATACCCTTGAGACCAAACGAGCAAACTTGCTCAAAACCTTTAGATCACGTGATACCTTGGCAGATTTGCGTTCTTTCTCAGCTTCAAATATTGCTATCCTCGCTTGAGCCTCATTGGCGCTTACCTTGCTTCAGCTCAAGATGCTCCCTTCATCTATTCCCAGATGAGGCACCAGGTCATCTGCCTTACTGCCAACATGGCAAGAAGCCAAGGTGTGAGCAGCAACCCCCTTCGCTCACCGGCGCTCTGTTCCATCTGCCTACCTAAGCCAGACACACCATACTCTCATTTGTCCTCCGAGCCCGATCCTGTGGTTGGTGGATTCAGCCTTGTCTGCTGGATCTTACGCGAAGCTCAATCTAGCAATCATTTCCCTCTCCTCCACTCGAACCCAAACCCCACTCTTCTCATACGAGTACCTCAAGCTCTTACGCCTTGCCTCTTTCAGGCATGGATTTTCGGCTCCCAAAAGATCAATACTGGAGAGATTTCTGAAAATTTCAAAAGCTGCTCTTAGGGACCTGGGGGGCGGTTGACAGGCCTGATGAAGACCGGTCAACTCCATCGCAGCTGCGTGCAACGAATGTCCCTGATTGACACCAAAAAGAACCTAAAAGCCAGTAGTGGACTTCCGTCTAAAGCTCTCTTTAGACCAACGTCACTCAAGATCTTTCATGGTGACGGGTATATCCACCGTTACGCAGGAGTCTAGCACACTCTAGTATGCGCAAGCTTACATCTGCTGATGGACAGATTGGTTTTGGCTTTTCTCTAATGTCCTGCTCATCGGGGGAAAGCTGGGAGGGACAAAGCTGCATTTAAATGCAAAGAGATCCCTCCGCTGCCATGGAACATGGGAAGAAGGGGGACTCCACAATCTGCAACTCGGATCCAGCATTTCTACATTCTGCAAAACTTGCACGGCTGGGCCTCCGACATCAACCAACCATTCTCCACACGCACAATGCAGCCCATTGGCATTCTGCGGCGGAAGACATCCCCTCAGACCTGTCGAGGTTGAGTCCAGCGGATCCGTATGGTCAATCCACGGACTTTTCTCTGGCACGCAATCTGTGCGGGCCGGATCAACTCACAAACGGTGAGCTCTCTCGTTCAGTATGCCGACGAATCATGTTGTGTGTTCTTTTCCCCATCTGTTTCCATCATCTCGCATATGGCTGAGCCCTGGAGATCAACGCCTCTCATGCCTCATGCGGCGCCGCCTAAGCAAAAGGCACAACAGCGTGGGCACTACGGTCGCATGATGCCATTGTGCGTTCGCACCTCTTTGTGCGAGCTCGTGGCCCTTGGTCCTGCTGAACGAGGAATGGCCGTTCTACTCGGGTCCTAGATGGGCTACTGTCACCAGTTTGATTGTTCCACCCTCGGGGCTCCCCGTCCTCTCTCATGCCACCAATGCCCCCCACCGAATACATATAACTTTTTTTGCTACACCGGCTTAAACAGAAAAGTTGTCGCAAATGAAGACCGGAATCTTCTGGTCTGGATCTCTTCTTCTCGTTGTTTTACCCTTTCGAATGAAATTCCCGGATTCCAATTAGTTTACGATGCCAGGATCCGAGAATTGCATTCTGACATCTTCTTTCACGCCTCACTAGACTCGACTCACTGTTTTCTCCTCTGTTTGATACTTTGACTCGTATCGAGCGACGGCATTTCAGGACGATTACAGCCCTGGGTCGCAACGCCCTCTCACCACTTCACAACCCCCAAGTGATGAGCAACCAGAGCAACTTCAACATATTCGGCTAAGGGAAGGCTACAAAGCAAAGACAAGACGAGCAAGCCTTTTTTGCCCTGTCCCCCACCACCTTAGGGTCTTCTATACCCGACCTCCGCTCGTCCATTATTTTCGCCAACCCTCGCTCTCCATAGGCATAAAATCCCTATTTCGATTACTCTATAATTATCCATATTTTTATATGGCCTATGCTATCCCATTCGCCATTCAGTCTCCTCGGAACAGACAAAACCTCTGACTTCCAGGCAGGAAGTCCGGCCAAGCCTGGGAAGGAGAGAATTTAAGAAGTGTCGGTGGACCAGGGACAGGCGCGAGAAACTTGGAGAGACAGCAGAAGAGGCCAGAGCGGGCCACCAAAAGAAAGGCGACTTTTCTTACCCGCGTGCGCCTCCTGGTTTTTTAACCTGCTCTCCTCGACCGAGCGCCCCTCTCCCCGAATCGGACTTAAAAGGTCATAATAACCAACGCGCGAAACATATTTCTTCACAGAACGCCGCCAAATCCAAACTCTAGCGTCCTTTGGCTTGTACTGCTCCGTCCCCCTCCCAGTCCTTGTAAACCAGGCGGAAGAAAGGAAGAACACAGGGAAGACAGCGACGCAGCTTGTTGCTCAATCAATCATCAATCAAATACGGCTTTCAAACTCCCCCTCATCAGCCAGTGGTGACGACATTTCTTTTTTGGCACCAGACGCCAAGAACAGCGAGCTCGCGAATTGAAGCGAGAGAAAAGAAGAATAAGAGGAAAACAACGACGACGACGACGAAGGATTGGAACATCAGAAGCGTCTTTTGTTATGCGTTGAAGCACACCCTTCTGAAACATCTTACGGCCCTCTTCACGTGCAAGCGAGCGTGAACGACCGCACCCACGCAAAACAAGCAGACAACAGGGGACAGACACATGGAAGCTACAAGTCGCGGGAACATGACAGCCATCATACGTCTGCAGATTACTCTCCTTGTACGCTGTTAGCGAGACCCAGGGCGCTATCTTTCGCGAGTGTCTATCTCGGGTATCTTTTGGGTGGCTAAATCAGCCACCACAGTGAAGCACGACAAATAGATACTCCAGATGACGGTCCTGGTGGTCGGTTACTTTCCCAGCCTCATATCCTTCACTATAACCACGTCCCCTGGTCATCAGCCTTCAGCAACGGCTTCACATACTACGATCGCCACCCACGTCGTTAGAATTGCACAAAGAGCACACAACAGCTCTCTGCAATACATAGTCCGATCCACCTTCACCTAAAATTCAACTCCGATCTCCGAAAACACCTTGCTCGTAGAACAATATCCAATTCCACAACTGAAGTCCAGGCGAGGCTGGAACTTCGACCCTGAACACCAAATACCGATCCGCATTAACCCCATCTCAACCACAAGCGCTCGTTCCTCATAACCATAGAGCGTCAAAAAGTCATCACAAGCGTGCCACCCACCAAGTGACCCAAGCAAAACCCCCTTGGCTCAATCCAGATATTTTCGCCAACAGGATTTTGTAAGTCAGCCACAAATTCCATTAGGCAAACCCCCAAACATCCAAAATGACAACCTCAACGGCTCCCCATCCTGCGAGCAAGCGCAGTAAAAGCCAGACCATCGTTCAAGGCCCGAGTCCGCATATAACATCAGGTGCACCTCTGGAACCAATCCCCATGTCCAAATTGACACACAGTGCCGAGCTCGACGAGTATACTGCGAGCATGCGCAACTACTTGGCCAATGTTGACCATCCAGGGAACGACAGCCGCAACAGCGGGAGCGACACCGACTCCAGGCGGAGTAGCGTTCGCAGTGAGAGCGGTGACGGGAGCGAGAGAGAGAAATCTCCCGAATTCAGGTGGATGGACCTCGCCAGTGTGAGGAGGGAACATGGGGGTGTGAACCTCAGCTTTACCGGCGTTGGCAAGGGAAACGAGAATCGAATAACCAAAAGTACTGTAAAGTCCACCAGTCTCCATAATCACCAGGTCGGAAAAGACCCACGGCAACATCAGAGAGATCATCGGTCGTCAAGCCCCGGTGGCAAGGCGTTGCTCAGCAAGAGACATACGACGAAAACGGAAGCAAAATCAGCCGAGAAAAACTGAAGAGCAATATGTTAGCTGCCTGTTTGAAGCACGAAAAAAATTGGGACATTGAGCTGTGCCATGCTTTACCGCGATAGGTATCGGGTCGGGGAAAACCTCCCTAGCAATATGCAGCTCACCGAGAGGAGGGAAGAACGCAGCCAGACAGGCAAAGTGATCCCAAAGCAAAACACTTGAAGAGATTGGAACGTACCTTCCCACTGCCAGTCTGCCATAACACCCGACCAGTGCAATTGCCCTCGCACGGTATATTCGGGTTCCAGTTGGTCCGGGGACATGATGTCGCTTGTATGACGCTGAGGGAGGGAGGTTGGGGGAGGCGGCATCGTTGCTGACATAGCTAACATGCCGCTCGCGCTTCCAGCTGAGTCTAGCGTCAGGCGACGTCTGATCGGCCGACCTGTTGCATCAACTTCTTCTGGTCCGCGGCCCTGAGCTTGGTTTTGGCCATGGCTGAAAGGCCGGCTGTCTCCCAAGCCCAGAGAATCCACTGTATGGGACTTTCTCTTCAATGCCGGTGGCATATCTAGGACCGGAGGAACGAAATTACCCCCTGGCACTCCACGACTCGCATATTGCCTTAGCAGTCTGCTCGACTTTTCTTCCTCGTACGCATCCCTGCGAGCCCAGACTTCCTGGACAACATTCCAGCACGAGTTCACATTTCCAATCTTCAGACGCCTGATCATCGCTTGCCAGCGTTGCATCACCCAGGTCCTATCGTCCGGGTCGGTGACTTCGCAGCTTGCCGCAAAAAGAGGGAAGATGTGGACGATGGTTGCTCTTGACGACAGGGGCACGGACGCCAAGGTCACCAAGACTTTCTTCGCCAGGGATGCCGCTGGGTCGCTAGGAATTTCCGGCACAGCTTGGTGTAGATAGAGCAACGTAGCGTATCGGTAAGCTTCCGCCGTTTGAATTGAGTGCTGGACTTCCGAATTCGGATCTTCCGGCCGCTCGAAGATCAGAACGCTGGGCACTTGCCACTGCAGAAGGCGTTCTTTCAACTCCAATGCGGTGGAGACGATCGTCAGAGAATTTGACTCGGTCTTGCGCACCCGTTGTATGAGATTGGCGACGCGACCTATCAGCGGGAACAAGGTCGTGGCACAGCCCATGAGCGGGTCGACCTCGACCTGGTCTCCAAACGGCGAGTTGACGGTTGAGAGAATATCCTCAAAATTGAGGTCGGGTGCTTCTTCCAGAGACGTCAACCGAGCTATCACATCCATGTAGACAAATGTATTGCACAGAAACTTGAGTCTGTTGGCATCTTGTGTTGTCATCTGGCCCATCTGCATGTCCCGCCGATGTCTGATTAGGGCGTTGTTGACCATGACTTTGGCGCCACGGAGATGCTGGACACCAGTGCTCACGTGGCGATCCCAGCCTTCGCTGAATGCAAGTGCCAATGAAGTCGCCAATGCCGAATCGAGTCGCATGTTCTCGATCTCGAAGGCAAGGCGTTTGATCGCTTTCGTCATGTGTTGCATCCCTGGCATGTGGAGGTTCGGAATCTCATGAGCACCGTGAAATGCGGTCATGGATGAAATAGCGTGGTACAGAGCAGGAGATTCTCGGGCCAACGGCCAGATCAATGTCCGCCACGGGTTCTCTGTCGGACCGTCCTTGACGGATAGGATGCCACAAGTTTGCTTGTCGAAACGAAGCATGAGCATCTCTGGGGAAGACGCGTCAAGAGAGGGCTGGGCGAGGATGGTCATATCGCTGGATTTGGAAGATGCCGTCGAAGTTTCGCTAGGGGTAGGAGAAGACGCACGGAAAGCTTGAAACGGTGTGTTGGAGAAGCTGGGGTCAAGCATCGATGAAGGCGTGGGAAGCTGCAAGGCGGACATCGCTGCCGATGTGGCGATGGCATCCGACCTGATAATTTCTTTGTCGAAGTCATCTTCCACAGGTATGTTGCCATCGAGGTCGCAAGCATCAGACAGTGGGTTCATTTCCGATCCCGAGGGCATGATCAGGTCCAGAAGTTGGGGGGAACCGGAGGAGAAAGACCTGGCACTATTGCTATCATTGACAGAGGAGCTTGTCGTGGTTGTGGTTAGGCTGTAAGGATCCACCGAGTCGTCAAATGTCAGGTCCGGAGACATAGCTTCCCTCTTGAAAGCAGGCATGAAGATAGAATCCGGGGTGGTGAGGTGTAGAGGCGGCGACTGTTCCTGATCAAACTCCACCTCGACGTGCTGCTCTCGGCTGGACACCAATCCCTGAGGGTGAAAGTGGCCCTCGCCCTGGTCCTGAAATGCATGAGCCGCAGTCTCGAAGGCAGAATGCAGGCCTGGGGACCATGTTTGGGGAGGTTGAGCGGCGTCCAAGCCCTCCTGTCTGGCATCCGGTCTTCCACCACCGGCGATATCAAGGGGTCTGGCGACATTCTGGGTCGGTGAGAAGGAATTGGAACGGAATGCTTTCCTCTTTGTGGCAGGTCGGGAGCCAAACGTGGTTTCCTCAAACGTCCTCCACTTGTAGTCCTTCTTGTAGCCCTCGCATACCACGCTTCTCTTCTGGCATTGGGCACAAGAGGGTTTTGTCTCGTCGCATTTTAGCCGTTTCTTCTTGCATGTCATACAACCTGTCAAGGGGGAAAAGCCAGAAGTTAGTCCATGACGTTAACCAGCTCTCCCCACACTCTGCTGGAACCACAACGCAGCGACTGATACTCCCACTGTCAGCACGTACCATTTCGACTCTTGCTTTGCTTCGGCTTCGTCACCGCCCCATCCTGAACAGATTTGTTAAGGGACTTGGGCGGAGGATTGGTCTTCTGCTTTGCGATAGCCGACTTCTTCGGTTGGACCGCGGGCGCGGGGGTGATGACAGGAGACTTTCTTAAGAAAACAGACGGAGAGGGGATCTGGACCTCCATGCGACGCAGGCAGGGACAGGCGACATCGACCCAAGCGACCTGCCTTTAACGGAAGCAGTATGTGAAAGCAAGAAAACGGGTTCTGCTTCGCGGTTTGGAGGGGTTCAGTGGGTACGGTGGTATATCGACCGACCGACGGATCGATGCTAGATCAGCAGGAGATTCGTTTTTGATCGGAACAAACTAGACAGATTAAGACAGGTTCCCGGAGGAAGGAAGAAATAAACGGGTTGTCCAGAAAGGAAGGGAAAAAAGATGAAGGAGGGGAGGAATTGAAGCTGGTGAGGGTATCGATCGGTGCGGTGCAACGGCGTCCACCAGTGTCAGTGTGCGGATTGGGGAGCGGGTCGGGATAAGAGGTCAATGATGGGCCTTCCAGGGCAAAGACATTGGAGTTGGAAAAGACCTAACGAGAGGTGGGTTTTCTGGAACATCAGAGTTCGCAGATACAGCAGGAAGGGACTGGGGGCAGAAACCAGAAATCGAAAAGGCGCAAAAAAACTGTGTGAGCGGTGATGTCCAGACTCGCCCAACGGGCTAGTTGACGAGGGCCAAGTGGACGAGTAGTAATAGTAGTAATTAGCAAGTGAGATGAGGGGAGAGACGAGGAAGAGACCCTGGTTTGACGACGATGATGATGGTGGATGATGATGATTGACTCGCTGCCAATTCCGTTATCTTGTTTATCTCTGGGGAGTCTTTACTGGGTGTGCCTAGCAGCCAGGGAAAGATACGCGAACCCCCGGACACGAGCAGCCACCACCGTCGTCTTCTTCTTCCTCTTCCTCCTCATCCCTATCTATCCTTTCCGTCAAGAACAAAACCAGCTTCACGTGAGATAAGGAATAGGGCATTGGCATTCCGTCTGCATTGCCACGGAGCATCAATCCGTACTTCCGCCGCCATGCCACAGCCCCCCCAGACAACACCCAAGAAAATGTTATATCATTCAGGGTCTCTCTTGCTCTTTTGCTGCTTGTCCCCGCCCCTCCCAGAGAGGTACAGGGGTCCGAAGCAACTCCAAGGTACCTTTTGGTGCCCTCACTAGCCTGGACTTGTGGGACAGGCGACTCACTGGGATGAGGGGCAGTTGCCAACAGGGGGCTCACTAGGCCCTTGCAAGGGCCACTAGGCGCAGGTGAAGGTCATCTCCGCCCCAGCCCTTACTTAGAGACAGTGGCGTCCCCAAACCCCGCTCGCCAACCAGCTGATGATCTTGTGGCAAGTCACTGAAACACCAAACACACTACCAACTAGTGTCTCAATATCTTCCTTCCCACCCACGATATACATAGGTAGCCAGTCCGTGGCGCGACGTGTGACCATCATCTCAATCCAGACTGCCGGAGTGTCAAGCCATCTCTCTCTCTTCCCCTTGGACGTCTCCCCAGCCTCGTGCCGCAGCTAGCCACCCATCAGCCAGGCCGCAAGGCAGGCCGGCTGCTTCACCATCCCCCGCGTGGAGGGAGCGGAACCGAATGGCCCACGATATGGCAATGCAGCAGAGAGGGCTTGGATAGCTGAAGGGTGGAGTTCTGCGTGTCCGGGGTGAGTCCAATGTCGCACAAGGGAGCGAGAGACACGGGAACCAGGAGCAAACCACGTAGTCATGGAAATTCCAAATCGTCAGGGATCGGGTTACACAGCGCTTCTTCTCTGGCCTGATGAGCGTGCAAATTTTCATCACCATGTGTCGAGGGGGAAGGGAAGAGGAGAATCCGGAAGGATGGAGGCGATGGCGAAATGAGGACGAAGAACAAGAAGAACATGAGCTTCTCGACTGTCCGTGATGTCTCCCCCTTCACCGGACGATCAAAGGACTTTTGTTCTGGGCTCGCCCGTTCAGCCGCAGATCCATGTGAAGAACCCAACCACCTCTATCGGTGGTCCACGTTCCTCAGAACAAGGCCAGCCAGCTGGAGGGCTTTTCGTGGCCTGTCACATTGGGCGCATGCACAACTAACTGCATGGTCACAATTCGTCGTGTGCTCTGGAAAGGACCGGAATGCATGCTCGGGACACGGGCATTGAAGTCTTTGCTGCTGCTCTGTACTGTTCCGAACCCGCCAAACGAGACGGAATTAGATCTTTGTGTGATGTATATTCGCCTGCTAAGAACAGAAACCATCTATACTTTGCTAAGCAAATAGGAACTCGTCCCATATATCCATGAAACGAGATCCCCTCTTGTTCGTTCGGCTGTCACCCCCTCCCTCCCTCCCTCCCTCCGTTCCCACACTATCCATCTAGTTCTTGTGCTTAAAGTTCTGGGCCAGACCCGGCCAGTGCTTCTCGAAGGCCTCGACCGTGTCCAAGACGCTCTGATCGTACGGAATGAGCCTCTTGACCCCGAGCGCGCGGTACGCCTTGGTGGACACGCTGCTCGACTCGCCCTCGACGAACCAGTAGTCCTTGGTGTAGCCTTGGCCGGGGTTGCCGACGATGATGTCGCGGTCCGGGAAGCGCTCGCGCAGCAGGTCGGCGGCGGCCTGGGGCGGCGCCTTGCCGTTGGACAGCAGGTAGCGCTCGCCGTTGCTCTGCTCCGGGTGCTCCATGGCCCAGATGTGCATGCGCGCCACGTCGCGCACGTCGACGTACCCAGCGCCGCCGATCTGCGGCGGCATCACCTGGCTGCCGCTGTAGATGTTCCAGATGGGCAGCAGCGTGGTGTTGAGCTTGTCGGGCGTCTCGGGCCACGACACCGGCGGCCCCGTCACCACGGCCGGGTTGACCGCCGCCACGGTGAAGAGGGGCTGGTTGGCCTCCACCCACTTCCACACCGCACGTTCCGCGGCTGCCTTAGACGCACCATATGCGACGGGGGCCGTGAACTCGCGCCGGGCCACGGACTCGCCCGCCTCGTTCCAGTCGGCCTCGGTGTAGGCGTGGTCGGGGGGCTGCCTCCAGCGGTCGACGATGGCGGCGATCGACGACGTGACCACGAACGCCTTCAGCTGCGGTCCAGCGGTACTCTTGGCGGACTCGAGAATCGATAGGTTGCCCCCAATGGCCGGGCCGAAGAACTCGTCCACAGTCTTCAGGGTGAAGTCGACGGGAGAGGCGGTGTGCAGGATCGCATGGACGCCCTTGACGGCTTCGTCGAAGGCACCGGGCGCCACAATATCCTTGACCTCGACATGCTCATACTGCGAATCATAGCCCTTGAAGGCGCCAGCCAGGAGATGATCCCGGGCCGACAACGACCGAGACGTGCCCCTAACTCTGTACCCCCTCTGGAGGAGCTGCAGCCCTATATGGGAGGCGATGTACCCATTGATGCCGGTGATCAGCACGACCTTGTCGGCGTTGTCGGATGGCATGGGCGAGAGAGACCTGGAACGACTTCGACTTCGACTGAGTGATCGGAGATAGATGTGACTTAGTCTTTTCGAGGTCTCCAGGTTGCGAGTTGTTGAACTGCTTTTGGGAAAGGGGGAAAGAGAGAGACAAAGGTCTTAATAGACCCGTCCCAGACCGGATGGTTGATGTTCGTGCCGGCGGAACCTGGCAATAGCTGAGGTCGGTGAGTAACCGAGTCTTTTGCTGGGAGACGGTCGTAAGGCTAGTTGTGTGAGAGTCTAAAAAAACAGAGTATCTCCTTTTCGAGAACCCTGAGTAGCCAATGAAAGATTATAGATTTGATCTCCGGGGGGGTCGGGTGTGGAGTTTAGATCGTCGTCGACACACTCTGGTAACTGGTTGGCTTGCTTTCGAACCGGGTCCTAGCTTAAGCTATGGGGACAGATAGACAGACAAGGTAGGGAGGGTACCATACGTCGGAAGTTCGCTCGTGATTTTTCAGCTTGCGTTGGGTGTTGAGTAATTTATGTTTAGTCGTGTGGGATGAGGGAAAATATGACAGCTGCTTCCATAAGCTGATAATTTGTGTCTGTTGTGTGTGCGTGGCTGTGGGATTTGCTGAGTTGGTCGGCTCGTGTGCATAATACCTCGTACATATCGCCAATCACGGGTCCAGGGCCAAAAGACTCAACGGCGCCATCGTGAGGCCCGTCTAGCTCGATATGGCAGTCGTTCTTTGTTCGCGAGTCCATGGTCCATTTTCCTCAAAGAAAGGACTTGTCTGTTCAGGTAACACCTCGATTATGGCCGGAAGGGTGCGAATGACCAGGACGAATCAACCGAGGCTATGACTCTCCAGAAGATCCCAGCCGGCTCGCCATACTCGTGGCTGACGGAAAACGAGAATGGTGGTTAATCACAGTCTATATCACAACACCTGCCTGGGCACATGCGCCATCAAAGTTGTACAAACGACGGCCTTCTCCCCCGCATCTCAATAGCCAGCGACCTTCAACTCCTTCTCTGTCCACTCCCATAACTTCCGGCCCGCCTCAGCGTCTTTGGACCACTTGTTCGGCCGGTTTTTGCCCACGGGCGTGTAATAGCTCCCATTGGCGAGCTCCTCCTTCTTGGCACCCGCGGCCGCCCAGAGCTGATTGAAGGCTCCGGCTTGGACGGTCGAGAACATCAAGGGGCCGAAGATCATGGAGCCGTACTTCAGGATCGAGTTGGTCTGGCTGCTCGGAAGGTAAAGGTCGGTCTTGATGATCCCGGGGTGAACGGACACGCTGGTCAGCGTGGGATGCCGTCGAGCTAACTCGGCAGCGAACATGATGTTGGCCGACTTGGAGGCGCCATATCGGGTCCACGGACCGGTGGCCAGCAACTTCTCCGTCGACAGGATCGTGTCGAGGTTCGGGCCCATGTTCCACGCCTCGGAGGAGACAGAGACGACCCGAACGTCCGCGTTGTGCTCCTTGGCTGTCTTTTCCATGGTTGGAAGGAGCAGTTTCGTCAACAAAAAGTGGCCCACGTGGTTGGTGCCCATTTGAATCTCTTGCCCTGCGGCTGTCTTGCTTGCAGGAACGGCCATGATGCCGGCGTTCAGAACGAGAATGTCCAGTCGGTCACTGTGGCCGATGACTTGGTCGGCCGCTTCTTTGATGGAAGGCAATGAAGTGAGGTCCAGAGGAAGATACTCGACATCGACATCCTGGGAAGTTTGCGCCTTGATCGACGCTACGGCATCTCGTCCTTTGGATTCGGTTCTCGAAGCGAGATAGATCTTTTGCGGGTTGTGCTTCGCGAGCTGCAGGACTGTTTCCTTGCCGATACCGTTATTCCCCCCGGTCACGAGGATGACTTTGCCCGCAAGGCTTGGGATACTGGTTGCGGGCACAAAGGACGAGCTGATGCTGAATGGCCACATGCTGGCGAATCTGGGATGAAAGACTTCAACGGCAAGTAAGGGATGCAGGGCGTATGGCAGCACGAGACCCGTGGCGAGGTCGAACAGTTCTTGGAGGTGTGACAGGGTTGGAGACGAGGAAGGCTGGTTCTGTGCCGTCGCTTTGACTCGCTCGTGCTTTTGTATCTCTCCAGCCTCGATGTTGTCGTCGGACGGCCCTGACGTCGGTGGAGACATTCGCGCAATAACATTAGGCCGACGGCCTTGATAATGTTGACATTTTGGCTGCAGGAGTTTGTGATCTAGAGCCTCATGTCCCAAGCGGCAAATGAGGATCGACGGGGAACGTTGGCTGTGATGGATGGGTAGCGAGATCGACCAGGAGAGAGTTTGGGTGGAAAAAGTCGCATACGCAGACGCATACGGGCGTAAACCCTCCAGGGCTCAGCCAATCACGATGCGCCGTTCCGGAATTTTCGGAAGAACTAATCATCCAGATTCCGGTTCTCCTCAACTCGATACACTCGGGTATACGAAACCGTGCCAGATAACCTCGCCCTACCGGCGAACGTGTTTGGGACGATTTCGTGGGAGAGGAGACCATCGAGCGCCCGACGGTCTAACAACTTCAAATCCTACGAACGCAAACGCCCTTCGTTCCTGTCCCGGTCGGCACATGCTTCCAAATTCCCACTCGGCCCTAAGGCCTGGAGAAGCGGGAGAGAGTGATTAGTATGGGAGAAGAAGACTTTTTATCACTTTTGTCCAAGGGCCTGCGATAGTCAGATTAGGCACAGAAGAGACACGACGCACTGGGTCGGGATGCTGGTTCGAGGGTCAAGAGGAGGACACGGACTGCCATACAAATCATTCCGTCCTGGTGCATCAAAAACTTCAGGCACCAAGAGTCAGTCGCAGCGGGTTGGAGAACGATATATCTGGCATTGCTGGCGAGAAACCCTGCAGGATGCCACTGCAAGACTGTGAACATGCTTATACCCTGGTTCACACCTGACAAATCCATGCCAATGCACGAGGAGGATGATTCCAGGACAGACAGACCTTTGAGAGCAGATGCATTGATTTCCTGAGAATTGAGCTCGTTGGTGGACATCATCATCAGCAGGAACCAGTGTGCTTGTCTCTCCACTGATAAACCACCTGCCGAGTATTCACACGAATGCTGTGTTGCGGGCGTCAGCTCTTTCAAGAAATAATGTGCTCTTCACTGAACTGAAACAGAGATCCCGGCCAGCGAGCACGTTAACCACGTAATAGTCAATCCCCCCAACTTGCGTAGATGGGGAAGGGATATGACAACATGCACCACATTGGGGGCACCAGGGGGGTCCTCCTCTACGGCGTCCGACCGGGCAATTATTATGAGAAGAGGAGGAGGAGCAGGTGAGCAAGTTTAAGTACATAACAAGTCAAGTCGGCGTGGGGAACGAAGAGAGCGGTTGGTTTGGTGGGTTGGTGGGTGGGTGGCTATGTACGGAGTATTCGAAAATAATGGCCAGACAAAGGGCATTAAATCCGCTGCCAAAAAGAGGCTAGTGAGGCCGCGCTAACCCCAGAAAAGGCTGATGTGGAGCCGTGTCAGATCACGAAGCGTCGTCCCAGCCAATCACCACCGCCGCCCGCACCCGAAAACTTGCTCACTTGGCGAACACGCTGAATGTTCTTCTATCAGGGCAACTCCTTGTCCTTGTCGGTGAACTTCAAATCTTCAATATTATCCTAGACTTTATTCAAGAGAAAGCAAGAGAGAGAAAGAGAGAGTGCGACCCTATTGCCCTTTGTGCGACACCGTCCCGTCTCGACAAGAACCAACTCTAATCAAATCGACATTCCATTTTGCCGCCACAGAGAGCAGTAATCTTTGGGAGAAGACTGATATCGAACCTTCTAATCCCCCCCCCTCTGCCCGGGCCTTGACCTCCTTCAAACTAGACATCTCTTCACCATGTCGTCCGACTCGATGTCGTCCAGCTCCATGTCCATGTCCATGTCCACCATGCCCATGGTGTTCACCACGTCGCACCACACGCCGCTGTACGGGAACGGGTGGACGCCCACCACGAGCGGCGGCTACGCCGGCACCTGCATATTTCTGGTCGTCCTGGCCATCGGGCTCCGGCTGGTCCTGGCGGCCAAGGGCGTGTGCGAACAGCGATGGGCCGCTGCGGCGCGACGGCGGCGGTTCGTCCTGGTCAAGGGGAGGGCCACTGAGGCCAGCCGGATCGATCAGGACCCCGACGCGAAGACCGGGGCGCTCATCACAGTCAACGGCGTCGAGGAGAACGTCAAGGTCGTCCACGCCACGAGCATCTTCCCGCCCTTCCGGCTATCGGTCGATGTCCCCCGGGCCATTTTGACCACCATCATCGCCGCCATGGCATATTTGCTGTGAGTTCCCCCCTCTCTCTTTGATGAGCGTGACGTCTCTTGGTGGCACCCTTCCCATACTGATACTCGATTAGGATGTTGGCCGTCATGACCATGAACGTGGGCTACTTCCTCTCCGTGCTGCTGGGTGTGTTTCTTGGTGAGATCGCCGTGGGCAGATATGCCCGCAGCGACGAACACTTTCACTGAATATCTGGGGTGTTTCCCTCCCCCCTACCCTTCTTGTTTTGGAGGGAGCATCCCCAGCGAAGTTCCCAGGGTCTTGCATTGAAGAGCATGTTCTGAGCGGGAATTGTTTATATGGCGGGCGCATCTTTTATAGATACAGAGCACGTTTACTACAGGTGAAATGCAGTGATGATAATGGCTGATCTATTACGGCTGTGGTTCTTGAGAACGCGTATAAGGGTTTTTTTTTTTCGTGAACCCTATTTCTCGCTGCTGTCTTTGATCCATTCTGACGTCCCGGGCTAGTCAGTTCTATTCTTTCCTTCGGCGACTATCTGGTCTGCGTTAACTTGCCTGGCTGTCGGCTCGAAAAATAGATTGGCGTGACAGGCTTCCTCGTACTCCTATATCAACGAGTGATCGTGGTAGGCGTCGACATTGCCTACAGCTTGACCGGATGATTCCGCAGCAATTGCTGCTCGATGGTTCATCCCTGTTTTGACGACCACCATCGTGACGGGGCTGTAAGTCTCTGTGCTAATAGGTAGCGGGCAACGGATCTGAGGTGATTCCTGTGTCTCGAGCTTTGTAGCTTCGACAACCTCACGGCCACGTTTCAATCCTGTTCCACTTCCCTATTGAATGACTCGGCTGGGGTCCACCAGGGCCACCTGCCTCCTCAGCCAGAGTCCAGATCTGCCTTGTCGCCTTAGTCGGATCGGTCAAGTCGACGGCCTCGACCTGCTCGGGCGTGATGATGGCGACGCGGAAGTTCTTTCTCGCCAAAGGCTCCTCAGAGAGGTGTCCCGCCTTCTGACCCAACGCCTCGCCGGCCTGTTCATCTCTCCCGTCCGACAAGGGCTTTCCAGGCGGCGGATTCTTGAACGAGCCCCTCATGATGGGCGACAGGTTCTCGAAGTAGTTCTCCACCTCCCGTCGCCAGGACCAGTCACTCTTCCTTTGCTCCGATCCCTCCTCACCACGAAAACGCATGTACCGTCCGACCTCGGCCTTGACTGACACGGTGCCGGAATTCTGGGCCGCGTCTGTGCCGCCCTCGACGTCGTCGGCGGCGACGAGCCAGCATCTGCCCCGGATGCGCCACTGCGTCTTGGTGTCTTTGACCCAGTAGACGGCCTCGACGGGCGCCCCGCCGCCGGACCCGGAGCGCGACTGCGCCAGGTCCCCCTTGCCGCGGCCGGTGGCGAACAGCTCGTAGGTCTTGTGCATGCGCGCGTCCGTGGTGAAGGTCGGACAGTCGGACTCGTAGACCGGTGGGTTCTTGGGGAGCTGGTTGTACTCGTTCTCCGGCAACGCGGCCCAGAAGCCGCGGAAGATGCAGGTACGCGCCCGCGGCAGCCCGGACTCGGTGACGGTGGCGAGCGTGAACTCGACGCCCGCGCCGCCAGCTCGGTCGAGGTGTTCTTGAAACGTCCCTTTCCAGGGCGCGGCCACGGTCGACGACGGCGTGGGGTGCGACATGATTATTGCGGAAGACAGGCGGGCGAGACGCTGAAGAGGTTTTTGAGGGGCCAGTTTAGCCAACGGTCTGAGACAACAGATATGGGATTGAGGAAATGAGATGAGATGTCCACGGGAGGAGTATTATAGAATCCTTTCCTCATCCTCGTGGTCCATGACGCGCTCATTAGATATTGTGGTGAAGGGATTGAAATCATCACAGGGCTTTAATGACGTCGCCAGGCAACCTCCGGGGGGGCGGAGGGGGAAGGGGGACCTAATAGTGAGCCTCACTAGCCGTTGGTGGCGCCAATAGGTGGCAGTACTTAAAAGCCCCTGGCACCCCCGCTCTCTAGATGCCGCAATTCATAGGCACCCCACTCGCATCTGGATACCTCAAGAATAGCCCTTAGCTGTCCCACCAGCCTACTGAAGCTCTTGGTAGATACAGCCTCAACCTCTCAACCACCAAACAATACTAGTCAGACAGCCATCATGTCAAGAACAATGGTGCGACATATATCATTAGTGATTAGTAGACAGCAGTGATGGCATCTCTTCATCTCAATCAGAGTATTTATTGTACGACTTAGCCTGTCCGTCACTGAAAATCCTTCAGTTCTCCCTTCGGGAGCACTTTCTCGTGGGCTCCTCTTTCACTGAACCTTCTCTTCCAACTCCAGGTCTCGTCCCTTTCGGGCCCATTCGACTTACCATCCAGCACGTTGACGACATACTTGCCGATGTTGGGCAGGAATTTCCAGCTGTGAAATGATCCGGCCGTGGCGAAGTAGAGGTTCGACAATCGCGGGTCAGGATGCCGCGCGATCAGCTGGTTTTGATCGGCTGAGATGGCGTCCCAGCAGAGGCGCCACTCGTCCGGTACCCTGCCCTCGTCGAGCATCTGTGGGACGCGCTGGCGGATGATCTCGATGGATTTCCGCTTCAGCGCTTCAGGGACAGAATGTTGGTCGGGTGCCGGGACAGAGATGCTCTGGCCTGTCTCTGGGTGAGGTTGAGTATTGAGGAACGTGTTGGCATTCGTGAACTTGAAGAGCCGTTGTTCATTCACGGGCATGGCCTCGCCTCGTGCCCCGTAAATCAAGACCGGCATCTGCGAGTAGCGTCGAGCCTCTTCTTCGGAGACCTTGAATGCGGCCACACACACCCCCGCAGCCTGAATCTGTCTTTGGACGCTGTTTTCTTGTGGAATGGCCATCTTCTTCTCCAGTGGTGCCATCAGCCATGGCGTCCATGCTCCTGTAGCTAGAACAATCTTGTCACCAGTGAATGTCCGCCCATCAGCCGTGCGGACACCGGTCAGCTTGTCACCATCACTGAGCAACTCATGCACTTCTCCTACCTCGTGCTTGACACCGACCTTGACAGCTTCGTTCATCATGGCCGCCACGGCGGAAGAAGCGTCAGCCCAGCCGGCGCTGGAATTTGTGTAGGCCTTGCTGTATCCAGTGGTATCTATTCCAGAGAGGACACCGCCCCAATTCGACTTGACCTCCTCGAGGGAGATATCGGCAGATGTATCGGGACGACCACTTTCTCGAAAATTCTTCCGAATACGGTCTGCCAGGTCGCTGCCCTCCTCGTCCAACATCACCCACCCCGTTTGGTGGAAGTATGGCTTCATCAGTGGATCGTCGACCCAATACTCCATGGCTTCGTAGGCCAAGTCCATGTAGAATGCCTTGCTGTAATCCGCACGGACGATTTTGTTGATGTCCGAGGACGCAGCCTGTGGCGAGGGTACGGGTGCCCGATCCAAAACGGTGATGCGTGATGGATCTGCATAGTTGAGGGTGAGATGGTATGCAGTGCTGGTGCCGAAGATGCCCCCTCCAATAATCAGGACATCACAGTTGGGAGGGTCGACAGAGCCCATGATGGTCCGGCTGTCGAGGAGAAAATAAGCCAACTCTAACTGACTAACTGAATGACCTGGTCAGATACGATTTCGGGCACAGTTCGTGGTGTTGGGCAACTCAAAGAGGAGGCTGATATCAGAAGGTGAGGTGTGGTTGTTGGACGTCATTGGACGGTAGACACAATACTCCGAAAAACGGCGCCAATCTCCGGTCAGAGCTAGGGGCTAGTGAGGCGCATGGGGGGGAGTGCGGAGTAAGCTGGTTAACTATTACAAAGTACCTAGGTATGCGAGAAGGCCTGGTAGGCTCGTACTGCGTAGCCCCGGAGCTCCAGCTATCAACCCCCGGCGCCCAGAGAAATGTCCTGGGCATGCTGAGGCCTCGCAAGCACAACCATCCAATTCCGCGCTGAACTGCCGTGTCGGGCTGCGGGCTTTCGGTGGCTCCCACACAGAGCAGAACATGGAGTAACAGTCGGTGGCGCACCCGCCCAAGCTTTTGATCCAGATTCCCCTCAGATCCAATCGCATCCTCAGCACTGGTTGAACTCCATCGACAGGGACCTCGGTAAATATTCGCGAACAAGGTCGCTATCGCACAAGAAGAGGGTCTGGGATGACAGGTCGGATGCCGTTCGCGGGTTGTTGAAGAAATGGGGGTTGGGTTTTCCTTTCTCCTTCTATCCCCAATGGCTCTCTGGTGATTTTGTTTGCTTCTCGACGACGGGGCAACTCTGTTGACTAGATTAGACGGGTATACCAGGGCAATCTTCCTCTAAGACCAACCTCACTCATGGCTCTCGGTACGTACGAATCTGGGTCTCAGGCATCCAACACAATGATCCATCTTCGCAAACTGACTGCATGTCCGTCACAGCACCTGCTGCCGCCGCCGTCGCCGGTGGTTGGGCCGCGGCGGCGTACCTCAATGCCAAGTTCCACATCCAAAATGACCTCGAGAGCCTCCGGAGACTGAGAAAAGGGGCGAAAGAATACGAGCGGCTGGTCAAGGCGGACAAGGTGTGCTTCTTCTACACGTTTGAAGAAACGTGCAAGAAGAGCTGGAACAATCGCGCCGTCTGGTCGAGAGAAGGCGGCATCTACACCTTTGGTCAGCTGTACGAGGAGACGCTCCGATTCGCCCAATGGCTGCTGGAGCAGGGGGTCAAGCCCGGGGAACTGGTGGCCATGTACATGGTCAACTCGCCGCAGTTCTTCATTACCTGGTTTGCATGCTCGGCGGTTGGGGCGGCCCCGGCATTCATCAACTACAATCTCGAAGGAAAAGCGTTGATGCACTGTTTGAACGTGTGTGAGACCAAGCTGCTGGTCGTCGACGAAGATGCGGCATGCCAGAAGAGGATCAACCAGAGTCGAGCAGACATTGAAGCCAAGGGCACCAAGATCGCGGTGCTCGACGGCACGTTGAAGCAGGAGATCGCCATGAAACCCGTCCAAAGACCAGCCGACGAACTGCGTAAAGGCACAAAAGGCAGCTTCCCTTATTGCCTTATATACACCAGGTAAGCAAGCTATCTCACTATTTTGCCATCGCCCAAACAGGAAGTAGTAACACAACTGTCATAATCACAGTGGGACCACCGGCCTTCCCAAAGGCTGTGCTTTTACGCTACAACGGGTCTATACCATGTGCGGTCACCTGTTGCCACTCTGTGGTGGGATTCCCGGCAAGGATCAATGGTACAACTCCATGCCACTGTATCACGGTACAGGGTCAATCACCACCTCGTGTGCCCTCCTCCAAGGTCTCGCCGTCGCCATCGCGCCCAAGTTCTCCGTCTCGCGGTTCTGGAACGACATCCACGACTCGGAGTCCACGTATTTCGTCTACGTCGGCGAGACAGCTCGCTATCTGCTCAATGCGCCGCCTCACCCACTGGAGCGGGCTCACAAGCTGCGCTGTGCCTACGGCAATGGCTTGAGACCCGACGTGTGGGAGAAATTCCAGACACGCTTCAACGTGCCCGAGATCGGCGAGTTCTTCAATTCCACCGAGGGCATGTTCAGTCTGCTCAACTGGGACCGGGGCCCGTACCTGAGAGGCTGTGTCGGCCACCACGGACTAATTTTGCGAACGATGCTCCGCAACGTCTACATCCCGGTCAAGATCGACCACGAAACCGGGGACATCTGGCGGGATCCCAAGACCGGCTTCGCCAAGCGGACCCCGTACGAGGAAGGCGGTGAGATGTTGGTGGCCGTGCCGAACAAAGAAGCCTTCCAGGGCTACTGGCGGTCGCAGGCCGCCACGGACAAGAAATTCAGCACCGACGTGTTCAAGAAGGGCGACATCTACTACCGCTCTGGCGACGCCCTGCGGCGGGATCCGGACGGACGGTGGCACTTCCTCGACCGGCTGGGCGACACGTTCCGATGGAAGTCAGAGAACGTATCCACGGCCGAGGTGGCCCTGACCATAGGCCAGTACCCTGGGATTGCCGAGGCGAACGTGTACGGTGTGCTGGTGCCGAACCACGAAGGCCGAGCGGGCTGTGCGGCCATCCACCTCGACCCCAACCACACGGGACCGCCGGTCGACTACAATGACCTACTGAAGTTCACGCGCGCGCGGCTGCCCCGGTATGCGGTGCCGGTGTTTCTGCGCATCGTCAAGGCGAGCACACATATCCACAACCACAAGCAGAACAAGGTGCCGCTGCGCAAGGAGGGCGTCGACCCGAGCGCCATCGGCAAGGAGGTTCCCGAGGGCAAGGACGACCTGTTCCTCTGGGTGCCGCCCAAGGGGGACGCATACGTGCCGTTCACGCCCCAGGACTGGGAGAAGTTGAGTACCGGCCAGGCCAAGTTATAACATCGTCGACACTTTTTTGTGGCATGGAAAAGGGAGACCAGGGGAGGAATTCAGCCCATCCATACACGACCCATCCTCCTCTCCTCCCTCTCGCAAGAGTTCCTGAAAGAAATTTCTGGCGCGTTGACCCAATATATACCTCTATCATATACGTCTCCTGGATAGACTTGCACATGGCAGTACAATACCCCAGCATCCGAAGACCGAAGCACTCAGGTCGTGGTGCAATAGAACCTCTCAGATTGGAATATGTCTCACTGGCCTCTCTCCCACAACACACAGATGGTGCCGTACACAGAGTATGGGCAGGTCTCCGTGCAGGACGACGGGGAGGCGACAGGGTCAAAGGAGACGTAGGGTTGGAAGAGACGCCAGTAAAAGGTCGTCGTAGAGTGTGGTATAGGACTTGGGACATCGATCAACCTGCTGTTGTCTCTGGTTCTTGCTCGCCAGAGTCAAGAATCATCTCTAGCTCCCGCGTCCCGTAGCAATTTTTCAACCTCCGTAAATCCTTTCTCTACCGCGATATTTACAGGACCCGGGAAGTCTCCTCCCTGAGCATTGACATGTGCCCCCGCCTCAAGGAGTAATCGGACAATATTAGTGTAACCCCCATCGCATGCTGCCTGGAATGCATTCCCATGAAATCCTCCCTGAGCATTGATATCTACTCCTGCGTCAAGGAGTATCCGGATAAGATTAGTGCCACCCCTAACGCATGCTGCCTGGAGTGCATTCCCATAATATCCTCCCTGAGCATTGATATCTGCCCCCGCCTCAAGGAGTAATCGGACAGTATCAGTGCCACCCCTAACGCATGCTGCCTGGAGTGCATTCCCATATCTTCCTCCCTGAGCATTGATATCTGCCCCCGCCTCAAGGAGTAATTGGACAGTATCAGTGCCACCCCTAACGCATGCTGCCTGGAGTGCATTCCCATAAGATCCTCCCTGAGCATTGACATCTGCCCCTGTGTCAAGGAGTATTCTTGTAACCGCTCCACTTCCGGCCTCCGCTGCATAGTACAAGTGCGTTGCATCGTCTTTGTCTTGCGAGTTCACATCCATACGACGAGTGTTGAGTAGTAACTTCACGATTTCTTCATGCCCTTCCGCTGCCGCGTATGACAGTGGTGTTCTTCCCTTGACATCTTTGGAATCCGCATCCACACGATGAGTGTTGAGTAGTAACTTTATGATTTCTTCATGCCCTCCCGCTGCCGCGTATGACAGTGCTGATCGGAGATTAGGATCCTTCGAGTCCGCGTCTATCATGGAATCGGCGAGTAGCCGTTTCAGAAGTGGCACGTTGCCAGTCTCTGCAGCGACAAAAAGATTGTCAGGACCGATTTCGGGCTCCGTGCCAGCGTCACTGCTTTTGGAACTATCATCTTTGTCCGTAAAGTCGAGCGAAATGGAGAGCAAAGAGCCGCCGGAACCGAAACCTAGAACTTGTTTAGAACTCTCGTCACTGTCCAGATTCCGTGGGACTGCGAAGGTTGCCAGCTGTTCCTGGTGGAAAGCCATGTGATTGTGAAACCCCTTTTCGAAAGGCCCATCTGAATGGCAGAAAGGGCACGACGTTCTCTCATCGACTAGAGCCGTCTCGGCCAAGTCCAAGAGGTTTTCGATCTCCTGCGCATGGAGGTCCTGGTGGCAGGCTGAAAAGTGCTGGAACAGACTATCTCTGGACTTGGAACTGAAGGATTTGTGTTCGAAACATCTCCATACACGACGGTGGACCAGCCGCTCATGCTCGAGCCACGCGTGCCGACTAGCGTACAAGTGGTCGGCATCTGGACATTCCTCATACGTGCACACGTACGGTTGGAGGTCTTGACGGATGTGTTCTCTACTACGCATTAGAAGGATGCCACTAGGGGGCAATGATCGGAAATACACACTGCCAGGACTTCCCCTTTCCTTGTCGTGATGGACACGCCACCCAGCAATATGGACAAACAAACTCCGACTGCTCAGCTGCATCAGGAGGGGGAGGAAATTCTGGGGACTTTCCATCCAAGTCGAACGCGGTGGTTGTATAGGAAATGACAGTCTCCGTATCTAACTGATCATCCAGATTTGTGTTGTACCTCGAGAAATCGGTACCTGACACAGCTCTTTTCGGCCCATCCGGCGAAATCAAATTGTCGGCGGTAGAGACGATGACATCGGGTTTGGAAGTAGATCTGGGAGGCTTAAGGATTGGAAGGCCTGAGGCCATTCGCTGAAAGGCTGGTTCGTCCATCCTGAGGGACAGCTTGAGAGCATGTTTCTGCCAGTATCTAAAGTACCTTCTCCGATCGGTGATTGCTTTCGATAATCGATCTGTTAAGTAATCGTTGCTATCCACCGAATAATGATTGGTGTCTAGCAGATCTACCGTGTTGTGATGGACAGCTTGTGCAGGTTCCTTTTGAAATTCCTTTGGCGACGGCGGTCGACGCAAAGACTCTAGGACCTCTTTTACGTGGCGACGATCGAAGACTGCATACGCTGAGAACAAGTCCTTTCCCGTGTCTGGGTCCTCGTCTTTCATGAGGAGAGCTTGTGGATTGAGGGAACGGTATCTCGTGTTGCGGATCTTGAATGACAACCGGTATAGGTGGTCCATAACATCTTCAATCTCACTCAATCCCTCGGTAAGTTCGCCAGCATCGGGTTCGCTGCTGGTGTCACTAATACTCCCCAAGTCTTTACTGCGATATCCGGGGGTGTCATCGCCACCCAATTCGAAGCCTGTGGCCAGATCCCGTTCATACGGCAGACGAACGCCAGTGGTTATCTCTGCACCTGAAAGGCCACAGGGGTTAAGCGATAGGATCCCCCGCCGACAGGACATGCAACTCACTCTTAGTCAAGGTGTCTTGTAATTGCCCCAAGAGTTTGAGGACAGCTGCTCGTAGTACGACCGAGTCTCGTAATCGCGCATCAAGAGAGCTTCTACCTCTGCGTAAAGCGTCCAGATTGCCTGCCCAGATTTTGAAACGAGCATATTGATTGTCGATCGCACCTGGGGGCATCATCTTGGTAAATTCCTCTGAAGATGTTGACAAGGATTGCACGAGCGTCACGAAACATCTTAGGCAGGAGGCAGAAAGGGCGCCGATGTCGTCCATGGTGAGGGTCTCAATCGGGATTGAGCACCACAAGAAGCATTCAGTGACGATGGGGATGGTGAAGAGTGGATGGGGAGCTCAGAGGATAAGTCAAGATTGTGAGAGTTCAGCAGTTCGCGGCTACAAGCCGGAAGGTTCGCGGGGGGAAGCGGGGTCGCGGGGTCGCGGGGTGAGCCTAGTGAGCCTAGTGCCTAGTGAGCCACTGAGCCTCACTAGCCTAGTGAGCCCAGTAGCATCAGGCAGCCAGCGGGGTCCCGTTAAGCCGTACTTTGACCTTTGAACTTCTGTAGGTGGACACCATCTATCCATCTCATTCATTCACCTCATCCATCTCGTCATTATTGGCCTCACGGCTCCCATCAGCTGCAACAATGGCGGGAGTGGAAGCCGCCGGTCTCGTCCTCGGCGCCATTCCTCTCATCATCTCTGCCCTCGAACACTACCATGATGTCGCTGCTCCTACAATTGCGTTCGTGCACTGGAGACGGTATCTGCGAAAGTTGGTCCTGAAGCTCTATATCATACGTGTGTCATACGACCAAGCCGTTCGCCTCCTCCTCGCTCCCATTGCCGACCTCGCAGATCAGATCACGATGATGGAGGATCCGCGAAGCCAATTGTGGAGGGAGGGACCCCTTGCTGAAAGTCTACGAGATAAATTGGGGCCGGTGTACGACCCATTTATCCTCACCATTGATGAAGTAGCAGAGATTCTGGTTGAGATAGCCTCTTCACTCAATATCCCTGGGTCGCAGCAGGTTTGAACAGACACTTTTGGAACAACCGTTGCACGGCTGACCTTTGAAGGTTGTCACAACTCGAACCCTCTTGCCAGTCGTCTCTTCCAATTCGCCGACCGCGAACACCTCTGACCTTCGTAAGAACTTTCAATTTGGGCCGAGGGTCAAGTTTACGATGAAGAAGAACCGTGTCAAAACCTCACTGGAGCACCTGGAGGCATGTACCCGGAGGATCGATGCCTGGGCCGCAAGAGCCGACAAGCTACGGGAGGAAACTTCCCAGAGTCGTTTGAAGCTGAAATTTTCTGCATCGCTGGACATCATCCAAGAGAACGCGAGCAAGATTTATCGGGCAATTTCACGAAACTGGTGCACTGACAAGCCTATCCATGAAGCTCGCCTCCTACTCGAGCAACGGCTGGTCAGATCCAGAAAGCGGAAGAGACCCTCGCCATCAACGAGTGTGAACATTGTAGCACAAGCAACTTGCTTCGGCTTAAGCCTCTACGGGGACTGCTGCGCGTCCTCGGGGTGGTTGGATTCGGAAATCAGGATTGACGAGCTTCCATCGAGGTACAGAGTTTCGAAATTTGTTCCATCTTTCTGGTCCTGAGCTATACTTCTGACATCAAAGTGACACAGCACGGCTACCGTTCGTGTAACGATATCGATTCCAGGAAATGACAACGACGACACTGCAAGCCTGCAAGACATCACAAACTTTTGCGAGATCATCCGGGACCCCGTTTATCCATTCGTGGGATTTTCCCTTGACAATATGGGGTGTTTGAAATCGTACTCATCGAAGATGACCGTCGAGCATGTTCAACAATCCCTGTCTCTTGAGGATATTCTGCCGCAATTTGGGCGCAAACTCCCACCAGAACAAGTGTACGGACTCGCCGTCACCCTTGTTGCCTCGATTCTGCAGCTCAGTCAGACTCCCTGGCTAGAGTCGAAATGGAGTAAGAAGTGCATCTTGTTTTCAAGAGCCAACAACAACCTGCCGGGGTCCGTTGACCTAAAGTACCCTTGCCTAGCCAGCTCTTTCCATTGCGGTGAGTTTGCCCTAGCCCGAGTTTTCAAGCGTTGCAGCTGAATGAGGCAATCTGGCAGCTGGCCATCAGAGACGCGATGACACACCCGAAACTAGAGACACTTCGAATTTGCTCACCTTGGCAATAATGCTGCTTGAGATCAACTCGGGGCAGCCCGTTGAGCAAAGACGTCAAGAGGACTCGTCCAGCGACCAGTCGGACCTTCAGCTCGCGGGCGAATGGCTAAAGGAGGAAAAATCTCACGGGAGGATATCCTGCGCGTTCGCTCAAGCTATCCTGACGTGCCTGCAAGATTACCTCAATCCCGACGCCACCTTCGCGGACGAAGCATACTGTGCTGCTTTCAAAGAGAAGGCTCTGGTACCGCTTGAGGAGGAAATGGAGTTCCTACTTTACGGACCTCCCAGATAACTAACTTTTCGACGATGTGTATGCGGGGAATATGTCAGTCTACGCCGTCGGTGACGGTGAGAGACCCTGTATGTGCGTGGCAAGGAACGTCGGTGGATGGTCTACTCCTACCGCAACATTCTACCCACCCTCCCTCCATCCCTCAGTTGTGATTTTGTGTATGTTCCCGGATTGTCCACCATCGCCATATATATACTTTGGTTTTGTGTTCTTGAGCAACGAGTCGACGCCTTCGCATGACGAAACAAAAAAGATCCGGCTTCGGGCCAAATTCCAGGTTATTCTTTATTGCATGCTTATAATACCACTAACAGCGGTGACTTGTTTGGAGGTTGAAATATAAACCAGGTACGAGTTACACAGGTGGACCATGAATCTGGAACAGCCATCTCAGCAAGACGGAAACCGAATAACTGCAAAAAATGAAAATGACATCAATGTGACGTTTTTCTCGGCGTCTTTTTTCTCATTGCTATGCTGCACTGAGCTGATTTGGTGTTGAGGTACATAAATACATAGGGATTTACTGTGTGTCATCCATGAATGGTGTATACAAGTACAAGTGATTATTATTCCGCCCGCCGCCGCGGCGCCACCACCACCACGATGTCGGGTGACATGTTCCCCAATGCGTCGATCTCGGATCCCAAAGAGACCAATCCTTCACGGCACGACAATATCTGCCTTCTTTTGTCGACGCTTCTCAATCCTCCATCCATACTCACATCTATTTGCATTCGCCCCAACATGAAAGAGGAGAGTCACCATGAAACCCCAACTTGTGTCATGTTGGGTCCCGTGCACTCCCTTCTGTCGCAAACACCGGTGCCGTGTTTTGGCACACAAAATACCTCAGGTCTCCACAGAACAGTGTGGATGAACAAACAGCCGCGGCGGCTCCGTCCGCGGACGCGGACAATGCTGTGATTTCGAGGACGAACATGTCTCGAGATCCCGAACAAGAGACAAATGCTAGACACCTTCCCCCGTTTTCTCCATGTAGTCCATGCTGTGCTGGCACATCCAATTTCAACTCCAGAGCCGATCTGTGGTTCGTAACGTAATTCTCTATCATTTCCCAGTGCTTTCCATTCTTTTCGGGGATCCTTCCACCCAAAGGAATTTCTCTTCCAACAGACGCTGATAGGGTACACTCAACCGTCTCGTGATGCCTCTGTACGTTCGTGTGAGAACGATTCTTGACTCGGTTGCTGCCCATCTCTCGCTGGTGTTTTCGATGACCTCTGGCAGGTCACGTCATGGTACAGGCGGTGGTGGACCCAATGATATTGTACCGCAGATGGTAATAGCTCGCAATATCACTGTGGCTTGTATCGTAAGTTTTTATGCCATGTGGATATGCCTCGCTAATTCGACCACCCCGCCTTCACCGGCTCCAAAAGTGTTTCGTGTTCTTTCCGGACTTGCTCGTGGAAATCGTTGACAGAGTCGTCAGTTGTCGTATAAGCTGTCTCCACGGTGTTGTTGGTGTATATCGAAGATTTTGTCGAGTCCCGCACCGGTTGCCGATAAACGCCACCGACGTAGCCTCTTTCGATGGCGAGATGCTTCAGAGGAGAAGGGTCGAAACGAGCAATAAATACCTTGTCCAAATCGCGACTTTTGGGCTTGGAATACCGTTCGTATTCTTCGATGCAAGCGTCCAGGGTCCATCCTGTCACTTTGCGGAATGCAGCCGTGATGCAGCCACTCCGGTGTTTGCCTTTGTTGCAGTGAATAAGCAAGGGATAGTTGGACGGATCCAACATGAGTTCGACAACCTTGCAGACAACCACATCTGAGGTGTAGACTTCTGGGTCCTTGTTGGCAAGAATAGGAATGATGTAGTGAGTAATCCCGTAGGAGGTGATGAATTTCTGGTAATCGATAGGGAGAGGCCCCGAAACCAGAGTTACAATGGTCTTGAGACCCAGGTCGGCAAGAGTCTCAAAATGTGCGTACTGGGGATAGCTCGATCGATAGAGTCCCGGGGCAATGACTTGAAAGTTGACTGGACGTCCTGTGCCATCTGGAGTTGGTGGTTGGGACTGGTCGAGTTGAAGAGTCTTGGAGCCTGACGACATGTCAAAATCAGCCAGATCAGTTGCGACATCGCTCGAGTCTATCAGAGAGCCGGGCATTTCCTGGTCTTTTTGGCTCATGTTGCAGTTTTCGAAATAGAATGAGACGATCCGGGCTTTTGGTGAGGCGAGGGCCTGTAGACAAGGCAGCAGGGTTGATAGAGCCACCGAATGAATTTTCAGCAGCTGTTCAGTTCCCCGACTTCCAGTTGCGAGGATGAACAATATCAACAGTCGATCTGAGAGCGCGTAAGAGGCGGATCAAGGAGCGAGGTGAGGAAGAGGAGCTTCAGGAGTGAACTTCTTATGACGACTCCGAAGGCTGAAGGAGGATGGTGGTTGAGGACCGTTGAGAGGTGATTAGATGGCCATTTTGATGGGTCGCGTAGGTGTGTGCCAACGGATAGGCGGAGACAAGAGTTCTTGATCGGAGGGGGCTTTCCTCCACAGCAGCCTGGACTGTAGAGGGATACTCTGATACGACTTATTAAGGTTCCCTGGTGGTTGGTGTTGATATGTATAGCGGACGAGGGAATTATCTGGACGGAAATCGGCCCTGACAACAAGGCATGGTGATTGGACGCATGGCGAGGAGTGGTTGTGGAGAGCTCCGAGTGGAAAGCACTGCAGAAGGAATCACAGGCTGCATGCTGTGGCAGGCGACGACTGGTAGAGAAGAAGGAAATAAGGATTGGCGAAGGAGAATGTAAGGATGGTAGAGGAAGAAAAGAAGAATGAGCTGGTTCGACGAGGGGGAGTTTTTTTTAGGGCAATGAAAACAAGAGGCAGCAGAAAGTTGAGTTTCTGGCTTGGTAAGTTTGGCAACCAGCGTCACCGGCGCGACAAGGCGTCACCCGCGTGTAATGTGGGCGTGGTGGTGGTACGTGTGGTTTGATTGTGGTTCCAGGTACAGGACGAGGATTGGCAGCATCACCAAGGGAGCCAATTCGGAACCACTAGGCAGCCAGCGGCAGACGAGGAGAGGACGTGAGGACGGAAAGAAACGGGGATAGGGGGGGCGAGGCGAGGTGTTTCGTACGAAGCGTAGAGGGTCGTGTTGCTGTGCTGGAGAGCTTGGAGCTGGCTGGGTTGCAACGAGCAAGTTCGAGGCGGAGAGGCGAAAAGTCGGGCAGCGCGGAGAAAAGAAGAGGAGCGAAATTGACACGATAGGAAAAGGACGCGATGGATAATATTAATTAATCAGAGCCACTTGGATGGAGACGATGAGAAAGGTGAGAAGGGAGTAAGGGAGAGAGAGGGAGAGAAGAGAGGGACGGGGGAATGCGCAGGCGGCGAAACGCAGGCGAGGCACGTGCACGGACGGCGGTTGGGTCTGGACCTCTGCAATTCTCCATATTAGGTAGAAGCAATGGGCAAATCGTGCTCTGGGCATTCTCTAGGCTTTCTTAGGCATCTCTAGGTATTCACTTAACCCTTAGTCTTATTACCTCCGTGCTCCGTTCTTGGTAATCCCACAGAAGAAGAATAAGTAATAGTATCACCTAGGCATTCGACTCCTCGCATCCCAATCCAAACATCTCGGTCGAATTCGTCCACGCCGCCTCACACACTTCCTCCACCGCAATCCCCTTCACCCCAGCAATCACGTGTGCCACTTGCACAATTGTCGCCGACTCGTTGCGTCCCTTGACCATCATCCCCTTATGCCACTTCTCCTTCTTCACTGCCTTGGGGATGGCTGGCCCATCTTTCAGGTACTGCGATGAAGCGTGCGATGCTCGTATCTCACACCACGGTCCATCAGTCTCGATCTGCAGCCGATCCAAAGGCACCGCTTTGACCACCGCCAGGTTCTCTGCTGTCTTCATACTGCACCCGTTGATGCCAATGTCAAAGCCAAGCTTGACCAGAGCCTCCATTTCCGGTATAGTGCCCGTGAAGCTGTGTACCAGTCCGCGCTTGGGTAGCTTGTCTAAGCGTGCACTGAGGATTCTTTCAAAGTCGTCGCTGCAAGCCCGTGAATGGAGGAACAGTGGCAGCTGCATCTCCTCGGCCAGATCCAGCTGCAGCTCGAAATATTTGAGTTGCACATCTTTGGGAGATAGGAACAACCGGTCGTAGTCCAGCCCAATTTCCCCAAAGGCCACTGCGTGTCCACTCGCTGTTGCTTCGAGAGTCAGAGCACGAAGTTCTTGGATCAGTGCACCGGGGCCGCCGACGTGATTGTCAAAGTCTTGTGTCGAGCAAGGATGTATTCCAATCGTCGCAAAACAAGTGCCAGCTTCAAACCTGTCAGAAAGGGGACCATGATTTCCGTAGGGTCCTCGTTACATACGGTACTGTTTCGCGAGCTCAACAGCATGCTGAGATTCTTTCAGGCTGGAGCCAGTGACCATCAACTTGGTACAGCCCACCGTCAGTGCTCGTTGGACCACGTCGTCTAAATCATCCTCATGCGCATGCTTCCCGTGGTAGACCCCTCGAAAGACGGGGTCTCCAAGATTGATGCCGACCTGAGTCTGTCAGCCTCGAGAATGACACATCCATCTCATCCAGCTACGCACGTCTGCGTACCTCGGCGGTTTCGTGTTGTTGGCCATGGTGGCGTAGCTGGCAGCCCGTTTCTGCCCAAGACTCCCGCGAGTTCTACCAAGCCATTCCTGGGAGTTCGTTCCCAAGATCAGATTCCAGGCTCGAGTGACGCGACGCCTCCCCACTAGATTCGAACAAGGCCAAGAGGGAGTGGCCGACAAGGCTGAAGGCTTCAGGAGACGAGACAAGCCACAGCTGAGAGAAGACTGTAGCCGCAATAGCATCAGATCAGACCAGCTGCAGGAGGAAGGTGGCCAAGTTGCTGTGCTCCAACGAGGACAGAACTCGGCGACTCGGGTCACCAGAAAATGACCGAAATCCTCCACGTGACTTCTTCTCGGTATTGATTCTGCCGAGACCCGACGCTCACGTGGTCGGTGCCTGGTGTGCTATCTTTCTCCTCCATCTTGTCATCTTGTCTGGTACATAAATTGTCACTCTCCGCACCGGCCTTGACGCCGACAGCTTCCCGTTCAGGATGCATCTGTCCACGAAGACGAGCGAGACCAGCTCAGCAGGTGGCTAGAATGGCCCCTTTCGGCCCCCCCCACCCGGTGTATCAAAGCGACTTGAATGGGGCTCTTCATGGAGGTGAAGAGTCCTATATAACCACCGTCCCGAGGGCTGTCTCTCTCACCGGACAGCTTCGTGCACGAATCCCTCATACTCGTGTCAAATGGCGCCACGCAAGATATCAGTGTCAGAGGTCTCATCCCACAATACCGACACCGACTGCTGGATAGTCGTGGATAACCAAGTATGGGACATCACCAACTTCGCCCCTGAGCACCCTGGCGGTCCTGGCATAATATACAAATGTGCCGGTCGAGATGCCACTCAGGCCTACAATGAAATCCACTCTCCAGCAATAATCCGAAACAACCTGCCAGCGGACGCTCTCAAGGGAGTGCTGGACAGATCTACCATCACCGAAGAATGGTCAAGACCTCTCTCCACCGAGACACCGAAGGCCAGATCTGCCTCGAGCTCAGACAAGCCACCATTGGATTCTCTAATAAATGCCCACGACTTCGAAATCGCCGCCCGAAACACCGCAACCGCAAAGACATGGGCATTCTACTCCTCTGCAGCCAACGACCTGATAACGCGGGATCTCAATGCCAGTCTCTTCAACCGCGTGCTCTTTCGTCCACGCGTAATGCGTCGCGTGGGCAACATCAACACAGAAACCAGCATCCTGGGCTACCCCGTCTCTTTCCCATTGATGATCTCTCCCGCAGCAATGGCACGGTTGATCCATCCAGACGGTGAACTCGCCATCGCCCGGGCAGCAAAGGTCAAGCATGTCGTGCAATGCATTTCCAACAACGCCAGCTATTCTGCCAGTGAGATTGTCTCCCAACCTGCCGTCTCAGATTATCCATTTTTCTTCCAGCTATACGTCAATCGGGAGCGACCCAAGTCCGAACAGCTCCTCCGCAGCGTGCATCAGCACAAGAACATCCGCGCAATCTTCGTGACGACAGACGCCGCGGCAGCCGGGAAGAGAGAGGCCGATGAGCGGGTCAAGGCCGACGAAACGATACAAAACCCAATGATGGCCACCAAGGCCAAGAACGACAAGAAAGGAGGCGGCTACGGACGGCTGATGGGCAGTTTTATCGATCCGAATCTGAATTGGGACGACATCGCCTGGTTGCGGTCGCATACCAAGCTTCCTCTCTTGTTGAAAGGGATCATGTCCGCCGACGACGTACGGCTGGCCCTCGACCACGGTCTCGAGGGCGTCGTCCTATCGAACCACGGCGGACGGAATCTCGACACCTCCCCCCAGCCCTGCTCGTCCTCCTCGAAATCCACGCGCGGTACCCGGAGATCATCACGCAGCACCACCCGTCCTCCCCGGCCGTGCTTTCGGGCCACACGAGCCCGTTCAGCATCTTCGTCGACGGCGGCATCCGGCGCGGCACTGACATCCTCAAGGTCGTCTGTCTGGGCGCCGTGGCCGCGGGCATCGGACGGCCCGCGCTCTTCGCAACGGGGTACGGCCAGGACGGCGTGGAACAGCTGGTCGACATGCTCAAGGACGAATTTGAAGTCGCCATGCGGAACATCGGCGTCACCAGCCTGCAGGAGTGCGGGCCCGAGTACGTCAACACGGGCGCTATTGACCGGCTGGTCGTGAAGCGACGGGACCATCCCTACGCGGTGTCCTGGGCCCAAGACATGCGCAGTGTAGGAAGGAACAGCCTGTTCGGCACGGGCAGGGAGACTAAGCTGTAGCAGCACGCGACGGGTAGACGGAGGCGAACGCAAAGGCATGAAAAGGCATTCCATCTCCACACAAGACCCGAAATAGACTCGCCGGGCTAGAATGGCCAAAAGATCAAGGCGCTGTGGGATGCTCCGCGACAGCTTGTCATCAGCCGCTTTATCTGGTTACCATGGCTGGAGTCGGTCGTATAGATTATAGACATAGATTCCGGCATATAGAAAGAAGATCTAGAGCCAGGACGACGTGTGGCGCTGTCTGTATTTGTGAAGCCGTTCTCAAAGATCCGGCGTGAGAAATGACGGTAGATGGTCGGGTTTGCGTTTGCATGGACATGTACATTTTCTTATACACACACCCCCTTTCTAACTACACTAGCCCTATATGATATAAGGAGGCGCTGAACGAAGACGGATGTACCGTGTCTCGTAACGGGACTGGATCTGTAATTCCGACCTTGCTCGAACGCCTCCTGTGATTGAATCAGTCAATCAATCCCCTTTACAAAGGCGGACCATAGCGATCGCAGTTCCGCAAACATCGCCTCAGTACCCGGATCACTGCGGCCTGGTCGTTCGGCTCGCGCGAGTGCCACAACGGCCGCACCGAGTCCCAGACTGCTTCGACCTGCTGGCGGGAGCCCGTCGCATTGGCGTAGGCGCGTAGGAGCCAGCAGATCAGCGGACGCGTGGCTTCGACTTGGTACCGCGAGGTGGAGGGCAGAGGTGGCACGTCGCGACCGTCTTCGGCATCGGGGTCGGATTGAGAGTCGGTCGTCTCGGCCTGTGAAAAGGTCGCTGTGTCGTCGGGGCCGGATCCCGTACTTCTAGATGATGCTGTGTCAGATGAGTCTGTCTCTGCCGTGGGAGGGAACGTCCGTGGCTCCGAATCAACATCTACGATTTCCTCAATGGTCTCCTCTGGGGGAAAGCCATTGTGGAGCTTGTTGCTTGACGGATCAATGGCCAGGATCGGCGACGGCAGCACATATTCGCCTTCCTCTTGGTCTAAATTTCGCTCTCCTAACGGATAGTAGGTCTTCTGATCATGTGGTGGCGGTTCTTTTGTAGAACGAGAAAAGGGATTTCGGATAAGAGGCTCTCTCTTCTCTCTTTCCTCATCAAAGAGCTCGGCATGGATTCTTTCGATGTGTTTCCTCCGCTCTCTGGGAAACGCGGCAAGATCGAGAACAAAGTCGTCCCATTCGCTCATGCGTTTGAAAGCCTTTTGCTGTCCACGTACAGATTGCTCCCCTTCAGAAGTTTCGTTGAGGATATCGATCGATGGGAGCGTGTGGTTATCCACTTTGGCCTGCCTCGCGCGCCTACGGGCCAATTGGCCTTCTCGGATATCTTTTCGGCAAGCTTCCCAGGCTAAGTTCAGGCGGTGCAGATTCCAGGTCGCATGCGGGTTTCTTGTGGCGCCGTGGAGAGCAAAACCCTTGAACAGCAGCTGATAGTGAATGCTCTGAAGTGGCAGACTGAATAGCTCTGACATTTCGTTGATCAAGACAGTGATCCGATTGAGATTTCCAGAAACGTTTGCGTGATATGAGATCATGGTCCGAAAGGTGGTGTGATCTGGTCTTAACGGCATCAACTCTTGTGCCTCCTTGTGATGTTCCGGCAGGAGGTGCTTCAATCTGCTGGCGAAGAGCAAGACTCGCCTTAGAGAGTTCGCTGCCAGCCTCCGGTGAATCAGCTCCGGTCCTGGGCCAGGGTACTGTCGGTATGACGCTACTGTGCCGTCACTGCGCACTTCTTGACGGGTGTTGAGATGAAGACTCTTCATCCGTTCATAGATCTGCTCCGCTGCCGCCGGTTCCTGAGCGTTGAATAGCGCTGCCATTACGCAATTCAGAACAAGGGTGTCGACGATTTCTCCGGCATCGACGAAATCGCGGTAAGCTTTTCGAACAGCATCTCCGTCACCTCGTAGCCCGTGATAGTAGATAACGCTGACGCGACCAAGTCTGTTGAGATGAAGTCCACGATCATGCATTTCTTTCAATATCATCTGAGCCAGCGGATATTTGTTAGCCCTCACTGCAATGTCGAAGAGAATGTTGAAAGTGACATTGTGAGCCTGTACACCAGCCTCCTGTTCCATCTGCCTCCATAGTCGCAGTGCGGCGTTCAGTTCCGATTCTGTCACTTTAGAGAAAGACCTGCCAGCCAGGTATATAGCAGACGCCCACTCTGACCTTGCGATCGGTAGATTGGCCTTTTGCATGTCGTCAATCAGGGACAGGTATCGGATCATCGATTTTTCGCTCTTCTGCCACGGGGTCGACATGCGTTGCAGAAACAATCTGATAGTCCCTTTAGGGAGGAAGGCCACCCCTGGTTGGGGCAGCCTTTTGTAAGCCCTGAATAGTGCTGCATTTGAGGAGTGATTGTCGAGGAGCAAATCGACGAAGGCTTTGAAGGCAGAAACTTCGCGTAGCTGCTTTGATTTGAGCATCTTCTCTACTTCCTTGAGAGGTGATTCGTAGCCTTCATCATCCGCATAAAATTCCGCATACGCTTGCGGGGGGGCAAAGTCCTCGGAAAGGTGAAATACGTAGTCTTCCAGGAGTTTTGGTGTAGGGGATGAATGAGGCGATTCCGGGTCGAATCGATTGCTGTGAGTAAAGAAATAGAGATCCACCAGGTTCTTGTAGTCATCCTTGGACAGCACAACGGTTGGCTGCTTCGACACTACGGGTGTCAATGCCGTAGCATGTTCGGATGTGGAATGCTTCTTGTGTATCGAACTGTTCAAGCTGGCCTTGGCCTCTGCCAGCTTTTCCTCGAGCTCTCTTACAGACTTCAGAAGAGCCATTTGTTCCTCAAGCATGGGCTGTGACAGCTCGGGTTCATCTTGCTTGTCTTGTTCGTCCATTCCGGATCTCGCTTTCTTGTGCAGTGTGCTCAGTTCGTAAAAGAAGGCAGCCGGCAGCCGACTGTTTTGCGCAAATTCGAGTGTATCAGAATCAAAACACTCCCACTCATTGCCCTTGATCTTGCGCCGACTTCTTGAACCTGACGCACGCCCGGGTTTATCCAGAACCTCAAGACGAGTCTGACCAAACCCGTGGCTAATACGGCGGTATTGGCCACGGAACATGTTCTTCCCTTGCTCTTGCCGGTCTCCATATTTCGGTCGATTCGCTCTTCGAAAAGCGCAGGTGGGAAGCTGTACTTGACGACACCTTGTTGGACAATCTCCTGCACGCAATAGCCAGCCGTGAAAAGCTGATTCCACAGCTCTAACGTTGTCTCCTCCCAAAATATCTCTCCTCTGTCCGCATATCGACCGCTCTGAAGTAACGGTAGCCTGTGACCGAATCGTAGGGGCAAGGAAGTCGCATATCGAGAAATTGTAACGTGCTATTGGCGTCGAATTCGGAAAGCTGCTGCATCCGAGGAATTTGGAGGATTGATGCATATGCCTGGGAACATATCATATTGTCAACTCTTCATCATCGGCTTGAATGGAGCGGACAATCTTTTCGAGATGCTTGTGAAAGGCACTGTCGAAAACCGCTCGCGGTCGAGATTCCCAAAATGGTCATGTTGGAAACTTCTCCACTAGCGCGCATTTTCGCCCGCAGCTTCGAATTTCAATGGAGACTCATGTTGTCCTGCTACCAAACTGGCTCTATTGCTGGACGTGCGGAAAGATTTGCCATTTCGCCGGCTATAGACACGAGAATAACCACCGAGAGTCTCCAGCTCCTTCTATCCCTCCGACGTCTTCCACCTCACAAACCGTCAACACGGCTGTCAAGCTGCCCTCGTCATGGGCCGGTTAAACCTCACTGCCATCAACGTCCGCAGGACGGCGCTGGCCAAATTCAAGGCCAAACAAATCCCTTCGGTACCCCACTGGGTCGACATCATACACGATGTTCCGCCAGCACAAATTCTCGTCCGCCAGCAGCCTGTCAAGCATCCCTTAACCAAAGTTCGCACTCGAACCCTGCCAAGTGGAAAAACAGAACAATACGTACAGATCACTGAACCTAAGAGGCCCAAGTCTGCGAAGGCTCGCCATGTCTTCACTCCCAAACCATTGCACTACGAGGAGGATTCATTACGAAAAACCTTCTATAGCGATCACCCTTGGGAGCTTGCCCGGCCTCGAGTAATTGTCGAGACATCAGGAGAACAATACAAGAACGCAGACTGGTCAAAGGGTCTCATCCAGCCTGGGATCCCGCTATCAGGCGAATGTGTGGTGCAACGACAACTCTGGCTGTTAGAAAATATTCCGGACCTCACCGTTCCGCAGGCCTACGACATCGCACGGAAAGAGTTCTACACGCTGCGTCGACGTCAGGAGAGAAGGGATAGAATCGCGGCTGAAGAGGCGAAACACATGGGCGCTCGGTTTGGGAAGTCGGCCTTGCAAATCAGCATGGGGATTGAGAACGCAATGTACAATGATTGGGAGAGATGGAGCCGGCAGGTGGTCTTTGAGCAGACGTCGAGAGCTGCGGCTTTTGAGGGAACAATCGCTAGCGCTGAGGAGGAGGCTTTGAAGGACAACGTGCTGGAAGAAAGCACGACGCAACCGCTGCAGCCGGGAGGTCGACCTGCTATTGGGGCTGCCGTCTTTGCCCAGCAAGCGCAGTTGGATTCTCGTATATCGAGGCGTCCGGGTTCATTGTAGGAGGTCCAGGTGTACGTTGCTGAAGAAGGCTTCGGTTTCAACAAAATGTGTTATAGTACCTCAACCGCATGGCAGGACTCTTTCGGCTACCTGGACATCGCGACATTTCGCTAGACGACCGTTCGATCCTGCTCCACCCGGCGGAAACCAGCATCGGACGGAAACTCCTCTTCTTACCTTTCTCCCCATTCCAGTCCTCTCAAACGCGCCCACGACTGCCATTCCATATTTGTGATCTAATCACTGCAGCTGTCTAGGGCTCAGGTGGCCCATGTGGGCTGCGTTCTCTTCACGAAATCCTGCAACTCGACGAAAGATAGCACGTGTCCAGGGAGGGTTAAGTTGAGGATTATACGGACAAGAAACTCCGCAGACCAGCCGAACCAATGTAGCGGCTGTCTTGAGTTTGCTCCGGAACTGATACGCCAAAGGCGGTCACAATGGAATCAGCAGCATACCTAAACCCCAACACATGTTCTCTAAAATTCACAATCTGAAAGAGGGAGACGAGCTCCATCTGGGGACCCTACAGCATCAAATCAGTACTCGGTAGTTAGTTAGATAACGAGCCGTTCGGTTCAACTAGACATGTGTCCGTTACAACCTATTGGAACATCTTCGACATGAACGCTTGACTCGCCATAGAGGAGAAGGAGTTGTGAAGCACCATCCAGGCCCAAGCCCGAGTTCGAGCTTGCATTCGTCATCTAGCCATGGGGCATATCGATCTACAGGTGATCAACAAGAACTTGGAACGAAATAGTAGGCAAGGTACCCTATGCTCTTCAACTTAATCACCTCGAGAGAGAGCAAGACATGCACCCTGCCAGCGCAGTTCTTGAGCACACGGGAGACCATGTGACCCAAAATAGTTAGTTCCAAAATGAGGAAAAAGCAGCATGATAGCATTCCCAAGAATGGAGAACCGGCCCCAACTTTCTACCGCGCTCTTCGACCTCGAGCTCATTCCCAATCCCTCTTCACCATTCGTTATAGTCTTTGCGTCGGAACATCTGGAAACCACTCCAATCGCTGAAGGAACCTTATCTTATTGACCGTCATCATGTCTTTGCCCTTCCAAAACGTCTATCACCTCCGAACAGTAGGTGAAGCTTCATCCAAGGCCTGCTATGTGTGTCACAGACCCTCCGTCAAGGTGCTGATCACCCCTGACAATAAAGTATGTGTGATTCTTCTTTTCAGAACACGTTCAATCTTTGATTCTGCTCCATCCAATCACCATACCAATCGGTCTTGTTAGGATTTCTTTTATGTCTGTGTTTCCCACCTCAGCGACAGAGGATTTGCCTCCCCAGTTGTAGACGCTGAGGCGGAAGCTGCTAAGAAGAAAAAGGAATGGATGGACAAAGAAATTGAGAAGATCAAGCAGGAATATGAAGAGAAGCAGCGCAAGAGGAAGGCCAAGAAAAAGGCTAAAGACGACGACAAGGGCAAAAAGAAGGACGAAGATGACGACGACAAGGCTGAGAAAGAAAGGGATGACAAGGTCAGTGTCGTCTCGCCGATGATCGCACTCACCCATGGTCCTTGAAGCTAACGTTGCCACTGTTTGTAGATCAAAGCCATTCAGGCTGGTGCAAGTACCAGCAACAAACCGGAAGACATTCCTCGTGTTTTTACCCTGCACAAGTGAGTCATTCCTTCCTCCCTGCCTCCAATCCTTCAGTCTGATCGTGACAGAAATTTTTACCAAATGCGAATTGACCGGTTGCGCAACTTGGAGGTTGCAAAACGGAACCAACAACGCATGAAAGATCCCAGTTTTTTCCCTGCAGCGCCAAAGGGCGACATCTCCTGACTGACGCCAAATTGACACCCATCCCTACTAGACTGGTCTCATTTCGTTTCTCTCTTCAAATCGTGGGAATAGAGCACCCTAGTGACTCGAAATGTGGAGGCTTGACGGTGAGCTGGAGCTTGTCTCGGGAACTAAGATGACCACCCAACAGTCGCCATTTGCTTGTCGCCAGTGTGAACGCCTGTGCTGGTGGCATTCTGCTCGCTGAAAACCTGCATATCTGGTGCATAGTTATCTGCAGAACGAGTATGCAGCACAGCTCGAGGCCACTCCGGATTTAAGGCTAGCTTGCCCTTGTCAGCACTAGCGTCCAGGTGTGTGAAGTTCATCCCGCTGGTGGAGTCGATAATGTTGTGTCGTCTGTCTTCACCCATGCCCAGATGTCAGCAGAGGGTCAGCAACCATAAATTCCTCGTCCCATTCAGTGGGTCTGGATGGAAACAATAATGAAGGGACTCAGGTATCTCAGCCTTTGCTGTCACGACACGTGGTTGAGTAGAATATCTCTCGCCCGCAGGGTGCATACAAACACGAGCTCGCGTGGTGCAGTTCGTGTTCACTCGAGGCGAGGAAAAGCAGCTCGCAGGGATCCTACTGAACGTCGATACGACGATCCCGTTCTTGCAGTTGGGCCCCCCACCGAGCAGTGGCCTCCACCAATCTTGCCCGTTCAGGAGCTCGCTTGTCCATATGATGCCATATCCGGTCACCGTTGGGTCACAGACATGCACCGAGCATGGTCGAATTCTGATTCGCAATTTGCACTGCTTGAGGGCCACAGATCCTTAGCATGCTGGCATGGGGCAGGAAAACGCGCTTTGGGATCGCTGCTCCAACACTCTATACCTATCCCTATGCGGAGATGGCGGTTCTGCATGACAAGCGAGATCCTTTTGCTTGGCCTGCTAACCTTTCCATGTTTGGGGTAATGTTGGGGAATCGGCATTTGGATGTTTCCCGAACTAAAACTATTTGAGTTCTCACAAGGCTGAACGTCTCACCCAACACGTTGTTGTCCCGGCCCTTCCCGTTCAACTTCAGCTCACACTCTTCGGACAGTGTGGACCTCTCCCTACCAATACACCATGGTTCTCATGCTCTCGAAATCCATCCTGGATCAGCATCTGGAATTTAGATAAGCGAGCTGTTGGCACGTGGATTATCACAATAGACGGAGTGTTTCCGATTGTCGCTCACTCGGAGTTCGGGCGGTCTTTGATTGCCATCCTTCTCCAGGGTTGGAGTGGACCGGGTCCTGGAGATTCACGCCCAGCGGGACAAGGTGCAGGTCTGACGTTCGGCATGCCCGACGGTTCGAGTCAGCAAACCGGTTTCGAGCAGCAGTGTTCACGAGTTCAACGCCCGTTTGAAGACCATGAAACACGCCAAGCCGAGAAATGTGCTAGGGTCGACAGAACTTGCGCTCTAATACTCATTCTGAACTATGTGTGCCGCATGTCAGCTTCGAAGGATTTGGCAAGCTCGCTGGATCAATAAACTATGCAACCAGACGCTGGCCAAGGCAGCCACTGTTGCGGAGGTGATTTCCACAGCTCCGGAGGCTGTGAAGCAATAGTCGGCGACAAATGAGCCTTACCGTTCCTCAAAAGTGCTCCATCTGCTCCGTACCAATTTAGCGAAGGTTGCCCTGTAAGGCTGAAACCTACGAGTACAAACGCCTTCATCAACGACGACTTCATGAGAAAGCTGACACCGTATATCCCGAGAACGGCGACCACGGTTCGAGTTGCAGATTTCTGTCAAGAATATTCCCGCTCGTGGCTCACGCGCGAAAAAGCAAAACGACCTTGCCCCGTTGTCTTCGGACTGCACTGTGGAGATTCCACTCACGTTGTCCAGATGTGTTGAAAGGGTGTGCCACACCAGACTAGGACATGGGCACGCTTCGGTCGCCATCAAAGACCCTTTGTCTTAACTCATCCTCTATTGAACTTGTCATCAAAAACAGCTCCTATATGCGCGAGCGGAGGTCGGGACCTCACCACTGACCAAGGACAAGTGAGAGTGCAACTGGCGACCCCTGGAAATGACCTAGTAAAGGTGGGGTGATCTTTGTCAAAGGGGGTAGGTAGTCGGTAACACCAAACCGGAAGGTGTACTACCCAACACTGTGCTTACTCGCGCAGTTCTGACAGAAAAATCACTGAACAGAGACGACCAGACTAGATTGCGAGGATGTCTTTCCCGCCTATCTCGAAGAGGTAAAGAGCCATCCAGGTCCACCTGGAGAGAACGGGCTGCAGAGATCAGCAACTTCCTCTGCTGGTAAGTGGAATCATTCTGGCGCGCAGCTCGGAATGTCCCACGACGTGTGCGCTGAGAGCTTCATTCTGACATTAGGAGCCGAAAGAATATTTCCGCACAGGAACAAGGGCCCGTCAACCGTTTAGTATCCAGCGTGGATCCACGAACGTCATCATGCTTCGAACCATTCCTTCGCCGCGCTCTTCGACCGTTGACAATAGGCACCGCCAGGCGTCAAACAACGGCAAGCTTCCAGAAGTCCTGTCAACACTAGGCGACCTTGGCTTCCACCAGCCGTCGGGTTCCGACCACAGGTCTCTTCATATGGAGGGTGGTGGGCCTTACTGCACATCAAAGAGGGGTGAACAGCACATTGGAAAGCGTTAGTCATAGTCCCCGACGGACATATTCTCCAAAGTCCAGACAACGTCGGGAGAGGTGGACAATTGTTCATCAACCTGGTGTGGACATGAGCGGCACCTTTCCCACATCGCCTGGAGTTGTCTTAGGCACAGAAGCGCCAGGGGGGAGCGCTTCCCTCTTTCGAGCGTACGGACGTACACGAATAGTGTGATTCAGCCTTGTCGTCTAAACAACCCATAACCAATCTAAGTGTGATTTGTCCGTCGCGAATTCAACCATATGCCAGAAGAGGAAAATCCCAGGCGATCAAGTTTTGGTCCGTGATCGACATCCTGATCAACGCGAGCTTCGTCACAAGTTTCCATTCCCCGACCGTCTCATCCCAGGAGGAAATCTCACCGCGCTGTCGAAGATTGCTTTCCGACCGTCTCCATTTCCAGCCCCGAGCGAAGTCCCAGGTCCTGGTCCCTGTCCTTGTGCTGATTCTCCTCCTCGTCCTCCTCCTCCCTCTCCTCTTCGTGATGAGTTTGCCACCCGAACGCGCACTTCGTCCACCTTGCCCTTGGCCAATCCAAACCCCGGCGTCACCCACCCTCCACAACTGCAGCGCAAGCCCTGCCACGCAAACTTGCCGATGTTCGCCCCGCACCACTGCGTCGGGCACGTCAGTCGGCCGTCCAGCTGTCCCTGTGACAGGACGGGCCTCATCCACGACAGAGGATGGAGGAAGATGTGTGCGCAGGGGTCCCCTCCAGTCGCTGCCGAGGGGTCGCGGTGCGGAGGGGGTTTGTGAGGCAAGATGAAGCTGGATTTGGCGAGCAGGCGCCTGCATTTCCGGCATTTGATTTCCACGTTGGCGGGTAGCGGAGGCGCCGGGGACGGAGACGACAGGGTGATGTCCGGGTTGAGAATCTCGGTCGGCTCGTCGCTGTCCGGATCTAGTAAGGTGAGACTCTGCACTCTGTCGCTGATGGGGTCATTGCCCTCGCCTGCCCTAGCGCTTCCCGCGCCCGAGGACGGACCCTGAGCACCGTCTTCCTGGCTGTTCTCGTCATCTTCCTCATCTCGAAAACTGATGTGGTCCATCTCTGGCGCCCGGTTTTCGCTCAGCGCATCCAGCACGTTCCGTGAGTTCATCCACCGTCGGTAGATCTTGTGGCTTTCCAGTTGCTCCTGCGTGGTCGGGCAGCCCATAGCTTCGTACATGCGGAGCTGCTTGATGAACCCTGAATTGGGTTCGACTTGGGGACGGCCTTCCCGAACCAACGCAAGGGCCGAGTCGACTGTGAGCGGGGTTGGGGGTAGGGAGACCATCTCCGGCACGATTGATGCTGACGACGATGAAGCCATCGAGGAAACTTGGGTTGTGGAGTCGGCTTGAGATTGGGGGTTGACGATGTTTGCTGGTTGGCGAGAGTGCCAGAGCAGGTAAGCTAAGACGATTGTCGCAGAACGGGAGACACCCATCGCACTGGCAGATACATGTTAGCAACCACAAAATTTCCTTGTAAGCAGCAGCAACCTGCGTGTAACACGGATAAGTGAGATGGTAAACTTTTGGCGGCGGTTGCGACGGCGACGTGTTAGTCTCTCAAGGATTGCCAAAGCGATGTAGTTGCATCGCGCCTCTCAAACTAGTCTGATCAGTGACGGTGAATAGCATTCAATGACTGGCGTCTCCCGAGTGCCCTAGCTGAAGCAATATGGTTCATTGTTGCGACCGTGATAATGCCCCCTTTCCCCGTTCCAGGGAACTCAGCCTTGCAGCCCCCCAAAAGGCCAATCACGTGATTGGCCTGCCAAGAATTCACATGAATCATGTTGCTGGACACAGCTGATATTGGTCGAGCTGAACGAGTGTTGTAGCCTGAAAGGAGATTTGTTTCCACAGGTTTCATTGCTTGGTTTGAGCGAATAGGGCCTTGCTCCGACCCTGAGTGGCGTTTCTGCGCTGGGGGTTTGTTCAGCGTGGCAAACCCGAGATTCGGCCAAGCCGCCAAACGCAAAGCTTTGGGATTGGGTGGATACGCCTCATGGTCTGTTCTGGCCAGACGTACAGCACACACCAGTCGTTCAGAAGTACAGTCGGCGAAGCCGACTCTGTGCTCTCAGGAAGGGTGCTTTACGAGATGTGGACCAGCCTCTCAGCCTCTGGAAAACTCTGATCGCCGACGATTGCCAGCGGGTGAGTTCGATGAGAGACGAAAACCAGGCACAACGAACACGAATCCAGGGTCCAAGTGTCATGTGGGACAGGTTTTGTGCAGAGCAAGACAAGGGCTAGCCGTGGCCAGGAAGTCAAGGAGAAATGGAGAAGTCGACCTACCAGTGCACAAGAACTCCGCCCGGGATCGGGTCGAGGGAGCCATCTTTGAGGTGGGTGCCAGAGGTAGTCGATTGATTGGGCCTCGAGTGCTTCAAACCTTCGTGGATGAAGGCATTGCTCTGAGGGAAATAGGACAGAATATTCGACTCGTAGACGTCGTCCAGCGGGATGTGCAGGTGCTTGAACCCGCGGAGAGAGGCCCAGTCTTTTTGAAACTTCCAGTCCAACACCGAGACAACATGGGTGATATTGGAGCCCTGGAGGATCTTGGGACGACGTAAGGCTTGGAATCTGACCAGTTCTCGTTAATAGGGTGTCATCGAAACTTCTCCTTGACCCTGCCTGCATGGGGTTGACCTGGGAGGGTAGGGGGAGACTCGAGAAGCAAGTCGACACCAGCCGCCATGTTCACAGTGCCAATCGAAAGACATCAAACTGAACGACGTACCCATCAATGTACAAGTTGTAGCCTGGCACCTTGCTGGGCAGGGTTGGGATGTCCATATTGGCTCTCAGGATACCACCGGTCGGATGACGAACGGATCCGGGGACCAGATAGGGAAGAAGAACCGGCAAGGCTAACCACGTAGACACAAAGGGAAATTGGCGGTGAAGGGAGCAGTGACCACAATGTGGATTGTGGAATGATGATGGCCTTCTGTCTCTGTCTTTGCTTTTCCGGAGAGTGGGCGAGGGTCGCGGTTCGAGATTTCGATTCCTCGTGGGGTGGCTACTGTCGCTCTCTCGATGTGGATGAGATGGAATTTTTTCTCAGGCTCGTCGACACAAATTGAGTAGTGCAGGGGCGGCAGGGGATTGGTTCGTATGGGATTGCCAGGTCGGGCGGTTGGTGGCCTTGAGGATTATTATTGAGGCCTTGGAGCCCTTGAAGCCCTGTTTGAAGCCCTGGAAGTTTGAAGGGGAATGAAAACCCAGATGAGCCTCGGCTAATGCCAAGCCCAAGGCAGTTCGTCGCCCCAATACCGAAGATTCACTTTTACTTCCATCTCATCACCTCACTTGTACCTCACCTACATGTTCAGTACATTACAGCCACATAGAAACCCAGTGTAGGCGAGCGTACGAGGTAGTATGTGAGCCGAGCAACTCCGTAGTAATCTGAAATTGGTTCCTCTGCTCCATAATGTCGAACCGTGCTGGCACCTCACTCGGCACAGGCTGTGGCGTGCTTGCACTGCCTGTGGCTGGTGAGTTGTACGTAAAATGATCAGCAGCAGATTATGCTTAACTCCCCTGTCGCCCATTGCCGTTGTGTCTACCCGCAAGAGCCACGAGGGGCACAGGGGCACGGGCGAAACGTTGAGAAATCCAAAGGCGATTGTCAACAGGTCCACAGGAAAAGAGGGCACCAGTTGGTGCTGGTCTTGTACGGCGACGAGCAACATTTTGTCATCAGACCTCTCTGGCTTGCTCAGCACGACTCGTTCACAAGACGACTCCTCTCAGACTGCTGCTCCCGAGCCGGTATCCGGGTCTGCGTCACGATGGATATCCATTCTCCCAACCGGTTGGGTTCGGTCACCACCTTCCACGAATGGAATCGCAAGCGACGTTTGATGAATTTTCTGGAAAACAGCACCGGCGGGCACTAGCGACGTTTGTCTGCAACTTGTCGGTCTGGGATTTGGGAAGCTCGGAAGAGATGGTGGGATGGGGATTGGGGAGGTTGTTTCTGGTACCTGATAGCAATCCCCACATGTCCAAGGGGAATTGAATCCGCAGTGTGGTGATCCTTGCTGGGCTGGCCAGTCGCTCACTCCTACCGAGTACTTACTGCGAGCTGGGCCCCTGCTCGTCCGCGCCATTATTGATCTGAGATACGACGTCAGTCTGGGCCACTCGCAATGCTTCCCCCAGTTTCGTCAAGACCCGCTCCCTCAACCCAAGAGGGGACCTTCTCGCCATCTCGATCGGCTCTATGTCCCTGTCTGGCGTGTTGCTCCGAAGCCAGGCGCCATTTCGAGGCAGACGCACAGAATGCCTCCCCTGCGGCGCCATTGTCTGCTTGGAAACTTCACCCACCAGCCGATTGCCCATTCAGGCCACAGGCTGGAGAAGTTGATCAAACTGACCCCTTCCATGGCCAATTACACCGTTTCAGTGGCCTAATCGCCAGCCTTGTCGGCTTCCAAGGCTTCAAGTGCTCAAACAAATGACATACCACCAAGCTCCTGACCCGATCGAGTTTGTGCACACGCATGCTGCACGCTGCATCACCCCTTGCCAGCCACAAGAGACTATCAATCGAAAACGAAGCCCATCACCGACCCCTCCTCCTTTCAACTGGTCTACAATCTCCCATCCAGAGACGTTGGAAGCATGGAGTTGCAACCAGTCTGCAGCAGAAGGATCGCGTTCCGTGGGCAGGGGACAGACGAAACAGAACATGTGTTTATGCAAACTTGGATCATTTCGGGAGTTGCTTTCACCGAGTTGCTGGTGCCACCTCATCGGATTGATTGGGTGCCGTCCCATCGACCATTGTGAACGGCGTAGGTCCAATAGAGCAGGTCCACCGAGTGACACCGGTGCGAGGAGTATACCACTCTCCCCTCCGAAAAGGGACAGCAAGGCAGGTCTTGACTAAACACTGTGGGCTCTGTAGGGCATCACAGTCAGCTTTTCGTAGGGCAGAGTGCTCCGTACTCCGTATTTCAGTACGTAGGGCTAGAACCTGGTGTGCTCATGATGGAGATCGGGACTGATCACGGCGAGGGTAGAGCCTAGGTAGGGGAGGATTGGCGTGGCCCAGCCATAGAGTTGCACAATGCATCCCCGACATGGACGCTAGGGCGTTAGGACACCAACTCGAGTCAGTAGCGGTGCACCCACGTCGCCCATCAGACTCGGCATGCCCACCCACGCACGACCCTTGATTGAGGCCAAAGGTCAAATGACACCGGTCTCCAAAGTATCCTCTCCCGGGTTAACTCTCGTGTTTGATACTTCCTGAGCAGGGTGGTTCGCCAACACACAATGCACCGAGGGAGGGACCATTTCGTGCTTCGGAGCCGTTAGCTCCCGACTCATGGGATGGTACCAGTGCCAGGGATTATTCCCAGTCCCAGTGCCCTGGTCAGCGTGGTGGGCGCGGAACCTATGACGTGAAAGCACAAACGAGCCCTCGTACTCGCAGCCATCGGGGGCGACAAGAAGCCTTGGATCCAGGGCTGCATGAGAGCTAGACCGTCTACGGTGAATGCTCTCCATGCACGAACCCATCCAGAAAAACCTTGTTGCTGCAGCGAAGAGGATGGTGACGAGGTATAATCGATATGCGCCACCGGACCTCGTGATGTACACTCGAAACTCCCTTGTTCCATAACCTCCAGGATGCCAGAAAACAGGGGAGGACCTTTGGGGAAGGTTACGGGAAGGGGGGGGAACCATCAGTGTGCAAAAAACGGTGCCCTCGAGATCTTGTCCGTTTGTGGAAAGCGATGGCTGGGCCGCACGGAGGACAGGAAAAGCATCTCGCATCACCCTAGCTAAATTATGCAAAACGCAAACAACGCCACCAGGCTATGGAACCCGCGTTTTCCGGGATGCTAGTCATAAGGCTTCAGCTGGGACCGAGTCCAGAGTGGCCAACGGTTGGAGCTGGACCGTGGGCGGAAGGGTCACGACGAACAAGTTGACGCCAACCAAGTCGGGGTGCCCATTGCGGTTTTGTGGTAAGATGAGAGCATGATGATGATGCTGATGATGATGATGGTGATGGGTGGTGGTAGTAGTGGTAGTAGTAGTGGTGGTGGTGGTGATGGTGGTGATGATGATGCGATGCTGGGATGATGGGGGCACAGACGATGCCGTGCTGTCCGACTCTCAGGTATTCGTGTCACGGTATTCGTCCAATCACCACCAAACGGCCCACCGCAGAACTAAGAGAACTAATGCCTGCGAATCATTCCCTACGGCCATCAGCTCGCCTTACAGACCTCCAGAGCACCAACATCCATGGGCTGGGCTGAGGTCGAGCAGCCGTGGGTTTCATAGGGCTACTTTCTCCTCAATTAGGTCCCACCACTAAGCGGCCGGCAGGTTTTGGTGGGGGGGCAATCCAGCCTAGCTGGTCGTAGTAGCCCGTTGTTGCCCAGTTGTGTTGCAGGGGCCTCGCTCTTCTCTCTTTCCTCACGCCTTTACTTAGTTCCGTGGACAACTCGGTCCTAGGCTCGTTGTCTCAGCAGTAGGTGACCTCGATCCCTGGCGCCCTGACATGGGCGGGCTCGCCCTATCGGCTGCTCACTTGGAACTCTGGAGTCTCCATTGTCACCCATATTACCGCCTGGGGGGGCACGAGGTCAGCCCATGCCGCCTTTCTCCCCTCATCAGCCACTACTCAACCTAGCAAGGTTCGGTCTCAGCCATTCTGGCCTGCTTATTGCTGAAGGAGGGGGGAGTGCGTGGCTCATCATGCGCCCAAATAGCAAAGGTAGAAAGGATCAGAAGACTTCGTATGGTATGTACAGGAGTACCGAGTACGTAGGTCAGTAAACGAGGGCCACCAAGGGGCAAAAGTTGCTGACTCGATTGAACCTTGCAGCAACTGGGGGGAAGAGAGCCGAGTCGAGTCGCAGGACAGAGAGCCCAGGGCAGAAGCGGGACCCCCCTCCTCCTCCCCGACCCCGATGTTCCATCGCGGCGCCCAAGCCCTAGGGAGCGTTGGTAGAGAGAGGAAAGAGTAAAAAAAAAAAAGAACCCTGGCAGCATGGCCAGCCATAGGCCCAGAGCACCCCCCGGGCTAGCCCAGCAGGCAGGGTCATGTTTGGGGCTCCACCCTGCTGCTGGTGCGGAACGGCTGCAGCCTTTTTCTTTCTCGGTGTTTTACGCTAGAAAGCCCACGGCAGATCTGGGCTATGCGTGCCGTAGGGCTGAACCAGCCCAGCTTCCAGCCCAGTTCTGATCAGATAGCCTGACGAGCAGGCCAGCAAGAAAGAAGACCGCCACGGGCGCCTGCGCATGCTGCCGGCGCTCCTGGCTCTCTTAGAGTTTTCTGGCTTCCCCTCGGACAGCCCTGCTGCTGCTGAGATGTTTTTTGATGGCCAACTCCACTGGGCCACCACCACCACACCACCTCCCCCCCCCCCTGCCCTGGCCCGATTTGCGAAGAAAGTAGCAAAGCGCAATCGCATGGCGGCAAGCTTGTATTGGCAAACTTGCATTGACGGACTCCAGACGAGGCCCTGCGGAGCTCGAGGCGCTACTGGAGCGTGCCATTATTGCTGTCGCCCTAACACTGCTTGTCTTCGTCAGAGAAACTATTCTAGTAATTCCACGCCTTCCATTGTCAGTCCTTCCCTCGCCTCGACCTCCCCCCATCCTTGATTCTGCGAGACCTCGTACTCCCACCCCTCCTCCTTCGTACACTACGCTTGCTCCGGCCATTGCTGTGTCAAACCCAAAAAGACCCAAGGACGGAGAGGATCCTTCTGAAATATCCGCCCACCTTTGTCGTGGCCCTGTCCAGCAGCTGGCTGAGTTAT